CCCCCCAGCAGGGAAATACGGTACTTACCAGGTCCAAAACTCCAATGGCCCTTGCGCACATCATTCAGATCATCATTGAGGAACCTCTCGGGCCAGAACCGCTCGGGCTGCTCGTACTCCCTCTCATCCAGCGCGATGGCCATCGAGTTCCACGTGAACAGCGTACCCTTGGGGAACCTGTACCCTTCGTACTCGTCGTCCTGGATCAGCATGGTCGGCAGGCCGATTTCGGCAAAGGGCCGCCACCGAAACGCCTCCTTGACGGTGGCGGTCAGGTATGGCAGCGCCTCGCGGTCGGCAAAGCCGGGGAGACGCGCCGCGTCGGCGCCGCAGACAAGGTCGAGCGCGTCGCGTGCTGTGGCCACCCACCGCTTGTCTGAGGCGGCGGCGGCGATGACTTGGGAGATGGTCATGCGCGAGGTGTCGCTGCCGGCTTCCATGAGGGAGCCGAGCGCGAAGCTGATGCGGTCAGTAACAGTCGTTGAGATGATGGGCGATGAATATACGAGCAGGATGGGGCATGGAGAGAATTCTCTCTTGGGGTATGCAGAGTAAACGTCAAAGATATTGGGTATTAGGAAACACCGCCGCAAGGGAAGACTCACTACGTCTGTGTCTCTCCATAATCGGTGGTCGAAGGGTCCTTCAGAAACTGCACGGCGAAACAATCTCGTGCGGTGCCGGCGGCGATGCGCTGTTGCAGTTCGCGGACCTGCTTCTTGTAGACGCTTTTGCTATCGGTCAGCGAAGATGGATTCAAAGATTCGGAAGGGCTACGCACTTGACGGTCTTCTGGTGCAGACGCTCTCCGCGCTTCCGCCACCACTGCAAGGGTTTCGGCAACTTGGCGAGCGCGGGTATTGCGTCGACGAGGTTCGCGCCCGGCTGCAGGGCGAGTATCAGCTCGTTGGACGTGTCAAACAGCTCCTTGGTGTCTGGGTCTTCGAGATGCATACGCTTGCCGAACACGACACTCATGATGACCGAGTTGGCGTACCGTTGGTTGGCTGCATACCACAGTTCGGGGTACTTGAGGTAGTCCCAGAGCAGGTGGCGGGATTCGACGTCCTGGTACGGTGCGAAAGTCGGCATGTTCTGCTTGTTGAGGACTGTGTGCATGATGCGACGGAGCAGGCGCCAGCGCTCGCCATACGGCATCAGCAGCATACGAGAGTCGGAAGAGAGGAGTCCGGAAGCAAAGGGCGCGTACTGCCTGGAGGAGTAGATTGCGCTACGCTTCTCCATCAGATCGTTGACGGTCCGGGAGCTGTTGAGAAAGACCCAGGTGGAGCCACCGATCTGGCAGGTGAACCTATATCACACTGGTCAGCAGAGTATCAACTTGAGGCTGTTTGGCCAAGACAATCGTACATTTCGCCATACTTCGCGGCCATCGCCTTGCCCCATTGCCCTTGATTCAGTGGAGGGATCTGTAGCGTATTGCCGAGTATAGGAAGTCCTGGAATCCTTGTGGGTAGCTTGTACTTTTGGTTGAAGCGGTAGCGGGCAATAGCTTGCTGACAGACGATGGCAAGCAGCGCGACAATGGTGCCATAATACAGAACTTCGGACAGCATCATCTCGAGTCTGCTTTGGTGGTCACACACAGGATGCAATCGTTGAGATGGCTGATATGGAACAAAGATCCGGATCGATCACACTTGCCACAGGCCTTTGCGACCCTACAGTTGGCCTCGTCTTAGGCGACGTTATTGGCGTTAGCCATCAAAACTGCTGTGCTCTTGCACAACCGAGCCTGGTTTAGAACGGCCACGCTAGAGCCATCGGCATCGGATGCTTCACGGCACGCTACCAACCTGCCGAAGAGCCGTTGCAGAACTGCAGCAGCACAGGCAACCTCTTCTCCAATTTGGAGCATCTTTGCACGCACAAGCTTTCGACCGATGAACGAACCGTTCGCGCAATGTCGAGATCCAGTCTGCCAAATATGGTCCTACAGAACAGACATGGGACCTCAGCGGTCTAGACCTTGTAGCAGGGGAGGAGCACTGGAACAAAGGGTTTGGTGGTGTGTGGTGTTGTGCTCACCCAGCAAGCTGGCCCCACCTCCACATTTGTGGGGTAGCGCCAACTCGGCGTTCGGGTTTGATGTGTTCCGCCTCTTTCGAGTCATGTTTCATTGAGGGTAGGCTCGGTCATAAGGATTATGCCGATCTGAGGGGTTCAGTTGCGTGGATGCATCGAGATGCGGTAGTATGGATGTGATTATTAGAGCGGAAACGAGAAGCTACGACGAAGCTGGTTGGAGTAGTCTGTTCATAATGCCAAGACTCTGCAAGGCTACGGTCACGTGATTGGTCATCGCAATCGCAGTGGTTCAATTTATAGCAATACGCGACACAGTGTCTAAGCAGAGGAGCTGCTGTTGCACGGCGCTATACTTCAACGAAACCTCGCTACAGTGTCCAAGAAGAGATTCAGTCCAGCAGAGAATTTGTGGAAATGCAAGGGTAGAAACACTGACATAGCACAAACTATCCGACAAACAAGAAGCAACTACCGCTTGTGGCTTTGCCCGTCAGGAATGTCGCCGTCCGCCTTAAGGCCTTTCCTCGCCTCGTACCAGATCGTCTCAATCAGCTCTTTCTTCTCGTTGCTCCGACAACGTATCTCACAAACGAAAGGGAGAGGAATGGTCATCCAGCCCGGCACCATGCCGGCCTCCGGTTCGATCACGTCACCTTGTGCATTCTTCTTCTTGGACAGATCAAAGGCCCACAGGACTCGTGAGATGTTGAGGAACAGGCTTTTCTCTGCGAGATGAACCCCTGGACACACTCGTCGTCCGGCGCCGTATGAGAAGTGATCTCGATCATTGGGATCGGCTGCATTAAGGTACGCGGCGGCGGCCAGAGGGTGATTCAGATATCGTTCGGGCATGAACTCTTCCGGCTTCTCCCAGTGCGAAGGGTCGTTGTTGATGGACCTGAAATGGTTAGCGACTACGACTTGCTCCAGGTACCTGACTACTCACCACCAATCTAACATGACAACTGAACCTTTAGGTATAAAGTAACCCTCAAACCAGTCATCTTCGGTCGTGGAGTGCTGAATACCGATCTTGTTTGGTGGCCGGGTTCGCAGCAACTCCTTGATTGTAGCACGCAAGTAAGGCAAATCCTTTTCATCCGCCCAGTCCGGCAGGCGGTTGGGTCCAACAACACGATCGACTTCTTCCTGCGCCTTCTTGAAGACTCTCGGGTTGCGAAGCATAGCAAGGATCCATGAGTTGAGGAAAGCTGAAGTCGTCTCCGAGCCGGCCTCTACCAGACCTCCAGTCTGATAAGCGGCCTGAAGTTCGTCAAGACCCTGCTTTTCGGGTTCCGACAGATAGAAGTCGCGCGCAAAGCAAGGGTTGGCGCGCCCTTCATCCACTTCTTGCTTCATGTTCCGCCACAGCTTCAGATAGATAGGCGAGTCGTGCTCAAAGCATTTCTTGCCGAAAGCACGCCAGTTGCCAAACATCCACGATGGGAATTGGGCCAGCTCAGGGAACGTGTCCACCAGCCACATGCCGGGCGTGGCAAAGTTCTGCAGGTTGTTGATGACTTTGTAGATGTTCTTGACGATCTCGGCGTCCCAGTTGGGCATTCGATGGCCGTAGGTGGCGGTGAGGATCACGCTTGATGAGTACCGCCGATTGTGATCGTAAAAGTGGTCTGGATCGTGCAGAAGGTCGTACATGAGTTGTTTTGACTCAAGATCCTGGATGGGCTGATAGCTTGTAGAGACAGTAATGCTCAGCAGCGAGTGTGAGATCTTGCGAACAACGCGATAGGCTGGTCCGTAAGCCATGAACAACTGTCGCCTTCCTGCCGAGGCCGTGTCACCCGCCAGCGGCGTGGGCGGGCGCGAGGAGTAGATAGACGACCGCTTGTCCATCAACTCCTTTACAGTCCTAGGTGACGAAAGCCAAATGTAATCGGAGCCACCCATCTTGGTGTACCAGATTTCTCCATACTGCCGAGCCCATTGTTGCACTTGGAATCTGAACGTGTCGGCTTTGGCGAGGTCGAGATAGTTTCCTAGGAAAGGGAGCCCGCGTGGCCCAGGAGGCAGTTTCTTCCGCCGACTGTCCTTGAAAGAGCTTGGAGTCACCCACAGATAGAAGCCCAGGAAGGCGAAGAAAGGGAGAGCGATCAATGTCGCGGCCAGTGCCGGCAGCGAGGCCAGTGTCGAGAACCGTGCCACGTTCAACATGTCCACCTCCGTATATCCGGCGCTTGCCCGCTGCAATCAATGTTCCACGTCGATGATAGGGCTCCAGTGATGAGCAGGAATTTGAAGACGATTCCGAACTCGCGCGTCGTTACGGTTGTTGCTGCTGCTTGAGAGTGCGATCCCCGGATCGAGGAGGGCTAACTAACGAAGGGCAGGGGCCAGAGCTCGTGGGGAAGCAACGGTGCATGGAGCGCAAGTGGGGAAATTCCTTCCCCGCAATCAGGTTGGGGTTGGGTGGAGTCATGACTGTGCCAGCTGCAGTGCGGGCGGCCTGGCGTTGGAGTTAGAGGGCTGCAGCGCCCATCTACCACCCATGGCCAGGGCTCATAAGGTTGAACTAACGCACGTCAGGTCCATGCCGCATGCCGGCAAGTGAATATCGGCTTCATACTCCCACAAATCCTATCGAGTGGCTACCTGCTGACACTGCTTTGGTGTGAGGTGCCGCTTATACTCACCACTCCTATGCCAAGATACGAGGGTGCTTGAGATGGAAGTCTCGTAGAAGCCATGGAGCTTGAGAACTTTGCGCCGCGATATGCCATGCAATGGCTGACCCGACTTCCATCGTGTACTACGAATCTTCTCGGTCTCACAGTTTCTGTTCCTTCTTTTTCTTATCCGTCGGTGGAGCCATGTCCAGCCACGAGAAGTCCTAATCAGGGTAAGCAAGGACTCACAGAGCGATGCAGCCAAGGAAAGGACGAAAGGGGTTCTTACCATTTCCAAGTCAGTTTGCGTGTCAACAATGACATTGACCACCACCGGAACCTTGGCTTGAAACCCCTTGATGGTGGCTTCCTTCAGCTCTTCCGGCGTGCGCGCTACAAGGCCGATTCCACCTGCCACCTCGGCGATCTTCTGATAGTCAGTCTCATATCCTAGTGATGTCGCGCTGAGGCCTTTGGGTCGGGCAGGGCTTCCGGCGACGGTCATGTCTTGAAGTTGCTGCCATTTCTCCTTCGAGTCCGCGTCTCCTCGATACAGGCCGCTATTGTTGATCACGAATATCAAAACGTCCATCCGATAGCGGCCCATGGTTTCGACCTCCATGGCGGAGAAGCCGAATGCACTGTCGCCTTCAATCGCGACAATCTTTTTGCGGCCCCGAGTACCGGCTGAGCCTTCTGCGTGCGGATAGTTATAGGCAGCGTAGGCAGCAATCGCGTAGGCGGGACCAACACCCATTGTGGCGTATGTTCCAGCATCGAGCCGGATGCGCGGGTGCTCCATAGTGAAGATGGAGCGGGAGATATCCATCGCTTTGGCCCCTTCCGAGACGTAAACAATGTCACCATTGTTGGGCGTTGAGAGGCTGTTAAGAGTCTCTTGTATCACGCCGAACGCCTTTTCGTAGGCCATTGGAATCTTACCGGCCGAAGCTTTCTTTGCCGCCTTTTCCTCGTTCTTTGACTTGGCGGCTTGCAAGGTGCGGTAGTATTCTGAGGACTGACCTTGCCAGCGCCAGTTGCCTATCTCATTGACAAGCTGCTCAACCACTAGAGCCAAGTCGCCGACTATGCTGAGAGAAGGATCATGTCCATTCTTGCCAAGCTCGTCCGCGCTGATATCGACTTGAATGATCTTGACACCTGACTTCCACTTCGGAGGCAAACCGAATGTAAGAATCCAATTGAGTCTAGCACCCAGGAGCAGAACGACATCGGCTGTCTTCATTGCGGTTGATCGTGCGGCTGAGATGTTGTGCGGGCTTGCATCTGGGACGACCCCCTTGCCCATGGGCGTTGGGAGGAACGGCAATCCGGTCCTGAAAGACGAGTCAGTCACCACCAAGCTCTCCTGAAGCGAATCATAGCAAGAGAAAGCGCCTCTCTACCTTTCAATGAGTGCTTGAATCTGCTTTTCTGCACGACCGTAGGCAGCTCCCTTACCAACCACCACAAGCGGTGCTTTAGCGGTTTTCAGTGCCTCGATAGCGGATCTGATCTTTTCTGGAGGCGCAACTGCTTTTGGGGCTTCTAACAGAGGTGACAACTTGTGTCGTTCGACATCGAAGTGGCCCATAATGATGTTGGCCGGCAGATCAACAAATGCCGGGCCAGGGCGACCAAACATGGCGGCACGATAGGCATCTCGGACAAACGAAGGCACCATTTCCGGGTACGGTGGGCGAAGAGCCAGTTTGGCGTGAGGACTGAAGATTGGAAGAGCATCCATCTCCTGGAACGCGCCTTTATTGGCATTGTGTGTTTCGCTCGAGCCTCCGAGCAGCAGCAACGGCCAGCAGTTGGCAGCCGCATGTGGGATCTATCGAGTCTCGGCATTAGAATGCGGTAATGGTACGGGATGGGCAAAGGTTACGCACACCCGGGAAGGTGTTTAGAACACCGGGTCCGCCGACGCAAATGCAAACGCCGGGCTTGCCGGTTAGATATCCATAGGACGAGGCAGCAAGAACGGCGGCCTGTTCATTCCGAAAACTTATGAAGTTGATGCCAAGGTTCATAGACTCTTGGGCAATATCAATCACGGGCAGCCCGGGCAGCCCAAAGATGACTTGAACGCCAAGGTCCTGGAGCGCTTGGGCGATAATCTTCGCTCCGTAGACCATGTTTGCTATTCTGATCAAAAAGATCACAGGATAACCCGGGCAGATACAGAGAAAGACTACCTTTCGATTCCTTGTAGTTCGCTATGGAGCTTGCGGTCCTCCATTTGCGGGGGAGGATACGAGCGGAGAGTGCGGAGAGAACGGGGGTACTAGGGCGCCTAGACAGCATTACGTCGCTGGAGACTGTACTCAAGTGATTGGCGGTCTTACCCGAGGTCAACAGCCTCCGATCGCAGCTGCAATAGAGTTGCTTGACCTCAAACTGTCAGGGCGTCGCTGCGTCACTCTGTGTCTGCTCGGTTCAGCGGACTGGCGACGGGGGACGGACTTGCTCCCTGACGACCGCCTTGACTGCTCGACGGGACCTGCCGAGCTTTAGGAATCATCCTGCTCGAGGCCAAGCAATGCGTTGGTACACTTTATCTTGACGGTTTGTATATTGTAGCTTGATTTTATAGCTTGGCCTTGGGCTTTTCATCGCCAGCCGCGAGCTCGTCGACGAGCTTCCTCAACTCCGGCTTCGACACCTTGCCACTCATCGTCTTGGGCCAGTCCTCGGGTACTTTGCCATCACCCAGCCACCAGATGTATTTGGGTACTTTGAAATGTGCCAGCTCCTCCTTCACCCACTTCTTCACATCCTCGTCTGAAGGTCTATCCATGCCTTCTTTCAGCTCTAGGAACGCTCCCACAGTCTCACCGTACTTGTCATCCGGCACCCCGACCACACTCGCCTGCGCAATGACTTCCATGCCGTTCAATCTTTCCTCGATCTCGAGTGGTGCTATGTTCTCGCCACCTCTGATGATCAGATCCTTGATGCGTCCCGTGAACACCAAGTAGCCATCGTCGTCCAACATGCCTTCATCACCAGTGTGCATCCATGGCCTCAACTCCTTCGAACCACGGCCCCCTTGCCCTCCAACTCCTCCTTCTTCGAGGTCTTGCTTATGATAACGCAAAGACTCCTCCGTCTTCTCCTTGTTTCCTATATATTCACTCATCTGGCCGTAACCGCTCACCACGATCTCGCCTCGCTCGCCCCACGGGACAACTTCGCCGGAGTTGGGCTGCACGACCTTGAGAATGAAATGAGGAAACAGACGGCCAGTGGTGTTTATTCGTTTGTCCCAAGGATCCGTCTCGTGCATCATGGTCACGAAGGACGAAAGCTCTGTCATGCCCCAACAGGTGTAGATGCGAGGTATCTCAAACTCTTTCATGACACGTCGCAAAAACTCTGGTGGCATGGGTGAGCCAGCCACAATGCCGAACTTGAGTGATGTTTTGTTGGTCTTCTTGAAGGTCTTGGCCGACATCTCGCTGATGAACATCGTATTGACACCGTAGAGTGCACTGCATCTGTAACGCTCGATGCACTCTAATGCTGCGTTGGGGTCGAAGAGCTCAGAAGGGAAAACCAGAGATGAGCCGGCAACTGTGCTGGTACTGATCGCAACAATCATGCCAAAGCTGTGGAAGAGGGGCACAGGACAGCATATCTTGTCTTCACTCTTCAATCTTGTCTGTAGCCAGATGTTCCTGCCACAGTTCATGATGTTGTAATGAGACAGAGAGACCGATTTCGGCAAGCCAGTGCTGCCAGAGGTAAATTGAACGTTGACCATATCATGAGGCGAGATGTTGGGATCTTCAGACCAAGAAGATGATGCCTTCGACGCCAGGAAAGCCTCGTATTGCTGGTGTTTCAGAGATTTCGAGGGCAGACTGTGTTTCCGGAAGATGTCATCAAACACGATGATGTGTTCGACCTCCGGTATAGATGACTGAGCTTTGGGAAGGACCTTGGTGTAGTCGTAGCGAGAAAAGCCTGGAGGCGTGAATATCATCTTCGGTTCTAGGTGACATGTAAGCAATTCGTACTCAGAGCACGGCTCGGGTAGCTTACTGATGGCCTTCATCAGGGCAAGCATCTCAGAATCAGTGTACGCGTAGTTGAAGAGGATCAAAGCCGCGCCTAGTCTCGCCGTCGCGAAGAAGACCTGCCAGCCTGCATCAATAAACGAGCCAACCACCACCCAATGGCTTTGCCTACCTCGAGGTATTCGATGCGAGTTCCGGATATGATGCCAACAAGACTGCCTCGACCGATCCCAGCGTGTGCCATGGCCTTGGCCAGACTGATACTTCTGTCGCATAGCTGTCGGTAGGAAATAGTGCGATCCTGAACATGGGATATCACTGCCGGGCTGTCTGGTCGAGTTTCGGCATGGTGGTCCAGAAGCTGACCAAACGTTAGGGTCAGAGGCACCGGGGCACGAGGCCCGTACATGATTGAAGGCTGCTTCTCGGGCGCCATCGTGGTCCCTTTGGCGCTGAAAGGGCACTCCTGGCAGTGAGTAGTTGAAACAGCTTCAGAGAATCAAGCCGGGTACCTTTGGTGGGTGGAGTCTGCCCTTAAGCCGGGGTAAGCCCCGGGGATGCGGGGTAGCGTCATTGCCTCGATAGGCGCAGCCCGTCTGACTCGAAACTCTGTTGTTAACGTCATCCCTCGAAGATTGCCCCGAGGCCTAGCATTGACAGGGCGACAAGGCCCGCAAATCCTCAACAGTCTCCTCCACACCATTTTGGAGGCCAACGAGGCCACCGCTGTATATCGAGTCCTGCCAGAGCAGCTCAGCAAGCGGACTACGCAGCAGAAACCAATGTCTGCCAGTTCCAACGTCTACGTAGCTGGCGTTGGTTACTCCGCTGCCTCGCAGGGGGGCTCTTCGGGAAAGACTGCCAGCACTCGCCTCATTTCTGCAGCGACAAAAGCCTTGTTGGACGCTGGCGTGACTTACGACGATGTAACGAGAACTGTGAGAGGCGAGGGATTGAGCCAAGGCACCGAAGCATTGAATGCATTCGGCGGTGGAGTTCCTGTGAGGGAAGTAGAGGATGGGAAGGAGTTGAATAGCTCTTTCACGCTGGTTTGCGAAAGTGGTGAACAGTGCGTTCTAGTGATTATGGCAAATGAGGTATGAGTTCACAGGCCTGGCATCTTACTCTGGGCATCTAGCTGATAATTTAGTCCGGCACGATGGCTCTTGTGCTGGTGTCTAACAGTTTCATGAGGAGATGGCCGTACCTGAAGGATTCAGCAACCCTGCTCAGCCAATCCGATGGTTCGGGTCCTCAGTCAAGGTCACAGAAGGACCAGGGACCTCAACAAGTCTGTCACATCGGTATGAATGCTGTAGTTCCTGCAAGATAAATGTCTTGCTAACCGCGATCTTAGTGTGGGACTTGAGAGGATGGACGAATCCCAAAGATTCAGGCAGACAAGCTCGACGTATGCACTATCTCGAGAGTTCAGGACATGGTTTTGAAGTGAGCCGTGCCGACGGGCAGAGTGTGCCCAGATGGAAGGACGTCGAACACAGACAAGACGGAAGGCATCGGCTGGGATATAATCCTGCTGTTGAGAATAGAGAGATCTACCAAGAGGAGTTTGAAGCAGTCCAAGCGAGTGTAAAAGATCGGGCAAGGACTAGATCAGCCAGGTTTGACCGCGAGGGCGGTGACCGAGCGATTCTCAACAGGCAGCAGAGGTACTTAGCTAAACTGTGAACATGACCTTCCTAGACTTGAGCTTCCGGTGCCTTTTCTCCTACAGCAAGGCAATGGCTCGGGCTGATCATGAATCCTGTTTTACTAGAAACAGATAGCTGCGAAGACAAGGAAAAAGTCGAGAACCACCATGCCCGAACCGCCTGTCCTAACAGCTCACTTAATGTGCATCAACCTTAGTGATGTCCATTCACCCCGTTCGAACGACCCTTACCCTGATAGGCCTCTTTGATCATTTCCGCTGCTAACTCTCCGATACCGTAGGCTGGCATCTGGGTATGGCCACTGTGAAGAGTTGGCATGATACTGCAATCGACCACACGTAATCCCTTGGTTCCGTAGACTTCCAGTTTCTCGTTCACGACAGCCATTGGATCATCACGCTTGCCCAGCTTGCACGTCCCACCAGGGTGATAAGAAGTGGAAGCATATTTCTGCACAAACGGCTGCCAGTCCTCGTTGGTTTTATTGAGATGGTGCTTGGCTCCGGGCGGCCAGGCGCCCTTGATCTTATCCTTGGTGCCTGCTCCAGTTGTGACAAGCTCATTCGCGAAGCGGACACCCTCAGACATCATCAGCAGATCGCGCTTGTCAGACAGGTATCTGTGGTCGACGATCGGGTTTTCGCGAGGATCGAGACTCTTCAGCTTCACTTCGCCTCGGGACTGCAGTCCGCACAAAAAGCAGCACATGGCGAAGGCGTACTGGCCCGCTTCGGGCTTATCAGTATACCTGTCCCATGTTAGCGCTTGTTCCTTTCCGAATGACCACCGTAAGAGGAGAAACTTACTCAGGAGGTCCTCCGTAGCATATCGTATGGAAGAATTCCAAGTTTGGCTGGGTGTCGGTCAGCTGCATGGGATCGCGGCCCGGCGGTCTCTCAAAGCTTTGCCACTCCTTGTTCTCTGCCTGAAGTCGATCATCAAGACGGGCGAAAGCAAACGATCCAAAGGGGAATTGTGCCAACCAGCCAGTTTTCTTTTCCCTCCACTCCTTCGCTCCGTTCTCGTACGCGTTGGGGTCGTGGTTGACTCTTTCATCATCGGTGAGGCCAGCTTGGTTGAGCTCGTAGTATATGAAGATAAGTTGGTGATCTTGCAGGTTCTTGCCTACTCCTGGGAGGTCAATCTGACAACGGATGCCAAGTGCTTCTAGGTCTTCCTTTCCGCCGATACCAGAACGTTGGAGGATAGCTGGAGAGCCATAGGTACCACCTGTGACGATTACTTCTTTGCGAGCAAAGACCTTGGACCGGTTTCCTTGATCATCCACGACTTCGACTCCTTTGGCTTCGAGGGTGCCGTCCGCGCCACGTTCAAGGATCACCTTGTCGACAGTGCGATGGCATTTAACCACAACGTTGCTGCGTTTGTGGTCTTTGGTGACAAAATCTGCGGCCGTGGTTCGATAGCCTTGCCAGGTAGTTCGCATAGCGTGCCCGCAGCCGTTTGCTGTCTCGCCCGTGCTGAACATATCTGGATGATATGGAAGGCCCTTGGACTTGTAATTCTCGAGGAACAGATCTCCAAGAGGTCCACATGGGGCAGGTTCGATGTGCAAGGGTCCATCGTACCCGTGTGCAGCCTTGTCGTCGGGAAACCACTTTTGCGGGTGGAAGGTTTCTGACTGCAAGACAAGATGGTTCAGAACACATCACAAAAGAAACGCCAAGTGATCATACCTTCCTCATGGCTCGGAACATCTCATCGCCACTCCATTCGGGGAAGCCCCAGTCGTCATAGTCCTGCTTGACTCCCCTGACGCAGATAGTGCCGTTGCAGCCGCTGCTTCCGCCCAAGAAGCGTCCTCGAGGAACGTGGCATTGGCGACCGTTTAGTCCAGCCTGTGGAGGGGTCATAATGTTCCAATCAGTGTCGCCTTTATGATTCATGGTCCATCTAGACAACGTCAGGAACTAATTGGGAAAATGAGGAATGTTCACACACGCGCCAGCCATGTGCATATTGTCCATTTCTTCGCTGTCCTGGCCGGCTTCGAGTATGAGGATCTTCAGGTTGGGATCTTCCGAAAGCCGCCCAGCGACGATGGGACCACAGGTTCCGCCTCTGTATAGATTTAGTCGGCTTCCGAGTCCGATATCTGGGTTCTTTCTTACCCGGCGATGATGTAGTCAAAAGTGTCTGCCATATTTGTGGGTATATTTGTTGAACTCAGGCCCAGGGCTCAGTGGCTGCTGTGTAGGAGCGCTGCAAGGGTTAGGAGGTCCTTTTGTGCCCCCAGGCAAATGTACCTCGTGTTGGAAGCATCTTAGACAATTATGTCACCCCCCTTCTTGCGAGAGGGGAAGACTAACCCTGGAAAGAAGATACTGGCCCGAATGCTTCGTGGGATTTGGGTGTCAATTGGGCCACAAAGTAGCTGCGATGGCCCAGTTTGACTGATGTGCACGAAACACCCTCGTCCACTGCATCGAGATGGTCGTTTTTGGGGCCATGGGCCCACACAAAATAGCCTGACTGGACTGACGACGATCGATGTTGCGGGGTAGACGAGCAACGACGGGCTCTAACAAAAGTCGAATCGAAATATATGCGTCGATCTTGACTTGACCTCGGGCGACGCAACCACCCACGCAAGTGTCTGACCGTGAAACCATTGCACAGAGACAGACAGGATGCGGTTGCGGCTGCGGGGTTTGTCTTTTGTCTGCGAAGCCCCCGCAACCTTATGCTGGGTTCGGATCTCGAACCAACCGCCAAGAAGAGTCTCTGCAATTTGCGACGGTATTAGAGGCAACCGAGCCTCTCAGTCTCTACCAAGAGCTGTGCAGGATACAACTGTGGGCACAGGGGCTTTCTCATTGTCTCTCATATAGCTCATGAGTCTAGGCCCGCACGCCATGGGTCATCGATCTTTAAAGGCACTGCTATTTCCTGACCACTGTTAGCTCCTGCTCTTGCGGACAATCTTGCATGAGGGTGGTAGAATATCTGAATCCGTTATGATAAGAGCTTTCGATAGGTCTGGGTCTCGAACAGTACCACGCAGGGCGCAAGACTTCTTCAATTGGTAGTTGTGCTCTTGTGTTAGAACATAGAGGTTGGTGGATAACATTGGCCGTAAGTCTCGACCGTTGATGGGCCCGTCTGTGAGAATCCCACTCCACAGGAACTGACCTCACTTGCGCGCCAACTCGCAGTCGCCGCAAGGACATGCATGGCCCGGTCAAGTGATAGCAGTACTGATAACAATGAAGAGGTACAGAGCCTGCCAAGACTTTCACTGCCTGTTCAGGTCAACGCCCACTTGCAGGAACCCGCCGTGGTTCTTCATGGGTGCTAACAGATGGCCCCAGCCGACTTACAACCTTGAAAAATAACAATTTGAGTCTAGACTTAGGCGTCACGGCCACACCAGCCAATTGATCATGTCGATGGTCTTTATAAAGGGAGCCAACGGCGGAGCGATGGCGTTCTTGGCCCTCGGCTGCGGGGAAGCCAACTACATTCCAGGTATACCGTGCTTGAGCTTCTCAGGTCGAGGTTGGCATGCCGCGCGGGGCTATTCAAACTGAATTCCGTGGGGCTGTTGAGAATTTCCCACGCCCACCAGACTTCTGGGACGTCGTTCTTTATACAAATAGCCAAGGCGGGCAGCTTAACCCACCGGACAAGTACAGCCCAGTGAGACAATATCTTGGAGGTCGCTCGGCTCCTGGTTCACGGTGTGATAATCATGGCACAACTATCCTCCTCCTTCGTAACGCTGGCTGTTCAGCTGGTCACCAGGCTGCTCCTTGCAACATCCATCCTAGGGGTTGGCTTCGTGCTTTTCGATTATGCGTCGATGCTCAATCGACGACGAAAACTCCCTCCTGGCCCATTCCCTTGGCCATTGGTGGGAAATCATTTCCAGTTACCCAAGTCGAGACCATGGATAGCCTGGGAGGACTGGGCGAAGCACTACGACAGCCCGATGATGACCATCTGGGTAGGACGTGAGCCACGGATCATCATCAGTGATGCATGGGTCGCCTCAGACCTGATGGAGAAGAGGGCAGATATCTGGTCGTCGAGACCCCGGCTGATCGCGATGGGAGACGCAATCAATGCTACCCATACGAACCAGACAACTCTCGTCTACGGAGACCGCTGGAGGCTTCACCGCCGACTAATGGTACGCCGTCCCTTACCACATTATGACCCCTATAGCTAACCAGGCCTCAAGCACACTGCAGTCGGGACACAGGCCGTAAGAGGCTACAGAACATTCCAGGCCGATGAGTCAAAGCTCCTCACACGCGATATCCTGGAAGATCCGGACGACTACGTCATGTCCATTGAGCGATACTCGGTGTCCATTACCTCAATTGTTGGATGGGGCCGGAGAATCGACAGAAAGAACGACCTGATCGCCCAGCAGGCTCTCAAGTTGATGGAGGGTGTCGACCTTATCATCCCGGGCCTATTTATCATCGAAACCCTTCCATGGCTGATGAAGCTACCGTCTTGGTTGTACAGCTTTCCCTCTTTGCTGAAGCATGGATCAGCTGTGGGAGCACGATTCTTCTACCTCCTTACTAGGGAGGGGTCAGAGGCACCCGAAGACAATTTTGCCAAGCTGCTCATCAAGAATCAAGAGAAGGAGGGCTTGACGGATCTTGAGGTCGCAAGCCTGGCTGGGAATCTTCTTGGCGGTGGTGTTGACACGACATCAAGCACGATGCTCAGTTGTATTCTGGCTATGTGTTACTTTCCCGAAGTGCAGAAGAAAGCCCAGGCGGAGATCGATGCAGTTGTGGGCAACGAACGATCCCCCAACTGGGACGACATTGATGCCGAGCGTCTGCCGTATATCACGGCGATAGTCAAGGAGACACTCCGCTGGAGGACTGTGACCATCCTAGCAGGTATTCCTCATGCCAACACACAGGACTTCGACTACAAGGGCTACCACTTTCCGGCGGGGACAAATGTCACGGCAAACATATGGGCCATGCACAGAAACGAGCGTGACTTCCCTGAACCAGACGTCTTCCGGCCAGAGCGATTCCTGAACGGCTTGGAACGACCCTATCCGAATCCGAGAGGAAGTAATCCATTCGGCTTTGGCCGGCGTGTGTGTAGCGGACAGCCGTTGGCAGAACAAGGTCTCATCTACAGCCTTGGCCGACTCATTTGGGCTTTCTATATGAAGCCGGGTCTTGATGAAAATGGGCGCGAGGTCAATCTTGACATCTTCGCTTATTCGGAAAGCGAGAACATTCGGCCTCTGCCATTCACGGCGCGTTTTATCCCACGCAGCGAAGCTATTCGCGAGCTTATCGTAGATGAGGCAGCTGCTGCGAGGAATGCACTTCGTGTCTACGACGGGGAAACTAAGGTGACCGTTGAAGAAGCCGCCAGGGCTCCTTCGATGTCCTAGAAACGTCTCCATTCAGAGCCGATCGTGGGAGCAGGGCGCAGAGACGATCAGACAGGAGGCCATCATGAGATGACACTGAAAAACGCGACAATTAGACAGGCCTGATGCCCTTGTGCTCTTCTTCTTGGATCTCATATGCCCTGGCTGTCCAATTCGTTAATACCCATAAACCCTGAACGATCATCGTGATATTGGCATGTTCGGACGATTACATGTAAGCCAGGCCACGTGCGCGGATCAACAGAACATTTGAGACGCCACCAAAGAAGAATATAGCCCGAGCTGCAGGGTATGGGAGCATGTCGCCGATGGAGAAAACCTTAGGGCCAGGCCTCGTAACCAACAAAGCAATGCAAACAAGTGGACGTGATGTGGAGAGTGTGGAGGCTGCGGGGGAACAGCAGGCAGCGAAATGGGGAAGCGAGCAGGGAGGTGGGGCACCCCTCCACTGCTTTCCCTCCGCTGTGGGTTTCCTGGACAGGGTATTATAGCACGGTGCATTGAAGATACACCGAGCCTCCGAGACAAAGCAAGCACAGAAAGCCTACCATCCGACTAGAACATTGGCAGGAACCCTCTCTTCAATTGGCTGCCTGTTTACGACCCAAGTATACCTGCTCAGCCAAGGAGCAGGAAGACAACTCGATCCCCAGTAGCAGTAGATTGTCCCTTCTCTGATACCTTAGACCGCACCTATGTCTCAAAACTATACAAAGGTGGACGCCATTGCTGCCAGCAATGGCACGGTGGATAGTGCCTCTACAACCAAAAACACTGGATCATGGACCAACGTCCCAGCGACGCCTATCAACCGAGCCATCATCGTCGGCGCAGGACCCTCCGGCCTTGTACTCGGCATCCTTCTCGCCCGAGCTGGTATCTCCGTGACTCTGCTCGAGGCGAGCCATAAACTGGACGAGAATCCCCGTGCCGCACACTACGCCCCATCCGCATGCTACGATCTCAACCGTGCCGGCGTCCTAGACGACATTGCCGAACGAGGCTTCTTCCCGGACAGCGTCTGCTGGCGGAAGCCTGACGGGACCTACGTTGGCGGCATTAAAAACGAGGGCGTCAAGGTCGACTACCCTATGGTGTGCCTCCCACTCGACAAGCTGGACCGACTACTGCTGGAGCACTTCGAACGCTACGACAACACCGAAATCCTCTTTGAGCACAAAGTCACCGCAATCAAGCAGGACGACCAGCAGGCGTCCGTCGAGGTCGAGCTGAAGGACGGGACGCGGGTCTGGAAGAGCGCCGACTACGTGATCGGCGCCGACGGCGCCAACAGCCAGATCCGCCGCTCCCTCTTCGGTGACCTCAACTACCCCGGCGAGACGCTGCAGAAGCAGATCATCGCCACCAACGTCAAGTACGACTTCAAGAAATTCGGCTACTGGGACTCCAACTTCATCATCGACCCGGAAGACTGGTACATGGCGGCCAAGATCACCAAGGACGGCCTGTGGCGCGTCACGTACGGAGACGACTGGGGCCTGTCCAACGAGGAGTACATGGCGCGCCAGCCCATGCGCTTCGAGAAGATCCTGCCGGGCAACCCGAAGCCCGGCGACTACGAGCTCGTGTCGGCGAGCCCCTACAAATTGCACCAGCGATGCTCGCCGAGTATGCGCGAGGGACGGTTTTTGCTCGTGGCTGACGCTGCGCACCTGTGCAATCCTTTGTAAGTCGACCCCCAACCAAGCCTCTGGGCCATCGGATCGTGAACACTGGTACTAACATGCATGTTTCCAGTGGCGGCCTCGGGCTCACGGGCGGCTTTGCCGACGTCGGCTCGCTCTTCGACGCGCTGAACGCCATCCACACGGGGCGAGTCAAGGACACCAGCATCCTGGACGAGTACTCGCGGCTGCGCATCAAGAAGTGGCAGGAAGTCATCAACCCGATGTCGAGGAAGAATTTCGGCCTGATCTGGGACCCGAACATGGAGAAGGACCGAGAGGAGTTCTTTGCATTCACCAAAAGCATGGAATCGAACGTCGAGCTCGCCGAGAAGATGGCACATGTAAGTCTCCCCCTTCCTCCAAGCCTCGGGTGGCCAGTCCAAAAATCCTTACATGCTAATGCCCCCTATTTCCCACAGTCTACCCATGGCCTCCGAGAGAACCTTGAAGCTTTTATCTCGCAGGCGAGCCTTGGTCCGCTCCCCCAGACTGGACAGGATGCGACGACGGCGCCGCCGAAAAGCGTGGGCGCTTTTAACATCATGGTCGAGCAGAAAGTAGCGTAATCTCAGCGATGTCTGACGTCTTATCACTCAAACTGAGTTTGTAAATCATCAAAGAGCTCCGCCCAGTCCGGGACATCCATCGTAGACCCGTGGTCGATGTACGACTGCCAGATCTCTTCGAATTCCGTTTGTGCCGTGGCGCAAGGATCGAAATCAGGCATTTCAGTCGGCAATGTCGGCGGCACTGGCGCGCTCTCGGGTGCGGCAGCCTCTGCAGGTGGAGGAGGAGCATCGAACAGCTTGATCTTATGCTTCTTCATGACGTCCATCAGGGAGTCGAGGAAACGCTTCGCGACGGGGCTGCGGTCGTTGGCGTCCTCCAGTATCCGACATGCATCCATCACCTCCAGCCTTCTTGCTGCCTCTTCTTCCTCGCGGCCGTTGGTCCTGTTGAAGCAGAGGTCCATGACGAGCGCCACTGCGGCAAAGAACATGTGGTGGTGAACACCCGATAGTGCGAGGAGGCTGGCGGAGACAAGCTGCTCCTTTACGACTTGGTGTTGGATTGCAATGACGGCCCGTGCAGACCGGAGGCAGACGTCGCGGGAGTGGGCGTAGGCGCTGTTGGTGAAGCCTCGGACTAGGTATGGTTGGTGCAGCCGGCACCGGCGGTTCTGATAGATCATGTTGACAATGTACTTCTGCACGAGGACGGTCGGTCGACGGTTGTACAGATCACGACATTGTTGATGAGCCTCGATGTGGTCTTGGAAGAAAAGTGGTAGCTCGCGCTGAAAAGTCTCAAACTCCTGGTCCAAGGCCACTATGTCATCATAGTTGATGCTTTCTGCGCCTAGCATTCCCAGGGGTGTGGCATCGATGATTTTGCGGCAGATTTGTCCCAGACGAATTCGCTGGATGAGGTAGGAAGAAGCGGTTGGCTCGGAGAGAGGACGCTCAAATGAAGCATCTTCCGCCTCGAGGTCGGCTTCTTCTATGTGTCGCGGCAGGTTGGTGGCGACTTGACGAGGCTGGACCGAATAGGTACCTTCCTGAGGGCCTCCACTCACACCGAGCTGCCTTTGCAAGGAATTAGCATGGCCTTTACCAAGGGCTTCATCAATACATACCAATCTGTAACTGACAGGTGCCACCAAATCCTGCGTTTGATCTCCAGATCGATCTTATCAGCTACTTCAAGAGGATGATGCCGCCGGAAGGTAGGATGGTCCAGTCTGTGCAAGCCTAAGTCCCTTGCAATACCAAGCGAAAGCGACATGCCGGTGCGCGTTCGTGAGTTGGCGCCTTCAAGATTGTACATCAGGAAGAACTAGGCTAGTCAGTACAATGGCCACAACAAATCATATGTCGAGTTGACTGCGGAGCTTACGATCGTGATAAAAGCTTGCAAGTCTTCTAATCCGTAGGAGCCGAGCCGGGTGGAGGTGTCCAGACAATCAAACGTGGCTTTCGACCACAAAACTATAGCTTTCCTCGCATCTGGCCGTGAAATACCTAGCAAATCCTTCCTAGAGCCTATCGCATACTGGAAAGCGACACTGCTAGCAAATATGCTCGTGAGGAGAGACACCAGGCCTGGAGGAGGGATATCACCGCGTTCCACCACGTCGTAGACTTGGTTCAGGATGCGGTAAGTCCTTGGGGTGTATGTCACATGATGGAGGAATTCGATGTGTTCCTCGTAAACTGCAAGAAGGGAAAGGGCCTCCGACCGTGTGGGAAGAATAATGGTCCCAGCAGTTGCAGGCTCTGTTGAGGAAGATGGTTCCCAAGCCGCAGCAGTCATCTCGTAGATCGTGAGGATTCTGTATGTCAATACATCCGCTAGTCGTAGTAGCTTGCCAGACTCAGCATCGATTCTAGGGCGGGGAACGAAAGCCTACCAGAGAGCTGTCTTTGCAGCCCACGCTTTCCAGTACTTGGGTGTCGAATATGTGTGCAGCTTCTGTCTCGGTTTGTTTTCGGACAGGCTCGGCGAAAATATCTTGTAGCGATGTTGCAGGCTCCAGGGAGTGGTGAGTGGTAGTACTACTCGGTGTGTAGGTGTGCGTTTGATTTGTCACTTTGGCATCTAGCCGCACAAGGAGATCCTCGACCCTCTGGAGACGTGTAAGAATGTGAGACTCGCCCACTTCATCTCCTGCACTGCGAGATGAAGGTGGTACATTGCTAGAGCTGGTAGACGTCGCCACAGGCAATGCGGCTTCCCGTTCACAACGCACTCCCCGGGCAACGCAATTCGAGCAGGGCTGCTGTCGGGAGCAGCGGAGCTTCTTCCTTCGGCACAGGGAGCAAGAGACCTGTCTTCACTGTTAGTTAACGTTGTCTTAGCAAGCATAGTTGAGGTTGTGACGCGGAGTAGGTCGGGGGTAAAGGCGTAGATAGAACGCAATGAGATGTCGCGCCATTGCTGCATTGCAAGCATACGGCCCTTGGCATTTGTCCGGCGTTCGCTGTGCTGTGCAACAGGAAAGTTCATCGGTCCTGTTGCAACGGACTATCGGAATGGACAGTGTCTTGAACTCCTGCCAAAACAACACAATCGGCCGGGCTGATTGACCCAGAGAATCGAGGACCGAGGGTACACCTACCGGATCTTGGCGGCGCGTCATGGCCAGCATTTGAGTCTGCATCTGACTGACAGCTCGAGATTGGGCTTTTGCTGCAGAGCCAGCAGGATGGTTCAGCATGGAGCATGGAGAGTCCGCGGAGTTACATCTGGCGCGAAAATCTGGGTAGATGTACGATAGAGATTGAGGCGGATGGAAAAGGTGACATGAGTTGCAAGGGCCTTCAGAAGGGGCTAGCTTCGGAATCTCCGCGGCTGACTCCTGACATCAAATGACAGGCGCCGAGGCCGGGCTCCCACAGCCATCTCGGCCTTCCATGATAAAATCAGATGTAAAGTCAGAGCTTCGTTTCGCCTGGTGCATTCGCTACGGAAAGCAACCCCTAATTGGCTACAGCCTTGCAGTATAAAGCATTGCAGCAGTCCCGCTGTGTAGCTCGCAGAACTCCTACTACGGAACGCTGTATAGATACACTCAAGATGGACGAGAACAAAGAAACAAAAGACATCATCACTCCCGTGAGCCAAAGCACCTCAAGCCAGCAGCCACACGTTGACAATGCTACCAACAACCGGAGCGAGTGGACGTGAGGCTCTCCTTTGCGCCAGAGAATGATCACAGGGACTGACCGCAGTAGACCTCGAGCTATTTCCACGATCGCTGGATCGTTCCTCTGTCTCTTCGTGTCGGTGGGGTTCGTTAATGCTTATGGCTTATTCCAACAATATTGTGAGTTGCTCTGAACGCTTCTCGGCGTAGCCATCGACAAAACATCCTTGGAGACACCCATAGAGTCCTCCCAGTATATCCAGACGACCTCGGAAGCGTTCCGCTGATGCATCTCCATTAGACCACACGCACCAGTTGCGCCACAAGACCGAATTCGACATCGCCTGGATAGGCTCGTTCATGTCAGCCATGATCTTCCTCGGCGCTCCTCCCGCCGGTCTCTTGGTCGACAAAATAGGTCCTCAGGTAAGTGCTGATGAGTCCAGTACTCCTCGGCCGCAACAGTTGACCAAAACACAGCCACTCATCGCTGGCGGTAGCATTGGCCTCCTGATTGGCACTTTCATGACCTCTCTCTGCAAAGAGTATTATCAATTTTTCCTCGCCCAAGGCTTTCTCATGGGCGCATCCATGTCGTTCCTGACTATTCCGTAAGCAGTCTTATCAGCTATTGCGACCATTGATTAACCAACATATGTGTAGGAGCGTCTCAACAATATCTCACCACTTCACCACGAGTCGGGGCCTGGCGACCGGCATCGCTATAGCTGGTTCCTCGATGGGCGGCGTCATCTGGCCTATCGTGTGCGATCAGCTGCTCAACCACCGCGGTGTCAGCTTCGGTTGGACCATGCGCATCGTCGGCTTCATCATGATCCCTCTCATTGTCATTGCAACCCTTACTGTTCTGCCACCAAAGTCTTCTTCGACCTCTGTCGCCAACGAGAAAGAGGGACAAGTGATAGAAGAGAAGAAGCCAAAGCAGAAGACTGACCTATCAATCTTGAAGAAACCAGCCTACATTGCTTTCGTCCTTGGAATAACAATCTTCAATCTTGGGTGAGTCCATCTTCCCCCCCCAGTCTGGGGCGAGATACTGACCCCGAAATCCTCACAGGATGTTCACGCCATTTTTCTTCACGACCGCCTACGCCGCCAGCCTGGGCCACTCCGTCTCCTTCTCCTTCTACATCCTTTCCGCCATGAACGCCGCCTCCCTCTTTGGCCGCATCGGCATCGGCAGCCTTGCCGACAAGTACGGGGCCTTCAACCTGACCTCCATCTCCGCCCTCGTCGGCGCCATCGTCTGCTTCTGCTGGACCACCGCCACGTCGACGGGCGGCATCACCGTGTGGGCCATCGCGTATGGCTTTTCATCAGGGGTGAGTAAGAGTTCCATTCAGACCATATAGCCCATCTGCCCGTTGCCGCCGAATATACAGAAGCTGACGCAGAGACCACCACACCAGGCGATCCTCAGCCTGCAGATGCAGTGTGCCGCTGCACTGTCCACCAAGGAGACGTACGGGACTGCCATTGGCCTGGCCCTTGGCTTCGCGTCGATTTCGTAAGTGGACAGTTTGTCCGGCCCGTGGGCATGTAATCAAATCGCCTTGCTGACTACTTCTCCAGAGGACTCGTTGGAACTCCCATCAGCGGGGAGTTGGTGCCCAAGGGCTACTTGGTGCTATCAGCCTATTGCGCGAGTACTCTGATGGCGGCGGCACTCATTGTCATGGTTTCAAGACTCATTCAGAGCCGTCAGCTCTGGGTCAAGATCTGAGCCGAGAAAGATGCTCCTGCTGCTGCTGCTGCTGAAGATCGTGTCTGGTCGTGAATTCAAACTCTGCTCCAATATATATAAATATCTCCGCTGCGCGGACTTCCCACCCGGTCTATATCAAAGGGCCCTTCGCTTGATCTCCCTGACAATACCACAAATTGCAGCTTAACCCAGAGGAAGTCTCTGTCCTCAAGCGACGACGGTCTCTCTTCTCTTAAACTCAACCACCGGCCCATCTCGATCCGCAAGAAAGTAGTTCTTTGTCTGAAACTCTCCCACTCTCTGCCGACCCCGTTCGGAAGTGTGGCCGCCCTCGCCGATCTTCCCCAGGGGTCCATCAACCTTGCGAACATCCAGTAGCCAAGCCATCCTCGCCGTAGCGATCAGCAACTCCATCATCGCCATATTCTTGCCCACGCAGTTGCGTGCGCCAACGCTGAAGGGAATGAACGCCTGCTTCGCCACTTCGATGCTTGACGCTGTAACGGGAAAGCCCAGGTCCTCCGAGCCGGTGATCCAACGCTCCGGCAGAAAGTCGAAGGAGCGCGGGAAGTAGCTCTCGTTGTGGTGGAGGGCATACTGCGTCGAACCGACGATGGTTCCTGCTGCGAGTTGTTGGCCAGCGATTGTGGCGCCGCCTGGAAGGATCCTCCGATGGAGGACGTCGGGCACAGGGGAACCCATGCGCAGAGACTCGTCAACAACGGCGCGCAGATAGTGGAGGCTCGACAGCTTCGGCCCCGTCTTGATGTCTTCCACATTGTCGTAGGCGCCGCGTACCTCTTCTTGCAGTTTCGTCAGAACTCTCCGGTCCCGTGTCAGGTAGAAGAACTCTGCTGCCAGCGCCGTGCTGGTGGTGTCTGTGCCGGCACCCACTAGCAAAGCGGCCTCGCCAACCAGGTCTGCGGGTGTGAACCTGTCGCCGGTCTCAGGATCTTTGGCTTTCATGAGGTAATGCATGAAATCCTTGCGCTGCAACTCTGGCTTGTCCTTGGTCTCTTCCTCCAACTGAAAGCGAGCCTTGAGAAGTGGTAGCATCCTTAGCCGATACTCTACCTTCTGTTTCACTACTTTCAGACCCAATCTCAGCATCAGCCAGTTCTGTCGGATCAGAGGGTACAGCAGTTCTCGCCCTGGTGTAACTCCCATACAGGCGACGAATGTGGTTGATCCCATCAGAAATTCCGAGGTCCAATGGCTGCCGTTCTCGATGGCACCGAAGGATTTGCCGAAGCACAGCTCTCCGAGAGCATCGATGGTGAGGTTGCTGGACCAGACGCCCATGTCTGTTGGCTTGCTCCAGCCCTTGGTGTTCTCGGCAGAGTTCTCGGGTTGTGCGATGGTGTCGATCCATCGTTTTATGGTCTCAACCACAAACGGTTCGAGATTCCTCAGAGCTTGTTCGGAAAAAGCATTGGCAAGGAGTCGACGCCTTTTGGCATGAAGAGCCCTGTCATGTATCGAATGAGTGTTCACTGGCCTGTTGAGCGCCTCTGCTGCATCTGTGAAACCTCCACCCTTGATCAGGTTCGCTTTCCTGTCGATGTATATATCGTGCACTCCCTCGACAGACCTGAAAGACAGATGATGGGGTCCAAAGCGAACGATGTCTCCATATTTCTCATGGGCAAGGTGGAGCTCGACATGCAATCTGCCCGTATAGAAGAGCAGTGCTTGAGACCATTGGGTTGCAGCCCATAGCTTCGGCCCAGGATACTTGGCTAGTGGATGCAATGTCAATCGATAGACAACAACACCAATGTACTGCGCCAACTGAATCAGCAACACGCATTTGCACTCTGCGTAGGTTCAACATACCACAAGGCCAACGAGGCCAACCAAAGGCAGCACCAGGGACGCAATCATGGTGTGTCTTGGCTTCGCCTAACGTGAAGAGTGATCGAAAACGCCACGGCAGGACAGGTTGGGTCGACTCTTTTATGCTACTCACACTTGCCCCTCGTGAGCGTTGCATGGACACTAGAACCGTACCCTTGTCAGCTGAAGTATCATCGTAGCCAAGATGGCTGACCCGCTGGACCTGTGTCTGACCCGCAACACGGCCAGTATCACTTTCGGCGACGTAGCAGGCGCGGACGCTGACGAGCAATCGGCATTCGCTGAGTGCCCGCCATTCCACACGTCCAACAGCCTCGTTTAGACACGAGTCCCTCGCAACGGTTGCACTTGGCTCCACCAAGCTTTGTAGATCAAATGTCAGATCGCTCGATGGGGCGAATTAGCTTGGGGCTGCCGTAAGCACTGCTCCTCGCTAAAGGGTAGCAGTGGATTTGCAGCTGGGTACGCCGTATTTCTGCCAGCCTCTTGTGCTTGTACACCTCGTTTGCGACAGAAGGGCCTCGGATTTCTGCATCCTGGCGGTCGGCCTCAGCGTGACAAACGGCATCACGCGACTGGTTCGCTTTGAGCACTTCGTTTGAAGTACCAGGAGAAAGTCCAAAAGCTCGATCACAATGCTGCGAGCAATACAGAGTACCTCTGACGTACCGTAGGAGTTACTGAAAACCGACTTAGTGTCTATATTTAGGTAAAGACGCGAAGGCTCGGGGCCAGTTGGTGAGGTACGGAGTAGAGGAAACAGATTAGTGTTGCGGTTGCGGAGCAGTGATGCGAGCTGCGCTGACGTCAATGACGCGTCCGCCTTGTGGACACGCGACCGAGTACGACGCCCTGCAAACGCCATGTACAATTCACGATGGATAACCCTTCACACCGATTAGTGACTTGGAGACATCATGCCTCCTAGAAGTCGGAAAGCCAAACAAGGAAGTTCGCTGGCCAAGCCGAAAGATGATGGACCCCACGCGAGCGAAAATCGTACCGAGCAGCACGACTCACCGGTACGCTCAGTAACATATGAGGTTCCATTCGACAAGAAGAGCATTACATGTGAGCGACACGGTTCTGAAAGTGGCAAGCCAGGCCTTATCTTCACGCACGGTGCAGGAGGAGGGATCTCGAACCCGGCAACTAAGTTGTTCGCCGAGGGCAGCGCATCTCGCGATACTGCAACGGTATGTTTTGAGGGCAGCATGAACCTGCAGTCTCGAGTCAAGGCCTTTCACGCTGTTGTCGAACACGAGAACGGCCAATCCGCCGCGCTCGGAGGCAGGAGCATGGGAGCTCGTGCTGCGGTTCTGGCGGCGAAAGAACACCAAACGCAAGCTCTGGTTCTGGCATCGTATCCCTTAATTGGCCAGAATGGGGATCTCAGAGATCAGATCCTGCTGGAAGCTGATGCTGATAAAGACATCTTGTTCATTTCCGGGGATGCTGACAACATGTGTCCGATTGAGCGACTGAACCGCGTTCGAGCTAAGATGAAGGCCCACACATGGCTCGCAGTGGTCAAAGGTGCAGACCACGGCATGGCTTTGAAGCCCAAAGACGCGGTGGAGAAGATGCGCATCTACACAGGAAGACTCGCTGCGCAATGGCTGTCGAAGAGGGACAGCGCATCTACTGAATGCTCACTTCGATGGGATGCCCACCAACACGAAGTAGTTGACGGGGGTTGGAAGGCACCAGTCACATCTACCTCTGTTTCTTCGAAGCGGCCGCCTCCAGTACGTGGTCAGCAGGCTGAAGACGCGTCTGAAGGACCGTCCAAGAAACAGAAGAAAACGTAATAGATCACAGTCCAGACTCCGGTGTTCCCATCGCTACATTACTTCCCCATCAGTGTTTCCATTTCTTCGGCGAGCAAGAATTTCGAGCATGGTCCAGAATTTCACTGCCTCGAGTTGGAGGCAACTCCACCATGATTCGGGGTACCTTTGCTCGTTGACAGTCAATTTTTCATGCACACCACACTCTGTCGCTGCTGTGCCGTATCTCTTGGAGTTCCCAATCTCCACTGTTGGTGAGACCTTCCAGGCGCCTCGGCACCTAAGGTGTTCCCCAATTTACCCTCTCCTCTGCGGGGAAGGGCACCTCTCGCTGAATGCGACTACATCCTCTCTACATCGACAACGAGCAGCAACGCTTTCAGCCTAGGCTATACGAGCATCACAATGGCGCCCTCCCTTCCCAGCTCACTGCCGCCGTCGGCAGCAAATCAGACCTATGTGACAATCTCAGCACTCGAGTCAGGCCAGTTGACGCTGCCAGAGCGGCTCTTTGTGACCAACGCCGACCCCGAGAAGAAAGCCACGGTTCCGTCACTGTCCTTTCTTATCCGCCATCCATCCGGCTCAAATGGCAGATCGACTACGAACATGGTCTTCGACCTCGGCGTCAAGCGCGATGTGAGCAAGTACCCTCCTGCGATGCAGACGCATATCAGCAACCGGCAGCCTACGATACATCATCCCGACACAGCAGACAGTCTACAACTTGGAGGTCTCGACCCTGCAAAGGACATTGATATTGTCATGTTGAGCCACGTTCACGTAAGTCACTTCCTACGCATGGCGAGTTGTTCTGATGCGTGAGCCATGTAGTGGGATCATGTAGGCACGCCAGAAGACTTCACCTCCGCCTCGTTCGTTGTCGGTAGTGGCACGATGCACCTGCTCGAGCACGGTGCACCACCTCACTATCCTAAGGAGATTTTCGATCCAGAGCTACTGCCCCGCGATCGCACGAAAGAACTGCCACCCGTCGACAAAGGCAGCAGCACAGCCTCCGCTCAACAAACCACGCAGAAATGGGAACCGCTTGCCTCTTTTCCAGCGGCGCTCGATTTCTTCGGCGACGGCAGCGTGTACGTGATCGACACACCTGGTCACTTGTTCGGGCATGTGAACCTGCTCGCACGCCTGGGCCCTAACAAGTGGGCTTACCTGGGCGGCGACTGCTGCCACGACTATAGAATCTTGACAGGCGAGAAGGACGTGGCACTGTATGACGATGGCCACGGCGAGTTGCGCAGCGTGCACGTGGACACGGATGCGGCTGTGGAATCACTGAAGCGCATCAAGCCCCTCATGCCTGGAGGCGAGCTGTTGGCCGACGGCGTGAATGAGGTGGAGGTCATCGTAGCGCATGACGGCGGGTGGAGGGACAGGAACAAGGCCCGGTTCTTTCCTGGCACGCTATAGCGCGCTGGAAGCTGTTAGTACACAATATTCAAAGTCCGATTTCTCCCTACCTTACAAGCAAAAATTTCTTCCCGTTCATATCCCGTGATGAGCAACCGTGTGAGAGATGCTGTCCCCGCACTCGCGTGATTCGGCGCCGTTGGGGTATACCAGTAATCCAATTTAGCAGGTGGGGTGTGTCGATGGATGACTTCTCCAACACGCCAAAACGTCCCCGCATAGGAAATGTCATGCCGGTAGCAACTCGGGAACACTCAAAGAGAGGCGTAGTGAATCTACCAAGATAGAACGCGAGCACCGCAACAGAGCCTAGAGAAGTCCAACCCGCGCTCAACAGCAACGCGACATCATCTACTACACACCACAACTTCCCCCACCAAGCAGACAGCATTCCAGCAGCCAAGATGGCAGACGCAGCAAACACGATCGCCTTCATAGGTAAGATCTGACAATGATCGTGCCGGGGAAAGCCAATACTGACATGTTCCCAAAGGAGCTGGCGTGATGGGTTGGCCCATGGCCTTCAACCTTCGCTCGAAGCTGGGACCGGAGAAGACCATCCTCATCAGTGACGTCTCGGAAGATGCGATAGCACGATACCTGAAGGAGACCGAGGGCAAAGGCCCCGTCAAGATCGTCAAGAATGGATTTGACGCTGTCCAACAGGCGGTACGGGGAACCTTCCACCACCCATTCCAACGGAGACCCCCGCCCTCGACTAACACCCTGCACAGGACATGGTCGTGACGATGCTTCCCACCAGCCCAGCCGTCAAGGCCGTCTACCTGGACCCCAACACCGGCATCCTCGCGGGCGTCAAGAAAGCCGCCGAGACGTCGAAAATCAACAAGATCATCATGGAATGCGGCACCATCGAGACGGCCACCATCCTCTCAGTCAACGAAGCCACCAACCAAACGGCCAGCGCCCTCCCCAGCGGCTCCACCGTGACCTTCGTCGACGCGCCCGTGTCGGGCGGGCCCATGGGTGCCGAAGCCGGCACGCTGACCTTCATGGTGGGCGCCAACGACAAATCCGTCTTCCCCCTGGTGCGCGACGTGCTGCAGCACATGGGCAACAAGGACGGCATCTTCCTGTGCGGCGACGTCGGCGCCGGCACGGCCTTCAAGGTCATCAACAACTACCTGTCCGCCATCACGAGCCTTGCCGCCTCGGAAGCCATGAACATCGGCGCCAAGATGAACCTGGACCTCAAGCTGTTGACCGACGTCATCAACGCCTCGGGGGGCCAGTGCTGGGTCACCAGCAAGAGCAGCCCCGTCCCCGGCATCCACGCCAACGCGCCCGCGAGCCGCGGCTACGAGGGCGGGTTTCGCATCGAGCTGTGCAAGAAGGTGCTGCAGATGGGCACGGATCTGGGTCAGATGGTCGGCGCGCGCACCATTCTCGACAAGCCCACGCTGGCGGCGTTTGAGGAGGCGGCCGCGGATCCAAGGTACGCGGGCAAGGATGCGCGTGTCGTGTATAAATGGTTGAACGAGAGTGAGAACAAGTAATAGGGCGGCAGCGCGGATGTGTAAGAGAGAGAGAGAGAGAGGTAGAGTCAGTGAGATACGCGGTGCACCGGAGGAGGCGTGTCTCGCTATATATAGCTTTGCCGAATTCACGAACTTATATATAGGTGTGCCCAGGTTAAAAGCTGGTTGTCTTCTCGGCATAGTCTGAGGAACCATTAAATCTCTCTCGCTCCGCTCCGTTGATCTCTGTGAGGCCCTCAGACCTGACGAAGCGAGTGCCCAATTCAGCTGCTAGGGGCATCCTGCCGCACAAGTCCCTCCTCCTTGTCCTTTCAACACATGGCTTCGGCTATCCCGCCTCCAGCATATCGGCGTACCTGTGTTTGTTGTTAGCTTGGCAAGTATACGTGCGGTGCATCAGGTGAGTTCTTACATGTCCAGCGCCCCGCCGATGATATCCACAATCGCCCATGTCTGACTTCCTCGGAACACACGCGCCCACACCCTTAGCACGCTTGCGCTGAGGTATTTCATTGCTGCCGGCGAATCGACTGAGACGTCCGACGGCACCGCGAACTCCGTCTCGTCTAGCATTGTCTTGACGAGCGAAGCGATCTTGCGCTCATCCGAGCTGAGCGTTGCAGTCACGTTCGGTGCGGAGAGGGCTTCGAGCCATTTGCTCAGCAAGTAAGCACACTCGAGCGTGCAGAGCGAGTGTTGAATGGACCAGTTGAAGGTCTGAGTTTGGGCGACCAGATGGATGCCGATCTTGATCGGGATGCTGAGGGCGTGGGCAGAGTGTAGCACAGCACGCAGGAGCTTGGGCGTCCTATTGAGTGCCGGGCTATCATGGAAAGCACGTGCTATCTGAAGCGGGTCTCTGGTGTCCAGTGCTCGTCCAGGGCCAATATCGACATTCAGTCTGATGTAAGCTAACCTCAGGAGTGCTGTCGAATTGAACGTGAGCGGCCCATTGGGATTCATGGGGTCCAACGAGGACTCAGGGTTGCGCTTCCACGCAAGTTGCCAATTACGCAATGCGTGCTCGATAGCTGTAACATCCTCGGTGGCAAGCTCGCCAGAATTGTATAGGCGATATCGGGATACTTGCCGCACAAAGAATATGTGCTGGATCAGGGCATGGACCAAGATATAGTTGGCCAAAGATGAATTGTACGCAACATCGTAGCCACTACCTCTCGAGAAGAGTCTGCTGAGAGCGTCTTGAAATCTCATCTCGGGCACAGTCGACCTAGCTCTTGCTTCTCTCCATTTGGACTCAGACGGGGCTTTGAACTCGGCTGCGTTGCAGGGTAGAGTCATATCGAGCTCAGAATTCAGAATCAGCGCCGGGATGTTGTAGACGATGCAATGCAGGTTGAAAAAGCAGTACACGACAAACTTTGTTCTCTTGCAGCTCTCATGACGCGCCCATACCGACCATTCGACATCAGGTGGAGGTTCATTGAATCTCAAGCCGTCATCTCGGACCAGTGTCGCCAACACACTCTGAATGGCGAGCGCCTCTCGCAGAATCTCTCGGTGCTTGGCCCATGTCGCCATAGCCATAAGCAGGAGTAGCGCTTGCGCAGTCTGGATGAGATCTTCACGCTGGAGCAGAGGCCCTGCATCCTCTGACTGAGATGGTAGGCCGAGTGGGCCCGAGATCGATGTACTCCTTGGAGTTTCGCCCATCTGCGACCTCGGGTACCCGTTGCTACCGCCATTCTGCGATTCCACATGCTTGTGGAAAGCTGCAAGGCGGTTGTCGCGTTGCTTGATACGCTGTATGGCGATGTTCTGACTGATGGTGAAAAGTTCAACACCTTTCTCACCCTCGAAACAGTACTGTGCGCCCACAGCAGCCATGGCAAGGAAGAGTTCGATGCAGCAATTGTCCACATTCATCGTAGGTACATGCAAGAAGGGTAGATGTTCTTGGAATCCGTTGATATAGCCAGCAACGTATCTTGACAGGGCGAGGCGAGTAGGCAGTTGAAAATGAGGTGGTAGAATCGGGCTGAACTCTTCTAATTTGGTAGACAATTTCTGGCGATCGTCCTGGGTGACATCAGCAATGGAACGCGATCCACTTGCAAGGTCATCCTTGAGATGCTTCTCATTATTTGCGCCATCTTCGGGCTGCAAAGATGGCAACCTTGAGCCATAGCGAGAAAACGAGCCATGATCGTCATGAGTGTCAGGAGCCGCGCCGTGAGCAGCTCGTTCAACAGGCTCCGTCGATGGCATCACCTCTCCTTGGTGGGTGAATGACTCGGGCGAGAAGAAGGGTATCGGTTGTTCTGAGTTGATGAAGGAGGAGAAGTGATAAGTTGCGAGCGGTCCATTGTCGTTGTGTATGAAGTTTGCGAGGTCGTTGAGTGAATCCTCGAAGTCGTACACTCCACTGAACGGCTGAGGTAGAATGGAGTCACCTGGGGCCTGCATTGGCGGCTGTGGCTGTGCTTGCTGTTGCGGTGGTGGAGGCAGCATGGCTGGCTGCTGCTGGTAAGCACCCTCTTGGACTTGAAGTTGGCTAGGGTGGCTAGTCAGAGTTGGTGGCAGTTGAGCAGGATGGGCTTGTTCAGCTGCCATTAGCAGGGTGGCGAAAGGCATTTCCTGATGACCGTGATTCACATCGGATGGTGTTGGTTGAGCATGATTGTAAGGGTGGTATGACGGAGACATCAGTGGTTGCTGGGCAGGCTGAGGTTGCGGCAGCCCAACATTGCTCTCCATAGTAGATCTTCGGCGCTTGTTGGGAAAGGTGTTGGATGCGCCGTTAGAATTCGACACGTCGCCATTGGGCACAGCTTTGTCGGAATCATGGTTGAGCCTTTCATGCCTGACTAGCAGGTCGCTTCGAGAAAAGCGCTGATCGCAGAGCTGACAGGCAAAGGGCTTCTCCTGGGTGTGTGTCCTTTCGTGTCGCTGAAGATGCTCTAGGCGAGCGAACATGCGTTGACATCGATGACATTGGAAGCGCTTTGGCTTCTTTGGAGGTTGCTCTTGGGGTCGCTGGAGCACGTCTTCATGAGCGGCCCCCGTTGGAGACTCCATGCGCACTTCGTATCGGCGTCGCAACCGGCCAAAAAGGTCGGGTGCGGACGAGCAGATGACAGAGGCCTATGCGACTCTGCAGCCGGCAGCTACAGCGCTATGAGAATTGTCGAGACTTTGATGGAATGGAATCTGTGAGGGAAGCCGAAGCTGGTGGTTTCGCACCTGCTGAAGCCAAGTTTTGCGGGGAGCCGGGGTGTCCATCCCGTTGCAGGAATGAGCTGCCACTCCTTCGGTTCGGCTGGGGATGCCGCGGCTGGCATTGGCGTTGCCGCCGGCGCTCTTCATCTGACTTGCCGAATTTGCACCTTTGGCCTAGAGGCTGCTTAGATGAACATTTTTGTGGGGGCCACCTGATCATCTCTGAGGTGGTTGACGGTTACTATCTTCGAGAATACGCGTAGGATGTTATTGTTCTATGGATATGGAGGAATCATGTATGGGACCATGCACAATGTTGACAAGGTCTTCAGGCGTACAGCTCATGCCAACCACGGCAATATTCTAGGGCTGTTCCGGAGGGCGGCTTCTCCAACCTCCGGGGCGTGCTACCGGTTTCATGCTTGCCCCATCACGCCTTGGATGACTTCGCGGCGAGCTCGCGCGGTTTCTCTCCCTTCTCTGCCATGTCATTGAAGACTCTTTCCGCGATCTTGAATGCGTCGACACCTGCAGGAACTCCACAGTATGTTGTGGCGTGGATGATGGCCTCCCTGATCTCCAGCTCACTGAGTCCGTTGTTCCTTGCACCTCGAACGTGGACGGCGAGTTCAGGGGCTCGGTTGAGCGCCATGAGCATTCCTAGGTTGAGGAGCGAACGGTCTCTCTTCTCGAGACCGGGGCGTGTCCAAGCATATCCCCTGAATATCTCGTCAGTATGTAGGACACGATGCCACAACTGGCTTGACTTACCAGCACCACTCGGTGACGAGCTCCTGTCCCTCACGAGAGAATTCTGTTGAACCATTGGCCAAAGCGCTGTTGACATATGTGTCGCCAACCACCGACCGCCGCATCTTCAAGCCTTCCTCGAAAAGTTGCTTGTGAAGCTCATCGTACTTGGAGTCGTTGGACGGCATCTTGAAGGGTGCGTTGATTGTTTTGGTGGTACTCCGAGGTGTTGAGTGATGTTTGCTCTTGTACTCGCCTTGGATTACTGACTGCAGACTGGGAAACACTTGAATAGATACACCTGGGACGCGACCGACTTCGGCTTGGAGATTTTGGTATCGTGCCACGACAACTGCCCCTCCCCTCTCCCCTCTCCCCTCTCACCACCTCCCCCTCTTCCTCCTCGATGGATGCCGCTCGGTTCCCCCAAAGTGTCCCCATTTCTCCAACTATGCAGCAAACCCGGCGAATTCTCACCGAATGCCTTTTCATCGGGTTACTAACCGAAGGAGACCGGGCTGCCGGCAGCATCACGTGCTACTGCGCGACCACAGGCTGAATTCGCAGGCAGGTGCTAAGGGCAATTCTTGTGTCATTGAAGCTACAGCGTCTATTGGTGATCTTTCTGCCAATCCTCATTCCCTCCAAGATATCGGTACACGACTCTGGAGTCCAGGTCCCGACAACGCTCGTCTTTGCTTGCTTTGTCGTAGGTGTCAAGGCCAATTTGACCGAGGACATTCTTCGACCCGACCCTCTCTGCCATCTCGACGGCCAGGGAGAAATCTTTTCGCATCAGTTGCACTTTGAATCCGTTGGTATAGCCCTTGGTCGACGGCGCTTCAGGATAAACCCCTGGTACGGGACAGAAGCGGTCGGAAATGGTATTCTGAGCCGTCCCGGCGTTGTAGACCTTGGCCAGCACCCGCGGATCAAGGCCGCTTCGCATTCCCATGTCAAATGCCTCGGAACACGCAATCGCAATGACGCCCGACAGGTAGTTGTTCGACAGTTTGGCTGCGAGGCCCAGTGAAGGCCCCCCGCACGGTATAATCTGCTTGCCCATCATCTCTAGAAGCCGCATCAGCCGAGGCAGGTTTTCATCATCCTCTTTGCAGCCAAAGAAAAAGGCAATGCTGGCTTTTTGCGCACCCACCACGCCACCGCTCACGGGCGCGTCGTAGAAGGAAGCGGTGGGAAAGCGTTCTGCGATGAAGTCTTTCACGTAAAGACTGCTTGCTGTGTCGATGGTCGAGCAGTCCACAAGCAGCTTGTTCGCGACGTCGGTCGAACATATGCAGTCGGGACCTTCAGTGTACACCGATCTGACGTGCTTGCCCTCCGGAAGCATCGTGAAGATGATTTTCTACCGCGTCTGGTAAGCTTCTGTTATCGTCCCCGTACTGGGATACATACCGACTTCTCGGCCACCTCTCTTGCGCTTGAACAGCCTGTGACCTTTTGTGGATATTGTTGACATATCTGATCCACCAGACTCTGCACGACATCGAACACGAAGATATGCGTCTCTTCGGGCAGTTTTGCTGCCAGATGGCCGGCCATCGGAGACCCCATGGCTCCAAGGCCGATGAAGCCTATACTTGTGACCTCGATACTGCCCATGGTGACGGTAGCTGATGGTGTGTTGTGCAGGGGAAACGCCTGGCGATTAGAAGGACCGATACTTGTCGATATCGTATTAAAAGCTGGCACGCAGAGCTAGTAGTGGTGTCGGCAGCGTGCAGTAGCTCCGGTCGCGCATCTACACAAGTTTCTGGAAGAACAGCTACACTGGGCAACCAACGAGCTTCAGCCACCACCAGCAGCAGCAGGCGTGTGGGGTTAATTCCAAGTGGGGGGACACAATCGAATCGACACCCCCAATAATGCCCCAACCGCAGCAATGGAAACAGCTGCTGGGCTGGCTGGATCCTCTCCTCCAAAACTCCAAAAGTGTCGGCAGCATCCACATTGTTGGAGTCGATAGGGGTTCATTTCCCCCAACCGAGTGGGGCATCACCTACTGTGTAACTCGAAATCGCCCTGCAGCGGCAAGGGTATCGGCTCGTGCATCGCTGGGCAAAACCCGTTCGCATATGCGAGCGTTTGCAGCAGCGGCAGAAGCATGTTCGCTGCACATCCACACCGTCGTGCCATTGGCTTTCGCTACACGAGTCAAGTCGGCTTTGATCGAGCCCTGCACGGCTGAGTCCCTCCGCCATCCAAGCTCGGTAGGATTGTCCTATCCCCACATCTGGGTCAAAACTGTGGTCGATAGGTACCCCGAGCATAAACTCTGATACCAGCAGGTGAGCTCTGGCCCTCCACTCATCCGATGGCAGTCTGACATATGTAGATTGACATCGAGCGGTGACATGTCGCTTTCCACTACCCTTCGCCGGCTCTTGCAGAATATGTCGACCATCTTCACCAGACAAGAGGGACCTCCCACACCGCCACAAGAGGGTAAAGTGCAGACCGTTCAGGTACATGCGTTGCAAGCTGGCCATTTGACCCTGCCGGAACGCTTCTTCGTCAATCCCGCAGATGAAACTGCAAGGCGGACAGTGCCGTCTCTTGCGTTCCTGATCCAGCACCACGACCCCGAGACCGGCCATACATCCCGAATTTTGCTCGACTTGGGAATTCGAAGGAGCGTTTCACGGTACCCGGAGCCTATCCAAAACCATATCGCTACTCGTCAGCCGTTGACAACCGACCCTGATGTGACGAAAAGTTTGGCCGCTGGAGGTTTGACTCCCGAGGACATCGATTACGTGATCTATTCCCATGTGAGCACCCACAAGCAGTAACTGTTCTGTCAAGCTGACGATGTACAGGTACATTGGGACCATGTTGGAGAGCCAAGGGACTTTGAGAAGAGCACGTTCGTGGTAGGCAACGGCGCGCTTGAGTTGCTTAGCGGCTCATCCGCTTCGCTGCGCGGCAGCCATTCGTTCTTCGAGTCCGATCTCCTTCCAGAAGCTAGGACCATTGAGCTTCGGAATCCATATGAGACCGACTCACCAAGTTCAAGCCAAGATTTGGCAAAGATGACCACTGGTCCCAACTTTCACCAATCATGGAGACCCCAAGGACATCTCCCTAGAGTCCTTGACATTTTCAACGATGGCAGTGTGCTTATCGTTGATGCGCCTGGCCATCTACCAGGCCATATCAACATTCTCGCCAAGACTGGGCCTGTGTCAAGCGTCTACCTTGCTGGCGACGCGTGCCACGATCGGAGGATCATGCGCAAGGAGCGAGAGATTGGAGAGTGGAGCGATGCCGAAGGTCATATTTGCTGCATTCACGGTGACAAGAAGGTCGCGGAACAAACCATTGAACACATCCGCCAATTGGAGAAGCAGGGCGTTGAAGTCATTTTCGCACATGATGTCGAGTGGGAAGAGAATCCTCAAAATGCGGGAAGGTTCTTCGGTAGCAAGTAGAATAGCGCTTTTGGCGATGAGAGACCTGAGTGAAGAGGATTCGACGAGCGCGCAGCGTTGTCTGGTCACCGGAAACTGCATGGGAGCATTGCAAGCGATATGTTGCTGCATGGCACCGGAAGCATGGGTTTGAGATTTTTGGCGTTCGCATTGACGTGCAGGTCTGGTGATGTTGACATCCCGACGAGGTCCTGGTTACACGTGCCTGTTCCTATACGCGCATAGCTCGAATAGCAGATGCCCTTTGTCTAAGGTTCACCAGTAATAGGACTCCAGCGAGAGGCATATCATCTCTCCTCAAAGGTGTAAACCATTCCATTCCGTCCAGTAGTGACAGTCCTGGTGAGTGTCTACTGTGATATGGTAGGCCTAGGTGTTGACACTGACCCCCGGACAGGGTCCCCCAGTGGTTAGCTTTAGACCACACCTCTCGATTCCGCACGATCGGTACCATCTGGACATTTTTCGGACGACCTGTGACAGAAGGCCCATTCACACTTGGTCACAGCGCTGGTTCTTGCCTCTGCGTGCCCATGCGAGCAAAGCTGACAGGTTTGGAGAAGCCTGGAGATGTTGCCTGTCTCCACGCACGACAGGCATCGATTTCCAATTTTCTGGAACAACGATCAAGCCGTGGTGTCAGCCACTGGCCGAGTCTAGCGCCATCCCAATTTTGGGAAGCCCTGCTATCTCCGTCCTGCTGAGCTGACTCCAAAGATGGAGCCACCTCCAACATGAAAGAATGTCAGCAGTGGTCTGGTTCTGGATCGAACCAAAGTACTCCGTACCTGTACCCCAGCAGACACGGCCGACACCTCATCAGCAGGTATGGATTGGAAAAAGTTAATCTGCACCTCGGGTGTCCCGGCGTACCCACACCCCCCGTGGGAAGGTGCACCTGGGCACTAGGCAGACCCCCCCTGCCCCAACCCATCTGGGGTGGCTACAACCCCAAAACGGGGCCCCCCAGAGAAGCGTTATAGTGGGCAAGCGGCGCCGCTCTAGAGCACCTAGGGCCTTGGCTACCCAGCGGGAACGGCTCTCCGTTGGCCTTACCACGTGTGATAATCACCGCTCGATGATCGTTACTGTTGAAGGGGTAACCCGCTATCGACACAGCTGGCACACCCTTTGGCGCCCGTCTCAATTCCGGAGTTGCCTGTTACCCCAAAATCATGTCCCCAGCATTCTGTAAGTCCGAAACATCCTTAAACCTGTTGCTCTGCTGCACCTCCCTCTCGAGATGGTGACTTCAGACAGCCTGGACAAGATGGCCACACCCAACGACACCAAGAACTCGCCCCCCGAGTCTGCCATGGAGCATGACCTTGACATGAAGGCCAGGGCGGAAGCCAGCGAGTACGTCGAGACAGGCATCTCACCCGAAGATGCCGAATTCAAGCGCAAGGAGAAGGCTCTGGTCCGGAAGTTGGATCTCTTCATCGCCCCCGTCATGATGATGCTCATGCTCATCTCCTATCTCGATCGCGGTAACATTGGCTTCGCCTCCACACAGGGTATGTCGCGAGACATCGGCCTCGTTGGAAATCAACTCAATGTACGTTGATCAACTCTCATCAAGGCACCTGAGCGCTCGCTAACATCATCCAGACCGCTGTCTCCATCTTCTATATCTTTTACATCTTGGCCGAATTTCCCACTTCGGTCCTTGTGAAGCGCCTCCAGTTCAACCGTGTCATCCCAGCCATCACCGTGAGTTCCCCCCCTTAATCAAGACGTACTTTTCCGCGCAATCACTGACTCGACTCAAGTTCTGCTGGGGCCTTGTGTGCATGTGCAATGGTTTCATCCAAAACTTCGCCGGCCTCTGCGTCTGCCGACTCATCCTTGGCTTTTTCGAAGGCTGTCTGTTCCCCTGCCTCACTCTCACGTTTGCCAACTGGTATAAGCGCGAGGAACTGGCGCAGCGCATCTCCTATCTCTTCATCGCGTCCGCCCTGTCCGGTGCCTTTGGTGGTCTGATCGCCTTCGGCATCCTCTACATGGATGGCGTGGCCGGCTATCCCGGTTGGCGATGGCTGTACATCATCGAAGGCCTGATCACGCTCGTGTGGGCGTTGTGCTGCATCAAGCTTGTGCCCAAGGACTACCAGACTGCGTACTTCCTGAACGAGGAAGACCGCAAGATCATGGCGTGGCGCTACGAGGCCTCGGCGGCGTACAGCGGCGGCACTGGACACTACAAAAAGATCGACTTCAAGCGTGGCGCCGGCGACATCAAGACGTGGCTGCACTCGTTCATCCAGATCGCTGTGGTGACCATCCTATACGGTCAGTCTCTTCGCTCTCCCTACCTAACCACCACCTTTCCATAGACATCAAAGCTGACTATCTCTACTCAGGCTTCGGCACCTTCCTCCCCATCATCCTGCGCAACGGCTTCAACTACACGGTCAAGGAGGCGCAGTACCTGGTCATCCCCGTCAATCTCTGGGGCGCCATCGTCTACGGCGTCGGCGCCTACATCTCGGACAAGAAAAGGGCGCGCTTCTGGGTCCTGGTCTTCTCCGCGCCGTTCGGCATCGCCGGCTACGCCATCCTGCTAGCCTGGAACGTCCCCGTCGGTGTGCAGTACTTTGCCACCTACCTCATCTCCACGGCCTGCTTCATCTGCACCGGTGGCAACATCGCATGGCTGTCCGGGAACTGTGCCCCGGACGGAAAGCGCGCCGTCAGTCTGGGCATCCAGTTGACCTTGACCAACAGTAAGTTTCCTACCCTGTCGGCATGCGCAAACTGTTCCCTCCCCCGGTCTCCTCCACCCCTCCCACCTCCCCCCAACTCCCTTAATGAAACACAAGCTAACCTCTCCGTCCCTTCCACACAGTCGGCGGCATCGTCTCCGGCCAAATCTACCAATCCAAAGGCGCTCCCGAATTCAAGCTGGGCCACGGCTGGAGTCTCGGCTGCCTGGGCTTCGCCTGGTGCATGTGGTGGATCGTGCGCGCCCTGTACCTGCGCCGCGAGAAGAAGAAGGACCAGCTCCTCGCCGAGGGCTACACCGAGAGCGAGGACGACTTCACCGACCGCAGCCCCACGTTCCGGTACCAGTTGTGATGTGAGGAGAGGAGAGGAGAGAGAGAGAGAAAGTCCCTCCCCAAGCTGGGGTTTTTGGCTTCAGAAATGCAATGGGGTGTATCTGTGTGTGTGTGTTTGTGGATCGGTTCAGCGAGTGCGCGGTGGTGACAAGCGAGGGTTCCTGCTTCTTAAGTGCTTACTTAGGTCCTCAAATTCCCAAAGTCGTTGTATAGACAGACAGGCCCGATCAGTCAGTCACCCACCCACCGCTGATATCGACATTGCCACTCGGGTCTTGGGTGCATCGGCATGGGCTGCTGGGCCGAATTCAAGTAAGAGAAGAGAAAGTGTCTTCATCTCAAACTGTTGATCTATGCGGTGACTGACTGGCTGACCCCCTGCCCTGCTTTTGCCCTAAACTAAAAGTGAAGCCACTCAAGCATGACGGATAACGCTCAGAATGCTTTCGCTAATTTCGCAATCTAGTAGAAACCGTACTGACGCCGCAGCCGGTTGACACAAAAACCAGCGTGTGTCCTCTTCCGTTCGTCGGAAAGCTTTTCTTCGTCCGTAGTAATCTAATAATGATTCCGCTTTTCTCCTTTCCCCCCCCCCCCCCCTTTTTGTGGCGATGAACGCCCTTTTTCCATTTCACAAGTGTCCATCTTGCACGATGATGGCCTTGACGGGCTTCTTCACCTTCCTCTTCCCCTCCTTTTTATTCCTTAGACGGCGTCATGGCCAGTCGCTCTCGTCTCCTCGGTGGTGTCACTGACCTTCCTCCGACTCAGCACCTTCTCCAACGCGGCTCCCTTCTCCCTCTCCTCCTGCCTCTGTGCCTCCTGCCTCTGGCCCTCCGCGCGGTGCAACGCCATGCTCTTGCGCTTCCGATCCGCGCTGACGGCCTTCTCCCACAACGCCTCGCGGATCTCGCCGAGTGGCTTCTCCTCCCAGTGGTCCCAGCCGCTCGCGCTCAACGGCCACAGGACCTTATTCTGGTGGTGTGACAGCCACTGGGCGGCGCCGGCCCCAGCGCCGATGTTCCAGCTGCGTTCGGTGCGGGAGATGCTGGTCAGGACGTCGAGGTCGCCTTGGAGCTCGCGGCAGTATTGGTCGAGGGGTAGGTCGTTGACGTCATTGCCTGGGAGAGGTGTTAGTAAGATTGCGTTGGTATTCAAAGAGAACAATGGTGGTTGCCGATGAAAAGCCCGCGGGAAATACCCAGACAGGCCACTTTCACTCGAGCGAACTGTTTTGAGGGCTCTGACTGACCAAAGGGATTCTCGATTTCGGCACCAATGGCCCCAAGTCCGAGAATGATGTAGGCCGCGAAGATGGTGCCCGGGATCGTGATCCATTCAAGAAGATCGTAGAGCTGGAAGGGGAGCACCATGACATAGACCCAGGTGATTTGGGCAATGGAGATGGAGTAAGCTAGAGGCATGGGGTGATTGACGATCCGCTCAGTGCCGGTTGCAACATCCGCCAGAATGCCAAGTTGGGTGATGATGCTGGACTGTATGGGCCCGTTGGTGAGGGTGCCAGCGCTGAAGATGTGCTCGGTGTAAGCCTGAAGGTACGCAAGAATTTCGTGCGGGATATTGCCCAGGTTGTCCCTCGATTGCTTCATAAGCTTGCGTGGGTTCGATTCGGCAAAAGTGATACCCAGGAACTCGCCCGTAGCCTTGGCTTTAGTCCTGGGCTTGGGGTGCAGGCATGCAGTATCTGCGTTGCCCGCCATGGTGGTGAGGATGTCGATGTATGGAGCCAAGTCTGGGTAGTCGGGGGCAACCTCGAAGCGGAGGCGATGCTTCAGGGCTATTGCGAAGCCATTGATGAGGTTGATAGCTGTCACCTTGGAGAGCAGATCGGCCTTACCAAGATCTTCATCTTGATCGTGACGCTCGTTGGAGTGGATCCAGATCATGCGGGCGAGGTTGCGGGAGGATAATTGTAGCGTCGCCCAATACCTCGCGCCCTCGGCATAACGCTCATACGCGGTCGAAGAACGGAAAGAAAGACCCAAACCGACCACAAAACCAAGGACCGTCAGAAGAACCGGGTCGACCACAAGGCGCTGGACGTATTTGCAAATGCAGGTAATGAGTATTGACCAGCATGTTACGATCATGAGGGGAATTATCAACTTTGGCAGAATGGAGCCGTGCAGACGTAACAGATATGGCCATCTGGAATGATGTTTAATGTCTCGCGGGCCTTGGAAGTAGTCGTCCAAGTCGATGCTGTGGCGGGTTGCAGCTCGCAGAGGAACAGGCTTGAAGTGAGCGTTGCGCCCGGGAGAGGAAGCAGTGTGGGCTTGCGCAGGTGCAGCCATATGTGGACTATTAGAGAAGTCGGTCGCTACCGGAGGAGGCACATGCCTCGGAGAGGATGCGTTCGACATGGGGTGAAGGTGCAGTCACCAAAGGTCAGATGGAAAAGATTACAGGCACGCCAGTTACCTGTAACTGACGGCGGAGTTGAATGAGAAGACAAGGGCAGAATCTTAACGACAAGGTGACAAAGTAGAGGAGTCAGAGCAAGCGTGAAGGAACCGGAGTTCCAAAAATGTTCAAGATCGTAAAAGAGTCCGTCGTTCTTATGATCGTGGCTTTTATTCCCGGAGCTGGTCTCGCTGATATTGGGTAAAGCCAGTCAACTCCACCTCCAGCTCAGGAGGCGTCGAGAAATCGCGTTGACTGGTCGGGGAGAGCGAAACGAGGTGGCCCGCTCGGCGCCACCACAGGTTTAACCAATAGCCGGATTACAGATTGCTGCTGAGCCCGGAAGGCTGAAGCGGTCAGTACACAGGAAGGGAGTGGCAAGCGCAAGGCTGTTGCGCCAACACGTGCATCGCTCGGTCGTGTCAGAGAATCAGGGGGTGTTGTTGTCAAGCTCTGGGACTTTTCGGTCGTCGATCTAGAGAAGCTTGGAGGACGGCCAGAGGCGTCTTGGTGCCTCTTAGCCCTGATCGACGGCCTCCGCTTTCGGGGCAGTGCACGCATTTGAGCCCCTGCAGCGTGCAGAAGCAGGCAGGGACGTGGTCGAAGGCCATGTTTCGAAATTCGAAGGACCCCGACGTTTCATTTTCGCCGGCGTGGAAGGATCGAATTGGATTAACGGCTGAACCCGAGTTGACGTTGCTTGGCACGGGGCGGCCAATCCGCCGGCCGCGTTTGTCTAACTAGATCTAGTACTGCCATGCAGCCTTTGTCAGGTGCTATATCAGAGCTACATCCTTCATGCGGTCAGCATGATTATGCTGAGAGCAGGCTCTGATCCAACGATATCCTGCTTATGGTACTCATACATACATTGATAGTCTTGCGAGCGGCATAAGCCACCTCTCTGGCAAAGTAAGCCACATGCTTCCAAGTCCACCATCGTTCGCATTGGAGCGTAAGCTACCTGGCTTTTCCGAGGGTGTCCAGACGCTTATTAGTTGTCGACCGTGATTTTGACGTGCTTCTCCGCATCTGGAATCACCTCATCCTCCTTCTGACCTTTCAAGCCAGGCAGCTCCTTGACAGCTTCGTCGATGATGCTCAATGCTTTCTTGACTTCCTCTTCGGTGATGACCAGAGGAGGAGCAAGTCGGATAATGTTCTGATGTGTGGGTTTGGCCTGCATTTCGTCAGCAGACATATTCTCTTGAACATGTGCAATCTTCAGGGCTCGACCCACCAATAGGCCCTTTGCCTTCAACAACATGCACAGGTCCCAAGCACTGTGCCCGTTTGTCTTGGTCTCGTCAATGACAATAGCATTCAGCAGACCCTTGCCGCGAATAATCTGAATCATTGGTGAGTTGAGGTCCTTCAGTCCTTGACGGAACATGTTGCCCAGGTCCTCTGCCCGTTGCACGAGGTTTTCCTCTTGCACGACCTCGAGAGCCCGAATTGCCACGGCACAACCCAGAGGGTTGCCGCCGTACGTCGAGCCATGCGTGCCAGGTTCGACCGTCAGCATCACATCCTTGCGGCCGAGCACAGCGGACACGGGATACATGCCTCCAGAAATGGCTTTTCCGAGGAGGACAACATCGGGTTTGATGCCAGACCATTCGTGACATAGAAGCTTGCCAGTCCGTGCGATACCTGTCTGAATCTCATCACAGATCAAGAGCACATTGTGCTTGTCACAAAGAGCCCGGATCTCTTTCAGGTAGTTGTCAGAGGGAACCACGATACCAGCTTCGCCCTGGATTGGCTCAACAATGAATCCCGCGATCAGATGCCCGTGAGACTCGAAGGCTGTTCGGACTGCTTCAATATCATCGAATGGAATCGTCTTGCCGGTCTTTGGGCATATGGAGCCAACCGATGGGAGGTGCGGCCCATAGTTGTCTCTAGATTCGGGATCTGTTGACATCGAGATCGCAGAGAACTGGATCGGTCAGCATCTGCTGTGTCACAAAGTGAAGTACTTACTGTTCGGCCGTGAAAGTTCTCCGCAACGCACAAAACGATCGCTTCATCCCTAGGAATGCCCTTGGTCTTGTAGCCCCATTTTCGGGCAATCTTGATTGCAGTCTCAACAGCTTCGGCGCCAGTGTTCATTGGCAGCACCATGTCGAAGTTGAAAAACTTAGTAACAAACTCGGCAAAGCGAGGGAAGACATCATTGTAGAATGCTCTTGAGCTGAGGGTGAGAGTTGATGCCTGGTCAACCAACGCCTTGACCAATTTTGGGTGACAGTGGCCCTGATTGACTGCAGAGTAGGCAGACAGGAAGTCGAGATACTCTCGTCCCTCTGGATCCCATACCTTTGTGCCCTGAGCCTTGGCAAAGACTATGGGTAGGGGATGGTAGTTGTGGGCGGCATAAGCGTGCTCAGCATTGATTGCCTCCTCTGATGAAGACGCGTGGTACTTTGATGTCTTCAATTGCTCGGTCGAGGGCTTGGCCTGAGTACTATTAGCGTGGCCATTGGTCTCATTGAGTGCAATGGGCGCCATGGCTGCGATTCGAGCGCCCTGATGGACGACAAATGACTCCTTGCTGATTGGTCGATCGCAGTAGTGTGATAATGAAAGTCGTATGGCAAAAGAATAGACGAAGTGTTTGTTGAGAATGCAGACAGGCTCTTTATGGTGCCAAAGGGCGTTGCAATGTTGGTTGAAGAGGCAAACTCTTACTCAAGACAACCTCGAATATCCGCGATCATGTGAATGTGTGCTATGCCTCTAAGTGCAGGTGTACCCTTGAGGCTGTCGCTAACGGCAGGAGGTCGGTCGCTAAGTGCAGTCCTAGCCGCCATATCCACCCCACGTCCGGGTCTGACAAGGCGAAATCCAGTTGAAGGTGGGATGGCATGCCCCGCAGCAAGGATCGACTCTGCGATGTGCCTGAGCGGCTGCGCCGTGCTTGAACGGCTGAGCCGTGCCTGAGCAGCCATTCACCTGGAGCTAAGGGTATGCCATCCAGCCTCATTCGTTGTTTGACTCCGACGTTTGAACAACACTTTTGACTACTGCCCGAGACATCGTATCACATACTATCCCTTAATCAATCCTGCAATGTCTCTCAAAGGTCCCGGCGCCCCGCAGAAGCACGATGGTTCTGGCTTACGGGTTGCGATTGTCCACGCGCGATGGAATACAGCCATGATCGAGGCTCTGGTCGCGGGTGCAAAAAAGTCACTACTAGCCTCCGGCGTTAAGGAGGAGAATATCATTCTCGAATCCGTCCCTGGATCCTACGAGCTCCCTCTGGCTGTTCAGAGAGTCTACACCGCATCACAAATCCAAAGTACAGCAAGCACAGTAGCTGGCGGAGTAGGCAGCCTGGCTTCGGGCATTGGTGATCTACTGGGAGGAAGTGCGTCTCAGACAGATCTTCAGGGAAGCTTGCAGCCAAAAGCCCCCGAGAAAGAGAGCGAGACAAAGCTTAGGCAAGCGTTCGACGCGGTCATCGCCATTGGAGTTTTAATCAAGGGCGAGTCTATGCATTTTGAGTACATCGCGGACGCCGTCAGCCACGGTCTGATGCGAGTTCAGTTGGACAGCGGTGTTCCTGTCATCTTTGGTCTGTTAACAATTCTCAACGAAGAACAAGGACTTGCAAGAGCTGGTCTGCCAGGCGGCACTGGCAAGGAAGCAAAAGGTCATAACCATGGTGAAGATTGGGGCAATGCTGCTGTCGAGCTAGGAGTCAAGAGAAGAGGTTGGACAGAGGGCAAGATTGCTGGCACGATATAAACAGGCAATAAAGAGCCGATAACATGCCTCGATTCGAGATCGAATCCTCAGGTGCCATCCCGCGCTGGTGCCTTTATTTCCTCAACGCCGTACAATGCTAAAGGTCCCCTGAAGAGTCTATTCCTGCATCTCGTCTTCTTCTTCCTCCTCCTCATCGTCGTCATCATCGCCCTCAATGCTCTTCTTCGCAGCCTTCTCAGCTTCTTCCAGTAGCTCTTGTGGTACCTGCAGATGTCGGCCTTGAGTAGGACCATTTAGGCTAGAAATCCATGTCATCTCAAGCTCAAATTCCTTGTCTTTGGAGTCTTCATGGGCGACGTAGATAATTCGGGCAGCTTCCTTGACTGCGTCTTCAAGTGTGAGGGCACAGTCAGGATTGGCAAGGTCTAGCTTTTCGAGCTCTGCCTTCGCAGCTTGTCGACCCTTGCCTGTGGCGGCACCATAATAGCCCTAGGTACGTCAGTCAATCATGACGCAGTGTTTGGATGTGCATACCCAGTAAAGGCCACTTGGCTCGATCATATACAGGCCGGGACCACCCTTTTTGACTGCTGCGTCCTCCACCTTGCCACCAGTTCCTTTAGATGGTCCGGATCCAACCTGGCCGTCGACACCGAGTTCGGCTTCCGAGTCCCAACCTCCGAGAATAGCAGTGACACCAAATGGCCGTACGCTAGAGTAGAGAGTGTATGCTTGAACATAGCCACCCATCCTGCTCGCCAGTGCGCTGATGGGGATCGGCGCTTTGTACGTCGACCGCCAGCTGCTTGCCTCGTCTCTTGCTCTGCTGGTAAGGTGGCGACCATCTGGTAACAGCCCTGATGTAACGACACCCGCATTTCTGTCGACAGATGCTATCCTCTTGTTTGCGCCGGGCTTCAGTAGCTTGGAAGAGATGATCTTCTCGCAGGCGAGGACTACACCATGCTTCGTCCGGATGCCGATACACGTGCCGCCATTTTCAACAGCCTTCACCGCATATTCGACTTGGAAGTTGCGGCCGTCGGGGGAGAAGACGGAGTTGGATAAGTCGTACCCGGTTCCGATGGAGGTCTGGTTGCTGTTAGTTGAACTCCATCTTCGAACAGTATTCTCTTACCATGGTGTCCGAGAATCGAGTGCTCAAGGAGTTTCTCCGCAGACAAGAGCAAGGGTCGTTATGTTAGAGGGATAGAAGAGAGGTCGTTCGGTGCAAGTGCTCGACTTCAATACTCCCGCGCCAACAAGGCTTCCTCGCGCGTCGCAACTTAACCGGCAAACATGCCTGTTAGGGATGACGGAGCTTGGCGCCGCCGATGCCCAACTCAAATCGGCCCAACGTGACTACCTGTTCATGACGAACTCCAACTGCCCCCCTTTTGACGCACTCGTCTCTCCCTCCTACTCATCTTCTCAAGACAGTGTTGTTATCTCAGGGATACTACGATCGTCACAGACGTTGGTATCAACCTCGCAGCACGACCTCCGGCTTTCATGTTAAGCTGAGTCATCGGCTGCAATATCACCTTTCTCGCTGAAGCCTATTCCTGCCCCTCCTCCCTTCGTGCCTGCGTACATCGACCCAAGGATCCTGAACTGGTTCCTGACAGACATTTGGCCCCCTTCCAAGTTCTAGGAGTTGCCAATATCATAACCACACCCCTATTCTCTGGACCTGGCTACTTGGACTCCGGAACGGGACCTTTGATAGCGCTTTGTTGTGATAGTTAGAATAGCACACAATATCAAACACCACTCCACCTCCTTGGCTTTCCTGCCTTCGAGACTGTCCTGCTTGGTTCATTGGAGGGTCTAACGTCGAGGATCTTGCGGGCCACCAGTCATGGCCTCCTACCACCGCTGCCACAATTGTGGATGCGAAACGGATGTCTCCAATGCCATTGCAGCGTTCGAGGAGAACCCGCACTGTCGACAGGTTTGTTCCGTCCTCTCTTTGTGCATGACCTTCTGATTGGTTGCTACAGTGTGGCCTGTCGGTCGCGGAGAGTGACTCCAAGATGACCGATGACTTGGTCAACATGATGGGGCAGCACTTCCATCTCAATCCTGTTCAGACCCAGAACGCGTCTATGCCATCTACACCGCAAGTATCTCCCCAACCAGCTCCAATCACCTACATTACACAGCATTACCACCATTCTGCCCATCAGGTGCCCGAAAGATCGGCTTCAGAGGTCCTCGAGGAAGCTGGCGTGAATGCTTCGGCTCTTCTCCCTTCACAGATTCTTCTGTTCAAGGGTGCCGACGACAACCAGAAGCAAAGGCTCGTGGAACTGTGGAGAATCGCTCCACCCACTCCTGGTAGCCAACTTCCTCCCTCGGCGAACGAGAATTGGCCTCAGACCAGCATGGATCAGGAAGAAGAGGCTGCCAGGATCAGATGGGAGGCAATGGAGCGAGAGCGTCTGAAGAATCTCTGTGCTCTCCCGGGCTACGACGCTCGCAGTGCTGCGGAACCCTATATGACCAACCTGTACAAGGACGCATCCAGCACTTCTGAGCATGACCGCCCATCAGACGACTACAAACGTTGCAAGGACCCGGTGTATAACCACGCTCGCGAGTGGTGGGCAGTCGGACTTGACACCGAACCAATGGAGCACCAATACGGATTACTTCAGCATATGATGTGGAGCCAAGGCGACCTGTATACACCGAAGCGTCAAGATGAAGATCAAGAAATGCTTTGAGACGGCAGAGCGATACCCCTTGTTAACGCCAATGAATGAATGAAATGTTGATATGGAGCATGGGTAGATAGTGAATCTTTTATTGTGTAACCCTCCCGGGTAGTTCAAGTCATCTTAGATTGTTCCGTTTCGTGCAGCTGTCACTAAGACAGGCTTCTCGCGAGCCTTACTCGTTGAATTGATGATAGAGACATAAATAACGTCCATCCGGGGCGGAAAGAGGCGAGTGTCTCGAGGTGGGCAAATGGCGGCACGGGCCTCCAAGACCGAGTAGGGGATCAAATTCGGGCCTGAGACTCGAGCGGAGCCAGCTCCAGACTATCTTCGGATTAATCTCCCATCAACGCCCTCTCACCATGCCGCTCAACTTAGTTTGTACCATCGACGACCTCGGGGATTTCTGATCGCGTGGCGACATTGTTGTTCCGGAAACGCTGACTGAAAGGAAAGCACTTCGTTCATCTTTGTTGCCTCGATATATGCGCAACAGAGATCCGTCAACCTCGCCCTTGAGACCTCTTCTCCCCAACTCACCCCTTTAGCTGCGCCAGCATGGCATCGATCAGCAAACGCCAGCAGGCGCGCAACGAGCGCGAACTGCAAGAGCTTCTCCGTGTCCCCGGCAACGGCCAGTGTGCCGACTGCGGTGCGCGAACTCCAGGTTGGGCGAGCTGGAACTTGGGCGTCTTCCTGTGCATGCGATGCGCATCCCTCCACCGGAAGATGGGCACGCATATCTCTAAGGTTAAATCCTTGAGCATGGACACGTGGTCATCGGATCAGGTTGAGGTACACATTTTTGCCGCGAATTCCATGAATCAGTGGCTAATGCATTGCAGAACATGAAACGAAACGGTAACGCCACGGTCAACAAAATTTACAACCCGAAAAACAAGAAGCCCGATATTCCTTTGGACGCAGACGAAGTTGATTCTGCAATGGAGAGGTTCATTCGCAAGAAGTACCAGGAAAAGAGCCTTGAGAGTGGCCGACCGGAGCCGCCTTCGAGGAACGAGCCTTCACCTACTGTTCCACCCAAATCGCCCGACTATGAGCCCGCTGCACCCCAGGTGCCCGCAAAGAAACACCGCTTCTTTGGCTTTGGTCTACGCGCATCCTCCTCAGCCCTTTCACTGTCGAAGCACGACAAGAAGAAGCTTCCGCCGGAGCCAAGGGTTGATTCCGCCTTCACAATTTCTGGGGATGACTACGGGTCGATATCCAGGATGTCAGATGCTGGAGCCCGGATGTCGGATGCTGAGTTGGAGCTAAAACTTACGCAATTGAAAGATATGGGCTTTCCTAATCGAGAGATCAACACCAGAATGCTTCGTCGCTTGAATGGCAACCTTGAGCGGACGGTCGAAGCTCTTGTTCAGCTAGGACCACAGCCGGCCGAGCGAACGTCCTCAGCCCAACGGGTCACGCCCCAGCCTACAGGCTCGTCCCGGACAAACGTGACCACGGCAGGAGGTTCTGATTCGGCGCAGTCTGGCATCCGAGCAAGCAATACTGGTGCTTCGAGAGGATCTAATAATCCCTTTGATCAACCTGCCAGTGGTCAGGGCTTTGGCTTGTCGCTGGGCAGCTCTCAGCCGGCACAACAGCCACCGTCAGGGGTGCCTTCAGTTGGGAGCAATAACCCATTCGACCAGCAGACCCGGAGCCAGACCGATAGCGGCTTGGTACAGGCATTCCAGAACATGCAAGTCACTCAACCCGTTACCCAGCCTCTATTCCCTCACAGTACGGGTGGGTACCCTAATCAGCAAGCTGGCGTGCACGACTCTCGAGTGCACACCATGACTCCTCCCTTCGTGATGCAAAATTCACAGTATGGTTATACGGCCTCTCCTGCAGCTCTCCCTAACAACAACAATCCATTCTTCCAGCAGTCACAATCTCCGCAATATTTACAGCCACAAGCTACCGCAACCAATCCATTCTTTGCACAACAACAGCAGCCCCAGCCCACGAGCAGCAACCCCTTCCTGAACAATGCGCCTCAACAACCGCAACCATCCAATGGATCCAGCTTCAATCCATTCGGCATACCACCCTCTGGAGCGAGCCCACCACAATTTTATGCTCAGCAATCTCAACCAGCCTCGACGGACTCAGGAGCCCAAATTGGTGTGCCTGGCCTTTTCTCTGGCAGCAATCCTTTCCAGCAGCAAAATGCTCCACAGGCTCAACACCAACAGCATGTCAATAACCCATTCCCCAACTTCCAGTATGACCAGCAGCAAACCTCTTCCCAACAGGCTCAGCAGTTTCAGGCCAACCGCTATTCGAATCTGCCTCAAGGCCAATCTCAAGGACAGCCTCAATATATGCAGCAGGGTCAGCAAGTACCCATGATGGCACAGCAGACTGGCAGGTTTGACAACAACGCAATCCTTGCTCTGTACAACTACCCATCCCTAGCACCAGCGAAGCAGCAAACATTGTCCTCGATCCCCGAGCCCGGTAATGAGCAAGCTTCGAACCAGAATGCTACTATGCCGGGTGGTACCATGGCAGCTAAACGAAGCGCAACCATGCCCGTGTCCATGAGTAACATGCATTCGGCGGGCGGCGCTGGCAATCTTGCAGCGAATCGCAATCCATTCTTCCAAAACTCGACTCAAGTTCCTGCCGCCAACACGGGTATTCTATCACACTCCAGCCGCGATAGTGTGGCTATCAACAATCTCGAGAGCGGGAGGCACAGTCCGGATGCTTTCGCAAATTTGAGCGCGCGATATGTATAGGACAGCACCAGGATATTCGACTGTACAATTCTATTGTTTGTTTGCATCTTCTGAACCCACGGAAAGCGTCTGGCGTACGAGAAGCGGGACCAGGACTGGATATTGATGACTCGGGATGTCCACACGTTCATGTCGCTTTTCACGATGATGACATAGGCTGAATCACAGTATGAAATGATAAGAGAATGCAATGTCAACAGTAATGTGTAGACATGCGTAGTGTCTACTAGGTGGTGTACTTGTACTTGTACCCGCGGCTACGACTAGCTAGTGACGTCGTGCCCGCTTGCCCGAAAACGGTAATGGAGCTTCGGCACGGGCGACCAGTCGCAGCGCGGCACTGCTCGCAGCAAAAGCTGCAAAACGTGCTGTTCCGAAGGTCAATCTGCAGCCTCCCATATCTGATACCTTCGTCCTCCAGCTGGTGCTTTGATAGTTTCTGGAGCTCTCTCGGACCTATATTGGGCTTTCGCGATGTCACTCACAAGGTCAGCTCGCTCTGCGCAGGTAAGAAGGCTGCGACAACCGCCTGTGACGTTCCTTCGGAACTGACCCCTCCACAGTCTCTGCTGCGGACCGCGCAACGAGCTTCTACTCAGTCCACGACCTCATCCTTCCTTCCTCGGTGTAGGTGGAGCTTTGGCGCACTATACGGCGTATAACTGACAAAATACTAGCGTACGCTACCCTCTCGTCCGACATCTTTAAGCCTACAAAGTACGGAGGAAAATACACTGTCACCTTGATCCCAGGTAGGTTGTCTAACTGAAGCCTAGCTGAGAACGGTGATGCTGATCCTGACAGGTGATGGTATCGGTACTGAGGTCGCCGAAGCCGTCAAAACGATATTCAAGGCCGATAACGTTCCCATTGAGTGGGAGCAAGTCGATGTTTCCGGTGTTGATACGGGCAACAAGCACTCTGAAGAGCTCTTCCGAGAGTCGATAGCCTCTCTCAAGCGCAACAAGCTCGGTCTGAAAGGTATTCTGCACACTCCCATCGAGAGGTCCGGTCACCAGTCGTTCAACGTCGCCCTGCGACAAGAGCTTGATATCTACGCTTCCGTCATCCTCGTCAAGAATATCCCCGGCCTCAACACGCGACACAAGGATGTCGATCTGTGCATCATCCGTGAGAACACCGAAGGCGAGTACTCTGGACTGGAGCACCAGTCAGTGAGCGGCGTTGTCGAGTCTCTCAAGATCATCACCCGGGCCAAGTCGGAACGCATCGCCAAGTTTGCTTTCTCGTTCGCCTTGGCCAACAACCGCAAGAAGGTTACTTGCATTCACAAGGCCAACATCATGAAGCTGGCCGATGGGCTGTTCCGCAACACTGTCAAGGCGGTCGGCGAGGACTATCCCACTTTGGAGGTCAACGACATGATCGTTGACAATGCCTCCATGCAGTGCGTTTCCCGGCCGCAGCAATTCGATGTCATGGTCATGCCAAATCGTAAGTCTCCTTCCTTTAACTCTCCATGTTATGTGCGGGCAGAGATTGATATTGACCTGTCCAACTCTTCGACCATGGACCATTGCTAACAGCGCCAGTTTACGGTGGTATTTTGACCAACATCGCTGCAGCGTTGGTCGGCGGTCCTGGTGTAGTGCCAGGTTGCAACATGGGTCGCGATGTCGCCGTCTTCGAGCCCGGCTGCCGTCACGTGGGTCTTGACATCAAGGGCAAGGACCAGGCCAACCCCACGGCCCTGCTGCTGTCCGGCACGATGCTCCTCAGACACCTGGGTCTTGATGACCATGCGAACCGCATATCGCGAGCTGTATATGAGGTGATTGGCTCCGGCAAGAGTTTGACGAGGGACATGGGAGGCAATGCCACCACTCACGAGTTCACTCGTTCCGTTCTGGATAAGATGGAGGCCGATCTATGATCACTGTTTGAATGCAACCCACATCGCATGAGTTCGTAGGCGCAAGTGTACGTGGAGGTACACAATGTTGATATCCTTTAGCCTGTGGTTCTCGTGACTGTTGTGGAAAACTCTGTTCCATGTGAATCGATTGCTTATGATGTTGGCGAAACTAGAAGACACTGCGGTAGTCACTTTAGACTCACAGGGATTCCCAACAGATCCGAGCCGATGGCTCAGGTCTTGTGCCGGTATCGATTGTTCAAGACAACCAGGCAGCGTTTCAACCTCACTTGTGACATCCTCTGTTGCTAACCTATCGCGTATACCTACCTGACCAGATTAAAGCCACCTCCACTTTCCCCACTGTCTCGAAGATGGAACTAGCTTATGTAGATTGATCGATTACCTGTAGATCGGAGAAGCCCGAAAGCGCGGTGAGTCAGAGACGCGCTGTCGGCGAATACGAATACCTCCCTGCATGGGTTTTCGATCCACCCCCAAGAAAGCCTTTTTCCTGCCGCCCTCGGTATACAGGCGCCAGGCAGAGAAACATGGCTTTCCTTCCGCGTTGTTGTCTCTGTCGTGGAAGTAGTAATAGGGCGTCACTTCTTGTTTGGAGCTTAAGGGACCGCAGCCGCCATGACAGCCACGAAGGATCGCATCGAGCAAAGCTACGGACTCGACCCCATCGTCCCGGCGGCTGATCCAAAGGCCAAGGCAGCAGCGGTCATTGATGTTCCCATACAAGACGAGGCCAACGCTGGCACCCACAGCAAAGTCAACGATGACGACGTCTCGCCCCCGCCAGCGACCCGCTCCACGCTCCGCATGACACTCATCCTCGCGGCGCTGTTTCTTTCGCTGTTCGTGGCCGCCCTGGACGCCACGATCGTGTCGACCGCCATCCCCACCATCGTCGCCTCCTTGGAGTCGCCCTCCGGCTATGCCTGGATCGGAGGCGCCTACCTGATTGCCAACGCAGCCGGTGCCCCGATCTGGGCGAAGCTGTCCGACATCTGGGGACGAAAACCCATTTTGCTGGCTGGCGTGGTTCTGTTCATGCTATCTTCTGTCGTGTGCGCCACGGCGATCAACATGAAGATGCTAGTGGTTGGCCGAGCGCTACAGGGTACCGCGGGCGGAGGACTGATCATGTTGGTAAACATTGTGATCAGTGATCTGTTCAGCATGAGGCAGCGGAGTCTGTTCCTGGGGCTGTGCGAGGCCATCTGGGCAGCCGCCGGCGCCGTTGGGCCCATCCTGGGCGGTGTACTGACGGACCTGGCGAATTGGCGGTGGTGCTGGTGGATTAACTTGCCGGTTTGTGGTGTGGCGGGTGTATTGCTGCTGCTGTTCCTGGATGTGCATAATCCGAGGACGCCTCTGAAAGCGGGTGTCAAAGCTATTGATTGGGCAGGCAGTCTGAGCATTCTGGCTTTGGTCTTGATGCTGCTGTTGGGATTGGACTTTGGAGGGACTACGTTTCCCTGGAACTCGCCAAAGGTGATCTGTCTGATCGTAATTGGAGCGCTGTGCAGCTTGCTGTTCATCTACGCGGAGAAGAGGATCGCCAGGTACCCGCTCATGCCCATGAAGCTGTTCAGGGAAAGCAGCAATGTCGCGAGTCTACTGGTGGTCGCCTTTCACGGAATGTCGTTCATTGCTGGCGAATGTGAGTCCTCCAGCTATTACATCTACTCCAGTCCACGACACTAACAGTACTTCAGACTACATGCCTCTTTATTTTCAATCAGCAAAGGCAGCCTCGGCACTAAGGTCGGGTGTTCTCCTCGTCCCGCTGATTGTTACCACAGCGGTTTTCGGAGTCTTGACCGGAATCTTCATCCATCGAACAGGAAAGTACAGAGAACTCATCTGGCTGGGCACAGTCCTCCTAACTGCAGGCTACGGAGCGTTCGTGAGCCTGGTACCAGAAACGTCCATTGCCACAATCGTGGGATTCCAGCTCATCGCCGGCGCCGGATCCGGACTCCTCTTCGAGCCATCGCTCGTGGCACTACAAGCGTTCTCTGCCCAAGATGACGTTGCAACAGCCACATCCACTTTCGCCTTCGTCCGATCATTGTCTCTGGCTGTCTCGATCATCCTCGGCGGCGTTGTCTTCCAGAACAGTATGGATGCCAGGAGTTCCCAACTACGAGCAGCCGGGCTGCCGGCCGACCTCACGGAACAGTTGACGGGCAAACACGCCGCTGCGAATGTCATGCTCACGCACACGATTCAGGACGAGGGCCACAAGCGTGTAGTCAAAGCTGCCTTTGCGTGGAGCATGCGTAATATGTGGATCATGTACACGGCCTTGAGTTTCTTGGCTGTTGTGAGTGGAGTTTTCGTCAAAGAGAAGAAGCTGAGCAAGGAACATACGGAGACGATCACGGGCTTGAAGGAGAAAGTGCTGCACAGAGTTGAGAGCGTGAGGAGTACGGTCAGCAGAGGAGGTGAGCATGGACAGGAAGATGCTCCGACAAGCGATGTCCGAGGCCTCGATGTGGTGAGAGCGGTCTAGCGTCGCTACACCAGTCCTGCACCACCGCTTACTGGACACGAGCAGCAAAACAAGGGGAATCAAAAGCGATTTGGTATTCGTATAGAAGCGGGCTGGCATTACGAATTTTTTCAGCGTCATTGGCGACAGAAAAGCATCGATACAACATTATTGACTCAGAGCTTGTAAGGGGCTTTGGCTTGCCTCCTCGTCCTTGAGTCGTGGACGTGTACACGTCCCAGTGACGACATGAGCGCAACACCTTTCCAGTGACTAATTGTTTCACCGACTTGGCTTACTCCTGGGCAGATAGGCAGCTGGAAAACAAAAACAATCGACACCCGGGATTCGCCAATGGTCACCCACTTGACTACTAGCCGGGCCCAATACAGCTTGGGTGCGCTGAGCGAACGGGAAGCGCCATTTTCTGTATGGTGTGGTCGATTGCGAAAGAGTTGTTGAGCTATGCCAGATATATTGGCACTTTTGAAGAGACTGATGAATTCCTAGCATGTGTGTTGGACGCCTGGTTGCCTTGCGAGGCGCCTTCTTTCTGAAACAACCAATACTTCCTCAGACCATTGTGGATCTTGGTTCGCGACTGTTCAGTTATGACTTGGACATCTATCTCTTATCCCTCTCCCGCTTCTCTTTTCAGGCAGGTCAGTCCCTTTTGTTGGCTGACAGCACAGGCAAATGAGAGAATGAAAGCACCACAGCCACGATTCTGGCTATCGGGGCTGCCACTACTCATTATCGTGCTTCACAGTCCACTTACCGCCAACACCTCTTCCACCACATCCAGCAAGGGCCTGCCACTGTCCACTCTCCTAACCTCAATCCCAACCGGGGCAGTCCAGTCCCTCAACAAGGCCCTGAACTCCCGACTACTGTCCAAATGCTCCTGCAGCTCCTCACCCAACACCCTCCCTCTCAGCCTCTCCTCCACCACGACTGTTTCCGCGTGCAAGACCACCGGCAGCACCTCGATCTCCAGCCCCCTCATCTGGCCCGCACACACGCTCACAACAACGTCCCGAATCCTTTGCAACTCCAACACAACTGCCGTCCCACTGATGACCAGCACCGCCACTCCCAGCCCTCCCACCGGTCCAGCCTCTCCGTCATCCGCACCCGTGGCCCGCACTGCCCCATGATCGACCCACCGCCCCCAAACCTCCTCCCAAAGCACACCCCAAAGCGCCTCCAAGGCCCTCAGCATCAGCCCGGCGTCGTCGTTCCGCGGGTACATGGCATCCAAACAATCGGCGTCGATGTGCACATGCATGGTTCTGCGCGGGTGCTGGCGCAGGCGGTGGCAGAGCTCGTAGGCTGTGGTGGACTTGCCCGTGCCGGAGGCGCCGGAGAGGAGGATGAGTTTCAGTTTGAAGCGGCTGTTGGGAAGAGGAGATGGCATGGTTCGGGGGTGACGCAGGTATGCTGTGAGGAGGGGTGGTCTGGCGTTGCGGTTGCTATGGATTGGTGGCTGGCACCGGCGATCATGGGGAGAGCGTGTGTGCTGGAAGGCATAGGTGGGGTCGACTATAAAGGAAGTCTATGTAGAGGAGCTCGATGGAACCCGGTGTAGGAGGAGGCTGTAGGTAGATATGTCTGTTTCGATTCACTGAATATGAGTCATGGCTTTGCTTCGCAGTATCTCACAATAAAAGGACTGCTCTCGAATTTCAGATCCGAATACGAAGAAGCGGCTCTGTTTGCCTGTATAATTACAATGGCTTTACAGCTCGTCTCTACACCTGGCACCATCAATTCCAGTCTCCACCACCGCGACCCATCAACCCTTCCAGCCAGCCTTTCTTCCTCACCTCAAGCCCCGTCTTCCACTTCACCCAATCCCACCACCCCGCCGGCTCACTCCTGCCCAGCAACGGGCGTTGCTTCCAAAACGGCTTCTCCACGGTACTCTCCCTCTGCCCACCTATCGCCGCCTTCCGCCTCGCCTCCGCCATCTGCACCTGTTCCTTCCCAGCTACATTGGCCACGTCAGTCCTCCTCTCGGGATACAAGCACCACACGACAACATCGCCCGTCCGCCTCCAATCATCGTGCCAATGGCTGTTCCAAACCCGCTCACACTCCCTATACCCGCTGCGCCTGCCCACCACCGTCTTCATCTGCGGCTCCAGCTGCTGGAAAAACACCAGGTACTCGGGCCACGGCCGGCGACCCCTGCGCTCCCGCCACAGCTCCTCCTCATCCTTGGTCTCGATCTCAAACACCCGCCGTGGCTTCGCCGTATGGCCTGCAAACAAACCGGCTTCGTGGTTGGCGACACCCCCCGTAGAGAGCTTGGCTACGGGCGGGTTTCGCGACATGTGCCGCTTCAGCCAGCCTGTTGGGTCGACGTAGAACTGGTCTGCCTCGTCTAGGTAGGTGGCTTTGGCGGTGGCGTTGAGGTCCAGTGGTGGCTCGCAGGTGAGGGCCCAGGCGTCAATGCCCGGGGAGGAGCTGGTGGGCGGATATTGCAAGTGGGAGCGCCAGGGGGTGGAGTGGCAGGGCATGAGGAAGCCGACGGTCATGTTTTGAGCAATGGGCCCGGGAAGAGGCAGGTAGTGCGTCTCAAAAGTGGTGCGGAGGTGTTCGGTGATCGTGACCAGGCCGACGTTGTGGAGGGTGGCCGTGTAGAGGGAAATGAGGAGGTTGATGGCCAAAAGGATGGCTAAGAGGGCGCGTCTGAGAAGCTGCGAGGTTTGTGAGTAGGGCCGGAGAGAGTCGAAGGCCGAGGCAAAATGGGTTGACAGTGGGTGTGCGGCAAGTATATGGAGGCCTGGTAAGAGGGGGTAGATGAAGCGCACTTCTTTGTGGGAAATGATGGAGAGCATAGCTGGGACGAAGAGTGAGGCAATCGTCAAGTTGGACAATGCATTTCGAGAAGATTGGGAGAGGTTTCGGTAGGCAGAAGTATCGAGAACTGAACGGTACATGCCAATCAGCGCAAAGGGCAGGGCGGTAGTTAGGAGCAGCGGATAGCCCTGTGATAGATAGTAGTGCCAATCGTTATTGCCGTAGAAGATGGCGATGGATTGGGCAACGTTGAAATACAAAAAGTTCCATGGCGGAAAGGTCCAACTGAGATAGAATAGGCGGTCCACCACTGCAGATATTGCGAGGACCACACCTCCGCACAGGACCGCTTCCCTAAGGAATGTCTTGCATTCTGTCTTTGTAGGAAGTAGCGTGTAGCCGGCGATCTCAATAAGAGCAGTGTGCTCTGTGCCCGGCACGTTGACAAGCTTATGCGACCTTACGCCGCGCAGACAGGTCAGGATCGTCATTGCAAACCAGATAAGTATGTTTGTGGGTCGCAGGATGGTGGCAAGGGCCGCAAACAGTAATGCTCGTCGTAAGCGTGTTGTCTCATCTACATCGCCGTGAGATAGTGTGACCGCCGTTCGCTTCCGCAATCCTTGCGCGTCAGCCTCGCCTGTGTCCTTTGTGCTGCCGTCGCTGGACCAATGCCATGGCCAATTGTAGAGGGCGATTATAGTCAACGTCGTCTCAAGCGAGTTAGAGAATGTTCGGGTGGAGCAGAACCATTGCCATGGACTCGCCACGGTCAGTACCAGAGCAGCTGCTGGCGCAAGAGACCGTACGCCATATATGGCTTCAGAGAGTCTCCAGGTATAGTAATCACCAAGAGCTGCGATTACTGCCTGCGCAACTTTGGGGGTTGCTAGAAGCAGCTGCGCTCTGAAAGGTGCTTGTAGCGCGAGGGCATTCGCGAGGTATTCGGCTGCCTTGTAGCACGTAGCGAAGATCGCGGGATGAATTGCAGAGCGCAGGTGCTTTTTCCACTCCTGCAGGCGGTTAATAGATCTCCAGACAGTGAAGGTGATATTTGTACCCATGTAATCCACGCGCCGGCTTCCGAGCCAAATGCAAGCGCCCACGCGGGCTCCAGAGCTTGGAAGTATTCATCTGGCTGGAAGAACGTCTGAATGATGAGTGCATTGAGCAGGCGCGAACCTATGAGGAAGAGGAGGACGTCCTGTCCGCTTGGGCCAGCGGAGTCCGCAGGTACATCGGCTGGGGTACCATGTTTGCGCCGGGATCGAGAACTCGAGTCGCTGAAGGTCTCACTGGCGGGAGAAGCTGGCGCGAGTCTCGCGTCTTTGGGCATGACAAAGGGTTTTCGTCATGCTCCAATGCTGAAGCTCCGCCGTGTGTGTCACTCCATGTGCTTTCGAGGTCTAGGTACCTGGTACCTCAGCTGTGGGGCACCATGCTCGATAAGGCTGCGCCTCTCGCTTACAAGGCTGTATTTCAGGCAGCCAAACAGCACGCTTCAGCACGAGTTAATCTTGGATAGTTGAAAGCAATTTCTTCTGATTTTCATTCTCATTCTCGACATTGATCATGACGCTATCTATAATAGCCCTGCTCCCGGGAGCCAGGACAGGCCCAACGCATTGCGATTCTTCTAAGCCTGGGTATTTTCCATCCTAACTTTGAGTGTATCCGTACATTAGAGTTCTCGTGACCGATGCGGGCACAAGCAACTACTCGACAGTAACAGACTTAGCCAAGTTGCGAGGGAAGTCGACATTGAGACCCTCTGACACAGCAAGCCAGTAGGCCATGAGTTGTAGAGGAATGACGTTGAGCAGACCCTGAAGGATATCGCAGGTCTGGGGGACCTCAATACGCTCAGTCTTATCGGGAGGGAACTCGGGATCGCCGGTGTTGCAGATGACGATAGGTCGGCCAGCACGTGCGATGACTGTATACTGTTAGTTGCGCAATGATCCAGTATGAAATGAAACGTACCTTGCTGATAGGCGTTCAGAGACTTGGCGAAGATGTTGTCTCGGGTCAAGATCATGACGATTGGCAGGTTCTCATCCACCAGGGCCAAAACACCGTGCTTCAGCTCGCCTGACATGACGGCTTCGCAGTGAAGATAGGATATTTCCTTGATCTTCAGGGCTCCCTCGAGAGCAGTAGAGAACTGATGGCCACGACCCAGGAGTAGCAACGACTTCTGGCCCTGCAAGAACTTCTTGCACATGGCCTTGATCGAATCATTGAGCTTGAGAATCTCCCTGAACTGTTCGCTGATCTTGGAGAGGCCGATAATGATCTCCTCGCGTCTCTTCTGCTTAGAGGCGCGATCCTCGCTCAAAGATAGAGCAAACATGATCATGGCAACGAACTGTGAGGTGTAGGCTTTGGTGGAGGCAACGCCAATCTCGGGGCCAGCATTGATGTGAACACCGCAATGAGTCAGGAGGGAGATCGAAGAGCCCACTACGTTGACAATGCCAACAGTCAAAGCGCCACGCTCCAAGCAGTAGCGCAGAGCCATCAGAGAGTCGGCAGTCTCACCGGACTGGGAGACGAACACGCAGGTATCGTCACGGAACACAGGAGCCTTCCGATCGAGGAAATCCGAAGCCAACTCCACACTGATGGGGATTTCGGTGAGCTCCTCAAAGGCACCACGGACAGCCATGCAGGAGTGGTAAGATGTGCCGCAGGCGATAAAGATCAGTCTTCTGCAGCGGCGAATGGTGGACATGTACTGTCTCAAACCACCCAGCGTAACCGTCTGGTTGGCCACGTCCAAGCGACCACGCATGGTATTGACAACAGACTCGGGCTGCTCGAAGATCTCCTTTTGCATGAAGTGGTCGAATTTACCCTTCATGATCTCTTGCAGCTCGAGCTCGATAGTCTGAATAGCACGGACATTGGAAGTGCCATCGTCCTTGGCCAGACGGTGGATGTTGAGCTGACCGTCGTGAATGTGGGCAATATCATCATCTTCCAGGTACAGGACCTTCTTGGTGTGCTCGACAAGAGCAGAGGCATCGGATGAGAGGAAGAATTCGGCGGGTTGAGGCATGCCGTCATCAGACAAGAAGGCTCGAGATTGGGAGCGGTGCAAGAGGGACTTGTCGGGGGGCGCGAGGAGGTTCGTGGGGGCTAGGAGACCGTTGGCTGACTTCTTGACGGCAACGTTATGGCTGGCCGCCTCAGCAGAGAGAGCACCTTCTTCGGAGTATTCAACATCCACGAAGTCAACCTTCATCTTCTTCGCAGTCTTGACGCCAATGACCAGGGGTGAACCCTTGCGAGCAGCGATGACTTCATGGGGGAAGTGTACCGACTTCATCAGAAGACCGAAAGCGCCCTGCAGCTCCTTGATGACGGCCTTGCATAGGGTAGTGAAGTCAATATCTGGGTGGGAGTCGAATAGATACTTGGCGAGCTTCGCAATGCACTCGGTATCGGTCTCGGTCTCGAAGCGGAAGCCCTTGCCCTCGAGCAGAGCCTTGAGTTCTTTGTAGTTGGTAATGATACCATTGTGAACGACAGTGAATTCCCATTTGGGGTCAGATCTGTGAAGTCGTCAGTATGAGAAGCCTGAGGGAGTCGGGTATCAGACTGACCTGTGAGGATGGCAGTTGAGGGTAGATGGGGGACCATGGGTAGCCCAGCGAGTGTGAGCAATGCCAGCATGAGAATCGAAGGTCTTGGTCAAGTCGACACCAGATTGAGCAATGAGCTCCTTCAGCTTGGCCACCTTGCCAACCTCCTTGAAGGCAAAGACTTCATTTTTCTTGTCTCCGTCGACGGCCAGACCTGCAGAGTCGTACCCGCGGTATTCTAGCCTGGACAGGCCTGGGTACAGTCAGCCGGATGTTTCCTCTTGTTGCTCCGCTTGTTCCTTACCATTGACCAAGGTGTCTAGGATGTACTTTCGGTCCTTCTCGACGAGGTAGTTGATGTAGCCAAAGATTCCGCTGCAGCTTGTTAGCCTGGGCAGTTTGAATTGCTTGGAAGCCCACTCACCACATGGTGCCGGTTGTCAATTGTGTATCTTCTCAGCTGCGGTGGAATGTACGTTGTATCTGGGGCAACGGTGGAAGCTGAGGCTGCGCAGGAGGTAGGGGCGGTGGACAACAAAGAAGGCTGCTTGCAGTAGATGGATCCGAAACAGGAGCGAATAGCGAGTACGCTGGGATCCCTAGAGGCCCTGAAGGGAATGCGAATACACGAATGAGAGCGAGTGGCTGCTGATGGATGAGACGGAGGGCGTAGTCAGAGTATAGCTATGTTGGTGATGACACGGAGTCAACCACATTTATTGCCAGGCCGTTGCTATGCTGACCGCCCGCGGGCTGAGGCTTTGCGTAGTGCCCGTTTTCTCACATGCGGGCGCGCAGCACCAGTGCGCGTCGCCCATTCAACCCCACCCTCGTACAATTATGCTGGCTTATCGCACTAACAAACAGCTGCCCCAAACACTAATCGATACAGTTCTTGGCAGGCACCCAGTTTAGCTGGCGTGGCTGGTCTCCAGATGTTCCAATCGCAGCGGGTTCCCTGGATGCGCTGGAGATCGCCAGCTACCTGAAACAAGGCCTAGCTCGAAGTGCACTGCAGCATGGCTGCTATATTTGACCCTGAGGTCTCACAGCTGTGGCATTTTATTCTGCATTCCCATCTACTATGCGAAAATGCGCCCGTGCAATCAATAGTCGGTCTCTGATATATGGAACCAGATCAAGCGGCAGGCCCACGGCTTGCACACACAGTTGCTTGGTGGTGTGCCAGCCGCACATCCAACATGGCCTCGACCTGGCCTACTCGCTCGCCGTCGCCACCCCTCTTGGGGGTCAAGCCGGAAAGTTGCCATACTGGGGCCGCCTCCTGACTATCCCTCGTCGGTTTCACAACTGTCTTTGCTTGCCTTGAATTACTGGCTTGTTGCCCTCACACCACTGGCTGACGAGCAGCCTGAAAAGGAGAATGCCTGCGTCATCAGGAGGGTTGTTCATTTCCCGCCCATGCCTAACCGCTGTAGCATCTGGCCGAACACTTCCCGCCGCTTGATCTCGAAGACCTCATAGGTGTTCTTGATGATGCCAACGGGTATATCCTCCAGTCCTTTCACAAGTCCGTCCCATGCCTGCTGCCATTAGCTTGTAACTGGACAACAGTTGACCGCGTCTTACCTCTGCGGTGAAGTCTTCCAGCGGCATCCCCATTTGTCGGCCATTCTTTATGTCGGGCTGATGCTTTTCATCATGAAGCTCAGTCTGTACAGCAGGAGGGTATATTTCAATGACTTTGATCTTGGTAGGTTGCAACGACGTTCGCAGAGACATGATCCATTGGTGTAGTGCAGCCTTGGTCGCACAGTAGTTGGACCTAGGCGGCAATGGCACCAAAGCCAGCCCAGACGAGATGTAAATCAAGGCTGTATCTCGACTTTTGGACTTCAAGAAAGGAATCAGCTCCTTTGTCAGGGCAATGTACGAGAGGTAATTGGTTTTGAACTCCAGATCGACAGTCTCAATGTCGATTGTCTCGGGCTCGCTCCAATCTGACAACAGGCATTAGCATACGGCTACAGAGATGGCAGCCCTCCTTACCAGTTCGCCGCTGAATGCCCGAGTTGAGGATTACACAGTCGATGTCATCATGAGCTGTGGTCACCTTGCTTACAAACTCGGGAATTCTCCCTAACTGAGTGATGTCGAACACTGCCGTATCGGTTTTTCCTTGTCCATGCCGCTGCACAAACTTGTCAAGGTTCTCCTTTCTTCGACCGGTGGCGATGACAGAGGAGCCCTCTATAACGAGCTTGTCGGCCAGGGCCTCGCCAATACCTGCATTTATTCAAGTTGCTGCAATAGAAGGTCGTTCCGAACATACCTGAAGTGGCCCCTATGACAAGCACTTTCTTATACGGAAACGACATCGCGTTCACCTGCCAAGCCAGTGTAGAGTAGATTACAAGGATGAAGACGATTCTTTGTTCCTCGAAGGATGGGAACTACTTTCAAACAAGAGCCAGAGAAATCGGCAGCAAATATGGTCTTCGTATTCGGCTTCTATTTGCGCAGCTACGTAGTATGCAATGTGCTTGCATCATGATAAAGGTGACCCAACGAGTAGCAGCATCTCGGCTCCTGATCGGTACTTGTAGGGCGGTTGTGAGGGACGCTTGCAATTTTCCGACATGCCAGGCTCTTGCCCTCCTTGAATCTTCTAAGCTGCCGAGATCTCACTTCAACCTTGACAGCGATGACCAGCAACTCAAGCCAGCATGAGCAGCCTAATCACGAGCTTTATCAACGAGGCAGCGACAAGGCGTTCTGAGTTTCGTGTCGCTAAAGAATGACCTGCGCCCCTCTTTTCAACCCCATCCATCATCCCACCTTCAGCCTTCCAACCTTGCATCATTCCACCACTTTCTACTATCACCTACGCCCGCAAGCCGTTCGATTTTCCCCTCTTCCCCCCTCATACTGTCTGTATGCTTGCATAATCGGAAGCTAAGTACACTCCTTACTCAAAATGATGCGTGCGCAGATACTCGGCCTATGGGCAAACGTCTCACATTGACAATAATCGCCTCGCATCCAAGAACCACTTCACTTCATCGCCTGTCTACTATGAGCCATCCGTTGCCGCAGGCAGCACCCCGCGTCTGCACGTACAATGCCTTCCAACTAGATGCGGTTTTTGGGGCAGGATGATGACTATAATCCAACATACTACGGCTATCAATGATGTTGCCCCCTGTGCACATCCACCTTCGGCGATATTCGACCCCAATCATGGGCGAAGACCATAACATGTAAGCTACGGCGAGTCCTGATACGCAGAAGACTTCGATTTCACGAATGCAATTTTTGATTGAGCGATACACTATAGAAGCCTGGGACAGAAGCAGAGCCAGCCTGGCTGCGCCGGGAAAATTGGCGCGTGAGCACGCGAAAATGTCACGGTGTATAATTTGATTCCTCTAGACTACAAGATGCGAAATAATACAACATCGAGCCCGTAAGACGTACTTCGAATGCTGAAGCTGAAAACATAAGGTGCCTCGATGCTGACGAGATGCTACTACCTGTGAAAAGAGGAGGACAGAATTGCTGGTCATCATCGTCACTGCGCAAAATGCCAAGAATGGGCTAACGCGCCTGCGACTGCGACTCGCAGCCAGTCCTTCTACCTGCGCTCGCAGCTCTCCCCTACACCTCGAAATAATTCTCATCCTCTCCCCTTTATTGTCGCAATCGTGTCGGATATCCCAGCTGCGAATTCCTTTTTCGGGGCTTTTCAATAGATTTGGGAAACATAAATCTGGAAGATACCTGCCTGCGCTTGCTGCTCCAACCCCTTCGACATCCGCAGTTCACGCGTCTAGCCTTCATATCATCCCTGCGACTTCCATAACTTTGTTGTCGATGACTCCAGGCTCCAACAAACATCCAACGGTGCCCTAGGAGGACGCTTTCGACGATGCTGCTGCTGCTGGGCTGGTGAACCAGGATATGTCGCGCCCGCCGGGCACCAATTTCGCCGACTTTTCCTCCAACATCGCCAGCGGCCTAGGCAAGGAAAACAATCAACCACTACTCTCTCATTCTGGTCGCGCAACTACAGAGGCACCGGATCAACACTCACTGTCACTCGGATCGCCGCCATTATCAGCTTCTGTACGCGCCTACACCTCGAACGCGGACTTGCATCCCATCACCGCTAAGCTTGGCTCCCGGAACGATAGTGACCACCACAGCGGCGACATCCTCAATGAACTGGGGTCGGTCGATTCATCCAGCACCGCCTCATCTGTTTTCACTACAGCCTTTCCCAATTCGTCCATGGCTGCGGCCAACGGCCTTCAGTACACCTCTTTGACCCCTCTCACCAACTCCGACTCCCCTCCTCGAGGCAAGCTCATGAGTCCCTCTTTGGATTCAAATGGCTACGGCGCCATGCACAACGGCTTGCCCGTCCGCGCCACAATGACACCCCTTCATACCCCACCAGCACATCGGAAGATGGCTCGCGATCCAGATCCCTGTGTCAAAGGCACAAAATGCACATACGACCCCGAACTCGATAAGAGTCTCCATTCAAAGGACAAGCGCAAGAGCAAGGCTATCTTTGAAGACTTTGGGACAAAGCCAGAACACAGTGTCGCTCCTCCAGACCCGCGGCTCGCAATTCCTAATTACAAAAACAGCATCGTTGGCGTAAGGAAATCTAAGTTTCGTAACGTCTTAGCAGACCTCAAGCTCTGGACACCCGATGTGACAACAGTTGTGGCTGCCGCCACCGCCGCCTCGATCATCGTGACAGGCTTCGACCCCATGGTGCCCATAGCACAGCTCATGGCGCTATTCTCACAGTATGGCGATATCGCGGACATCGACAACAAGAGCGATCCCATCACGGGACGATTTTTGGGCATCTGTACCGTGTCATATCAAGACTGCGCTTCTTTTCAGGGAGGTGGACCAATCTCTGCGTCGCTTGCGACCAAAACCGCGTTCATGGAAGGGAAGCGAGGCCAAAGAGTTGGACTGAGAACCGTTAAGGTCGAGGTTGACAGAGATGGGACTCTCACCGATGCGCTCATCAAGAAGACTATTGCTGCGCAAAGAAGGGAGACCGGCATCACAAAACCACAACCGCCCCCTTCGCCTGCGACCCCAAGTACTCCTCAGTTGCCGAACATTCCTGCACCTGGTCCCCCTCCGACTGCGCCAAAAGGGCCGGCGGCAAGACCATCCACAACCCGGCCTCCGCCGCCCTCTCTTGCAGCGTCATACACTCCCCCACTTCCGAAGCCTGAGCGACCCGCAAAGCCTGAGCGGCCGAATCTGGTCGAATCGAATCTGGCCGAGAGCGTGCAGAACCAACCATACATTTTCATCAGTGGCGAGCATGTGCCTGTCCTCAGTACCACCATCCCACACATGAAGAAGAGGTTGCGCCAGTACGATTGGCGCGAGATTCGATGCGATGGAACAGGATACTTTCTGATTTTCGAGCAGTCGCGGAACGGGCAGCTTGAGGCGCAAAGAACTTTCTCGACCTGCAATGGGCTTCCTCTCTTCACCTACTACATGCACATGGAGCTGAAGATGAATGGTGTCTCACAGCAGCCCAGCGCTGGCGAGCCCGCTCCAGTGTTGCCTCCTGCCCCTATTCCTTATATGACCAACAGACAGCAATACAAGCAAAGACGGCTGCAGGAGCTTGATCTCGAAGAAGAGAAGAAGCAACGAGCGAGAGATCTCGATCCGGCACGAGCAGTGGTGCAATTAGTCGTCCACGAGCTACGGGAGAAGCTGATAGCTGATGTCAAGTCCAGAGTAGCCGTGAGAGCGCTCCACGACTACCTTGATCCCAACAAGCTAGCTGCTAAGCGCAGACAGTACGGTATCGATGATCCCCGGGACGCCCGACGGCCACTTCATGGTCGCCGCGATGATGGATCTTCCACGCCAGACTCCCGTCTCGACCCGCTTGGGAATCGTCGTTCTGTCAAGAGTCTCAATGTCCTGTCCCTGCCAAAGATTGGTAAGCGTACAGGCGTGGATTCGATGGCCGGGTTCCGCGACGAGAGGAGGAAAGCCCCACCAAGGCCCTACGTGCGACCGCTTTTCCATCAGCTCTCGCAATTCCATGATGACGAGGACTCAGAGGACGAGCATGCTACGACTTTCACCCAGGATACTGAAGAACCAGACAGCCGTCCACCCAGTCGCATGAGCATGACTTCGGTGTCTGACGATGACGACGAACTTCTACGCAAAGCGACAAAACGTCGCCTGCACGCCAAGGAGGATGCTGAAGAAACCGTGGTCAAGCAGGAGTCCGACATAGCCAAAGAAGACATGATAATCTCGAAGCTTGAGAGAAACATCTATGAGATGTCGCCTTCGTCGAGGAAACGCAAGAGATTAATGCAAGAGTTGCATGCCCGAAAGAGACAGAAGGCTGATGATGAGCTCTTTGGCGTTGACAAAGCCGATTTGGAACGGGAGACTTCTGCCGATGTGAAAGACGAAACGCCAGTTGAAGCCACGCCAGAAGTAGAAGAAAAAGTTGCAACCAAGAAGCCCAAGACCAAGAAGAAGACCAAGAAGGAGATCCTCCAGGAACAAGAGGCAGAGCGGCGCGCCCAGGCCGAGGCAGAAGCAGATCAAGTGGTGGACGATGTGCTCGAACTTGCCGCTGAAGAGGAAGCTATCGCCGAACAAGCCGAGAAACGTCCAGTTGTTGAATGGGGTGTGTCCGCTAACCAACCTGAACCTACCGTTGAAGATGACGAGGATATTGTGATGGATTTGCGAGGGTGGCAAGCCAGTCTCATGGACGAAGAGGACCTCGAACTCCTAAGTGAAGTCCTCAAGGACAAGAAAAGAATGCCAGTTGGCAACGCAGGCGCGTGGGCATGGCGACAAGAGCAGCTCCGCACGCTCAAACGTGGCTCCGTCGCCGGTGGTCTACGCAAAGAACCTGCTATCGAAGGCTATTTCGTCCCGAATCCATCTGGATCAGCCCGAACGGAACCCATCAAGAAGATCCTCGAGTCCGAGAAGTCGAAGTATCTACCACATCGTATCAAAGTGCAGCAAGCCCGAGAAAAGCGTCAAGCCGAAGCGAAGAAGGAGCCATCTGCTAAGGTCACTGAACTCCCTAAGACCACATCCCGTGGCAAACGTGCCGATGACCGCCGCACAATCAAAGACCTGGATCGCCAGCGCGAGATGCTGCAAACCATGGGCGGAGACGATGATCTTACTCGCTTCAACCAGCTGCAGAAACGCAAAAAGCCGGTCAAATTTGCCCGTTCCGCAATCCACAATTGGGGTCTGTACTCCCTTGAGCCGATCACCACTGGTGAGATGATCATCGAGTATGTGGGCGAGAAGATCCGACAGGAAATCGCAGATCTGCGGGAGATCAAATACACGGAAAGCGGCATTGGCAGCAGCTACCTTTTCAGGATTGACGAGGGCACCGTGGTGGATGCGACCAAGAAGGGTGGCATCGCGCGGTTCATTAACCATAGCTGTGATCCTAACTGTACGGCAAAGATCATCAGGGTGGGCGGCACGAAGCGGATTGTTATCTATGCCTTGAGGGATATCGAAAAAGGTGAGTCTAATCGCTTTTCTGAAAGTGAAATTATCAGCCGAAGATGCTAACAAGTGTGGCAGACGAAGAGTTGACCTACGATTACAAGTTCGAGCGCGAGATCGGTAGCGACGATCGTATCCCGTGTCTCTGTGGGTCGGCCAGTTGTAAAGGATTCCTCAACTAAAAAGCGTGCAATCCGTTTTGGTGGCCGCCACACCACCACATACGGCCAAGGATCATGGTCGTTTCATCTTCAACGACATCAGCAGCAAGGGAGTCTGCTCCTTGGGCGAGCCTCTTCCGCTCCTTTGTACAGCACGGTTCAGCAGGCGGTGGGTGGCATTGGTGACTTTCTTTGCATCTGTCGCCTACGGAGGTCGACATGGGGCCGGCACGAATGAGCATTGATTGCATGGAGCGGCATCTTGGGAAGGTCTGGCGGGATCAGCTAATGTCAGAGGAGCGGGGATCTGGTTTCATGTCATGTGCTTTCGCATTTGTGGCCGCTGGGCCCTCTTGCCCCGACCATGTATTCGCAACTCAACGACGAGGACGCCTTCAAGACAGAGAGAAAAGCCACAGTGGTTCAACAAGCACAGGATGGCATGGGAGCATTGACCCTGGAAGGTTACCTGGTTGTGGGCAGGGATCTGCTACTCTTAGAGCACCTGTACAGCACACCTACGCATACAGAGCGCGGCACCGCGCGATATGTCTGGTTGACTCACTATGGTCGCCGAGCTGGCGGCTTAGGAGTGGCATTGAGTCGGCCGGTCGGTCGGTCATTCGGCTGCTAGAGATAGGAGTGATGCAGGGAGCAAGATTGTGCTCTATTTTACGCAGCAAGCTACGGCATGCAGAAATGATAGTAGTGCTAATACTCTTCAAGTGAGTTTTTGACTGATGGTTCTTGTTTGGGCTATGTTTGACAGCGCCGGCTGGCCGCCTCATCCAGCTCTTCGCCAACCTCGGAGGCAAATGCGTAAGACTTGCAGGCAAGGGAAGCTTGTCCCGCAGCACCTCCCCCACGGTGTTCGTCGAATAGAGATACAGGACAGGTAGCCTTCCGACTCGCGTTACCGCAGCGGCACACAATGGCCATTACAAGTATTCCGGGTTGCGACCGCTTGAACATGGTGAGAGGGAGGTCGTCATCGAGGAGCCCTTGACGGCTGGGACTTGCCCTCGGATGCTATACCATGGGGATGAAACCCAAAGACGACATCCCGAAGATGGTTCCTGGTCGTGGACGGGATTGGGCAGGGCATGGCATGTCCTCGATGGATGGCGGTATCAGAGGCCAAGTTTCTTTGAACGAGACGAGACCCGCTGGAGCACGCCAGAGTCATAGCAATGATTGACAAGGCCAACAGAAGAGTCAATGCACGTTTTGGGCAACTCGTCGTTTTCGGCGAAGGACATGACAAAGCGTGTCTTCGGTGAGTGTTGAGAGCCTCCTGGCAGTACACTCCAGATCACGGACAAACAAGAGCGTCGAACAGCTGTGGGTGTGGGCTTTCAGGTGCAGCGGGCAAGCCTTGCATGTACGGATCTGGTCGTTGTCGGTGTATGCAGGATATTCAGAGTTGACAGCACAAATCCGGAGTGACGTAGCCGAGCAACACGCCTATCTCTCGTCGTTGCGGGTGGCGAGGCGTAGAGTTGACACCAGGTAGTTCTGCTGAAGCTCATCGTCAAATGAGAGGAGAGTCTCTTGCTGTACCGTTCTCTGATGCATGTTGAATCGCTGCTGAAACGATCTCTGTGGAGCAGGCGGGTTCACAGAATGCTCTGTTGCCTCATCATCGAGGCCAGACAGGTCTCCCAAGTCAGCTCTGGTGACAGCAACATAATCAGCCGTGGAAGATTTCTGAGCAGAAGGCATGACGCTCTGAGACGCCCTGAGGGCTCGAGGCTCTGAGTTGCGCAGGCTTCCGAGCAGTCATGCGCCGTTGCATGTGTGCAACTGTGCAGATACCAGATCGAGAGGTGAGTTTTGCTCACACAAGGTGACTCGGCAGCAGGAAGTTTCCGACGCCTTCTTTCACTGGGTACTCGAATCCGCAGTTTCCACACACCATCTTGCCATCCTGGATGCTCGTTTCGAGCAGCAGCTTGTGAAGGCCTTGAAGTATCGTATTTACCTCCTCGTTGTTCTCATCGACCTCTTCGCCACTTGCCAGCTTCTCGGTCAAGGCGTCCAAGGCTTCTTGTGACGGTAGCATAGCCTGCAGCGATAGTTCCGTCGCTATGGTGCTGAGAGCCTCATAATGGATTCGGGGTAGGATGTTGAGGACAAATAGAGGCGAGTAGTCGAGTTCGGTACGTGAGAGAGTTGCACCCTGCGGGTGGAGGGGAAAGGAGGAGGGTGAGGTCTTGCACGACTTGACTGCGCAGGTCAGGAAGTTGGTGGTGAGGATCTTCATGGTGGCCGAGCCAGGTAAGGAGGAACAATAAGCAAAAGGAACGCGTTGACACTCAGTTATACGTGCGAGAGGCAGTATGAAGCGCTGAGGGTGCTATGCACGTAGGAGTAGCGAGTCGGAATACATTCTGGTGGGATGAGTGAAGTACAAAAAGTTTACGAGGCTGCTATGTGGGCAGACGAGGCTGAGGGTTGGATGATGTCGGTGAAGTTTCTCGGACAAGTAACGTCCAGCAAAGTGACACGGGAGCCAGCTTCCTGTATGCAATGATCGCACTGGAGCTACATTGGAACGCGCTGGTCTATGAAGCAGGGTGTTCTCTGACGGCGCTGGTGCGTCCGCAAGCTCAAGGCAAGACTTCGCAGCATTGCTTCACACAAGCCCACTGTCCTCTACATGTCAATCCTTGCTAATCACCAACCCGAGTGAGTATCATCATGTGCATTCAATATGAAAAAGTATGTCCGGCACGCAGGTGACTCTGTTGCCCACCCTGTACCAGCTCCTAAGAGCCAGTAAAGCCAAAGGGCAGAAGCCTTAAGAGTGCCTCGTAAAGTTCGGTCTTGATCGCCAATATGACCCACCGATCCTATGGCCGCCGTACAAGCGCCCCGAGAGGCGCCGACGGGAGGTATTGGAGGTTGATTAATGCGTTCTTATCTGTTAAGTGTAAAGAGAGGAGAAAAGGAAAGGATGGAGTCAAGCGCGGCGAGATTTATGAGACGCCGAAGCGAGAGACTTGGCGCCAAGGATAGAGAGATCCTAGAAAGCTTTGAGATTTTAGGGAACCGACTTCAGATCTTCTTCCTTCATTCACTCGTGTAGCAATTACTTGTGGGTACTGTCGTGGCCTTGTGCTCTACTGTACAATGGTGCTCTGGGGACAATGCTGTTCCCAGGTATCCGCCAGCCGGCGCCTCCATTACGCTGGACGCTGTGTCAAGGCTCAGCATCGTGCTGTCGGCGCTGTTCGAGCACGCCGGACGTTGGCTAATGAGAAGGCCTAAACACATTCATACAATGGAGTTAATTTCATTCCCGATACACCAATCGCCAATCACAATGAACGGACTGCGGCAGTCACCTGGTCCATGGTGTTCTGCCTGCTACTCAGCTTCAAGTCCAGGCAGCTGATAATGCCATCAACCCACACTCGGAAAGCAGCTTGATCCCCTCGATGGCCAAGCTGTTTTGTATGTCTAATCCGAATCGCAAATTGTGGAAGAATAAGCCTCTCCTTCACGGGAGAGGATGGTTCTAGCAGGCCTTCATCCCCTCCACCCTGCTTCCTTCACTTTTAATGGGGAAGCGGGACTATTTTTGGGATGTACATTTCAACGAAAACACTGATCTGAAATTTCGAGAACGACAAGTAGGTAAATTGATGGGGCCACGCAGGTTGTTAGATCCGACTTCAGTTTGTCTTGAAGTTCAGCGGACCCTGCAGACTCCTCAGTCTCTTTCCGCCAAACTGTAGAGCCACGATGACCATGAAAGCCGCTCCCATGATGCCGCTCTGGATCCCGTACGCCGTCTGTGTTCCGGCACTGCTAGCCCATCCAATCTGGAAATAACCCACAACAAATCCTCCGAGTGTCCTCGAGAAGTTCAACCACGCGGCGCTCTCACCGCTCGCTTCCGGGTATGCGTCGATGAGGTAGGATCCCACGGCCGTAGTCGTCACAATGGCGGCAAAGTTGTGCAGAGCCCAGCCAACTGCGAGGATCCACCATGACCAATGCTGCTCCAGTGTGACTCCGATGAGGTTGTAGCCCAAAATCTTCAGCGGGAGTATTAGCCACAGCACGAGTAGACGAGCCTCGGGATCGATCTTCCCGCCATGGTATCGTGCGTACAGTTTTCCCAAGAAATCGAAGAGGAAATGGCCGATTACGAGGCCGAGGATGGCACCGACTACCGGGGCAGTATAGATAGCTGCGAGGCCGTTGAAGGTGAAGTCGTACGCTGGGACAATGAAGACTGAAATCGTTGTGTTATTTCCAATCGTCCAAGGGAAATCGAAAAAGTAGAACAAGCAGACGAGGAAGACGGGCAGTCGAGTGATCGTTGTGACTAGTCGCATCCCGCTCTCCAAGAAGCCGTTCGTCGTCCAGTTGCTCCGGTACTGCTCAACTCCAACCAGTCGCATCAGTCTGGACCTGCGCAGGGGGATCTGTTCCGGTGCCAGATGCCGCGGGTAGAAAGTTTCCTCACCGAGCAGCACCGTGGCCAGCAAGCCTACGACGATGATGCCAAAGCACAACCACATGCCGACTCGCCACGTCGAGACTGCAAGGATGGCGGCCATGAACTGCGGGCCGAGAAAAGGGCTCAGAATGATTGCGGTGGACCAGATGTTGATCTTTCTCGGGTGCTGATGGAAGAACCAGACATCCTTGATCCACATGAGCCCACCACCAGCAGCCGCGACGCAGAACAGGCCGTTCAGAATCCGTGCCGTCATGTACGACTCGAAAGATTGCGCCGCTGCTGTCCAAGCCGCGGTACCGGCCGAGAGGCACCCGAACCAGAAGAGTGTAGGCAGCCGGCCAATCCACGCGGACAGCCAGACGGTCGCCAGACCGCCAATGCCGAGCATGAAGGTATTGCTGCGCACTTGTTAGAAGAACGTTCTTCCCGCGAACGGCACGACTTACCCAGCGGTAGCATGATTGACGGTGTCGGGACTGATCTTCCACTGCTCTGCTTGGGGAAGCAGGGCACTGGCTCCCGTCGCCGCCGAGTAATCGGCCGTGAACGCATTGGCAACCAACACGATGAGGACGCTTGCCTTCTTCCACGGCGACCAGTTGAGTGGGTCGTCCTGGGAGTCCGATGGCTGAGGGATTAGCACCTTGCCATCTTCGGACTTCTTGAGGTGCTTCGTAGCATCGAGGCCGTACTGATCCTTGATCAGGCTCTCATCGAGGATGTAGCCGTCTGTCTCAGCGGCTCGCTCGAGGTTCGTCGTTCTAGCCGGAGCCTGCTTCTCGCTGTCCGAGTTGGACAGCGAGGTCTGCGAACCCGTGTTGGTCGCGACGACAGCAGCCGGGGGGGAATCTTTCACGTCGTCTGTTGCTGCCATTTGCGCGGGTCGTTGAGCAGTGGGAGGGCCGGAGTGAGGGACGAAGAGGGTCAAGAATCACGTCGATGGGTAGAAGCTTAGGACAAGCCACGACTTGCCCTTTATGGGAAGCATACCAAACATCCGGCACATAACTTCCCACCCCCGGAGTCCGTCCACATTTCCGCAGGCGGGAAAGGCGCAGTTGACACGTACAAAAGCGAAAATTAACGGACATGTTCTTCGGCAGATGCCGTTGATGTGCCGGTCTACATGCAAACAGGGTTGCACAGGAAATTGGCAGGGCGTGACAAAGGTTCAGAATTGGGTCAAGGGCAAATCCTGTTGTATAACTTGGAGGATTAAACATAGACAAGGGCATGGTTGTATAAAGCGGATTGGTCCGTGGTGTCCGTAGAGTCATTGATCGGCATCAATAGCCGTTCGCTAATGCAGGCCGGACTAGTTCGGTCCAGCAGAGTAAATGCCATGCAAGATAGGTTGCCTTACGCCTTCAAGGAATTCGGGTAAGGTCGTGTCCGCTGGAAGAGCCACTCACGACACCTTACACTTTGTTGCGGTAAAGAAGAAAAGAGAAAGCCGAAGCAGACTGTTTGGCCATCGCTTCATCATTGACTTATCATTCACTAATTAAATTACCATAGGAAGCACCAGCACGCCCAAATATCAACTGTCATAAAACGTGCCGCTTGCTCATAAGACGGCCTCTACCAAATCTTCATACAAAGCTATCTCGGGTCCTCCGAGATTCGATAATCAAACATGGCATGCGTACGACTGGGCTTGTACTGCCTGAGAACAAGCCAGAGTCACGCAAAAAGACCACCGTTAGATTCTTGGTGAAATCAAGAGACTGATATAAGGGGGTATCATAGCGTACATGCCGGTTCCGGCATTAGAAAAGAAGCATGGCGCTCTCTCGACGCTTTTGTTTGCTGCTGGCCGCATTATCCGGCGCCACCACTCGATAACCACCTTGTTGCTGCTGCTGGTACTGCTGTTGTTGTCCTGGTTGTGGTGGTGGGGGATACATTGGCTGAGGTGGAGCAGGAGGGTGGTCGTTGGGATTTGAGACATAACTTCTCGTCTCGTAGGAGTGCTGCAGTGGTTGCATTCCCATGTCGCCAATGTGGTGAGCATGGTCGTAGCCGCGCGTTGTATGAGCCGAAGCATTCTGCGCAAAGCTGTTTTGGTTGTATTGTGGAGTAGGAAGATCCGTGAACATCTGCCGACGAGGGGAGCGGATGTCATCTTGCTGCGGTTCATGAATAGTCACAAACGGCTGTGCGATTTCGTCCTGCTCTGGCTGGTCAAAGATGGCGTGAAATTCCGTGAGAAACATAGAGAATACGGGAGCAGGGATGTTCAGAGTCGGTGAGAACACGATTCCCACGTTCTTCACGGTCATTTTGTTGCGATCCTGGTTCGAGACGACCTCGAGAAGATATTCGGATAAGGCTCGTAGAAGAACGAAATTGACTCGCGGTAGTCGATGCACTAGAGCATTGAATGCCACAATCTTCTGCCGTTTATCATCCAGCTCAAGCACTTTCAAGAATTCAAGATGTAGTTCTCGTGTGAGAAGCGTCGTGGGAAGCTCTCGAAGGTACGACTTGAATAACGAGGCCACGGCGTGGACGTCGTAGTATTCTTCGTCCTCGAGAAGGTCAACATCGCCTTCGGTGTTGAATCGCTCTTTGAGCGTACGGATCACAATGTTGGAACCGCTCAGACGGAATAGACCTTCCTCGTTCGCTGCTTTCTTGCCACGTAGATATTGGATGCAGCGATAAGCTACAGCTGGGAGTAGCACATCAACGCCCTCGGGAGGACACGACTCCACCGCTTCAACAAGGGAGAGTCCGAAGACTGGACGCACGTAGCCTCGGTGGGCTGACCTGGTCGATGCTGGGGGATGTGGGCTGCGTTGATCACCCAATGAGCCATTCAATGCTTCATGGGATGACTTTCTGAACTGGAAAAGGTTGCGAATCTTCTGCCCCTGAGGCTGGCCGCTCGAGCTCTGTCTGTTGCCTGCACGTGGGTTGGTTGGGATCCCTAGACTAGCAGAGGAAGGCTTCGCGTAAGGCTCATTGGTTCCTTGATCGAGTGGCGGCGTAGCACTGCTTGTTGGAGACGCACTTCCGCTCGTTCCAGGTCCAAGGGTTGGACTGCTACTTTTCGCAGCGGCATCAGCCTGGCCATCAGCGTAGTCTGCACCACGAAGAAGCGTCCTCGGGTGAGCCCCGTCGCCTCCAGAAGTTGGTGGCCTAACAGCTTGTGATTCCTCGATGTGATGTAACAGTGCAGTCACCCATTCATCCCGCTCCGTATCGTTCTCAGCGCACAACACATGGCGGACATAACTGCTAGAGTCCTTGCGCTTTGGCTCGAGAATTAGGAACGCGTGTCTGTATTGAGTCTCACTCTCCGCTTCGTCCGCAAGTGCAACTTCGTTTGAAGTCTGACGCCCGATTCGAGCATTCGCCAGCTTGATCGTACCGAGATGCGCACCTCCCGGGGCTTCAAAGTATCGCAGCTCGGGGCTTTCGAGTACGAAGTACCGAGACTTCCAGCCCCCAAAGTTTTTGCCTTTCTTGGTCAGATATCCCGTCTTCTTTTGACCGACATGAGTCTTCTGTTTGATGTTCTCAAGGCTCTTGCTAGCAACTGCATCGGACTGAGGTTCTAGGACATCTGTAGAGAGAAATTTACAGATGAGTAGTGCCGACTGTTCATCTATGTGCGTGTCAAGCAGATCGTCGAAATATTGATCGATGGCGTTGCGCCGATGGTCAAGGGTCGCTGGTGCATGGCCTGTGAACAGCTTTCGGTCAGGCAGCCGTGGGACTTCTGGACAACGCGGTCGGATCTGTTGATCCAGATGAGGCAGAGCAGCCGGGATTTTCTCGATCCGCCAGAGCTCTCTGTAATTGGAGCGTGAGAAAATCGACAGACTGAAAACTGAGGTGTCTTCCTGCGGCTTCAACCCCAGCATCGAGAACCTTGAGGGTTTGAGGCGAGATGACGCAACTTTCACTTGAATCGAAGGCAGTGCGTTTGGCGGAAGTAGCAGGTCTGGTAGCGTTGCCACCACCAACCCTCGATAAGGCGTAGGGATGTCGCTTGACGAGACCATGGGTCCGTCGTTGACTGCTACATTGAGCGATTCTGACCGAGGGGGTAAGGTCACGTCCGGCGCATGAAGCGAAGATAGTTGCGCAGACTGGAGATTCGAAGGCATAGGTATTGGCTGTTTGGGTGCGCGTGGTGACAATGGAAAGCCGCCATTGCGGGGCGAAAGGGGGAGCGAGTTGAGGGAAGAGTGAGATTCGGGTGATACGATCGCCCTTTCAGCCGCTGAAGGCCTGGGGCTTGCTGGAAGGCCTGGGCTTCGCATTGGTGGTGAAAGCGTCGACCCTTCCTGACCTTTCTGCGAGTATTGAGAAGAGGCGTCAGATGCAGTCGTTTGGTGTTGGCTTTGGCCAGCCACGGGGCGGGACTGTGTGATGTCTGCTGCTGGCAGAAGCTTAGCGGGAGGCTCCATGGGCGGTTGCGGCTGCTTGCTTGTCTTTTTGGAACGACTCCGCGCCTCTTCTTGCTGCATCGCTTGTTGTAATGCGGTCATTTCTCGATCGCGATCATCTTCTTCTCGTGTTTTTCTGCGACCCCTCTGATGATCTGGTGGAGTATCAGCGACCGATTCAGTGGCTGCTGCATCGACGAGCGCGAGTTGTGCCAACTTGGAATCTTCTTTTGATGATCTCAGGTCCAGAGGTTTCGGCGCAATCTGTCGCTTAGTGGAGAACGATTGTGACGGACTCGACGTTACGGGCGTTGGAGCGATGACAGCGAAGCTGGGAGCCGCCAATTCGGTTGTCGATAGTGCCGATAATTTAGGCTGCTCAGAAGCACGAGCCCGTTGTTGCTGTTGTTGTTGCTGGAGATTGAAATGGAGCGGAGGGGGCATCATGTTGTCCTCGACGGGAGACGTCTCGTCCTGCCCAGCATGTCTAGAGCCAGGATCAGGCTCCTGATGAACTTCGCGCGACTCGGTCATTTGAATCGGCAGTTCGTCTGTTGGTGGTGTACGTGGCGGCGAGTGACTGCCCGAAACATGTCGCTCCTTTTCTGTCTGGGCTGCGGCCAACTCTTTCGCTCTTTTGCGGTACCGGTCGCGATCATGTGCCGCTCGCTCCAAGTCTTTGTTTAGTCCAAGCAGAAGAGCACGCTGCTTATCAACAAGCTTCCATAGCTGCGCATTCTGGGCAGCAGCCTGTGCCTTGTCTCGCAGCAAGTGTTGCACGAGGTTCTCTGCTGAGCCAGCAGTAGCAATTAGATTTCGAATCTCTGTGATGGTAGGCTCTTTTTCTCCGGTGCTTTTGGTAGGACCAGATACGTTTGTTGACGATATGGAAGAGATAGCGGAGTCGATCGAGGAAGTACGAGGCATGGCCGATTGTACAGACGGATCTGCTTTGAACGTGAGATTGGTGGGTACGGTGGGTGAAGACCGATGTTGACCATTGACAGGCGGACTAGGGACAGCTGCTGGTCTCGTTCTGTTCACGTTCAGGTCGGGAGATCTGATCCCTGCACCACCCTCGACCGTTTTGATCTGGTCAACGGCCGAAGAATTTGATGCTTCTCGTGCCTGATTGCTTCCCGAATGCTGCTGTCGTGGGGAAAAGGAGGGCGCGATGGGCGACTGGGGTTTAGAAGAAGATGGAGAGGTCTTGTTCCCCAATATCACTCCTCTTGAATCGGATCGTGGTGGGCGAGCAACTGAGCCAAGGTAATCACGCGGGATTAGGGTACTGTTCAGGATAGGGTGTGGCGCGGCCTGGTTGTGCCCTGGAGAGCCGTGAGAAAGGACGAATGGGGAGGTAGGTGTTTGACCAGTGCTGGAGGTGAGACCATCCTTCTCAGCGAGGTGCGACATAGCGGCAGTCCTCAGCTAGCGAATGCAGAGGGCCAATCGTCAACCATCCGGGCGCAGGAACAGCGCTCGCTCATGCTGTAACAGAACCGGTCTGCTCGGCAGCAAGAGAACACTGGGTGATGAGCACCAGGGGATTGGAGCGGGCAGGAAAGCCAACAGGAGGATGCGTGGTGCTTCAGAAGCAACAGATGTGACAGAAAGCGACGAAGTTTCGTTACGCGCCCGGGCCTGGGAGCATTGTTTGGCGGTAGGCGCGACTGGCACGGAGCAAGGAGGGGTGGAGCCCTCGGTGCCCCTGGCTTTAAAAATGATGATTATGATGGCACTTCAAGGCTTAGGCGACAATCGACGGGGACAGATCTCTACGGGGTACTTCCGTATAGGGGCTGATAAAGGCCGATAGTCGGGCTCAAACACTCAAAAATGCTCTCGATCTCCCGTGATGTTTGCAGGGAATCCAGTGTGCAATTTACTTCCCACTGCAAAGCGGGACAGATCGTGCTAGACATTGACGGCATCCGGACAAAACTCTCGGATTGCGTGCTGATTGTTTCTGGCGGTCGGATGCCCAGCTAAGGCCCGCCTAGCGCCTACCGTTAACTATAAGCTCCTCTAGGCCACTCTGGGGTTGGAGGCCCACGGGCTGGACCCTAGTAAAATAGGTAAATCAAACACACCGCTGCACGGCCTAATCGTGCAAGTCGTTTCAGACCGATCCACTGCACTGTACACCTCGTGCATCATGCAGGAACCCGGGTGATCTAAACATGGTCAAGGCTCAAAAGGCCATCTGCTTAGTATCTCGGTCCCTTCCAACGACAATATCGCTAAGCCTGAACTTGCGGAGCAGGTTCGGACCCGTCGGGCCAGCTCAGCGATTCGTATACGAGGGTACAAGTGACGACCTCAAACACACCAGACGCGTGCGATCTTGCCGGAGTATCAACAACCCGGTCACTTATCAAACAAGGACAAGCGTTGGCAGTACGTGGATGGTGTACGTCAACCCAGCTGCACTGACCAGCGATTCAGCTCCCGAGACCTCGCCGTTGCGAGCCTGGCGTCGACTTTTGACTTGATGTACCCGAGCCTCCGGCTTGAATGAATTCAATAGTTCGCTTGCCTGCCGCAGAGGCTTGCTTTTTTCTGGCGGCTTGCTGATCGCGGATGCTCTGCTGACTGCGTGCTAGCTCCTCTTTGTATGCATATGATGGGAATGACTGGGGCTCATATACTGATTTTGGAAGCGAAGTTGTATACTGCGAGCTGCCGTCCAGTCCCGTTCGCTCCATCAATGTTGAGAACAGGGCCGGGTTCCTGAAGCTGCTCTTGTTTGCCAAGTCTTCATTGAAATGCAGCCCTTTCGATTTGAGCTCAAGGAAACGCTTGAATTTTGCTTCAACGGCAGCATTCGGAGAACCTGGTGGTGACAGCGGGATGGCTGTCATGGGATGTGAAGCTTGGGTCAGGTGTCTCACAAGATCTTGCTCAGACATAGACTCTGGCAGGTCGTTCAGGTCTTCGATCTCAGGATACTCTTCCGTAGGCATTACCGGACCTACGAGTGATGGTATTGCATTTGCACTCGTTGTGAAGTTAGTTGCTCCATTCGGGGCGGACGCTGTCTCTCTCGGAGCAGAAGCAAGAGTAGGAACAGGCACAGAAGGGGCAGATGCTTGCTCCACCTCTTCGTCACTACTGTCATAAGCGACGAGACCGCTCATAGTAGTGGTGTTCAATACGATGAACCGTTCTGCACCTTAATGCTCCAAACGGTTGAACTATTCAAGATCGATCCTTACAGGAAAGCCAAGGCCAGATGACCGGAGAAAGGCTGATTTAAACTCCTGACGTCGCCAAACTTGCCTGCTTGACTTGCGCTTGAGGCTCCAGCGCGTTCGTCACTCGCGACAACCTCCGAAGCTGCCATCAATCTGCTGTCTTCTTTCCCATCGTCACATTGATTCGAAGTCCGGTAACCATGGCTTCCCTCATGAACTACTCGATGCCTGCAGAGCAGCCCGGCTATTCATTCCCAACGAGTGCAGCCCCATCACAAGGAAATGGCATTCGTCAACATGGCTTCTATCCGTATGGACCGACTACATTCATTGACGTACCTGGCTAACCCCCTCCCAGATACACAGACAATGGTGGCTCAACATTAGGGATTACGGGCAAAGACTTTGCGATCCTGGCCGGCGACACTCGTATGACCTCTGGCTACAACATCAATTCGCGCTACGTCCCAAAGCTGTTCCGCATTGGTGACGAAGAAGACTCCCGAATCGTGCTCTCAGTGGTTGGCTTCGCCGCCGATGGCAATGCTCTCAAAGAGCGTCTCGACGCCATCGTCAAGATGTACAAATACCAACACGGCAAGCCTATAAGCGTCAAAGCCTGTGCGCAGCGATTATCAACTATCCTCTACTCGAAGCGATTCTTTCCCTATTACGTGCATGCCATCCTGGGCGGTTTGGATGAGGATGGCAAGGGTGCGCTGTACAGTTACGATCCCGTCGGCAGCTACGAGCGCGAGCAGTGCAGAGCGGCAGGTGCAGCGGCCAGCTTGATCATGCCCTTCCTGGACAATCAAGTCAACTTCAAGAACATGTATGAGCCGGGCTCTGGAGAGGGTCACAATCTGCAGCCTAAAGCGGTGGAAAGTTTGTCACAGGATCATGTTGTTGCGCTCGTCAAGGACGCATTCACCAGCGCCACCGAGCGACATATCGAGGTCGGTGATGGTCTGCAGATGCTGATCATTAAGGCAGACGGAATCCACGAGACCTTCACTCCTCTGAAGCGGGATTAGATGGGATCTAGATCGGGAAGGGTGCCCTTTGACGGGTCTGTAACAATGCATAGCTTGGCGAAAGGCAACAGGAGTGAATGGCAAATGGTCCTTCTGCAAACGCGTGCATCGCGCAGCGCATTTGCGGTCTTCTCTATGGGTATTCGTGACTCATGATCGCTCCTTGCTAGCCGTCCGCTCGCAAAACCTTGCTCTATTTCAAAATCTCTCCTTCATCCTTCCTGCCACAGTCCGCAGATTGCCATACACCTTGCCTGGTGGCGCGCCTAGAATCAGACTCACCACAGCCTCCCTTGCGATCCTGATATTGCTGAATCCACCGAGGATATGGATTTTACTATCCGCCAACACAACTCTCGTCTTGCTCGTGTTCTCGATGGCAAATTTGGTCTTCCCGTCTTTGCCCGCTATCCGCCCAATCGCTCTGCCCAAATGCTCACCTTGCAATGTCTTGACATCCTTAATCTCGAATGTCTCGATGTACAAATCATCCAACCGCAGTAGGGCAATGGCGTCGTCGACATCAAAGCCCAGCGTGAACGCCTTGATGAAGTCCTCGCCCTTCTGCAACGCGCCAGCGTCGGTCGTATATCGTGATGTGCGGAGCTCGACTGCTCTTGACTTTACATTCATGCGCACTTGTAGTTTCAAATGCTCGACGAGCGGAGGGTAGATCTTAGGCCATGAATTCTTCAGTGGTGTCATCCGATGTGGAGGAACTGGCACCTTTCGGGTCTGAACCTTGAGCGCAGTGGTGGGGGAGATGGTGGTCGTTGTCGCCGCGAACCGTGGTCGGCCTTCTTCGTCTTCTATTTGCATTGAGGTATCATCTGTTTGTGTAGGCGTGGAGGGTGTGAAAGATGACAGGGGCGCAGGTGTGTTGGTATCTATGTCGAGATCGAGGTCATCATCACCTGTGGTTGGTAATGGTATTTGTTCTGCTTGGTCGAGTGCAAGGGCCTCGGGAACTCTCTGGAGTGCAGTGGGTGCTGGCATGACTGTAATCCTGCAGCAACGGTGATCGTATGGCTTATTTTTTGGTGTTTTACGCCCTATGTGACTTGTAGAAGGCCTCGCGAATTTATGTTCGACTTTCAAAAAAATTCCCCGCAGGTCGATCTTGCAGCCGGGCGCTCGGATACTAATTCCGGGAGAGCCCTGTTCCATTCTTGGCGCCCAGGCCATTTAGTGAGAGGTAGGCGCGAGTCGCGTCTCCCGCGTTGATTTCGTGTAGTGACGACTACCACCACGTTAGTGTACATGTCCTATCCCACTACACTATGGACGGCTGAACATCATGGCACCTCCAAGTACAAAACAGCAGTCGCTGACTGCCTTCTTCAAAAAGCCTACGTCTTCACTGCCTCCTAAAGCAGCTACGCCACCGACTCGAGTGCGTGCCGATAGCGGATTCGAGATTCCTGAAGCCAAACGCAGGAAAGTCACACCGGAGCATGGACGTGATGCCACCCCGTCGGAAGATGATGAAGGCGATGCCGATGAACCCAGATCTATGCTCAAACCGGTCTCGGGGAACGGAAAGATTGCTCGAGAGCCTCCCAGATCACCAGTAACAAGTCGGACGTCTCAGTACATGTTCTCGCCTTCTCAGCAGGAGAACAGGGAGCCCGAAGACCTCGATCCCGCAACTCAGCAAAAAAGAGAACAGCTTCACCGACAATTTGTGAAGAAGCTGGGCAAACCAGATAGCATTGCAGACCTCAGACGGAGAAACCGGATGCTGAATAGTGACGAAGAGGATGAAGCCGACGAGGAGGCTGACGAGGAGCCCGAAGAAGCCGTGAGGCCAAAGAAAGGCAAGGCAGTTAAGAAGGGCGGTAACAAGCTCACTCCAATGGAACAGCAAGTTATCGACATCAAGAAAGCCCATCCGGACACGGTACTCGTCGTGGAAGTGGGGTACAAATTCCGCTTTTTTGGTGAAGATGCTAGAACTGCTGCGAGAGAGCTTAGCATTGTGTGCATCCCAGGAAAGATGCGTTTCGATGAACATCCATCAGAAGCCCATCTTACCAGGTTCGCTTCCGCGAGCATTCCTGTGCATCGTCTGCATGTGCACGTCAGGCGACTAGTAGCAGCTGGTCATAAAGTTGGCGTTGTGCGCCAGAAAGAGACAGCAGCATTGAAGGCGGCTGGCGACAACCGCAATACACCTTTCGTGCGCGAGCTCACAAACCTGTATACTAAAGGTACATATATCGATGATACGGAGAGCTTGGAGGACAGCGGGAATGCTCCTGCACAATCTCCCTCCACCGGGTTCTTGCTTTGTCTTACCGAAGACAATGTGAAAGGCTACGGAAACGATGAGAAAGTCCACGTTGGCGTTGTAGCGGTGCAACCTGCGACTGGCGATATCGTCTACGACGACTTTGAAGACGGCTTTATGCGGAGTGAGATCGAGACGAGACTCCTTCACATTGCCCCTTGCGAAATTCTTATCGTTGGCAACTTGTCGAAGGCGACAGACAAGATCGTTGTGCACCTTGCTGGTAGCAAGACCACCGTCTTTGGCGACAAAATTCGGGTTGAACGGATCACCAAGAACAAGACCATGGCTGCGGAAGCCCACAACCACATCACGAAGTTCTACGTGGACAAGATGAAGGATACCGGCAATGACGATGGCAAGGCGGGAAAGATCTTGGCTAAGATCCTGGGTCTTCCCGAGCACGTCTGCATTTGTCTATCAGCAATGATCGAGCACCTTTCAGAATACGGCCTCAAGGATGTCTTCACTCTGACAAAGTACTTCCAGCCATTTTCGGCTCGATCACATATGCTGCTGAATGGCAATACCTTGACTAGTCTAGAAGTCTACCAGAACCAGACAGATCACACCACGAAAGGAAGTCTTTTCTGGACGCTTGACCGGACGGAGACCAAGTATGGAGCTCGACTTCTACGAAAATGGGTGGGTAGGCCACTACTCGACAAAGCTAATATTCAAGAGCGCCAGGCTGCTGTTGAAGAGTTGATGTCGACTGAGAAGGGCATACATGTGGACAAGCTGAAGACTGTGCTTTCGAAGCTCAAGACTGATCTCGAGAAGAGCTTGATCAGAATCTACTACGGCAAGTGCTCGCGACCCGAGCTCCTCACTGTGCTGCGTTCCCTGCAGACCATTGGCAATGATTTCGGTCACGTCAGGGACGCACTGTCAACTGGCTTTGATGCGCCCATGCTCTCCTCAGCAATTGCCTCGCTTCCCCTAATACTCCCAGCGGTTCTTACACACCTCGACAAGATCAATCCAACTGCGGCTGGGAAGGACGACAAGTTTGCATTCTTCCTCGAAGCTCACGAAACAGACGCGATTGAGCATCATAAGTTTGGTATCGCAAGTGTTGAACACGACCTCGACGCAATGCGGTCTCAATTCGCCGAAACGCTGGGCAAGAAACACCCTGTGCAATACAACACAACAGCAGGCATCGAATACCTGATCGAGGTTGAAAATGCATCGGCGAGCATCAAGAAGGTTCCAGCTTCGTGGACCAAAATCTCCGGTACCAAAAAGGTCTCTCGTTTCCACCCACCCAAGGTGGTCGAACTGATGAAGGAGAGAAGCCAGCACAAGGAGTCGCTCGATGCTGCGTGCGATCAAGCATTCAAGGATCTGCTGGTCGACATTAGTGCGGACTATCAGCTCTTCCGCGACACGATCCAATCATTGGCAACTCTCGACTGCCTCTTATCATTGGCCACCGTTGCTTCGCAGCCAGGGTATGTCAAGCCAGCGTTCGTCCCTGGTACGAGCATAAACGTCAAAGGCGCTCGCCATCCAATGATTGAGCAGCTCCTCCTGGATGCATACGTACCCAACGATATACTCTTAACGAGCCATGAGAGATCTCTTCTCGTGACTGGGCCTAATATGGGTGGCAAATCGTCCTACGTTCGCAGCATTGCGCTGATTGCGATTATGGCCCAGATTGGTTCATTTGTACCCGCAGAGAGTGCTGAGCTAGGCATTTTGGACGCTGTCTTCACCCGCATGGGCGCACTCGATAATATGATGAAGGGCGAAAGTACCTTCATGGTTGAGCTTTCGGAGACGAGCGACATCCTTAAGTTGGCGACGGAACGTAGCTTGGTCGTGCTTGACGAGCTCGGCCGAGGAACCAGCACACATGACGGCATGGCTATCGCCAGCAGCGTCCTCGATTGGCTCGTGAGGGAAAAGAAATGTCTCACACTTTTCATCACTCACTATCAAGCCTTGGCTCGAATGCAGGAGCAGTTCGCTGATGGTGAGCTCAGGAATGTGCACATGAAGTTCGAGCATAGCGGCGAAGGCGAGCACGAGGAAGTAACGTTTCTGTACGAAGTTGGTGAAGGTGTCAGCTACCGCAGCTATGGTCTGAACGTTGCCAGACTTGCTGGTCTCAGTCCTGGGGTACGGGAGCTTGCGCGCGAGAAGAGTTCAATGCTTGAAGAGGTGGTGAGAGGCCGACATTTGAAAGCCATCGGCAGGATGCTGTCAAGTGAGAATGCGGCCAATCACCTACTGGACCGGCTGGTGGAAGGCATCGACAGCCTGTGAGGTGCGCTGTCGATATGCAGCAGACAAAGACGAGGTCTAGAACCACGAAATGTAGAAGCAGTAGTCGGCGGGATGGTCAAGGTAATCTATACATAGATTAGTCAAGGCACAACCCCCGGCTTGTCGATATAAGTGCGCGAGACCGTGTCCCGCACTCCGAGGCTGAGGTTTCAGGGGATGCCAAGCTCGTCCATCTTCAGCCATCCAAGTATCTGCTCTTGACCAATACTTTGCAGAAATAGTACCGATGAGGCCTTCAGCGGATAGACTTGGTAGTATGCGCGACCAATATATGCTAAATCCATTCAGAGTCTTTGCCAGATGACGATGGCCCGGTGCACGATAGCCGTTGAGAAGCAGAGACCGAGCAAGAAGCTCTCCCCAGTGGGTTGCAACGATGCGGAGATGAGGGCACTCCTCCGCCGCAAGCATCACCTCCGCCCAATGTATTGGAATAGGCTCTGCAGGTATCTAGGTTGCGGAGACCACCTCCGCGGTATACCGCTTCCAGAAAATCGTGGTCGGCGACCCGTCTCACGCTCCATTCACTTGAAGAGCGAACTACCAAGTCTCTGTAACACCGACCGGAAAGGAAACGACCGTTCAACATGAACGGGACCTGGGCCCGGCAAATCATTCTCACCAGCTCAACTTCTTCCCATCCCACCGATAGAACGCGCCCGCCTCCAACTCCCGTCCTCTGCCCCCCTTCCTCCCGTCATCACCGTCACACAACCTCTCCACGAGAGCCGCCACGCCGTCGACGCACCGTTCGAGGTCATCGCGTTTCCAAAACCCCGTGTGGCCGGGATGCACACTTATGGCCGTGAGTGCGCCTGCGCCTCCGCCGCCGTTTGCGATGTTGCCAGCGCCGACCACACCGCCCACGGCGGCTTCGAGGGAGGAGTAGCCGTCCTCGAACAGGGAGGGGCGGGTTCCCTCGGCGGCGATGGTGGCGGTCAGCTGGTTGAGGGCGGTCTTGGAGAGGCGGTAGGGGAGGTTGCCGCCGGTGTTGTCGGCGATGCTGGCGGCGTCGCTGCTGATGTTGAGAATTCGGCCGCCCCACGGGGAGCCTCGGAGGGAGCGTGTTAGGTGTTTGGATGTGAGGAAGGGGCCCTGCTAGTTTGTCAGCTGCCAAAGTGGCAAACGTTAGCGAGTTGGTGTCGAGGTACGATGGTGTTGACTTTAAAGTGCTCGAGGAGGTCGTCGGCCGTGAACGCCTGGAACGGACGATCGGAAAGGGGGAAGTAAATGCCTATCGCGAGATTTGAGCCGTCAAGTCCAGACCGTGGCGAGCACGGTGGGCGTAACCAAAACGAACCGGCACAATTGATTAGGACATCGAGAGCTCCTCCTCTCGGATGGGTAGCGTAGTCCTCTGCGAGTCGCATGATGGAGTCCTCGTCCGTGAGGTCGACTTCAAAGGTCGGGATCTTGTATGCTTTCAACTTGTCACCATCAGCCAAGACGCGCCCCGGGAGGAGCCTGAGATGGCCAGCATCGTGATAACATACCTGTTGCACTGTTGGGTCATCTCTGGTCACAGGCCGGTACGTGCCGAATACTTGGTGACCATTGACGGTCAGCTTTCGTGCAAGTTCGAAGCCGATGCCTCGATTTGCCCCTAAAGTAAATCTATGTTAGCAGCAAGCGCAGAACGACGTTCGCACCCCTACCGATCACCAACACTGTGAGTGGTGGCATGACAGTGGCATGACAGAGGATTGAACGTTGAAGAGTGAGTGTGCATGTCTATAGTCGTAGTTCTTGCACTGGTCTTTGTCAGCCTCGCTGACCGGGCCCACTTGGGTATGTAAGCAATTATCATTGGGGACAAGTGAAGAGGCAACATAATATCAGAAGACAGATCACTGCAAAGATTTGGCAAAGCCTGCTCATTGTTCCAGACTGCGGTTTAGCAGATGTGCTTGGCGCCATCTCGGTGCCTCGAGCCTAGAGACTTTGGCTGTTCTTCAAGTATCCCCGCGCCTCATTAATCGTACAACATAATACATCCCATTCGGCAGAGGCCCCTCGCCATCCGAATCTTGTGCTCATGATCATCGTGCAGTGCGGAAGCCACCCGCTGCTGAAGAGCAGGAAATCATCACTGCCCACTCTGTTCAGGCCATCGACTTCGTCAGCAGATCATCCATGAACCCTTGAATAACGATGTTGTCCTGAGCGTTGGGCAAGCCGATGACAGCCACACCCGGCGGAATGTCTGCGCCACGAGCATTGAAGCAAGCGAAGACGACCAGCTTTGTTAGTGCTGGACAACTTTTGCAGATTCCAGCCATGACTTCTTCGTCGACCTGACTAACGAAAGACATGTCAATGCTCCGTAGCTCAGGATACTTCTTGTCGCCATCGAAGACTTCGGTGAGTGCCTTGTGAGATATGTGCCGGCAAGAGTGCAGGTTGAGTTCCTCAAGCTGTGTACCAGAGTGTGCCATTAGAGCTTTGAAGCCCTCCGATGCAAATCCCACAGGATAGTCCTCAGGACCAACTGGATCATTGTTGTCGATCCATCGGCACTCGGAAAGATCGGCGAGTTTCAATGGTCTGTTATTCCAGGCAGAAAACAGGGTAGCGAAGGCTTGATCGGTGCAGTGGCTATTCCCGGTGAAGCGGAGTTTGCTGAGCTGAGTGCAATGCGTGTGTATGGCGTGTAAGACTTCATCGTGAGCATTGCTGGTGTCCACAGAGCTGCTGTCCTCACTTTCTGCTCCATGGTCTTCGTCAAGATCAAACCCTTCGAGACACAAAGTCTTGAGCCTCGGGCCGAGCTTCGTAATGAGATCGATAAGAGTATCGGGTGTTGTGTCCATCTGCGCCACTGAGAGCGTGAGATGCTCGAGACTCGGTAAGTTTGCGAATGATTTGATGGAAGACTCCGTCAAGTGAGAGCAACCACGTAATTTGAGGCGTTTCAAATTGACGCAGTGTTGAGCCATCTCGATCGCAGCCACATCTGAAAAGTAGCCCTGAAGGTCCGAGAGTTTGAGACTTTCGAGCTGAGAACCTCTCTCACGGAAGAGCTCAAGCCAGGCATCCTCCGAGATCAGATTAGGGGCACCAAGCTGAAGATGGCGGAGACTGTCACATTTATCGACCATGTAGCGTATAGCATCGTCTTTCATCTGACCTGCGAAACGTAGGTTGACCGCAACGAGGTGGTGCATGTGAGCAAAGATACGGGCAAAATCCTCAGTTTCGAGCTTGCCGCAGTCATACACATCGATATGATCAACGTCATCTCGTAGGAAGAGATTGAGCGTCCTTGGAGTGAGCACACGCTTCTTGGACAAAATCTGGCTCATGCGGTCGAGCAGTGATTCAGGCATATCACCAAAATCCTCAACATCGTTGACAACGTCTGCAACCTTGCGAACACACGCATCGACCAGGCTCTTCGCGCCAGGTTTCACGTCTCCCATCATGCGATCACTTTCGGTTTGTCTCTTGCGACCTCGCTGGGCCGGTACTTTCTTCTTGGCAGCTTTCTGGCTCTTCTTCTCATCATCTTTCATCTCTTTCGAGCATTTGGCACAGAGCAGTCCTCCGTCTGGACCAGTCTTGCTGTAAGGAGTGACGGTGAATCTCTTCTCACATAGTTCGCAGTTCTCGAGCTGACCAGGGAGAGGTTTGTTCTTCGCCATCATTTGTCGAGCGATGGCATCATCATCCTCGGCGTCGCTGCCGAAGTCCTTCTGCTCCTCAAACTTGCGTTTCTTGAACTCCTTGGTTTGCTTAATCTTGTTGAGTGCCTTCTCCTCTTTCCTCTTGCGCTTCTTACGCTCAACAGGATCTTCGCCATCATCGGCAGACTCATTCTCCTTGTCTTCGCCTTCAGCTTCGGCGGCAGCTTGTTCCTCGGCCTCTCGGACCCGACGCTGATGATCGGTGTGAATGTCGGCAGCTGAGATACCCTGAGACGCCAGGAACTCAGTCAAGGCAGACTGGGGCCCGCGGATGCGGTTGTTGACGGCTCTCCGAGACCTAGTCATCGTCAGCGAGCATCGCAGCGCACTAATTGTAGCACTTACATTGTAAAGGAGGGGTGGCAAACGCTCACTCAGCCTCTGCAAAGGAGGATGCAGCGACCACTGCAAGCAGTAAGAGCTTCGTTACCTGGTCGATACCAACGTTGTCGCTGATAAGGGGCAGTAGAATCTTGACGCAGACCACCGTCTGTCTTGAGTGATATCGACTTTTCAATTGTCCATGGCCGCGCCTGCCCGGGCCCGATGACCAATCGGAGTGGGCCCTGCAACCACTTTACACGCTTTGAACGCGCAGGAGTCACGTGCTCACGCGACTACTGCCTAAATTTTAGTGGTCCAGGGTCTCTGACTTTCCTGGACCTGCCAGAAACGCTCTCCTTTGCGCCGCCTTTCTCTTGCTTCTCTATCCCTCAATCATGGCGCCGGAGAAGAAGAACTCGGCTGGCACCTCCCGGCGGTCATCGAGGGTGACTTCTGCTGCATGTAAGTGCAGCAACTCTTAATCAAACCAATACTAACGACCCCTCCAGCCTCGGCGTTTGCCACCCCCGAGCCCGCCAGCAAACCTCTTCGTGGCAAGTCCAAGTTGGCACAGGCTGTCGTTCCCGACTCAGACGGCTCAGGCGACGAGATTCGTGTTGCAACACCTCCCAAGAGATCATCGTCGTTCAAGGGCGTCTATGTTCCTGTCCCCAAAAGATCATCCCATAGCCTTCGACCCATGAGCGATTCCTCGGGCCCATCCTCTGTCGCCGAGACCGATGGAAGCGCCGAATATGATACACCAGCTACGAGTGCCATGAATACACCTGCCATGCAACTCCCGAAGATCAGTGCAACTGCTCGGGCGCTCGAGCTACGCATGTCAGCCAATGCCCTCGGCACCCGATCTACCTCCAAGAAGCGCAAGGCTGAAGAAGATTACGCCGACGAAGAAGATGCCGACTCGAGGCTGGCTGCTCGTCTACAGGCTGAGGAGTACGGTGATGCTGACAGTATGTCTCTCGACGAGGAGTCTGAATACAACCCTCGAGCTAAACGTCAGCGACGTGGCATCAAAGATGAGCCCATCGAGCTTGACTCGGATGACGACGACATTCCCCTCGCCCTCTCGCGTCGTCCCACTGCATCGATCAAGGCCACTATCCGTCAGCCCAGTGTTGCGGCGAGCGATAATTCTAGCCTTCTCTCAATCAGATCTAGCATGGACTCGTCCGCCTTCAGTTATGGTACCGACACTAGTGTCAGCGCAGACGAGGATGATGAGGATGATGTGCTGCTGCCTGTTCACACTCAACCCACGTCCACTAGAAATCGACGTGGTAGACGTGGACGCAGTAGGCCTGACAAGCATATGAATCGAGCTGACAAGGAGCGCGCCAAACTCGAAAAAGCCCATCCCGAGATCAAAACCATGTGGCATGATCTGAGCAACATCGAGAGAATTGCACCCGTCGCAGGTGACCAGCCCCAAGGCATCAACCGCAAGCTCAAGCAATTCCAGCTCGAAGGTGTAGACTGGATGAGAAAACAAGAACAGTCCCAGTGGCGCGGCGGGCTGCTCGGTGATGAGATGGGCATGGGCAAAACGATCCAAGCCGTCAGTCTTATCATGTCCGACTTTCCCGCCAAGGCACCCGCCCTTGTCGTTGTTCCGCCTGTTGCGTTGATGCAATGGAAAGCCGAGATCGAGTCATACACTGATGGAAAGTTGTCAGTGCTTGTCTATCACATTTCTGCAAACCCCAAGTGCAAGAAAATGACCGTCAAAGACCTCAAGAAGTATAACGTCATTATGGTCTCCTATTCTAGCCTGGAATCCATGTATCGGAAGGAAAGCAAGGGCTGGAACCGCGAGGACGGCATCGTCAAGGAAGACAGCGTTTTGCACGCGATCAAGTACCACCGTGTTATCCTCGACGAGGCCCACAGCATCAAACAGCGGACTACCGGCGTTGCTCGGGCGTGCTTCGCTCTCAAGGCTGACTACAAGTGGTGTCTGTCAGGCACACCAGTGCAGAACCGAATCGGCGAGTTCTTCTCGCTGTTGCGCTTCTTGGAGATCGCGCCTTTCGCCTGCTACTTCTGCAAACAGTGCAAATGTGCTGAGCTGCACTGGTCTCAGGACGAGAAGAAGAAATGCGTCAAGTGTCAGCACTCTGGCTTTAACCATGTTTCGGTATTTAACCAAGAGATCCTGAACCCAATTACCGCCAGCCACGACGACAACCTGCGAAAGGAAGCTTTGAACAAATTACGGCTGATCACTGACCGAATCATGCTTCGTCGTTTGAAGCGTGATCATGTGTCTTCGATGGAATTGCCGCCCAAGGATGTGGTCATCCACAACGAGTTCTTCGGCGAGATTGAGCGTGACTTCTCGCAATCCATCATGTCCAACTCTAATCGGAAATTCGACACCTACGTTTCGCAAGGTGTCATGCTTAACAACTATGCCAACATTTTCGGTCTGATCATGCAGATGCGTCAAGTTGCCAATCACCCTGATCTTATTCTTCGCAAGAACGCAGAAGGCGGTCAAAACGTCCTAGTCTGCCGCATCTGCGATGAGCCCGCCGAAGAGGCGATCCGCAGCCGCTGCCACCACGAGTTCTGTCGTCAGTGTGCCAAGAACTATGTCCGCGCCTTCGACGGCCAGGAATCTGAGGCTGAATGTCCACAATGTCATTTGCCTCTGGCAATCGATTGGGAACAGCCAGACATCGAGCAGGATGAGGAGAACGTGAAGAAGAGCAGCATCATCAACCGCATCAAAATGGACAACTGGACGTCGTCGACCAAGATCGAGATGCTGGTCTACGATCTCTACAAGCTGCGCAGCCAGAAACAGACTCACAAGAGCATCGTGTTCAGTCAATTTACCAGCATGCTGCAACTTGTGCAGTGGCGTCTGCAGAAGTCGGGCTTCAGTACTGTCTTGCTCGACGGCAGTATGAGCCCTTCTCAACGCCAGAAGAGCATCGAGCACTTCATGCAGAACGTTGACGTGGAGGTGTTCCTTGTCTCACTCAAGGCTGGTGGTGTGGCATTGAATCTGACTGAGGCGAGCCGTGTCTTCATCATTGATCCGTAAGTCAACCCGCCTGACTCGTCGAACAACGCTAATTTGTGTCTAGGTGGTGGAACCCTGCTGCTGAGTGGCAGTCGGCTGACCGTTGTCATCGCATCGGCCAGCGTCGTCCGTGCAAGATTACACGTCTGCGTATCGAGGACTCGGTCGAGTCACGTATGGTGCTGTTGCAGGAGAAGAAGGCGAACATGATCAACGGCACGGTCAACAATGATCAGGTGGCACTTGACAAGCTGACGCCAGAGGATATGCAGTTCTTGTTCCGAGGCTCTTGATTTGGAGAGGAAGCAATGCGACGTCAGAGAGTTACGATAAAAATCAGAGTCAAGCTATGGTCGCCAAAGCGCCGCGTCTATCACGGCGATATGTTAATGATGTATGATTACGGACCAGCGAGGGGGGTCACCTGTACTCTAGGGCGGGCTTGAGACGGTGTCACGGAACGGTATTTGTTGGCGCAAAGCCAGCACGGCGTACTAGCAGGCATGACTACGTCAAGTGCTAACCCAGACCCCCTGGCTCAACGAGGGCCATGATGATAGAAAAGCTTTAACACATGATGATGCCTCTCTGCGTACTTCGAACTGATGGTAATCGCTTCTTTCTGATCGTGAAATCATGAAAACAGCACTTGTGGTGGGCCCGTAGTCGGATCAGTTATATATGCAGAAATGACGTATTGACATATGTTCCTCGCCAGCTTCGCCAATCTCGCCAGCCTCCGCAGAATATACATCGCGCGACTACACCTATGTCTACGACACGGCAGGCGAAAGTGACAGACATGTCCCCTCATAGCCGCTGCCTCGCAATGTCCCCGGCAGTCAGGTACCAGAAGCACAGGGAGGAGGCAGTGCAGTACCTACCCTGCGGAGGTACCTCGGGGTACCTCGGGGGGTCTCTTGTGAGCAGCACCGCTACTGGGTATCAACAGTCATTCGCTAAGCGCCTATTGTAGGCCCGGACGCACGATGGCTTGCAGCTGAATCTGACTCGGCGGAGTCGCTTCCTATTGGCTCCTATGCGAACATATGCCGGTGGCACTGTTGGAGGGAGGAGGGGTCCTACATACATAGGTGTTTTGAAAAGAGTTCAAAAGGCTTTGGTGTGGGGGAAAACAGGGAAAAGGGTGTATGTGCACGAAGCCGACGAAGCGCTGGGATTGGGCTCAATGTGGGAGGTATCTCGTAATACCTACCTGTTGTTGGCCTCACGCACGAAGGATCTTGCGTGGGAATCGAGGCTATACCTGGTCAAAACACGGAGTAGATCACGGTGCGGCTTGCACGAAGGACGTCGTGGTTGCGTCAATTGGGTCATCTTGTTACCTTTTGCTTTCATACACCCTGGCATGGTGTGGTGGGGTGGTTCAACTTATGTGGATGGGCTTGCTCCTTGATTGGGGGGCTGCACAACCGTGGTGCTATAGAAGAACTGACTTTCTCTAGACCTTGATTGGCGTGTAGTCCCAAGAGCATTGTGGACAGTGCGGAGGGTGGAGATGAGGAACGGCAGGGGGAAGAAACTGTCGGGCCTCCCTTGTTCATCTCCCGCTGAGATCGCAATAGGATTGTGCACTTAGTGAGTTGGCGCGAAGGCGAGAACGAGGCTCGCCGCGCGGGGAGATACCATTCCTTGGTCAGAGCGGAGGATGAGACCATACCCATGCAGCAGTAGTTGTAGTATAGCTCGTGCTCGGTGGGATCCGAAGATGTAGGCGAAGGAGATCTGGTGTGACAAACATCGCCTATGTTACGAGAACTGGCCGAGGCTCAAATCTGCTGCTATTCTGAGCGACTTGTAGAGCGTCAAAGCGATGATCGCGTGCCACCAGAAGAAGCAGGGAGAAGGGCGCGAAGGGGCACCGTGTATTGCGATGGGAGTGGACGTGGAGGAGCCGGCGGTGGAGGACTGGGGATTTGATTGGCTGCCTGGGGTCAAGTTGAGCCAGCCACTCAGCTGTCACGACCACCGTGTAACCGCCCATCGCCTAAGAATAGCCCCTACCGCTTCTCGACACCGTTATCCACTCAGCGGCCACGGTCGGCGGCTCGACAAAGCCAGCATGTTTGAAAGAGTTCGTGTCAGCTTCCATCGCCTGACCAATGATCCGCCGAGACCTCAGGACGACCCACTAACTGGCGCGCGATGGAAGCCCTTCCGACCGGAACAAGCAATCTGATCGACATGGCAGTCTCCTCCCCCATGTATTCGTCAAGCTATGGATCTATCGGACATCGGTCGACGCCAGCTAAGTTCGCTTGAGGGTGCATACGCCTGTACGCATGCGAGATGCTGGCGCGCATCCTGCGGGCAGGTTGGCAATAATAGCCTCAACCCTGGTACTACCTGAGCCTACATATCTGCTGTGGTGTTAGCAGGCCTCCTTGTGCTGTGACACTCGTGTCCAAGTTGGTCAAGGCTTTCAGGCCTCTTCGTCCTGTCTTGGTCATATCACAGCCGCTTGTCCAGCATACAACAAAACTGTCCTCCGTTTCCTCCTTCGAGCCTGACAACCATGGCTCCAAGCTTCTCCTCCCTTCGCTCATCCTCTCGCCGGCGAGAGAGGCCAGCGGAGCGGCATGAACTTGATGATAAGTACGGAGATACCTTCATCAGTCCTCCCAATAAAGGTGCCACATGGGGCGAATGGTCGAGCCCTGCCGTCTCTCCAAAGGCCGAGGAGCAACTGCCACCATCTCAACACACACCCCTTCAAGATCCACCACGGTTGCCCTCAGCCCTGCCGGAAAAGCATGCACTCTCCATCACCATCACCATACCCCTGCCATGGAGATCAAAGAACCGGTCAAGCTCAGTTCCCCCACTCTACGATCGCATGCCAGAGCAAGTGGTACCCGCGCCACTGGAGCCGATATCCGCCGTAGAATCACGACCTCCGTCAAGGTCAAGAATGACGCCTCCCAGCTCATTGTCGTCCAGATTTTCGCCTCCTTTGCCACAAGTCGCTACACGAAGATCGCCAGACCCTCAGACCGCGAGCCGTCAGCACGCAAAGCCAACGCCATCGAACACACCAGCACTCGGCGTGCTCTCCCCAGTCGTCGAAGATTTTGACGACAGGTCTGCAACCGATTCCAGTGTCGTCACACCGATTGAAATCTCGCCATCATCGCCAGTAAAGGTGTCGATCCTGGACAGACATCATGAGGAGCGAGACATCGTCCAGCCCTGCGTTCCTCCAATGAAGGGCTCCCGAAGTCCTGGCCCGGAGCGCCTTCGCAAGTCGCCTCCTTTGCAGGAACCGTCCCGCCGGGCTCACTCTGTAGATCAAGTGATGCATCGCCGGCGCACCTCTGCTAGCATTCCACGCGAACCTGCCGTCAGGCAAACCTACGAACCTGAATCAGAGGACGAGGATATACCTGTGCCTGGCCGAGGTGGCGTCGGCTATCGGCCGCGAACCAGCACCAACACATCATCGACCAGTGGGAACGGACTCTACGATGTGGTGGCGAAGGACTATAGGGTGAGTCTCCCGTGGTTCATCTCCAAGAAGGTCTATCTAGCTAACTTGTATGGTAGTGAGTACCCATACTATCTGCTCTCAGGCTAAGACTCCTTTCCCTGTCAATGTCGACTTAGGCTGACCGAATCCTTCCAATAGCATGATCATTCGAGATGTGGAGGCAGACTACCAGGCTGCCAAACGCATGAAAGAACGATCTAGAGCAGGCAATGCCGGGAGTGCTGGGAGCGGCGTCTCTGCAGATTCGGGGTACGGAAGCACACAGGCCGGTGGGGGACCTCAACAGCTGGTACCGAGTGACGATGATCTCTGGGGCTAGACTACATACGATGTGGCTACAGCAGAACAGCAGCAGCAACAACATGAAACAAGGGCAACCAAAATATCGTTGTTGAGCAGGCAGACGACACTTCATCTTTTGGATAAGAAACATGGCGGGAATACACTTTTGGCTCGGTGTTGCCGATGCTCCTGGCGGGATGTGCGATGCCGAGTGGGCCTTGACGTTAATACGGTATAAAAACCCCGCAAGACTATTCCATGGCTTCACAGCCTCACCCACTCTCTCTTTGCAACCGAGACTTGGTCTCTTGTCCGAGGTATCGTGGCTATTACGTTTCGGGACTAGCGTGGTTGCCTTTCGTACTGGACGCCTCCCAGGGCCTGGCATATATTGAGCTTTACCATTTCCGTGGCATTTGTATCTCCTGTAAATCTCAGGCAGTCTCTACCTCTTGAAGGATCTGAGCCTCAAGCGGACCTGAGCAAATCACTGGGGAGAAAGCCTGCCCGCGACGTCATCATCCAAATCCACAGCCATACTCGACTACCCACTAGTTCTACATCATTCTAGATCAACTGGTTCCAGGCGAAAGATCAAGATCATACTATCACCCAACACGTGCTTCGCAAGAGCTTCTTTAGTTTATCAATATGACAGAACTGACAGCTTCTCGAGAACCTCAAACCCCCAGCTCAGATCCACATAAAGTCGAGATCCTAATCCTGGGAGCCGGCTGGCTCTACCAGTTCCTGCACCCACTCCTCAACCATATTCATATCTCCCATGCGGGCACAACTCGCAACGGTCACGACAACACGATCCCCTTCACCTTCGACCATACCTCCACCGATCTCCAGCCATACGCCAGCCTCCCCACTGCAACCACAATCCTCATCACCTTCCCCCTCCCCGGCGCCTCCGCGCCCAAAGTCCTCCTCGACAACTACGCCGCCACCCACTCCCACACCCCACACCCCAACACCATCCTCCTCGGCTCCACCGGCGAATACAGGGGCCCGGGCTGGCACGACCGCACCTCCACACCCGCAGGTCCGCCCTCGGAGCGCTGGCAGGCCGAAAACGCACTGCTCGCCCTGCCGCGCCGCAACGGCTGCGTGCTCAACCTCGCGGGCCTGATGGGCGAGCCCGGCCGCGACGCCAAGATCTGGGACCGCGCCGTGCCCACGACCCAGGACGGCTTGCGCGCCAAGGCCAGCGTGCATTTCGTGCATGGCCGCGATGTCGCAAGGGCCGTCGTGGCCGTGCACAAAAGGTTTGCCGAGGCGATGGGCCAGAGGTGGGTCCTGACGGACGAGAGGGTTTATGACTGGTGGGAGCTGGCGTGGGCGGAGGCCTCGAGGCTGGATGAGCGGTTGGTGCAAGAGGAGAGGCGGGCGGGCGGATATCGGAGGTGGATTGTTGAGCTTATGCAGGAGGAAGGTGTGCGGGCGTTGCCCAGAGATGGCGAGGTGCTGGGGAGGCGGCTGGATAGCAGGGGGTTTTGGCAGGCTTTTGGCATCGTGCCGGAAGAGAGGGCGTTTTCTTGGCCGACAGCGCCTACGCCCTCAAATGGGTAAAGAAGAGCTGTCGAGAGAACGGTAGCTACGGAGAGAAGAAGTCCGAATAGGGATGGGAGAACTGCACTCACGAAGCATGGCTGTTCGCTTTTGCTTGTTGTGGGGAACGGCGGTTCACCACGCTCGCCCCGTTGCATATCGTACACAGCACCCACGTCCTTGCTTTGGAAGAAGCCCGCCTTCGATCTCCCAGCCGGGCGGCCCCCTCCCCTTTGTCCATTATTATTGTTTATTCATCATCATTCATCCTTCGCCTCCTCCGCGGCCTGCCACTCCTGCGCCTCCCTAAAGACGCTCCTCCTCTCCTCCCTCACGACGGTCCACAAATACCCCCAAAACAGCATATCCGCCAACGCGACACTAAACACGACCTGATTCCCCAGATTCGCACCCACGCTGCTCTCGGCGCCCAACCCGCCCAGCCCCATCGTGCCCCCCACGCCCCTGACCCGGCCCAACACCTCCCTCCTCCCTTGCGTCACGTACACCCACGCGACCAACACGCCCTCGACCGCCACGCGCACCACCGCCAGCGCCATCCAGGCATTCTGACTCGCGCTCAGCACCGCGAGATCCTCGCCCCGCCGGGCGCGCGAGACCTGCGGCCCCGCCAGATTGGGGAACTGCCCGCGCCACTCTTTATTGGCGGCGGCGGCGGTGGCGTATTTCTTGAACTGCAGTGTTTGCGGCAATCCCAGGCCGCCGGCAAGGAGGAGCTGCATGAGGGCGAGGGTGGAGAGGAGGAGGGCGATGGCGGCGAGGAGTTCGGTGGTGGGAGGGGCGAGGGCGATGTAGGATTCGGTCAGCGGGTTGAAGGCCGGTTGGAAGAGGGCGGGGGGCAGGCGCATGGATTCGCCCAGGAGGGTGAGGGCCGGGGAGGTGAGGAGTTGGAGGGGGGAAAGGAGGAGGAGGTAGGAGAGGGCCAGGAGCGTGAGGGCGTGGAGACGGAGGAGGAGGGGGGAGGAGAGGAGGGCCATGATTTTGGTGGTGGTGTATAGGACGTGAGGTGGGTGTGTGCAATGTTCACGCAGTGCGCGGCTCGGGTTGTCGAAGATGGCGCTTGAGTCTTGAGATTGAGCTGGCAAGGTGCGCAGAGCTTCAGGGTTTGAGCACCGGTGGGGGCGATTGTTTGTGGCGGGGTTCGAACAGCTAGTAAGTCGCCATAGGGACGGTGTCTGAAGGGACAGATGTACGGAGTAGAAGCTGGGTGAAAAGAAGATGTGTCCAGGCAGTAAATTCGCAGCCTTGCAGGCCTCAAGCCACCTAATTGGCCGGAGCTGCACATAGCTGCTCGTTGCCTCTTCGAGTTGTTCGAGGATTTATTTTCCACCACCATGCTGCTGACTGGGGATTACGCCACCATGGAGGAAATGATTGAGCATGGATCGGTAGATGTCTCAACTCTGCCTTGTCTACTGATTGTTTTCGGATGAGTGTGGCTCTCTGATACCTTTTCCCCAATCAACTCAGAGAGAGAAAGTGCTATATATATGCATTCGCGGGACCTCACTCACCCAACGGGTCGCCGCGAAGCAAACTGTACAGTGGTTCGATCTCAAACACAGCAACTTCTGGCATCGTCGTGGTCTCGTGAAAGTCATGATTCGTGCGTCCTCCGTTTTTTCCCAGAAGGCGCCTCGCAAACGCCGGTCTCTTACACACGCAGAACACGAACAAGTGCCGCATCCGCATACTCATCGCACACAAAACTGCAAAATGAGCTTTTCCAAGTCTCTGATACGGTATGGCTTTGTCATGAAACCTTCCATGCCCATTCTTGTGGCTCTCTCAATAGCCTGTTCGGTGACATCGGCAGACACGGCGAGAATTGTTGGCGGAGCCAATTCGGGACTCAACATGGATTTCCGTGACCCGTTGACATGGCCAGACACGCTGCACCCGCAATCCGATGCCTCGACGGTTTTGGGGGAAGCCGACCCGTACATCCTGAGGATCTCCTCGGCTGCCTGATAGCCATCCATTTCTGGCATCCAGAGGTCCATCAGGACCACATCGACCGGCTTCTTGACCAGAGGTTTCTCGGCTCGCTCCTTGGATCTGGTCTTGCCGATCTCCGAGCCACGTCGCTTGTCATTGAGTCGCTGTGTTTGGCGAATCTCGTGCATGACCCGAACGGCCTCCCTGCCATCAAAAGCCTCGTAGACGTCCTTGTAGCCAAGCTTGCTGAGCATGTTGACAAGGAGCTTGCGATTGATTTTGTTGTCTTCTGCGACTAAGAAGGTGAGAGGATGTCGAGAGGCTAGACCTCTGTCATAGCCGTCCTTGAGAACGGCGGGTGAGGGCCTCTTCGTCCGGTCGGCTGGCTTGCATGATTCTGATAGAGTATTTTCTTTTCCAAACCTTCTCGGCTGTGGAGGCGAGGAAGAATTCTGTTGCTGAGATTTCCTACTGGCAGTATTCAGAGTGAAGATCGATGTCGATGATTTCGGTGTCAAGCTTGTCGTCCCTCGAACACCGTTCTTCGAAGGATTGGGTGTGTAAGACATTGGAGTCGCGCTGCGACTGGTCGACATGCCGGGCTCCAATGGTACCCGAATCTCGAAATCAGAGCCCTGGTGCGGTCCAGATAGCTCCGATCGAACAAGGCTGACGTCGCCGCCTAACCGCCGAGCCAGACCTCTGGCTACCATAAGGCCTAGACCCAATCCCTCTTTCGACCTGGTCGTTGAGTTGTCCTCTCGTGAGAAGGGTTTGAATAGCTTGGGCTGAAAATCGACCGGGATACCATCTCCCTGATCACGAACCTTGGTCACAAGATATCTCTGATTGCTGGACAGCTTCACGGTTATTTCGACTTTTCCCTGATCTGTGAATTTGAACGCATTCAAGAATACTTCGTAGATCAGCTTCGCAAGGTCTCGCTCGTCTACCAAGAAAGACTCGGGCACGTCGGCGTCGACGATCCATTCGATCAACTTCTGGGAGACGTCGCCATTTGAAGAACGTGACCGCACCTCGATTTTCTCGCCAAGATCTGTCGGCTCGCTGATTGCCGAGTCAGGTCGACCACCAACGCGGAGAGCGTCGTTGATCACGATCGGCAAGAGCTGACGAATCGAAGTCTGCCGAAGCCCGGGCGTTGGCAACGCTTCACTGTCGCTACCCGGTATGGATGGGGTGACAGATGTTTCAGTCTGTAGTGGCGGAGCAAGGGAGTCTGGCGTGCGAAGGGAAGGGGAGAATCGGCGCGTGGGAAAGGCAGGCGAGGTGGAAGGCGGGCTATTGCTGTGTGGTGAGACATCCCCGGGTACAGCCTCGACCTGGCGGACTTTACTTGGTGGACCGAACTGCCAACTTCCCTCCGTTGACCGCCTCCTCTTGTGGTTGTTGAAAGGTATGTTGTTTCCCTCGATCACCCTTGCAGGCTTGTAATCGAAATAGTTGCCGTTGCCATGAGTGATGGCGGGCGACTCGTTATCCTGCATGGGGGTATCAGGAATTTGCATGTTCATATCATAGGCGTGAACCACGTTGTCGGCTGCCTCAACAGCACGTTTGGCGCTATCCTGAACGACCTCGATATTGTCTCGTAACGACCGGAAGACCGTGCGTAGTCTAGGGTTCAGTTGGCCCTCAACCTGCTCTTGTACAGAAGCATGCATGATATCGAGCATTCCGACTACACCGTGCATTGGAGTTCGTAATTCATGTGAGAGGCTCTTGGCGTAGGGTTTCAGGGACTGCTGCGCAGTAATGGCTTCTTGCGGAACGACCGTGCTCGGTTCTGGGGGAGTCAGGGTCTGCGGAGGCTTCTGCTTTGCGAAGCTTTGACCGGATAGTAGACGGTCGACTATTATGTCTTCCAACGCATGTAGGAGCATTTCCAGATAACTCCACGAGATCTTCTTTTGATCAAGACCATCCTGAGTCCACATCAGGCCAAAGTGCGCAAAGCATTTACCGTCAAAGAACAGAGGAACGCCGATGTAGCCTTCGGCCGTGAGAGGCAGATTGTTTGGATTGGCGGTGATGAACTCTGACATGCGTTCAGGGACAATGAAGACCTTGTCGTGCTTCATATGGGCACACGGCGAGCCCCATGCAGTGTACTTGTAATCGTGATGCATGCCAACCTTGCCGCCGCCGTCGTTATAGTAGAAGGCAACGCCCAATAAGCATGAACCCGGCTCCCCAATCGGTGGCATCTCTACTGCTGCATCATGGTCATCGACGAGTATGCGCTTGGCAACGAAGCCGTATTGTGCCTGGGTGATGCTGGTCAACCCCTCCATCAATTTGGTCCAGAATGTTTCTGTTTTTGCTGCCTTCAACTGGGCTTTCAGTTCGACGAGCCTTTCGGTCGCATCACTTTCTGGAGTCGCAGAGATGCTCTGGAGGGTCTCGCGAAAGCCGGGATCCCCGGCGTGAATGGACATGCCCGGCTGGATACTTGAAAGACATAGTGAGGTGCGCTCTATAGGCGGTGCTTTGGGGTCTGGATCGTGGTTTGCCATTAGAGGCGAGTGTTATGTATTGGCGGTGGGTCGACTACTGCAATATCATGTCGATGGGTCCTAGGAATCGCAAGCGAGAATCGGAGGTGTTTCGTGATGCATCCCGCAACAACGACGTGAGGTTTCGCGGAACCGTAGACTGAGGGATACGAAAGGACGGTAGGTTTTAGGACTGTTGGTACGGTATTGCAAGTTAGGGAAAGGCCTATTAACGAATACGGCACAGGCTGGTGGACTGCAGACAGCGGGGCGGAAAAGAGATGATGCTCGACAATCGTTTCCCGGAGGTTACATTCCAAGACGGAGGCAAGCTGTCAGCAAGCAAGGGCTGGCGCAAAGCAGGCCGGGATAGAGGGGACACGGGGACTCAGGTCTGAGCACGCGGAATGCTTGTCAAAGGACCACGAGTGACGACGGTGGCATCTATGGGTGGGCAGTGGCTTTGAGTCTTGAGTCAAGAACTGTGCGTTTTGGCTGACAGGACGGAAAGTGGCCGGAGGACGTAGTGTGTGAATTAGCAAGCCAGCGGCCAGAAGTGCCCAATCGACCATACGACAAACTATTGTCAAAGCCAACGAAGCCTAAAAAGTAAAGGAAAACTGATTGCGCAGGCGTTTGCGTCGGCCTTCGGGGCTGCGAAAGAGGGTCCCCTGGCAGCTTGACCGCCCACCTGAAGGCGCTCAAGGGTGTAGGCCAACGTCGGCGTGTAGATCAACCCACAACGATTGGTAGATCTCCCATTCGACATCGCGGTGGCTGGATCTAGAACACCATCGATGTGCTGATCCATGCTCTGTGCAAGTTCCACACTGTGATGATGGACCAAGGAGACAGCGCGCTTCCTCGCTTGTGCCGCCACTAGATTGCTCAGTTTTGTGCACTTGCTGACCTGCTGTGCCTGGCACTAGGGTGTGTGCAGAGCAGCCTACTTGTACCGCACAAGTCCACCTCGGCCAGCAACCCTATGACGGTATCACGGAGCCACCCGGATATGCAAACAGGTGGGAGGCTGCATAACAACACAGGGGGTCGCTTTTGTGTTCAGCAAGGACCATGTGGGTGCTCGTATCAGGGTCACGATGAGTATGACAGACGAGTAATCTCTGCTCTGGGCGATGATCATCAGTTCGCTATGCTGCTTGATCAACATGCTGTGTCCGGAAAAAGATAGCTGCTGCTTGTATTCGGGGATTAACAGGTCCAGGGGCTAACGGTTGGTGTGACCGTTGACTCGTTCTATTCGTGTTCACGCCGCCCTCGCGAAATAATTGCTACTTGTCCTCGGGCTTGAATCTTCTTCTGTCGTCCAAGATTGACCTAGGCCCTATCAAACACCGTCATGGGAGGAACCGCAACGCCGAAACCGAGGCGGAACACGAAACCTACGCGGCAATACGGCATCAGCAACTGCAGCCTCAAACGCCTCGCGTGTCTTGGCTCCGGGCCAAGTTATGCTGACGGTTAGGTTAGCCAGACCGCCCTCCAATTCTAGTAGTGGGTGAGTCAAGTAGTGGCTTGACAGTGTCACATCTGTTCGCGTCAGTCATCTCGATTCACAAAGCTGATAATTCTATATTGAAACAAGACCGGAAGAAGCCAAGGGGACATCTTGAAACTCATGGCGGCGTTCTATTCATCTAACCGAATGCGTTATTTGTACAGAGTCCGTGGTGTCTATGCTGCTCTGATTTCGCCATAAATGCATATGCGGAAATCCAGCCACTAGTTGGACTTGACCTTGCCGTTGGCAACATGGCTGCCGTTCGCCTTGGACCTGCCCTCTGACTGAGCCGGAGATGCTGGCTGCATAAAGAATGCTCGCTCGACGGCTTTGAGAGCCTCGTCTATGAAAATGACTGGTAAGCTGATCCAGATAACTGCAAACCATTCGGCCTTGTTCAGAGGGTCAATGTTGAAGATTGACTGGAGGAATGGCTGGTACAAAATCAGGAAGTGGAGCGCCATCGACAGGCAGATGGCGTAAATAAGCTTCATGTTCTTCCAGAGTGGCATCGTCACCAATGACTCGGACGACGACAGGGCGTTCATGGCGTTGAACATCTCAATCACCACCAAGATACTGAGTGACATGGTCGAAGCCGCCCGGTTCTCGTACGCATGAGTTGCGAAAATACCGCAATCGACGCCCCGGTACAGAGGATTGGCGAGAGAGCAGCGATGGAAATTGCGCAGCTGCGTAAAGCTGAGCTGAGGGCCCTCGGAGTAGAACATGAACCACCACACGTATCCAAAGACGGTGGCAGCCCCAACGTAGGTGCCAACAATGAGATAGCGGATGAATAACCAACCACCAACGAGTGGCTCATCCCGCTTGCGCGGTGCGCGGCGCATAACATCGTTGTCAGCGGGGTTGAATGACAGTGCTGTAGCTGGTAAACCGTCCGTAACGAGATTGACCCACAGAAGCTGAACCGGTACAAGCGCTTCTGGAAGACCGAGGGCAGCCGTGAGGAAGATAGACACAACCTCGCCGATATTGGACGATATGAGGTACCGAATGAATTGCTGCGTGTTGGAATAAATCGTTCGGCCCTCTTCGACTGCCAGCTCGATGGTGGCGAAGTTATCGTCTGCCAACACCATATCCGCTGCCAGCTTCGCGACATCGGTGCCGGTGCCCATGGCTACGCCAATATCGGCCTTCTTCAACGCAGGTGCATCGTTGACGCCATCACCAGTCATGGCAACGACCTCGTTGGCGTCTTGAAGCAGGTCTACAAGCTTGGACTTGTGTGTAGGCTCAACCCGAGAGAATAGAGATGCAGTCTTCGCAGCTTGGAGTTTCTGGCTTTCAGACATGGCGTCAAACTGTCGACCTGTGAAAGATTTCCCACTGAGCTCCTCGTCCTGTCCGAAAACACCAATTTGGCGGCAGATGGTCTCAGCAGTGAGCTGGCTGTCACCAGTGATCACCATGACGCGGATGCCTGCATCCTTGCACTTGCGAATGGCCGTTGCAACCTCCGGGCGGGGGGGATCCAGCATACCAACCAAACCAATGAAGGTCATTCTCTGCTCAAGCTGAGCATACTCCTTGGTGGTCTTGGCGGACTTGAGTAGGGGATGACCAGTGATGTCTTCAACGGAAGCAAGTGCAATGACCCGGAGACCCTTGCTGGAGTATTCGTAGATCTCTTCATTGACCATCGCCAAATGCTGCTTGCTCATCGGTGCACGCTTGCCATCCGACCCAAGGAGGATGTGGGAGCATCTCTCGACGATCGACTCAGGAGCACCTTTAGCAAGAAGTTTCTGCTTGCCGTTGCCGACAAGCACCGACATACTCTTTCGGTCACGAGAGAACTCGTACGTCGCTTGAACCGGGATTTGGTTTTCGTACCATTGGCTGGCGAAGTGAACCCGCTCGTCAGCCTGGAGCTGATCTCGCTTCTTGTTTGTCGCAGCATCAGCAGAACCAATCTTCTCAACGAGGACTCTCAATGCTCCTTCTGTAGGCTCGCCGACGTTGGTGTACGCCCGAGTCTTCGCATCGTAAGACAGGCGAGATTCATTGCAGAGAGCCAAGACCTCTGACATTTGCCTTATGGTCGATGAGGTAACAGCCAAGTTCTCGACTTGCTTCCCGTTGCGTGAGAGTCCGCCCTCGGGCGAGAAGGTCGTACCTTCTACTTGGAGCTCTTCGAAGTCGGTTCCATTTTCGTTCAGGTAAACCACTTTCTGTACGCTCATCTGGTTCGTAGTCAGAGTGCCGGTTTTGTCGGAGCAGATGACACTGCAGCTGCCTAAAGTCTCAACAGAAGGCAAGCTCCGAACAATCGCATTTTTGGCAGCCATTCTCCGTGTTCCTAGTGCCAGACAGGTCGTGATGACAACTGCCAGGCCTTCAGGAATCGCCGCCACACCCAGAGAGACAGCGATCTTTAGGTAGTAGATTGCCCCCTTGGCCCAGCTTCCGCCATGAGCAGGGTCGTTGAAATGCTGGATGTTGATCAACCACACCAGGATGCAAATGGCGGTAATGACCTTGGCCAGGGTGTCGCCAAAGTCGTTCAGCTTCTCTTTGAGAGGTGTAGGCTCGGAGATCTGGGCTGTTATGCTCTCGTGAATATCACCAATGGCGGTATTGGTGCCGGTCAGCACGACGATTGCAGTGGCATGACCTACCACGACAGTCGTGCCGGAAAACAGCATGTTCAATTGATCCTGCTTCACGGCCTGAGCGTCCTTGACAATTGCGCAATCTTTCTCCACAGGCTCGCTTTCTCCAGTCAAGATAGCCTGGTCCACGGAGAATGCATTGCTCTGGATCGATAGAAGTCGACAATCTGCAGGAATCCGGTCGCCAATCGCGACCCTGACAATATCGCCGGGCACGATCTCGTCAGCCTTGAGTTCGACGAGCATTCCATCTCTTACGACTTTTGCCTTGTTTGCCGAGTACTCTTGTAGAGCGGCAATGGCCTTCTCAGCGCTGCTCTCCTGCGTGACACCGACGATCGCATTGAGGATGAGGATGGTGAGGATCTGGCACCTGTTAGTTCCGGGCGCGCATGCATTTCAAGATCGGCGACATACCACCACAGGGTCGACGAACGCAGTCCAGTCGTCCGAATCCTCGAACAATGCAAGAACGAAAGAAATGGCAGCAGATGCGAGGAGGATAAGGACCAGCTGATCCTTGAACTGCTCCAAAACCAATTCCCAGAGTGGGGTTGGCGGTTCCTCAGGAATTGCTGCCTCTTGTCAGTGTTGATTTTCTTCAAGAACCGCAGAGATCCCTCACAATTGCTGCCATAGCGTTTGCGATTTTCCTGCACCTGCTGCGACGAGAGACCTCTCTCCTCAGTCACATCAAAGTGCCTGCGAACGCTTGTGGCGTCCTTATTATAGGACGATTCCATGATGGGGGGACTCAAATGAGGGTGTATGCAACAGCAGACTATTGATGGCCAACGGTGGAGTAGGAGCAAGTGAACCGGAACAACGCCATGCAGCCCTCTACTTGGGCGACAGAGCTGGTCTATAAATTCTGGAGAGAATGGCGTGGGTTAAGAGTTCTCCCCGGTGGTCCACATGGTAGATGAGAAAAAGGTGTCCTCTCGCGGATCCAGTCCCCACGAGCCCAGCGCGGCCGCCACATGTCGCCGATGCCAAGCATCACTGGCCACGGTCTGCGGCAGTCTTGCCGTTGCCGACTTCCAGAGGCGTCGTCATTCTCGATGGAATACACGTTCGAGATGGGATCTATCATGCTTTGTAGCATCCTGTGACCCACACACCGAGAAAACCCCTCAGGCCGTGGTACCTGGAAGGAGATTTGCCCTTAAGAGCACCTTTGACCCTTCATGCTCCAAGTCTCTGAATCGTACAAAGCCCTGTGATTGGACGTCTTAAGAGTCTTGGAAGTGAGTGTCCGTTGACGGACATTGTCGAGCATTGCGCGTACAGTCTAAAGCGCTTCGACCTACTCATTTAGGCGTATGTAGACCTTTAAGCCCACGCCACTACAATGGAAGAGCCTTTTCATAGTGAGTCTGCCGATACTGCAGATTTGACACCCCAGAAGCTGGCAGCAGAGGCAGGCTGAGACTGGTTTGAGACTGACCTGAAGCTTGAATCCAACGCAAGCCAAAATTGAAGGAGCCAAGTCACGGAAGACACACCACACGATGGGGCTTGATGACTACTAGCAGTGTCAACAGGACTCACTAAAGCCCTGCGGAACAGGTTGGCGCAATACGCCTTTCGTGTTTGAGCATAGCAAGAAGTGCATAGTATAGTCTGGCTTTACGGCCAAGCAATAGACTGTAAACTTGAGAGAAGACGAAGGCTCTTCGATCAGTATTGCTAGTATTGAGATGGAGTGCAAGTCCTCAGGGCCATCGTCGTGCGTCGGACACTTGCGGCACCTGGAAGCCGGAGCCTTTTAACTGCGCCGTTAGTCTGCAGAATAAAGTAGCCTCCCAAGCGGGTGAACGATGGTCATCAAGAGAGATGTAATAGAATTCATGGTGCAGGAAGATGGAAAGCCAAAGCAAGGCTGACACGGCGACCGAAGTACCGCAACTGTCGCCAGGTCGTAGCTGGCCGTTGGCGGGGTTGCGCCTTGCTTTCACTCCCCCAAAACACAACATCAGATAATGACCACGGCACAGTACCGCGAGTCGCTCCCTCCTTTTGCGTGACCTACAACCTGTAGCTGTTCTTCGTTGGAATCAGCCAACTTGCAATCACTCGAATTGACCTGATTTCAATACGCTTGGGAGGGTCAGGTGCGCCAAGGCAGCTGTTTTGTTTGAGAAGGGCTGTGTCACCCTAAGCCTGATTCGACGCTCTGAACTTCTCACATCTGGATTCGTGCTTCCCAGGCTGTTCACCATAATCAATCATCCTCCCAATCTCAAACTCGTCTGTCCAACCACCCCTCTTCATCCCAACGTCCACATCTTCGACATCACCATATTGCCAAAGTCGCATCCGTCACAATGTCTACTGATGTAAGTCTCGAAATGCTCCGCGCAAGTCATCCCGCACACTCCCCAGCCGCAGCCCCCCATGATAAGACTAGCATGCTAATGTCGCTTCCATCTACAGCGCGAAAGGTATCATCGTCGAACCTACTACTTTCTCCCCGATCTAATCTCGATGACAGCAAAACTTTCCTCGCCCGGCTCTGCGAGCAGGCTGAGCGCTACGATGAGATGGTCAGCTACATGAAGGAAGTTGCGAACGTATGTGGATTGCACGCTCTATGAGCCACTTCTTGAGGCTAACATTCTTCTCAGATTGGCGGTGAGCTCACCGTTGATGAGCGAAACCTCCTTTCCGTTGCATACAAGAACGTCGTCGGTACCCGCCGTGCCAGCTGGCGCATCATCTCTTCCATCGAGCAGAAAGAGGAGTCCAAGGGCACTGACAAGCACGTTTCCACCATCCGCGACTACCGTCAGAAGATCGAGAGCGAGCTCGAGAAGGTCTGCCAGGATGTTCTCGACGTGCTCGACCAGGCTCTCATTCCCAAGGCCGAATCTGGCGAGTCCAAGGTCTTCTACCACAAGATGTAAGTTCTAGATGCTCACTAGTCAACCGAAGACGGCCGGCTGATCTCGGATTTAGGAAGGGTGACTACCACCGCTACCTCGCCGAGTTCGCCTCTGGCGAGAAGCGCAAGACTGCTGCCACTGCTGCTCACGAGGCCTACAAGGTATGAAAGCAGTGCCTGCGCCGTTTCTGTATCTCTTGCTGACGCAATCTAGAACGCTACCGACGTTGCTCAGACCGAGTTGACTCCCACTCACCCCATCCGCCTCGGCCTGGCCCTGAACTTCTCCGTCTTCTACTACGAGATCCTCAACTCCCCCGATCGCGCTTGCCATCTTGCCAAGCAGGCCTTCGACGATGCCATTGCTGAGCTTGACTCGCTGTCCGAAGAGTCCTACCGCGACAGCACCCTCATCATGCAGCTGCTCCGTGACAATCTGACCCTGTGGACTTCGTCGGATGGTGGCGATGGCGAAGCTGCAGGTGCTTCAGGCGAGGCCGCCAAGGAGGAGAAGCCAGCTGAGGGTGCCGCTGCTTCTGCTGAGCCCGCTGCCGCCGAGTCGAAGCCCGCCGAGGCTCCTGCCGCCTCCTAAAAGACCAAATTCCGCGACTCGGCCCGAGGTGGAAGGCGTGGAGACTGCTTGCATAGTGGCATTGATACGATTTTCGGGATGGTTGCAAATGATTCCCCACAGAACCCATCTGGACGCATCGGTCGGCATTATCAGCAGTAGATCACGCAGAAAGAAGTGGGTGGTGGAATAGAACCCCCCTTTACATTGGCTCAAGAGGAAAGCCGGATGATATGCCTTTCTAGTTTCCTACGATACCACATAGCAGCCCCTTAGCTCTTGGTGACGAGGAATGGAGTTAGCAAGCGATCCTCAATGAGATACCGGTTCACTCATTCAAATATTGATGTGGAGTTTGCACACCTTTCATCAGTGGAGAATATCTGAAAGCGTGAATCCTCGGTGATGGCCATACAGACTAGCAACCTCTCAACACATACACCAGTCTCGACCAAGCTAAGCACTCACCATTGCCGGTACCGTCAGTTCCCGATAGACGTTGGGCTGGTTCCACGAATATTGCAGGTGAGAATGTGGGCACGTGATCGCGAATCCTCCAAATGTAAGTCATGACTTCATCCTCAGCATAACGCTCTGTTCAGTTGTAGCTAGCGCCTTGCATCATATGTTTGTCCCTGGCCATCACAGCACTGCTTTTGGACATGATATTGCTAGCGGCGACTTTGACCTCGCAGGTCTCCGAAAGTTCCCATGAGATAATATTTCCCATCAACTCTCCATCCTGCTTACGCTACAGCTCCTGAAGCACTCTGATCTTGCATTTTCGCCTGTTTCTACCGTAGTACAGACTGCAGCCTTTCCAACTTCAACTCTCTAGAGGCTTAAGCATTACCTACAATGGCAAACCCCCAAACTCGCGCCTTCCTGGGACGGCATTCTTCCAAGTTATTACTGGGTGGGTTGAGTCTAGGTGGTGTATATGCCTTTTACGCCTACAGGGCGCCACAGCCAAAGGGCACCTACGAGCCCAACCCCATGCGAACGCCAGGTGTACAGAACATCGAAAAGGCTTATCAGCGCGGAGGAGCCACGTCTACGCATACAGTGGCGCACGGAGGAACGACACAGGGGCAGACGAATGATCTGACGCGTGACAATGCGGGGACGAGCAGGCCGAAAGGTTTCGATGACGAGCCAAGGGGTATGGGCGACGAGCAGAGAACCGACGGCCAGATGAAGGGAAAGGTTGGTGAGACGTTCGACAAGATGAAATACGGAACCTCGACCGATAAGTGAGGGATATCAGTCACAAGTTGGGAGGATCTGTAGCACGGACCAGTGCATCTTGACAGGCATGGCGTTTGTTTCTTGATGAACGGCTTACCAGACAATCTCAAATGACGTTCTTGAGCCGGGACTCATCTCGTTCTTGTCCGACCGTCTGTGTTGGCGCAAGATTTGTTTGGCGGGCTGCCGACGAGTCGTGGAAGATAGCCCACATCGTACTTGTACTCAAAGACTGCTTTTCGTATTAATCAGGTATTCGCTGCGGAGGGCTTACCGCTCAAGTGGCTCAACCAGTCCATAGTTCCCGGCACAGCTGGCAGTTACCACGTACTAGACCGGAGCTCACAGAACATTCTGCAAGCAGTCATCATGCTAGCCGACAGCAGTGACTTGTACAGAGCAGCGCTATGCGCGGGTCAAAGTCTTCGTGGAGCCCGTGGAAGGAGAGCGGTGGGTCCACGCTATGCGGTGGAGAGCCGACCCCGGATTCGCGTACAGATATAATAGTGTTTCCCAACCTCTAGCTACAACGCGATAGAGCTAATCTACCTCAGCCTTGAGCTAGACGCAGGATCACTGCGCTGCGGCGCTGTATTGCGCGACTCTCATCTTCTCGGACCGTCTGACCTTCCATCAGGCGACAGCGTATCAATGGCTCTAGGGATATGGGAGCCAGCGCGCGCTGACCATGTCCCCGGAACCGTGAATGTTTGGGAGGCCGCGCAACGAGACGCTGAGCTCCTAGAATCCGCGAGACATCTGAAAAAGACCAAAGATGGCCGCAAGATCTTGGTGCCTCAACCTACCAACGATCCAAATGATCCACTGGTAAAGCTTGACGGGCCCTCGCCCCTGCGCAGATACTGACGATAATAGAACTGGCCCCTGTGGCAGAGAGACACGATTCTCGGGATACTCTGTTTCGTCTCAGTCATCGCGACGACAGCCTCACCACTTCTTGCCGCGAACTCGACCACTCTAGCCATTCTCTTCAGACGGACTTTCCAGGACGCCGCCGTCCTAACAGCATACCACTTGGCCGGTGTCGGTGTTGGAGGCGTCATATTTGTGCCGAGTGCGAGAATATGGGGCAAAAGACATCTGTTCCTCTTCGGAGCGCTACTGATGATTGCTTCGTCGGCATGGGGCGGTGCTACGCATATCGACTATAACTACAAGTCCATCCTCTGGGCACGCGTCTTCCAGGGCATCGCCCTGGCACCATTTGAGGCTCTGGTCAATGCATGTGTCGGAGACCTATATTTCGTGCATGAAAGAGGCCCGAGGATGGCAATAACCAACACCTGTCTTTTTGGCGGAGCATTCCTCACCCCAGTGTTCGTCGGCATGATCTCTGCGGATAATAACCTTGGCTGGCAGTGGACATTCTACTTTATGGCTATCTTCATGGGACCGGGCTTCCTTCTGCTCTTGTTTTTCGTCCCGGAAACCGCCTACCGAAGACCAAAAGGACTTGAGTTGGATCTATTGGCCGACGACTCTTCTGGAACCCAGTCTCCCCCCCAAGCCATGGCAACTGGCGAGACTGCTGAGAAGCCTATACATCAGATGACTGTTTCAGAACCGCCACCGTCCAGAGCGACGCTGCTTCGGCGAATGTCGCCATTCAACGGACGCAAAACCGATGAGAGCTTCTTCCTGCTGTTCTTCCGACCATTCCCGCTTTTCTTCCACCCAGCAATTGCATGGGCCTGCCTAATTCAAGGCGTCATCATCGGCTGGACCGTCATTGTTGGCGTGATTTTGTCTCTGATATTCATTGGCCCTCCACTGTTCTGGAACGAGCGGCGTGCTGGCTTCATGTATGTTGCTGCCTTCATCGGCAGCATCATCGGTCTATTGTTGTCCGGCGTCTACAGCGAAGTTGTGACCAACTGGATGATCAGGCGGAACAAAGGCGTCTATGAGCCTGAGTTTCGAATCTTGCTTGTCCTACCTACCATGATTTTCTCGGCCATTGGATTGTTCGGGTTCGGCATCACGGCCTCGGACATTGTGAGATACGGCTGGATTGTCCCTGACGTCTTCTTGGCTTTTATCATCATTAGCATGGTGATGGGAGCGATCGCGTCCGCGCAATACCTGATTGACGCCCATCGCGACATTGCTGTTGAAGCATTCACTAACCTTCTCATCTTCAAGAACATCTTCTCCTTTATCTTGGCCTACTTCGCATACGGATGGGTCTTTCAGAGCGGCTTCAGAACGATCTTCATTGCCTTTGGCTGCATCGAGATATTTATTTGTTTTCTCAGCGTACCCATGTATGTGCTCGGCAAGCGAAACCGAGCATTCTTCCACAAGCACGACATACTGAAGATGTGTCGCTTGAAATGATTATAAAGATAATATGACTTACTGATAACATACATGCCATTGCAATCTACATCTTTAGTTCAAAGGGTTGTTGGAAGAGCCGTCGGGCCCAAAAAGGCTCGTTTGGCCCCGATCATGGGTGCCCTGCACGTTTCAACTTGACGGGAACAAGCGAGACTTTATCAGCTCGAACAGTCTGATATAGAGTCGTGGCTTTTCCCATCCACGTGTCGGGTGAGCAGCGGGGACTACAATCAACACGCGACCACGAACAAGTTGAAGTATTCTTACCTCATCTTTTGCCTCGTATTTCATGGACGGCGACAAGCCTCCAGGCGCGACTTTACCCCCCTTTCGGAAAATCCCTGTCGATAAGACCCATCACTCTGATCAAGTCACCATCTCGATTCGCATCAAGCGTGCTCGTTCGGTGCACTGTGAAACCGGCCTCTCAGCCCAATTCGCTGCCATGTCGTGGCGCCCCAATTTGCCCTTCCCACCGCACGGGAAATTAGTATCTTGGAGATGATAGCCGTTCAAGCTTTCGACCCCCTAGAACACTCGTCCCGCTTGTCTTCAACAGCCCTGCCGATCCTTCTGCGTTGCCGCTAGCCGAATTAGCTGCGTTTTGATTGCCGTCAGGAGTCGTGAACCTTTCCACTTAATCTTGGCTCTTTTTGTCGATGTTGACGGCGGTTCAAAGTTCGAAAGGAGAATGTTGTTGCACCGTCAACAGCTCTGAGTACGAGCCTGCTGCAACGATAGATATACGACACCAAGGAATAGAAGACAGATCCAGCCTCGCCGACACCTTGCAGCTCTCTCCAGTCGCGTGCATGGTTATCTCGACAAACAAGGAGACCCAGTTCAAGACGCGCTAGTCTCCATGGCGGCGACAGCCACCACAACGGTTCTACAACAGCCGTCCCATTTTGGCACACCACAACAGCATGCCATTCATAGTATGGCAGCGTCGACGACTTCAGCTACCGGCGGTATCAGCCTCGAGCAGTCTCAGCTCTGCCTAGTGTGCAAATCCATCTTCGATGGCCTCACGCCCCGCAATGAGTATGGCGAGGTTACCCACTATGGATTGGAAGCTCTTTTCACCTCCGCATCCCGCGGTTGCCATCTGTGCTTGACCGTCTCACAATCCATCGACCCAGACCAGTTCAGCTCATTCCAGAATCGTCTCGCCAAAGGAGAACGCGTCGAAAGCTGGGGGTTTGCCGCCGTCAGTCCCATTGCTAGAGATCAAGCGAGGATCAGATTTCGATATCTCCGGACTAAGAGAACCGAGGAAGAAGTTTACGAAGGCATGAGCACCTCCGAGAAGAGGAAGACGCGAATGATGATGAGTACGCCGTCGAGTATGGATCTCAGCAGTGGAAGCACCAGCAGTGACGGAGGCAAGGCGAAAAGGGAACAGATGCCGATTCTGGTCGAGTTAATTTTAATGAACCCCAAATGTGAGTGTGTTTTTGTCACTTTCAGGAGTCGATTTTGACACGCCTAGATGCCGTGGAACCCGGTGTTCGGAAGATCAGTCTTGAATCGATACATACCGGTTCGGCGGAAAGCTTCGACATTGCAAAGAAATGGATCGACGAGTGCATGTTCAACCACATGAAGTGCTCGGTTAACGACGGTGCTGGACCTATCTGGAAGCCAACTCATCTCCTGGATGTCTCTGTGAAAGGACCGAAAGGTGCACCGGGCATCAAACTCGTCGATGGCATGTTCCTGGACGCCTTTACCGAGTATGTCACCCTCAGCCACGTCTGGGGCCGATCGAAGGCTATCCGATTACACAAAGGCACACTGAAAGCATTACGACAGGGTGTGGCCATCAATAGTCTGCCCAAGACCTTTTCCGAAGCAGCAATGGTAGCTGACAAACTGGGCTATCGATATTTGTGGATCGATGCCCTGTGTATCATGCACGACAACGAGACGGCTGTTCTGAAGGAGATCGGGGAGATGAACAAGATTTATTCGAATGCGTCCCTCAACATCGCGGCAACGTCCTCACGCGATGATTCTGCAGGACTCATCTATCCTCGGAACGTCATGGCACTGCAGCCCTGCGTCGTGGAGGCCAATGGAGTCGGTGTTGCTGACGGCATGTACAAGATCCTGCGGTCGACCGTATGGCACGATCTTGTCGACACATCACCCCTTGCCAAGCGAGCCTGGGTCGTCCAAGAGAGATGTCTAGCCAAACGAACACTCCACTTCACACGTACCGAGCTGCTCTGGGAATGTCAGCAGATGTGCTGCTCGGAAGTGTTTCCCAAAGGATTACCAGCCACAATGACTGCACCCGCGGGCAAAGACTCAGTCGAGTTCTTCAACAAGCGCACCCACCACCAACGCCACGGCAACTGGCACCAGCTCGTCAACCTCTACTCGCGAGGTCGACTAAGCTACACATCCGACAAGCTCCTCGCCGTCTCCGGCCTCGCAAAGCAATACATGTCCCGCAACCGCCTCCGCGAAGCCGACTACCTCGTCGGCCTCTGGAAGCCCCAACTCCCGCAAGCCCTCCTCTGGCGCACCGACCGCGGCAAGCGCCCGCTCAAATACCGCGCCCCATCCTGGTCCTGGGCCTCGATCGAAGGCGACATCGCCCACCCGGAAACCGCCCAGGCGGCCAAGGAAACCTGCCTGGAAGTCATCGACAGCGAGGTCAAACACAAAGCCGACCCGTTCGGGCAGGTCGAGGCCGGCGCCAAGCTCAAGGTCCGCGGCTTCATGGCCCGCGGCCTCCTGCCGCGCACCAAGGACTACTGGGGCCAGGTGTCGTGCGAGATCCAATGCAAGCAGTCGTCGTCGTCATCGTCGTCGCCGCTGTCGCTCGAGCTCGAGAACGCGTATTTCGACGAGGACTTGCCCAAGTTGTCGGATCCGGCCGCGGGGGTCGGCATGATTGAGCATCTGCAGGTGTATCTGCTGCCGGTGATCGACGTCATGGACCGCGTCGAGGGCTTGATCCTGTGCTCGAACATCAAGAAGGGCGAGTTTCGCCGCATCGGTGCGTTTGAGGTCAGTCGGTACGACCAGGCGAATTGGGATCGCTTCCGTGCCGTGATGAAGGGGGACCCGGAGATGAATAATTATGAGGAGAGGTTGGATCATACTAACGGGTATTGGTTTGCCAGTGATTATACTTATACCGTGAACTTGGTTTGAGGAATCGACGTGTGTCCCCAAGGGGAAGGGGGCCCCGCCGGGGGGGGGGGGGGGGAGGGGGGGGGGCTTTTGCCAAGGTGTGAGTTTGGGAATGAAATGTGATGGATGGGAGGAGGGACGAATTGATGAAAGTGAGCTGCTACCAAGAAGCCACATTTCTAATGATTGATGCTAGTGCCGGCCAGGGATTTTTTCAACCGGCAAGATAGAGCCTAGAAGGACGACACCAGAATCTAACATGTATTTTTACTGCCGCGAGCAGAAACCCATTGAAGTTGAGAGCGAGACGAGTGAAATTGACCGGCTTTTCTAGCCAAGGCATTCCTGGACCCAACGCTATCAGGGCGGTTGACTCGTTCGGTGGGCCGCTTGATGGGTATCAATGCCACGTAGCTTTCCTCGTTTGCATGTCTCAGACTGCACCTGACCAGTGATAACGACACGCAGCTAAATCTATGTGGAGGAGGTTCCCTTTTGCCAGTCACCCGAATGTCATGAGAGTCTCCGCCGCCGAATCCATACCCACTCAGGGAGGTTTGAGAACCTCACAAGGACTTTCTGGTCATGTTTGCAGGACACCGGTACGCCAGGCGGCCTGGTCGCCAGAGTCGCAGTCCCCCTGAACTGGCGAGGCGCGCTTTGAAGCGCGTGGCAGGCGGCAGGCGGCCGAGGATCTGATTTGCCTCTACAATAGAGCCAAAAGCTCAGCATGTCCCGAAAATCCGCCATGTCATGTTGCCGGATCCCTCTCAAGTTCCTCGTGGCTCATTTGCTGCCCCCGAAGTCCAGTTTTCGCGCCACGCCCTTATATTGCGCATCGTCGACCACCTTCCCAGGTTTACTGGCCTCCGCCATAGCCATTGCTTCCCCGCCACCTCCACCTCTCATCGGTAGCTTGCCGGTCTCCGTCGGCCGGGGTTCGCTCGTCCAGTAGTCATGCTCAAGGGCTTGCCTCGCCGTCGCTCTCCGCCGTGGATCAAGCGTCAACAACCTCATTAGAAAGTCCACGCCAACGCTGCCCGCGCTCGGCAACGCCGTCATGAAATAGTTTTTATCGCGAAGAGGCACCTGCCTCTTGGGCTCGAACCAGTCTCGTAGCTGGCCGACGCCCGGCCAATTGTCCTCGCTGGGAGTGCCGACCACCTCGCAGATGCGCTCGATCTGTGCGATGGTGCCCTGCGAGGTATCGATCAGATCCGTCGAATCGACACGGCCGATGATGAAAGGCTTGCGTAGCACCAGCTCTGCGTAGACGCATCCCACGGACCACATGTCGACGGCCCCAGAGTAGTGCCGGGCGCCAAACAGGAGCTCTAGAGGTCGGTACCACATCGTGATGACCTGGTGGGTCATGCGCTCGCTGGGGTCTGCGAATGCACGAGCCAGGCCGAAATCGGCAAGCTTGATGCTGCCGTCTGCGGCTATCAGCAAGTTGTTGGGTTTTATGTCGCGGTGCAGCACGAAATGCCTGTGGCAGTAGTAGACGGCACGGCAGAGCATGCCCATCCAGGACTTGACATCCGCCGGCGTGTAAGGGACGGCCGATTTGAGAAATTCCTCAAGATTGCCGTTCGGGCAGTTTTCGAGGATCATGTTGACGTTTTGGTCTTTGGTGCTGAAGATATCGTACATTGCGATGATGGAAGGGTGGTTCAGTTCCTGGAGATACTTGATTTCGCGAATGGTATCAACGTTGAGTCCCAGTCGTGTTTGGGAGGGATCCACGCGGAACTTCTTGATGGCTATGAGGAACGAGGGGTCACTGCGTAGATGGCCTTCGTAGACGATGGCGAAAGTTCCCTCGCCAAGCTTGCGGCCCTTGACATACTTGTTACCGATTTCCTCATTGATCTGTTCAGCCATGTCGATATCGGCTTTGAGTCTCTTTGCAGGTGGTTCTGAAGAAGTTGAAGGTTTCGCGACCGACTTTCGCATAGCAAGCGTTGATACATTCGAGGGAGATGTGATATTGAGATTCGATGGTGAACGGGTGCCCAGCGGTGACACCACGTTCGATCTAGGTGACGGCGCCATGGTGAATTTGCCTCTTGCTTCAATAAATTCTCGTGACCAATGACACACTGTTTTCGTCGCTTTATACTCTGCCGCCCTCGTTTGATGCCCCTGCCCTATCCGCTTTGGCTAAGCCGGAAGCACAGTCGGATGAAGTCGTGCTGATTTTGACAGGAGGTAGCCGTACAAATTAAAATGAAGTTTTCTTCCAACATATGAGAACAAATTGAGAATAGGCGGCCCCCAAGATCAATGCTTGTGGCTCTCCGAAGAGGAGGGTGCTTCAGACAAGGCGACCAAGAAGGCAAATAGTCCTTGGCATGTTTGCACCTCGAAACGGAATTTTGGAAGCGCAGCTCTCCAAAAAGTTGCATGGGTGATCGACTTTCGGCGCCATCGTTTCCACACACGCGGCTCATCTCATTCCTTCTTTTGTCGTATTCAGAACTACACGAGGCTTGTGGTTTTATACTTCTAGCTTAGACAGCACTTTTGAACCGAGCTGTGTCGCTGATGCTCTCCTGAAGCAGCATTCTCTTTCTTCAGCCTCAACGATGGCCCTCCGCCGGCCTACCACCCTCCTCACATCATCCACACCTCTTTTCAGCACGCGCACGCCTTTCGTGTGTGCATCCTGTACCCTCCGCCATGCGCGTTCCGCTACCACCGATGCCACCGACTCCCCAGTAGAGTCTACCCTCTCGCCCGCCCAAGCAGCTCGCGTTCCGAAACCGACACCCTTCGTCCCCGATCCCCAGACGTTCCTCACTCTCATCGGACGCTCTCTCTCCAGTCACGCCAACAAATTCTCATCATGGGAAGAGCTCTTCACGCTATCGTCGGCGCAAATGAAAGCGAAAGGTCTCGACCCGCCCCGTACAAGGAAATACCTATTACGCTGGCGCGAAAAGTTCCGGAGGGGAGACTACGGGATTGGCGGCGATTTGAAATATGTCAAAGACGGCATCGCGGAATTAAGGGTGGTTGATGTCCCCAGCTTGGCTGCAAAGACGAATGCAGGGACAAGCCAGACCCAGGGTGTTGCGCAAGAAGAAGCTTTCGCAAGCACGAGTCACACCCCAGGCTTTACCAAGCTGGTGCTCAATGTGCCGATTGGCATGAAAACATATAAGCTGGAGCAGGGCCAAAGCACAAAAGACCTGAAGAAACCGCAAGGAGTGACGTTGAAGGAAGGCCATATCATTGCGGGCAGCTACGTGATGCCTATGAAAGGAAGCGATGGGAGTGCGGCAATGATCAAGGTCACGGAGGGCATGTGGGAGGATCGCAGAGGTCACAAGGTGCACGGTGGTGAGAGACGGAGAGCAGAGACGCTGCACAAGATGCGGGTGGCGGAGAGTCGGAAGGCCAGGCGGTAGAGGCGTGCATGACGTGATTGGGTTCTCATTCGAGGACAACATCGTGTGCTGGGCCTCGCGGTTCAGGCCTGCCCAAGGGTATGTAAAGAGAAGGTTGTGGTCACAACGACTGTGAAAAGTGTACACTACAGATGCATACTACGAGCATGGCGCTCCTCCGATGGTTAGAAACCGTGAAGGATTATGGTAGACTGTATACCTATGGTCTCGCACTCGATCATTGTCCTCTAACCCGTGCACTTCCACCCCCCCAGTATTGGAACCGGCCTCTTCTGAGCAGTGCCTCCCAAGGGTTGACCACTTCTGTCGAACCCTTCGACCTCCCCGAGCCAGGCTCCACCTGGACAGAGCCGTCCGCTTCCTCGACTCTGCGACAGTCGGCTTGAGAGGACAGCCACGGGTCAGCCGCCTCATCTAGTCTGATCATTCGCCTTCTTGCCTCCTGCGCTGCCGACGACTATACTCATATGCATGACGACGCGTCTGCCTCCCCATAGCTCAGATGTATCGTCGCTCCATCGAGCTCGTCACCCTAAGTGCTAGGCTTTCATACTGTGTCTGGCAACGTGCTGGCCGCTGACTCAACGCCCGTGCCATGACAAATGAGCCGAAGATGCCTATGCTGGTATGGCCGTGGAACAGAGACCTGCAGCTTGCATTCTCATGCACAAGCGAACGCTGTCACATGCGGTCCGAGTTTCACATAAGCAAGCAAAAAGACTGGAGTCTGTGGGTGCTCAAACAATAATGCCGGCGCGATATACTGGCAGCGAAGGTCTGTGCATCAAATCTGGCTGGCTGGTCCTTGCTTGCCAGTCACCGCCAGGTAGGGAATCCCATGTGGCTTCGCAGGTAGGATGGTGTCATGCGGCATGTATTCTCCGGAAAGTTGACTGCGATTGAAAGCTGTCAGAAACGGCGTCTGGGGCTTAAGCGAGGTACCGAGTACTTGTTGATGCTCGGTGAAGGCGCGTCGCCGGGGGTCCTAGCAGGCTTCGTATTTCCCCCACCCGACTGGGGGACCCGGCGTATGACCATGAGGACTAATCAATGCGGTCGGATGGCAGTCACAGCGGTCGTCACTCACCAGTCTTTCCACAGTGTCATGTGAAGGAGGCGTGATGCACGAAAAGACAGGCCATCATTATCGTACAAGCCGTGTTTACGCACCTTACTTTAGGGAGGCAGATACATTGCTATGGTCTGAAAGGATAGTCTCGACGTGTCGTTCTGTCCAGACTGAGGAAGTATATTTTCGTGATTTTTCGCGCTCACCCAATCACGGCCTAGGAACGAGTAATTCGTCGTCGTGATCTGGGTTCTCGACGCGGCCCTACGTGAAGCGGACGCGGCAAAGCAACGTACTACTCTCGCGTCTGGACGCGGCCAGTCAACGGTGCAATGTGGTTTAGACAGGCCCACATAGATACTCCGGATGTGCCCGGGGGCATCCAGTGCCTCCAGAGAGTGCGTGGACCGCGGCCGAAACGTGATCGGATTCTTATGCGTTTCGTCACGGGCCTTCTCCTGCGCCATCAAGCCACGCAGGTTCAAAGAATCTCTCAAATCTCCGGAAGTGTGAAGCATTCCGCTTTGGGAGGACTGTGGGCAAGTCTCGCCAGACGTTCACCCCGTTTGGAGCAGTATACGACAGAGTTAGAGAGGTACAGGATCATTGACGTCTTGCCTGCTTTACGGGACTGGACTTTGAAGACCCAGTCGACGAAGTTGCACTGACTCTTGCTCCGTGTTTCACAGTAGTCAACCAAGCCGAACCACTTCTGGACGGGCCGGCGGGCGCGATCGTCACGTATAGAAAGTCACTTTTGATCGCGGAGACGGGGACGACGGGGCACGAACCTTGCTATGCACGCCCAGGAACCAGGAACCACAATATCGGGACACTATCCGTTCGTAGTTTTGAGTCCGGACGCAGATATACCTACTGCGTACGGACAACGAGACGCCTCGTTCGGCTGCAGTCTGGCCTGTGAGCCTGCTGGTCAGTATTTAGGAAATGTTTTTCGGGTAAAATGACGGTTTGCTCACGAGTCGTTGATATCGAGCAGTCGGCAGATAGGGAAGATGCACTGGGTGCTTTAGCGAGCTTGTCCAAAAAGCCGATCAGCAGCAGAACTATCTGCGGCAAATGGGTCCCTTGCACTAGCGCCTCAAGCAACAGGAACACCGAATATGGTCGCCGCCCCGTCCCAAGCCACCGGCCTCATGTCTGCCTTCCATTTGCTCAAGTCATCTAGCTCGATCACGTCCTGTCAACATGTGTTCGTGACGGGACTAACATGGCTTGTGCATACCTGTCGCCCCTGATTTGCATCTTGTGGACGCGACACTTGATTTCACAGTTCAGATATAAGGGGGCAGGAAGTCGCCACTGAATACCCGTTGTGTCTCATCTCGTTAAGGGCACAGTCGAAATGAAGAATGCTTTAGAAGCGTGTAAGCGATAGGCTCGCCAAAGAACCATTTCATATGGCATCCAGGGGACTGGGATACCAGGGCAGTTTCGTGAGGAGGAATTTGGCTTAGGAGGGGTGATTAGCGGAGGCCCGGCCTTGTGACGATGCTCGACGATGCATGTTGATCCCCCCGCCAAGCTGTGTAGTACTACTGGGTTCTCCCTTTTATCCAGGCCACTTGCTATCGATAATTATCCCAGTCCTGTCACACAAGCGAAAAGTCCGGAACACAGGGACCGGAAGCAGCAATGCTGAGAGGTTAGGATGCCATGCTACATTCAGAGGTCTCAGCCTGTGCTGGCGGAGATTGGAATAATTGCTCGAAACCACATCCAGAAGCCGCCGGTTTTAAGGCTACGAATACGCTGACAGGTGCGACCATTGGGCAGTGCGGGCGTCGAAAGGCAACTTTTAGGCAGTCTCTAGCCTGAGGCTAAAGGGCACTAAGGCACCCTTAGCTGGAGATTGATACCTGCGCAGAAATTTGCTGGGATGGGCCCCTGTCTTTACCGACCCCCGTCTGGTCACTCGTGCGTGCGCATGCTTTGCTGCTTCTGCCCGTTCTCTGCTCGCTGTATGGCTCCGACACCCTCGTTGCTCTACCACATAGTCAACATTCCTCTTACCCTCCACGACCAATTGAGCCTCATTCTGCCTCCAAGACACAATAACCACGAGCAGCAGATCTCGGAGAATAATATATGGCCTGACGTCGCCGCCCGCATTCCGCTGTAATGCTGGTTCCCTGCTCCTTCCACTGCGACTAAGCGCATCATTTTCGACAATCTGAAAGAACACCACAACCAGCTGCTGTACAACCACGGCAACCCGCACACTCGCTAAAGATCCTTCCGTCAATTGACATCAGTCCCTCCTTCCTTCACCACTGTCGCTACCCCACCAGAACGCCGCGAAATCCAAAAGATTGAAGTGACCGACTGGATCTAACACTTGACCGATGAAGACCGCATAAGCTCTGCAGTGGTCAGCGAACTGAGCGTTTCCAAAACAACCATCATGTCTCTACCCGTCCTCTCGCGGCCTGCTGCAGACCCGCCGAAAGGTGCTCTGCCCCCCATTCCTCAAGCACCTTCTACCCGCAAGACCCCGCCAACTGCGACGCCTTCCCGCTTGAAGACTCCGACGCGTCCGTCCGCTCTTCCAACACCTCATTCACAATCTACAACTGATCTACCACGGGCAGCATCATCATCAGGACGAGCCTCCGGCATTCCCTCTTCTAAAACCATACGGAAAGTCACCAGTATTGGATCTTTTCCCGTACCTCCAACCCCCACTTCGCGACCAAACTCGAGTGACTCTCTGGCCGACAAGAAGCGAACTTCAGATGTCAGCACAACTTTGACCAAAAGCAAGAAGCTACCAAGAGCCAGTATTGCAAGCACAGCGAGCTTTCGAGGTTCGCAGACGCCTAGTTTGCTGAACTCGGCTGGTGATGCCAACACAATACCTCTCTCGAAGAACCGCATCTCAGACGCCCAATCAAGCGTACACTCACCTCCACACAGCCGAAGCTCCTCCGCCCAGGGTTCTTATTCCACCACTGCTACTACCATTGAAGAGGATGGAGATGAGTCACGTGGACGGGCAAAAGACATTGACGACTTTGCGCCATCTGCGAACAGAGACTCAAAAGGTGGCAAGGAATCTAAAGGAAATGTCCTTGTCAGTGTTCGCGTCCGACCTGATGTCGGTCAACAGGACAAGTCACAAAGCGACGGAGAGTGGATGGTGGATGGTCGGAGGTCTTTGATCGCATATCGCGGTAAAGAAGGCGGCGATTACCACTATGACAACGTCTTTGGCACATACGACGACAATTCGAGAGTCTACGACTCTATCGCAAAGAGACTAGTTCGTCGAGTCATGGAAGGCTATCATGGCACGGTCTTCGCCTACGGAATGACAGGAACTGGCAAGACGTTCTCTATGCAGGGAACCATGTCCAGCCCCGGTGTCATCCCTCTCGCAATCACCGACATTTTCTCCTACATCCGCGAAACACCTCACCGGGAGTTCTTGCTCCGGGTATCTTACCTCGAGATCTACAATGAGAAAATCCACGACCTGCTCGCTGCACCACCGGGTGGAGTCGGACCTGGTCAGCAGCAGGATGAGATCAAACTACGAGAAGACCCTAAGCGCGGCGTCTACGCTACTCCGCTCAAGGAAGAAATCGTACAAAGCCCAACGCAATTGCTTCGCGTCATCCATCGAGGTGACATGGCTCGAAGAACGGGTACTACTCAATGGAATTCTCGAAGCTCGCGAAGTCATGCGGTTGTCCAGATTGTGGTGGAGAGTCGAGAACGTGTCTCTGGCTCATCGATGCAAGATGGCAAGCGGGTTGGCATGCTTCCAGGTGGTGTCAGAGTTTCGACTCTGAGCTTGATCGATCTGGCTGGTTCGGAGAGAGCCGCGGAGGACAAGGAGCGCCGGACGGAAGGTGCACACATCAACAAATCACTACTCACCCTTGGAACGGTAGTCAGCAAACTTTCAAGCACCAAGGATAAGAACGGCAACCCGATCGACAAAGATGGAAAGCATCTCCCCTACCGTGACAGCAAACTCACTCGACTACTACAGGGTGCGCTATCGGGCAATTCTCTGGTGTCCATTCTCTGTACCATCCAGCTTGGCTCTCACGGCAGCGTTGCCACAGCCCAGAACCATACTGGCGAGACTCTCAATACTCTGAAATTTGCCGCTCGAGCCAAGAACAACATCGTCAGTCATGCCAAGCGAGCTCTCGAGGAGTCTGGCAGCGTCAATGCTGGCCTCTTGGAGCGCTACAAGTCCGAGATTCAAAATTTGAGAAGCCAGCTTGAAAAGCAACAACATGCTGCCGTGGAGAAAGAGGAGAAGGTGATTGAAAAAGAAGCCGACCAGAGGCACGAGGAGCAAATGCTTGAAATGCAATTGGCCCGAACTGCCTTGAAAGAGCGGATCGAGCACCTGAACCGGCTCATCCTTTGTTCCAAGTCGACTGGTGTGAACAGCGGCACTGTGTCGGCTCTGGGAATGCATTCACGCCTGTCAGGTGATCAGGGAGAGCTCAGTGGCAGTCGCTCGCTTCGGTCATCAGCCAGCCAGTCCACTCTTGGTGTCACGCCTTCGTTCCCTCGTCAACCATCGATGCAGTCTTTGCCCGGTGGTCTGAGAGTCTCCGGCCACCTGTCAGCTTCATATTCGCCCTTGAATGAAGACGATGAAGAACCTACAGGTGACTTTGGAGATGGCGTGGCTTCCATCCAAGCACAAAACCGAGCTCTACAGAGTGATATCCAGGACAAGAATCGGTATATTGCAACTTTAGAGAAGCGACTACTACAGGCACGACGGTCGAGTCACTCCAGAGTATCGATGGGCTTCAACAGCAAACCTGCCGATGCCGATGACATGGCACGTAAGCTGGATGAAAAGGATGCTCAGATTGCCGACCTTCAGCGTACGGTGGCAGCGCTTCGATCAGCTGTTCGAAAGCGCGAGACGGCCGAACTCAGTCCAGACATGTTGCAGACGGAGATGAAGACACACAAGCCGGAGGGTAGCCAGGACAGCAAAACCAACAGCATCGACAACAAGAGTGTATCAGCTGACTCGAGTGGGCCCAAGTCACCTGGTCTCTCGAAGAGTCCCATGATGCTACTCTCTCCGCAAAAAGATCCCAACTTGCGCCGCAAGTCGGTAGATGAGATGTCCAAAATGCTGGATGAGATGATCCAGGATAAGGTGGAGAGTGGACATCTGATCAAGGGTAGAACCGGCTCAGTCCGAGCTCCACCTCGTGTAGGGTCTCGACGACACTCGCGACGCAACTCGAGCGCACCAAGCCCGGGCATGGCATCAATGGCCGCCTCCCTGCGGGATTCCGTTGTGCCTGAGGTGGTGGCAGAACCCGAGACCATGAGCACAACATGAAGTGAAGCGGAGCAAAGAGAATGCGGCGCTGCTGTACGACTTACGAATATTTTCTTTTCTGATATTTCAATTCTGCCGACACGTTCAAGCGCGACAATGATCCCCGCGAAAGACCGTTGGGGCCAGGAAAACATGGTGTCATGGGTGCAAGGACAAATACTTTTTCTCACGACAGGTCCATGATTGGACCGGGTTGGGTTATGAAAGCGAGGTAGCTTTTGGTATTCCATGGCTACCCAGAGCTCTTTTCTTATGTTGATATGGACCGAGGCACTAGACGTGTTGTATTATGCAGGCACTATGGTTGGCGACAATCACGGTAGCTCCGCCAGACGAGACGTGAGGAGTAGATGATGATCAGCTATCAGGTTGATCTGTGTTTTTAGATACCCCATCAATCAACCGAAGAATGCTACACACTCTTTCAACCTCGGTACCTGGACGTTCCGTGGTCGGTAACCAGCCTGTCTGTAGCCAACCTGTAGTCAACATGACGGGCGCGGTGAGGGGCGAAGATCTGGACCCGCAAAGCCCCTGGCTGGCCGGTGCCTGAAACAGGCCGTATTGGAGATAGCGTAGGTGCTAACCGAGGGCGACGTAGTCTGCGGGTATGTCCAAGGCTTGACCCTTCGCTTCTGCCGCTCCGCACCAGTCAGAGGCTGGCAGATGCGTACCCCTTCCCGCTCCAATGTTTCATCGCTCCTGCTGAACCTCCACTTGCTTCTCGAAACGCTGCCACGGCCCTGGAGCGGCTCTTGTCTTCCAGCTTTTATTGCTCCCAAAGCGTGCTTCAACTGCGTCATGCTACAGACGATCGCAAGAAAATAGAAAAAGACAAGAGGTCACGCCGGGCTCCCCTGCAGGATTAATTGAACCGCCCGGCTATGCGCATCTCCCGTGAACAACTGCCCGTTCTTTTTATACATCTTTGCAATTCAAATTCTCGGGCCTCTGTTTGCATCTGGCCTGTTACAGCTTCATTTCTGTCTTCCCAACCCCCATCCGTCCATTGGTCTTTGGGTCAAGACCCGGCCCCTCCTTGGTGTGGTCCGGTCCTCAATCCGTCGCTTCTTGGCTTGTGGCTGGTTTGAACAACAATCCTTTGTCACAACCTGACGTCCTTTCCAACAACCAGAACGAAGCCGGACTTCAGACGTTTAACAGCCCCGGTGGCTGCACCATAAATTTATGTGAAGCTACAGTCCTTCATGTCAACAATCACGGTTTGAATGAGGTCTACCAAAAGTGGTAGAAACGGAGACAACATGCTCTTGTCGAGCAGAGCTCAGCCTCCAAGGGCTCTGAAGGACTTTCCGCGTCCCAACCGGTCGAATCTTTCGGTGAAGCAGTTCTTGCTTTCCTCACCGTTGCCCTCTCGTGAGTATATCCCCGAACAGCACTTCTGGGTCTGCCAATCCCGATCTGGACTGTGTTTGCTGACTGTCCTTCAGCTGCCTTGCCTGCTCTCGTCCCCCGTCACGGCAAGAAACCACCTCCTTTCAATACTCGACGAGCGTTGCGAACTTTATCATGGCTGGCCATCATTATCAGTTGCTACTACATTGCTTCCCTTGTTGTTCACACGGCACGAGACAGTAACCCCGCTCGACTTCCAGCCTTATCATACCTTGCAACCAGCAAGCCCGATCAGCTAGTCGTCGATTCCGAACTTCCGGAATATCCAACCCCAATCGCAGTGGTCGACAAGCGCAACCGACAGAAGTGGACCATCTCAATTCCAGATAAGCTAGGCTTCCCTCTTGAAGCTGCCGACTACGCCGACATTTGTGCTCACGTCCCAGAAGTCGCCAACCACATCTCTTCGAATGATATCTCTACCACGTTTCTTGATGTGGATGAAGCACAACACAGTGGCCTGCTACCTCCGTCACCTGAAGCGCATTCGAAATATGCCCTTCCAGTCTGCTCTCGAACTCTGATCTATGTCCTCGACGCTACGGATGCTGGTCTCGGATCTACCCTCATGGGTCTCTGGCTTTCCTATTCTCTTGCAAAAGCCGAATCCCGCGAGTTCTTCGTAGACGACAGGAATTTCGCATACGGTCGCTACTCTTCATATTTCTTAGCTCCCCCCAAGCCGAAATGCAGGCCTCCTCCCCCAGCACATCGAGTACCTTGCCCAGCTCAGGCAAAACACTTGGTTGTCTCCGCCGCGACCCATCCATACATCTTTGGCTCCGAGTTCCATGCCAAGTATAGCATGACGGAGATTTTCGCCATGGCTCGCAGAGGTTACAAAACCCTCTTCCACCTACGCGATGATGATGCCGAGTACGCCGATTTGCGCCTTGCAGAGCTCCGTTCGCCCTCCTCTAAAGTCGTTGGTGTTCATGTACGTAGGGGTGACCGCCACCCCTTCACTCTCACTTACGCCCGAGCCTACCTACCATCCACGATTTACTCATCAGCCGCCGAATCTCTTGCATCCACCCTCTCGACCGACTCCATAACCACGATCCTCGCATCTGACGATCCCGAATTCTACGCCCCAGACTCTCCGCTCAACTATCCTCGCGCACAATCGCGAATTACCCTTGCTAGCAAATCGACATTGAGTGATGGCTCTTTAGGTTGGGAAGGCGGTTTCTTCGCCGCTCTCTTCTGGAACCTTGGCCTACCTGCAGAAGCCGAATGGCAGAAGCGTATTGGCTCACCATTACCAAGTCGAATGGTGGCTGAAATGGGCGAGGAGCATCGGAATGAGCGAGACTATCGTAGTCGGCCAACGGACGAGGCAGTACAAATGCGCCAACTCATCGGTAGGGCGTATTTACTGGACCTCAAGGTGCTCGGCAGCAGCGATGCAGTGGTATGTGCTGTAAGCAGCCATACTTGCCGTTTGCTTGCTGTGATGCTTGGTGAGGAGGCCGTCAAGGATGGACGCTGGAAGAACGTGGATGAAGGATATCCGTGGATCGCAATTGGAGAGAATATGTAACGAGTGAAAGAGCGCGAAGAAGTCACAGCATATCAATTATGTCTGAGGCTCTTCAGTGACCACAGTCAGAAGTACTGCACCACCGGGATCACAACAGACGTTGTGAAGGAAGTCTCGCGCCACTCGACAGGCTCGTCATGAGAAGTACGATTCCACATCACCGCGCCCCCCATTTGTGTGGAGACAGACCTCGGCTTCGATACATCAGAAAGGCTCCACGGGGATTGAACGAACGAAGTTCCGTACGGAGCCCTCCGACAGGGAGGCAAACCATTCTGAGGCCAAAGGCGTCCACGTGAAGCTTCTGGGTCCACCATCGCAGCTGTGAAGAGAAATGTCCCAAGCACTACAGCACAGGCAAAGCGAAGTGGGAGGCAACGACAGAACCGCGAAAAAGACACGACATATTTCATTAAAGTCTGAGAATAGTGTTGGCGACATCAAAGAGGAGGAATTCGGCCAAGCAATCCTTTTAACCACGATCTCTTAGGTGTGGCAAGTGCCAGATCAAGGTTCATTTGATTGAAACAGCTTGCCTATGCGAGAAGACGGCCGAATTTGCGCAGTAGAAAAGGGAAGGTGTGGAGCGAGAGAATGCATGGGTACGGTTACTATGTCTTCACACAACACAGCACAGCACAGCGTCGGAGCAGCAAGGTCCTTTCCTTTTTCCTTTTGGATCTAGGGAGACTATTTCGAGCATTTGCCAAAGTCGAAATGAGCGTACCTATGAGCAGCATATTGATCAGCATAACATAGCATAGCATAGCATAGCATAGCATAGCAGCGCGGTGTCTCAAGTCAATCAATCAACGGCGTCACCCACTCACTCGGAAATGACCATAGACTTTCGTTAGACAGACACGGAAGTGTTCATCAAGCAAATCGCTGTTGAATTCTTGTCCTCATGGGTCTGGATAGTCTATTTTTTCTTTCTCCCTTCACATGAATTCCGGTCGATGGGAAGCAATGCTGCCAAAATGGCCGTGCGTGCCGCTCAGCTCAGCTCAGCTCAGCTCAGCACCCCGTCCCTTGAATGAAAAGGAGATTAAATCTCCTCGCCTGCTGTCTTTCGGTCAGTGATGCCGGATTGACTTTGCAAATTTCCTGTCTTTCCCTTATGAGCCGGCACAAATAACCTTGGGAGCCCGCCCTTCGAAATCCCCGGCTCATGCATCCCGACTGTCGGTCTATCACCTCCCTCCTGTCCACTTCCACTTCCCCCGATGTGGCCCCCAAGTACTCCTAGGCTTAGATGCCGAACGTCTCCTTGAGGATGCGAATGGTGTCCTCCGGGTTCTTGACCGAGTGCCCGATCGTCCTCTCGTCGCTGTAGATCTCCCAATCGTTGCCGCCCTCGAACGCCTTGTCGCCAAAGAAGTGGATGTTCTTGTACTCGATGCCGGACACGTCCTTCTCGGCCTCGATGTACTGCAGGCAGTACGTCTTGTCCCAGCCGGTGGGGAAGACGTCGAAGGAGATTTGGCCGCCGATCGAATAGCTGCGGTCGGCGTTAGTGAGAAGCATAGAGGAAAATGGGAAGGGACACAATACGTCAGTCCATAATCCGGAAACTCCTTCTTGAGCGCCTCAATCATCTTGGTGCGCGTGTTGGTCTTCTTATCCCAGGCCTCGAACTCGTCTCGCTCCTCTTTACTGGCGTTCCTGCCCACGGGGGAGACGTTGATCATGCCGTTGCGGAACTCGATGAACGTGCCCGTCATCTTGGGGATGCCCTCGATGTTGGCGATGTAGCGCAGCACCCAGCGCGCCAGACGCTGGTATTTCTCTTGGCCGAGCCAGCCGATGAAGGATTGCGAGGCCAGCTGCTTGCCCATGCGATATGCGGTCAGGCCGTTCTCGGAGAAGCAGAAGTCGAAGAGGGAGATGACGCTGATGGAAGGGGTGCCCAGTTGTTCTTCTTGTTTGACGAGGTTGGAGCCACCAACCTGAAGGGGGTGGGTTAGTGGTGTGTCTTGGATGGAGGAGGGTGGACGCGTACAAAGCCTATGGCGCACTTGTGACGGAGAGCAGCGAGGGTTTGCAGCATTTCTGGAGAGGCGTGTAGGCGGGCGGGGGACAGTGTGCCATCAACGTCGAAGAGACAGACTGTCTCTTTGAGCGGGCGCTCGGTGAGGTCGGAGAAGAGTTCGGCCATTGTTGATGGTGTGAAGGGGGGAGGAGAGACCAACGGCTAGGTTTCGGAGCGGAGAGGCGAGGAACCAGGGCCTATATGCTGTGAAGGGTGGAGTAGAGTTCAAAGAGTAGAATTCGCAGAGCGTAGAGATCTGGAGCAGTACTTTATATGCTGTTGACAGACTGGAGGACGTTCACCGCTTGCAGACGGAAATTTGGGGAAGAGGCATGTGGGATGTCCCAACTTCAGGGTCTTCTGCAAGGAACCAACCCGCTTGCACCCGCCGCTGCGGAGCCTGGAGGGGCTTACGGGCGGCAGCGGTACCTATTCAGTAATAGTCATTTCGCTAACACGCCCATGTTATTGCAACGTGTCTTGTCGAGTACAGCGACGTCTACGTGTCGAAGTTGGCTCAGACCTCATTGCAATCTTGCGTTTGAGGCTGTGTTGAAACAGGTGAGTATGCATCGGTCGATCATGCTAGGAAAACCGTGTCAAGAAGGACAGAGTACAGTAATGCAGTTGCCTTGGTTGAGAATTCATCAATACCCACCAGCTGTAGCCTCATGGTCCGTGCTGTCAAGGTCTTCTTAGCAGCTTTATGCGAATCCGGCCACCCAATGCACTGGTGGAAGGGCTGGAATTCGGGTGTCGCTTTCTTGGAAGCTTCGATGCCCTATGCTGCGCAGTCTTGGCCTTGGCATTGTCGACGACGAGCTTGTCAGCAGCTTTCTTGCTGTTCGCGGCGCCTTCCTGCTCCTTCACCACCTTGCTGCGCTCCTGGACGCTCGAGAGCTCGTCGTATTCCTCCAGCGCACCATCGATCTGAGCAAGGATGAAGTACGCCGCATCGGACGCACCCCCAATCTGACTCTGCCATGCACGCCACCCTGCTCTCCCAAGAGAGACATATGGCGCTCCTGAATTTTCTCCTCAGCATCATTAATCAACCTCTTGACCTCTACCACGCGCGTTATTCGCAGAGACTCGTCAGTCTCTCTTCCACAGCTTTCATAGCCACACATGGCCTGTTATACAGGTGCTGCGCGGATGTGATCGTCATTGACGTGGATGAATGTGGCCTGGACTGCGGCTGTCGCGACTTGCTCGGCGGTTGTCATCGAGGCAGAGAGCATGTTTCGGACGGTGAACATGTTCGGTGTAGTGGCCGCCCGAAGTTTGCAAGCATGGAGTGCTTGTCAAGCTCCTCGAGGTCCAGAGTGGTGACCATGATAAACGAACAGTGCAATGCAGGTGAGGCGATGATGCTTGTCAGTCTGTCAGGTAGTGGGATGAGCTGGCTGAGCTGTCGTGAGGCTATCAGGTTAGCGACCTTCCGGATTGGGAATACCCAACTTGCATCGGCGCGAGCGGGGCATTGCTAAACAAGACCTGTGAAAACGTCCAACCACACTCTACAATACGTCGAATAACCCACAACTGTGCGCGGCCTGCAACCGGGGGCACAATCCATGTGGGAGAGACCTAGAAGCAAGGCTTTGCGAACGTTTGCTGGCTTGGTCCATCATGGTTGTCACCCCGGCGTCGAACGAGTGAACGACAGTGATCCTGAACGAGGCTGCACAGCAATAGCACTGCTTCGGGCTTCCGCCCTTCAGTCGACAAAGCGTTATGCCCGTGGTGGTCGTTCGGACGAAGAGTTCGGTGTTAACTTCGGCCGTGATTGTTGCGTTAGTGCACGGTCCCTCTACATACTCGTGCGGATCTGCAGACCCGCAGCCTGGTATCTTATCTAATAGCCTACAACATGCCAGATTCGGGTACAATGACAGGCGACAACGCATAGGTATGAGAGGAAAGGGGAGGATATTTGCGCGATAGGCTTGGCCAGCAGGTTTTCCGAAGGCAACCAAGTGCACGTGGCTTTAATCCGGACTTGGTGATGTGCAAGTCGGCCCAGGGGGGAAAGAATGTGATCTTTCCAAATTAGATACGAATCTGGACCCAGAAGCCAAAAGTGCATGCTCGGAGTCTGGGTGGTTTTTCAGCCGACCTGCAGCACTAGCGGTGCGACAAGCCCGCTAGGTCACGCTTAAACAAAGCCTATCATCAGGCATCCAGGACTACTATGCGAGTGGTGGAGGCCAATACGATTGCGAAGTATTCGGACTGGGCATGGCAGGCAGAACAATTCTCGGAATGCTCAGCAGCAGCAGCACCACCCACCTATGATACGGTGGTACTGTTTAGATCGAAGACATGACAGCAAGCCGCGATCGTGGTTGGAAGTCCAAGCCCTGTGACAAAGGCTTAATTGGGTGCAAGCGTCCTGGACCGGGCAGAGTTCAGCCGAGAGACGACGGCCCCGGAGCCGAGATCGTTGTTAACGACGGGGGAAGATCCATCTCTTTTTTTCGTCCGGCCGTTCTTCAGCTCATTGTCTCCGGCGTCTCGTATACCGCTGTGCTTCTCTATTTCTATAATACCGCATAGACTTCCATTCGTTCTTCCAGAATACCAGGCTCTTTCCTTAATATTCCGCGGCCCAGTTTATTTGGTTATAGTGACGAGAGATCCCTTAGACGCCTCTCGACTGTCCAATCATCATACCTAGAATCCGTTGCTGACAGACGCCCCCTAACCATTCACACCTGTCAGCTTGTTCAGGCCGACGACAGGCCACTGAGACAGGCATCCCGACCCGAGTACAATACCGGGCAGTCGTGATCTCAATGGACGCCAACCTAAAATCCGAGGCAAGCACCGCGGTCCCCAGCCAGAACGTGTCGCACACGAACCTCAACAAGCCTGACCTCATGGCTGCGGAGAAGACTTCAGTCATGTCTTCGTCCTCATCAGACCCGGAGAAGCCAGACACCGAGACAAAAGGCAATGCCACCACAGACGTCAGTGCCCCAAGTGCCTCGGTGGAGGGTGAGAAGGATACCCCTACCACCGAAGACGAGATCGAATACCCATCCGGTGTCAAGTTTGCTGTCATCACTCTCGCGCTGTGTCTGGCAGTCTTCCTCGTCGCCCTCGACAATACCATTATCGCAACTGCTATTCCCGTCATTACGAACAGATTCAATTCGCTGCCTGATGTTGGATGGTATGGATCCTCCTACCTCCTCACCACATGCGCACTGCAACTCTTCTTCGGACGGCTCTATACCTTCTACAGCATCAAGATCGTCTACCTCGTCAGCATCGTCATCTTTGAGGCCGGTTCTGCCCTCTGTGGTGCAGCCCCTAACTCTGAAGCCCTGATTGTTGGACGTGCCATTGCTGGTGTCGGTTCCGCCGGTATCTTCTCTGGTTCCTTGGTCATTATCGCCTTCACCGTCCCACTCGCCAAACGTCCCATCTACACTGGCATTGTTGGGGCCATGTACGGTATCGCTTCTGTGGCTGGTCCTTTGCTGGGCGGCGCCTTCACCGACCACGTTACCTGGCGATGGTGCTTCTACATCAACCTTCCTCTGGGCGCCGTGACCCTGGCCGTCATTTTCTTCTTCTTTCATTCCCCACCCCGCAAGACCGAGAAGAGCGTTCCCTTCTGGCCTACCCGTGCCATGCAGCTGGACCTTCCCGGTACTGCCATCTTCATTGTCGCCATCGTCTGTTGTCTCCTTGCTCTTCAGTGGGGCGGCTCTAAGTATCCATGGTCGAGTTGGCGCGTTATCATCTGCCTCGTTTTCTTCGGTGTTCTCACCATTGCTGTAAGGATTCCCAGTCCCCATCCCGGACCAAAGCTAACTCAAACAGTTCGTCATTGTCGAGTACCACGCCGGGGACACTGCCACTCTTCCCTTCCGCATCATTTCTCAACGATCTGTCGCCTCGGCTTCTTGGTTTGCCTTTTGCCTGGGAGGCTGCTTCTTCATCATGGTGTATTGGGTCCCGATCTGGTTCCAGGCGATCAAGGGCGTGTCTGCCTTCAAGTCCGGCATCATGTTGATTCCCATGATCTTGGCTCTTGTGATTGCCAACATTCTATCCGGTGTCGGCACCAGCGTCGTCGGCTACTACGCTCCCTTCATCTACGTCGCTACCATTCTCATGTCTATCGGCGCTGGTCTACTCACCACCTTTGAATCCAACACCGGCCACTCTATGTGGATCGGTTACCAAGTCATTTACGGCCTGGGCGTTGGTTTCGGCATGCAACAGCCTCTGATCACTGTACAGACAGTTCTATCCCTGGATGACATCCCCACTGGTACAGCCCTCGTCATGTTCGTGCAAACCTTTGGCGGCGCGCTCTTTGTGTCCGTGGCGCAAAACGTCTTCAACAACCGCTTAATCCAAGAGCTGGTTGTTGAGGCCCGCGGCGTGGATCCATACGTCATCTTGCACGTCGGAGCCACGAGTCTGAAAAACGCGGTTCCTTCCGACCTGCTCGCCGGCGTGCAGGCTGCTTATAACACCGCTCTCACCGAGACCTGGTATGCCTCGGTGGCCATGGCCTGCCTGAGCATTTTGGCGTGGGGCATCGAATGGAAGAGCGTCAAAGGCATGGCACCCGGTGGTGCAGGCATGGCTTGAGGAAGCAGCCCGAGCGCACTGTACTAACACATTTTGGAAGGCTATGTGTTTGCGGCCTACACATGTTTTTTCTACTTGGTGATACCCTCCTCCTTGTTTACGAAATTTCTCAGAGAAACAAAAAAAACCCACTGCACCGCGCGAGAGAAGGCAGAGAGTCGGTCGGTGGCCACTTTGGGCGGCCAAACATCAGTCCTTTGGATCATGAGACAAACGCAACATATGCACATATGCATGCATGCATGCATGTACGCACGCGCGCACCATTTGCATTGCATCACATATATAGACTTTTAGAGAGAGGTCTCAGCATAGCCGCCGTCACCGTCGCCGTGGATGGTGGAACGACTCTACTGTACTGTACCTCGAAGAATAGAGATGACATCTCCGACTCCATTAGATCTCTCTTACTCTGCTGGTTCTTGTGGCCTGTGGCCTGTGGCCTGTACTCTTTCCTCATCCCCAATACCTACTCCCCGCGCAGGGGCCATTCGACTCGAGAAGTGGGACGGGGTCTTGCAAGAAATTGTGTTGCCTGTCATCATACATGTTATGCGCGACTTGCGAGTCTCAGTCTCAGTTTCAGGTATGGTATTGGGGCATCGCCCCATCGTTCTCCACGAGTGCTTACGGTAGCTGAGGAAGGACGAAAGAAGAATTGGTGTCTCGAAAAGCCGTGATGAAAAGGGAAATAGAAAATTGTTCTCTCTCTGTGTGTGTGTCTCTCTCTCTATCCGTACTTTTGCTCCAACCAGAGTTCAGAAGCTCTCTTCTGTTTCTGTTTCTCGTTTGGCTTCTTTAGGTTCCTATACACTTTCTGCCCAGGTTCGAGTCGTCCGGTCATAACACCCTTCCGTTCGTCGTTGTGGTTTTCCATTCCCCCCCCCTCCTCATCCTTCCGAAACCACTCCAACAAACCCGACTCAAGTCTATATATCTGTCTGTACTCGACCAAGGGGGCTCTGTCCAACCCGTCCAAAGAGGAAGAGTAAAAGAAAAACGGAAAAGGCCGGCTCGCCGGCGCAAGGCTGGAATTCTATGTCGAGAAAGAAAGAAGTTGCCGGTCTCGCGCTGAGGTTGCACAATTGAGCTCACGTGGAGTGAAGGAAAATGCCGCTGCGTCACCACTGTCTGTAGCGATGATGTGGGAGGTCGCTCGTTGCTGCGGTCCATCAGCAAGTCCGAAACGAAAGTTTTAGCATTTGTAGGAACATCGTTGCAACGCCTTGTTGCACATGGTGGACTCGTCGGCCGCAGCAGGCATTCTCGCAGGGTGACGCTGCCGCAACGTCAGGAAACGGACCGCTGATCACGAACTTCTCCTCCGCTCGTCCTCTAGCTCCTTCAACTCGGCCACTACACCCTCAACGATGGCCTTCCACTCAACTTGATGTATCCGCTCTTCCAAGGCACTCAGCTCTTCGCCAGGCCTGCACTCCACCTCCTTGGTGACAATGGGGCGCCCCATGTCGACCTCCCCAATAACATGGTGAATCATGACGCCCGTGCTCGCAATCTCTCCTCTCTGGAACGCCTCATGTGCCCTCTGGATCGCGTTCGCGCCGTTAAACTGGCCAGGAAGTGCGGGATGCAGGTTGATAATCGGCACCGAGGCGGTTTGGAGCGCCTTGATGAAGGGTCCGCTCAAGATATGCATCCAGCCCGCGCACACGACCAAATCGGGAGACGGGATGCGCGTAAGGATGATTTGTGCGAGGTCGGCATCGTATTGCTCGCGGGCGGATTTGACACCAGCCTCGTTTTGCGCTTCTTTCTTCTTATAGGCCAGCAGGTTGTGGTAGGTGGTGGGAATGTGTGCGTTGGAAGCGCGAGTGAGGCCATAGGCATCTTTGCGGTTGGAGATTACATGGGTGATGCGCGCGTGAGGAAGCGCGCCGGTCGGATTGCAGGCGTCAATAAGAGCTTGCAGATTAGAGCCGCTCCCGGATATGAGGACGGTGATGTTGAATGTAGAAGAGGTGGAGTATTTACGAGACTGGTCGGTAGATGGTGCAGACATGGTGTGATTGCTTTTGCCCTTGGAAGGCAGTGTGGTCATGGAAAGATAGATTGGTGGATTTGCGGTGTTGTGATTTGAATGACCCTGCGCACAGAGCATGTTCGTAGGAAGAGGAGCGACAAGAAGCAGGGATATCGAGGGTGAGGCCGTCCAGCGCGGAGGTTATGTCGATCTGGAGCTTTTCAAGTATGACGGCAGACGGGGATGAGGGAGGAGGGGCTGCGTTTTTTGCTGCAGGCTTCGCGTCTTTGGCAGGGCTATTGCGATGGCTCCTGGCGCCGTCTGGCTGGGTTGCTCCAAGTGGGCTTTGCGAAACACAGCAGCTTCGCTTGAGGAGCAGTCTTGAGGCCGGGTGCAGACCACTGCAGGAACTGAGCCAGGATGCCCGGATGCGAGGTTTCGAAGTGGGGGAACGAACGGGGGGGAGGCGGACCGGTTAGGGCAAAACAGGCGCGGAATTCTGCAGGGGGCTTCAGCACACGGGCATCAGTATTGGCTCTCTGATTGTATCCGACGTCGGGTAAGAATAGGGTGGTATTTGTCAGTCTGCAGCAATTGACGTGTGATGATGGCTGGGCTGCAGCTCCATGCTGCGGTCGATTGTGCTGAAGTTGACGAGCACTGCCGCGGGCAGCTCTGCGTACCATCGAATACTGTAATTTTACGGTTTAGGCTTGCACTTTTGCTGGACACTCAACCAGCAGACCGGATCAGATCCAGCTTTGGCCTTGATCTGCATGTACCGGATTCGACATCCTCAGCACCATGCAGATACGGGTAATCTGACTTGTCGTCTGGATCGGAACTGATCGGTGCAGGACGCTATTGATCCTGTTCAAGCTATGTCTGAGTCCCATCACTTTGCAGCTAATTCTCTTCGAGTGTCCTCCGAGCTTCAGCATCCTCAACCAGCAAGAGAAGATACCGGGCAAGCGGAAAGGGACTAGGAGGTGCAGCAGCCAAGACCTGCAACAGCAAAGTCCCTTTCTGGCCCACCGACTACTTGCTGTGGGTGGATCGGCGGTAGATCCGTATACCACCAGGTACTGTGTACACAAGCGCAGCAGGGAGCGCCGCTATACTACCATGGCTTTCATCAAAAACGGCTGGAGACTCGGCCCTTTCCAGCCAAGGCGGCATCGGTATTTGATTCCAGGCATATACGTTATGCCGGCCAGGGCAGATGTGAAACGAACCAGTTCACTTTGCACATCATGAACCATGAACCATGAGCCATGCAAGCTGCTACCTGCAACACTTTTCGTATCATGGCATATCTATGCCCTTGCTTGCTTGATCTTGGATCATCCTGAAACAGAGAATTCTACGCGAGCTATGCTGCCTGCTCACAAGCAACCCTCGAGTTCGACTACGTACAGTCGGAACTCCGATTCCGGCTTCGGCTCGCCGAGGGCACCCCCCAGCTTAACAGGTAGCCGAGCGCGTTGCCGTGTGCCGTTTTTTCGCTCTTGTGTACATAGCTAACTATAGGTGAAGGTGGATGAAGACCGGCTTGACCGATGCTCGTCCATACGCACGAAAACGCGCCGTCTCGGAAGAGGAACAATGTCAGCCCGTACCGAGGCTCGCCCAGCCCTAGACGCTGATTCGCCACCCCAGATTCCGGGGTCTGGTAGGTCTTCACGGAAGGTTAAAGGGCGCCATGTTGCATTGGACGGGCGTCTTTCTCTGAGGTGTGTTCTTGCGCTCGACGGGCACGCAGTGAGATCTCTGCTGTGGTCGACTCTTTGGGCTGATTCGGGCGTGAAATCCCGAGCACAAGTTGTATATCTTCACCACCACCGCCATCAGCGTGCAGCCTTGCTCAACCGCAGCAAAGATGCCTATCAAGTCGCTATACCCTGACGTCAAGCTCTTGGAAAAGCCCATCTTCAACTTCATCTTCAACAACCCAGACCAAACATGGCCAGACTCCAAAGTCATCTTTCAGGATGCCGACACACTCCGGACATACACGTTCGCCCAAGTCCGCGATAGAGCCATTGAATTCGGCAAAGGTCTACAAGGCCAGTACGGCTTCAAGAAGGGCGACACGCTGGCCATCTTCTCCCCCAACGACATCGACACGCCTCCCGTTGTCTTTGGCGCCCTGTGGGCTGGTCTGATCGTCTCCCCCGCCAACCCGGGCTACACGGTCGACGAGTTCGTGTACCAGCTCAAGGACAGCAAAGCCAAGGCCGTCGCCGCCCACTGGTCCGCCATCAAGACCGTGCGCGCCGCCTGCGCCAAGGTCGGCATCCCAACCGACAACATCTTCATCATCGGCGACCAGCGCGACCCCTCGTACGAGCTCAAGCACTGGACCCAAGTCGAGGCCAACCAGTGGAAGAGCCGGTACCGCTCGCCCAAGATCTCCCCCAAAGACGACCTCGCCTTCCTCGTCTACTCGTCCGGCACGACCGGCAAGCCCAAGGGCGTCGAACTCACCCACTTCAACATGACCTCCAACCTGCAGCAGATCCAAGCCACCGAGGGCGGCAACCTCTCGTGGGACGGATCCGCGCACTGTCCCGGCATCCCCGACGCGCCGCGGCCCCAAGGCGACAAGATCCTGGCCTGCCTCCCCTTCTTCCACATCTACGGCCTCAACGTGCTGATCCACCTGCCCATGTACACGGGCGTGTCGGCGCTGGTGCTGGCCAAGTTCGAGATCGAGACCTTCTGCCGCCTGATCCAGGAGCACAAGGTGACCTTCTCGTACATCGTGCCGCCCATGGTGCTGCTGCTGTGCAAGCACCCTGTGGTGGAAAAATACGACCTGAGCTCGCTGCGCATGACGAACTCGGGCGCGGCGCCCCTGACGCGCGAGCTGGTGGAGGCGGCGTTCAAGCGCACGGGCGTGCGCGTGAAGCAGGGGTACGGGTTGAGCGAGACGAGTCCCACCATTTTCCAGCAGCGCTGGGTGGACTGGGAGACGGGCGTGGGCAGCACGGGCCGCATGGTGCCGAATCTGCTGGCGAAGCTGTGCGCGGTGCCCGGAGCGGACGGGGCGGATGAAGCAGAGGAGCCCAAGGAGGTGGGACCGGGCGAGACGGGCGAGTTGTACGTCAAGGGCCCGAATGTCTTTCGAGGCTACCACAACAACGAGGCGGCCACGAGGGACTGTCTCGATCAGGACGGCTGGTTCCGCACCGGCGACGTCGGGCATATTGACGCCCAGGGAGACCTGACCATCACGGACCGCGTCAAAGGTACCCGAACCAAACCCCAACCCCCTTTTCTCCCCGGACAGTTACTAACTCCCCTGCCAGAACTCATCAAATACAAAGGCTTCCAGGTCCCCCCCGCCGAACTCGAAGGCTACCTGGCCGACCACCCCCTCGTCGACGACGTCGCCGTCGTGGGCGTCGACTCCAAAGACCTCGGCACCGAAGTCCCTCGCGCGTACGTGGTGCGCAAGGGTGGCTTGAAGGCCGTGCAGCCAGGCGACGAGCAGCAGATCGTGCAGTGGATGAACCAGAAAGTCGCGAGTCACAAGAAGCTCCGCGGCGGCGTGGGGTTCGTGGAGCAGGTGCCCAAGAGCGTGAGTGGGAAGATTCTGAGGAGGTTGTTGAAGGAGGAGGCCAGGAGGGACTTTGCGGCGTTGGAGGAGCAGGAGGGGAGGAGGAGGGCGAAGGCGAAGCTGTAGTGTTCGGTTGGGGGGTGGAGTTGGGGCGCTGTAACATATGATAGAAGGAGGTCTGGATGCGATATGTATGTCAAGTGAAGGAAATTGTTTCGTACGTCGCTCTGTTGGGGGAAGATCTAATTCTAAATCGTCAAGGACGCTCGCTTCCCAGCCCATGCTTCGGTGCGCCGTGAGATGCCCTGTTTTTCCCCCAGTGTATTCCAGGCACCGGCAACACGAAAACGTCAAAAGATATGCATCTATCGAAGGTCGAGTCGGGGACTCCTCGAGCCTCTATCCGAAAGAAAGCGTTTGCTGTCATCGTGAACCGTTCCATCATTCATCATGTCATTCCCTCGCAGGAGCGTTGCCGGAACTTTGCATGTCTTTGGATTGCTTCCACATCTTATCAATCGATATCGTCGTCATCCTCAGGAATGTCGTCGTCCTTTTTCTTCGCAGCAGCCGGCGCCGGCGCCTCGGCCTTCGTCGTCCCAGTCTGCCCCTTCTCCTTGGCCTCCTCTCGTTCCCTCTCCTCGCCCCACAACAGCGTAAACATGAACGCGGCATACAGCTCGCCCGTCTTCTGGTTCTTCAACACATACCTGAGTTCATGTGTCTTGCTGTCCACGTACTTGATGACGTTGAGCGAGAACCCGGGCAACTTCAAACTGAAATCATTGAAGTCCAGGTACGGATTGAAAAAGTCGGCCATGTACAGTCTGCCCTTCTCAAAGGTGAACTTGTCGCGGTTGGATTCGGTGAGGTAGAACTTCTTCCTGCCCGCACTACCGCTCGGCATGCCAGCCTTGGTCCGGGCCTCTTCGGCACTCTCGTCATCCGCGCCCTCTTCGATGATCGTCTCGTGGAACGTCTCTGCGTCGGGCACCTTGCCGTCTCGCACCTTGGGGCCGATGCGCAGAGTGTTCCAGGATGACAGCGCGGGGCCGTAAAGATAGGGTTTTTCGGCATAGACGTCTCCCGTGAGGCCCGGGTCTACCCAGTACGTGACGAACTTGAGCGCCTGGTTGAAGCCCGGAGGCAGGCGGTCGCTGATGGGGCGGTCGAAATCGTTGCCAAACACCACTTCGCCGCCGGGGATGTCGACCTTGGGTACAAACGCTACGGAAATGGAATATTGGTCCCACTTGTGCAGCGAGTGCTCAAAATAAGCCGACGTCTCGGGCGAGCCAGACGGTAGGCCCGTGAAGTTCCGAATGCGCACGGCGTACTCGAGGGACATGGAATCGGTCTCGATGGTCTGGCGGTCGGGCGAGTTGACGAGGACAGGGTGGTGTGTGCTGGCGTCGTAGGAAGGGCCGGCCGTCACCATGAGGCGATACTGTGAGTGTCCCTCGCCGGTGGAAGACTCCGCGGCGGCGACGGGCTGGGTGTCCGTGGCATCTTCGTAGTCGGAGCTAGACGAGGATGAGGCATCGTCGGCGACCATGGTAGCCGTTGAGAGAGGGAGAATTGGTCGGAAGGTGTAGAGTGGAAGGATGCGGCGAAAGGAAAAGCGTTGAACGCACGCGACATCTGCGCCCGGCAAACAAAAATTGAAATGACGTAATGGGAGATGCGGAAGTTCAGGTATGGCAATGTGTTTTCAAAGTGAGATTTGTATCATGAATAAGACATCTGATGAGTGGACGTCGTCTCGCTTCTCCATCTAACACCATGATCCTCGCCCTTACTCTGACAGTATATGTGTGCATAACAAAGGAGAATAGTTCGTAGTAGTCAAAACAGTCATCTCTCCAGCTCGCTCCCACTCAAAAGGCCATCTGAGCCCGCTGCTGCTGCTGCTGCTGCTGCTGCTGCTGCTGCTCCTCTTCCATCTCCATGTCGACATCAAAGTCCGTCTCCGAACTCAGATCCGGCGTCGCCAGCCCACTGTCATCGAAGTCGTCCGCGGCCGGAGAGGACTCGCTGATGCCGATGCCACTGTCGTACTTCCGCTTGCCCTTGCGTTTAGCCAGGTTTTGAGCCGGGGTGAGGAGCACGCTCTTCTTCCTGCCTCGCGACACCTCCACGCTGCCTGGAACGCTGTCGTTATCAGCGTCATCGTCCTCTTCGCCGTCCTCGTCGCCCAGGTCCTGAACTTCCGAGTAATGGGCGAAGCGGACGACACTCGAAGGAGTCATCGGCACGCCGTGCTCGTCGACAGCCACATCATCGCTCTCCAGCTCCCAGTTGGCCAGGCCAACCTTGCTCTTGCGGCGATGGGCCTTGCTGCTCTCAGCCACACGCGCCGCAGCCTTGATCATCTCGTCTCGCATCTTGCTCACCGTCTCCTCGCCGCGGTACACCTCTTCGCGGTATTTTGTCTCACACTTCTTCAGCAGCTTCCTCAATCGGCCGGTCTCTTCGTTGGCTGATTGGAGCGCGGTACTCAATGCGCCAATGCGGGAGTTCAGCCCGCCGACCTCGATATTAAGCTCCTTCTCGACATGGGCGGCACGCTCCCTCGCATCTTGCAGCTTCTCCTCCAGCTCCTGAATCTTGCGGAGGCGCGAGACCGCCGACTCCTCGGCTTTGCGGCGTCCGGTCGTCTCAGCAGCAACCTTGGCGTCCATCTCCTCGCGGAAGCTGGTGCTTTCGGTACGCACATCTTGTAGGGCAACGCGATGTTCGGCCTCCATGGTCGTGATGAGATCTTCGAGTCTCTTCACCTCATCACGGTAGCTATTGAGGCTTTCTCGTAGCTTGTCGTTGTCACGCCCAATCTCGTCTCGCTCGTCCTCGGCGCGCTTCGCACGGACACGAATCTCGAGCATCTCCTCGGCCATCTTGTCCAGTTCTTCTCCCAGACATTTAATCTTGTTGGCCGCCTTGTCGTATGACTGTATGGAGTGCTCGAAATTGCTGCGGAGGTTCCTCTCTTGCGTGCGCATGTTGTGCAGCTCAGTCGCCTTCTCATTCAAGTCCGTCATCACTGTCTTCAGCTTGCTGACGAGGTCAGGGAACAAAGCGGCGTTGTCAGTCAGACCGACGGTGGACTCGCCGGGCATGAGGCGCTCGAGTTCCAGGCGAATGGCCCGGAAGTGATCAGCCAGAGCTTTGAGGCCGAGTTGTGCATCTCCCTCGGAGAAGCTGGAACACAAGGCGCGCACTTCGCCTTCGAGAGCTTCGAGGGCCAACTCGGCATCTTCAGCGCGTGCATTGGCGACCTTGAGCTGCTTGGCTAAATTCGCATACAGGTCGTTGGGCACCTTGGGCATGGGTGACGACATGTGAGCAGTAGGTCTGCTGGGGGAATCTGCAAAATGTAGGTCGCTAGCATCGAGAGTCGATCGTCGGGAGAAGGAACCAAGAAGAGACTGTTTGACTTGACGAGCAGATTCGAGTTCAAGACCCATGATGGCAGCGTCCTGCGCATCCTGGTGGGCGTAACTGCTCGACAGACGCGGGGCCGAAGCATACTGATCAACACTATCCTCGAAGATCTGGACGGTGTCGCCGCTATCGCTTCGTGGTCCGGTCCCAGTACCACGCTGGACATGACTCCACGGCTCGTCATGAACTGGCAGGACACCATTATCGAAAATAGCTGGATTTTCGTGGAACTCTTGGAAGCTTCTCCGAAGGTGATCAAGCTCCTGCTCAATTTCGCTGATACGAGAACTGGCAAGATCGGTTTGTGCACCCTGCTCGCTCGAACATGGGCTTTGCTTGTCGGATCGAACTTCCTCGAGCTCGGCTCGCATGCGTTTGAGCTCTTCGTCTTTGAGTTTGATGTCCTTCCGCAGCTTGCTCATCTCACGCTTGTCGGTCTCGAATTCATTGACTTCTTCCGACAGGTGGTTTCGGCGGATGCGTCGTTGCATGCGGTCGCCGAGGGCTTGCCGAAGAGGAGTGAATTGCAACTCGCCTTCCACTGATGGCGAAGATGGCAGCAAGACGGGTCCGCCATTGTCTCGGCTAGGAGCTGGTGTAGAGACACGGCGCCTAGGGCTAGCAAGACGCTGCTTTTGCACGGCGGGTGTGAGACCGGTGGTCCCTGAGGATGGCGCCGGAGCAGCCAGAGTTGCAGTCGTGGAGGGAATGAAGCTGTCCGAGAATCGAACACGCTTGGACGATCGCCTTTTGGATGGAGTGCCAGTGGTGATAGAGGAACCTGTGGGCTTTAGAGGGGAGACAGCCTCGGCTGCACGGCGTTTGGGCCGCCGTAGGGCAACAGGCTGTTCTGAAGGGTCCATTTGGAGCATTTGATGAGATGTTGCTGGTTTCTTACTCGAATCTCGGTGAATCGTACACTGTAGATTGGTGTACAGGTTGGACAGATCCGTTCGTAAAGGAATTGTGCTGTTGTCGCAGGGTCCTTGACAGACAGGACAATCAGGGTCGAGCAGTTCTGAGATGTGAATAACAGCAAGGACTGGGTGCGTCTCTTCTGTTGATTTATTGCATCCGCCCAGCCTGCTCTCTGCTGCTCGCCCGGCCAGGCAACCTCGAGGCAGTTCCACGGCAACAAAGAGAGTGACAACCCTGTCTTTCTTTCTTCAGCTGTCGCGTCAGAGAAAGAACCCGCGTAGCTGTACGAGATGTTCCGGCTGCGAGTGAACACTCAAGAATAAAGAAGCGTGGAAGCGGTCGACGAAGAGGTCACCTTTTCCATGATGTTTGTTGATGATCTTGATTAGGCAAGGTTCACTGCCTGGCGAGCCTCGTTAGGGCGTCTGCAGCCTTGCAGGATTCGAGGTCTCGGCTAAGGCTTCAGGCACCGATCACCAATCGATTCTTGCCAAGCACACTCTTCTGAAGGCGACCGGCGAGAGCTTAAGCAGCACGGAGATCCAGGACCTCAGGCTGCATTGGAGGCGTGAAGCTTGTGAAGCAAAAGGGAAGGTAGGGGGGAGCTGTTGCTGGGACAAGGGAGAGCTCTTGTGTTTTCGGCTAGCAGATGCATTGGGGTGGTCATGCCGGCAACAATCTACAAGAAAGCACCTGATTACTGACGGCTCGTGGACACTTTCAGAAACCTCGATACACCTAGTCAAAGTCCGGCGTCATCAGCGTAGCAGGGGAGCATGATAAGCACGCACTGTAGCGAGGGATGCTCACTGTCACTGACACTCTCTTCATTTCTGCCTACTCTACATTCGCTTGATAACATCCTGCAGCACCTCTTCCGTGCTCGCCTTGCCTCCCAGGTCGGGACTCACGAATCTGCCTTCGCCCAGATTCTCATCTACGGCTTTGTAGATAATATTTGCGGCCTCAGGTAAGTTCAAGAATTCAAGCATGACACCCACACTCCTTATAGTTGCAATAGGATTGGCGATACCCTTGCCTTCGATGTCGGGTGCAGATCCGTGACAAGGCTCGCCGATCACGATACCTTCACCCACGTTGGCGGATGGCACAAGGCCGAGACTGCCCACCAACGCTGCTGCACCGTCCGACAGCAAGTCTCCGTACAAGTTGGGAGCCACAATGACATCGTAATACTGAGGCTGCAAGAACAGCTTGTAGACCATAGAGTCGACAATCTGCTCCTCGATCTTCATCCCATTGAACTGCGGTTGCGCCAATGCCTCTCGTGCTGTTGACCGAAACAAGCCATCAGTCTGGCTGAGCACATTGCTCTTGTGTGTGATGGTGACCATTGCCTCCTTCGCGTGGGCGTCTGGGACAGGAGACCCCACTCGCATCTGTTGTCTCCGTGCTGCGATCTCACCGGCGATATTGGCAATTCGCCATGAGGCTTTGCTGCTGATACGCTTGATCGCCTCCGCGATCTGTCCCTCGCCAGAGGGATCTGGGTACGTCTTCTCCTCTTTCACGTAGAGGTCTTCGGTGTTCTCGCGTACGATGACCAGATCGATGGGGTGCGGCGTAGGAGACTTGAAGGCTGGGGAGGCTGTTGTTTTGCAGGGCCTGACATTGGCGAAAAGCCCTAGCTTCTTGCGCAGGGCAACGATGGGACTGGTATAGCCAGCAACCTTTGTAGATGGGGAGCTCACAGCCCCAAATAGTGCGCCGTCACATTCTTTCTTGAGCGTCTCAACAGTCTTATCCGGCAGAGCGGTGCCAGAAGCCTTGAAGTGCTCATAGCCAGCATCGAGATCGACGAAGGAGAAATTGAGGCCGAGCGAGGAGGGCAGGGATTCTAGCACTCGGCGGCCAGCAGGGATGACTTCGCGGCCGATGCCGTCGCCTGGTATCAGGCCTATGCGGAGTGTGCGTGCTGCCATGATTGAGTGAACTAGGGAAAGGGGAATGTCGCTGAGCTGGGGAACTTTTGGGGGGACGCGAGAAGCGAAGTCGGAGAGCTTGGAGCTAGCCTTAACGCGGCGTTAGTTCAGGCAGTGAAAGTGCAATGGAAAAGTGCTTGCAAGGCGCAAGGGGTATCATTCTATGGTTATAATCTGTCTATCCGAAGGGCGTTGCTGGCCATGATGTTTGACCTGCTCTCCATTTCTTCTCCTTGGCCGGATCAAATCTCCAACAGCCGTTGTTGCCCAAGACATTCTTCGCATCTATGCTGCCTTTTGCTTCTGCCAGGAGCATTGCAAGTGCTTTGGATTCTTGGGATGCCTCTTCTCCCTCATTGACTTGCTTGAAGAATGCTGATTGCCATTTCTTACCTGATGCCTTCTCCTTCTTCCGCAAGTCTCTTTGTGCTTGCTCGAGCTGAGATTTGGCATCTAGAGCCACACTGAAGTTGCCTTTCCGCAGCGGCTCGGCAACGTCTTTCCAAGCTCGTCTTGATTCCCACGGACTTGGGGAGTCGGGTAGTCTCATAGCTACGGGCTGGTTGTTGGGATCTGAGAGATCGTATGTCGAGATTTTTTGGCCGCGGCCATCAGCTATTGTCCACTTGCTGCTCCACACACCCTGAAGCTGGAAGATTGACTTCTTGGAAGCATCTGTGGTCTTGTACACAGACGCTTCGAAACCATTGCGCTCGCTACTGCTGAAAGGGTTCATTGACTTGCCGCCAAAGGTGATCTCCGCTGTACAGCCGGACGTGCTGAAGAGCTTATATGTTCCCTGCAGCTCAGGATATGGCGATCCGGTGAGAATGCTTTTTGCGTATACATCTGGGAATGGAAAGAGATAGGACTCTTTGTACTTGTCGACCGTGAGAATTGCGTGGCCTGACTGCCGTACAACAACCGAGGTCCCGGATAGGGAGGTATGCTGAGTAGAATATGCTTCGGCTCTCACACCGTTCTGCTGATCCCGGATAAAACAAGCAGTCGTGGGCGGATGGTGGCTCACTTGCTCACAGATGACTTCGACTTTGCTCCTGCCTTCCGGATCGCAACATTCACAAAAGAAGAGTTCGCCGAGGAAAGGATTCAGAGGCTTCTTGGTGCCGGATTCGACAGGCTGTCCGATATAGTACTGCCGTTGGAGGCTAGTCAAGTAGATCTGGAGAACATTGAGCATACGACGCTCGGCCGAAGGTTCTGAAGCTGTGGCTGCGAACAGCGAAGGTCTTTCTGCCCAATATGCGGGAAACTCAGTAAGCGACTGAGGGGAAAGAATGAATGGCGGGGCCGTAATGTTGGATAGATCGCCTTTAACTGTCCCCAAGAACGATATGAAGTCCTTCAGAGCAGACAGATTGCCCACCCTGCCAATGAGGTCAGTCAGCAAAATCATAGTGATACAATGGTCTTGTCGGTATGGACGTAGGGAAGGTAGATCTTAGTTAACGGGCTTCGTCAATGCCGCATGAGAAAGGGTACTGGGAGCAGGAAGGTATATAGGCGGCGTCAGAAGTTCAAAGCCTCAAGTTCAAAGGGCAGTGCTGGTGAAACCCAAGAGACGGATGCCGTACTTGCCATCGTTCTCAGCCATCGTTGTTTGGCGGTTAACGGGCGTCCTTTTGCACGTAGTGGGGGGAGTCGTTTCGAAAATAGGCGCGTTGTCATCCACTGGAAACCTGGCACGATTTCTTGGGTTCGAGGATCTCTCACAGTGTTGAAACAGGAGGTCTTTTTGTACCCAGTCTGGCATGTGATCGGCCAACGCGCCACGCCAGTCGCGCGGAAGTCATGATGCAACCAACTTTACCTAAGGCTCGGGAAGTGAGAAGTGATCTTTTGCCAGGACGCGGCGAAAGCATGAATACGTCTATGGCGAAAAGGGGAGAGTTTACGAATTCATGAGGCTGTGCAAGCCCTATATTCCGATTCTCCAGCAGCTGGAGAGATCGATGCTTTGCCTATTTAGAGTGTAGCCTCAATGGTGGTGGCCTCCTTTAGCTAAGGCGCCCTTCCTTGAACAAAGACCCGCCGCGCCGGCCTATCTTTGCGGCCGTACCGGAAGGTTATGCGGCATATCAGAGGGTAGTGCTTCGCAGGTATGTATCAATTGGGGGGCAAAGTGCTCCCCGTCTGTGTATATTCTGATCGAATGTATGGTCTCTGTAAGGGTATCTTCGCCATCTGCGGTCATCAGATTCATCAGTTCATCAAGCACCCGGTCACCCTGCCGGCGTGCTCTCTACACATCTCGACCCTCTAGTACGCCAGCCATGCGCTCCAGACGGCCATTGAATCTCTTGATGCGGTCCAACAGTCCCCATTTGCCGGACTGATCGCTGACATCAGCTGCCACACTCCTCAAGAGATACTGGAGGGACTCTTCCTCTTCCAGCTCACCCCTCTCGATCTCTAGCTCGAGCCTGTGCGCAGCTTCACTGACTGCCCACTTCTCTTCCCTTTCTTTCTCGCGTTCCCAGTTCTGCTGGCGGATCTGATCGCACTTGAGTGCAATTTCCTCTCGTTGCCTGCGCACCTCGATCCACCTGGCTTGGAGCTCGGCTTTGCTTCGTTTTGTCTTGCGCACCCGGCTCTCGAGCTCGACTCGGTTCTCTACAGCTGCTGACATTTCGGTCAGCCGATCATTTAATTCCTGTCCCACGGCCTCAAGAGCCGTCTGCTTGCGTTTGCGTTCCATTCGGCTGCTTGCAGTGCCCGCATTCAGCCGGTCAATCGTCGACTGAATAGTCTCACGGCAATATTGCGCAAGAACATCCACTCCGTTTGGATTTGCTCGGTTGTTGGTGGTTTGTTGGACTGTGTTCTGTGCTCGCTCTTCCCAGTCCTGTTCGCTTTCGCCTAGTTCATCAATCCTAGGAAGCATGTCAAGGTTTGTCATTCGATGCGTCACAATTGGAAAGCTCGTCTTCGATCGACGCGGACTTTGTCTCTTAGGCTCGGTCGACCTGGAAATGGCCTTGTTCTGGGCTCTACTGCTCTTCGCGGGTCTCCTCGGCGGTGCGGGAGTTGGAGGCTCTGGAGAGTCACCATGCTCGTAATCCTCGTCTGCATCAAGGTCGTCCTTTTCCACAGACGCAACAGGCGAAGAATAACTCGAGGATGCGGCCGAAGTCGAGCGTTTCTTATCCGCAAAAACGAGGTTTTCCCTCGATCCTGCCTCGGGTTCCGTAGTATCGTCCAACCCGTCTGTCAGAGGATCATCGTCTTCATGAGGAGTCTCCCGACTAGCTCCGTGTTCGGAGGACTTTCTATTCTTCCTCTTCTTCTGCTGCCCGATAGACTTGCGCTTCCTACGCTTCTTGCTAGGACCCGTAGACATCGCATTCTCGGACGTTAGCAGAGACTGCTCCACTGGCTCTTGCTCCGAGTGGACATCGATTTCTTCGACCTCCTCCTGATCGGCATCCTCGGCCGCATTCTCCTCATCTACCAACGATGACTCGCCGTCGGTTCTTGCACTCACAACCGGCGAATTCTGCCGTATAGTCTTCGCTGCGTCGCTGGAAGGTCGTTTCTTCTTTCTCATGCTCTGCTGCCCAATAGACTTTCGCTTGCGACGGTGAGTGGATTTCTTCGCATCTGTTGGCATGTAGTTCTCCTTCTCGTCGTCCTGAGCTTCGTAGACTTGCGTATCCTGCGCATCGTTCTTGTTGTGAGCGGCGACGTTAAAGATGGAGTCCTCCGACTGTCGCGCCACACTTGTTGCTTCGGGCCCATCCAATATTGCGTCTTGTTCGTGCGGCTCCTCCACCGCCTCTAATGATGGATTGTAACCAGCGGTTCTTCTTCTCTTGGCTGAGTGGAGATTGTCGATGTCGCGTTGCGTTTCTCCGGCCTGAGATGCAATGGCGTTTGATGCAGAAGCACCGAACGATGCGCTTCGCCGTGAACGGGGTTGGGAGGGTTCTCGGCTTCGTCGTACCGAGGTCCTTGAAGTCCTTCGTCCATTTGAGAGTTGCGTTGCTGGCGTCTTTGATTTCGATCTAGACGAACGGGCAGGGGTCTGAAAAGCCCCAAATCCGAAGTCAAGCCCGAAATCGGTAGGTCCAACATTGCGCCTGTATGGCCGATCAGCAACGCTCGAGACTTCTCGAATTTACTTACCCTGCCCCTCTCTGCCGCATCAATTGCCGCTCATGGCGGCTCTGAGACGCCATATTGCGACAAGAAGATATCAATTGAGCCGAGTAGACATCCTAGTCTCTGCGCATTTTCAGAAAAGGTAGCGTAGACGCCTTGGAGGAGATGATCGATGAGACGCGTCGGACATCAGACGCGCTTCGCGTACTCCTGACGAAAGTGCATCCGCGGCGAAAGCTTCTTCCGATCCGAGTGAGCTCGTTCGCAGCGTTGCGGCGTGATCTTCGGACGTGCTGCAGCTACTTCTGTCCCCAATGCTAAATAGTTCGAAAGTGTCACCGGCTCAAATCATTCAGTACATCACCCGCGATGCCGTGGTTCTGGTGGGCCGGGCAAAGCAATCATGAAGATCCAACCAAATCACTGGACCCTTCTTTGAAAGAATTCCTGAAGGAACAGCAACCACGTCCCTACGTGCCCGCTGAGCCACCTCAAAAGATCGACGAGCCACAGCAGGATTCACAACCCGAGGTCGCATTGCCCGACACCAACAAGACCTACGAGGACAGGCCGGTTCCTCCAGAGTCTCTGTACCAGGATGGACGATATGCGCATATCTGGAAGACTTATACGCCTCAGACCCAAATTGCAGCCACTACTTCTACAGCGGTGGATCGCATAAATCAAGCGAAGAAGGACCGGAAAAGAGAGATACACCGAGCATCGTTAGAGAATTGCGCTTTTGAAGAAGAAATCCGGCAGGAGTGTCTGAACGGACAAAATGTGACAAGCAGGTTTCGGGCTACGATGACCATGTGCAATGAGGAGACGAAGCAGTACACCAGATGCTACCAACTACAATCGAAGTTTCTACAAGCCCTTGGATATATGTCAGGCCTCGATAGTGATGCTGAACACGAAGAGCGCATTCAGATGCATGCAGACAAGCTCTACCACCGCATGATGGACTATGAAGCAGAGGTCGAGGATGCTAAGCGCAACCACAAGCCTATTCCACCTTTGACTTCAGTGTTTGATCCCAAGCGACCCGCACCGACAATTGAGCAGATGGACGTACCAGTGGCTGTGCAAGCACGCATGGACGCTCCCCTGCATGAGCTTCCACCGCATGAACGAGAGCTGGCTGCGCGAGCTGCCTTGCAAGAGGCCAAGATTAAAACCAGTGATACCGCCGAATACCAGAAGTTTGCACATACCATGAACGATGAAAGGAAGCAGAGACAATCTAAGATTGCCAAAATCATGGGTGAGCCGATCGCTAAGTGGTTCATCCCGGATCCAGAGATTTTGGACAAGAGGTTCGATGAGTCAATGAAAGACCTACGTTTCGACCGGGACATATGGCGCGATGATGTCTCCCCAGCTGGATCAAAAGGCAGCAAAGGTTGAAAGTACTTCCAAGGATGCATTTACCGTGGGAGAGGCCTTTCCTTTGAGTCGTGGACATGACGCTGCCAGTCCCGAGCGTCGACTACCTGACGCGGAGCGACGAACTGCTACGGAACTGGGAGATGCAGACCAGGTTGGCCAGCCGCCGGTTACTCCGAAGCAATCGACAGATCTGTCCAAGTAAGGCGCACCCAGCTACTGCTCGAGCAGGAAGGTCGTAAAAGCCCCACACCATAGGCGCGGGCAAACACCATCAAATGAGGAAGGTGGCACGGGGAGAAGCGTAGTGAAGATCAGTGAGTGGACCGGTGGTGTCTCAAGAGTATTGGATGCCGCTCGTCATCTCTCAACGGTACTACAAGTCGTACTCTATCAATGACAAGGAGACCTACTGTAGGCTAATGTAACCACTAAACGGATAGCAGCTAAATGCTAACCCTTGAATTCGCCGCTGTGGAGAAGGTGGGGAAGCACAGCACGACTAGTACCGACATGACGCGATTTCGATAACAGCCCATGATCGGAGGCGCAAGTATATCTTCGACAACTTCTGATGCGTCTTCTCAGTCTCTTTCGCCGGTCTGTAGAGGTTGGGCAAGCGGAAGCTGCTATGGATGCAGATAGAGACAATCCCACATTGATGCAGCAAGATACGCCACTCCTCAAGTTGCCTTCCGAAGTCCTACACCAGATCCTCACCCACCTCGAGTGCCAGACGCTGATATCCTTGGGTCGAACCTGTCGCCAACTACATACTGCCGCACTCACCGACCTGCTTTGGGCAAATCTTCTTAGACGCGAAATACCCGCCATCGATTTCCCTGAAAGCGACCCGTTCCCGTCTTCCTCCTATCGCGACCTCTACATTACCCATCATCCGTACTGGTTCGTCCCGAAGTACAAAATATGGATCTCAAACGATCCGCATATCGGCAGGATCATGCTCTGTCGCTTCGATCCAAGAAGAGGCTGCATTGAAGGCTACCGCTTACTCGCAGAGCGAGGGTCCTCCCAGAGCCTGCTGTGGCCATACAACAGGAGCGTGGTGATACACACCTTTGAACCGAAAGTCAAGCCATGGCTAGACGACCCTATTCTTACGTTAGCCCACAATATAGGGCCCTTCAATTCTCGACAGGGATGGTGGGAGGGCGAGATCAAGATGAGTGTGGGTAGACCCGGTCACAATACTTCAGCATCGTTTTTCCTAAGCAGAAACGTGCCTGACGACCCACGGATGGATGTGTGGCCGCCTCGAACAATACCAACGATGCCGCGAGTGCGCGCAGCGAGCATCGACAAATTCCAAGGCAAAGGTCACAAACCGCAGAGCTACAGTCAGATATCCGAGACTACATTCCGCATGCGCCACTGGAGCCAATTCTCCTCCGGCATGTCACGCTACGGGGTGCGGATAGGCGAGGAGGTCAGCACGTGGAGCACAATAGATCCATCGCTGTATAGGCCTACGCCGGACAAACCTTTTCAGGGCATCTTTGTTGGAGACTACGCCGGACATGGTTGTGAATTTCTACTCGTAATGCATACAGATCAGGCGCCGCCGCAACCGCCGCCTCCCGTACGAAGCCCGTTCACGGATGCCCAGCGCGAGTTCATCGATCTGGACTTGGAGGGATTCAGTGATGGCGATGACAATGACGGTCTGCTTGAGCCGTCGGAGCCCGAGCCACCGTCACGCACACGTCAGCAGTTTCCAGCAGATGCGGCTACTCATTATGACGATAGGGTCTTCAGTGGAGCCCTCGAAGCGGTGAAGTTGACTGGAGATCCGAACGTTCCACGAGGAGAGCACACCTTCATTGCAGACGACATCGGACCGAAGGGACTGGTGAGAATCGCGACAGAACATCCGTTCGCTGGTGCTCGAGTTGTCAGAAGCCGCGGACACGTGGCTGCTCGCGGCTTTGTACATGGTCGGTGTTCCACATATTCCTGACTTCTATATGCTCATTCCCAACAGATGTCTTCATACCTTCGCAGCTGTTGATTGTTAATCAAAATCGTCTTGCCCAGTACTGGGTGCCGTTTGGACATATTTCATTTTACCAGAGAGTCGATATCGATGAGTTAATGCGAAGCGTGTTTCACTGAATGGTGTCTCCAGCAGCAGCAGGCAAGACCTAGGTGTTGCTGTTTGACGATTGAGACAGACTTTGGATAGCCCTTGAGTTGGGATAGCGACGCAGGTATTATCAGATGACTGATGCGGGGAGTGGCGGAGATAGTATTCGGGTACTGTTGCGGAGTTGGACTCTTGCTGTCCGAAGCGAGTTTTGGCGGCTCGTATGAGTTGAGTATTTACAGAATCAACTACTACTCTTCTAAATCGCTCCCTCATAACGCCATATGCCGTTAATTCATCCCGGTGTCAAGCAACCTGTAGCCGAGGTCTGTACTCCGTTCCACCGAAAACAAGGCTCCGTTGATACCCGATCTTTTATTCATCGTAGCTAGTTGTTCAACTCCTCCTCCTCTCAAAGTATGAACTGCTCGACATAACAGCAATTGACTGATCCATCACCCATTCGCCGACTCCGAGATACCGATCTAGCCATGCTTGTACATTCTGTTCGGTATCGGTATTCTTGGGCGAGTTCGGCATCGACGCGGCCTTCAGGCTGGTTGGACTGTTGTGTTAGTTAGTCTGACACTCCTCAACCAACGTGCAAACTCATGGCGACACAAGCGCGCAGCGAGGACGCGACATACGTTAAGCCAGTACTGCGCTTGATGCCTGCGAGGACCGTCGAAATCAGCACAGCGTCAAAGGCATAATGGGCGACTCGTCCGAGCTACGCGAATTAGCGACACAACATGCCAGTATTCCGCAAGCAACATACAACCATGGTTGACTGATCAATGTGGGTGTGGTGCGGATGTTGGGTGGTCGTGTGTGATCGGGGAGCAGCTGTGAAGGCAAGTGAGGCTGGCATGTGGTTTGAATCACCCGCCTCAGCTTGTTCCACTTTTCTCCCACCAGCCACTGGCTTTCACGGCCTCTCTCCGGCACGGCTTTACCTAGCACCGGCACTTAACTCTTTCAAGTATTCCCGTCAGGCTCTGTTATCGATACGATGAGCCCCTCCATGAGTACCGCCAAAATGTTCTCGAGTTTGGTTGGGTTACCCACTTCTGCCACTTGTGTCGCTCAACCACCGGCTGCAGCCACTTACCATCTAGCTTCGGAAGAGCATCCCAGGGTTCAAGCTCTGGTTTGTCCACGCTTACTCGCTCCCCAAAGCTCCCCCCCTAAGTTCAGGCACAGATAAGCGGCGGGAGCTTGCTTCTTCGCGCGTGGGTAAGTCACTAGCATTTCCACTTCCATACGGCGGCGGTCCACTGGCCCCTCAACCATACAATGATGTTTTTTGGCGGCTGGCATTTTTGTGATACACTGACAACATCTGCTACAGAACTCCTTCCCTGAGCAGACATTGCCCTCGCACTTTGTGAGTGTGGCCTAGAATACATGTGAACGAGAAGCTCATCACACGTGTTCTATTTACTCTAACTTACAACTTGCTTACTGTTCTGCAGCTGCACCTACCCCACGCTCTACAAAGTCCGCGACGGACGTCTCTACCTTCCAACTTCTATCCTCACCCGAACATACCGAAAGATAGTCGTCAATATGGCGGACGCTCTCGCTCACCTCGACAACCGTACCAAGCTGGAATGGCAGGCCTCCCTCGACACCGAGTATCAGCCAAAGAAGGTTCACCGCCGTACCAGCATCATCTGCACCATTGGTATGCACTGGCAGTGATACCCTACAACCATACTGATACTCTTCCAGGTCCCAAGACCAATTCTCCCGAGAAGATTACCATGCTCCGCAAGGGCAAGTACACCATAGCATACTAGCAGGCGCTTTGGCTAACCTGCAGAAAGCCGGTCTCAACGTAGCTCGCATGAACTTCTCTCACGGCTCCTACGAGGTAGATATGCTGCTATACCCAACTAAGAGCCCCTGCTCATGCCATTTACAGTATCACCAGTCTGTCATCGACAATGTCCGCCAGTCGGTGAAGGATCTACCCGGCCGTCCCGTCGCCATCGCTCTCGATACCGTAGGTTGCTCCAACGCACTCGTTGCCCAAACCGCTGACAACTGCATCACAGAAAGGTCCTGAGATCAGAACCGGCAACACTCCTGGTGATGCCGACATTCCTATCAAGGCAGGCCTCGAGCTCAACCTCACGACGGATGACAAGTACGCCACTGCCAGTGACGACAAGAACTTGTGAGAAGGGCTCGAGCATCTGCAATACGGTACTGACCTTGTGCAGGTACGTTGACTACAAGAACATCACCAAGGTGATCGAGGCTGGCAAGCTCATCTACGTCGACGATGGCATCCAATCGTTCGAAGTGCTTCAGATTGTTGACGACAAGAACATCCGCATCAAGGCTCTCAATAACGGCAACATCTCTTCGCGCAAGGGTGTAAACCTGCCCGGTACTGATGTGGACCTGCCTGCGCTGTCGAAGAAGGATATGGCCGATCTGGAGTTCGGCGTCAAGAACAACGTCGACATGGTCTTCGCCTCCTTCATCCGTCACGGCGCTGACATCACTCATATTCGCGAAGTCCTTCGCAAGAGTGGCGACAAGAACGATCACATCCAAATCATTGCCAAGGTTGAGAATCAGCAAGGTGTCAACAACTTCGACGAGATCCTAGCAGAGACCGACGGTGTCATGGTTGCCCGTGGTGACTTGGGTATTGAGATTCCTGCTCCAAAGGTCTTCATCGCCCAGAAGATGATGATCGCCAAGTGCAACTTGGCTGGCAAGCCTGTCATCTGTGCTACCCAGATGCTCGAGTCTATGACCACTAATCCTCGCCCTACCCGTGCCGAAGTGTCTGATGTCGCCAACGCTGTGCTGGATGGTGCGGACTGCGTCATGTTGTCAGGCGAGACAGCGAAAGGCAATTATCCCAAGGAAGCCGTCACCATGATGCACGAGACTTGTCTGTTGGCCGAGGTTGCCATTCCCTATGCTAACGCATATGACGAGCTGAGGAACGCAGCTAAGCGTCCTATCGAAACTATGGAATCAATTGCCATCTCGGCTGTTGGTGCAAGCATGGAATTGAACGCTGGTGCCATCTTGGTGCTGACTACCAGGTGAGTTCCTTTGGCCTCTGGGCACTTACCAGCTAATCCTGACCAGTGGCAACTCCGCTCGTGTACTTTCCAAGTACCGACCTATCTGCCCCATCATCATGGTTACCCGCAACGAGACTGCGTCCCGCTACTCTCACCTCTACCGTGGTGTCTATCCTTTCCACTTTCCTCAACCCAAGCCCAACTTTGCCAATACCGACTGGCAAGAGGACGTTGACAGTCGTCTGAAGTGGGGTATTGGCCAGGCTATCAAGCTTGGTGTACTCAACAAGGGCGACAGCGTTGTTTGCGTTCAAGGCTGGCGTGGTGGTATGGGTCACACTAACACCATTCGTGTGGTTCCCGCAGAGGAGGACCTGGGCCTGGCTGAGCAATGACTACATGGTCAGAAGGAGTCAGACACTGTGGGAGAATTCTTCACGACTGTAAGTCCAACAAATTCCTCATCCCCAAGGACACCTGCATCCGAGCAGATATGGCCATACCCCTTGGATATTTCTCACTTGTACCCTAAACTTGCGCCCGAGCAAGTCCTGAATGGATCCCCCTTCCCGAATCCCCTGCTCCGTCCCGAGGAGACTGCTGACGCGGATATGTTGCCTCTAGCCGACTAAATCGAAGCGATTCGTTACATCCCCGCCGACCTCGCCGGGCATTCCTAAGCGTCTGAGGAGCGGTAGTATTTTGTGAATGAGCAGCGTTCATTGCACACGACGCGTATGAGTAAGCCTGCGACTGATGAGTGCATTCTGATCGAGCTGCTTGTAACGATGGAGACGACATAGTCATCCTGTCCAGATGGCAGCCTCGTGAGGAAAGCATGAGATACAATGACAATTGTCAGAAAATGAAACACGTTTCCCAAGACGAAGCACTGTCATGCTGTGAAACGATGAATTCTAGAGCTCACTGACTATCCAGCTCAGCTGTAGAACGCGTCCCTATGCAGTCTAGGTGGAGGTAAAAGGGGCAGCCACATGCTATTTCTTGGCATTTCTAATCCTGGGGAAGACCAGCAACTGCGCCCGGTCTGTTTCAGACTCACCTTTGTCCTTCACTTTTCGATTTCTGTACACCTCGACGACTCTGTGAGAGAATTGTGCCGTCTTCCGCTCATTCCTGCACAAGCTACAACCCTTCCACAACTAAAGATAGGGCTTTCAAGCGACTCGTCAGCATTTGATCACTCGTCATCTGCTGCCCCCAGCCCGAAACTGCGGGCTCCACCCTGATTCAAGTACTGCCAACACTGCGCCCAGCGTAGCTTGATCTGTTACCTACCGACGCTGATCTGCGGAACGCGGTTCTGAAATACCTTTTGATATCTTGAGACATACAGCATGGCGGGGGAAGCGTCGAAAGCGGTAGCGAAGCGGCCCAAAGCGGCTGGCTTCGCCGAATCTTTCTGGTCCGCAGACTATGCAGGCGGACTAGGCATCCTGTTCCAGAAGCTACAGCAGGGTGTAATCGAAAACCAACAAGTGCTCACTGTCGCAACCATGCGCGCGGAGGCGGAAGAACTGTACGCTGAGCGGCTAGAAGATATTGCGCCAACTATTGACCGCATGACCGGCGGCTTTGCAAGAGACGATGGCGCGAGCGTCAAAAAGGTGGGGTTGTCGTTTCCCTACCGCCAGCAAGCTCACTGACTTCTACAGGCATACGAAGGCGTTCGCGGCGAGATGGTCGAGGCGGCCAAGAACCACATGAAGATCTCCTCCAGCATCCGCGAGCTCGTTGTCTATCCCTTTGGCAGATGGTGTGATGCGCACGCCCTACGAATACAGAATTCCCAAGACGATTTGCAGGCCAAGATTAAGGCGCATGACCAACAAGCGGACACGGTCAGAAAGCTGCGAAGTCACTACTTCAACAGGTGCAGGCTAGTGGAGGATTTGGAAGAAGAGAACAAGCTCGCGTTTAAAGAGCCCGAGAAGGAGATATCAAGCCCGAAGCAAAGTCCTCCGCCGAAGATCGTGCTGCCCGAGGATGACGACAATTTACTGGTCGAGATCGGTGATGAGACTTTCACGTCAGAGAGACTAAAGGAAGTCTTTACGAAAGCTCTGAATGAGATTCCGATGGGGGAGTTCAAGGTCCCAATTCTGGGAATCTATCAAAACGTATCATCTGGTACAGATATCGTGGACTTTCTCCAGAAGCGTCTTGGTGCATCAAGCGTTGGCTACGCTGAAAAAATGGGCCAAGATCTGGTGGAAAGGGGATTCTTGAGACTGGTTGGCAATGTCGGCAACACTTTCGCGAACAGCTCGCGAATGAAGTATCAGTGGAAAAGCAGAGTATTCCAGATCACTGGCATCCCGGAGAGAAAGAAGCCGTTGGGACGGGTCGGCTCCGCTGCTTCAGAAACAGGCAGTATCGACTCGCCTACGGTAACAAATATCGCAGAGACCCTGCAGTCCTGGAATCCTCTCAACAATCCCTACCCTAATGAGACGCCAGCTGAGAGGCTGAGGAGAGAAGCTAAAGAGTCGGACGAGAAGTACAAGGTCGCTGTACGAAGACTGGATCTACTACGCTGCAATCTGGAGGAATCGATGATGGACCACTTGAGATTCCTTGAACGTTGCGAGACCGACCGTCTGAAAGCCATCAAGTCAGTGATCCTTGACTTCTCAGGCGCTATAAGCAACAGCATCCCCGCCTTTCAATCTCAAGTCGATAATATGGTGCTCTATCAAGAGACCATCAACCCTCTCAGCGACCTCCGCTACTTCCTCGAGAACTATCGAATAGGCGCCTTCGTGCCTCGCCCGACACCCTACGAGAACTACTACGGCAGTGTCGACGATCAGATATTCGGCGTAGATCTGGAAGCCCGCGCCCGTGCTGACCGCAAACGCGTCCCTGTCCTCGTCACATCCATTCTCACCTTCCTCGACAACCATTACCCGGACCTCGAAGGTGACGAAGCTCGACGGTCCATATGGCTAGTTGACGTCCCGCTTGCCGCCACCCACCATCTCCGCAGCCAACTCAACACCTCTGCCAAAATACCTCGCGAAATCCTTGAACGCTACGAAATCCCTATTGTCGCTTCCGTCCTGAAATTGTACCTTCTCGAACTCCCTGACTCGCTTGTGAGCTCGCAAGTGTACGAAATCATCAAGACCATCTATGCCACAACCCAAGATGCCACTCCGAATCCGATCTCCAATGAAGCAGTCGACTCCGCGCCCCGGATCAAAGTCCTGCAATCGACCCTCGGACAGCTCCGCCTCAATAATATTGCCACCCTCGATGCCATCACAACGCACTTCACACGCTTGATTGACCTGACTTCCGCGGATGAGTCCTATATTGCGGAGCTAGCACACAGCCTAGCACCCTGTATATTACGGCCTCGCACCGAGAACACGCTGACCCTCGAAGACCGCCACGCCTACCGCCTCATTCGCGATCTCTTCGAGCACAAGGAAGCGATTTTTGGGGAGTTGAAGCGACAGTCGTCGACGCTGAGCGCCAGCAACAGCATTGGAGGACGAACCCGCGCCGTATCAAATGTTAACGCACCCGACGAAAGCAATCGTCGTGCCAATATGGAGGCACGGCAGAAGGCCATCACCGAAGCGCGCCGCGATCGTTCGCCGGCACCAGCAAACCGCCACAGGAGAGACAAGTCCACAGATGGCAGCTTAGGCGCTGGCCGCTTTCCCGTTGTCGCGAGCCCACGGCCAGATCAGACGACCCACCGCGTGAGCTTGGGTGGTGGACCGCCGAACAAACGTACCAGCCTCGAAGTCCCGGGAAGTCATGAGAATAGTCCCGTGCACAGCAGGACGGATGCGCACAACAAACTCGCGGCCATCACGCAAGCGCAACCATCGTCCCAGTCACAGGGTGACCCGTCGGCAGCGGCAACGAGTACCAACGGTGGCTTCGGCAGCGTGATGCATTCCCCCGAAGACACGTTCGGGTCTCGCATGCCGGGAGCTTTCTCGGGCGGAGGGCCTGGGCCTCACATCCCACCGCCAACGGAGGATGACAGCCCCGTCAGTGATGTCACGCCGCCCGGAACGGCGACATCAGAGAAGGCCAGGGAGGCTAACCAAGGTGCTTTTGGGCAAAATGCCAAGGTGGGTAGCTTGAAGAGGAGTACGGCAGGGAGCGGGAAGCGACCTGAGAGGGGAAGAGGCAGCTTGAGGCGTGGGGAGGAAGAGGAACAGCAACAAGGGCAAGCGGTACCGGGCGTCACGTTGAGTGATGGCAAGATGGATGATGACTTTTGATGACAGAAATAAAACCCGGTTTGAGTGGTGTTGGGAAGCTATCAAAAAGAGAGCGTGGAGAAGGGGAGGATATTGAGGCGAGGAGGCGGACCCGCTCACATCTTGCTTGCTCCGAGCCTAGATCAGATGCTTCAGGATTGGCTTTCTAGTTCTAACCGTCGATGAATGGATGGATGAGTAAGTCGGGTTCGTCCATACGTCTAAGCTGATGCTAGAGCCCGACCGGGGGTTGCTAAGGGGTTGCCTCGTACAGCATTCGGGCTCTCTGCTTACCTACCTAGGTAACCTTGCCTCCTTTCTGTAACACTTAGTTAGCCAGCGACATGCGGGAAATTGTATTATTCTTGCTAGTTTGGTACCATTCTCTGCATACTTTTGTCACTCGTCCAATGTCGTCCTCATTGCCTCAACTGCTCGCCTACCTGCCTGCCTGCCACACTCCCTCCTAGCAGAGCATGGCATGACTGAGCTCGGCGAGACCCTCACGCGCCCGCCGCACGGGTATTCCTCCCCCCCTTTAAAATGCAAGAGAAGGCAGGTAAAGGGGGGGGGCATCGTACCGTAGCTTCCGGGATGGCGGGAGGTCGATACATAGAAACATAGATGGGGGGGAACAAATCACGAATAATAGACGCGTGTATGCGTGGGTGGATGTTGCACGTGCGAACTTGAGTTGCGTGGCACCGGGGGGAGGAAGGGGGGGGAGGGGGTGTTGCGTTGTACTTCTACACGGGTGTATATATTTATCCACCTTGAAGTCGCCCCCACATACATATACATAGATATATACACATACACGTGGATGCAAAACCGCCAACACAAGACTGACGGTACGATAGTGAGCGCACGCACGAGACAGAGAGGGATTCTGCTTGGCAGTAGTTCGCAAATGTTCATTTGATTACCAGTCAGTACCTTTTCGTGCCATTTATTCGAAAAACCTCCAAGCCGGGGGGTATCATCATGCCTGTTCCCAATTTCCCATCTCATGTCCCGCTCGTTGGTACCGAACCAAAATCCAGACCGTTGGCGGGGAGTGTTTCGTGTGCGCTGCGTGAATATGTAGTGTTGCATGTGCTGTGAATCCAATCCAATCCAATCCGATAACCTCATTCCATCTCGTCAGGACCTTCTTGGTCTCGGTCGTCACATTCTGAATCTATCCCCTGGAGAGCCGAATGTCTTTTTCACCATTCTCCCATATTGGTCGTATCAAGATATCCTCGCTTCTGAATACCTCTTGTAACCTGGGCTGCACTGTCTCCTCCACAATATCAGCCTCGAATGCCCACCATACTAACAGGCACGTCGCCCAGATCTAGTCCATGCGCGAACCTGACGTCCAAGCTCTTGTACCCGCCTTTGTTGTTTTCGCTGCCATCTCTTGTCCCTGCACTTCCACCTAATCCACCGAATTCCCTGTCGAATCCAAATCCCAAGCCACCACTGAAGCGTCCGAATGCTGGGCTCGGTAGCCTCGGTGCCTTGTCCACGAACGGGGCCAGGCCCGGTTGGGAAGGTTGATCCCTCGACCTGGACCTCGAGTTGCGCTCAGAAGTGCTACGCGAATTGTCACGCGAATGAGCGGGCGACCGGCTTCGCGAGCGACTCTGCGGCGTCGGACTGGCACCTCTCAAGCGTGCGGGCGTGTTAGGGTGACTTCGTAGCGCGGCCCCACGATCATAGTATCTTGGCTGCTCGAAGCTCGGCGTGCGCCCCCGAGGCTGCCGTTGATAGTCGTCTTCGTTGAAGGACGTGTGCTTGTGGTGACGAGGGGAGCTGCAACGATGAGAGTCAAAGTCCAAGCTCGTGCTACTAGTGTTCGGATGGTACAGGGCTTTGCCACGAAGTGGAATGGTCGGATAGACGTCACCCTCGTCTTCAATGGGCGAATAGTGATCTGCGGCCTGTTGTCGGTGAGCAGCCCAAGTTGCAGCTTGAGAAGCCCAACCGTTGTCTGAAACGTCCATGGGACGAGGAGAGTGCGAGGGTGGTGGAGGCGCAGGTGCATCGTTGTCATATTCCTCTGGCTCAGCGAAGTAGTCCTGACGGTTCACTTCTGTTGGACGTGGGGAGTGGGGAGGAGGTGCTGGAGCAGTATCATCGTTTCCATATTTCTCGAAGTCGTAGTGATTAACCTCTGATGGCCGAGGAGAGTGAGGGGGTGGCGGCGGTGCTCTCTCGGGAGCCGAAAGTCTGTCAAGCGTCGGAGGCGGTGGAGGTGCAGCTGTCGGAGCAGGCGTGTAGACATGATGCGGGTTCTGCAAAAGTGGCTTGATAGGCATGGGTGGCATGTTTAGAACCAGATTGGGACGGTATGCCCGTGTGGCATATTCCCGACCGTCGAATGAAGAAGCCCTTGACTTCCAGGCATCACGCTCTCTGATAGATGCACTCTTTTGCCGAGCAAACCGAGCTGCCGTCTCTGCATCCATCATGGACCTGTGCCTGAGCTTGTTAGGTCGTTGCGTCTGAGATGACTGCCGCTGCTGAAGCTGTGAGTTTCTGCGGCTTGGGATGGCATCATATGGAGTTCCTCCAATACTAGAGACTCCGGCGTCTAGCCCATTAATGATAGCCATGGCATGCACTTCACTTATGCCGCTGATATCGCGGCTGTTCCTCTTGCTGTTTCGCTTGCTTGGTAGCAATGGCTTGTCCTCTTTTACTCGACCGAACCATGAACGTCTGCGCTCCTGTTTTGGTCTTTCTGGTTCAGGAGAAGGAAATCGAATTTCCTGTACCTCCAGGAACTCCTCGATACCCAATGTCGAGACGCTGTTGCGGTTACGGGAATGGTTCATCGACTTGTACGTCGACTCCAGCTCCGGTACCTCTTGAGACCGAATCTTCAAATTGGCGGTGGCCTCGGCTGGCACAGGCGGGATTGTCAGATCGTCGATGCTCTGGATGGTCTGCAAGATGATGGGTTGCTTCTGCCTTAACAATGGCAGACGCTTGGTCAATTTCTTGGCCTTCTTGGGATGCTCATTCTCTGCAGAGCTCACGATGGGTGCACTTATGGTAGACGACCTGGCACTGACTGCGGGAGGTCGAATGTTCTCGAAAGTCGGCACTATCGGAGCAGTCTTACGAGACTTCAGGATAGGCTTGAAGACTTTCTCAACAAGACTGCGTCGATCGGCTTCCATGGACACCCTTGCCGTCGCCTTATCTCCAGACACGGATCTCAGCGATACATTCGAGGAGTAGCCAGAGTCAGATTTGCCAAAGAATTTGTGAGGCTCCAACAAGTGTAAGTTGGCGTGATCCGGCTCCGTGCGTGGCTCCGTGAGTGGCTCAAGTTGAACCGGGGATTGGAACTCAAGAGCAGACTCGAAGCCATTGTTCTCCGACGTGCGAAGATCTGCTATGGACGCTGGAGTCAGCAACGTGGTTCGCACCTCAACCGACGTGCTAACGGTGTCCTGGGCATCTTTGATAACAATATCGATGCTCTGACTGCGGTGAGAACCATCATCCACATCTTCAACTCGAGAGTATTCAAGGGCAGACTCGAAGCCTTGATTGCTTTGATTGCGAGGATCGGTGGGTGGGTTCCATGAGTGCCAGGATTCTGGGGTTTCTCGGTCATTCGTTGGCGATGGTCCTAGAGCTTCGTCCTCAAAGAGCTCGTCTTCCATCTCAGTGCGCTTGGTGGTTGTTCGCAGAACGGATCCGCTATCAGACCGAATCGAGGGCACTGGAGAGCTCGACCTGTTGCTTCCTGCTGCAAGGGACTCGTAGCTGCGCATGCTCCCTGTGGAAGCTGATTTCTTGAGCGATGTAGACCGAGCGACATCAAATGCCTCCTCTCTCTGGGCGAAGCTCATTTGACGTGCAGCATAAGGGTTTCGCGGAAGCTCTGCCATATACTCGGAAGCCAGGAAGGTGGTGGGGTCTGAAGCACCAGGGATGGGAGGTACTTCATCGTGAAGTCTGGAAGAGCCGTTGCTCTGCCAACTGAAATCGCGATAACGATTTCTGGTTGAATAGACGGAGTCGCCGTTCAGAAATCCTCTGCTACGCTGGTCGCCACCTTCCACGTCGCCGTAGTCGCTGGATGTGTCTCTAGTCATTGGTCGACGCATAAGGAGCTGCTTCGACATGTTGCTGGGAGTCGGTGAGGCCCTGCCGTTAACGACCTGCAACGAACCGAGACTTAAGCCGCCGAGGTGAGTATAATCTAGACTTTGCGGCGTCTCGGCACGAGCGACTTGAGGAGGAGGGAACCAATCTTCATCATCGCCCTCGTCGAACGACCGGGCATCATCTTGAATGGGCTTGGCCGGCAATGCTAGATGCTTCTCCATGGACTTGCTGGGCTCCTTTTCCTCCTTGATAGCTCCGACGAAGCTGCCTTTTCGCGTAGCTACACCAGGGACATACGACGAGCGGCGAGAGAAGTTGCGCTTGTCGGTACTATCGTCGACAGAAGGGCTAGGCGATAGACTGGTCCTTGAGTCGTTCTTGAGAACAGAGAGGCGGTCTTTACTGTTTGTGGTCTTCAGACTCGGACGTCTGGTGCTGACTAGCGAATTCAAGGGTGTAGATGCCTTTAGCGAATTCCTTTTGTTTAAGATGGAGAGGAGTGAGAGCTGAGACGAGTTGTTAGGCGCCTGGGATTGGTGGCCTGCCTCGAATCTGCTGACGATCTCAGAGACACTCCCTGCACTTTCATGCTTCCCCACACTGGGTGCTATTTTTACTGCCTGGTCATCCGTTGTGAGGCTCTCCGCACTGGCAGTCTTTTTCCGTTGCTCAGGATCCTGCAAGGAAGGATTGCTGGCAGACTTGAGATTGTGGTGCATACTGGGAGGCTTGGACAACCTGTTCCGGGGCCGTGAAGGTGCCACGTCCGCGTCGGTGGGGGCGGAATCGGCCTGAAAGCCTGACTTGCGACGGCTCAACATGATGCTGGACGACACTGCAGGCCGCAGTCTTGTTTGTATCTGAGACGTCGGTGACCGAGCTATGGGCTATGCATTGAACATGTCGACGTTTGAGGCAGAATCGAAACCAGAGAGGCTTCAGACAACTGAGAGAAGTGGCGGGGAGTGAGTGGCCTTAGAGTGGACCCCAGATTGACATGTGCTGTGCTCGCGGGGGCGAAGACGGTCTTGGAAGTATCGGCTGTGCACTGGCAAAGTGAACAACTGGGTGTCAAGTACTTGTCCCTCGAGCAAACGGAAAGAATGAGTTTGAGAAGTGATGGAAGAAAGATGAAACTTGGTGACGAGGCCGTGAAGGTGGTCGGCTCGGTCGCAAATTGATGGGGGTCGAGTCCAAGCTCATCCTGGTTCACAGGAACATGAGACGCAGCTTTGCCATCTCGATCATGCATGAGCAAGCGCGACCAAGCGGCAGCTAGTGATGGTGGCAGGGCAGTAAACAAGGCAGCCGACCGGTAGCTTCTCCAGACTTGGAGCCCACGCTGGTTCTCATGGCGACGGGGATGCTGCTTTGAGTGGCTTTTCTCACTTATCGGGAAATTTGGGCGATGCAGCTAAATGGTCGCTAAAGCAAGGCCGGTAGTGGTGATTGGCAATGTCTCATGGGTGCCGGCCAGAAATACATCCTTAGCGGTGGCTGATGCGGCACAGAGTGAGGGGCAGCAGCGGAAAACCTGAGCCGGCTGGCCAGTGGTAGGGGAGAGACGAGCACGGAGAGTTCATCAGGGTCGTGCACGATGTGGCGCAGGCGTACGCTTGTTCCATCATGATTGCGTGTCGATCGACATTGGACTTGTTGGAAGTCGGAGAACTGCACTGGTGATGCACAGACTACACAGACTACACAGACGTGGCAGTAAACGAGCAGTTGACAGCTACAAGTGTACAGAATACTAATGCTTACCAGTTCTTGAGACCGAGCTCCGTTGCGGGATGACGATAAAGAAGGCTGGGCCAGGTTCTGTGGTTCCGTACTGTAGATTTCGTGCCCGGGATCACCCCCGAAGAATCGTCCTCCCGACGCCATCTCGCCCGTTGCAGATTTCTGCCAGTTCGTTGATCAAGGCACGAGCTGACGGAGTACACTTCAGGCGGACAGTCCGATGCTAAAGACTGTAGCCGCCCTTCTAAGTCCTACTGCGTCGAGCCGACTTTCACCATGTTCTTTCAGGTGAAAACACGCACTATCGGTGCTCGCGGCAATATGGAGTAGAGTCATGCTCACCGCCATGGATGATCCGTGCTACCATGCGAGCCGACTTCTCGTCTATGTCTGCTCCCTGCACCCGCGGTCAACTAACTTACTCAGGAAACAAATCTCTACCCAACGACCTCCCCTCATCTGCTCCGAAGTGTAAGGAAACTAAGTGGCTGGATGCATGCTTTACCTTGCCGTGTGTACGTACAGTACTCCGTACCAGAACCGCATACTCCGCCTAGTCACACCAAGCGGGCTTCCGCCGCTACAGCGTGTTACAGAGCGCTGTCCCGGTTTTACGTACGAGTACACTTTTTGTTACCGGGACGACAAGATCACTACTACGGAGCCTGCGATGGTTGTACGACCACAAGATTACGAATATGAAGGCAATTTCACTACTGTGGAAAAAGATAAAGAGACGAGTTGTGTCATTTTGCTTGATGCTTTGAAGTGGCGACGCTCGAGTATTATTACTACAAACTGTGGGAGTGGACTACCCCACGTTGGTACGCTGCAAGCGGAGCGTGCATTATTCAAACTTGCTTTCCTTGCCATCCCAGCCACATTGATCATTTAACGTAATATGCGTGTAGTTCCTTGCGCCGCGCTATGCCCATGCAAGATAATGAGACTCCTGCGCTGGTGATACAAGTTGAGGTCCTCCAATTCAGTAACCAGTTTACTCGATGTTGATGCGTCTGCTCTCAGGCGCAGCGGCCTTTGGCACCACGATGCTCAGCACACCGTTCTTCAGGCTGGCCTTGACCGCGTCCTGGTTGACCCGGCTAGCGAAGCTGAAGCTGCGCGAGAAGGAGCCGACTGAGCGTTCACGGTACCAGTACTGGCTGTCGGTGGTCTTCTGAGGCTCAGGCTGTGCTTGGGTCTGGCTGACTTCCTGCTCGGGGGCGGCCTCGGTATTGGCGACGGCGGATGAGTTGGCCGGCTCTTCAACATCATCCTCGACAGTGGCGTGATGAAGAGAAGACTTTTCGCTGGTCTCTGAGGTGGGGGTAGCGGGAGTTTCCTCCAGAGCGGCGGTAGAGGATGGGCGCTGACCGCGTTCAGTGGTCTGTTCGTGGCGGCCCTTGATGGTGATGGTATGCTCATCCACAAACTCGATGTTGATGTCCTTCTGGTCAACACCAGGGAGTTCACCCTCGAGTGAGTAGGCTTCCTTGGTCTCCTTCACATCGAAGCGGGGATTCCACTGGCGCGGACTGGACTGACGGCTGGCACGCTGCAACTCATGCAGAGTGTCGTCGAAGAGGTTCCAGAGAGGAGCGACTTCGTGGTGGCGAGCGGGACCGCAGCGCATGGCTGGGGCGTAGGCGAAGCGTGGGAATAGGAGAGACATCTTTCTGGTGTTTGTGGTGGTTGGTTTGATGATGCGAGTGAACTGAGTGCGAGGTACAGTCGATTGCATTTGATGACGAGTTGATGAAAGTGCAGCGCCGATCGCGCCTTTATAGCGAGACGCCATTATGATTCGAATGTGCTGACATGCTCTGGCACCTTCGAATTGCTGAGCAATTGTCGATTGGTGATATATGTGCTAGAACCATCGCTCGAGTACACGAATGCTCTGGAGCCTTCCACGCCTCTCGCGCCACTTCGATGCCCCGGAAGCGGCGAAACCCACCTCCGAGCCAATGAAAACGCAGGAAGACGTTTGCCTGGCGAGAGTCCTACCCAGTGACTGGTCGACTTCACTGCAGATGATACTTTGCAGAGGCAAGGCACCATCTAGATCTTGTTGCGTGCATCAAAGCACAGACGGAGATAGCCGCGCAAGTCTGTGTGCTCAATGGATATCGGTAACGCCGGGCGCCGAGTAGAGCTCGAGCTTCCTGTGGCCCATGCGGAGCAATGTTTCGACGGCTGAGAAGTCCTTCCTGTCGATCGACGAGGCCTTGCGGAATTCACGCCTGAAACTGTTAGGCGAATGGGACTCGGAGGAGACGAGTTGCGTAAGTCATACCGTGCGGCGGCCTTGAAATTGGCCCGAGAGTGCTGTTGAGGCCAGGTTAGCCATTTTGCGGAGAATCAAGGCAAACGAGCCAGCGAATGTATTTACCTCAGGCTTCTTGTTAGCCTCCCGCAAGCATCGTCGATAGAGCTTAAGGACTTCTCGCTGCAGCCCAGAAAGTCGCGCGACCATTATGTTCACTTTAGTCTGAAGAGAGAAGGAAGGAGATAGCCCAAGTCCTGGGAGATGGATGGTGATGGAACGGAAAGCTTGGCGCCATCTTGGATTCCCCCAAGGTCACTGGCACATCTCCCTATGTAGCACTATCTACAAGCCACTGCCTCTGTGTCCACGTATAGCAGCAATGGCGCTCCGTCTATGGCTAGACTCTGCAAACAGCGCCTTGACAAGGTCCACCACTTCCTCCTGCGAGAACTCGAGACTCAACTCTCCCTCAGTCCAGAGGTACTTGATATCCTGCAGATTGGATTCCAGGATGTTGATCAAGTATTGAAACCTCAACCAATTTGGACAATACACTGCCACCATAGGTACGGCTTCTTGATCTGACTGGCTGTCCTCAGGCGATCTTGTGATGAACAGGTCTTCCAGCTTTGCAAGTTGTGCGCAGAAGTTGCCAAGCCGTTGGGACTGAGCTTCAGAGATGTCGTCCATCTCTTCAATATCGGTAATGACCTTGCTAAGAACACTTGACAGTAGCGCTCCTGTCGATTGCAGTAGGGCCGAGGTAGACAAAACCGGTGACCATTCAGCATGCACCTGTCTCAGACGATCGCTCGTCGAAGCTATTGCGTCCTCGATCTGCTCCGCGTACGGGATTGTGAATCCTTGAACGCCATCTAGCAGGTCACCTAGAATTGTTCTCTGGGTATCCATTTCTCGAGCATACGCCGACCGAGCAAACTTCTCCATGGCGGTACACTCGGCCTCGATGTCTTTCATGCCGGCTGGCTCGGGCATACTGCGAAGCTTATCGGCGATGTACAGCGCGTCATTATAGAGATTCATGTTCCCTAAGCTCGCGTTCTTGGCGTAGTAGGTAGGAGCCGTCGCTCGGAACATGGCGACGGAGAGCGCTGGCAATGCCAATAGCCCAGATGAAGCAGGGACACCTCTCAGACTCGCATGGTTCTCTCCTTGTAGCGTGACGCCATCTTGAATGTCCTTGCCAATACGTTCAAGGAGATGATCGGGTATGTCCGTGATGCTGTACAGCTCGGTTAAGACCAGTTCTTGTGAAGCAGCAGGCTCCGGTCGGTCGCCGTTAATAGTATCTGGGGACGACTTGGCCTCATTAGCAGGTTTCGCTTCGTTGTCATCGTCGCCCCAACCCCATGCTTCTACATCGGCATCTTCGCCGTCGTCTGTCTTGTCCTGCCCATTGGTGGTCGTATTCTTTTGCTGACTCTCGTCCATTTCATCATCGAAGCCCCAGCCACTCGTGTCCTCGTCGCCTTCGGTCTGCTGTGATGACTCAGCTCCTGTCTTCTCAGCTTCGTCCCACGATGTGTTCCAGTCGTCGGATGGTTCCTCAACGGTCTGTTTGGAGGGCGCGGCTGTGTCCAGCGTGCTTGCCTTTTGGCGCTCAACTCTCTCAACTTGATGCAGTGACCCCTGCGAGAGCGCAAACGCCTTCCTGACGGCATCTAAAGCCTCGGATTTCCGCTTGGCGATCCACATTCGGGGAGCATGTTGTGTCCACTGCCTGAGGTCACTGGCCTTGGGCCATCTGTGTGTGTCTAATACTTCCGCCAGGCCGGCTACATCCATACCCAGTGAGTCCAGATCTGTCAAGTCGTTCAAATCCATGGGAATCGCAGGCGTCAACCAATCTGTGACTAATGCAGACATGAAGCGAGGAGCAAGCGCGTTTGCTATGTGTGAAAACACCTTTTCAGGCAGTGATGCATGTAAGAATACCACAATATCTTTGCTGAAGCTCAGGATTTGTGGGATCTCAGGTCGTTTGTTCCCTAAGATGATTTTGAAACTGCCTCCTTGGACATAGTACGCCGACAAGTGCCTGATGGACTTGATCGATAGAACGCGGAGCACGAATGTTTCGAGTTTGTCTGCAATAGTTTCGAGCACGGCGTCGGCAGCGTCAAGTTCATCGAGTGCTTCTACCAATGAAGCGTTGTTCGAGGTTGGCACATCGGTGTCTTCTACCGACAGCAGCCCTTCAGAGCCATCGTACTGGACTGCAACCCTGGAAGTTACGTCTCGCTCTAGTTTCGTACGCGTTTTCGACCGCAGCTCCTGTTTGTACTCGTTGATTATGGACTTGACTCGAGGGCCGGTGATGCGGGACACATGTTGATCTATGTCTTTTAGGGCTTTGGCTGCCTCGACAATATGACCCTCGGACAATGAATCCTCGATGGCACGCATCTGTTGGTGGACATTGGAAGTGTTGTGTAGTTGTGTTTGTAGGTCTTTCGTAAACTGAATCTCATCCTCCAGCAACCTGGCTTTGCTTGCAGCATCCGACGCTTCTTTTCGCAGTAGTTCAAGGCGCACATGCTCCTGAACTATTTCCTGCGCATCTTGTTTGCACTGAGCAATATCTTCCTGCACTTTCTTTGCTTGGGTGATCCACTGGTCGACACCATCAGCATACGGTCTGCCGACATCGCGTATCTCTGCACTGAGCTCGTCTTTTGCCTTTGCGATCGATTCTAGTAATTCAGGTATTCCGCCAGAAGTGATATCCGCAGAGAGGACAGATGCTGTCTCCGGAAAGGTACCCTCTCGAATTGGGCCGATCAGGCTAGAGGCAAGTTCTGCCATGCGCAGCAGTTCACGCCGAAGGCACGCGTTCCTGGTGGGAAATAGGTCGGCAGTGGCTTCAGTGTCGAGTCCACTCGTTAGAACGAGCCCGCGGCTTCGAGGTGGCTGTTGCAGACCGGATAACATACCCGGAGGCCCACTCTTTTTCTTCGAATGCGGGCCTCACTTTTTTGCGGCAACTGAAGTGTTACTCACTACGCAATCTACAGCATACATTTTGAGGTGCCTAGATGACAGTCGCAAGGTCTATGACTGGGTGACAGCGCTACAAAGTATCTCCTCAGCTAATTTTCCGCTCGCCACCTTCGAGCTGACCTCCGCATCCACAACCATGGCGGGCGCCGAGTCTGCTTCCTCGACCCAAGTGAGGATCCGACTCGCTACAACCGATGGACGCTACAGTTTACCAGACTCTGCGCCTATATTGGTCCCTACCTCATTCCGTCGCCTAGCCCTGTCAAGCCTCGTCAATAATCTCCTCGAGCACGATCAGCCAGTACCGTTTGACTTCATTATCAATGGGTCATACCTACGAACAACACTTGAGCAGTTTCTTTCTGAGCACGGAATATCTTCAGAAACAGTCATCGATGCAGAGTTCACGCCTGCGCAGAAGATCCCGAAATATATTGCCTCTTTTCCGCATGAAGACTGGGTGAGTGCGCTAGACGTACTGCCATCAGAGAAATCCCGCCTGCGCCAGTCTCGGATATTGTCGGCCAGTTACGATGGACTGCTGCGTGTTTGGAATACTTCCTCAAATGTCATTGCCACATCACCTGGCAAAGGTGGTGGAGGCCACTCGTCGTTCATCAAGGATGCGAAGTTTGTCTCCGCTTCCCAGATCGTGTCCGTTGGCTTCGACCGGGTCGTAAGATTATGGAAATACGAGGAGGCTGAGGACGGATTGTCGGCCTCCATCTCCCCACGCCTGCAGTTATACGGACATGCCTCGTCCATAGACTCGGTGGCCAGCTGCAGACACAAAGATGCGCATCGCTTGCTGACCGCTTCGGCCGATCATACCATCGGCCACTGGTCGACCAAGACATCAGAAAGCCCCGCAGCGTCGGAAGAGCTAATACCCAAGACGATTCGCGAAAACGGAAAGAGAAGAAAACTCAACCCTGCGGTGTCGGTTGCACAACGAGGTCCGCTGTCAATACTCCAAGGCCATACGCAGCAAGTCAGCGGAGTCGTCTTTGATGCGAACGATCCCGAGGTGGCATATTCCGCCTCGTGGGATCAAACCATGCGAACGTGGCATCTTCCCTCGTCCTCGATTGTCGACACTCGTACAACGAACCAAGCGCTATTTTGCATTCATCAACTGCCGGAGTTGCATCTTGTCGCTACCGGGACTGCTGGGCGGGATGTCAAGCTTATGGATCCCCGAGCCTCAGCCTCGGCGGTCACGGCGATGACACTGAAAGGGCATAAGAATTCCGTGGTACGTCTAGCTGGTGATCCGAGCAACGGATATACCTTGGCTAGTGGAAGTCACGACGGGACTTGCCGAATATGGGATCTGCGAAATACCAGGCAGGGTCAGGATGGAGTGCATGGGCAGAGTCTCTACACTTTACAGCGCGAGAGTTTGGGCGGAAAAGCTGCCCCAGAGGTCGCATCGGGCGCGCAGATCTTCGCTCTTGGCTGGGACAGAGAGCTCGGGATCCTCAGTGGCGGAGCAGACAAGATGATCCAGATCAATCGCAGTGACTGACGAGCATCGGCGGCAGCGGGAGATTTGAGTCCGGCATAACCAAGCACCGATCCCACGTGCAATAGTTCCAAGGTGTAGATGGAAGCGGAAACAAGGGAGATTGGAGAGATCGGAAATCGTCTAAATGCGTGGCCGGGCACCGGAGCGCAACCTGTGGTAACCAGCTCAGCTGGAGAGATCGACCGCGGGACAATGCGCAGGTCTTAGACCATAAACGGCTGAGTGGAGAGGATGCAAATCCGTTAAGAAGATTCCGAATTGCGGGCGGGGGCACGAATTCTGCTTAATGATGCTTAAATGGTGCCTAAGATGTGAGGTTAGGACGGCGGCTGGTGATGAAGTAGGCCTTGAATGCGGGCGGCACTTATGCGAGCACGAGTCACTATTATGAGCTTGACTCAGGCGAGTTCTAGGGGCCAGTGGTCGCTTATTGGAGAGGCCTGGCACTAGCGTCCAGTGGCGCTCCCTGCCCCCTGTTGTCCCGTTTCCAAGACACACAGACGAGAGACAAGGAGCGGAGACTGACTGAGCCAGGGTATGGCTTTAGGGTCAGGCAGGGGAGGAGGCGAAGAAACTCTTCTCCTACCACCGCGACAAATGCAGCATCTTCGTGCCAAACTGCGCAACCTCTGGTTTCATTGACAACATTCGTTTCTCAAGTCATAGACTACCATTGCATCGCTTTTGACGGTGTCTTTCCTGGCCCGGACGTGCTCGGACACCGCTCGTTTTCCTTTCCAACCCCCAACAACACAGCACTTTAGGCAGACCTAGATACTTTGAAGAAGCCAGGAATAGAGGACATCATCGTTACCAGCCACCTCCTAGCATCGACTTGGACCTGAAACTCCTCTATTGAAGAGTCAAGCTGTCCAACTCACTCAACGCATTCACGACCCCTCCAACGTGAGCAAAGTCCACATCCCTGTGCCACGTTCGTCAATGTTGACACTTTGTATGCAGTTGCCCGTGGACCGCCCCATGCGTTCTTGAACCGGTTCACCCGCCATCAACACCCGTTCCCTACCAGCCTGATAGGCCTGATACTTGACTCGGGCCTCGAAACTCGACGCTACCTCTACCGTCGAACGCAGTCCCAACAAATCTACACACCGGCTTCATGCCCATCAAGCTACCAAAGGGCTTTCAAAGAAGGAAATCTTCAGGCAATGCCTTGGATGAGGCCAGTTCACCGGTTGGCTCTTCATTTAGAGTTATTGAGAGGCCAGAAACCAAGTCATTTGAGGCTGGCACCTTGACACGAGCGATTGGAGGCTCGTCGTCTGCTCTCAAATCCAAGAATAGCTTCGAGCACGATGATGAAAACATGTTCCGTGTGTCTACAGGCATGCGTCCCGATGCAACCAACCGGTAAGTTCGCAACCTCGTATAATGACTTCTCCATTCCTAACGCCGTATAGTGGAAGTGGTGGGACCGAGCATTCCGTCTCAACTGCCCCTTATGACAGCGCCGCTTCATCCTCACGGTTGAGTGTTTCTACGAATCCCTCGTCGATCGATGCTCGTTCAGACCGGAATGTACAGGCTCAATATAAAGATATTCCCGCGCCTCCACCACCATCAGCGAGGCCCGGATTCCTGCGCAATTCCGCCCGGACATTCTCCCTGGGTATGGGGTTGAAGTCTAAAGATACACCAACCTCATCTCCGGCAGATTCGCCGGGCGGGCCGTATCTGCCCCAGGTGCCTCACGAGCAAAGAGGGCGTGCCGCCACAGCCAGTAGCGCAAGTACCGCGACACCTCCACGGTTGTTCGACTCGGATCTTGCTCTTGACAACAGCGAGCTGAATGACTTTGGTAACATGTTTGAGGGGATTGGAATGCATAGCCGTGACTCCAGCCCGGGGCTGTCTAAGCATAATGTGAGTTTCTTAGTCATCCTCATGGCGAGGTTTCAAAGCTGACTTGTTGAAGAACCTCACCGCATCTCCTTCCTCAGATTACCCTCCGAACAGCTTCCCTGCTACCTCGCAACAACGCTCCACCCGCGCTCCTGCCCCAAAGCCGATCTCTACGAATCGGTACGAAACTATCGAAGAATCGCCCTATTCCTGGAATTCGCATAACTCGAGGGAGGGATTGATCAGATCTCCTTCACCATCGAAGACCATAACGCAGAACAGCCCCCCAGTGCCTGCGCATGCCCCATTTACGGTCAACAAAACCCGAGGTCCGAATCGGAAGCCTCTACCCCCTGAAAGTGATATGCTCAACAACGAGCTGTCGAATACAAGCGAGGATGCTCGACTGACGAAGAGTGAAACGATTGACTCTTACCAGAGCGCCGATGCAGACGTCGATCCAGCTCTGCTCGAGAGTATGGACCTAGCAAATCAATGGGCCGAGACTAAGCCGACCGTCAACAGGCTACCTTCCAGCAACAAGATCATGACGCCTGCTCAATTTGAGCAGTACAAGCGACGGCAAGACGAGGATAGAAGACTAGGGGCTTCTCGCGATAGCGACTCGGAGGACGAGATCAACTATGACGATGATGAAGAGGAGGAGAGAGAAAGACTGGCGGCGAAGAAGAGGCACAAGCAAGAAGCCCACCTTACGGTGTACCGACAACAGATGATGAAAGTCACTGGTGAACAAACCACCGGTCGTAACAGCAGCCTGGGCCCCACACTCGATCCACGGGCCAGTCCTAGCCCGAACGCGCTCGACAACCGCATTTCACACCTGACGACTGGTACACAGCAGTCTGGGAAGAGTAGTGGCGAGGAAGAGGACGAAGATGAGGATGTCCCGCTAGGAATACTGGCAGCACATGGCTTCCCGAATCGAAACCGACCACCCACCCAACTCATGCAGTCCTCGTCCAACCCGAACCTGCGAGCGTTCGCTCAACAACAGCAGCCACAGCCGAACACTGTTGCGCCATCGGCAGCAGGTGAATCGGTCAAGCGCGGCAGTCTGCCTGTCTTTGCACGACATTTGCCGCAAGATCCGTACTACGGTGCCAGCGTCGTCAACCCAATGCACCGCGAATCGCTTGCCATGCATTCGCAGCAGGTCCCGCAAGGGGCGGGCGCTTCAACGCAACATCCAGTGCACCCGGCGGGCCTGGTGGGCGTGATTGCTGGGGAGGAAAAGGCACGTGCTATGCGACGTGGCAGCCCGAATACCCAAGGCAATTATGATCTGCCGCCTGCGATGCAGCACCCTGGTATGATACGGTCTCAAACTGCTGGCCCGGGCATGATGCCAATGATGGCAGGTATGCCTCCTATGCCAGGCATGGGTGGTATGACACCGGGAGATCATGCTCAAATTCAAATGTCGCAGCAGATGACCCAGATGATGCAGATGCAGATGCAGTGGATGCAGCAAATGCAGCAAATGATGGGGAATCAGAACTTGTCGCCAGGAGGCATGACACCTGGTGAGATGCAGCCGAACTTTCATCAACCGGCTCCTAGCATGAATGGTCGGCCACCCACAATCCAGATGAACTCTGCTCCACATCTTAACGGGAGGACAATGAGTACCTTGACGCCCAGTATGGCGTCGTGGAACCTTGGAGGCCAGCATGGACATGGGACCTACGCTGCGTCGATCGCCCCATCTGAGCGCAGCAACGTCGGGCTTGCGTCACGTTATCGGCCTGTTTCGACCGTCCAGGACATGGACCTAGGCTCGGCAAGGCGAGCGTCCACATTTACATCCACGTCGGTGCGACCCTGGTCCCAGATGGACCTGAAGGCTACTTCGAACACCCGTCCGTCTGTGAGCCCAGTGGGTCGGAAGTCGGTACTCGCTCAAGATGATGACGACGACGACGAAGGCTGGGCGGAGATGAAGGCTAAGAAAGACAGGAAGCAAAAGTCATGGAAGCTGAGGAAAGGGCAAAGTGCCTTGCAAGAACTCTACAACGGCGTACCCTGAACAGGTAGGCTGTACATTTCTTCTAGAGGCGAGTTTTCATGGAGTCGATGAAGACTTCACAAGCGGCAAGAAGAACATGTTTGGATACCGGACAAAAGCTGGAGATGGTAGCAACATGGACAATGTGCGGCATCTGACAAGAGATACGAGGCCAGGAAAAGTTGCGGCAATGTACAGGATGGATGGTTATGATATGAAATGGGCGGACCCCATTGAATGACCAAGAGGCCGTCGTTGTATAATCTACTCTAATAATAGAATGTGTCCGTCACTCTGTCTCTGGTCGATGCACAAGGCGACGATGTGGGCAACAAAGTTGATGGAAGATGCCAAGACCAGGCAATTCTGCAGCAAGCGTTCGGCTGCCACTGCCTGCCACCAAAAATCCCACCAACGCGGTAAGCGACGAATCTAGGCCGCTGCAGATTCTTCGATCTGTCTACAAGGTACAGCAGACTCACTCTGCAATCACTGCATCTCACCGGCTAGAACCCCTCGCGATCGACCCTGTGTCTTGCCAAGCCGTTCGGGGCCGTCCTTCCTTTGTCACTCGATTCTGGCAAACTCACTTCTCGCGTTGGTATTACGGTGGAGGCAGGCAAAAGAGACGGAGCGCTCTGCCCTTGATGCTTGGAGTCTAGAGGTATACTTTGGTTGAAAGCAGTTTCCAGAGAACGGAAAGGTGAGTTGCTTTTGCGCCAGCGGAGCGCCGCTCCAGCATCAAACCGAAAATCGGCTCTTCCGGGTTCAAACACTCAGTCACTGGCTTTGGAGGAGAGGCGACAAACACATCTTATCCTTTCAGCCCATCATTTCCGCCGCAGCCGTTTGCCTACTTGCATTCCATCTCCAGCCTGCCACCTCGGACGTTGCTGCGTTCGTTGGAAGTCCATATACTGACCGGTCCTCACCATCTTAGTTTTGGCGGCACATAGCAGTCATTGCACAGCAAGAACAGCAAGCAGTCATGGGTTCCATCCAAATCGACCCGCGCTTTCGACGAATTCAGAAGTTTAACTCTACCTACTCCCCAAATACTGTCACGCAGTATGAATCAGATCGAACTGGCATGCGGGTCGTCGTTGTCGACCAGGAGGGACCCAAGCTACACGGCTTTTTCGTACTAGCAACTGAGATACACGATGACAGCGGCGCGCCTCACACTCTAGAGCACTTGTGCTTCATGGGATCCAAGAGCTACAAGTACAAAGGTTTCCTAGACAAACTAGCTACTCGAGCGTACTCCAATACGAATGCTTGGACCGCCACCGACCACACGGCCTACACGCTAGAGACGGCCGGATGGGCAGGTTTTGCGCAAATACTACCGGTCTACCTTGATCATCTTATTGTACCAACCTTGACGGATGCCGGTTGCATCACCGAAGTTTACCACATTGATGGTCAAGGCAATGATGCCGGTGTAGTCTACTCCGAAATGCAGGGTGTTCAGAACGCAGCCTCCGAGCTAATGGAACTGCGCGGTAAGCGCCTCATGTATCCTGAGGGTGTTGGTTTCCGCTACGAGACTGGAGGTATGATGGAGCAACTACGAGTGCTAAGCGCCGATCGCATCCGAGAATTTCATCGCGAGATGTATCAGCCCAAGAATCTGTGTCTGCTTTTGATGGGTGAGGTCGATCACAAGGAGTTGCTGCAGATCCTCGACGATTTTGAGACATCTGTCATCCATGATATCCCTCCTCCAGACAAACCATTCTCACGTCCTTGGATCGACTCCAAGCAAGCCACCCCTCTGACAGAATCTGTTGTGAAAAGGGTCGAATTCCCGGAGGAGGATGAGGACTTTGGGCAGATCGACATCAAATTTCTGGGGCCTGACATTGCAGATATCGTACAGTCGGGTGCCCTGACGGTCGTCCTGCTCTACCTCTGTGGCTCTCCTGCTGCCGTTCTGGACAACAACATTGTGGAGAAAGAGCAACTAGCTAGCAGTATCTACTTCACTGTGGATAGCCGGCCCAGGACCGAGGTTGACTTCAGCATGTCAGGAGTCGAGACCGACGTGCTCGAGGATGTAGAGAAACGCTTTCACGAGGTGCTTGACGAAGCCATGAAGAAGCCATTGGATATGTCTTTCCTGCGAGACTGCATCGACCGGCAAATAAGGTCTACCAAATTCAACACGGAATCTCAGCCGACCCATTTCTCGGACTATATCATCGCTGACTACCTGTTTGGCAAACGCGATGGCTCGACTCTGGAAGAGATGGCATCATTAGATCAGTTTGAGCGCTTGAAATCTTGGACAGAGCAGCAGTGGAAGGACTTCATCAACAAGTACTTTGCCAAAGCACATTATGTTTCACTGCTGGGAGTGCCGTCCGCCAAGTTGTCGAAGAAGCTCACCGACGACGAAGCTGCTCGAGTCGAGAAACGAAAGAAAGAACTAGGGCCTGAGGGTCTCAAGAGAAAATTCGAGGAGCTGGAAAAGGCCAAAAAGGAGAACGACAAAGAAATCCCTCCAGAGCTACTGGCACACTTTAGAGTCCCATCTACCGAGTCGATTCATTTCGTTAAGACCAGCTCAGCACGTGCTGGACCGGCTTTGAAAGTAGGCAGACCGGACAACAAGTACCAGAAGATCATCGAAAACGACGGTGGCGAGGACTTCCCCCTGTTCATCAACTTCGAGCACATCGAGTCAAATTTTGCCCGCATACATCTCATGATCTCCACCGAGAACCTTCCTGTTGCGCTCAAGCCATTGCTTGCAGTGTATTTCGAGGCCTTCACCAATCTCGACGTGCAGCGTGACGGCCACAACGTCCCCTTCGACCAGATCGTTGTGGAGCTCGAACGGGACACTGTCGGCTACACCATCGACTCGGCCTCCAACCTCGGCAACGTCGAATGTCTTCGCATCACCTTCCAGGTCGAAATCTCAAAGTACAGTACCGCTATTGCCTGGATCAATGAGCTCTTCTGGCAATCCATCTTCGAAGACAAGCGGCTCCAGGCTATCAATGCCCGCCTGCTTGCCGATGTGCCCGATGCCAAACGTGACGGTAATGACATGCTCGCCGCCGTGCATATCATGACCCACCTCGCACCCGCTTCAATCGGCCGCGCACGCTCTACTCTCGTCAAAGCCTTGTACCTCAAGCGGTTCAAGTGGCTTCTGAAGAACGAGCCAGAACGTACGGCCTCCATGCTCGAGGATCTGCGTAGCTTCCTCGGCCAATTCGCCAACTTCCGGGTCGTGGTTGTCTCAGACCTCACCAAGCTGGCTGATCCCGTGCAGGCATGGAAGCCGTTTCTGTCAAAGCTCGACACTACTCAGCCCCTGGCTCCGCTGGGTCGCCGCATCGATCGCCTCTCGGCTGCTGGTCAGAATCCGGGTGCACTAGCCTACGTTGTTCCCATGGCCACCATCGACTCCTCTTTCCTCTACGCCGTGGCCCGTGGTCCCAGCACCTGGGACGACGAATGTTTGCCCGCACTCATGGTTGCGCAAGCCTACTTGAACGCAGTGGAAGGCCCGCTGTGGGTCGCCGTACGGGGCGTCGGGCTCGCCTACGGCGTCAGCACATCCTACGACATCGACTCCGGCTTCGTCAGCCTGGACGTATACCGCAGTCCCGACGCGTACAAGGCCTTTGAGGCCTCATGCAAGGTGGTGCAGGAGCACATCGACGGTACCATCGAGTTCGACGACCTCATGCTCGAAGGCGCCATCAGCAGTATCGTCGTCGCCATGGCCAACGAGCAGCAGACCCTGGCGTCGGCGGCCGTAGCGTCCTTTGTCAAAGAGGTCATGCGCGGCCTGCCCAGCGACTATAATGAGACTTTGCTCAGGAAGGTGCGTGAGGTCAGTGTGGACGAGGTCAAGACAGTTATGGACGAGGTCGTGATGCCGGTCTTCAAGCCGGGAAAGGCGGATGTCATGGTTACATGTGCGGTTGGCATGACGGAGGTAAGTCGATCTTTTTCGGCCCGGAGTGGCTGTTTTTCATGGTGGACGGAGAGAAAGAAGAGAGAGAGAGAGCTATGCTAACGTGTGCAACTACAGGGTATTCAGAAGGGGTTGGAGACTGTGGGCTGGAAGCCTGAGGTCCATGACCTCACTTGGTTCCAGGATGATTACGGGCTGAAGGTGCCGGATGACGATGACGGTGATGACGAGGGCGATGAGGACGAGGATGGGGATGAAGAGGATGGCGAGGCTGACGAGGACGCCAGCGATGACTTCGAGATGGTCGAGCGGTAAGACATCCGTCAGTCAGGTGGGCAGAGGTGAGAAAAGCATGTGCGCGTGCCTGGTATGTAAGGTGTGCTGGTCTGGTCGCATGGATAGATCGCATGGGATGCTTGGTGGCGGAAAGACGAAGACAATACTACTACTGCTGCTGCTGCGTATGATATATCGCTGTTGACTGCGCAGGAAGAAGGCGTGTACACGGCAATTGTGGCAATTGTGACCGCATTGTTTGATGTTTGATATTCGATGTTTGATCTTTCAATTCTGTGACCCTAACTGAAGGAATTCTTGAAAGGTATTCTGTGCTTTCTCTATCCGCTGCCGGACCAACCCCAGCCCCAGATACAGGTCATTGTCGCGTATTGCTAGCGAGCCCCATTTAGAAAAGGTCGGAGCTTCGTACATTTCCTTCACGCTTTCTCATGCATTTGCATACGCAAAAAAGAAAAGAATTGATCTTGGCTGGTCGTGCGGCGTGGTCGTGGGTGCGACCTCCGCTCTTCCATGGGTAAGCACGTCTGACCTCTCGCTCGCTGGCTGGTGCGTCTGCCCGCTACCCGCCTCCGCAACATTGCGCTGTTGCGGGATTGCAACGCGATGGCGGCCGCCTCACAGCTTCAGTCTCCTCCGTTCAGCGCTGGCGGCAGTCCCCCCTCTTTCCCTTCCCTCCCCAGCTTCACGGTGCGGATCCGCTCGATCCTGCCACGTCTCCGATGTCATCTCCTCCGACCACACTGTATTGAGCGCGTCTCTCAAGAGATTTCGGGCTCAACCGTATTGCCCGCGACAATGTTTGCCCAGCCAATCAACCGCCAGTGCTTCTCGATTCTTCTGCTCAAGGCGATCTTCTCGCCAACCGCGGTGCAGGCGGGCGTGGTGAGAGTCAGCTTGGCGGCATCAGCACGAACACCCATGACCTTGGCACCTGTGGCGGTGCTGCCGATGTTGACCATGAGAACCTCGTTTTTGGCCAGCTTGGCCACCTTAGCTTGCTTGCCGTCGGCAGTCTTGACGCCCAGCAGGCGGCGCAGCAGGAAGTAGTTGACCTCGATCTCAATGTAGATCTCGGGTAGCTGACCTTTGAGGCCGAGCACGTGGCCGACGAGACGATCGGCACGGCAGAGGGTAGGGTCGACGCGGGTACCAACACCGATGAGGCCGCCTGGTACTGCAAACTTGAGATCGTTATGCTCAGCGAAGAGAGACACGATACGTGAAAGAATGGGTCGGCAGATGGTCTGACCGGATTCCGAGCGCGAGATGATACCTGGCCGGATCTCAATTTCATCACCCAATTTCAGTACGCCAGTCAGGATCGAACCACCGGCCACGCCGCCTTTCAGGTCCTCAATCTCGGCACCGGGCTTGTTGACGTCAAAAGAGCGGATGATGATCATGTGTGGGGCGGCGGAGAAGTTTCGAGGCGGCACGGGGATGCGGGTGACGAGATATTCGTTTATCGCATCGATGTTGTATTTGAGTTGGGCGGATATAGGAATGATGGGGCTCCCGTCGGCGACAGTGCCTTTGATGAATTTGAGAATGGATTGGTAGTGAGTAAGGGCGTTGTCTTCCTTCATCAAGTCGACTTTGTTTTGCAGAATGATGATGTGGTTGAGTTTCATGATTTCGATGGCGGCCAGATGCTCAGAGGTTTGAGGCTGCGGGCATGATTCGTTGCCTGCGATGAGGAGAAGGGCGGCGTCCATAACGGCGGCGCCTGACAACATGGTACTCATGAGAATATCGTGGCCCGGGCAATCGACGAACCTACAAGGCTGTTAGCAGCAGGTCGGAGTGAGGTAAGGCAAATAAGGCAAATGTGGTTTGATCCGCGAAAGCGATGTGGCTAATCAACCGCTCTGATGCATATTGCGAGTGTATCTTTGCTGATTTGACGCCTGGAAAGACTGAGGAGGGGGTAACTCACGAGACATGACGAAGCAGGCGGTATGTGCCACCGCATCCTTCCCGCTCGCACGGCGGGTCAACCTCCTTCTCGGATTTGTAGGACCGATAGCATGTAGGCCTGGGGCAGGCCTCGTTGTCACACTTATAGACCTTCGCATTGGCATAACCCAATTTGATGGTGATGTTTCGTTCCAGCTCGTTCTTGAATCGCACAGTCTGCACGCCCGAGATGGCCTTGACGACTGTGGACTTGCCGTGCGCCACATGGCCGATGGTACCGATGTTTATCGTTGCCTGCCGCGCGATGATCTCGGGGGTGAGGGGCGTGAGCACGCTGACGTCCAGGGTCTTTGGGTCGGGCTGTTCGGGGAGGGGAGGTCGTGTGACGGCGGGCTCGGGGACCGCGGCGGAGGTGCCCTTTTTGAGGGAAGACTTCAGAGGTTGGTTGGTATCCTCGGCCATTTCTGTGGCATCGACGAGCTCTCCCTCGGGAGTCCCGGGTTGCGAGAACTCGTCGTCGCTGGGCATGTCGCCGTTGGTCGCCATGGTGGGGCGCTGGGCGGGGGTTTTCTTTTTGTGTGCGTTGACTACGGTGAGGATCGCCGAGAGTAGTGTGGAGGGTGTGAAGGACGTCTCAATACAACGACAAGTTCGTGGATGTCTGGAGACAGCGAGTGGGTGCGTTGCGTAGTCTCAAGCTGTGGCTGCAATTCTCTTTGCGGGCTGGAGTCATGGTCGAACATTTATGACTCTTGGCACGCGCCAAGACTCGTCAGTGCAGCTGCGGCCGGTGCCAAACCTGACCTCATCCGACTTCATCTGACCCCCTCAACCTCTTTACTCCCCCATTAAAGCTTCAGCACGAGTTCTACTAATCTAGGGCCCCGATACGAGGGAAATAGCTTTCGCTTCCGGCTGGCTCGTATGCCTTCTCACATCCGGCCTCTTAGCTCCCAAGCCGGTTCTTCCCCTCACCATCATGCTTTCGGTGAGGAGAAGAGAATGATGACAAGCCCCGTGCTAGGTAACATAAGACCATTTGGCCTCGCCAGTTAGGAGCTTGCCAGGTAAGTCAATCAAATTACGGAAGTAGTCCCTTTCCCTCTGTGTCTACAACATCGTCGCCATTCACCGTCTGCTTGCCCTGTAGCAGCTTCCTCCGATCCTCGCGCAATCATGGCCGCCGTGAAAAAGTTCTACGCGGCGTGCGAGGCTGGACCCGCCGTCTGCCTGACGGCATGGGACTACCCGACAGGCCTCCTGGCCAAAGACGCCGGCATGGACCTCATTCTCATCGGCGACTCCTTGGCCATCACGGCGCTAGGCCTCCCCTCCACGACCAGCATCACTCTCGACGAGCTCATCTACCACGCTCGTGCCGTCTCGCGCGCCGCAAAGGCCGGCCCTTTTCTCCTCGGCGACCTCCCCCTCGGCAGCTACGAGATCACGCCCGAGCAGGCCGTCGCGTCCGCGCTGCGGTTGGTCAAGGAAGGCGACGTCGATGGCGTCAAGCTCGAGGGCGGCAAGGAGATGGCGCCGCAGGTCGCCGCCATCACCAAGGCAGGCGTGCCGGTCGTGGGCCACATCGGCCTGACGCCGCAGCGTGCCCTGGCTACGCTGCACACCGAGGGCATCGAGGGGCTCAGCGGCGCCGGCGAGGCGAGGTTGTCATTCGGCAGCACGCTGGACAGCGCCGAGATGGTGCTGGACGACGCGCTGGCGCTGCAGAAGGCGGGCGCCGTCGCCATCGTCATGGAGGCCGTGGCGGCACCCACTGCAAGAATGATCACCGAGGTTCTCAAGGTCCCCACGATCGGTATCGGCTGCGGGGGTGGCACGAGCGCGCAGATCGCCGTGCAGAGCGAGGTCCTCGGCTACCAGAGGACGTTCCTACAGAGGTGGCACACAAAGTACGCCGAGGTGGGCGACGTGAGTCTGCAGGCGTTGCGGAAGTACAAGGAGGAGACCAGGGGCAAGCAATTCCCGACCGAGCAGCAGGGCTACGTCATGAAAAACGGCGAGGAAAAGGTGCTGGTCGATCTGAAGAAGCGGGCCAAGGAGATGTCTCTCTACGAGAACATGGGTCGTGAGCGGAGGGGGTCCAAGAGCTCGTCGTACTGAGATTCGCGATGTTGGACATGATTAGTTCTCAACACCGAACCATTGTGTACGGGCAGAGCGATGATTAGTATGAGATCTGGACACTGTGGCGCTTGTATTCTATCGGTCTTACAACATGGCAAATCTCACACCCTATGTCCTCCTCCTCTGTGGATCTTGTGGTCCAGTGAAATCGAACGAGGACCGACCCAAACACATCATTTGTTTCAATGCCTCAGCTGCTGCAGTGGCGTCCTCATGTTTCCGCATGCTCTGATCATGGACTTCAAGACACCGGCGTGATTCCTAATTTGCATCTGGCTACCTTCCATCCGGTGACCACACAAAGTCTTCGAAACACTGGTGCACTGATATACACACTCACTCAATCACTCTCACTCTCGATTTCGATCTCGATCTCTCTCGACTTTTGCCCAGTAAGTCACTCATCCGAATCGTCACTACTCACACTCGGCGACGGGTCTCTTATAGAAGGGTCCGGCGTCTTTTCGACTTTTCCGAGCCGCGTCCCGCCGCCCTTCGCCTTCGTGGCTTGCTTTGTCTTTCTGGGTGCGGGTGCAGAGCTCTCGCTCGCACTGCCACTGCTGCTCTCCTCAGATTCGGATGAGTCACTGGAGCTCGCGGCTGCGAGAGCTTTCTTCCTCGCGGCAGCTGCAACTGAAGCCGGTGCAGGACTAGCATCTTTGCTCGCAGCCTGAGAGATGATCTTTTTTCTAAGCAGTTTGAGACCCGACTCGCGCTTTTCTGGCGCCGCAGGTCTGGTGAGCTTAGACGCAACTGAAGATGGTGTGACCACTTTACTCGGAGGAGATAGCTTTCTCGGACTGGTGTCAGGCTTTGTCTGGACGGGCTTAGGGGATGACTCGCTGCTGCTCCTCTCCGACGACTCTTGGGACGACTCTCGGGACGACTCTCGCGACGAGTCGGACAACGAAGAGCGTTCATCATCGGCTACCTTCTTGCGTGGCACAGCGGAAGCGGATTCCTTGCTGCTTGCTTGAGATGATGTCTCCGTCGATGCGGACGATGACGAGCGCTCTGTGCGTACCTTCTTCATCGACTCACGGCGCCTGGCGGTGCTCTTCGGAGTTGGTGGAGGCATCACCACCCTGTCCTTATCTTTGACGGCCGACTTAGGCGTTGGCGGCTCTTTGCGAACCTCAGCAGGAGATCGAGACTTCGATTTTGAGTTCGAAGACCGAGACGCGGAAAGGAAGGCAGTGTTAGTGGCTTGCTTTCGTGTCGGCTCGGGATTATCGTCAGACTCCTCCGAAGAGCTCGCCGAGTCTCCATCGCTAGACGAGTCCATGGAAGCCGTCTTCCTCGCGACTGTCTTCGCCAATCCTGTCGTCGTTTGGACAGCTGCCTTTCCTTCCTGAGGATCACTTTTGGCAACAGGCGCCCTCACGTTGACATTCGTGGCTGGAGTATTCTCTTTTTTCTTCTTAGAAGCAACAGGCCTTGGAGGCTGTGGTGTCAGCTCATTTTGGTTGCGAAGGCGCAAATATTCTTCTTCGCTCATACCCTTAGGCACAACCAGATTCGCGGTAGCAGAAGGGCTTCGAGAGTCTTTGGAGACCTCGCGTACCTGAGGCAGAGGCAAAGTGGCTTTGGTCGCTGGTGTGATTGGATTGGGGGCCGAGGCTTCAATGGTCGGAAGCGGTGCGTCTTCGACAGACTGTGCACTCGATTTTCCTTTACTAGTTCCTGCTGCCTTTTGACTACCTGTCGCGGACCCGAGAGCCTTTGCTCCAGCTTCAACGGTAGCGTCTTTTAACTTCTCTTTCAAAGACTTCTCTTTGACGGCTTGTTTGCCTGTTCCTTGCTTCGCGCCCTTGCTCTGCTGGGTGGCACCATTTTTAGCGGTTGGCTTCACAGTTTCTGGCTTCGTGGCTTCAGGTTGCTGCTTGGCTTTGCTCGGGGTTTTCTTGGTCTCCGACGATTTCTGGACACTAGTGTTTGAATCTGTGCTCGACCCGGGTCGAGAGACTGGCACAGAGCTCGAAGAAGTTGATTCCCCCCTTCGCTTTGATTGCTGCTTCGCTTTCGACAGCTTCTTCACCGTGGCCGTGGCCGATGGATTCTGGACAACAGTGTTTTGGCCTGCGCTAGAACCTGGTCTAGAGCCTGATGCTGCACTCGAGGTCTCGGAATCTCGAGCTCGCCTTTTCTCCTTTTGTCTCTGATGCGCTTTTTGCTGCTTCGTTAGCGCTACTGCGACGCCGTCGGTGAGAGACTGGCCCTGGGCCGAGTTCCACAACGACTGTGACAGCTGCTCACCAGGGCTGTCGAGCTCGGAGATAACGCCAGAAGTACGTCGCGAGGGGGAGCTGGGAAAATTTGGCTTCAGTTGATCATTATTTGGAGACGTCTTGGCTTGCTCTTGCTTCTTGGTCTTCTTCGAAGGCTGCGCAGGAGCGGCAATGACCTTATTGTCGTCGTTGCGGCCAGCTGAGGCCGACATCGGCTTCCGAGTCTTGGTAACCTCAGGCTTAGCGTGGCCAGCCTTTTCTGCTTCGGCTTCACTATCAGCTTCGGAATCCTCACTCTTCGATGCATTGCCGTTCTGCAGGGTGGTCGACGCAGCTTTCGTTGAGATCTCCTCTGCGGCTGGGATGATGTGATCAATATCCATGGGCTGGAGCGCTTCTTGCGCATTGAAGGCATCGACTACATCTTGATTTTGGGTACGCTGACTTGGTAGCTGCTCAATGCTTTCCATGTTCTTAGAGCCATTGGCCTGGGCGGGTGACATTTGTGAATCCTCAATATCAGATAGGGGATGATCATAAGGATCAGGTCTGCTCGAGGACTTGAACTTGCCGGCGGCCGAGGAGGTCTGCGCAGCAGGTGACTTGGATTGACTTGTTTCATTCATTAGACGATCATTAGAAGGCGTTTTCGGCTGTTCAAGTGTGCTGATGGTGGTGCTGACTCCATTCGCCTTTTGAGATTCATGCGACTCTGCCGCATCGTCAAACACATCGTCCTCGTCGGGCTCCTGTTGAGTGTCATGAATCAGTTCTGGCGAGTGCTCAACAGACGGTATCAACTGCTGTGACTCCGATATTTCTGGCAGCCTCGAACGCTTGTCGGGCGCTTCCTTCGAGGGTCCGTTGGACTCAGCATAGCTGCGCTTGCCGAGCAAGGATGTCGGCGGTGGGTACCTGGAGACGGGATGACGGTAGTGTGCCGGGGTGAGGTCAGGCACTACCGAGTCGGCGCGAACAATCTGACCTTGCTCTTGAATGACCTTAATCACCGCTTCTTGGTCATGCCCGTCACGAGCCGCTTTGCCCTCGTTGACGAAGACGTCGGACAGTCGAAACTCAGGATCGAGGTCATTATCGTCGTCGTCCTTGAGATACTTGATCTGACCAAGGTCGCTGCCAGTTGTAAGCTTTTGTCGCATAAACTGTTTCTGGGGCGATAGCATACTGCTTGTAGAGCCGTTGGTACGTGCTCTTTGCTTCGTGAGCCAGAGTACCAACGAACCACTCAGCTGGTTCTCGAACGATCACAACGAACCGACGAGGTGCATGCGCGGCGTGCGGCGAGGCTTCCGCGCCATAGCTGCTCTCGGGGATGACGCGCACGAAGACCTTGAGTTTGACCATGATAAGCGCCTGTGCGCTGCTGGGCGCGAAGCTCTGAAGGGGAAGGAGCTCGAATCGAACTGGAATGTACGTAACGGCCATCAACCAAAAAGTTACCGCGAAAGGCGCGCGACGAGCGGGACCCGGATTAACACGCGCCAGATCCGCCTAATCTTATCAGATCAGCAAAGAGCACTACCACCAACCTTCCCAAGGTCCACAACAGACCCCTGCTACGATGATAGTCAAGTCACAGGTTTTGAGCATATATCAGCGAGAATCGATGATTCTAAAGCATCAATACTTTCTAGAAATCCTAGAGTCTGTGTAATCTAGCAGCTCAATCAGCCTTCTCGGCGGCCATGCTCATCGCTAGGTCCACCCTCGATGAGAAAGCTGATTAATTTGAAGCCCTTCATGATATAGCATCAGCCACTCGAAGTTTACCAAACCATACGCTAATGGGTCCCATTCGCACCATTGAATATGCAGCTCTGGCATGAACTCAAATCCACTCCTGGAGGCCAGTGCCGTTGACGCCTAGAGGGCCGAAAGGCTGAGTTGGATCCAGAGGATCACCGAAAGCAACATCTGGAACGACGCCTTGCGGCAAAGTGACCAAGACACTTCTAACCAGGGGGTCAAGGTGCGAGTAATCCACCTCGGTGTCTCCACCAATGTTGATGCCCTAAAGCATAGTTAGCTTGCAAGAATTCCGAAGCAGAGGAGGATTCATACGTGTCCATTACCGCCCCAGACAACGACTTGAGCAGCGCAGTCTCCTTCAAGCCGGATGTCGTGAGTGCCCTTGACGCCCCAGTGATTACGGCCTTTCTTGAACTGCTCCTTCAAACAGTTGAAGGTGATCATGGTGGCAGCGGTCGCAACTTCGGCGTAAGTGACTGTACGCGGTCAGCCTGGTTCCATTCGTCCCGGAATGACTGCCAACTTACCTTTGCATTCTTTACTCCAGTCAGAGCGTCTCTTGACGTACACAGAGCAGCCGCCAAAGAAGGTGTGGTCACCCCACTGCTCGCCATTACGGCCAATTGGGACAGTCTTGTGTGGCTCCTGGGAGCAGTCAGCAACAGCACCACTGAAAACCATAGAACTACATACCTCCATGAGCTCACCAATGCGATACCAGCAGTGCGCCACATCGGCATCTAGAAGCTTGGCCTCAGACTCGGAAAGGGTTGCAAGACAGACCAGGGCTTTGTCGTCCAAACCGTAGTGGCCGCCTAGAAAACGGTTGTAAAGCAAATCGTTGTTCCAAACCGCGCGCCAGCCCTCGTACTCCTCATCCGGAAGGGCGCCTCCCTTGGTCATGGCGAGGGCGTACTTCTGATCTTGCTCCGAGGCGGACAGACGCATTCCGTTGTCGCATCGAGTTCGAACGAAAACAGTCTAGGGCAATTAGCTAGCATTTCGTAGGGATGGAGGATTTCTGACATGGCCGCGAACAGTAGGTTCTCCAACCTGACCAGTCCAACCATAGAAACCGGAGGTTGTAGCATAGTTGGAGCGCTCCTCGACACACATGTTGCCTTTGGACATGCGGTCCTTGTCGCACTTTGGCCAGGGCTTGGCGTGGGAGTATGTACCACAGACAATCTTGTTCATGGGCAGGAAAGTGAAGTATCCACATTGGTCGTTGTCCAGCTCGATGTCGATATGGCCGACCTCAGCGAGACCACGACTAGCATGAGACAGGCCACCGCTGATACCTTCTTCGAGGACATCGAAAGGTGCATCAGGGAGATCGATGGGTTCACGCCAGTGCATGCCGACTGTCATGAGGTCAGTGGTTAGAAGAGTTGAGAGGGAGAATCACTCACATCGCATCCATTCAGAGGAGCCAAACCAACCCCAACCCTTCGCATATGTTCCACCCAGAGGATATTCGTTATCGTAGACGAAGGTGGTACGAATCTGGCAAAAGCTCTTGCAAGGGTGCTTGGTACCTAGCTCACTTTTGCGCAGGCTGTTGGTATAGTCGCAGTAGCCCTCAGGTCCAATTGAACGGTGAGGGGAACATTCGTTTGTGTACTCGACGTAAGCGGAGGGGGTTGCACCGTTCCAGTCGCAGGGATCACAGATACCGATGGTTAGGAGAGTGCATAAAGCGAGGAGAAGGTAGCGTAACGCCATGTCTGCGATCTGGGAGAACCAAAGCAGGTGGAGGGAATCTTATGTTCTTAGGGAAGGATGTGGGAGATACTTTTCTCGTACAGACAACTGCGAGAAAGCCAGTGTTTGCGCGAGGTAGATGGAGGCGGAGGTTGTAGAAGAGATCGCGCTGAATAAAAAGTTGTTGACGTACTTGTAAGTTGGTAGGAGCCTGTGCTGTATTCATGTCACAGAGCAGTCACTCGGGGGTTCAAGCCGGAAGGAACAGTCTAACCGAGGGCAGTCAAGGAATTGTCAGGGCCCAGGTGCATTATCACTCACCTGGACGTCACTTGCAAGGCAGCGAACAAGGCAGTTGCAGTATTGAGAGTAGGCGGAATCTGAGCCACGCAGTAGGTTGTGCAGTTGCCTATGTCAGTCACCATCTCCCTCACCTCGACTATATCGACCTCTCTGAGCAATGACTCGCAAGGTCCGTCCAAGCGTCCATCGACATGGCACGCGGAGTTGACTCATGACACCATGACACCATGATGCCATACTCGCTAGTCTGAACTTCCATCATCATCTTATCGCACAGTACCAACCACAGGCATTGTTCCTTCATAGCCGCCGAAATCTCCCTTGACAGCTACCTCATGTTTTCGTTCTGCGTTGGTATGCTCACTTTCTAACAACAATCGACGCCTCAACCTCAAACAATGACTGCAGATCTCATTCAGCAGCGCCGAAAGTAGATTGACAAATCGTGGCAGCAAGATGGACGATGATCAAGAGGGAAGGATGGGTTGACAAACTCGCGGACGGACAACGTTGGAGCTCTTGGCAAGCACGGCTTGATAAGAATACTCCAAACAGACCTAATGATTCAGGTCAAAGAGCGTATCCCTCCCTGCTTTTCAACGCCACGAGAGGATTCTGTTAAGGACAAGCCCGAGCAGATGGCCAATACCGAGGTATAGTGATGAAAGCAGCGAGCAAATCGCTCAATCTATCGACCAGGGGAATCTGCCCCGTGGTACCTGTGGGGATGCTGACAAACCTTGAAATCTGATACGGAGCGGGATCATCACCACATCACCCCGACTTCTCGAAGTGATTACCAAAATTGGGAGACTCGGTAGTGATTTTGGTACTGATCGCCCTACATACTCAGTAGTTTCTCGAGTGGTCCCTATGTCGGTGGAGTGCGCTGTTGTCATCTCAACCAATTGGACCACTATCTCGATGGCGTTCAACACGCAGCAATAGACCAGCAGAACCCTCCGGCACTGAGTATAGGTCAGCATAGGGTAACGGCTTGATGAGGCCCACCATATATAAAAAAGATGAATACCGTTCTCCAGATCAACAGACCAAAGCTCCAGCACTGTATCAACGCTAACTCACCCAGCCGCGTTACACTGCAGAGAGGATTATATCACTATGCCAACGGCCTTGATCATTGGAGCCGGCGTGAGGGTCGGCCTCGACACTGCCACAGCCCTTGCGAAAGTCGGCTACACAGTGGCCGTCGCCTCACGCACCGACAAACTCGGCTCGAAGTTCAAGCACTTCCCCTTCGACGCCTCCAAACCCGAGAGCGTCCCAAACCTCTTCTCCGCGGTCAAGAACACGCTCGGTGCCCCCAGCGTCATCATCTACAACGGTCAGCACCCGCACCCTCCACCCCTCACCACCGACTAACCCCGAACCCCGGACAGCATACGAGTCCACCCTCACGCCTCGCAATGATCCCTTATCCACTCCCCTCACCACCCTATCCACAAGCCTCGACGTCAACGCGGTGACCCCCTACGCCACCGCCCGAGAAGCCGTCGCCGCCTTCGCCTCCCTCCAGGCCAGCTCCACCCTCGGTCCCTCAGGCGGCACCTTCATTTTCACCGGCAACCTCCTCGGCCTGGGCATTGTAGCGCCCGGCTTCCTGCCTTTCGGCATGGGCAAGTCCGCGGCTGCGCACCTCGTGCAGAACCTCGCACTCGTCGCCTTCGACGGCGAGCCGTATAAGTATGTCTTCTGAACCCCAACTCCGCAGCAAGCCACAAAACACATACCACATTCACGCTGTCCGCACCCCACTAATACAGTCCAAACCCCCCACAGGTTCTACTACGCAGACCAACGCAACGCTGACGGCTCGCCCAAGCCAACGGGGCTAAGCGGCCCCGCGCACGCGGATCTGTATGTGGACCTCGTGCAGGCCCCCGAGCAGCGACCCTGGCTTCAAACCTTTGTGGAGGGAGAGGGGTACAAGGCATTTGCAAAGGAAGAGATCTGGTGGCCGCAGTAAGGAAATTTGGAGGAGAAAAAGAAATGAGCAATTGAGACACGAGTCTGTCTGCTTTGCATCCTCCGAAAGCAGGCGATCTCCCGAGCCACCGTGACCGATGTACGACTCCTCTTTAACTTTCAACCTCAATACTCACAATCTTGATATCTTCCTCTGGCTTCTCCTTCGCCACCCGCACATTCTCAATGGCGTGCACGACCTCCATGCCGCGCCACACACGCCCGAAAACCGTATGCTTGCCATCCAACCACGGCGCCTCGGCCGTGGTGATGAAGAACTGGCTGGCATTCGTGCCGGGCCCCGCATTCGCCATGCTGAGCGTGTACGGCTTGTCGTGCTTGAGGTCGGTGATTTCGTCCTTGAAGTCCTTCCCCCATATGCTCTCGCCACCCGTGCCGTCGCCCAGGGGGTCGCCGCCCTGGATCATGAACTTGCGGATCACGCGGTGGAAGATGGTGTTGTTGTAGTAGCCGGTGCGCGCGTGGGTCGTGAAGTTCTCGACCGCTAGCGGCGCTTTGTCCGGGAAGAGCCGGAGGAAGATGTCGCCCATGTTGGTGTGCAGGACGGCGCTGGTGCCCATCTCGGCTTTCTTCTCCTCCGCAACCTTCTGTTTGCCGGTGTGCTTGGGTTTCTCGTTGTAAACGTCGCGAGAGGTCTTGGACGGCTCTTCGTCATTGGTGAACATGTAGAAGCGCGGCTTGCCGTAGCCGGTCGCGAAGAGAATAGGGTCGCGCTCCTGGGCTTCCTCAAGGAGGGGGTTGTCGGAGGCAGCCATGGCAACGGTGGTAAGTTCTTTGCGTTGAGGAGCACCCTGATAAAAGGCGAGAGAGAGGGCACGGAAAGGCTCGTCTCTGCCATAGATGCGCATGACGCGATTGGTGAGCGTGTTGACTACCTTGATACCATGAAGAGAACCATAGAGCAAAAAATTGGACGACTCATCGAAGACGAGATTGATGCGAGCACGGGTGGCTGAGGAGTCAAGGGCCTGCTCAGTGGCCATCCGGCGGCCGAATTCGACGTTTTCGAGCTTGACCGCTGCAGTGCCAGCTTGCTGCATTGCTGTGAGGGTGTCGAGTGATTCATCATAAGACCGGTGTAGTTTGGCAGATGGAAAATCAAAGAGGCGTATCCTCCGGTCCGGAAACGATAAAGTTGCTAGTTGGTGGCCGGACGGTGAGATGGCGAGGGCGTAAGGCACCGACTTTGCTTTCTTGAAATCGAACAGGTTGGTCTTTGATTTCATCTCGAAGACATTTTCAGGCTTCTCGTAGCTGCCACTGGGTTGCCAGTACTCGACCATACCTCCAGCATCAGCGGACACGACGCAATCATAGGCAGGGTTATATGCCATGGCTACGACCTCTGCCCGGTGCAAATTTGACAGGGTATGCAAAGGCTTTTGGTTTTCGCCTCGTCCATCATAGATGCGAATAGACTTCCCCACGGCAGCTGCAAGTAAAGGTGAGGCACCTCTACGGTGGACCCAACACAGACAGGTCGCTGGTTGGTCCAGGGCAAAGATGGACAACAAGTCGAAGGTGATGACATCGAACAGCTTGATGGTTCTATCGTCCTCATCGCCGGAGGAAGCAAACATTCCACCGTCCTGACTGACGGCTGAGCCCAGGATCTTTCCATCATGAGCCTGGTACTCCTTGGCGAATTCGATGCCGGCAGCGACCTTCTTCCAGAACTTGACTACGCCGTCCACAGAAGTAGTAATGACGAAGTCTGCCGGCGATGGAGCAACGACAACAGTCGATAATTGCTCCTTGTGCATCAGCGACTTGGAGTATCTCGTTCCTTTGGGCAGCGCATTGACATAGAGTGATTCATAGGCCAGCTTTCGCTTCTTTTTGGGTGCTGCAGAGCTGGGCAGAGCGGGAGCAGGGCCGAAGTCATCGTCTGAGGAGTCACTGTCACCTTCGTCATGGAGAGAGCGAGACCTCTTGCGAGTGCCGTTCTCGCTCATGACCGAATGCACGTTGAATGAAATGATTTGGGTAGTTGGGGGTCGAGATGTGAACGAGTGTCTCCGGTCTTTTGCCCAGCGTGCCTTGCAGGTCGAAAAAGGACGCTAGCCTCAAAAGCCCCCTCTACCAATCTGCGCCGATAAAAGCTCGATTTGTCTTCTTTAGGCAGGAGACTAGCTCAAACGGGCCTGCTTCACTGCTGCCCCGCGACCCACCTGCCAAGATATCATTCTGCGCAACTGCACTGGCACTGCGGTTGGAGTTTCTGCGAAGGCCGCAGAATAATTTCACGACAACGCTTCCCTACTTTCTCACACCCATCTTCTCTCGACTCAGCTCACCATGGCCGGCAACAATCCCACTCAGATCTTTGCCGAAGACGTGCAGGAAGAAAAAGGCGAAAATGCGCGTCTCTCCGCCTTCGTCGGCGCCATCGCGGTGGGCGACCTGGTCAAATCCACCCTCGGACCCAAAGGCATGGACAAAATCCTGCAGTCCGCCTCAACAGGCGAAATTATGGTGACGAACGACGGGGCTACCATCCTCAAGTCAATTGCCCTCGACAACGCCGCCGCTAAAGTCCTCGTCAATATTTCCAAAGTGCAAGACGACGAAGTAGGCGACGGCACCACCTCCGTCACGGTTCTGGCGGCTGAACTCCTGCGCGAAGCGGAACAGCTTGTCGCAAAGAAAATACACCCGCAGACCATCATTGAAGGCTACCGGCTGGCCTCCCATGCTGCTCTGCAAGCGCTGGAAGCCTCAGCCCTGAACCATGCTTCCAAACCCGATCTCCTCCGCCGCGATCTATCTGCCATTGCCCGCACAACTCTCTCCTCCAAAGTCCTATCCCAAGATCGTGACCAGTTTGCTTCGCTTGCGGTTGACGCCGTCCTTCGCCTCCAGGGCAGCTTCGATTTGAACCACATTCAGGTCATCAAGAAAGCTGGTGGCAAGCTATCCGATTCCTATCTTTCTGAAGGCTTCATTCTTGATAAGCAGATCAGTTCCGCCTCGCCACGCAACCTCACAAATGCCAAGATCCTCATCGCAAACACGCCTATGGACACAGATAAGGTGAAAATCTTCGGTGCGCGCGTCAAAGTAGATTCTACCAGCAAACTCGCCGAACTTGAAAAGGCCGAGCGGGAAAAGATGCGTGAAAAAGTCCAGCGCATCAAAGCACACGGCATCAACTGCTTTATCAACCGCCAGCTGATCTACAACTGGCCAGAGCAGCTCCTGGCTGAGGCCGGGATTATGAGCATCGAGCACGCCGACTTTGACGGCATCGAGCGTCTAGCCCTTGTCACCGGTGGCGAGATTGCGTCCACCTTTGACCACCCCGAGCTTGTCAAGCTGGGACAATGTGCTGAAATCAACGAAGTCATTATTGGCGAGGATACATTAATCAGATTTTCGGGCGTAGCGGCCGGACAGGCGTGCACCATCGTCCTTCGCGGTGCGACCGAACAATTGCTCGACGAAGCCGAGCGCTCCTTACACGACGCCCTCGCGGTCCTCTCCCAAACCGTCAAGGACCCCCGCACCACGTTGGGCGGCGGCTGCGCGGAGATGGTCATGGCCAAGGCGGTCGATAGCCTCGCGCAAAAGATTCCCGGAAAGAAGCGGCTGGCCGTCGACAGCTTTGCCACTGCATTACGCCAGTTACCCACTATTCTGGCCGATAACGCCGGCTTGGACTCGTCTGCCCTGGTGTCAGAGCTGCGGTCCGAGGTCTACCGCGGCATGAGCACCAGCGGTCTGGACCTGCTGCGGCCCGGCGGCGGCATCGCCGACATGCGCGAATTGGGCGTTGTCGAGAGCTACAAGCTTAAGAAGGCGGTCGTCAACAGCGCCAGTGAGGCCGCCGAGCTGCTGCTACGTGTCGACAATATCATCAGAAGCGCACCACGTCGGCGGGAACGTATGTAAGCGAACGGACCCGAAGTAAGATGCTGGCAGGGAGCGACTCGAGGAGACAGCAAAGTGCAAAAAGCAGGCTTTAGGTCCCGTGGGTACGGCAGAGAAGCGCCGACACCGTTGCTACTGTGGCGCTGGTGACGACGCAGTTGATCTGTGGTGAATACACGACCCCTCGCGGAGGTCAAACCCCACAGCAGGATGCTTGCGTGCAGGCAGCAATGCACATGGCGCACTTGCAACTCAGGTGTCAGTCGGAGCGGCTTGCAACAGGTCTGCCTAGCCGTCGACGTCTGTCTATCCTACCTAAGCCCTGTTCACCCAACGCCGGCCACATGAACCGTCTGGCTGGATCTCACAGTGTGGCTCGGCTTGCAGCGAGGCTCCTGGAGAGCATGTTGGCGTGGAGTAGGGTTGGACAGGGAATCCAAGCAAGAGAGAGAGAGAGAGCATCATTTGCGTTGGCGCAAGCGACTACTACTACCCCATGAGATAAAAGAAAAAAGCATAGAACGAAATGATACCACGGTGTTCATGGCCTGACAAGATCAAAAGAGCCAGCCACATACAATCAATTAGAGCTACTTCTCGTACCAATTTCACTTGCTGTCATTGTTGGTGTCATTGACCTCTTTTATTGGGACAACTCGAGTATTGCTCTGCCTACTACCTACAAATAATACCGACCCAGGCCCATCCGTTGGACCAGACCACGTTCCCAGATGAGACAGTGGCAGTTCACAAGCAGACTCGGAAATCGCTTGGCCCAGAATTCGTAGTAACCCGCAGTGATCCGTCTGCCGTCCTCGACCCCCGCAGCCAGCCCCAGCATGTTCTCTTTGACGTCCTCTGGTAGATCATGAAAATGATTTTTTTTGTTCCGTATCACGCGTAGCAGGTCGATCATCTTGCTGCCGGTATATTTCCGTTGCTTACCCATTTCGGTCAGGAAAGTCCTCGGCAAAGCTCGCAAGAAGTCCTTGGTTGGTCCTATTACGTCTGATCCCAACTCTTCGAGGGCGGCTAGTTCCATGAGCGATTCGAGCTCGGCTTCGGTACGAACAGCGTTCTCATCGTGGATGTTCTTGATGCTGTTCTTCTCCTTTTCGTAACAATCCGAGACATCGCAAAGGAAGTCAAGTTTGTCTTCGACGGGCCAGAAGTAGGGATGCTTGCGCACAGCTTGTGTATCTGGGCGGTGCTTGGGGTCATGTTTGAGCATTTGCATGATGAGGTCGTCAGCGTCAAATTGGTAATTGTGCAATCGTAGGTCCTGGGTGCTGAAGCGGTTTTCCTTGATGTTTAGGTCGCGTCCGAGCGAAGTGCCTCCAATATCGAAGGGGTGGCAACCTTGGGTCATGACATAGTAGAAGACGCAACCCAAAGAGAAAATGTCAATGGCTTTGGTAGCACGACGACCCGATGGACGATCGAGAACGGTGGTACTGCCATCTGCAGAATGATTGGTGGACCTCGAGTGTACTGAATTAGCGGTGGGAGCGGCGATTTCGTCTCGATTGCTGACAAGTAGCTCAGGTGCTCGCCATCCAGTAGTGCCAGCAGCGGTGTGATTGGCAGTAGGAGCAAATGCTGACTCTGGGCCTTCCTCCAATGGTTTCGCGAGTCCAAAATCCGAAATGACGAAATGCAGCTTGGGAAGGCCGTCTGTTGGGCGATTGGTCTTGACGGCCTTGACGAGGACATTCTGCGGCTTGATATCGCGGTGCACCAGTTTTAGGGAGTGCAAATGGGATACACCCTGTGTGATCTGAAGCAAGCAATCCTTCTTGTCGAAGCCTGCTGGGAGTCTGACAAGATTAGGGTACTGCAAGGGTCTCTCGACAAATTGGTCAAGGGAGGTTGTGAAGAGGTCGAGCGCAATGTACGTAAAATTGGTCGACTCCTCCTTACCAAAGTAGCGGATGACGTGAGGGTTCTCGTCACTAGACAGTAGATGCTTGATCTCTTTGGCGGCGAGACTGTTGGATGATCGGAGAAGTCGCTTGACGGCAACTTCACGGCCTTCAAAAAAGCCTGGAAAGACTGTTGTGCCGTTGCTGCCCCGTCCAAGCTCGACAGCGGTATTGAACTTGAGCCTGCCAGCTTGTGTCATGCCGTCTTTGCACGCCGCCTCGACTGCTAAAGTGGAAGACTCGTCCATTAATTCGGGGTTCATAGACTTCTTTTTGTTCTTTCTACCGCCTCGCTTGCCTCGCTTGGCCTTGCGCTTTGGTTCGGCGGCGTCCCCGTTCTCATTTGCAGATGGAGAAACTTTCTCATCGTCTGACTCGCCCTCCGAATCGATGTAATCATCATCGACCTTCGTTTCCTTCTTGGGGCTAATGTTTGGACCCGTGCTGCTGTGAGTTCTGCTGCGCGCTGGCGTAACCATGGCCAAGTCCACTGCCTCAGCGACCGCTTCCGCGGTCGTCTCTTCTGGTTGCATCCGTGTTTCGACTTCAACGTGGTCTACTTCTGGCTCGCGTGAGGATGTAGCGATGGGTGATTTGCCAGGATCAATAACCACTTCGACGCCGGCCTTTCTCAGATAGCGTTGTAGCTTCAAGAAGGCGGGTATGCGTAATTGAACGCCCATCAGCATCAGCATAATCGAGACCAAGATCATGTTGATGATCAGAGACCAATTGTTGCTAACGGATGACAGGAGGGCGTCTGTTGTGTTTGATGGCGGTGGGTTCAGTGCCTTTTCAGGCTCTAGGACCATGCCAGATTCCGGCGGGCTACCATCGATCGTGAGCCTGACAGGAGCATTTTGGCGGCCACCAAGGATTGTGTGGATTCCAACAATATCGTCTTTGTGGTTTCGAAAATCTAGGGGATTGCTGTCATCGTCCCAGCTGGCACGAGCTTGATTAGCTCCAGCGGTGACTCCCGGATAGGAGACTTCTGACAGAGCGTACCACATGCCAGCTTCAGTTTGATTGAGGAAAACTTTCTCCGTGCGTCGATTCTCGTTTCGCCAGAACTCGGCGGGGATCAAGTTTGGCGAGTCCAATGGTCTTGACAGCAGCACCAGATTCGTGTTGTCATCTGTTGTATCGATAGGGCGCACAACGTCGAATATTCGTGCCACAGGTGTGTCGAGCTTGCCCTGCCAACGATGTACTTTGCTTTCAGTGTGATCAAGCCCCATAATCTTGCCATTGAAGCTAGTCTGGATGTGCAGAGAATCAAGTGGGTTGATATATTGCGCCTGCAGATCGCCATCTGCTTTGTTGGGGACCCATTCGGAATATTTGATAGTACAGAGATTTTGTCTTGTGACCTTGTTGCTGATGTGAACAGTGTATTCAACACGGCCGAGATTGATGGAACCCTTGGAGGCACAGGCGGGATCATCCAATTCGAGGCCTGTCAAGCGGCGGCACTTTTGTTCTTGTTCATTGTCGAGGAAGCCGGCACCGTCCTTGGAAAATTGCTGAAGAATGGTGCCCGAAGTTGCATCGATCACGTAGGCGGTGGTTTCCTGGGTAGCGACCGTGACCAATGGAGGGGTGTCGAGGTAGTTGGGTGTGTCTAAGGCGAGTTCTCGCACGGTGGTCTGCAGTCTCTGCAGCCCAATCTGCGGGTCCTTGTAGAGAATGTAGAGACTTCCGTCTTTGGTGGGTTCGACCAGGAAGATATAGTCGTGGTCACAGTTTGACTCATCATCGTCCGTATTGTTGTGACAGTGGTGGACGGTCTGTATCATAGGGCTAGAGGGCTCGAGGACCCACAAGGCCCTTTCGCCGTTCTTTCTGCTTCTGGCCTGGATTTGACCATCGACAGTAACAATGAGCACGAGATCTTCGGCCTCCCAATCCTGCAACAGCCGCGCTTGAGGAAGCGCAGAGAGTCCACTAACGGACTCGGCAGACTGTGCAAGCGGTGCTCGGACAGCACTGACATCTTGTGCTGGAGCCAAGGCATTGAATTTCTGGTGTGTAGCATCGTCATCGGTGCTTCGGAATTTGACAGTGGTAATGTCGTGTTTGAGGAGAGGGATTTCAGGTGGACTGCGGCCAGCCTGGTTCCGTCGGTTGGAGGAAGGATTGGGAGTATGGGTAGAGGCTATGAGGGTGTCTGGTTTGGCTGCTTGGTGCAGGGACTGCTGCTGGGACGCGGCCGCAAGGAGGAAGAGAAGGGCCCATGTCAGCATGAAGGCTGAAGTGCCTCCTCCACGACGACCGCCAGGCGGTCGATGTGCGAGGGGAGGCATGGTAGTGAGTGAGCGTGGTCTTCATCCACAAGAAATTCGAGAAGTCATCTTTGAGATATTGCAGAGTTTTCAAGGAGATATGTGAATTCCTCGCGTGCAAGCAAGGGAGGGATGAGAGGTCAGCTTCTCAGCAAGGGCGAGTACCTTGAGGTTGGGCAAAGCGGGTTGTGAAGGGCCCCCGGCTTGGCGGTGCATGGGCGCTAGGCTGCAACGAGGCAGGAAAGAACGGCCGCGGCCCGTGGCTGCGAGGAGCACAGTGGCTCCCGGGGGTCCGCACTAATGTTTCAGGGGCTCGTTGTGACGTGTAGTTACAGAATTTAAAGGGAACGAAAAAGAATGATCGGTAGATCTTGGACACGCGGTCGAGGAAGTAGTGTGCGGGCCTTCGTGCGGGCTAGTAATTATATGCCACACGACATGAGCATATGCGTATACAAGTATACAACCACATCTGTGAAGGGGGGTCAATGCTTCTTCAAAAAGCCGTGTTGCACAAGGTACGACACAAATCTTGCTAATTAGCCTGAGGTCAGAGGCTACATCTAAACCCCTGGTCTCGGTTGTATCTAAAGAAACTCGTGACGATCGTAAAGGCATCGCTAACGGACCTCCTCTCTGGCTCGCAGCTCAGTCCCCGCCAACAGCAAACCAGATCACCGTCTCTCCACGATCATTGGTCCGTAAACGTAGACCTCTCCAGAGCTCGTCTTCCTCGCTGCTCCTCTCACTACCCCGGTGATCGGCCTGCTTGTGCCATCTCTTGAGCGCCTTGTGAACGCTGTAGCCCTTTTCGCTCTCGCTCACCCGAGGAATGTTGGCCAAGAAAGACTCGCATCGTTTCTTTTGACGGTCTGCCGCGCCGAACACAACGACTTGGCCGTTATCATGCTTCCCGTCACCCGAGTCGGAGCCAGAGTCTTCTTGCTTGTGATATTCAATAGCCTTTAGCTTTCGTCGACTGACATCGGGAGACTCCTCAGATCCACGACGTCGTGATCGGTGTTCAGGGCGCGTATTGGCGGACGAAGTACCATTATGACGCTGAACCTTGTGCTTCTTCCTCTCACGTTTCTCGCCCGATACTTCGCGTGAGCGTGACGGGCCATAATGGTCCGACGAGCTTGCCCGGCGACGAGTCTTGGGGTTGTTAACATCCTGCGAACCCGGAAGTAAGGCACCTCCCACCATGGAGAGAGCCTTGACAGCACGACCTTTAATCGAGATGCCTAGGCCAGACTCATCTTTGTCTGGCCGCTCTTTGCTGTGGCGGCTCCGCTTCAGTGGGCTCGCTGGGTCAGTCGCATGTCGGGATTTCCGGCGGTCATTGCCATTGCGCTCACGAGACTCTTCTTCTGAGTCAGAGCGCGGATAGAAGCCACTGTCGTCGGTGACCATGCGCTGCAGATTGCCGGTAAGACCCGAATGCGCCATGTTAGGCGTCTCCACAACCGCTCCTGTTTGATTGTCTGCATCCGCCATCGGTATGTCACCCTCGATGTCTGGGGCAGACTGGCCACGTTTCCGTTTCTTCTCACTGCCACTGTTATTCCTGCTGTGACCAGGTCTCTCGACTGATGGTCCGCTCAGTTTCAGCTTGGCAGCCTTTGCGGCGGGCGTCATGAACTCTAGTGACAAGAAACTTCCGTTCACGTCCTGGAACGGGCGTGGATTGATGGCTTCTGAGCCGTAAGAGAAACCGTTCTGGACGAAATCTTCGCTGTGCAACTGGTCTTCGCTGTCTCGATTGCCGTTGCGACTGGAGGTCCGGCTGTCACCAAACACCGCGGGTGCGCCGTTCTTCATGGCCATTTCTTTGCTCTCACGGTTCTTCTTGGAGAATGCGATCTTGGGTGTATTCGGCTGCTCTTCGTCCACCATGTAATCGAAGACACTGTCCCGGGGGTTCTCACGGACGGCAGGGGGAGGGGTAGGGACCGGGGGCGGATTCTCGATGTCCCCTTCGTCTTCAACGTATGCTTGGTGATTTTGGCGCACCAGTGCGTTCTGATCGCTTGGCTCGAGAATGGAGACCGACTTTCGTTTGCTGGCCTTTGGCGCTTTGTAGACAGTTTTCTCATATTTTTCGGCTTCGGTCATGCATGACTAGCGTGGATTAGTCTATGTTTCGCAGGGCCAGCGTGCGAGTAGGCTTGCTGTCTCGATCGGGCGCGAGCAGAAGGGGATGGGACTTACTGTATGAGCCCGATACGACATGCCTTCGAACGTACGGTGACAATCAATACACGCGAAATACGCTCCGCGACAGCGCGAAGCGTGCTGATCGAGTTTGGGCTTCTTCAGCGTATCTCCGCAAGCCTGTCACATGTTAGACAGGACACCGCTCCAGCGAGCTAAACGTACTTCGCATTGGAAAGAAACCATTGCGCCAACAAAGTCCTGGTTTTGCGCAGTCTTCTGGAAGAAATGGAGCAGCGGCTGGGCGTTCGTTGGGCACCAATGCGATAAAAAGAGGGGACGACACCAATAGCACTCGGATGAGGACAAGGCGTCAAATAAAGCAACGATTCGCTTGGATTAGGGAGCGTGAGTGTCAGAGAATGAGCCTGGTAAGCGGATTTGGCCCTCGAGCAGGGAAGCCCCTCGAAATGTTTGCAGCGTCAACAATTCGCTTGGCGCAACAGGGTCGCGATGGCTCGCATTCCGAGAGGCCCGTAGGTGTCAGATCTGCTTCCGATAATGGGGGATTCAGGTCTATTTTGGATTACGCGTCGTGTTTTGCCAGGGGTGTCGGTAACTGGCAGCTATGCAATAGTTGTTCCTATGCTATGGTTGGTCTCCTGAAAAGCATCCTCAGTACTCGCCAAAATGGGTCGAATGACGCGACTGGTCACAAGGCGCCTTTGCAGGGGCAGTGCCTGTCCCTCTAGACTGTGAGATATCAAGGTGGAAGTATGTTGTCCTCTTGCCTCATTCGTGCAACATAACCAGCCAGCGTCACAAGTGTTTCATCCCTCTCGGCAATGGAAGCATCCCAAGCAGGGTCCCCGTCCCACGCCGCGGCTGACACCATCCGCGAGTGGGTAGCCAGATTTGTGCCAACCACACCATTGTCACAGCGAGCATTCGACCTTGCTCAACATAGTCTCCCACAACCGATCCTAAACCACAGTCTCAGAGTCTTCATCTTTGCCAAATGGCTGGCGGAGAAGGAAAACAGCTCATTGGCCAGCGACGAACATCAGCTGGACTTACTCTTTGTCTCCTGTATCTGCCATGATCTAGGGGCTACTGATCGCCATAATGGACCGGAAAGGTTTGAATGTTGTGGAGCTGATGCTGCTGTCTCTTTTTTGGAGTCTCAGAGTGTCAGCAAGGCAGACGCACACCAAGTCTGGACCGCCGTCGCGCTGCACACCTCACCTGGTATCGCCGAGCGAATCGACCCTTTCACAAGGTTAGTGCGCCTGGGGGTTCTGCTCGACTTTCGGCCACGCAGTAGAGTCGAACATGGTGCGGACGAATACTTCAATGAGATTGTGGCGGAAATTCCTCGTGTGGATATCGAGAAATACCTGGGTGACGCCGTTGTCGCGCAAGCAGTCGCAAATCCCGACAAAGCACCAGCTGCATCTTGGCCAGGTGTTCTTTTGCGATCTCATCTAGAGGACCCAACATGGAGTGGAGTGAATCGTGCCTTCTAGACACTTGATATTATATCTATAGCTGAAGCTTGCGACCAATCGCTCCGAAGCAGAGCGTTGAGCAAAATAGAATGCTTGCCAACCACATGTAGACGCCCACCTGCTCAGATGCTACCGCTTGGTGGATTGCTGGGACTGGGACGAAGTTGGGGCTCATGATCGACAGAAATACTGTGCCGACTATGGCCAACGTAGTAGAGAAGGCGAACCCTGGCATGGACCTGTCGATCAGATACCACAATACAGGATTGGCCAGTGCCAAGGTCGACGAGACCTGCAGTGTAGACTGCCATGGGAGCTTGCGCTAATGGAAAGGTCAGACAAACGGGTCCAAGCTTGGATGAGTGTACTCACAACTGCAAAAGCAATGCCTACGAATGCACCCACGCTCCTGACCGCCGAGTACCAGATTGGGCCAATGCTATCTTCTCGATCGTGATCAGAGGTCCCCGAGTTCGAGCGATGATGACGCGGCTGCGTGCTATCAGTCACGACGGAATCATTCAACCACTCGTCAAGTAGAGGCAGCCCGTTTCCCACCAGGATGCCAAACAGGCCCCATGCTAGATGATAATAGCTTGAACTTAGCTCGGCGCCAGGAACCGGTACAGGCGTGATTTGCCGAGTCTTGTGTAGATGCGTAACAATAGAGCCATAGCCTACCCCGAAAGCAAAAAGCAGGGCTGTCTGCAATGCAAGCGGAAGGTAGTATCCCCTGAAGCCTACCCTTCGGGTGCGATGTCTGCCCATTGACTGTGGCCGATTTCCTCCCGACCAAGTGATCTGAGGCTCCTCTGGGGTATAGCCATCCAGGCTCTTGCGGTGACTTGGTGTCTGTGCGCCAGTGCCCCACGGAGTAGAACCAGGCTCATAATTCCCGCCGTCAGATGTCCCGGAATAAATGCCAAACAGCGTAGACGAAGTTAGATTTAGAATGGACCGTGTTTTCTGGGGTGAAAGGTCATTGCGACTGCTCAAAAGGTCGGGGCTGTTTGGCTCGGGCTGAGGAGAAGATGGACGAGAGGATTCTTCAGAAGCAGGGGTTATGTCGAATGGCCGCCGTGGTACTGGACGGTGCAAGGGCATCTCCATTTTGTAGCCGGAGAAAGGTGATGCTCGGTCGTAGCCTTGTGAAATACAATTATAGCAGCTTCAGCGACCGACAGTGCCGTGTTGCCTTGGTAAGGGTATGCAGCTTCTGTTATACACAACGCTCAGACACAGCGAAAGTGTACAGTGTATGAGGGAGACCGTGTGAGGAGGCTGTTGAACGGTTTTGGAGGAACAAGACCGAAGGAACGAGAGGGCGAGTGGCCGCCAATGTATTACTGTAAGAGAGTGGGGAATGCAGCACCTCAGGCTTGCACTTGTGTCTTCATCGCAGTGCTTCAGCGACAGTCGAGTCACATGTCAGAAAGAAACAGCTGCAGTGTGATGCCAGTAATGAGGAGACACGCAGTTTGAAGATTCCCTGCAGCAACTCCACTCCACACCTTAGACTTGCCAAGACTGACGTCGCCAACCCTCGAGGATATTCTGCCTCTCTCTGTCCGTTCCTGTCCATCGCGCGACATCATACAGCAAAGACGAGAGTTCGACTGGACAGACAGGAGCAGACGACGCCCATAAGATCTTTGAAGCTGATCAACATGGCGTCACAAGCACCATTTGACGCCGAATCCGCCGGCAACAATGAGGAGATGGAGCAGCAATTTGCTGTCAAGGCTGTCCATCATATGACAGTCTACTGGTCTATCCTCGAGAAAATGCCCGGCTCTAAGCTGAGACTCACCCGGTTGGACGATGAGATTTATGAGCATTTCAAGAAAGATTTCCCCGAGTTTGACCCGGCTGAGGAGATCGACGAGGACAAGATGAAGAGCAAGGCGGGTAAGGAGCGGTGGCGGAAGTTCTGCATGGCTTATGCAGAAGGCAAAGATAAGGTCGAGGACTACAATTTCGGTTCCATGCTGCGCAAGAGTGCAAAGACCGAGTATGGCGAGAAAGAAACTATCTTTGCTGTTCGAATGCAGTTCTACGCCGTCGAGATCGCGAGAAACCGGGCTGGACTCAACGACTGGGTTTACGAGAAAGCACAGGCCGAGTCCAAGAAGTGACAACACCGCGTCTTCAACAACGCCTTGGCCACATTCCACCTTCACACACGGCTCAACAAAGGCTCAAAGCACCTTACAGGTCATCAGCTGCTAATACAATCTTGCGCGTCTCCTACGATCCGTGCCCGGGCTGCTACCCGTACTTGCACCCTCGAAAACCTAGGTGATGTCGTGGGTAACGGGAGCATCTCTCGGACGCAAACCAAGGGACGCTACCCGGTGGACTGCGATATTCAGCTTCACTCAGACGGATCACTTGTGGGTGCTATGCCTAGCAGTCTTCTTTGCAGTGTGTTCTGCTCTTGTCCAGCCTGTTGTCGCGATCTTCATCGGAAATTTTGCCGATGGTCTCACACAATTTGGCGGCGGGCTGATAGAGTCTGACACCCTCCACAAACGAACGAATCCTAGCTTCTATGGCTTTATTGGACTCGGCTTCTGTACACTTCTCACCAATGCAGGGATGTTTACGACTTGGGTAGTCTTTGGCGAGCTGCAAGCCAAAGCCGTTCGTGAAGAGCTCTTTCGAAGCCTCTTGAAAAAAGACCTGGAATGGTTCGAAATGAGAGAACATGGTGTTGCGTCCCTATTGACCCGGCTTCAATCGTAATTCTTCAAACTCCTCGTGTCAGAAGGGGACTGACTTTGTGACAGCCAAATCCGGGAGATGCAACTCGGCACTTCGCAGCCCTTCAGCTTCCTCTTGCAGGGTATGATCCAAGGACTCGTGGCGTTTGGCATCGCCATCTATCACAGCTGGAAAGTGACCTTGACCGTGCTAGCCATCGTTCCTGTTTCTGGAGCAGCTCTTTATCTACTTGGTCGAGGTCTCCAACGTCATATTGCATCCCAGGATCATTTCCTCGCCGAAGCGACTAAGATTGCTCACAATGCTTTCATCAACATCGCGCTAGTCAAATGTTTCAACGCCCAGTCAATTGAGACTACGCGATATGTTGCCGTAATTCGCAAAGCAGCCACCTATTCCTTGAAACAAGCGAACATCGTAGCTCTTCAAACAGGCTCTCTCGGGTTCTTCTTCTTCGTCATGTTCTTGCTCGGTGCGTTCAGATCATCGGACCCGTTGGCTGGCGCTGATTTACTGGCATAGGTTTCTGGTACGGCAACAAGTTGGTCCATGATGGCGACTATTCTACTGGGCAGGTCACGACTGCGATATGGGCGACGTTCATGTCGGTTCAGGGCTTTCAAAGCGTGTTCCCACATGTCATTGTTCTTGTTAAAGGGCATGCTGCTGCAAGCGCTGTGCGTGCCCTCATCGATACAGTTGAGAAGGGGCGTCTCCTCCATCGCAAGATCGATGGTGCTTCACCAGTGCTGTGCGAGGGTCATATCAAGTTGCGACAGGTGAGTGAGCTAAGATGATCTGGGTATCATCTAGTGACCCTACTAGGTCTCATTTGCATACCCTTCTCGACCAGATCAGCTAGTTCTATTCAAATCAGACTTTGACTTTTGTGCTGGTCGAACTACGTTCATCGTCGGCAAGTCTGGATCTGGAAAAAGCACCTTAAGCAATCTTATCATGCGATTTTATTTTCCTCTCACGGGAACCATCTCTATTGACGGTCATGACCTTGAGGACCTTGATACCAGTTGGCTGAGAAACAACATCACTTGTGTGCAGCAGGGGACGTCTCTCTTTGATGAAACACTCCGAGTCAATATTGCTTTGGGCCACCGCTATCATGAACGCGTCAAAGCTGTTGAGATCGATGACTGTGTCAGACTTGCAGCATTAGAAGACACTATTGCTGAGCTGCCGTACGGCATGGATACACAGGTCGGTGTGGGCGGCTCTGCGCTATCAGGCGGACAAAGCCAACGTGTCGCGATCGCAAGAGCACGTCTAAGAGATACACCAATACTCATACTCGACGAATCTACCAGTGCTCTAGACAATGCGAGCAGAGTCAGTGTTATCGACGGAATCCGGAAGTGGAGAGATGGTTTGACTTCAATTATTATTACCCACGATCTGACACAGATACGCGATCAAGACTTCGTCTACATTATGGACCATGGCCATATCATACGAAAAGGACCTCGGAGTGAAGTATGTAACGCTGCACGGACATATCGTGATCCTTTGAACACAACAACAGCTCCAGCATTGGACAAAGTTCAACCCATAGCTAAAGGTGATGTTACAAGCAGGAGCCGGCCTCCCAATCGACCACCGAATTTGCGCTGGAGGAAAGATGGCAACATGCTCCGCGCATCGTTCGAAGAACAACTCCGTGGTCTCGATGTTGGAGACTACCTGCTATCCCCCAAAGCCCTTCTCGGCGCTGCCCGGATTGCTTCGGCTTTTCAGGATCAACCTACCCTAAGCCGAAGCTCGAACCATGCAGCATACCGGCACTCGCAGTTTATCAGTGTGGTGAATCCTTGTGACGAGGCCTTGCCACTGCCGGAACAGACCGAGCAGAGAAATGTCGGGGGAACTGAAATTGCTCTTAGACCTCTGAGTCTCGCTCCGAACCGCGCGTCTGAAGTTGCTCGGCCCAGGCCAGGGAACACCAGACCTCTGCCGTCTCCACGTGTGCTAGAGAAGTCCAAAGCTCAATTTCGTGCCAGGTTTGGTGGACCTACCTTCAGTCTCGTAGAGGACAAATCCCCGCAGATGTCACTCCAGTCGATTCTCGGGACACTCTGGTCGAGCCTGGACCGAAGTCATCGCATCAAACTTCTGACCGGACTTTCAGCTGTTTGTTGCCGTGCTGCTCTACCGTCACTGCTTGCGTACATTATGAGCAAGATGTTTGCCATATTCTACCAGCAGGAAGGCTACAAACAAGCGTCAACGAAATGGGCCATGGTACAGCTCGTGGTCGGTTTCACGGACGCTGCAACAGCTTTCATCGCCCATTATATGCTTGAAGGCGCCGCTCGTCGCTGGGTAGGTCGACTGCGAGCTGAAGCTGTACGGCGGGTCATGGAACAGCCGAAGCCCTGGTTCGAACATGACAGCAATTCGGCGTCTAGCCTCTCTCTGGTCTTAGACCGTGATGCAGAAGAGATGCGAGCGCTGCTCTGTCGCTTTGTGTCACTGACGATCAGCGTGGTTCTTATGTTGTGCGTCGCTATCATATGGTCGTTTGTCTCATGCTGGAGACTGACTCTGGTCGGCCTGGCAGCTACGCCGGTCATCTACGGTTTAGCAAAGGGCTTCAACGTGATATCTGAAGTATGGGAGGGCCGTGTCAATACTGCAGCTGAAGCTGTTGGTAAGGTCTTCGTTGAGACCTTTACAGACATTCGCACTGTGAGGTCCCTGACCCTCGAATCGTATTTTCATCGAAAGTATTCCCGGGCGACGAAATCGGCTTTTGCGACCGGTCGTCTGCGCGCCTTATATACAGGCTTGCTCTATGGACTCTCCGAAAGCACCATCACTTTCACCATTGCGGTCATACTCTGGTATGCTATTCGACTAGCTTCAAGTTATGATCTTGGAGTTGCTCCGATCATCACATCGATTTGTTTGCTCATCCTCGCGTCTGGTCCAGCAAATGTCATATTTGGGATCATCCCCCAAACTGCAGCTGCAGTTGATTCGGCAACAAGACTTATTCGGCTGACTCGACTTGCACTAAAGAACGAGCACGAGCATGGCGGCCAAGATCGACTGCGAGAGCCCTCTGGCAGTTTGTCCATGGCAATTTGCTTCAACAGTCTTACCTTCGCCTACCCGTCCAGATCGATGATGCCCACTTTAAGTAATTTGACCTTGTCGATCAAACATGGTGAGTGCGTTGCCATTGCTGGGCGCTCGGGAAGCGGTAAAAGCACCATCGCGTACCTACTATCGGGCTTGTACCGAACTAGTGTGGGAGATCCTGGTGTTGGGCCTTCAATAACCATCTTCGGACAAGACATGCGCTCACTTGAGCTTTCAACCCTTCGCACGAAGGTGGCAGTCGTGCCTCAGCACCCCGTCGTTTTCCCAGGCACTGTATGGGAAAACATTTGCTACGGTCTGGAAGCCCACACTAGGCTGGCAACTATTCAGAACGTCAACTGGGCTGCGACGCAGGCCGCGATCCACGACTTCATCCTCTCATTGCCGCTTCAGTATGACACGGTCATTGGCGAAGGTGGACTTGGCGTCTCTGGCGGACAAGCACAGCGCATCACACTTGCTCGTGCTCTTGTCAGACGCCCCAGGATACTGGTCCTCGATGAAGTGACTTCGGCTCTCGACGCGGAGAGCGCTGACCTAATTCGATCAAGTTTACGGACCATACTGCGCGAGTCTCGTCACGGTACTGGCGAAGAAAGCATGACTATACTGGTGATCACACATGCGCGAGAGATGATGGAGTTCGCGGATAGAGTGGTATTGCTCGAGGGAGGAAGTGTGGCTGAGGAGGGGCCTTTCGCCGAGCTGATGGTAAGAGGAGGAATGCTTCGTGAGGTGCTGGCGCCTAGCACCGAGTAAAGCATGCAGAGGCACGGTTCGATTCTCTTCGATCGCAGATACAAGCTGTATTCATAGACCTAGTCGCCAAGCAAGGCGCCAAAAGCTCCCGGAGATAAAGGATGCCTTTGAGCGTTGGGATGCGGCGATGCCGCATCCCGCCCCTTTGGTTTCACGGCCCTCGAACAATCCAAAAGACTATCTAGCATAGACTTTGGATACGGCGCAGGTCTAGAATTTGTAGATTCTGAAATGCTACGGTGGCAACAACATGACGTAGACTCGAGCAACTCATCCCTCGGCAGCAGTAGATATAAGCAGCGGTGGCAGCCCGCTGCGGTGCTACTCAAGGCTCTCTCACAATCCCGTAACAACCCATCTACACTCACAAATCCTCACCATGCCTCGAGTATTCTTGATCACCGGCACCTCCAGCGGCTTTGGCTCCGACTACGTCAACCATGTCCTGTCTGAGGGTGACTACGTCGTTGCCACCGCCCGTGATCTCTCCAAGCTCAAGTTCAAGGGCGCCACAGATAAGAACTACATCTTGGTCCGGCTTGATGTGGGCGACAAGTCGTCCATCAAGGATGCTTTTGACCAGGCTCGGAAGAAGTTTGGCAGAATCGATGTCGTTGTGAATAATGCTGGCTACGGCCTGGCTGGATGCTTTGAGGAGTACACCGATGAGCAGATTCGAAAGCAGATGGAGGTCAATTTCTTTGGTCTGGTATGTTTGAAATGATGATGATGCCAGTTTGATATATGAGGATATTGCTCTGACCAATTCATCAGATCGATGTGACTCGGGTTGCGCTAGAGGAGCTACGAAAGAATTCACCCTCAGGCGGCGTCATCCAACAGGTTACTTCCATTGGCGGCCAACGAGGGTACGTATAACCTACGACTCTAATGTGGGCATCATCTGACATTTAGTTACAGCGTGCCCTTTTTCTCGGCCTACTGCGCCAGCAAATGGGCAGTGGAAGGTTTCACTGAGGCTGTGTCCCACGAGCTGAAGCCTGAGTGGAACATCTATTTCAACATCATCGAGCCTGGAGGATTCAGAACCGACTGGGCGGGACGTAGCATGGCCTTTGCGGACCGAAAGCTGCCCGAGTACGACCATCTGAATGCAAAGGAGAGCATGACGAAGCGCCACGGTACGCAGCAGGGCGACCCTGCGAAAGCTGCCGTGGCCATGTACGAGTTTGCGTGCATGGGCAAGGACACGCCGCTACGCATTGTGGTCGGCGGGGATGCGTACAAAGCTGTCATGAACAAATTGGACCAGTATCGCGCGAACTACACCAGGCATGAGGAGCTGAGTACGAGCACGGACGTCGATGGTTGGGAGGGCTAAGGTGGTGTTGTTTCGGATGAGTTGCTCTCCAAATCATGGTGACTGTGAGGAAGTTGAAGACTTGTGTACCCCAATGCTTAAAGGTGATCTAGACAGCGAGAAGCTGATGAGTAGTTGCGTGAATAGGATTCAGAATTCACTGCCTGGTAGATCTGGATAGATGCGTAACAAAACTCCCCTATTTACGACACGCCAAGAAAGGAAAGTGCAGGGAGCGCGACTGCGGCTGGGGTGAAAGACGAACCGAGGAAGGATGTCCCATGGCGCGACAGTGAACCTCTCTTCGTGGCTTCATAACTGGTCACTGTAAAATCACCTTTGTACAAACATGGTTGTTCTTTCCTAATCACCACATCCATCAGCATTAGCATCAGCATCATCATCATCGTCTGCCATGGCGACCCCTCGAGAATCCTCACCTCCAGCTTCGAGCGGAGGAGATACTATTGACGATGGTGCGCAACCGCAGCCAACAGAAATCGAGCAAGACGATCAGTCTACCGTTGAAGTCTCTGTCCTCACTCCGGGCGCAAAAGTACCCCGCAAACGAAAGACACCTGGCTCAGCTTCCCAGTCGCGCAAGAAGCGAGGTCCATCCTTGCTGCACGATGGGCCACCTGAGGCCACCGAAGATGAAGGTAGCGTCGTCTCCGTCGCAAAGAGCAGCAAGAAGGCCGAAGGTACACCGGATCCAACCCGCACCGTCGGCACAGCTGTAGGCTATCGACGCCAGGCAAACGGCACTGTTGGATCTGTCTACTCTGGCAGCAAGATCAGACACATCAAGAAAGAAGACGGAACTCCCCTATGGCGGAAGGAGATACAGTACGAGTTCCTTCGTCTCGTAATCGAAGACAAAACCCCCGTCTTCACCCGCTACAGCGATGGTAAGACAGGATGCAACTTCGCCGACATCTACATCGATTGTCTAGTCCAAAGCAGTAAGACCAGCAAGATTCTCAAAGACCGCCTGCAAATCGATAGACAAGCTGCGCAGAACATGGCCATGATTTGTCTCTTGGTCAATGTAGGCAGGATGAACACGACACTCAACTTCTTCCCGGAGATGCGTGCTCAACTACGAACCTATCACTCGATTCCCTCGCTCCAGGCATACAAGTCGCAAAAAGACTATAAATCGTTGCAAGATGCACCACGACTGAAGTCAATTCTGAAGGGCGCAAGCGAAGACGATGAACACCCACGATCTATTCAAGCTCTGCATCGCCGAAAAGTACCGAGAACCAACGCCGTCAACCTGATCTTCGTCATTTCGCAGTTCGCCCCTCGTATCAGTGAGGAGCACTTCCTTGACAAGGTTGACTTCTTCGATCTGACGATGCGATCCACCATCTCCTCGAAAAGCCGCGCTCGTGCTTTCTTGTGGCTGATGTGGTATTACCTCGAGAGTGGCTTTCAAAAGGAAGATGGCCTGGGGAATCCTTTCGGAGCGGGGTCTTACCACCCGGATGACGATCCAAATGATCCGGAAGTCCTCGCTACTATCGTCCCGACTCTCGATCACATCACTCCTGAAGAAGGAGATGCAGAGAACTTCGATCCCCCCGAAGAGCTCGAATTTGCGGAGAAGATGACTAAAGAGCGGAAGCGCATCATGGAGCAGGTTGCCAATGAGCCGCCGCTCACTATGGCCGACCCAAGCAACCCGGAGAACAAGTCTGTGAAACGTCTGAAGAAGAATGCTGCCATATTTGGTGAAGATGACAGCACCATCATGTCCGATCTAGACTCTAGGGCGAGTCCTGGCCTTGGTCGAAGTCCAGCGCCAGGCGAGAACGTCATGGCCATGAATTCGGCGCTGGGCGCTCAAGCCGATAGCATCGACGACGACTTCGAAATGCATGACCCCCACCCTGGACGAGGACGTTACAAGCGAGTACGCGGAAAGAACACTCCGTCGAGGTCCAAAGGAGTCGGTGCCCCTAGTTCTGGTAGAAAACGAGGTGCCGGTACTCCGGAGCTCAGAGCAACCCCTCAACCGCTACAGCCAGGAACCCAGAGTGTTCTGAGTCAGTACGGTCAGTCCAAGGCTGAGGGCTCGCTAGGTACTTCGGCTGCCGCACCGGGGAAGTCCAGGGCACGGACTGGCTATCAGCGTGAGCTTGAGGAGCACAAACAGAAGCGAATCGAGTGGGCTCTCCGGCAGAGACGAAAACAAATGATGGCTCAGGCAGCACAAGCCAGGGAGCAGACGCGTATGATTCTCCGAACGGCGCGTAGAGTCCAAGATCTTGAAGCGACTTATGACTCTGAGGAAGAGGGCGATGGTATCGCCTCAACAGGGCTAGGTGGTATTATCGGCCGAGTCTACATCGCACCTGATGAGGTTGTGCGAGATGTCAGCACCTACGAGTCCGAAGACTGGGGCGAAGAAGTCGAGTCCTGGCTCAAAGCCACCAAGCGTATCAGGCGGCGCCTCGAGGTCTGGGATGGCGACCGGGATATCCATACCTACAACGCCAGCATGAGGCGCGCAGGTCGACCCAAATCCTACCGGCCTGGCTTGGTTCACGATGACAGCGAGGACTACAAGGGTGCTTACAGAACCTCGGCGCCACTGATTTCCAGGACGGCTGAGACTGGTCCAAAGACTAAAAGGGAGATGGACGCCCAGATCGAGTTGGACCTGCTCGCAGAGAGAAGTGATGGTGATGAGGAAATGGGCGACACCCCAATGCAGGATGATGGAGATGGCATGGAAGCAGATGTGGAGGGTGAAGGCGAGGGCAGCGATGTGGCCATGGAGTAAGGCCATCGATCACGGCTGAAGATCATGGGTCCTCCGGCCGATTGCGTTACGGTCAAGTGAGCGATGTAGGCATCTTGCTTCGCCCTTGCGCCTTCTATCTTATCATACGGTTTGTAGCAATTCAATGCCTTGACAGCCGCTTCATCCATCTCTCTACGTGCAACGTGCTTTATTCATTAGATATCGATGTCCCCATTCCCCGGACTTGACATAAAAGTGTCAGGAGCATCTCTCCCCGGCAGCACCTTTTCCACAGGCCCTACCGGTTTCTCTTGTTACACACCGTTTCACCCCTCTTACCGCCGCTTTCCAGCATCGCTCACCATCCCATCCCATTCCATCCATCTCAATATATACATGATTGTCTGGCATTGATTCCGCCCGGGCATCCATCTTCCCTCCGCAGCCGCCTCGCCTCACGCAGAAGCCAGCGGGCGCGCCTGGAGAGCTTTCGGGTGGCTTGTCTCTCCTTGCCCTGTCCCTCGTACCCGTCATCGTCCTCATCATTAGTATCATAGTCCTCCCCGTCCTCCTTGTCGTCATTATCATAGTCGTCATCCTCGCCATCGGCATCCTCGTCACAGTCTCTAGCATCGTCAAGGCGCGCAAACCGCACGATCAGCCCCACGGCCGTCTCCACCGCGTCAAGCAGGCCGGCTCTGTCCGCTGGTCTGAGACCGGTGCTGGAGTCTGCATCGCCACCAGCAGAAGCGGCGGATTGATATTGGGATTGGGATTGGGGGCTCTGAGGCGGCGTCGGGGCGAAGGCGGAACTTGAACTCGATACGAGGAGGTCGCCGAAGCGCAGGAGGAGGTAGGTGTAGGCGCGGAAGGGGGCGTAGGAGTGGTCTGCTTTTGCTGTATCCTCCTCTTCCTCCTCCCTATCCTCCTTTCCCTGCTGCTGGCGTTGCTGGGTCGCGAGAAGGGTGCTGACGGTGGCGATTAAGAAGGTGGTGGCGCTGATGGTGAGTTCTGCTTCTGCTTCTGGTTTTAAACCTGGCGCTCCTGCCGCCGCCACGGTAGGAGAGGTTCTCCAGCGCATCGCCCAGACGGTGTGTTGCCAGGAGCGGACGTGGCGGAGCGCGGTTGGGTAGGGGAGGGTGGTGTGGCCTTGGGAGTCGAGGGTGAGGAGGTAGTGTTTGATTAGGGCGCGGATTTGGGTTGTGTTGGGGTGTTGGTGGTTGTCCAACGAGGGAGAGGCGGTCGGCGTCTCGTGAAGATGTGGGGAGTGATGAGATTGTAAGGGTGGGGGCGGAAGGGAGGGCATCGCACGGTTCTCCAGGAGGGTCGGAAGCGCCACGGGCACGGAATCAAAGATGCCTCCGCAGGCGGCGCTGGTGGCGCTGTAGGACTGGCAGTATCGCAGGTGGTCGGGGAGCTGGTGCATAATGATGTCGTAGGCTTCGCTGCCGGCATCGTAACTCTGCCGGGGCCTGGTCTGGGACCCCTCCAGGAGCCGCTGTAGCGCAGTCAAATGCATACGACCCGTCTTTGTGTTGTTGGTCATGGTTTCGATGAGCCAGCAGAGGATCGGCGCCACGTACGTATCGACTGGCTGCGAGGAAGCGGATGTGAGATGCTGCAGCCCGCGATTGTAGTTGTGGACGATCTCACGGGCGCGAGCGGTCAGGTGGTGTGTATCGAGGATGAAAAAGCGTTGCTCGAGTCCAACGATGGCACTCACCAGGTATAGAATTGCAGGACGCGTATATGCGAGGCGTGGGATCTGGGCTGTCCAGAAACTGGTTTGTGAAGGCGGAGAATAACGTGAGAACCAGGGTCCCGAAACCCGAGTCCAGTGCGAGAGATTCATGGCCGACTTGGCGTCGTTCCATATCTGAATAGGTCGAAAGAGAAGAGGTGTTGGGCGTTCGCTGGACTGATTCAATCGCTGCATAGATGACCTATAACGTGGTCGTGCCGACTGGTCGGGACGGCGTCTGGGCTCGAAAATGAGAGGTTTGGGAGCATTGTAGACGCAATCCAGGTCGGCTTTGTAGCAACGCAAGCATTTTGGCTTGCCCTCGTCGCATTTCAGGTGTCTTCGTTTGCAGCTGTCACAGCCGCTGGCGAGACAGTCAGACCGGGTGTTGGTGAGGGGAATCGTCGCAGACTCACGAACGGACCTTATGGGCAAAAGCCTTCTGTCGCACAGGGGCCATGGGCGAAAGCAGCGTTAATGGCTTACACTTTCGCTGAGGTTGTTTATGACGGCTGAATATAGGTTATAGCAGGCTCAATCTGGACAGCCTGTGCCATCCCGAGTTGCTGACCGTATGATAGAGAGACGTCCGTGGGCCCAAGGTGGATGGATGGTCTTCAGGCCCCCAATCGTCAAATTACCTGAAACACCAAGACTCCGTCTGGTAGAGTCCTTGGCAGAAATAGCTTGACGTGAACCCCATGCTAGAGTCTTTCTTTGGGGGCCGGATTATGTCAACAGAGGGCGGGAAGGCAACCTTGTGGTCCGGAGTTGCCTTATGAGGCGACCGGTGGACTCCAACACGCCTGCCAAGCTCTGGATGAGCGCGTCATCTACTCGTCTTTTCTGCCTTTTTCCTTCCTTGACTTGTGAGACGGTTGTCCACTCTTCGCCTGACACTTATCTGCCAACTGCCTCGCACACTGTAGTATGCCAAACGCTCTAATCCATCAGAACAACCAGGTTCATTCACCTTTACTGAAACTCCCTCTAGAGCTTCGACTCAAGATCTACCACGCCTTATTTGAAAGCTGCTCGCTACTGACAACATTTTCTCGTCGCATTCTACACGACTATTGGTCTCCCCTGAGCCCGCGAAGGATCCATGCCATCGTGAACTGTGTATGCAGTCAAGTTCGGGATGAAGCAACTCCTGCACTTGCCAGTCAGTTAAGCATCAGCCTCAGAGGTGACGATTTGATGGTGCGAGTCGCAGGTGCAGGTTTGAGATTGGCGGAAAGCTGGATGCATGGCGTCGAGCAGGTGAGTGCAACGGGTACGAGGCAGCGTCAGAGCAACGAGGCAGACCGTAGCGGAACACTAATGCTGCACGTGCATAGCTCACGGTATATGCGCCTCTGTTTGAGAAGAACGCTGCAGGCGACAGATCGTTGAGACCGCCGCAGGCACTCCTCAAGAGGCTGCATATGCTGACCATCAACTTGATTGGCTCGACCCAGTGGGAAAGTCATATCACCGTTGATGCCATCAATGCTTACGAATTCGAGCTCCCGCAAGACAGAGCCTATTGGATGTCAGACCAATCTGATTACGTGCTCGCGAAGACGATTTTCGCCTACCTTATGGGTGGCATGGGTGAGCAGCGCCGACTCGAAGAAACGGTGTGGCTGCGTGAACTTTTGGAGCCACAAGTGAAGAGACTGAGCCAGAATGTGGGAGGAAAGGGGCACGATGTTGTAAGAGACGTGGAAACCAACCTAGCCGCTGTGGAGGTGAAGGCTTGCATTAATGTTGTCTACCCAGGCTACTACTATGCGGTATGGCTGGAGATGAGGATAGCGGATGGGGTCGTAACCGTGTCCGAAAGGTTTGTCAACAGGCACTCTCGGTAATGGGGGGTTCGCGGCTGGGAACACGCCGGCACACGACCAGCTGTTGCTCCCTGATGAGACACTCACCTCCTTATGCTCGGGTATGAAAGATGCCGATACGTGGCTGCGATATATTGATACGACGCACAGAGTCTCCCCAGAGTCGCGTTGCCCATGACATCTCACCCCCTGAAGCTCTTCTCGACATGTTCGACTCGACTTCCATTGGACCATGCCTGTCCATGCTTCACGGGATGCATGTTATGGCACTCACCAATACTTCGGACGCTACATAAGCTCTCTAACATTATCCACCAAACCGTCGCTCGAGGAAGCAGATCCCAGAGGCAAAAATGGCAATACAAAATCCTCGCCGCTCAAACAATTGCATCTCGAGGCAAATCTGTGGTCACTCGAGAAAGAGACAATGGTTTGACGGCGAAAAAAAGAATGTCCTCGGGAATGTGCATGACGTGGCTGAAGGAGGTCCAGATTCTAGGTCTCGTCCCCGCCTCTTTCAATTTCCTCTCTTCTCTCCTATTGTCTTTGTTCAGCTCAGGCTTCGCTCGCTGAAGTGAGGCTTGGCGTATACATTACGTACCTACTTCTTCTCCTTTAGTCAGCCTCAGCTTCTTCGGAGGCCAAGGCGCGGAGAATTCTTTCTCTAAGTGATGGTGGCGAGAAGGTGGCGGCCCGGCAGCATTGCAGCAGCCACGTGGTTGTGGACGCGGGATGCCCCGGTCTTGCGGCTGAAAGCCCGGGGAGGATCGAGGTCTCGGAAATGCCAACTTGGTTACATTACGCGCTATTGACATGGTGAGTTGACTGGCTTGTTGCGGTAATGCAGCAACCGATCTTCGTGATGTTAGGACCTGTGCGTCGGGCGAATCGCTGGTCAGAATGAGGACAGTGTGGTCACTGAGTGTCGGAGGGCCACAGAGAGCTTCTATATGGCAGTAAGGGTTCACGGGTTGGGGGGACTGAGAGCTGCAAGCTCTGTGGCTACAGATGGACCTGCATGAAGGAGGGACGATGTGGCTGCGTGTAAGGACTGAAAACCAAGAATGAGAGCTTTTTTCCATTTCCTGCCTGATCCTGGCCACGATCCTAGCAGCGACAGGGTGCTTTGCAGCATGCATTTTTCGCGTCGTCCATCATCACACCAAAGTTCTCAGTGCTAGCAATACCCCTATACCGCAACTCGCACCCCCCAATCTACCCTGGGCATACCCTGCCCGAAATGCATTTATTCATCCTCCAGGTCTTCCCGGTAGAATCCCGCCACCAGGAAGGCCAGCTCCAGTGCCTGCTTCTCGTTCAGTCGCGGATCGCAGAAGGTTGTGTAGTTGAGACTGAGATCTTCTTCGCGTAGATTCTCCGCGCCGCCAACGCACTCGGTGACGGCCTCACCTGTCAGCTCCAGGTGCACGCCGCCCAGATAGCTCCCGAGTGAGCGGTGGATCTGTAGTGCCTGCTGTAGCTCGCTCAAAATGTCGCTGAAGCGGCGAGTCTTGAAGGTGGCGGGCTTGCCATTGCCGTCGGCAGCTTCTACCGTGGCGTTGCGCCCGTTGCCATGCATGGGGTCACACTGCCACACCACCGTGCCGTCGTGCTGGGAGGCTTGTACGGCTTTGATGTGGCCGGGTAGGTGCGTGGCGATCTTGTCGTAGCCGTAGCGGGTGATAAGGACGATTTTGCCGATTTCGTGATTTGGGTTGAGGATGTCGAGGAGTGGGACTAGGTCGCCGGCGGGCATGGAAGGGCCGACTTTCACGCCGATGGGGTTGGCAATGCCCCGAAAGAAGTCGACGTGCGCGTGCGTGAGCTGTCGGGTGCGGTCGCCGATCCAGATGAAATGGGCGGAGGTGTTGTAGTGGCCGGTGTTGGGGGCTGCTGTTGAAGGTCGACGGTTTGTGGAGGTTTTCCGCCGGGCGGGCGTTGGTGAGCTGAGAGTATCAGGTGGTATGGCGTTGGCAGGGTGTTTGAATTGGCGGGTGAGGGATTCCTCGTACTCAAGGAGGAGACCTTCGTGTGACGTGAAAAGGTCGACAGTTTCGAGGTTGCGTGAGGAGTCGAGGCCAATGGTACGGAGCATGTCCAAGGTGTCGATGATCCTGGAGACAAGGCTTTGGTATTTGGTCCGAACCGAAGGGTCTAGCACGTGGCCCAGGGACCAGTCAAGAGGAGCATGGAGATCGGCCAGACCTGAGCCCAGGGCTGCGCGGAGGTAGTTGAGTGTCGCTGCTGAGTGGAAGTAGGCGTCCACCAATCGAGAGGGATGCGGCCTCCGAGCTTCAACATCGGGTTCATAGCTGTTGAGAATATCACCACGGAAAGAGTTCATCTCTACACCACCGACAGTCTCCATTGGCGATGAACGTGGCTTCGCAAACTGACCGGCCATTCGTGCTATGCGCACAACTTTCTTTTTAGCACCATAGATGAGGACTAAGCTCATTTGTAGTAGCAGTTTGACCTTGGCCTCGATCATGTCCTGGTTGCAGTAGTCGAAGAGCTCTGCGCAGTCACCACCCTGAAGTAGAAATGCATTACCAAGCGCGACTTCTCGGAGCTCGTTCTTGAGCTTGACGATCTCTCGGGGTGTGACCAGTGGTGGTAGCGTTTGCAGCTTCTGGACGGCCTTGTCGAAAGATTCTGTGTCATCGTAGGACACACCTTGGACGATGGGCTTAGACCTCCAACTCGTGGCCGACCACTTCTCCCCATTGAGTTCGGCCATATCTATCACACGGGTTTTTCTGTGATGAGAAATCTTGCAGGCAGAGACTGGAATTGACTGGATATATTTGAGAACAGGTCGAGTTCTCTGATGATCGACTGTTGGCGGTCTGGAAACAGGAGACTTGCCGTGGATCCTGTTTCAATACAAAGCAAAGTCTTTTCGAATTTTTTTGTTAACGAAGAAGAACAGATCCGGAATGACTTTCATGCTACCACCAAAGTACCATCTCATCGAACCTTTGGTATGACTGTCCAAGAGGGATTTGGCGAGGCTGAAGTGTAGAGGCTACGCTATACCAATGATAGACTAGTGCACGAACTCCATATGTGGGGGTTTTGTGGCTGTCTGAAGCTGATAACCATCAAGACTGTACGCATCTTTATCTATCTTAACGATTGCCTCATCAATCCCTGATATCCTAAGTCATTACCACCATCATGGCCGAACCTATCACTTCCGCTTCCAACGCTGCGGATGCCGCCGACGACGAGACCTCCCAGAACCTGCCCAACAATGCCGAGGATCGTAAAGCCGCGGCTGCCCTCAACTCGCTCAACGCGAATGCCATGTCCCAAGAGAATGGCGAAGGCGCGACCAAACAACCCTCAGCTGCGGATCAAGAGGCACTGGGCAAGGCAATGTCGAGGCTAGAGATTGCTAGCGGCTTAAAGAAGACCGACACAGCGAAAAAGCCCGAGCAAAAGACAGATGCAGAGCCCAGAAAGAAGATTAAGATTGCGAGTGAAGATGTTACGTTCCTGGTACGAGTCACTGGTGATGCAGCCGTCCACACTAGATACTGACGATGACGAAGGTCGAGGAGCTTGATCTTACCAAGGTGAAGGCCACCGAGCTGCTACGTACCCATGAAGGAGATGCCGTGAAGGCTGTCAGAGCCTTCATCTCTCCACCCATCCGCGCATCTTGACAACAGTCTGTGATTGAAAATGTGGCAGTGGAGCGGAGTCAGTCATGCTGACCGACTCGACGCCGGAGAACGGCACGTTTGACATGGATGCCACCTCCATCAGCAAGGCACCCGCCGAATCTTCAAGTTGACTCGCATAGGATCAAGCGGCCCCTATTTTCAATAGTCTGGTATCAAGCACGACCATGAACATCGCTTCGAGGTGATGATCTGCACACCACCACAGTCCCGGCATACCACGCCATGCGACCCGCCGAGCGGGGCGATCGGAGCGCCACGTGAAAAGTTTCGCGGAAGTACAGAAAACGCCGGACTCGCAGCCAAGAAAAATTTGTCTCTCGAGCATTTTGCTTGTTGCATTAGCTATCATCTGTTTTACATACGCTGACCCTTGATGCCCGTCTATTCCTGACCCGGTCACACTGGTCCACCAGTATTAGTCTGGTACTAAAAATTACCCTGGGTATCACAGATCTCTATTCGAATGTTTTGCGGGATTTGCCGATCCCGATTCCTCCGGAACTCCATCGCCAAATTGACTTTTGCTCTATGACTCGTCATGATTCGTTAACCTTGAGGAAGCGGCAGATGTCGCGACAGGCGTCATCGAGCGTCTTCTCGGTCTTCCAGCCTAGCTCGGTGTAGGCACGGCCTGCCACAGCAACGCAGGAGCCGACGTCGCCTGCTCGGCGTTCCACTCTGCGCCGCGGCACAGCACGGCCTGAGACTTTCTCCATGGTCGATGCCACCTGCTCGACAGAGTATCCGCAGCCAGTGCCGAGGTTGAATGTGCGGAAGTTCTGCTTGAGCGACTCCTGCTGTGCTGAGGTAAGGGCCGCGATGTGTCCCCGAGCTAGGTCCGTGACGTGGATGAAGTCGCGGACGGCAGTGCCATCTGCAGTGTTCCAGTCATCGCCGAAGACCTTAAGCTCGGCATATTGGCCGGTCATGACTCTGGTGACAACAGGTAGGAGGTTTGATGGGACACCCTTGGGGTCTTCGCCGAGCAGACCAGACTCGTCGCACCCGATAGGGTTGAAGTACCGAAGAGCGATGATGGTCCAGGCCGGGTCAGAGGCAGCGACGTCAGCGAGGATAGCCTCACCGAAGAACTTTGTGCGGCCGTAGGGGTTGGTCAAGCCAGTGCAGCCCTGCTCGGCGGCTACTGACGAGCCCTCGAGGCTGTTGTAGGAGGTAGGACTGTGCACGCAGTTCTCTTCCTGGAGGGGCAGGCCGCGGTCGGCGATGGTGCCGTAGACGGTGGCTGATGATGAGAAGATGAACTTCTTGATGTTGTACTCCTCCAGCAAACCAAGGAAGTCGACTAGGCCGGTGATGTTGTTGCGATAGTACTTGAGGGGCGAGCGGATGCTCTCTTCAACAGCTTTGAAGGCAGCGAAGTGGATGACGCCGACGATCTGGCTTTCACGATCCCCTCTCAGAGTCCAGGACGAGTACTGGTCCAGGAGGCTCTGCATGCTGGGCATGTCCTGGTAGTTGACGTTGAAGAGCTTGGCCTCCGGCCTTGCCGAGGGTCGAGATGCATAGTGGTTGTCGGCAATCTGGTTGATACGGCCGAAGACGTCGCTGTGAGAATTGCTGCAGTTGTCGACGATGAGGACGTTGTACCCAGACTTGAGAAGCTCGGCGGCAGTGTGGCTACCGATGAAACCCAGACCACCAGTGACGAGAATGTATTGAGCAAGGTCTGGAAGATCAAAGAGTGATGAGGCCTCGGTGGCTGGTGTACCGGGACAGGAAGTGAGAGGAGAGTAGGGGGCAGGCGAGGACGCCCTGGAAGTGTATGCTGAGGCAGACATGTTGCGAAGGTTGATGAAAGAGAATGTGCAAGCTTCAGTGCTGTGTCAAGCAAGAGCTAAGCTGCTGTGGTGTTTCTCGGTTGAGTCTGATGCTTGAGTGATGAAGCGAGGGACCTGGCCCTGGACCCTTGGCTATATATGTTGAAGGAGAGGTTCACAACGATCAACTGGCAATACATGCTGGAGGGCCAGGCTATCCACGAGGTGAGCTACTCTGAGCTACTCTGAGCTAATCCGGAGGCCTGGCAAGCCACATGAATGGCTCCCGAGCAGGTCTCGACTTGACACAATCCACTTACGACGCATTGGTCCCGGCGCCTTCCTGGCCACGAGGTGATACCGACGGAGTGTTCTGACAAAACGTGGAGAACAAAAGATGGTGTGCGGTCCTGAGGGTGTGTAACACCGTGGTATGGAAAGTTTCGGGTGTTTTGTCACCAATGCCCGTGCCAAGCCCGATGTCCCAAAATGACAGTCCAAGGCGAGCATAACCTTCCCCCATGGCGACAACCAAAACTTACAGCTACCAGCTCCCGAGCTGAACCAGTTTATTTCCGTGTTCACAACTCCTCGACTTTCCAATTCCACCCAGCAAAACCACGCATTCCTCAATGGCGGCCTCCTCGGTGCTCGTGCCCCTCTACGTCTATCCCTTTCCAGGCGCCTGGCAACCCCTCTACGATGCCATAACCGCCCACCCACGGACTCAATTCCTGGTTGTCATCAATCCGGGCAACGGACCAGGGCCTGCCCCCCTCCCGGATGCCAACTACTGTCGCGAGATTCCGAAATTAAGGTCTCACTCCAACGTAGCCGTCTTTGGCTACGTTCACGTTGTCTGGCTCCAACGCGACCTGGACTCAGTGTCTACCGATGTGGAGACGTATGCTGCCTGGCCCAGTCAGGATCCCACCATGGCTGTGGACGGCATCTTTGTCGACGAGGCGCCCATCAGAGCCGATGCCCATACGGTCACATACCTTGGCAGCCTCACTAACCTAGTCCATCGTTGTTGGCCTAAGCGCTGCGCCTACCTCGCTAGCGGCGATTCGCCTGCCCCTGTCTCTGTTTCTCAAACTGACACAGAGACTGATTTACCAACCGTACGTTACCCAATCCCTGCAAACGCTCATGTCTCAGTACGCTATTGAAATACGTTTCACTGCCCTTGCCTTTACAATACCATCACGTTACACTCCACCCGCACGCTGTCACTGCCACAGTTCCCATCTCATCTCATCACCGCGCTGCATTCATCTTCGCTTATTTGCCTTGCCCTCGGTTCTATTTCCCCACAGCAGTGGGAAAAAAGTCTCTCCTGGCGAGACCCCTGCAGGTCTTTGCACCTGTCGTGCTCCGTTCGCAACTCTACACACCATATTACCCACCCACACTCAGCCATCAACTACATCAACGCACCCCATTTTGGGCAACATCACAGCGGTTTGAGTCCCATCCAGCTGGAAACGTGCAACCAACGCATCTATCGACTGGCTGGCTAGATGCGTGATCTGGCCCCGGACCCTGGACTTTGGACCTGGGCCTGCTGGCCTTTGGCCTGGAATCCCTGGATCGCGATGTCTTCGTGATCACGACATCTTGAGATTGAGAGACTCACCTCGCCATCGCCCAGATCACATACACGTACACTCATCAGCACATTATACCCACTCTCGCTTGCCTCAACAACCGGGCACGGGCGGCCGCCGGTTCTGGAGGTCACCATCCCTGTCCCTATCCCATCGGCCTGGTCTTTTTGCACTTGGCTCTGCTACCCGGATGCGAGGGCTCGGCGCTGCAATGCAATGGAACACGCCTCAAAAATCCCCCCCGCTCTGTCCTTGCTTGGGGGTTTTCAATTCCATTCCTCCCGCAGCCACTGCCGATGCGGCTGGTAGCCATTGTTCCCGTTCCCGTTCGCCTCGCCGTCGCTACTGCTGCTGCTACCGCAGGGCCAGACAACTCGTCACTGTCAACCCAAGGACGTCCTCTCCCTCCCTTTCACTCCTCCGGCTGAACAATACCTGGACCTGCGGATGTGGCTGGCATCTTCCGCCCGTACGGAGTATTCTGCGTTCGCTTCACCATCCGGACTATGGAGTACAGTACAGAGTTTTGCCAATCTCCTTACCCGAGCATGCTGCTGATTTTTTTTTCCCCAGCTGATCATTCCCTCCGCCATGGCTCGACTTTTTGGGACGTGACGAACAAATTTTGACACTGCATGATATTTGGCCTTTGCCTTTTCTTGGTACTGTGTTTATTGCATAAATTGATTTCCCGAACACGAAAACATCAGGGGAAATAAAACCAAAAAAAAAATACTAACACCTGTGTGTTCCAGATCATCCACAATCCAGGCTGTATGCCGGACCCGCGCCTTCTGGATCTCACAGACCTGTGTGTCGTATTCGAAGACACCTGGACCGCGTTCCTGGCGAGGGTCCGGGAGGGGGTGTTTGCCCTCCCGTGTGATACTACGGATACGGGTACGGCTGGCCGGCTGTGTGGAGCTGGTACCGAAGGTAAGCAGTACGAAGGCAAGCAAAGGGTGCAGAACGAAGGATCTGCTGCGAAGGCTTGTGAGGCTGAAGAGCAGCCTGTCGAGGAGCCGGAGCAGCAGGAACGCTTACCTGCCATTACGGCCGAGGAGACGCGGCGTCTGGCCCGAGCGATGCGCGCGAAGAGGGCCGTGGTGGTGCATTCGGTGCCGTTGCCTTTACCTGATGGGGAAGCTGCAGTGCCTGTCGAAGAGGGCAGCGTTGGTGTTGGCTTTGATGCTAACGCAGGGTCCTCGCTGGAGGAGGCTGTCCAAGGTTACGGTAACGTTACCGGTACCAAGGACACGGATCAAGCTGCTGCGGCAGTGGTGCAGCAGGGAGCTAGAGCGGCGAAAGTCAATGAGGTGATTGTGCAGGCAAGGCGGGTGGCCGGGTCGGTGTTTGTTACGGAGCTGACGGAGAGGTACTATGAGAGCTTTGGGAGTGGGTGGAGAGAGTGGGCGGGCGTTATTGGTGGTGAGTGAATGAGGTTGTGTACGTTTTGGGAAGGGCGTTGCGCGTTGGGAGGGGCGTTAAGGAGTTAGGTTAGCTGAGCAATAATGAAGAAGACAATTATGTCAGCAGTAGGCTGTGCAAAAAGCTGCGGCGTGCGTTATTTCCGCCGATCGACGAGTCGGCGTTTGAAGGGGAGGGGATGATCATGTTGCTTGATGTTGCTTGTCTTGCCCGCGCAAAGGTCCTGGCGGAGGTGCGTGAGGGTGTGCTGAGCACATGCTGAGCACATGGGGAGTGCAACTGCGATCTGGCGGATGAAAGCCAGTGGCACAGTAGCACCTACCTGTTTGGGAGCAGCGTGGTGATATCAAAGGGGTTTCATGATGCGCTTCGCCCGTTTCGGCGAAGGACGGCCGAGCGACTGAGAAGGCGGAGAAGAGAGAAACTGTGTGTGTGTGCTGATCGCGTGGCTAACGACACACGCACGCCCTATACTTTACCATGGTGCAACTCCGCAACACCGAGGGTTTGGTGCGAGGGTGTGCTGCTCGCGTGGCTTCTGGAAGCAGCAGTAGGGGTCGGTCTTCTCGGCGCCGTACAGCAGCCGAGAGTGCATGCGTGGGGTCGTTTCGGAGAAAGGGTATTGTGAATTCATCGTCACGCAGGGCAGAGAAGAGAGTATGGCTGAGGGTGTAGTGGCGCGGGTGACGAGCACCTGGGATCGTATGGCGAGGACCGTTGCCAAAAAGGAAAGATCGACGCGGGGTCTTCGGGACATCTGTGCGATGGTGGTGGTGTGTGTGTGTGTGTGCGTGTGGGTCGGAGTGAATCTCGTGTGCTGGAGGTTCTAGAAGTCCGGGAGTGACGGAAGCAGTGGAACACTCACCGAGTGTTTCAAGAAGTAGCAACGGAAGCTGCTGGAAGATGGATTGAATGGGGTGGAGTGGAGTGGAGCTGCGAGGGAGGATTTTGTTCCCTTGTGCTCGCAAGCTAATGGTGAACAAGAAATGCCCATTGTGTTGAAAGGGTGGGAGGGGTGGAGCGGCACTTAATTGTACTTGTACTCAATTATCTTGGGCTGAAAGAAAGGAGGAAAGCATATTGAGATGATGTGGTAGTAAGGTTTCGATCGGGCTTGCGATCACGGGGAGATTCTGGAGTGCCGTTCATCGCCAAGAGTTTGGTCTTGGCGGATTACGAAGCAAAAGTTAGCCGGGCTTTGACTGCCATCTTTGCTCTTGCCATGTGGTCGTGCCAGAGATGTGGTTATGGAGGGGCGGAAATAGGGGTTTACGGGGGATATCGAGCACTCAGCTGAAAGAAAGAATGACAAATGCTGTGCAAATTGTGCTGAGGCCGTATTGTGATGCGATCACGAGGCTACGAATTCCATTCTGGGACTGTAGCATGGTGGGACGAACTGCGCAAAAGCTGACTTCAACAGCTGGTTGCGCATAATGCTGTGTCAAACAATGACGAGAAATTGTATGTTTTTTTCGGCGGTAGGATTTAGGTAAGGCGATGCTCTTGGGCGGCTAGGGTGTATAGTCGTCTCCCATGGTGTCAAGATTACCGTCATGTCAGGCACGTCACAGGAATGTCTGTCAGTGTGATTGTCAGCGCTGTTGTCACTAGCTGTCCCGGTCTGTCATGACGGTTTTGTCATACCTTGCCTGCAGCGTGTTCCGACCTTGCAGCAATCATTGTTATTTCGTGACCAACGACTCAGAGCTCGTGCTATATTCAGATCCTAGGCACCTGAGACATCTGTGCGTTGTCATGCCTGCACGTCCTCGGATTCAGGATTTTGACTGGCATGTTCCTGGTCACAGTGGGCGTCTGCGGCTGTCATTGGCAGCTCTGTCAGGCGGCACAGCGGCAGGACGGGAGCAAGGATCTGTATGCCAGTGTCCGCAGAAATACTGGGCGTATACCAGGAACCCATTGTCTCGGCCTGCAACCATGGTGCGACTGGGCGGACGGGGCTCGGCAGGAGAATTTTCATCATCATAGCGCGAGTCCGGCGGCGGGACAAGGGGCAGTGGCTTTCAATGTGGCGTCAGCTAGTGGCTTGGGAGTACCAATTGTACCGGAGGAACTGTACCCCCGGACGCCCATGGTGGTATTGGCCGAGGCCTGCCGAGGTCACTCCTCGTCAAAAATTCCCGCGGTGAAGGTTTGAAGAATGGTCCGAAAATAGGCGTCTGGGGATTGGATCTTCCCTGCTCGTAGCCCTCATTACGTCAACAACCATTAGCAAGGCCATGGACAAGGTTTCAGCAAGCTGTTTTGAAGATGCTGATTGATACTCAGGGGTCAGCCCATAAACGTACTGATTTTTCACGGCCGGTGCGCATGGATAATACGATGGTTGTGATCGAAGCGAGCGAAGCGAGCAGCTAGCACTCCCTACGGCCCCGTCGATTTGCCGGGGAAGTCAGCCGCCGTCGGTATATACTAGAATTGCGCCATTCTCGTGTCCGGCTAGAGTGAAAGCTCTCCTGCCAGGTCCGCGCTGCTCCGTACGGACAGTACAAGCTGTTACCGGCTTGGCGCCCGTACGTGTACGTGACAAGCCAGCAGTTCTGCAAGCCCTCTCTTGGCTTCTGTGTTCTATCCCGTCCCATCACGCCTTTGCCATGAAGAATTCTCAAAACTTGCAGCTGCAGCTGCAGACGCAGACCGGAAGGCAATTTGCAGTCCCGGTCGTGACCAAGAAAGAATAATCGAGGTCTGGGAATAAATTTGTTTGAGTGTGGAGCCGCGCAAGGTGCTGGGCGTAAATGAAAGCTGGTGGTATTCACGTAATAGAAAGCAATAACGTAGGTAGTCAAGCCCGGATCCAACAGCAGAGTCAAGCCGGACATAACCTTGATGAGTTCCGTCTCGCTAGGCTGGCAGAGGCTCTCGATGATGACTGCTACCTCTGTCTGTCGACCACCCGCCTCCTACCTACGATACGTTGCTGACCACATAATTTTCTTGAGCCTCCCTCCCACCTCCCACTCCTCAAACACCAGATCCCCCAGTATATCGCTCAGCTGAAGTTGCCAGCTAGGCTGTTTTCGGCAGTCGGCCTCGCGGCTGCAATGCCCCTTCTTATGACGATTTCCGCTACCAGACGGTCGGTATTTCGAAGGTCTGGACCATCACGGCTTCCTCTGTGGCCAGCAAGCCTCATGGGCAAGCCAGAGCCTAGACCTCGATGACGAGGAGCGAGCTGAGCGCTGAACTTACCGACACGATGGTAAAGAACAAAAAGAACGCCGAAAAATGGTGTGCACACCATGACCTATATAGTGGTGTGGTGTAAGGTTTGGAGTTGAGGACGCCGGCTTTAGAGGCGTTGGGCGAGATGCTCTTCTTCTCCACGTCAACTACCCCTTCTTTTCCCACGTGGTTCTGGCGACACTATCCTGGGAATGTGAGGTTCTGCATGCGCGAATTTCCGGAGTTAGTCGTCTGCGGAGGCATTGTGCGCGCAAGGCTGGTGGGATATGGTCGATCGTGCCCATGACTGGCCCCGGGCTCATGAGCGATGTACCTGTGTTCCAGAGCATCGGGCGAAGCTACTCGTTTACACGGCGGGCTGCATCGGGCCCGAATAGCATGGTCTGCGCGGAGTGGGAGGGCTGTCTCGGTCGTGATGGAGCAGACGATCCCTCTCTGCGCACTCGCATACTGATATAGGAAAGGATATAAAGGATGTGGTTGGGAGAAGCTAAGAACGATTCCGCTATGCAGATTTTGGCTCTGGTCATCAAATTTCTATGCTAAGGTATCATGGTATGCAAAATAGTCATCGTGCTAGCGTCGAGTCCTGAAGCCGATCGTGAAAAATGCATGGAGAGTGCCGAGCTAGCCAGCTCTGTAGGATCTCAAGGTAGTAGACGTAGATGTAGCGGCGGGGAAATTGGGCGCCAGTTAGGACTTGGGACACTCTTGGGTCCATGCATCAAGATCCATATTTTTTATGATGGTGGAGAAGCCTTGCGCAGAGGAAGCATCGCAGATATCGTCAAACCTTGACGTCGAGACTGACAGGTTGTTGTTGGTATCGTCACCCTTGGGGTATTCAACGTGGAAAACGGGCTTGTCCTGGTCAATGAACGCCCTGAACGTGTCACACTCGTCGTACTGGAGACATTGCTCATTGACGCTGAACTGTACCACGTCGAGGACGTCGGGTATGATGGACCCCGCATTCTTCAGGCCAATCGAGAGGTTTCGATTGTGTGCGGCTTTGGCGAGGAAGGCAATGTAGTTGACCGAGTCTTGAGCCGTCAGATCGAGACCGTTATCGTTGTCGAAGCCGTCGATATTGTCGGGATCCACTCCATCACATTTCTTATCCACCGCCATGTCGAGACGAGCCTCCATGATCCTGCGTACGTTGTCGCTATTGATATTGAGCCATTTTTCGCCCGGCCAGCCATCAAGGTCGTGGCCAAGGTCTGAATCCTGGAACTCTCCCTTATCCGGTCGCCAGTCTTCATAACTGCCAGCGGAGAAGTAGCAGATGACTTTGCTACCTTGGTCTTGCAAGGCTTTGATGGTTGAAGCGCTGTTGTCGACGAGGTCAATGTCCCAGACATCGATTCCCTGGTTGGAGGTGTCTTGCACCGCAGCGTGTAGATTGTAGTTCCAGGTCAAACCGCTTGTTGGCTTCCAAACCGAGGCGGGCACCTCAGAGTCGGCACCGGAGATGGGAGTTGCTGAAGCGGCTGAGCCGGAGGAGTCCGAGTTACCAGTGGGCCGGCCCACGGTCAAACCAATTCCCAGGCCAACGGCCAAAGCAATCACGAGAACCATGGCGATCGCCCCGATAACGATGAACCTGCGTCGCACGGTTCTCCGGCTCGTGGGTTGGGCCTGGCTGTGTGCCAGCATCGCTTTGTCATCGGCCGTCATGTTTATATAGGTGAGTGGTGAAATTGACTTGTTTGTAGTTCTTTGTGGTGGTTGGGAATGTAAGGCCCGTGCAAGCTGTTGAAACGGCCAAGAAGTCGATGGCTGACAGTCAAATCAAGAACGTCATATTTGAACTGCAATCAAGGCCTTGAAGGATGTGGGTGACAGGGGAGTGGCGGCTTCCTTCAATTTGAGGCAGGGGGCGGTTTCTGTGGTGAGCAGTTTTGGCCGATCGCGGTCGATAAGGGCTACACGGAGTTCGGGCAAATGCCGCGGTCGACAAAACTGACGTCGACGGCGTCGAACCTGTTGTGTAGAAGAGACAAATGGCGATGATGATAGTGGCGATGATATTGATGTTCGGGGCGCGCTTCAGGTGCGGAGGCTGACGACTTACTGAGGCTGTTCAATTCCAGAGACGGTCGGGCTCACTCAGGATGGGGCTGAGCGGCGCGATTCAGGCCGGAGGATTTCCCCTGCAGCTGGTCCCAATCCTTTGAAAGCTGTTTCCAGTCACGACTGCACGGTCGCTGTCTCCTGGCCAGACTCATAACGCAATTCCAATATAATTCTCGTCGGCGGGGCAGCGCGTCGACGCTGACCACAAAGGGTTTAGCAGTCGACCTACTCCAGTCTTGCACAAGTCTTGACGAGTCTTGAATCAATCTTACTAGCGTCGTACAGAGCGCGCTTTTGGTACGTATCCTTGGCGGGCGTTTCGAACGCGTGGTAAAAGTCAACTAAGACATCGCCCAACTGCCTTTCCTCCATCACTCTAGGCGGACCATTCATTGACTAAACCTCGTCTCATGCTGGGTCCAATACCCTTTCATGCTCGGCCCTATTCTCCGCCACTTCCTGTCCAACCGAGACTCGTTCCACTGGGTGAAAACCACCGGACAGCCACAGCGGGTGTTTGACTTGGGACTGAGCATAGTTCGACTGACCCCAGACCTAATCACCCGTCCACCTTTGGCTCAACGGAGAACATCCTTCCTGTCGCTGAAAAGGGGTTCCGTATTGAAGCGTTGCGGAAATTGCGATCACCTTTGAGACCGTCTCTAGGCCTCCTCTTCTACATGGATCTGGGTGAAGCACATCATGATCCCGAGGCCGAGACTCATCACATCCGGCCATGGGTCCCTCTTGTCTCAGCGCCAGGCTGTTCTCCATGCAAAGACGAATGCGGTAGGTTGAGGACACCACGACTTCATATACCATCTTCCATCTCTTTCGCGTTGCCTCGCTTTCCCTCGACCACCACCGTTGACCAGCGTGTCGTTCCACTCGTTCATCCTTTCAGTCGCTCGTTCATTTCACTTAGTCCCTCGTTTGATTCCCCAGTCACTCATTGAGGCTTCCTGAGCCTATACTTTCACTTAGCTTCATTATCCTGTACTGCCCGCTATGGCAGGACCCGTCTTGTCGTTCGTCACGAGCATACTCGGTGTCATTTCCTCTGCTCGTGCGCAGGCGACCTCCACCAGAACTACCAGTCCAACCGCGGTCGCTACTGCCACTGCTAGCGCCGTTGGCACGTCTGCTCCGGCCACCACCTTGGCAACCTCGACCCTGGCCGCAGCCCCTTCTGCAGCCGCCAATGTCTCTGCTGCCAACTTCAACGGCGCGATTGATTCGAAGATTCTAATTATTGTCCGCGACGCCTACGCCGGTCAATCAGCCTCATCTGGCCTCAACGGCTATGGCATTCCGTTTGAGATCCTCACAGTCCCGCAACAAGGCATTGCCCTTCCCACTCTTAACACAACTGTTGGTGGTAACTATGGCGGTTTCATCATCGCAGGCCAAGTCTCCTATGACATGGGAGGTGGGAACTATCAGTCTGCCCTGACTGCGGCGCAGTGGCAGCAATTGTACGACTACCAGACCATGTACGGTGTTCGCATGGTCCAGTACGACGTGTATCCGGGCCCTCTTTTCGGAGCCTCGGCCCTCGGTGGTTGCTGCAATACCGGTGTTGAACAACTGCTGTCCTTCACTAACACCAACGCCTTCCCGCAGGCTGGTATCAAGCTCAACGCTGGCGTTTCTACTGCTGGTCTCTATCACTACCCTGCAACCATTACTGACGCCAGCACAACGACGGAAATTGCTGCTTTTGCCGCTGCTGCCGGATTCCAGAAGTCGACCGCCGCCGTTATCAACAACTTCAGTGGTAGACAGCAAATGGTCTTTTTCATTGGATGGGCCACTGACTGGTCATCCACCAGCAACTTCCTCCAGCATGCTTATATTACCTGGCTGACACGCGGTCTCTACACTGGCTATCGTCGTGTGAATCTCAACACCCAGATCGACGATATGATGCTATCTACAGGCTTGTATAGACCTCAGGGCCAGGAATACCGCACCGTCCCCAACGACATGCGCGACGTGGCCGCTTGGGTGCCTACCATTCAAGGGAAAATGAACACTGGATCCTTCTATCTTCCTGAGATTGGTCACAACGGCAATGGCAACATTGAAGCCGCCCAAAACACAGCCAGTGGCCAGACTGTCTGCACGCCCTTTTCCATTGACTATCCTGAGCAGCCAGACACTGCTCTGGAGTTCAAGAAGCCGCTTGGAACTGGCTCAAATGTTTGGCCTACCACACCTACCGCTTACAACTACTCCCCCAACTGCATTCGTCTTGACCCGTTGGCCCAATGGTTCCAGACCACGTCCAACCGCGACCGGTTCATGCATCTCTCGCATACCTTCACCCACTATGAGCTCAACAACGCGACGTACAGTGACGCTGTCAAGGAGATCAAGTTTAACCAGGCCTGGTTCCAGCAAATTGGTATTGCGAGCGGCCGTTTCTCTACTGATGGCTTGATCCCACCCGCCATTACTGGCCTGCACAACGGCGATGTTCTCCGCGCCTGGAAGGATAGTGGCCTGACTAACTGTGTTGGCGACAACACCCGCGCCCCTCTCCGCAACCAACAAAATCCCATGTATTTGTACAAGACAACCAGTGCCGCGGATGGATACGATGGCTTTAATGTCATTCCTCGGTGGGCTACTCGCATTTACTACAACTGCGACACTCCAGGTAATTCCAGAATAATGAAATGCATCGGCCTCGATCTCTACTGACAGCTTGCAGAATGCACTACCCAGGAGTGGATTGACACATCTGCTGGAGCTGGCACGTTCCAGGACCTCCTCAACGTAGAGAGACAAGACACTATGCGCCACCTCTTCGGTCTCTACCACGACGGCTTCATGTTCCATCAAGCCAACCTCCGCACCCAGGGTATTCCGGCCATCCCTGTCAATGGAGTGTCGTCTCGGGTCTCTATCTTCCAGGCTTGGGTCGAGATTGTTGTTCAGGAGTTTGTCCGTCTTGTCAACTGGCCCATGATCTCGCTCAAGCAACAGGATCTGGCGAAAGCTTTCCTAGACCGTCAGACACGTGATGCTTGCAAGCCCAAGCTCACATGGACCAAGAGCGGCTCAACGATCACCGGCGTCACCGTCTCAGCAACGGGCAACACTTGCTCAGCCCCAATTCCAGTTACTGTACCCGGCTCTGTGACCAACACACAGGGTATGCGGACCGAGAAGGTTGGCAACGACCCCACCACGATCTGGGTGACGCTATCCGGCAGCGCCAGAACCTTTACCTTCAGCTCGCCTGTTGCAGTCTAAGCCAGCCGTCTGCCAAGGGAACGATGCATGATCAATTTGAGGCATTTGACATAAAAGGGAGTTTGTGACATGTGTATTGGACGGATTAGGTAGGTGATGGGGATGGATAATACCAAAAGCATATCTGCAGGCTCATGTACGAGTATCGTTGGGGCTTTCCTTTTCATACAATGCAAGTATATTCATTGCCAAGGACGCCTGCATACAAACTCGTTGTCTCCGCATAGGTGCTCCAAACGACGCACGTTGCGATTTGCTCAGCACCGCATTTTGAAAGGGTACCGTTGCACATGACATTCAGCAGAAGTGACCGCTGGTGAGATGGCCGCCTCTACGATGCAAGTAAATTGCTGCTCGTATGGCATAGGTCTACCACTCCCGCCGATGGCACTTGTGCGACTGTAGTCGGTCACAAATGCGAGCACTGGTGCACGGCTGACCCAGACGCCAAGTTCTGCATGCGGGACGGCACAACTTCAGTACTCCGTATATGAGACAGTATAAATAAACAGTATCCGATGCCATCCAATCCCCACATGGTTGTCTACTCTGCTGCTAGAGCCCTCGCTTCGAGTTCTCTGGAGCCACTGTGTAAGCGAGGAAAGCGGGCTCAGCGACCAGTTTCAGTATCGCGATGTTCTCGGTAAGCTGGCCGGATACAGCGAGGCCTGCTAGCAGTATGGTTACATGGCGGCCCAGTCCTTTACCGCTCGCCTCGCCGCAAGAGAAATTACAGCGAGACACGCACACGGGGTTCTAACTTCTGCGTGAAGCAAGCCGGCATCCCATATCCACAGCAGTGAATTATTGACATTTTGCCAAAAATCACGCAGATCCGGAGCAGCCACTCCGGGTCAGGAGGCCAGTTCCTGTCGATCACACTGGGGAATTGAAGGCGGGACTCTCGGCTATTCTGCCGGGCGAGATCACACACGAAGTGGCTTGACGTACAAAAGACTACACAAGAAACAAGGCTTGACCCATGTGTTCGTGCTGCAGATCAAGGCATGGGAGAAAAACTTTTTTCCCGTCGTTTCGGTGGCGTTGCGACGCTTCTTGTGAGTCAGGGCGGCTGCGCCAAAATCAATCTCAACCAGTCTCCTCGTTTGCCGCTTGCCCAAGACACATCCGAGGCATGCACGAAGTGAGCTTGGCAGGACATTAGGCGATGGTAGCCCGTATTTGTCTCATCGTTGCGCTGCCCAGCGCATGTATTGGCGAGAGGTGCTGGGGCTGTCTTGGTCGATGCGACAGCGGGGACGACAGGGGGCGGGAGAGCAGCCACACCTGGGGTCGCCTTCTTGGCAATACAGTCTCCACTTTATCAGGCGTCATGCTCATACGGTCTTTTATTAGACGTATTGTACCATGGTTTCACGTGACGAGCTTGACAATACGCTGATACTAGTGTGCCAAGTCCCACTGTCTTTAGACTTCAGTGCTCAAACCCTGTGCCTCCAGCTACTAACTGTGACTTCTCCTTACCCCACCCCCTGCTGGTATCGTATTCCCGTCAATATGTCTTGCGCTGCAACTGCGCTACGACCGTGTCATTGTCGCCGTCGGCAGTCTATGACCCTTGGCTCTTCGCTGCCAGATCGGGCGCGTCAGCCCGTCCTCCACCCTGATCCCGGGCACTTTCTCATGTGGGTGCACGTCGCTTGATTCGCGAGCTCCATAGCCCTCAGCAATCCAATGTCCATATACCTTCGCCCTGGACTGTGCCTGAATAGGCCTACTTCAATCTTACCGGCGAAATCTTGCCTCCCATCCGCCGGCTATGCTAATTCTAGCGCGCTCTTACCCGCTGAGAAATGGCTGTCTCGAACGTGTTCCAGCAGCCTTCGACCCGCGTCCAGGTGGCCCACTATCACTGGTTACTGGTCCAGCACCAGTCAGGAGGTGGGCTGGAAGGTCCCTGCTAACCGATGGGCTGCCTCCATTTGGCACACCACGTTTCTCTGTGCTGCGCGGTATACTCGATGTCTTGTTGCCTGCATCTCCCAGCAACTGCTCTTTACGCTCCTTCCTTTCACAGATCCAGCTCCCACTTCAGCCCGTCGTTTCCTAATTCGTATACACCCCCCTGCCGCCACAAGGTGCTCGACCCATCCGATCCCTACCGGCATTACTTCATCTGCACCACCTGAGCCGTACTTCTGAGCTCTTCTTCCAGGCGGTCAGTGTTAGCATCTGCAACGTGACTGACACCTCGTCTCGCACAATCGGAACCCCTACGCCGGCTGTGCACAGCAGAGACATGTCTGCTCAGATCTAATTGTTCGCTGTTTCTTCTTCATTCATTCGTTACTTATATAGTAAGGGCGTTGGCTGGCGGGCTTCTGAACGGTCGACAGCATGGAGGACCGAATCTTCAATCCCCAGATTCTGGGTTGGGAGGACTTGTCTAGTCATTGGTGGTCATGGGTACGTTGCTGGGCAGTCCGGCACAGAATGTCGGTGGCTAACCGTGCAACAGGTACTTTTTGGTCTCGTTGTAGGGTCTGCAGCAACTGGCATCACCTATATCATCTACTCGGTTGCCTGGCGCACTGCGAGATACCTCAAGGTAGGCTTCAGTCCATACGACTGTGCTGAGAAACGTCTCTGACTCTGCAAAGGCTCGGCGTTCGCGCCCGTCGGAGGTTTCTTCCCAAACTCTAAAGCGTCTGGAGAACGTCGCCGAAAAGCTCACAGGACGCTCGGCCGTACGAGCTCCCAAGGTCTCTTCATTCACAGTCTTCCTTGGCCATACTGGCTCCAAGACCACCGCCAGCCAACTCAGCATCCTCGCCAAGTCTGAGCTTGCCATCCTCGACCCTTTCCGAGGCGCGGATAGCCTTATCCGGGGCATAGCAGGCCAACATTGCTGGCTGGCTAGACTGGATGTTACCACCCTAACCAAGACAAATGCAGGTCCCGATGCCGTACTCGAAAGCATTGTCGACGTCGTCGCCAGGGTCCTCGACCACTCTGCCTTCAATGGTGTCCTACTGGCCGGATGGGAGGAGACGTTACCCAGCAAGCATCTGGCTGCCGTCGTGGATCTCATCAATACCGCAGGCTTCCTCGTGTACCTCGAGTCATACCCTCCCAAGTATCTCCCCGATGTCGCCATTCTACAGGATCCCAAGATTTCGGGAATCGTTCTCCGCAACGCCGCGATCCTGCCCAACGGCCAGCATCGCGACTATTTCGACATGCATCATTTGCAGCCGACTATCAGGGCCATCGTCAAGGAATCGTGTATGCGTGATTTCAGTGCGCTCGCGTGGGAGTCCTACAACGATGGCGTGGAAGTTTCAAATGCGGTAATCAAGCGTGCCATTCAGTGGTGTGGGTTTTATTCCATTGTCACCTGGATTGGCTCGGTCGCGTCTGAGGTCGATCCAGAAATCGATCGGCCTGCAGTCGAGCCCATGGGTGCGTTCGAATGGCTCAAGGACGAGCGTGTCATGGACGCGCATACTGCTTGGAGGTCGAATTCTACCCTTGCCCGAACGCAAATCACGACAACGAGCGAAGCGTGGAAACAAATCGCTCGTGCCGTGCCCGAGGCTGCCTCTCTGCAGGCCACAGTCTACCCATCCACATCCGCAATCTCACGGCGAGAGTCTGGGAGATTTGAAGATGCGCCGCACACCCCGGTCGGTGGATCTCGGGCAGGAAGTTACCAAAGCACACGGTCTGTGTCAGAGATTTCGATGGCCGGCGATACTCTTGGTTGCGTTCCACTGGGCGTTGAACCTACACCTCTATCGTATGCTGAGGTCCTTCAAGAACAGCTACGTCTACGGAACCTTGGACTGCTGCATCCCGTTGACCAGCAAAAGATTACCAACTTGGGCGTCCTGTATCGCAAATTCCACGATCGATATCTGCTGCAGTCAAAAGGCGTCCAAGCTGGTGTTGTCGACGCCGTCAAGGAGCTGTCTACGGTCGCGACTGCCGGACTTCTGAGACTCCATCTAGGTCTGAGTCCTGGGTTTCAGTATGGTACCAATATCCGCTTCTGGGCAATCACTCATGACGACTCGGAGGGCACGGAGATATTCGTATCTCGTGACGCTCAAGGACTTTCCTGCACAGTGCTGCATGCGTTCTTGTCCAATGAAGGTCTCTCGCGAGAAACCTGCTTTGCCATCGAGACCAAGTTCGCGGAGTGGAATGAAGACTCCCACAAAGAAAGTGGTCTCTCTCGGCGAATGGTTCAGGACATCGACAGCCTCACGCCAGAGGAGCGAATCTTGCTGATCCAGCAACTGAACGCTCTAGACCGCGACCATGACGCCATGGCACTGGTGACGCGGTGGGCGAGGAAACAGTTGCTCGAGGCTCCCACTCAAGTTCAGCTCAATGAGATTGACTCCGTAAGCTATATGCAGGGCAAGGTCAGCGAGACGCACCTGCTTATTGCCCGATATTCAGAGTATGACCAAAAAGGCGTCCCGTACCCGGAGCTTTCTGTCGCTGTTTCTTTTGTTGTCAAGCTCCAAGAGTGGCTACTGCTGGCACTCCGCCAGCGACGCGACGCTGATCTGAAGAACTTCACTTTGGCGCTTCAGGCGATCCTGAAGTCGGATGCCATAGACTCGAGAGCTGATATTCTTGGACTCGCGACCTTTTGTGCTGCGAGGAAAGCCGCGTTCGAAGAGGTGTATCTTGAAGTGACAGACCGCAACCCACTTCTGAACGACCAATCCGACCAAGCCGCCGTCTTCGCTGAATCATTTGCCCTTGGCTCCCGGTGCGAGGCATACTTCGACGTGTCTCCTAACACATTCGGCAAGCTCATCTCGGACCGGTTCAGGGCAGTCTACAAGGAGAAGCAGCCTCCATTATGGAACAATGGGGCCCCCGAATTTGCCACTGCCTATGGAGGTGCCGGCATCGATGTTGATCCGAACAACCAGCCAAAGCCCCTGCCTCAATTCCAGCGCTTCGGGTTTCTCAGTGTCTTCGCTGTCCCAGCCTTGGTCGACATTGCACTTCTCAGCACTATCGGCAGGGGGCTCTACCTTTCCGCGTTCATGACGCGTGATCAGCTACAGAGTGCGACCATTGCTCTAATGATCTCACTTTTGCTCTCGGGAGCGACTGGAACTTGGATCGCGGTCGGTGGATCGTACTACCTCGTCAGCATGGCATTCTCCGCTATGAACGTGTTCGTGCTCACACGCCTCATTGCCGGACTTGCATTTACCATCGCCGGGGCTCTCATCGGCTTTGTCATCATTGCTGGCGTCGAGGGTCCTGGATCGGGGATCGTCTTCTTCTTGTATCTGATCGCCTTTACTACTTACTTGGTCCTCTTCGCTGCAATCGCCAGCTTCCAAATGCCTGGCTCGGCGTTCCTATCTGGCAGAACATACATCCTTATATGTCTGCCGATCCTACTCATCTCGCCCCTCGTCACGATTTGGAGTCGACACGATGTCTACATCTACATCTCGGTCTTCTATGTGCTCATTGGCTCACTGGTCCTTGCGCTCAGGCGCGTTGGTGCGCGATGGGTCACGTGGTATCAGCAGATCAAGCAGACCAACGACACAGAAGTCCGCAAATGGTATACCGAGAACAAAGCTGGAGGTGATTCAGCGTATCTTGACTCCATGTCTGATCCCGCAGCACTGAAGGTATGCCGGGAAGCCCTACTCCAAGACGTCGAAGATGAGCTCCGGAAGAACTTCCTACATAAACCCACCAAGGACGAATTCGTTCTGGGCTTATCCAAAGACTGGGAGCGTACGAATTTCCTTCTCAACTGGTACAACCGCTACGCCGACGTGCCCAAGCCCATTCCCTTTAGCTCTGGGTGGAACATCCAGGTGAAGGTAGCTTTGAACACTCTCGTGGAGCTGCAAAAGGGAATGAGGCTGCATAATGCTTTCATGCATTGGCGGCAAGCCGGCGATGAAGTTGGCTGTGGTATTCTGTACTTCGTTGTCGCGCTCATGGACAAATGGGTTGAGCTCTTGACTGGTGTACGCCTCGTCGGTCTTTCTGCCTCCCTCAACAACAGCTTCAGAATCGCCATCGGCTTCTCACTTGCCTACTACCTGATCGGCGCTGTTCTCATTGACGTCAAGGCGCAAGAGCTGCACGGGGCTGTTGACATTTCCGAGCCAGATGGTGTCCGCAATACTGCAGAGCTTCGTGAACAGCAGAAGAAGCACATTCGCCTTCGACGCACAATGTATGCGCGCACACTATTCCGCTTCCTAGCGTGGCACTGCTGGGCTCTTGCTTTTACGGCGGGCATCACGTACATGCTACAAGGAACTCGCGATGCCACGATCATGTTCCTCGCCTACGTCGGCGCTTATACTGGCTTGCTCTGGTATCAGTACACAAAGATTTTCGCAGGAAGATTCGCCCTGCGACCTCTCCTTGTTGCTGTGAGTGTTGGCTTACCCCTTGGACTGGTTCTCAAAGGTGTGTTGCCCGACTTCAAGTTCGGAGGTGTTATTGCGCTGGGAGTCACGACTTGGACAGCAGCCGTCCTCTGCCTTTGGTCGGCACAGATCGGAATGCCTGAGAAGCCGGCGGCCAAAATCGACGAAGAGTCTACCTACTTCGCTTACGTGAAGCCCTGGGACGATCCGCACTGGTCACAATCCGAGCTCCTTTCCATGTACGAGAAATTGAGACGCATGCCTACTGGGGAGCTGTATCATGTCCGTCCATTCCAGTACCCAGGTAACGAGGTGACTGCTCTGCTCAGAGGTGCCGTGCCGGTAGCCGACTTCTTAGCGAGCGCTTTCCCAGATGCCGAGGATATAGTCGATGTCGCCGTTAAGACTTTCGAGAGCGGCCAGATCGAAATTGAACTTCTCGCACTCGACAAAATGGAGGGCGAGGTGCAAGCTATTTCGGCCCGTCATAACGAAAAGACTCGTCTCATCATTGGAGTTCGAAAGGCCGATGACGGGTCCTTCAACATGCGCGGCAACTGCCAGGTCATCGCCGAGCTGCTGCTTTGGGAAGTTGCGAACCACTACTTCAAGATTCCGAGCCAACATGCCTGCCTGATGTCTCAAGCGGTCAGCTCGAGCCTGCCACTAACGATCCGAACGATGCTGGCGGATGAGCAGGACCGAGGCCGAGTTGTTTCCTGGGCGAGGAAAGAGCTCCTCCGACAGTACTGCCTTGGCATGGACTGCGACTTGAAGTGGGACAAGCTCTCTCAACCCGTCAGAGAATGGTTCCTTACTCGGGCTGTGGGAGGGTCTTACGAATTGGCCATCTCTGATGAGCGCAGACTTCGTTATATCCTCGGCTGTACCGGCCAAGATACTTATCCAATCCACATTGCTCGGTGTGATCTGGCGGTCGAATCTGCTGCAACACTTCTGGAGCTGAACAGCGAATCTCACCCTACCATCTTTCCTGGTCAGGAAGCAGGCAACACTCCACTGCCCGAGTTTACTATCGGAACATTCTGGACGACATTCAAGAAACCCTTCAGCTATGTCTACCACCACATCGGATTGGCTATCAAGTACATGACTCTCGCGCTCGTGGCTGATGCCGAATGGCATCGCGAATTCGATCATGCCATGCGCAACAAGAACAAGGTCTTCAAGATTGTACTTGGGTTCGTTCTCACAGCTGTCTGGCGTTACGCGAAGGTTGCGCAGGATGTCGGCTTGACCTTCTTTCTCTACCACAACCGGCCGGAGGTCAAGAAGCTGATGAGAGAGTCTAAGGGCATGACGATAACTCATAAGCGGTCTCGGATTGTCATCCAGAGTTCTAAGGGCATCTTCACTGGCTTCCGTCATCCAGCTGAGCCTGGGTTCGATCTCAAGATCTACAAAGGCGACTTGAAGTCAGAGCCCAGCAACAACAACAGCAGAAACAGCATTGTTGCCATCAACAAGTATTCGTCCACGCGACAATTGTTGTCACGAGAAGAGTTTGATGGCGCCAACAGCATTAACCTCTTCGAGTATGAGTACGAGCAACCTACGAAGGTCAAGTTCCGTAACCACATTAAGCGGACTGTTCCGGAGGCCAGACGCTGTGTCCGCGGCAAACGTGAGCTTGAGAACTTGGTCTACAACGATAAAGGTCTTGTTGAATCCGGGTCTTACATGACCGGCGAAAACTTGACTCACTTTACGCTCCGCTACCGGAAGAATGCCACTGCTCTCGATGAGCTGCTGTCTGGCGAATTCGTTCTCGCTCACCTCAGCGCCAACGTCTCTTGGTGTGCACCGCCCCTTCGCCGATCTGCCAAGAAGAACCGATGGATCCCCCATACCAAGGTCACAAAGGCAACATTTGTGCAAGGGCCTGACGTGTTCGAGAGCACATGGAAGTACGACCACCAGATGCATCCAACAATCACCACTACGCTGAACGGACAAAAAGTACCCACACCGCCGCTGATTGAGCATGACTGGCTGAACATCCTGAAGAAGCCCGACCACACACGCTTTGCTGATGAAGACCCTCTCCTGAACTCAAGCCGATGGACTACCAATGCTCTTGCCCGCGTGTTCGGGTTTGCAACGCAACGTGTCCCTATCTCCACCTCTATGGCCCGTAGTAGGTTATGGAAGGCATGGAAGAACAGCAGAGACATCGACGGTGTTATCGCCAGATGGGTGGACGAAAAGTTGGTGCGCAAAGATAAGGTCCTCAAGAAGTACTGGCGTCTGCGCGATGCTGGTAACCTTCCTGCAGCCAAAGCTTACATTATGGACATGACTGATACGGTGCGATCAAGTGTTGACATGGCCGATGACATCGCTGGTTGGACTCCCATCGCGTACAAATTGGGCGATCTGATCAGCTTCGGTTCCGGAGGCGATACCATTATGCACACTACGGCCAAGGCTGTGGGAAAGGACACGAATGAGACCCTGCATGTCCTCGCTGCAGACAACGGTACCTGGCCAAACGAGGGTGGTGGTGTCTCGGCTTGTCGACGAGACATGATCAACAACCTTGAGACGATTAAATGGCACATGGTTGCCGAGAGCGCCAACGACTTTGGCATCCCCAAGCATCAGACCGAGCAGAATGTCCTGTCACTCAAAGTCATCCCTCTATGGGGTCTTGATTTCTTGACACCTACTCATGGGCTCTTCAAGAACCGCCTTGATTCGGAAGTCGACATGTTGCAATCCAGTTCAACGGCAGCAGAAATCAAGCTCAACTTTGTCCCGATCATGGCTGCCCTCGTCAAGGGATCTCGCGCCGTCGATCTGTCTGCTGCGGATTTGCAGCAGGCCACGCGTGCTCTTGTCAATCTCCACGACTACTTTGGCAACAAGCGACATTGGTCTGATGTCTGGAAAAGCGACGTGAGCAAGGAGGCATGGCGCTCGTTGTGGCTCGAGGACATACCTAACGCCCGTGCTCCTACTGAGTGGCTCGACACTGAACTGCCTACCTTGGGACACTTTGATACTGCGCTTGAGCTGTGGCTCCGCTACCTCTTCGTGTTTTCCATCCAGGTCCCTGACAAGGTGCCCGCTATCTTCCAAGCGTCTCATCATTCAGTTTCGGCTGCCTATGGCATCGTCTGTAAGATCAAGCGCAAGTGCCAATTGCAGATTTGGGATCATGCCGTGGCCTGGAGAGAGACAAACATGTGCTTGTCTTCAGCTCTGTGCAAGCTGCCGCCCTTCGTACGCAACTCTCTGCTGGGGTTGATGAGGCTGACCAGTGTGCTGATCTTGCACAACGCGGACACCATTCTGCCTTGCGCAGACTTCTTCAACCCTGGTTGGGAAGTTGAGATTGGAACATGCCAGGGCACGATCGAGCACCGGAACTCGTTCAAGCGCAAGATCTCGCCCATCGTCAACGGTATTACAGACTCGGACAAGTTCAAGCCGGTGAAGGAGATCAAGACCAAGAAGCCCACGGTCACTATGCTGTCCCATCTCTGGTTCGCGAAAGATCTGAAGACAGCCATTCTTGCCGCCGATATCATCGTAAACGAATGGGGCTTCAGCGACTACCAGCTTGATGTTTATGGTAGTATTGAAAAGGCGCCTATCTATTCCAACGAGTGTCAGGAACTGCTTGCCTCCAAGGGTCTTCGCAGTCAGGTTAGACTCGCTGGGACTGCTGATCCGATGAAGGTGCTCGAGCAGACCTGGCTCTTCCTCAACTCCTCACTCTCGGAAGGTCTCCCCCTTGCGCTAGGTGAAGCCGCACTCACTGGTGCTCCTGTGGTCTGTACAGATGTCGGTGCTTCTCTCCGCGTTCTCAGCGACCCGGATGACTTTTCAAGATACTCGGCAGTTGTGGCTCCCAACGATGCTCGCGCACTTGCACGCGCTCAGATCAAGATGCTGGCCATGCTGGACGAGTGGTCCAAGTATGCCGACGACCAACCGGGTCAGGTTGTCGAGATGCCCTTTGCGCCTACACCCAAGGATGTGGAATGGATCACGGCTCGCATGTACGCTAAGCAAGAGCAGCGTCGCAAGCTCGGCCTCATGACGCGCAACATTGTGCAAAAGTCCTTTGGTGGCGACCGCTACCTCCGCGAGCACGAACAGATGCTCTGGATTGGAAAGTCGCGGCGGATGCAAGAGGTGCGCAACTATGGCGAGTTGTCTGACGATCCCGCCGATATCTCTTTGGCCCTTCATCTCAACGCACCTATCGACGACGACATTATTCCTCGCAGCGCTCGCCCTAGCATCAACTGGTCCCGCCGTGGTAGCCTTAGCGCTTCGCCTATCCCGGCAATACATGACGAGAGCCAACTCATCTTCAGCAACGGCGGCGGGCGGTCTACGCGCAATTCGTCTCGACCAGGCAGCAAGTTGTCGCATGTCTCTACGTCCTCGGACGACGACGGCGACTTCGACCAGCGTTTCTCAGGTCGTGGTGGGAGAGGCGGCGCTAACAACGATGTCACCGCACTCCCGCGTGTGCCAACAGAGGGCAGCTTGCCGTCGCACCCAACCCTTGCAACGCTCGCGTCTCTGGAAAGCCAGACCGGCGTCACATTGGGTCGGCACTCGCGCCACGAATCACCTTGGGATACAGCGTACATGAATCCGGGTGCCGGCATCTCGGTGCCGTACGATCGCGCCAATGCGCGCTACCGCTCCTCAGACGTCAGCATCGTCAGCCCGCACCAGCAAGGACTAACAAAGCATGCGAATCTATCGCTCGCAAGCCTATCCGTCGCGCTGGAGAACCCCAAGTCCATCCTCAACGCCGAGCCGCCCGCGGACAAGAAGCGTGAGAGCCATTACCGCAACCTCAGTTCGGGGCGATCAACGCCGGCAGGGGATCGCAGTCGAAGTCCCGCGAGTCTGCGGCCAGGTCACCCGCGGCGGACGTTTTCTGGGGGAAGCACCGGTAGCATGCGGGTCAGCGTCAATGGGTGGAACAGTCCCAATGGTGCGGGGCCGAGGAGTCCTGTCAGCGCTGCGACGCGGATGGGAGGACCGCAGAGCCCAACCAGTCTGTCTTCAGCAGGAACACCTGGTGGGCTGAGGCTGCCGCCGGCCGCGAGGAGCAGGAGTCCCGGGGTAAGCGGGCTTCGGAGTAAGAGTCCGTTGGCCATGGCTGGAGGCGGAGGTGGCACGGCTGCGCCGAGTCCGTTAGGTGGTGGCGGCGCGCAGGGGCAGAAGGGGGTGTTGGAGAAGGAGGGAAAGAGTTACTTTACTTGAGGTTGAGGTTGAGGTTGGTGGCTAGGAGGAATGACGAATGAGGAGAAGGCTGTGGAAATGAAAAAGTCATGGAGGGACAGGACATGTGTCAAAGAAGCGAGGGTTGGGATCTCCTCTGTACATCATTTGGAACGGATCAGGTGTTTTACGACTGGCATTCGCGGGCGTTCTTGTGGGGGGAAAAGCATTGCATCGCCAAAGAAAGGGGGAAGAGGCAATCCCAAAAGGCAAAACGGAAAAGGGTTTCCAGCGTCCAGGGATCAATCAGGATCAAAAAGGTGTTGTGTTTGATGCTCACCACTATCCATCGTTACAACGGGGGAAAAGACAGTACAGTAAATCTCATATGTTCTGTTGATAGCACCACCGATTTGACTTTGTGTGTAAAGATGATCGATTTATCTACCTGAGTTGCAAGCAAAAAGCAAAAAGCTCATACCAGGCTCAACGCGTGGCCCCAAAGCTCTCTCACTTTCACTCTCTTCTCACTCTTCTCACTCTTCTCACTCTGTCACCATAATCTCCTTACTACATCAAGGCCAAGCCAGCGCAGCCCACCCACCAATCAGACATAGTCCCCCCAGCGGCGTGACGGGCCCCAAGAAGCGGAACTGCGCGGGGTTGAGGACCAGCAGATACAAACTGCCGCTGAACATGGTCATGCCGGCGGTGAAGAGGTTGGCGGCCAGCCTGTTGTCCGGGGCGGCAGAGGAGGCGAGGAGGAGGGCGGCGGAGTGGATCAGCTGTGGGTAGATGTGGTTAGTGGGGTTGATCGGGTTGGTTGGCATCTGGGAGAGGGAAGGGGTAGAGAGGTTGGAGTCAATTGGGGATCGGGGGGTGGAGAGGGCGGAAGGAAGGCTGTGGAATGGGTGGGCGGAAGTGGGCGTGGGATTCGGGTTGAGGAGGGAGGAGCAGGCATCGGCTTTGGATTGGAGAAGAGACGGGTTACGGGAAGCGGTCTGCTGCCACCGCTTCATGCCGAAGAGGCCACGCTCTCCCGCTCCCGCTCCCGCTCCCCAAGCTTGCCGAGCACCCGGATCGATCTGACCTTACCACCGTCTACGACGGGGTACGGTATGGCAAAAGACAGGTGCACCAGGTGCGAGGGCTCAAACTCGGAAAACAAACTTCGGTACTCACCTGATACTGCGCAGCAGTTCCGAAATTCGCGATGCGCTGCGGCTCCGAGATGCGTTTCTTCAAGCCGTGCGCGCCGAAAGCGCCCAGAGCCACGGCGCTGGCGCCGTAGACGCAACCGAGCGTCCAGTAGATGTTACGGTCCATGTTGCGGCGGGCGAGCTTGGGCTGTTCGGGTGAGGATGGCTGAGTGTTGGCGTTGTTGGCGTTGGTGTTGGGAAGTAAAGGGTCGGTGGCAGAGGGTGGTGACATACTACGTTGGCAACGAGAGGGTTCCAAGGTGACGGTAATGGAGGTTCGGGGAAGAAAGGGAGAGTGGCGTGATGAAGTGAGAGAATGTCCGTTGCAGGTGAGCGTGAGGTGATGTCGGCGATATAAAGCAAGGCCAAGTCTTGGCAAGACGGCGGACTCGGATGCTTGTGGTACCGGTTGTGTAGATAGTAGTGTTGCACGGGTGCGGACTATGCGATGCATCTGAAAGTAGAGAAGTTCTCTCCAGCGTAATGACTCCTAGGGGACGTTGGCTGCTGGACAAGGGTGGAAGACAAGCTTTATTTTCAGGCGGCTCAGTGCTATTGCTAGAAGATCCCCTTCCGAGCTGCTCGCCCCTTGATGGACAACTGAACAATGATCCAAGGCGCAGTTCCCCAGCATGTCCATAAACCTGCGGTAGCCAGCATCGTACTGTAACATCCATCAAAGGCACCCAACGACGCCGAACTCCAGCGCTCGCCAACTGTGCCCATTAAACTGGACTTTCTTCTCGCAAAGTCACTTCCTGGGTATCATTAAATCCAACATTTGCTCCCTTTGTAATCACACGAAATTTCGTCCCTAGGACGGCGTGCTGCTCTTCTCGTCCTGCTTCTCATAGTGATCGTTCAATGCCTCACCTCTCGCCTCGCCCTCTTCTTTGGCCTGCTTCTGTGCGTGCTTGCCCACGACGCCATTCACCGTGAGATGCTGCGCGCCGGACTTCCATGGGTGGATGAGGGGATTGCTGCTCTTCTCGTCCGATTTGTTGCTCTCATCGACGTTCGTCTGGGTATCACCGTCGTCTGCACTTTCTACGGCCTTCTCGTTTGTGGGAGAGGCTGGTGAAGCTGACCCGTTGCTCCCCTTCTCGCCTGCGTTCGTGTCTGACTTCGCTGCTGAGCCGTCGCCATGATGCTTGTCTTCACCTCTGCCCATGTATTTGTGATACTCGTGTTTATACTTGGGCTCCTTGACTTGGCCGTCGGCTCTGTTGTTGAGTTCTTCCTCTTCGCTACTGCTGATGGAACTCATAGAGCTGTTCTGTAGATATGTGATGTGAGCGCCGGTGTGCTTCTTCTTTTCCCTTTGCTCGTCCTTCAATTTGTTCATTTTCTCTTCATCCGCTTGGCAGTCTAGCGTAGCAACCTTTAAGCCGGGCAGATTTTGCGCAAAAAACCCCTTGAGTTTGGAGAGCATTTTCGCATTGGGCCGATAGGTGCCACTGTCGTTGTCAATGACGAGCTCGTAGTACTTTGGATCTTGAAATTTGAGGTTCTTGTTCCTAGAGCGTTCTTCCTCCACATGGTCATCCTCCGGCGGCAGGAGGTCGTCCACAGCTTCGCCACTGTTACCACTTTCCGGACGACGTCCGTGGGGATGCCGGAGACGACGGATGAAGAACTCGCCAGAGAACGCAATGTAGATCGACACGTCGCTATGCATCGTGTGCTTCGATAGCAGGTCGATGCCAAACTCTTTGCCTGTTTCAGTAAAACGAAAGTGACCGTCCAGTGTCAAAACATAGGTGAAGATACGGCCACCCTGATCCCAGTGGCAGAACTCGAGAAACTTTTTGGTCATCTCAGGGCATGGCTCTTCATATTTGCCATAAACGGTTGACTTGTCGTAGTTGTATATTCGAGCATGTTGATGATGAAGGGCTCTGTTCAGTATGCGGCCTCGGAGTGACTTGTCGGTGAACATGCCCTACTTTTTCTCAGCAACGATCCATCCTTGATCTTGAAAAAGACTTACTGCAACAAAGGGTTTGAACTCAACATATCGGTGATACAGCTCGGCCGGCACGGGGCCTTTAAGTTGCATCTGGATCGCCTGGAAATTATAACGATCGACACCGGGCTTGCCGTCTTTGTCCTCATCCCGCTCCTTCGTTCCCGTAAGCCTGTGAAGCCGTTAGTAATTGCAAAGAGTACAACGCTTGCCCGCGACCGCAGTCGATCTGGCTAGCATTAGATTCGTCAGTCTCTTACCTTCCGATAAGAGGAGAGTAATGTTGGCTCCACGCCAAAGGTGCCACAGTGTAGGCCCGGCCGCCGTTTTCGTCCTGTGTAGGTCCTAGGTTCTCGATAGTTACGACAAGCGAGCCAGAGAACTTGACAGATCTCGAAAACATGGCAGCGCATCCGCGAAAAGTGTAGGCACGCTTGCTGCCCATTCGCTTCTTGAGCTCGTACGTCTGCTCCTTGAAGCCAGTCCAGTCATTATGAATTGCTGGGACGTTGATGTGAACGTTGCCTAGGCGATCGTCATGATCCGCGGGGTCCTCATCGTATAGTCGGCACTTGAGATAGAATCCGGAAGCTGGCACATTGGCAATAACCCATTCGGCGTTCCAGACAGGATTCTGCAAATGTCAGATATTGAAGTACACAAGATTAGAAGCCGTAGTATGGCAGCAGAGCAGCTCACAGTATTCCTATGCACCGTAGGGATACGTATTCGGAGGGGCGAATCTTCCTTGTGTCGCTTCGGGAGCGAAGTTTTGAGTGTCGCGATAATGTAAGGATCGGCCGACAAGGTACCAAGATCGGCATATGGGAGGTTGTCGGCGCGGACGAAGGTGACTCTAAGGGTGTAGCCAGGTGGCGCGTCTGGGACCGGAGTCGCATCGAATCCCCCAGGGGGTCCTTTCTTGGACTTGGTGGTGTCGCTGGTGTTCTGTTTCTCCGGCTTCGAGGCCTGGAACTGATCTTGCCATTGCTGGGTCTTGTCTATGAGACGTGCCCCGAATCTGTCGATTTCTTGGTCCCGGGCATGGCGCAGGATAGGGTTGCTATCCTCCGCTGCGGTACTGCTGTTATTCGTGTCTGCCATTGCGACGCAGAGTGGATGGTGAGGGCGATGCTGCAAGAAGCCACCCCGCAGTTCAGGCTCAGCTACTGGACCGAATGAACCAGCTCGCGTGACAGTGCTTCCAGCTCATGTAGTTGCGAGAACAGCATTAGAAGAGCAGAGGCGTCGGAACGCGACAGCAGGACCTTGCGCTGAAGGCGCAATTTAATCCTACCTGGCAGCGACACATGCCGGCATGCCGTGCAGCTGTCGCAGGCTTACGACGCCCGGCGCCCTCCAGCCGAGGGTTTGGAGCTAATTATCAGCCAAGAGAGCTTGGTTGCGATGCTTATCCCGCCGATCCAGGGTGCTAGACCATCGTGCTCCAATGGCCACGACCTCATTGAGCACCAGACGTCTGCAGAATGACGCACGGTAACTTTGTGGTGCTCCAGGACGGTCTTAGTCATATCAGATTAACACGAGCTACAGTACCGCCTTGTAGGCGGCGGGGTGGTTGCAATTATGCCGGAAATGAGACCAGGTCCCCCAAGAAGAATCATGCATGAATCAAGGCAGCCCGAAAAAATCATGGAGGACATTACTCTGAGTTCTTGTCTGTCATTAATTTACTAGGTGGGTATCCAGAGTACGCTGAGAACGCTCCAGAACCGAACCGCTGATGTGATGTCGGCAACTGCCAGACTCTGCCGTTTCGCTGTACAGGCCTGCTCACAAGACATAGCTGTATCTATGTGAACCAATGTCGCTGCGCTCTTATTCATTCAACAGTCTTTGCAACAACTCTGCCCCTGGTCCCATCAAGCTCTGACGCACCTCACTTTCCGAGACTGCAGAGACGAACTGTCGTTCGTCAATGCTTCGTCCAGTGCGTGCTGGCGTCTTGCCCGGGGTGAGCATGCTCGAGCTTCTCCCAAACGCCTCATGAGCCAGGCCCAGCGTCTCCAAACTGGTCACTACATCGCGAAACTCGGTGTTCTTCAGCACAGGCAAGAGTCCGTCGTCTCGCTGGCAGAGCCTTCCATACTTCTCAAACAGGTCCTTGACACTCGGCACCTTCTTTGACGATTTTGACGGCGTCTTGAACGGGTCACGACTGTCTTGTCGTCGCTCGGCTGCCACCAGTGAGCATAGCACCGCTTTCTGCTGCAGATTGAGCCCGCCGAGTCGGGACACAGTGCCATTGTTGAAGATGCTCGATGCAAGCTTAGCTACATGCTTGATCGACGCTTGAGGAGCCGTCTCGGCGGTCAATCGAGTGATCGCAGGTGTGTCCGGCTTCAAAGGAGACGAACTGGGTGGAGTGGCAACGACATTGTGCGATACATTCGAAAGCTCGCCGAGTGGCTCTTTCGTAGGCGTGCCCACTCCCTGGTCGGCCGACTGCTGCAGTGCCTCCTTCTCGATCTGATCGATCGTCCGGCGGGCCAGATTGAATGCCTTCCGAAGGTCACCAGTCTGCGCTGCGATTTTGCTCCCGATCAGCTTGATCGCTGTTGGATGAATGACGGGAACAAAGTTAGGTACCACCTCGAATTGCGTGTCCAGAAGCGATCGCAGCTTCTGCGTGATGATGTTCGACATGTCTGAAGCAGCATAAGGTAAGAATGGAAGGAGCGATGGCTTCAGATTGCGCGATTTGAGGCGGGGCATGAATCGGTCTGTAAGATCGAGAGCGTTCGCGATGCCAATAAGGAGGAGCGATGAGGAGCGGTGCATGGCCAATTCGAACATGTCGTAAAGCAGGTTGCAGTCGCCGTCCAGAAGGCTGTCGATCTCGTCCATGAGCACCAGGTAGAGAGACTTCGATTTCTTCGAGGTGAAGAGTTTGCCCATAGCATCCTTGACAGTTTTGCCATTGTCGAGTGGCACTCCCAGGTCTTGCGACAGCTGGCTGGTCACCTCAGAGGTTGTCCTACAGGTCACACAATTGACGATCGAGATCTTCAGCCCATCGGTTTCTCTGAACCCTTCGAAGACTTCCTGCACAAGTGCGCTTTTGCCGGTTCCAGGGGGGCCACTGACATAGAGACAGCCTCCTTTCCCTGTCTTCACGCCAGCGGAAATGAAGCTTTGCAGTTGAGCCCGCTCTTCATCGCGGCCGATTATCCGAGTGGGGCTGCTGGCTTGAGTGAACAACTGTCGTGCAGCGGCATATACGCTGTATGGACGATTCTTCTCAACGGACCGCTGAGATCGTGGAGTGAGAAGCTTGCCACCGAGTCGAACTCGGTGTCGAGGGGTAGAAGGTAACGAGCGTGCAAGTGCGTCCTTGAAGCGAAGAGCAGTAGGAGTGGAAGAAGATGGAGGGACATTCTCCTTGCGAGCATGTTCAGATATCGGTGGGGAAACAAGGTCATCTGCGGCTGCTTCGTTTTGTTCCTTCAGGTCTTGAACGATACATTTCGTCGTTTCGGTACCGTCCCTTACCGAACGCCGAGTAGAGACTTGCTCGGGCTCTGCTGTATCTTCATATATTTGAGGAGCTGCACGTCGCGTCTGCCGTCGCTTGGATGGTGTTGATGGTATGTTCTCTGCATCTCATCAATATTCGCAATACATGTGTTGCAAGCAAAACTTGGTCATACCTTGAGCATTGAGAGTCTGTCTCATCCGCTTTCCAAGAACAGAAGGCATGATGAAGATGGTCGCTGCTTTTGTGTGGTGAGGGTTGTCGGCAATTGACTGAGTCGTGAAGAGGAAGGAGCGACTCAGGTTGTACGAAGCTGGGAAGTCGCGACTCACGCACCTGCAGGTTGAGCCGAACGCCAAGAGCAAGCGCGCGACGCGTCGAAAACGCGTGAAGCTAAAGTGGGTGGCTGGGAAGGCACAAGCCACATCGCGCATGCAGTCGCGGCGGGAACGCGATGGACTGCCCACGACTATGCCCACTCTCGACTCCGGGCTGCCCACAAACGCAGTACGGCGGGCCATGAGAACCAAAACCCTCAGATTCAAATGACGGAAGTGCGCAATGTGGCCTCAGGATTCCGCCGTAGAACGTCCAATTAAGAGGCTGTCGAGGCTGGGTCTCTGAAGTCGCCGCCTCAATTTGTCCGAGGTAACTATCGCCATAGTGCGAGCACAATAGACGACGTAACCATGTATGTTACTTCCTACAGACAGCTTTCTGCAATGACTGCGTAGCCCTCAATGTTTGTAGGATACAGTTTTCACCCTTTTCAGGTTTTACTTCGTCGCTCACACAAGCGTTTTGAATTCAGCAGCCGAGCTGTCTCTGAGCGCATGTTGAATTCCAAAGGATGGTTGCAAGATGATTCAGCCGCAAGCTACTACGTATGACTTAAGAAGACGACCGAAGTGATTGCCGCCAACAGTCATTCAACCCAACTTGCAGCCTTACGGACCGGATGCATAAAGCGCTGCGGGCTTCCAGGTGGGTCTCCACCTTGCTATGACGAAGGCGAGGGCGGCCTACTGTAGAATCATTTGCTTGAGTATATGTTGCCTCCTCGAAACTTATTTATCGCCCACCCGCCTGACTCGCGTTTTGATCAAATATCAGTGACACTTTGGTGATGCCTGCCCGCTTGATTCTGGAACAATCGAAGCGCCCCCATTCGTGAGACAGATAGTCACTTAAGCCTGTCTCCATCTCCACTTACCCTTCCCATCTACAAAATCGATCGAGCGTTCTTCCTGCGTCTTGGGTTTTCCAATACATTCCTAAATATTTGTCTCTCACTATGGACGACGAAGCGATTTCTCAGATCGTTGCGGTGACCGGCTGCAACCCAGATATCGCTCGACAATATGCACAATTAGCGGACGGTGATCCAAACCAGGCGGTCCAGCTGTTTTTTGAGAATGGCGGAGCTGATCTCTCCACTGGTACCTCTGCGCCGCCGCCGCCACCACCACCATCCTTCAGACCTGCGGCCGCTGGCAACTCCTCAGATCCTATCAACGTGGATGACGATGATAGTGCTCCATCTCGGCCCCACCAGTCGTCCAATTTCGAAGACGATGAAGCGATGGCGAGACGATTGCAAGAGGAGGCATACGGAGATCAAGAGCAAGGCGTCCGCGCGCCGATTGCTCGGCACGCAGAAACGCTTGCTGGACCTGGAGCAGATATGATGGATGATTTCGAAGACGCCATGCAAGCCAGAATGCAGGCCTTCAGACAGCGGCATCAGCCACAGGGTACGTGTGGCGGCTCCATACTGTTTTAATAAAGCTGACCAGGTGCAGCTCAAAGAGGTATATTCAACCAGCGAGAAACCTCTGCCATCTGGACCGATGAGGGCGAACCGCAGCCAGATCTCGCAGAAGCCACGGGAGGAGCATCTGAACAATCAGCACGATCCAATATGCTTGCACGACTTTTCCAACCACCTTGGGACCTCATGTTCACAGGCAGCTGGGAAGAAGCAAGAGATGAAGGCAAGGAGGGCAAGAAGTGGCTCTTGATTAATATCCAGGACGGCTCCATCTTCGACTGTCAAGCACTGAATCGGGATTTGTGGAAAAACGACGGTGTTGTTGATACGATCAAGGAAAACTTCATCTTCCTGCAGTACAGCAAAGACGATCCGCGCGCTTCAGACTACAACTCCTTCTACTTCCAAAACCATGACAACCCGGACCAATATCCACATGTCGCCATTGTGGACCCACGGACTGGTGAACAGGTGAAGCTATGGTCCAGAAAGATCCCGACATCTTCAGACTTCTTGATGCAGCTCCACGAATTTCTCGATCGCTACAGCCTCGACAATAACGCCCGCAACCCGGTGGCTAAACGGAAATCTGAAGTTAAGAAGGAGAAGTCTGTACATGAGATGACCGAGGAGGAGATGCTGGAGCGGGCCCTACAAGCTAGTCTTGCCTCCGAAGCGGTTGAGAAGCCGTCGACAAAGGAAGATCCCGATGATCTCACCCGGAGCATTGGGGACATGAGAAATCAAGGCGAAGCTATGGACATTGACCAGAACGGCAATGTGGCGAAGGAGCCCACGCCTTTCTCTCTCATTTCATCAGACCAGCCACATGTCCAACCCGAGGCTGGCGAAGGCATTACTCGTGTGCAAATTAAACATGCAGGCGGGCGCATTATCCGACGCTTTGCGCAAAACGATCCTGTGCAACGCATCTATGAATTCCTGAAAGCGGAACCTATCGAGGGCAAGGATGGCGCCGAATTTGAGCTGATCTCGATGAATAAGAACCTCCTCGAATCGCGACACGAGACCATTGAGGCGGCAGGCCTGAAGAATGGCACAGTAATGGTGGAATTCGTTGACAGCGCGGAATAATGAGGATAGCGAGGGAGTGGAAGGAGCTGCATGAGACACGGGATATGATATCTACACAACGGACATGGCTGCATTGTACGGCGTTGCCCCAATTGCACAAACGATACCTAGCTGATGGGACCTATTAGGCGTATCGGGCATTGATAGTGCCCGTCGAGAGGAAGCGAAACGATAGAGATCATGCATCCAGCACGTGTGATGTTGGGAATGGATGTGAATCAGAGCTTCAAACGTCACGCATCGATGTCGAAATCCTGCCTCCGCATTGCTCGCTTATAGCCTTGTCTGGCCAGGGTCGCGACTGCCTGGGCCAATCACAGTGACAACGGCCGCAACCCCTTCTAAACTCGATCTAGCCCAAGTAAATAGACTGCGTTTCATCTCAACAACATCATCTCTTGCATGCCTCCCCAACCCAGACTATTCCTTCCGAGGCTGCGAGCCGTTCATTCTTGACGATTTACGATTTACGAGTTGACGAACAATCTGTACGACTCAATCTGCTGAACACCCTTTGCATCGAAACATCAACATTTCGTCTACCGCCCAGTGGCTCTCTCAGTCTGTGCTTACGCGATCGAGCAGACTTCGTGCAAGAGAGTGGCTGCGATCTCGTCCATATACGTCTTCGGACCGAAACTTGACTCGTGTCGCCCTCAGAAGTTTATCGAGATCGCATTGCCCCACCATCATGAGCGTCGATCCAGAAACGCTCTACACAAAGCAGAATTGCATAGGAGGAGGAAGTTTTGGCAAGGTCTACAAAGGTGTCGACAAGCGGACAGGCCAGTCGGTGGCCATCAAGATTATTGATGTTGAAAATGCCGAGGACGAAGTCGAGGATATCATCCAAGAGATCTCAATCCTCTCCGAGCTCCAGTCGCCCTACGTGACCAAGTACCACGGTTCTTTCCTCAAAGGCTCAGATCTATGGATCATCATGGAATTCTGCTCCGGCGGCAGCTGCTCAGATCTTATGCGGCCTGGAAACCTCTCTGAAGACTACATCTCCATCATCCTGCGCGAATTACTGATGGGCTTGGACTACCTGCACAGCGACAAGAAGCTGCACCGAGATATCAAGGCCGCGAACGTTTTACTTGGTGCCAATGGCCAGGTCAAGCTGGCCGATTTTGGCGTGTCAGGCCAGCTGTCCGCGACTATGACCAAGAAAAACACTTTTGTCGGCACTCCATTCTGGATGGCACCCGAAGTTATTAAGCAGTCGGGCTATGACCACAAGGCCGATATCTGGTCCCTCGGAATCACTGCAATCGAGCTGGCGCAGGGCGAGCCTCCTTACTCCGATATCCATCCCATGAAAGTGCTATTCCTAATCCCCAAGAATCCCCCACCTACACTGCAAGGCAACTTCTCGAAATCGTTCAAAGAGTTCATTGATCTGTGTCTACGACGAGATCCTCGAGAGCGACCATCAGCCAAAGAGCTGCTGAAGCATCCATTTGTCAAACGAGCCAAGAAGACTAGCTACCTGACAGAGCTCATAGAACGCAACGAGCGATGGCAAGCGACACATGGCAATAGGAACTCGGACGATGAAGACGATGAGAATGAAGCTCATTTGCAGCACCGAGAGCCAGTCAACGAGGATTTGTGGGATTTTGGTACAGTAAGACCTGTCGGTGGCGGACGAGGCGGTGGACTGCGGGCGATGAATGACTCTGCGGCCAATGTCAGAGCGTCTGCAGAGCCATCGCGCGGCTCTGTCGAGGTTGATGATACCGTAAAACTGTCATCGTCGCCGCAAAAATCTCCAATCAAAGCGGCCGCCTACAATGCTGCTCAAGGATCGCCCAGCAAGGTGGCTCTTCCGGCCTCTCCCGTGAAAGACTTGCCTCCTCAACCTGCAGCCAGGACTCCGGCTCCGAAGACACCCGCAGCTATGTCTTCGGCCGCATCTAAGCTTCCCAGTAAAGACAGCCCTGGCTCGAACGAGTACAACAAGGCTTTCCAAGCCCAATTAGCCAAGGACATGGGATATATGAAAATTAATGACAGTCAAGAAGGGTCGCCACAGACAAGCACACCGCCAGGTCAGAAGCCGAAAATGCTCATTCCCGAGATCCCACCCTTCAAAGGCAAGGCGGGCAAAGGCGAGCCCATTCAGCCGCATCATGCTCGAGAAGAAAATAAGCCGAAGCCAGCAGCCCCAGCCGGCCAACAACCGCTTCCACCACTGGTTACGGCCAAAGACCTCCCAGCTGCCCCTCTCCCCCAGAAGGGGACGAAGGAAGTGCAGCAGAAACTGCAGGATGAATCACGTTTGCTGCCCGAAATGTACCTTCAGCACCCAGACAAGGCGTCAAGCGCGGTTCCGGCGTCTAGCTCCGCAGCTATGCAGCGGCAAGAGCCCAGCGCGCTTGGTTCCGTCATTATCCCAGCCCTCGAGGCTGCTCTCAAGCGCAGAGCGCAGAACCTCGCTGAATTCTACCGTACCTCCAACCACTCGGGGTACCAATTGTACAATGAGCGGGCTCGAGCGCATGAACAAGTCCGCAAACTGGTGATTAAAGCCGCCGGTGTTTTTAACGAAATCCAACGCATCGACGAAGAGAATCCAGTTGGCATGGGCGGCGGCGTCACGGACATGTTGGAAGGGTGGCTGGAGGAAGTTCTGTTCCGCGTCGAGGCTGCCGATGATGACGAAATGAGCCCCAGGAAGAGCTGAACGACGGAGAGGTGGTCATATCGGAAACCAAAGGATCGCATGTGGTGTTACGAGGCAACGGTATCTCGCAGTCATATGGGAAGGGCACGTCTCACCATAGATGGTGGTGCTAACTGCGTTGGGAGGGCCGAGGACATCTAATTAGCAAGGCGTTCACATGTTAGGGACTATGTGTCCTCGGGTGGAATGGTGTGCAAGGAGCATTCGAATAAGAAACATGCTGCGGCGATTTTAGAGAGCGTCGCTACAGACGAAGAAGCATAACTCATTCTTTTCCCACTGTCTGCTTACCCACTATCAAAGTCGGAAGGAACTATTAATCCTGATCTCAAGCAATCCATGAAGCGCTGAGCGTTTATCGCCGAGCAAGAAAGGTAAAAGGACTTGCAGCTACCATCCATCACACGGCAGGAGAGTGGTGGCATCGTGGTATCGTGGCATCGTGGGTCTTCATCGGCACATCTTCGGCTCAATCGGCAGTCCCGCTACTGCTAGGACCCGACGGACGGGGCATTTAGCCGCAATTCATACCATCTACTTTCTCATGATGATGATGATACTACTTCTTCTACTACTACCACCAGAACTGATTCTCCGTTGAGCTTTTTTCCCATTCAATTTTCACGCAAGTCTTACTCTCAGCATCGTTTGGCGAAACAGGATCCTACATAGCGTGTGGAGGCTTCAAACGAGCAAGCCCAACGTGATTTTGTCGGCGGGCGGTTGTCTGACGTTCGTTCGGTGGACTTTGGTGATATCACAGGAAAGCAACTTGCTGACGGCGGCTCTCGCACTACCGATTTTGAGCGTCTGTGAGCCATCTCTTATCTCTCTTTACACACGGTTCCAAAGATGGGGGTCCAGGAGTGGAACGTTACTGAGGTGAGTCTACCCACGCACGCTTCTGCGCGCTTTGCCTTTTCATTAGGGGCAGTGGCCATGTCCAAAGCTACCTCGCCGCGCCGCGAATTGGAGTCAGCTACGCGTCGAGGTTTGCCGATCCTATGCCTGTTAGTTCGTGGCCCATGAGGCCAACCGTCTTCGAGCTTGTGAAGACATCGACGGAGAGTTGCTGGGTTCCCCCCCCCTCCCTCACTCCAGTCTCATCTCCCAGACGCTCCTTTGCGATCCCTCCACCACAGTTCTAATCCCACCCAAACCAACAGCCCTACCTCGAAATCCCCTGCTCCCTCGGCGAAGGCCCTCACTACCACGCCCCCTCACACACGCTCCGCTTCCTCGACATCAACAACCGCCAGCTCCACCTGCTGGACCTTCGCGCCGGCCCTTCCTCCCTCCGTACCATCTCCACCTCGATGCCCGTAGGCGTGACTGCCGACCTTGCCGGCGTCGACCCCACCCACGAAATTCTCTGCGGCGCCAAAGACGGCGTCACGCGCTTCGACCTGCGCACGGGACAGCACGCGTACGTGGCACGCTTCTGGCAAAATGTGACGGATGAGCAGGAGCAGCAGGACCGCACGCGCCGGTTCCGCGCGAATGACGGCGGCGTGGATTCGAGGGGCAGGTTCTGGGTCGAGGCGTTTGTGGATCCGACGGTTGGGGAGCCGGATCGGGATGGGTGTTTGATGCGGTTGGATGGGTTTGATGGACGGAAAGGAAAATTGACGACCGTGTTGGAGGGGGTGACGATTCCGAATGGGATTAGTTGGAGTGAGGATGATGGGACCATGTTCTTTACGGATAGCCCGAGGCAGGAGGTGGGGAGGTTTGAGTATGTGGCGGGGACCGGGGAGGTGGGGGAGAGGAAGGTGTTGTATCGGCATGAGGTGGAGGGCGAGTTTCCTGATGGGCATGTCATGGACGTGGAGGGGAATATTTGGCATGCGGTTTATGGGGGTGCGAAGGTCATCAGGATTAGTCCGCAGGGGGAGGTTACGGGCGTGGTGAGGTTGCCGGTCAAGAACGTTACGTGTCCGGTGTTTGTGGGCACCGAGTTGTATATCACGACGGCCAAGGATGAGGATGGGGGCAAGTGGGCGGGAAGTCTGTTCAGGTGCGAGGTTGGGGTGGAGGGGGTGAAGAAGAGGGAGGTTTGCTTCGAGTGAAAAGAAAGGGCGGGTCAGCAGATTGAGATCATGATGTGAATTGAGTCGAGAGAAGAGCAACCGACCGTACGTTGCCATTCTTGCACGGTCTTCTGTGCGGAGCTCCACGTTGAGGATGGCGGTGAAGCGTCTCGGATCTGGCAGTGAGGTATTTGTGTGAAGCATCGGAAATGGAGGGCGTCCGTGTTCACTTTGTGGACATGCTGCTCTGAACCGTCCTACGAGATTGACTCGAAATCTTGAGTGTTCGTAGAAGCCTGTATGAAGCCTTACCTGATGACGGAATCTTCGCCATATCTGGTCCGGGGTTGTTCTTGCGCTCCAACCGAGCGGCATCACGGATAACATCACGTCCACGTGCCTTGCTGATGCCTAGATGAGGCATTCGGGTCATGACAACCTGGTCGCAAGAGTTTTCGTAGCTTTCGCCTCGTAGAGAACGACGCAGAAGATAGGTCCGAGAATCTGAGACCGCGGAACCGCGGCTGGGGTGGTGCCGCTCGGAGGCTTCTCCGGAGCCCTTTTGCGTCCTGTTGGTAGACCGGGGTTGACTGCAGGGGACGAGCGCGGACCTCGAAACGAAGAAGCGATAGAAACTTGGACGAATGAAATGGCGGTCAAAGTCCAGACTTTTAGAGGTTCGAGAGGGAGGGAAAAGCGGTCAAGATTAGCGGGAGCGGTAAGCAGAAAGGATGAAGCAAGGTGTTTACGGAGTAGTGGCTTTGACTTCCTAGGGGCGGGCGGATGTTGGCGAGGCTGCGGCAGGCGCAACAGGCGGGTCCGGGGAAGAGGATCCCGGAGGTTGGCAGCCGTCAGTGACCCGGAGGCCACTTGCCGCAAACGTTCTATACTTTGTACAGTAGAACCGTACATGGTAGTAGGCAGGAATCAAGATCGGCTTAGCGTTTGAGTGACAGCGTTTCGGAAGTGAAGTTCCCGTTCCAGCTCGCTGCTTCAGGGTTGTCGATGCTGGGGTCTTGCAGGCCAAAGTCTCCTCCGGGAGGACTGAGAATGTGATATGTCTACAACGAGCATCCGAGACCGAAAAGGGCTTTGAAACATCTCGGATGGGGTTGACAGCTCCAAAGATGCGTGCAGTATTGCAAGGGTTAACAAGGGCAAGGGGTGGAATAGTCCAGTCACATGACTTAGTGATGCCGTCGCTGCTCTTCGGGCCAGGTCCAAGCTCCGGGCTTACTTTAGAGCTTGTGTCGAGCTAGGGTGCATGACAGGAAACGGTGCAGGCTAATGAGATCACCGACACCGACGAGAGGCTAGACAGAGACCAACCGTCGCAGATGTAACATGATGATGCATGTTGATGGGTTGGATACATACCAAAGGGGTGGCAGCAAGGGAGCCATCCGTGGGTGTGCCGATGCTGCATGAACGTGGCAGCAGCTATGTCCAGGCGTCCTTGCAAGTACCGCGAACTGCAAGCGAAGAATGAATCTTAGCTGGGCATTCCCCCCGGCACTTGAACAAGAGCGAAGACGGGACGATCGGTTGCGTAACGTAACACCACCAGGAGCCTCCGACGGGAAAATAATTCGCAGTTGCGAGCCGAGCAGCTGCAACGGGCCGCAACTGCCGCGATCTTGTGAGATTGAAGCCTAGACCTCGTGACGCGCTGTAGGCAATACTCGCTCAACAACACCAATAACCACAAACGGACGATTGCTGACGCCTCCTTCAGAGATTCTCCCACGTGGGCTCTGGTCGACCGTTTAGCAAGCAATCTACGGACTACGGCGCACCGATGAGACTGCCCCCAACCCGCAAAAGCAAACTGAGGCGGTGAACGAGTGCCTTGTTTTGGTGTATCAGAATGCCAGAGAGAACAGATGCCATTCCTTTTGGCGTCACGTCATGATTCTGATATCTGGTCAATGATAGCAGGTCGCATGCAGGCGTGCATCATCGGGAGCTCGTGACAGGCGTCATCTCTAACCAGCTACCTGGGATTGACAGGACTAGGGGTCTGCAGTTCAGCGTGGGAGCCTGGTCAAGTGACCCGTCAGTCTTTGATTCTGCTATCGGCGCGGGATGCAGCGTCTCAAGTATTCGGATATCATCTTGATCCTCAACAAGCCGTCAATATCCAGTTATCGCGGCCCGTGCTTTCTGTACGGAGTACGTGGGATACATCAAACAGAAGAAGCAATAACGCAATACCCATCCTGTCCCGCACGCGGTGTGACGGTGGTCTATTGCCTCGCCTAGCATGCGAGCCATTGGCGAATGCGGGTGATGCTAAAAGCAGGGCCTCTACTGCAGGACATGCGGCAGTGGGCTGACCTCGACATGCCGCCGAGCTGCGGCTCCCAGGCCTTGCTAGGCTTGCTAGGCCTGCTAGTTGCCCCAAGCCACTGCATGCCTGCATGCCATGCAGCACTCGAACATCCCCTCAGCTCCACGACCAGCACATATTTGCTTTACATGCCGAAGGAGGGCGACCACCCGGAGAATTTGCTGCCCAAATACATCGAATTTGGCTGTTTGACCCTCCCTGACTTGGGGGCTTGATGCCCAACACACTACGGGTCATCTACCACTCACTGGAGTCCACGCTTCCCGTCTTGAAAATTCCTTTGACTCTGGCGCAGACTCTGACCGTTTGGCCCGCCGCGGCTCGGACCTGCTACGAGCTACTCCGTACGAGCTACCGCACCGGACGTCTCGTTTTTTGATTTGCCCGTGATGGCGACAGAAGCCACGACTCGCAGATCCTCCTAAGCGAAGTTGCGTTCTTCAGAGGGGAAATTGAATCTCCTTGACATCCCCATCCGTTTCGTGACCAAACCGGATCACAATTGGAGCCAAGTCGGCGCCCACACTGCCATCGAACCAGTGCCGTCGACGAAAAGCATCATCTTCGCATAGCGGTCAATTCCCGAGCTTCGAAAACTGCTTGCTTGGCCTTGATCACCATAGCCGCGGGCTAGCAGCAGCTAAGCTATCGCGTCATACCGCTACCTCGGTCGCGACTAGCACTACTGCTACCAGCAATTCTTGGGAGAAAACCAAGACCCAGGTCCCCAATCCCGGATGGAACCAACAGAGTCTTCCTCCCAGCCCCACGAGTGCGCGATCTGAGTACTTTGGGACGCTTATGAGCACCGTACGGAGCCCCCCCCGTATCCTCTGTAGCTGAGGCAGGGGGCTGGATCGACCATGCGTGTAGTGCATGGTGGCTGCTTTTTTTCCCGCTTGCGGGTCACAGACAATGTGCACGGTTAACCAAGTACAATCTTCTTCTGTCGAACAATCCGTTTTCCACCCTGCAGCAGAGTTCGGAAGATTACTCGCACACCCTCGTGCTTGGGACAGGGGATCCAGTTTCTGCATCCCAAGCGCCAGCCCACCAGCCCGGATGGTGGGTGAACCGGCCGTATGGGTACCGTTCCCAAGCTTACCCCCCTGATCCTGGGCGAGCTCTGGCGCAGAGTTTTGGTTACGAGCCGCCCAAAAGATGTTTCGGGGCCCCCCGATCTCAAAGCAGGTAAAGTCGCGCATCAAAGCCCCATCGCCCCAAGTATCCCTGTCCGCTCAACCTTTGGGTTGGAAAGGCGCTAAATCTCAGCACCCCGGTTACGGGTCAGCTGGGCTGCAGATTGCATTAACATCCATCACTGACATGCACAGTGCATGCGGCCATGCAGCCCATGCACCCATCCGCATGGGCCACAAGCCATGAGCCACACATGGTCACTCAGGTACATGCGCCAGGCACCCCACACGTCGTCGCCTCGATCCTCACGGAACAACCACCCTCATATTGGCTGCCTTCGTTTGTGTCTGCCAGCTGAGGGGCCAACTCCCGGGGCTTGTTGCCCCATCCCGTCATCTTGATTTTGGCCCTCGCTTTGCCTTTGGTACGCAAAGTTTCATGACGCTGTCCCCTTACCACCCAGACCCTGGTCAGATTGAGAATCACTAGTGGCCACGACGCGATGCCCCGGCGACCCAAGCTTGCCAGGACCGGCCTGTCGCGCTATCACACTTGACGTGTGTCCTCCTCCACCTTCTACGGACCCATCCAGAATCCCGCGCGTGATGACCCACTCATCACAGCTTCCGTTTGCTCCAAGCTCCCATCATCATCTTCTCGAGCTTCGGCCACCATCCCCTTGGCCCTAGGCCATTTGCCTCCGACCGCCTAAGCAATCGCGACTCCATTAATCAGTGACTTGCCCACCGCTGTGTGGGTTGCCACTACCTCGACACTATCATGACTGCCCAGCTCCACTGGCCTTCATGTTCCCCTCCACGTACCGAGTACCATTGGTGTAACTCCGGGCCCTGCTACCAAGTCGAAGCTTTCCACATCGCTGGCGACGTAAGCCTGGCGCTAGAAAGCCGGGAAAGCGTCCATCTCATCATCTAAACCTTCCAAAGAGCTCTTCCGTCTTCCCCGTTTACCCAAAATCCATCGCTTCCGGTACTTGGGGATTCGCCTTTGTCTTCCCACCGACTGAATTACTACCAGCTGACTGCTGTGTTTCCGTCTTTCATCTGGGTCACAACACTTTCCAACTCCCGCTCTGCCTGGTCTCACCAAGAAATCTACCTTGTGGAGGAAGTCCTGGGCCTGTTAGATCCCGGAATACCAGCTCGAGCACTTCATTCGCTGCCTCCACTTAAACCACAACGAATAATCTCTGCACCTCAGCAAGCCGCCCTCGTACGCCTGACCGAGCCACTACTGCTAGAGTCTCTGCCTACAACGAATTGATGAGGTTGCATCATTCTCAGCGCCACCAGCCTTCCGATATCCTGCGCACAGTTATTCCCTGTCATCCCCAGCATTCCATCTTGTGACTTTATCTCCGTCAGCGCGTCCTTCATGCTCCACTGAATTGCCCTGGGAGCATTGCATCAACAGCAGCCAAGCTGGCTACCGTCGCGCTCAAACCACACTCTGTCCATTCTTTTCCTTCACCGGCCATCGCGCCTAGCTACTCTCATTCAGCGTGGAATACCGAGCATCAAACTCCGCACTCGGGGCCCGCTTCGGAACCGTCTTGGTGGGAGGGGGGACGCGGCGGAGAAGCGAACGGGCAGGGGAACGGTAGATGGTCACAACCAGGGCATCGCCCGCTAGACGAGGCTTACAATTTGATGTCCCGCCAGGCCGGCGAACGCGCTTTCAACACATCGCAACGACCAAATCCTGGGCAGGCTGGCCAGCCGTCTAATGCCCCCCTCCCTGCACCAGGCGCGACATCTACCAGCCAGCCTGGAACCTATGGTGCTTACCAGCCTGGCCTCGCTGGGCCGCCGGCCACCGTCGGGGAAAGGTCCTTCGACGTTCAGCAGAGATCGCCACAAACAGCACAAACGACCCCTGCGAGAGGTCTGGGTATGCACAGCATACTGAATCCGTCGTCCGAAAACACGCCCACAAGCGCTACAGATTCGATATCCCGGCTTCCTCCACCAATTCGTTCGCCCCGGAGTCGAAAAAGACAAGAGCCTTCCTCACCAACACGAGAACAAGTCCACCTAGCAACTCTTCCAGCTATTAGGCCAGTTCTAACGGCCAAATCGCCTGGATTACGCGCGGCCAGTCTCGGGACCCAGAGCTTACCATCGATCCAGACAACGAGCGGATATCCAGGCCCAGCCCACACCGCGCCCGATAGTCGAGTTTATACAGCGGAACCAGGAGTTGCCGACATCCCAGCTTTACCGTCTCTCGCGGTGACCCAGAGGTCGTACGCTCCGATTCAACCGCAAGATGTCTCACAGCAATCTAGTGTTGGACAGACTTCAATACCCACGCCTACTTCGCATGCAGTCCCACCAGTGATCCATCCGCCAAGTCAGGATCCTGCTTTCCCTCGTCCTTCTCCGAGCCTGTCGCACCAGACTTCACCTTTCCATCATTATAGCAGTGCACCCGTCAGTCAGAATGTGCCTGCCACGTACAGGTCACAAACAACTCCTGGGGGCTACGCACAAGACGTTGTAAGGAGGGGTCAGCCGGAAAACTACCACTCTGGTCAAGGAAACTACCAGATGACCTTGGAGACCGACGAAGGCCCGATGGTTGTACCCGTCGAGCTCGATTTGCTCCATGCATCAAAGGTTGCAGACGAGAAACGAAAGCGAAATGCTGGAGCCTCGGCAAGATTCCGAGCACGGCGAAAGGAGAAGGAGAAGGAAGCATCACACACCATCTCCTCTTTGCAGCAAGATCTGCGCGAGCTACGTGCAGAACGGGACTTCTATCGAGAGGAGAGGAATTTCATGCGAGACTTTGCTGCACGGCACGTGGGAATCGCACAGCTTCCCGTCAGGCCATCGTCTCCCATTAGTCGCGTGAACCCAATGTCAGCGATGAGTGGAACTGATACATCCCGACATAGCGATGACGGCGGTCGTCCACGTTCAGATTCTGCACCGGCAGCTCAGAGAAGGCGCACCGGAGATTTCCAGCCTACTTTTAGCCCACCGCAGTCGGAACAGCCCATGGTTTACGGCACTCTTTTTGCGCCACAGCAGGGTATGCCTCTACCACCGCCGCATCAACCTCCCCCACCACATGCATCGCCAAGATCCGTTCACCCTGGACCTCCACTGCCGCCACCGCTTGGTCCACGATCGCAATCGTCCTACGATCCTTTCCGTCGGGACCCATTCGATAGGGCATGGGAACCTAGCCGGTAAAGGACGGCGAGATAAGACTTCGAAGGGTGCTGTTAGCGCCTATCAGCATCAACGCTACCCACAATCTAGACTGGAACCAACAGAGGGCGACCTCGACTTCGATTTCAATGCTGCGCCATACGCTTTGTCATTCTCAGGTGTTTGTGGAGACTACCTTTACCACAAACTAAAGACACGACCTACACCTCTGCCCACGCAGTACCGGCTTTATCACCAATCATCTCTTTGTATCAACCAGAGAACTTCTCTAATTTTCTTTTCAACGGCCGGACGATACCCCCAGCGTAAATAAGCCACGTTTTACTGTATTCAACGCCAGGAGTTTTGACTATAAGAATGGAGTACTCGGGACAACAGATTGCTATCCCAGGGGTGGAGGGAAGGAACGACCACCAGAGTCATACATATGGTTCTTTGTCAACAGACCACCGAACAGGCTTTTCATATCAGGATTTGTGGTGTATAGGCACGGACGTAAGCAGCGAGATACCCGCGAAAGAATATTTTGGGCGAGAGCCATCTCATTTCACATAGATTGGTCACTACCAGGGCGGACTGCAAGCGTTACCCAGGTGTCAAGACTATCTTCTTCTTTCCTGGTTACATCAGTCATTCCTATTTCCTGTCGCAGCTCTTTTGTTTTCAGGTCTTGTCTCCTTCACAATTCCCAATCTTTGATGATGCAAATACGACGGTGAGAGACCAGAGCAGATAGCTAGCTCGAGTTCTGACTTAAAACGACTTGTCATCCCTGGCAGACAATGACTACTGGAACACACAATGGCGACTGGCAGACCAAGAGTCCGAGCAAAGATCGAGGATACTACCGCCCCGTGGATACGGACCGAGAGCTCGTTCTTCGACAATCTACAGGAGCTGGCCCAGACACGATTGGTCTATTCCCATTCACCGCCTTTCTCCACTTCGATGCGAGATCGGAATGTCATACAGATCACACGAGCTTGCGAGTTGTGTTGGTCACGTACGGGATGCTTGTCTTAACTTGAGAGAGAGATGAAGTTTGGCTGCGGCACTAAACGTGTTGTCGTGACCGGCGATCACTTGGAAGTCAACCAGGGCTGGACAAGGCGGACAGAATCTTGATCCTTTCGATCGCGGAACTTCGATACCCCCTTACGAAACTTCTCGGCCTTGGTTTGCGCTGGAAGTGTCTTTCGATCTGCGCCCCGGGGGATGTGAAGCCGTGTTATATTTGACCGAAGAAGGTCCTAGGGGCGCCAGGTTCCTCTTGCACAGAAGTCTGCTAAGGGCTTATGGTCAAAGCTAGAGCTCCAACTTATGGTGGGCTGGCCTTCTATTTCTTCCCAGGCTTTTGGGTCAACCCCACTAGGAAGCAGCGTCCCGTTGAAAGTCAAACCCTCTTTCGGAGGTCCAGGATCACGAATGAGTTCGTCCCGCGCCGTATCTGAAACCACTCCATCAACAAGCTTCTTCGACAGTGTTGTCGGCCGACCGTTCCGCAGAGTCTACGGTCCTACTCGCAAGGACTGGCCTGGACAAGTTTCCCGCCATCTGGCTCGGGGCGAAAACTCTCGAAAGAGATTGCAGTTGGCTACAGAGAAGATGCAACCTGACTCGAGCACTGGAGCTTACAGCATGGGGAGGATAAGCCTCATTTGCGGACGTCTCCCTGGTCAGAGGCTGATCTGACCTTCGAAGACCATGTCTCATGGCCAGGAGCCTCGAGACATCTTCTGAACCCTGCTGAGATGAACCTCGGTCGCCGCTTCCTCACAACGTCTGGCGCCCAATCTTCAGTCGCAGTGCATATCGTTGCCAGCATTTTCAGTCTGGGCAGCAATCCACAGGACAGCAACTTGTAGCATCTACCTAGTGACGACAGTCGCAAAAGGCGCTGCTTAATCCTACTACCTTTCGGACTAGGTCGGCTCAATACCATTGGTTGTACTGGGGATGCTTTTGTGCCTGTGGTTCTGGAAACGCTGCTGATGCGAGACTTTGCGCCAACAAAACAAAGTAGTAGGTGGGGTGCACGAGCGTGTGTGCAATCATACCTACAGTACTCCGTACGGTACATGCCATCCAGGTTCTGGGGGTGTTGGAGGCTGTATCAGCAACGTGGGGTTCAGAAGCTTTACCAGCAAAGTCGCAGCCAGTCGCTTGCATCGCTAAATTATGCAAGCTGTGCATAACAATGTTCGTGTCGACAGTCCACAAGTCAAGGCTCCCCGCGAAAGTTAGGTCTAACGCTAGCTTAGGCGCGATGCTCGCCTCGAGATCGCCTCAGGCGCCACACCGTGGCCGCTGGCGCCCCTTGTCAAGTGACGCAAAGTTTACGATGTCGCTCACTGCTTGCGCCACCGCCCGGCAATCGAACCGGTGAGGGGCATGAGGCCCAGGGGACGATATGTCGGACCAAATGGTACCACCCACCATCTCATCGCTGCTACGGTCCGTCCCTCACCGGAACAGTTGCATGTAGTCACAAGTCATTGTGATAGTCATCACACACAGACGGCTGGACGTTAAAACTTGCCGTAAAGGAGTACTCCTTGATCGGTTCTGCTCTTGTAAATGCTGCCTGGTCCATATCGTAAGAGACACTGCAGCCGGGACTTTTCCTGACAGTGGCTGCCTTACTTTGACACAACAATTTTCGATTGAAGCCACAAGTACAGAAAACAACTCAAATCGACTATTGACAGCGCAACCAATGACGTCGTAGACCACAAAGTCATTGTTGTTGTTGAATGAGAAGCTAGATGCGCCTGTGCACGTGGGAGGTAGCATGACAGGCATCGCGGCCACACCATCCTGCAGCTGACCGCTTGCATGCCTGCACAGATGCCCAAAGTAGGGCGAAGCTCTATTGCTCATTTCACCTTAATGCAAAGTAACGAACGATCTGGGACTCCCGCAAGCGGCGCTTTCTCTCTAGTAAAGAACGAGTCAGTCACGAAGTACTCGATTCGGGCCTGCCTCTGAGTTTGAGCCGGACGATCTTACCTAGCTAGTGCCTGCTGGTGGTGGTCGAAACTCTGTCATGTTATCTGATGCTACAGGGGGCTGCCCGACCGCCCTTAGCATTGTACAGTAGGTGCGAGCGACAGCATTGCTTCCCTCATTTGGATATCCGTCTGCCTCCCCCCTCTTATGGCCAAAACAGCTCCTTTCTGGAATTTTGCAAACACTATCGAGTGACAAGTCACTCTACTAGGTTCGGAGAAGATTCAGCCCCGGGAGTGTTTTTCATCCGCCACGACTATACTGTCGGCAGTGCCATCTCACCAATGACTCGGGTTACAGACTACGAAGGGGGCTGCTCGCTATTACTCCGCGGAACGAGTCTCTGCGATGCAGGCACGTCATCCTCCGGACACCTACGTACAATACGTGAGCTAGTTGCGAGCCCTGTGCAGTGCAAGCAGTTTTGCACAAGTTTGACAAGCGCACTTCTCGCAGATCGGCTCCACTCGCCCAGGTGGTGGTCCATACGAGGCCCGATTCAGACCCAGCAGGATGGTCGGACAGACGCAGGAACGAAAAGTCAGATAGATGGCCCCCGTCAGGGGTAGCCGTGCGTTCTACCTTGGACTACATCAACCCGACGTCAGATGGCTTGGGGAGGTAGTGCTAACTCCTGTTTTGGCACTTTTCATTATCGTTTCACGAACAGCTGCAACTGCCCTTTCCGCATACTCGGAATAAACAGATCCACACCCCGAGGCCGTCAAATAGTCAGAGGATGTATGCTGGGTGGGTGCTGCGGGGAACAGCTGCATTCGAAACCCGGATCCCCGACAAGGATGAGGCCTTCGTCAGCGATTCTGACAGTTGACCAGCGTCTCGGCTTCAACAGCTGAGCTTCCTGTCGTCTTCCTTGAGTCCGACACGAGGAAGGAAATGATCTTGACAACGGCGTCCAGTGGGACGGTCCGTACTTTCCGTGTCCAATTGCTGAGATGTGATCACACAGGCTGTTCAGGGATGATTTGGATCCTCACACCTGTCTCGGTATAACAGCCGCCAGCCAAGGCTTGTAGGCACGGTCACTCTTGAGCTCGCTAGGTCCACCGCAATGAGTCTTTGTTGAACGATCTGCGTGGGGCTAGCGCTGAAAGACCCGGACCGCGCTCTCGCCATGGGCAAACGAGGCCGCTGGTTCAAGCGACCGCCTGCAGGCGACTTCTCAGAGCTCATGGCTTTTGGCTCCTTGCACGCAAGATTGGCGGAGGATTGGCGAAGTTAGTGCTGACATTTGTCTGCGTAGTAGATGGTGATGTCTGGGCGGTGACCGATTGTAGCAGTCGGCCCTGATCACCATGCACAGTCTTTCGGGTGAACTCAACCACGACGGAAATGCAAGATCAGCCGCAGCTCTGGCTAGAGTCAAACTATACGACGACCATGCACGTGTGGGAAGTACCATGCGGTCAGTCTTGCCCTTCTCCAGATCTGTCCCGGTGCATCAGCGGCCAAAAAACGCATGGCGGTGACCAACTCTTGCTTGTGGCAGACGTTGGACTCCTCGATAGCTTCGAGTGGGCCATGTTCTAGTCCGGTATGGTCGATTGCGAGATTATTGATCAGCGCTCGAGATGCAGCCGCAATCTGGGATCACAGCTTCAGCGCGTGGATTGCTCCACAGCATCGACCCACGATGGAACCCTTGCTAGGGAGCTCGTGCTCAGGGGCCCACTGCCCACGCACAGGGGAGTCACGGTGTTCTCACCTGCCGCTTTCGTTAATATCGCCAAGTACTTCGTTACAAGAGGTCGACACCAAGACCGAAAATGCAAATATGATTGCTGAGACCGGTGGGTCCTGGAGAGCTCTGCGCCCGCCGCCAGGTTTCTAGTGTGAAGGCAAAACTCCGGATTGCTCCTTCAAGAAAAGAGATGCCACTTGCTCCATGTTAACTGCAGGGTCATGGATCATGGTGCTACGGTCTCGGCGCCCACACTGGAAGTCCAGGTCGACATCAAAATGCCGGCCTCAGATCACGTATCCGTACTGTGAAGACGATGAGAGCACCAGCTTGTGTGAATACAGCTAGCTAGGCTAGCTGGTGCGTTCCACGCGAGGATTACTACGACTCATGCCGAGAAACCGGACGCTGACAAACCACGCGAGCCAATTTCAAGATCAAGATCGCCTGCTAGGCTGCGGCCGAAGAGAATCGGCTTTGCACCGAATTTCGGAGCGGGGTGCGGCATTTGGTGTTGTTCCAAGTACCCGAGCCTTGGTACTGCGGCGTCCTTTCTTCACTGTGCTACGAGTCAGCGCAGCGCTAGAGACACAGAATCGTGAGTTGTGCCAACTCGCCGAGACCAGACGGGGCAAAATTTGACTGCACGTTGTAGCTCGAGCGAGAGGTGCTGATGCAGATCACCTGGACCGATGGTACTCCTGATTTTGACGACGCGCTGCTGGTATACATCAGAGATGGTGGCGAGTTCGGTGCTATTGTGGTGAACTCGAGACTCGGCTATCATCTCAATCTTAAAGATTCATCTGACGGTCTGAGATCTGTTTGAACAGTAACGTTGATGCTTACCGCGAGTTGCTTTGCAAAAGCAAACAGGTAGGTATGTAGTCCTCTTCTAGTTGTAGTTTTAGTATACGAACCATGCTCCTCTGTCACCATGCAGTCCAGAGAGGAAGCAAATGTAGTCTCCCTTGGGGACGCCGTGAATGTATGTATGTTGTGCTCTCAATAGCCACGTCTTCTACAAACATCTTCCCAAAGATGTCCATGTGTTTCTTCAGAACATTGTAGAAGCAAGTTGATGTCGGAGTGAGAAGCTGCTACGAATACCCGACGCCTCCAGCTGACTGCAGCTTCGCCTAAACGGTGCGTTGCATTAGGCTAGGCAACAGCCGAGAGCTTAATTAAAGCTTTACCCCGCGTGTCGACAAGCGCGCCTTCCAGAAATCGCGTTTCAGTTGCTTTGAACCCCCAAGAAAAAAGTCCTAGCATCCAAATCTGATCTGAACTTCAGACATCATACCTGGTTCTGTTTCATCTGTCGACACACTATTGACGACTCTTTCAACGTCCTACTCCTTATCACCAACCACTCCCCTTCCGCGCTTCTTCCACTCGAACCCAACCCGCCCAACCCTCCTACTCTCCTCCTTTTCACACATCGCTCCCGAAACCCCTCCCCCCGTCACACCGCGCATCCCACAGAGATGCCGCCCAAAAAGCGCAAAGCGGCTACTACTGCTCCCGCAGCTTCTTCCATACTAGCATCATCTTCTACCACCACCACCATGCGTGGCGGCCCAGCGCGCAAGAAAGTCAGAATTGGCGATAATGCTACCGTCATCGGTGATGATGACAACAATAATTACAGCAATCATGAGGCGTCACGCGCAAGCACGCCCGCGAGTACGGGAAGACAGAGACGCTCGACGAGCAATGAGAATCCGCAGTATAACTTCACGAGGCAGAAGGCTGTGGCGAATCTTGGTGGCGATGCACCTGCTGCGCTGAGGCCCCAGGCCAGCAGGGCTAAGACGGCGGCGGCGGCTGCTGCTGCTGGCAAGACGGATGGTGTGAAGAGACGGGGAAGATCGCCAAAGAAGACTGGGGCGGATGAGGGAGGGGAGGTGGAGCTTGATGGTGATGAGGAGACGCCTGTGAAGAAGGGTGCTGAGGGTGGTAGGAAGGGGATTCTGAAGAACAAGAATCCGAACAGTGCTGTGGTGGCTGAGCCTGCTGCTGAGGCTGAGGCTGAAGTCAAGGCTGCGGCTCCGGCGAAGAAAGGGCGTGGTCGACCTAAGCAAGTCGGAAATGCCACTGTCGATGACCGAGAGCCGCTTAAGAAGGTTCAGAAGGGTCGTGGTCGGCAGCCGAAGACGAAGAAGGCGGACGAGGTTGATGGGCTTACCGATGAGGAGGCTCTGCATAAGAGTTCTCTGCTTCACGAGTCTGTCGATCCTGAGATTCAGTATTGGCTTATGAAAGCTGAGCCTGACTCACGCATGGAAAAGGGGGTCGATGTCAAGTTTAGCATCGATGACCTGGCCGCGAAGACTGAGCCTGAAGGCTGGGACGGTGAGTCTAGTCTTTCATCACGTTGGCACACCCGTTAATCATTGTTCTAGGTGTCCGCAACCCCGTCGCCCGCAACAACATGCGTGCTATGCGGGTCAATGACCTTGCATTCTTCTATCACTCCAACTGCAAGAAACCCGCCATTGTTGGTGTTATGCGTATCGTTGAAGAGCACTCGATCGACGAGTCCGCCTTCGATCCTGACCATCCATACTACGACCCCAAATCCGACCGTGCGAAGCCCAAGTGGGAGCTCGTCAAAGTCGACTTCGTCAAGAAGTTCGAGAACGAAATCGGCCTGAAGGAGCTACGCACCTTCGCCAGTCCAGGTGGTGCGTTGGAGAACATGCAGATGCTCAAGCAAAGCCGTCTCAGCGTCAGCAGCGTGAGCCCGGCCGAGTGGCGCTTCATTCTCGAGCAGTTGGGTGAACCCATCGGCCTGGGTCAGCCGTCCAAGAGCGGTGGCTATGAGGGCGATACTGACGGAGAAGTCGAGGCGCAGGAGCTGGAGGATGGTAAGGCGCCAGCTAGTAGCTTTGAGACGCCGGTCAATCGTGTCAATGGTGTGGAGGATGAGAGCAGTGATGGTGAGTTTTCGCTGACTTTGGCCCCCCCCCCCAACACTGGTTGCTGGTACTGATTGGAGCTGACAGGCTCGGCTGCGTAGGCGACCTGAACGCGGACGCGGACGGCCATCTCGAGATGGCGAGAAAGCAGCTGCAGTACACCACTGTGTCGCTTGGTGAGAGTGTCGAGGCAGGGGATCTGAGCTGACGGTTGGGTCCAACATCATGACCCTTGCTGCGGTCGCCTTATATGGCAAGTTGCAAAGTCCGACACGTGCAACGAGTGTCGTACTATTGCCCCTCCAACACCCAACTTTTGCTCCCGCTACACAGGCTAGACAAACAGAGCATACGGGACGGATGCATACACGCGAAATTCGAGATATTCTGGCCCTGCGTGGCGTGTGGCCAGGGAGTGACGAGGGCGATGCAACCAAGAATCAGCCCACGGAATTCGCCATGCACGCACGCGAGAGACGGGGGATTTCTAGAAGGCGACCCTGGCTATTTGAGTCAGAAACTCAAGTACGGTCGGTACAAAGTGCAGTGCAACAAGCACGAGGCAATGACATGAAATGAAAAGCAATGCAAAGCAAAGCAAAGTAAATCACTGCCATAAGCTTAACGTCCACACGCTCTTCGGTACTCCCAATCTGTTGTCTGAGCCTGACAGTGGCATCTAGATAATCTATTTGCGCAGGAGCCGATGCGTTCTCAAGCTTGCTGCTGCAGTGAAGCGTCACACACACACTGTCAGTCGAAAGGCTTTTTCTCTTGCAAATTTTTTCACTCGCGCCAACGAAAAGAATCTTGCTGGTTAGGTAGGGTTGGCGTCTTAATGGTTGGGGCTGGGGTTCGTGTGTGGACTGCGGTGAGTTGCGCGAGGGCTCCAGTTGTGGAAGAGCGATCAATATACTTGTTTCTGTATGTGCTTAGACAAAGACTCGTAGCCGTTAAACACCGGCGGTAGGCTTGCCCACCTGCACTTACTTCCACAGTAGGAGAGGCGCCCCATCTCGTGTACCGGTGCACCCTACGGAAAGCAGTGGTCTAGCAGAAAAGCGCCGTTGCAGAAACCTGGGGACCCCGCTGAATGAATCGCCATGATCCTCTGCAACCACAGCCACTACCACTACTGCCCCTTCTGCTAAACATCACCATCATCACCGCCCTCCTCCAGCGGCTGCAACCCCCACATCCGCACGGGAAACAAGCCCAGCTCCTTCCCGAACCCGCGCTGGACCTCGGTGCGCACGACCCGCCAGCCCGCCTGCGCGAAGCAGTACTCGAATTTTCCGGCGCTGCGCGTCACGCTGCTGTCCTCGTCGTCGTACTGGTCTTCATCGCCGAGCTGCAGGGGGATTTCGTGCGCGATGTCATCGTCGTGGCCGCCCAGTTCTGAGGTGGTGGTGTCCTCACTTGCGTTTGAGATCGGAGCAACAAACCGTCGCCGTTTGCCGTCGCCCGTGACGTTTTCTTTGACGACGACCCAGCCGCGCGGGGAGAGGGCGGGGCGGAGGCGGCGCAGGTACGCGATCAGGGCGGCGTCGGTGAGGTGGCCTAGGCACCACTGGTTCCAGACGAGGTCGTAGTGGCGGTTGGGCTCTGGGTGCCAGGATTCGAGGCCGGTGTTGATGATGCGGGAGATGGTTGGTGGGGAGGAGGTGAAGAGGGCTGGGTGCTCCGCGCGGAGTTGGTCGGTGAATTTGGTGATGGGCTCGATTACGTCGACGGAGGTGCTTAGGGGCGCGAGGAGGGAGGTGGTGATGCGCCCTATGCCGGCGCCGGTGTCGGCACTGAGGTTTCTGGAAGGGAAGATTAGTCTGGTTTGGCGGTGCGGATTGGGTTGAGATGGAAATGGGAAGGTTGGACGGGCATGTATGCATTGATGAGATCGAAATGTGTTGATTTGGGGTGTTGTGGGAGACGGCCAGACAGGTATCAATGCAATTACGCCAGTGTACAAGATGTAGCCAGGAGGGCAATGCAAGAACACGGCTGCCATGCCGGCATGTTCCGCAACTGGTGCAAACATTATGGCTTGATCAGATTTGACATGTGTGGTGGACGTTACCGGGCAAGGGCGGTGTCTTGTGGGCGCTCATGCTGTCCTTGGTTTGCCATGACCCGATAGTATCACCATCCGAGCGCTCATCGCCTTGGCTGGCACTTATGTACACCGGGAAAAAGGTCCCACTTACAGTTTCTTGCCCGGAGCTGGAGAGGGGCATGGATTTGATATTCGCAGTAGTTTCACAAGGAAAGTGCGCGAGCCAGTGATATCGATTCGAGACACTTGTGGAAAGCCACCGAGCATGCCGCTCACCGTAGAGGGCGTTTTGTTCCAGTAGGCTATTGAATTATGTGGCTTGATGAGTGAGTCGGGTGTTAAAGGGTGGGACGTTCCGGACACGGGGGGTCCCGATTCGTCCGACATTGAGCTGGCCGTCGATTTTTTGGAGATTCTGTAGCGTGATCTGGTCGTTAACGGCAACCAGGTGTCTATATGGCAGTTCGGGGCATGTGAGAGGTGTTGTGTGCGTAAACACGTCAAAACGCCCCATGGGAACAGCAGCCTCGTTACTCGACGCTTGGAAAGCTTGGCATGAGAATGGCTTGGCATTCAGGCAAACACGCCGAGATGATGACTTGCTCTCACTCCAATGACAGCAAGCTGTAGGCACGCCCGTTTGCCTGATACAGTTCCAGAACAGCGTGTCATATTACCGATACCGTAAGAGATGGTAAATCTGTCTGTTCCATCGGTCAGATATCGGGGATTAAGACTTCAAAGTGACAGGTAGGTGTGACAACCACGCGGCGGATCGAACAACGACAAAATGGCGTGCATGAAGCAAACAAGAGTTAAAGTGGCACCTAAGGGCTGCGCTGGGAACGTAGTGTGGCACACTGGGTGCAGAGTGTGGGTGTACTACGCAAGCTAGATCCCTGGAATGTGGCTGCAGCTGCGGCTGCAGATCGAGGGCGCTCAAAAGGGAAGGTACTGCCCCGCTTACGCCCAACGCGCTGCTTGAACGTCATTGTGAGCGTTTACCACGATCTTGGTGCGATGCAGTAGTGTCCACAGCTTTCGGAGTGAATGTTGTCCAAGGCCGACGGCTGATAAGCGTAGCGCGCCACGATGCCACAGCTGTTGCCACTGGCACGTGGCTTAACCAGAGCATGGGGCTGCCAAGGGCCGCTGGCAGAGCTGGCTGTCAAGGAGCCTTCCACTTGCAAGATCTTGCGCCTCCGCTGGCGATAATGGCCAACAGCGATGGTACCCGTCTGTCTGCATAGATTCGATCCTTTGATCGTCCACACGGATCAGTCTACAGACTGCAGTGCTACAAAGGCGTACGGTATCCCAAACCCTGCAGCGCACAGCGGCCTATCGATAAGGCGTTTTGCCCCGCCGCCGGAACATTTGCGGAGGAACGCGCCAGCGAAGCGAGCTCCCCTAAGCTCCCAGCTTCAAGCACCGAGCAACACCGGCCCGTGCAGCAAAGGCACCAGTAACCATATTCTACTGGGCAGCGTTCGTTTACTACATCTATTGACAGTCTAGCCGGATCCGAAGACCTGTTCCCTTTATCTATCGGCGTGGCTTACGAAACGAGACATTGATGAAGTCGTCCTTCTTGCGGTCCACTACCCCTCTCTTCAATTTTTCTTTTTGCGCCCGGGTCTCAGTCCGTTATACGCAACCTTTTTACTTGATCTCGCAAGCCTATTCAAGACCCTTTTCATCTTCCAAATCATCCAGTATGGCAGATCTCAAGGTTGATCTGACTGCCCCCAACGGCAAGAAGATCACGCTTCCCACTGGCCTTTTCATCAACAACGAGTTTGTCAAAGCTACAGGTGGACAAACCATTACGAGTATCAGTCCAACGTGAGTTGGGCCTTCCGGATGGATGCTGACGGCTGACATGGATAGCGATGAGTCGGAGATAGCCACTGTTGAGGCTGCCTCTGCTGATGACATTGATAAGGCAGTTGCGGCAGCACGGGCTGCCTTTGGCGATCCAGCATGGCGAGAGCTGCCCAACACCGACCGTGGTGCTCTGATGTACAAACTCGCTGACCTGATTGAGGAGAATAAGGAGATCCTGGCAACCCTGGATACTTGGGACAATGGCAAACCATACCAGGTAGCTCTCAACGAGGATCTAGCAGAGGTCACCGGTACTATTCGTTACTACGCAGGCTGGGCAGACAAGATTCACGGATCAACCATCCCAACTACTGGAGCCAAATTTGCCTATACACTGAAGCAGCCCATCGGCGTCTGCGCCCAGATCATTCCTTGGAACTACCCCTTGGCCATGGCGGCGTGGAAGTTGGGTCCTGCCCTCGCTGCTGGCAACTGTATAGTTCTCAAGCCTGCCGAGCAGACGCCCCTCTCGATTCTATACTTTGCCCAGCTCATTCCAAAAGCGGGCTTCCCTCCTGGTGTCATCAATATCGTCAACGGTTACGGTCGTGAAGCCGGACAAGCCCTCGCCTCTCATCTCGACATTGATAAGATCGCCTTTACCGGGTCCACCGCCACCGGCAAACAGATCATGAAGACTGCCAGTGTCAACATGAAGAATATTACCCTCGAGACCGGCGGCAAGTCACCATTGATCGTGTTTGACGATGCCGACTTCGAGCAGGCCGCCAAATGGGCGCATGCGGGTATCATGAGCAACCAGGGCCAGATCTGCACTGCTACCTCACGAGTTCTTGTCCAGGAGAGCATCTACGACAAATTCGTTGAGAAGTTCACCGAGACAGTCAAGTCGACATCAGTAGTTGGCGACCCCTTCAAGGATGACACCTTCCAAGGTCCTCAGGTGACCAAGGTGCAGTACGAGAGAGTGCTCGGCTATGTCGAGACGGGAAAAAGCGAGGGTGCCAAATTGTCTCATGGTGGTGTTCCTTACAAGAACGTGGGAGAGGGCAAAGGATATTTCATCGAGCCCACCGTGTTTACGGATGTGCAGCCGAGCATGAAGATCTATCAGGAGGAGGTATTCGGCCCGTTCGTCGTGCTTGTCTCCTTCAAGGATGAAGCAGAGGCCATCAAGCTGGCAAACGGCACAACGTACGGGCTTGGAAGCGCAGTATTCACGCAGAATATTGAAAAGGCACACCGTGTGGCGCAGAAGATTGAGGCTGGTATGGTTTGGATCAACAGCTCGCAAGATAGCGATTTCCGGGTGCCTTTTGGTGGTGTTAAGCAGAGTGGTATTGGGCGGGAGCTTGGTGAAGCCGGCCTGCATTCGTATTTGCAGGAGAAGGCTGTCCATGTCAACATGGGCACCAAGCTCTAGGGACTTGGGACATCACTCCAATTCATACAACAGTCCAACAACCCAACAGAAACAATGCCAACCATCAGCAGTAGATGCATACATGTATTCATTTTACTGCCTCGCGCTAACCCATATCCGGACGCACCGGAAGGCGAGTGCCAAGACGCTCCAAATTACCTGATGGAAATGTCCTGCTTCCCGGCGCTTTCCACCTGCTACCCTTCCCCAGCTTACCCCGTAACACAATACCCCGGGTCTTTGTATTTGCGGCTATCTCCTGTTGGCGTGTCCAATATGCTGAAGCCCGTCCACTGCAGCCGGCAGTTGTTATTCTGATGATTGCAGCTCTATCATCCAACTCGGGCCTTATCTCTGTGCCATGTCTGCCACATCCGCGCCTTTCCAAGCTCCACAGCTCGGAAACCGGCCGTCAAACTCGCAGCGGCAATATAAGCGATCGTACATGGCCTGTGTACGTCTCTTGCTTTCTCCTACGGCTATACTAACGTGACCAGATACGATGCCGCCAGACCAAAGCTAAATGCGAGATCTCCCCGGAGTCTGCCGCGTGTGTGAAGTGTCTGCGCGAACGGCGCGAATGCGTCTTCACCGCTGAGAGATCGACTAAGAAACGGAAGTTCAGCTTCCTTGATGGCAACTCGCTACAGTCAGGTCAGCATCAGCATCAGCATCAGCACCAGCATTCAAACAGCACGACCAGCGTCTCCTCGCCTGTGAAGCAGGAAGTCGTGTCTCAGGTAGCGCGAGCAAACGGCAATCACCGGCCTGATCATCAGCCTCGCGGCGGCACTGCCTCCGAAGCCTACGAAACTGACGTTGTTCACACTGTGGTATCGAGCTCACACGATGCGCTCGGCTTGCTGTTCAAGGCTGTTGAACAGCAAGAAGCGGACGATGGACGAGCCCGCTCCGCCCCCGACTCGAATGGTGACGACTCTCCCGCAACCATCTCCTCTATCCGTGGCTTACCCATCACTCCGTCCAACTTGATCGCATCTGCGCCGGGCGTCTTGTCGTTATGGAAGCAGCATCGCTTTGTGAAGCAAGGCTGGCTTTCGCCCTCCGAAGCTGCTAGCTACGTCGAACTGTAAGATTTCTCTCCGACACGAACATGTGCTAGTCTCCACCTTTCTGCAGGCCTTGACTGACTTCATTAGCTTCTTCCGTAATGTAGCTATCCTCTCACCTCTGGCATCTGCATTGTCAGAGGAAGCCTGCAGACAGCGGACTTTCATCCTTGGGGAACCATTGCTCTGTACCACGATCCTGCTGATCTCGACCCGTTACCATGTACTCCACGGCATGAGCGGTGCGTCTCGAGCCGATTTTCTCCACAAAAGACTGTGGAACGTCGCTCAGTCACTAGTTCAGCGCATCACCTTTGGTCAGGACAAGTTTCCGTCTTCTTCTCGCTCTCTCGGGAGTATCAAGGCACTGCTGCTGTTGACCGAATGGTTTCCAAGAGCGCTCCACTTTCCGCCTGAGAGCGAAGGCTGGGATGCTAGCTTGGCCTCAGATGTGGATGAGAGCGAACCTCAGATGAATGAACAAGATTCCGCCGAGCAAGTACGCTGGAGAGAAGAAGTCTATGAGCCGGCACAACGCTCCGACCGTATGAGCTGGATGCTACTCGGACTTGCCGCTACCCTCGCGCATGAGCTTGGCATATTTGAGGAGTCGCCTGACGGTGACCCGTACGAAATCTCGCCCTTAGTGAGAGTACAGACCCGGAGGCTATTGTTCCTGTACGTCTCGCAGCTGTCATTGCGTCTGGGCTGCAGTAGCCTGTTGCCTCAAGGTATCACCATGTCGTTGACTTACCCATCTGCTGCTTGGCAAGACCCGATCTCACAGGATTGGGACCGGCTGGTGTCATTGTGGATTGATATAACCAAGCTACGAAAGGCGACTACCGAGATGTGCTTTCCAAGCAAGTCATCCACACGTAACTTGATGGGCTCCGGCAGGTACAGCGGCATTCTGGACCACTTCCGGCCACTCTTCGCCGAGTGGCACAAGCGTTACACCGATTTCAACCCGCGGGCTCTACCCAACTCGTCGAAGCTAATGGTCTTTCTCGACTACTCGTATGTTCGCATGTACACCAACTCATTGGCTATCCAAGCTGTGGTGGAACGAGCGAAGACTAAGATGCCGGTCACTGCGCTAGACTACGACTTTCTCAAGAAGGAAAATCACCATGACTATCTCTTCATTCAAGAGGTCGTAGACGCTAGCCGCAGCGTGCTTCAAATTGCGGTGGATTTGGCGGAGGCTGATATCCTGAGATTCTGTCCTGCTCGAGTGTTTATTAGCATCACCTCGGCGTCAGTCTTTCTCCTCAAAGCCATCAGTCTTGGAACCAGAAGGTCTGATCTGCAGATATCTCTGGAAGTTCTTGACAAGTGCATCTATGCGCTCAAGACGAACATATGCGACGACATACACTTATCATCACGCTATGGGCTACTCTTGGAGCGTCATGTTCGCCGCTTCCGGCACAATTTCCGGGTGCAAAAAGACTTCGCACCATCCACCCCTGTTGCGTCTGGCCGCCGACCATCTATTATGGAAGTACCCCCTGCGACACCTCAGAACCAACAGGATCAAAGTCAAGTCCAACCCAATGCAACAGGAGCGCCGCCAGTAGGTGTGATACATTTTGATGAAGCAGACATGCAAAACGGCTTTCCAACGGACATGGACGACTGGCTTGCGCAGCCGTTCGATGCTTCATTTGCGCCCTTTGGTGCTGATGTTGACCAGGGCTTTACAGGCCTTGACCTGGGATCGCTGGATTTCCTCTGGAATTTGCCCCCTTCAACCTGAAAATCTGTGGTTCAAACTACTTCGCTGTCTTGACGTGTGTACAGTTTTTACCCAAACTCAACTTCGGACCTCCTGGGTCTGCGAATTATAGTCCGCCACTTCTTTCTGCATAGCCTCCTTTACGATACTACCACAAAGTTTTGCGTACGGGTTGGTTCTGACGGCAAGCTGCCTCGCAGTATCGTTTCCATATCGACCTCCGAGTGTAAACTCTCGACTTGCCATTTCCTCCAGGCCGTCCTTGTCGAGTCTGTGAAGGTTGGGTACGGAGCTGATAACAGCTTTCGCTAGCTTCGCTGACCGCGAGGCGGAGTACAACAAATATCCTCGATGAGTATGCGCAGAAGCCAGCACCTTGGCGTCCATGGCTGGCACAGGAGCCAATGGATTCTTTGGAGTTGCAAGATCGATGGCGTGTGAGAGGTCATCAAGTACCATCCTCAACTCCTGCACCTGCTGGCACAGCTGTTCAATGTCGTACAGCATCCTTCGCGTTTGAGCTCGGTTGTTCCACGCCGAGGCATATGTCGGGTTGTTGTGGATAATTGTGTCTAACTGCGAGATTGACTTCCAAATGTCGCTTTCCGACGGTTCCTCCTGGTTCAAAGGCAAGAGCGCTTCTCGCTCTGCTGCCTGAATGGATTGAAGTTCCGGAATTGCGGCTTGTGATGGAATTGTGTCGCTGATTTGTGTGCTGTTTGAGAGAGAGGATTCTGGGTCGAACAGTGCGCCGAGCACGGCGTTATCGTTGAAGCTGAGTTGGGTTGCGCTTGCCATTGCTCTATCCACCTTAGGCAGGGAATTCGTCGAGACTCGACACGGGTGAGGTGTATGACTATGATGGTCGCTTCTGGCGGGTGTACAGGTAAACGAATCCTGGTAGTATGGGAGTAAAGTGATGCTGACAGCTAGTCAAGGATACTCGTTGCCGACATGTATATCTCTTGGAACAGCCGCGCTCGCATACCGGACGCTGTTCAAGGCGCATTGGTGGCCACGAAGAAAATATCCGGTCCGTGAGTATCCGGACATCTTGGCCACCTTTGTTTGTCCCTCGCTTCCGATACGTCACCCCAAACTCCGCTCCCCACAATTGAACAAAGGCGGATGCTCGGCTACTCCAGAATGCTTGCGCTGGTGCTGGTGCAGGCCTGTATCCGGGCACAACGCCTTGGTCAGCCGGATATCGCAGTGCTGCACTGGTCATCTAGCAACTCCCGATGTTATATGATGACCGTGCGATACGTGATCTTGCATTCAGCTTCAACGCACAAATCATCAACACTTCTCAAGCACTCGGATAATTTGACATTATGGCACCCATCGCACTATCGCCAGAGCTCGGGCCTACCACCCTTCCAGCAAAGAAGAATGGACCTCTATCGACCCCCCTGAACAACGAGTCGTCCCAGTCGCTAGGGTCATATGAAGGATATGATCACGTCCACTGGTACGTGGGAAATGCAAAGCAAGCGGCTGCTTATTACACATCCCGCATGGGCTTCACCAAGGTCGCATACCGAGGGCTCGAGACCGGCTCTCGCCACATCGCTTCCCACGTGGTGAAGAACGGCAATGTCTGCTTCGTCCTCACATCACCTGTCCATTCTCCAGAGACGCGCTTACCACTGAGTGACGCTGAGCGGGACGAGCTAAGGAAAATTCACGCCCATCTCGAGGCCCATGGTGATGCCGTACACGATGTTGCTTTCGCGGTCGATGATGCAGAGGCCGTCTACAGCGCTGCCGTCAAGCGTGGCGCGTCAGTCGTGTCACCACCTGCAGTATCGTCGGACAGCAGGGGATCGATAGTGACTGCCCGAATCCGCACCTACGGTGACACGACACACACGCTCATCCAACGCTCCGATTACCCTTCAGACCTATTTTTCCCGGGCTACCGGCAGATCACCACCGTAGACCCCGCGGCCAAGTACCTCCCGCCCGTCAAGCTATCACACGTCGACCACGTGGTCGGCAACCAAGACTGGGATTCCATGGAAGAGGCATGCGACTACTACGAACGAACGCTGGGCTTCCACCGCTTCTGGTCAGTCGACGACAAGGACATCTGCACCGACTACTCGGCGCTGCGATCGGTGGTGATGGCCTCTGCAGACGAGAAGATCAAGATGCCCATCAACGAGCCGGCCGTCGGCAAGAAAAAGTCCCAGATCGAGGAGTACGTGGATTTCTACGGTGGGGCGGGCGTGCAGCACATTGCGCTCCGCACCGACGACATCATCACGACGGTGCACAACATGATGGAGCGGGGCGTCGAGTTCATCACCGTCCCCGCCACGTACTACGCGGCCATGAAGGAGCGGCTGTCGCGCTCGGGCCTCAAGCTCGACGAGGACTTTGACCGCCTGCAGGAGCTCGGCATCCTCATCGACTTTGACGAGGGCGGCTATCTGCTGCAGCTGTTCACCAAGCATCTCATGGACCGCCCCACGGTTTTCGTGGAGATTATCTATCGCAATAATTTCGAGGGGTTTGGCGCGGGGAATTTCAAGAGTCTGTTTGAGGCTATTGAGCGGGAGCAGCAGGAGAGGGGGAATTTGTGAGTGGATATAGAAGAGCGATGGATTGGTTTTGTCGCAATGGCTGTATCGACGAAAGAGGCTCGCGCGGCGACGTATACTCCTACCATCTAATGATCATACGTTTGCACACAAGGGGTAACGCTTTTGTTGATGGTACTAGCATGTCCCAGATGGATGTGCACTGTGAACCTGCTGCCTCCGAGCGACTGATCGAACGCGCCCTGTGGGGAAGGCCACCTGCTTCTTTCGGCAAGTCCTCAGCTTTCATCGGCCTGAACAGCACCAAACCACTCGGCCATCCAGCCCAGGCTTGGCTTGGTCGGCGCTCACCCGCCCTCACAGATCTGCCGGCCCTGCCTGCACCACACTTCATCTTCCTCAATCTAGTGCGATCTGTACCCAGCTGGCCTCCAATCGATGCGACGCAACTGTCGCAATAACGGAAGAGCTGGAACCTATGGCAGAAATTATTGGAGTCAGAGTGGGTAGCCGTATACGGTAGGTGGAATGCCGTTTCAGGTATCTAGGCAGCTTTCAGCGGCAGAGCCTAACGCCAAAACCACTCGGCCACTTGGCAGGGCTGAGCGCGGGCGCTCCTAAGGGGCGCATCCTCGAAGAAGTAAGCGATCTACCGGTTTAGGGGGTCTTTGGCCAGCTTTCATGGGCCGTACGCCCCAGTGACGCCCCAAACAGTGCTCCCTGCAGATGCAAGCTGCAGGCTTCCTGCTGGGCAACACTGCTGTCGGCCCACTGCTTCTTCATGAGATCCGAGCCGCGATCGCAACTCGCGTACTCGTACGTCCTGCTGGCCAGCTCGATCACCCGACCACAGAATACGCCAACCGACTGAATGTCGTTCTTCCTGTGCAATATAGCCCAATATCAATCTGCATTGTCAGCGGACGCCTGTCAGACGTTCCAAATGTCTAGGAGCTGTCACCCATCCGCATCGACTCCATAGAATGACCCAGCCCCTGGAGGCTGCGTGGATCTGGATAAGCTCCCCGCCATCAAGCAGGGGTCTCTCCAGGGCCCGCCCCGCTATTGGTGTCGCCTGGAGCGATGGGCCTAGGCTGTCCCCAATCACACGCTCGCTCCTCCGTGACCCTGGGCCTTTCAGCTTCAGCCAAACCGCCGGTAGCTAGCTTACTGAAGGGAGAGGAGGGGTGCTGTCGTCGACCACCCGGCGCTGTTATAAGCCACCGAGAGGACGGCGGTTTTTTATCTCTTCGTAAATTCCCCTTTCCCTACAAGTCGAAAGGTCGTGCCCTGTACAGATTGCAGCATCCGTAAAAGCATCATTCATTCACCATGTACAAATTCACCGCTGTCCTACTCATCGCCTCTGTCGGTTTTAGTGCCGCACAATCCCTGGCTGGTCTTCCCGCATGTAAGTGACTCAACTACAATGCTGTCCCACAGTGAATAGCAAGGCAATCAGGGCAGCACCTGGCATCCACTGCCTACGGAATACTACCTGTGCCACCCAAGACATCGGCATCCACCCCCGCAAATCGTCGCTCGTAGCACGCTCGCTAACATCGCATTCTCCACTTCAGGTGCCATAGATTGTGTCCGTCAAGGCCTCCCCTCGAACTGCAACCTCGACCCCAAGTGTACGTCCCTCCCCCATTCTCCACGACCCTTTCTTGTGATCTTGCGCCATCACAACAAAATACACCTACATCCGCGCAAAAGAAAGCAACAAGCAAGCCAAAAAAATGGAAGACTGATCGGGAATACCTAGGCATCTGCTCCTCCAGCTCTTTCATCGACGCCATCTCCTGCTGCGTCGCGGGCGCCTGCAGCGTCAACGACCAGAACGCCACCCTCACCTACGCCCGCACCATCTGCGAGCCCGCGGGCGTATCGGACCTTGTACGTTCCCCATCACACTCCCAACCAACAACTCCCACTCTACACACCTTCCCCTTTCCTTCCCACTCCCCACCCAAAGACCCGACCAACCCTAACTCCCCCTTCCACCAGCCCTCAGCAGCGACCTGCGCCCCCGGCGCCTCCTCTTCTTCCTCCGGCAGCAGCACCGACAGCAGCAGCGCCACCTCCTCCGCCTCCGACGCCGCCTCCTCAGCATCCGAGTCCGCCAGTTCCGCGACGTCCAGCGCCAGCGAGGCCGGCAGCAGCGCGAGCTCCAGCGCCGCGGCCGCCGCGACGGACAGTGACTCGGGGGCCTCGGCGAAGGGGCTGGGAGCGCTGGGTGCGGGGTTGTTGGGCGTTGCGGCTCTGCTTTGATCTGAGATAATCGGTTTGGGGATAGGAGGATGGGGGTGGAGGTGGAGTGGAAGGAGGGTAGATGATGGAAGGGCAAGAAATGAAGGAAGGGGGATACAAATGGTGGGGGGCCATGTAGTGAACAGCAGGATAGCGCGAGCTGGGACAAAGTGGTGAGATTGAATATATATGAATCATTTGACGACTTGTGGCTGAGGTTACTGTGTGCTTCGCGGCTGTCTTGGAACGGCAAGGGAAGGGAATGTGCTGCTTCTTCTGCTGACAAGGACAGAACTCCGTCGGTCAAGGACCTTCTTAGGGTAAAGTGAGTCTCATTTCTCGGTCCACTGAAATCCAGCTGACGCTCCTTAGATGACCATATGTCAGGCTTCGTTACAACTCCGCTTTCTCGACGCCAGTGATCCTTCTGAAGTCTGCCATGACATACTCCCACACCTTGCTAGCCGTGCCATCCTGTCTATAGCGAGCAAGCAGCTCCTCAACGGCTGCAGACGCAACCTCTGTTCGTGCACCAACCGAGTACACTCCACCACCACCAACCTTCCCATCGACGGACCTCGCCATCTCGACTCCAGCACCAAGTGACACACCAGCCGGCACATGATCATCTCTTACCGGCCCAGCTGGGAATGCCGCACTCGTCGCCAAAAACAGATGTCGCTCCCCACACTCCTCCGGTGACACGCGAACCCACGGTCCCAACAGCCACGCAACCGCCGTCATGATCGTGATGCCCCAAGACGGTACCGCCTCGCGCGTGATCCCGCTCTTGACCACGCCCGGCGCGACATGCATGAAGCTGATGTTTGTATGATTCGTCATTTCCCCTGACGCAGCAGCTCCGTGTTTGCTGCTACCATTATAGTGGCTGGCCATTTCGTACAGCAGCAGTGACTGCATCGCCGACGTCTGGTTCCGCCACGTTCGCAGCGGAAGGCCCACGCCGGCAAGATTGGAGGTGTCGATCTCGCCTTCATAGGTTGCGGCGAGGACGCTGACGATGCGACGCAACGGAGGTTGTTGGGCTTCGGTTTGTGCGGCCTGCAACAGAGGCTGCAGATTGAGTATGAAGCGCATGCGAGAGTGTGTGGTAAGGGTTGGGCCAAGGGGGAGGCCTTCACTTGTTGCTGTTGGAAGAGCGTCAGTGGCTTTGATTCATGTAGTAGGTCAAGGGTTGGAGTCAGGGTCTGGCAGTGGGAAGCATTACGTACTTGCGGTAAAAGCCATGCTGCCCTGGCTCAAGACGAGAATATTGAGGGCGGACTCTTTGCTTGCAATGCGGCGGCAGACATCATCAATGGCCTTGATGAGGCTGACATCGGCTTGTATGAATTCAACCTTAAGTGTGTGGTTGAGCCGCGTGCACTCGGCGATGATACGGTTGGCGGCGTCTTCTGATCGACCTATGATATAGGCTCGGGAGGAAGCGGGTGCATATTTGGCATACGCTTTGACGGTATACTCACCGACCCCGCTAGTGCCACCAACAAAGACGGCCACGAGTCCCTTGGGGAATGTTGAAGCAATGCGGCTGTTGGATTCTACAATGGCCGAAAGAGGTACCATGGCGCGTGACAGTTGAAGTAAGTCGAAGGGACTTTGGTTTGACTGATCGGACTAGGTCACAAGGAAAGACAGAGATGGGAGAAAGGACCATTGCGACCTAGGAGGTCTCTTATTTATCTACTGATGCCGGCCTATATACTTGCTCCTTCCAATGTATGGGGTTAGCGTCGGGTTTACGAAGAAGTCGTGAAACCTGCAAAGAGTCCGGTTTTCCGGTAACACTACTGAGCTATGAAGACTGCAGAGCGTCGATGAACCCTTGAAGCATTCGACGTGGAGTCCATACCGTGCAGCAAAGTGGGTCGTTGCCCTCGTGGAGCTCGTATCGCTCTGTTAGGAATAGTATCACTGCTCGGCCTTAGGAACGGACTTTGCAACTAGTCACGGATCACCTTAGAATCTATACAGCTTCTGTCGTCCATTGCATTTCATCGATGTGTCGTTCAAGATCATCGCACAGGCCCGCAAATGCCAAAAGGGGCGATACGAGTACAGCCCTCTCAAGGAAAGCATGCTCAATTACTTACAGACGGAATGGGTAATAATATATTCATCATCAACACCGTCAAGTGGGGACAGCCTCTGTTCTCAGTCTCTAGTCAAGATCCAGGACGGCAGCGACGAGTCCACCAGAAGTCCAAGAGTCAGTGATCATGAGAGTGTCGTCTCAGTAAGCTCATGATGCTGACGTGCTGTTCCCAGCTGGGTGCCACAACTGCAAGAGACGAAAAGTGAAGGTTCGTATCAGACAGGTCGTTGGCAACAATCATAAACACTGATGGTGGCAGTGTGATGAAGGCGAACCATGTGTGAATTGTGTTCGACGCGGCCAGCGTTGTCAGCGGCGGTCTGCAATACTGGCAGTACACACACCTCGACCACTGCATATAGCCGGATCTCCCTGTCAGCGACCCGTCAATCGTTCGTTGATGCCATTGCAACACAAGTTGATCCAGCACTTCAGCACCAGCACACGACATACGCTTGCGTACGGACCTGACTTCTGGAACTACTCAATGCAGCTATCGTTCGAATTTGGGTTCCTGTTGGATGCAATTCTCTGCGTTGCGGCACGACATTTGTCCTTTGTCCACCCGGAGCATCCATGTCTACCAGGCATAGCCTCTAAACAGTTCTCTGCAGCGCTGACCAAATTCCATCGCGCGTTATCTGTAGGCTGCAGCTCGATGCACATCGACGCGTTCATAACCACCTCGTTGCTCCTTGGTTACGAGACCTGGAGCCACAGCGATTTCAACCTCTCTCGCAGTAATGCCTCGATCTCTTCCGGCCCCTCAAGCGGCCACATGTTTGGCTTCTGCGCCAGTCTGAAGCAGGCGCTATTGAAGAGTGTTCCGCAAGCCCTTGATCAGCGATCGGAGACTGCCCCACGGATCCGTGCGTGTGCAACGGAAACATCTGCTGATCTGGCGCAAGTCTGCCCCGATTCGCGAGAGCGATTGCGTCAAGCCATCGCCCGTGAACCCTCAGACCGAACAGCTACGAGCCAAGACGTGACTAAGGTCACCGAAGATATATATGCGCCTGCGATCAGCCAGCTGTGCCTGATCACTTCCCTTATGGGTGAATTTCGCAGCTCCAAATCCGCCAACGCCGACCCAGCTCTCCTTGTGAAGTTGTCAAGATGCGTCTTCCAATTCCCTGTACTATGTACTAGCGACTTTGCCTCTTTGATGCAGAGAGGCGACCCGGGGGCTCACCTCCTGCTCCGCCACTTCAATCAGATTGTCCTTGCTTTTCCCCGCGCAGATTTATTCTGGTGGATACAAACGACCCTCAGTGTTGGAGAACGCTCTATATGATGACCATACCGAAGTGTACCTTTGCGACCAGCTAAGAACCTCCAGTACGGCGACGTAACGTACCTAGACAGTTACCCTTCACGCTTCCTTCATATTGCCAAGAGGCAGTGAAAAGACTCCACTTTGGATGGAAATAATGGGGTCGCACAGGCGATAGAGCTCAAGCTCAGAAAGATTCGATCAACCGAGCACCTGGATTGTGCACAAGAGTCAATGCAGAAACGTGATCTCGAAATTAAAGTTTCGCCAAGAGGCAGTAAAAATGCTTCACTTTGCCGGTGGCCGTAGTCGCGCGCCAGGATAACGTTGTTGCAGCTAGATCGCGCTAGTACGTGCCATCGCCCTTCAGCTTCGTATAGCCAGGAAACTGGCTGAGCTGGCTATCATCTATCTTCTCCAGCTGTGGACAGCCCAGCTGGACCAGCGTGTCTCCCAGACTATCAGTGATTTTATTGACCGCACCCGTCACGTCGCTCAAGAGCCCCTTCAGCAGGTCGGGAGCATTCAGGATCGCGGCCTGGTAGGCGAAACAGGCCAGGTTGTTGCCCTCGAGGAGGTTCTTGGCATTGTACACCCCGCCGGTCAAATCCTGAAGGTTCACGCCCGTGAATGAATTCGGCGTGCCGGTGTTGCCGCCGATGTCGAGGAACTGCGGATGCGCCAGCGCGATTGTGTTGAGATCCAGTGCGAAGAAGGGGATGGTGTATTCGTCCCCGAGGGCGCGCTTGTACCAGTTCTCGGGGATGCGTTCGTGGCCCGGCGTGTAGGTAAAGTCACCCTCGTCGCCGGTGATGGAGAAGAAGGATTTCAGCACCTCTTTGTTGAGGATGCCTTCGGGGTGTTCGGCCGACTTGTTGCCCATGAAGCGGAAGATGAAGGTGTAGGCCGCGGGCTGGACAGCGACGCCCGAGAAGGGGCCGTTGAAGAAGTAAGGGTTGTTTTCGATGGACTGCTGGAAGCGCTCGACACGGAAGTCGGTGAGGACGTCGAGGTCGTAGTTGGCCTGGTCGTCGGGGACATGCGATTGTTTGGCGTAGAGCGCGGCGAATTGTGGCACCTGCACTAGGTCGTCGTTGCCGTATTGGTAGAGGTCGCCGCGGGTAGGAGAGACGTCGCTTTCGTATTTGTTGTGGGAATTGCTGATGCCGCGTGGAGGACTTAGGATGCCTGAGAGGAGCCCCCCTGGTGGCGGACCGCCGATTGACCAAGATGTCAGATCTCCGTCCATGACGGCGCCGTAGGTGGAGAGAAAGGTGGCGAGGTCAATGCCCATGCCGAAGACTTTGTTGGTGGCTTCGACAAATTCGCCGATGGTGGCAACGCCATCGTGAGGGATGTAATTGTGGTTGGCGAGGGCGTTCAGGCCAGGGCAGGGGCCTCTAAGGTCGCCGTGGCCGGGTGGGAGGAAAGCATGATCGCCTGAGACATCGATGCGCTGAGCTTCTGCGTCGAACCCTGGAAGGATGCCGTTGATGCGCTTCTTGATGGTGCTGAACATAGATCGCGAATGCTTCTGCTCGAATTTCGCACCTAGATGGGGGAATGCTAACGCTTGATGCGCAGCTCCGATCCCAGCTACGACAGCAGCAAGGTGAAGTTTCATCGTGATACAGAAATGAGTGACTGAATAATATGATGTGTTGAACGAGTGATGAAGAAAGTAAAGAGAAGTCCGCAACGACTTGAAGTCATCCCGGTGGCATCTGTGAACATATAGGTAGCATCAAGGGGTTACCCCTCCACTCTGCAAGTGCTAGCATTCCACTTTCATCCATCCAATCCAAGCATAGGTAATCGTAAACCATGTCAATGACCCGGAGAAAATGAGATCCACCCCTTGTCTGATGCGTATACATTCTCTGTAGAACTGCAGACTCCTTATGAGGCACAGACAAAAATACCTCGGTATCCTCTATTTAGGTTTCCCAGATGCATAAGTTTCGTTGATCTCCTACCTGTTCCAGCTTTGTAATTTCGGTGATGGATCGCTTTAGGCTGTATGATGACAGTGGTAGCCGGCAGACTCCTCCAAATGGGAGGAGAGAGACCCCTTGACCTGCCTATTTCGATGAGCCCTCCCCGGAACCCCAGAATTCGAAATTGCTTGGTGCAGTGAACCCCATGTTATGCACATTGTGGGGCCGTCCAACGCTGACAATTCGTCCGTTTACCGCCGATCATGTTGCTCGCACAGTACTCCCCAACTACTCGATCGCCATTCTGTCCAACATGTTACGATCCGAGGAGATTGTAGTAGATCTGGTGCCACGGAGGTTCTTTCTCCGTGACCAGGCTGAGACATATCCATGTGAGGCACGTCGATCGTAGTAGCATACTGTCTCTATCTCCTCACGACTCTCGTGGGAGCACAGGGACTGTTGATCGTAGTGACAAGCTGCGTTTAGAGCTTGCAGCAGATGGGAAAGGTAGAAAATCGCCGGGGCATAGATTGACGTCAAAGTCTGCCAAGACAGTCCCCAGAAGACGGCGAAGCTTGACTGAATTTCAGTGGCCTCGGCCTCTGTACACCGGTGTCCCCATCACAGACCCTTGACCGCGTCCCGATGTGTTGAGTAGCCCATATGAAGTTGTACTGATGCTAGGAACGAGCAGTCGCTGCCAAACAAACGCACTAATACTAGTACCCATGCTGCGTTGATTGAAGCAACGGCTGCGGGGAGCCGAACCTGTATACAGGCCTGTCGGCTCGCCCGGCGCGAAGATGCCGAATGATAAACATACACACTAATCGAGGTATCTCTAGCATTGAGAGCAATGTTCACAGACCGGTGCAAATCCGAGACGATCCATTGAAGACCGCTTATCGTGTGCTATAAAGTGCATACCAGGTCTCGCACGATGTGGACAAGGACTCTCCCCTCAATCTGTCGGCGTCGAGTATCAAAAATGGCAGTAAACACCCACCAGTCTCCTGAAGAGATAAAGAAGCAACATTCAGCTCTCGCCGCAGACGTTGAGATAGTAGAGAGCACAGCCATCATGACCGTCGACTCTGCAATCGAGCGACGCATCAAACGCAAGGCAGATCTCATCATCCTCCCCACTCTTGCCATCACTTACCTCTTCAAGTTCGTCTCCTCCACCCCATTTCCTGAAAACACATCACTTAGTATAGCGTCTATAGCTCCTTGGACCGCAGCAACCTTTCCAACGCCCACACGGCCGGCCTCGTGGAGGACCTCCGACTGCGGGACAACGAGTTCAATCTCGCATTGACCTACTACTTCATTCCCTTCTGCATCTGTGGCCCCCCTGCCGGAGTGCTCAGCAAGCAGGTTTCCGCCAAAGTCGCCATTCCCGTCATGATGCTGGGCTTCGGAGCAGCGTCCCTGGCCACCGCATTCGTCACCAACTTCGGCCAGCTCGTCGCCTGTCGGTGTATCGTGGGCGTTTTCGAGGCAGGTTTCCTCGCTGCGTACGTTCCTTCCCCTTATCCTCGGTGGTCCGCCACACTTGGGAGTCAAACTAAGCTCCTTTTTCCAGTGTCGTCTACTACCTCTCAATCTGGTACACCCGCAGCGAGATCGCCTCGCGCATCGGTATATTCTACGCCGCCCTAGTCACCTCATCCGCCTTTGGCGGCCTGATCTCCTACGGCGTCTTCCAGCTCCGCACCAACCACTACCAATGGTTCTACCTCTTCATCATCGAAGGCTCTCTGACGCTGTTGTTCGCGTTTCTGACCTTCTTCATCATCCCCAAGGACATCCAGACCAGCTGGTTCCTCACGGAAAGGGAAAAGGAGGTAGCCCGGGCCCGCATCCTGGCCGAGTCGGCCGAGACGCTCGAGAACACTTTCAAGTGGAAGGAAGCGCTGAGCGAGTTCACGACTCCTCATCCGTACGTTCGAATCATTATCGCCATCACGTACTCGACGCTGCAGCAGTCGAATAACAATTTTCTCGCTATCATTGTTGGTCGGCTGGGCTATGACACCGTCAAAACGAATCTGGTAATGTCCTGGAATAAGAATTGAGATTGTTTTCGCTGACTAGGTGCCCACAGTATACAGTAGCACCAGCACTGGTTGCCGCCGTGCTTCTCCTCGTTGCGACATTCTCATCGGACCACTTCCACGAACGCGGAATGCACATGGTCATCTCCTTACTGGTCAGCATCATCGGCTACGCTCTCCTCATCACCGTCAACCTCGATAACGTGGGCCTGACGTATTTTGCCATCTTTGTGACAACAGTCGGTGTAAGTACATCACACTTCCGAGCCCCAGCATGCTACACGAAGAAATCCCAGCTGGTCTTCTCGCTAATCAGACGATTTCCTCTACAGGCATACCCAATGTCGCCCATAAACAACGCATGGATCGTCTCGAATATTCCGAACCTCAACGCCCGCGCCTTCACAACCGCAGTTCTGATCTCGATTGCCAACACGGCTGGACTGATCGCGAGCAATATTGTCCTCCCATCCGAGGCTCCCCGCTACGTGACCTCGTGCTGGGTCGATCTAGGCGCGGCAGTCTTGGGCCTCTTGACCTGCGGAGCATATTCTATGTGGATGAGATGGGAGAATCGACGCAGGGATCGACTTCAAGGTACCTCGAACCAGCAACCCATCACGAGAGGGGTCTCCGGGACGAAAGACCTACGATTTCGATTCTGCCCCTAACGGCGTAATGGTAGATAAGGCTTGTTCGTGGCTGCAAGACCATGACGAATAACCACGTACGGCAGTACTGCGCCTGACCTCTGGCCAGAGATGTTCCCGCATGGTCTCAGTCAACAGCAGACTCAAAGCAGGCTAGGAGGCATTGAATCGTTGAGATAGTACTCGTCCATAAAAGCGCAGCCGCTGGGTGTGAAGGAATGCCCCAAATGGCCATCCCATTCAAAGTCGTTCTGCTGCGCGCCATAATCTCCCGTAGCCATAGAGGATTGATTCTCCATAAAAGCCTCGAAATTGAAGTTACCTTCGTCCCACAGTGGGAAAGGTTCGCGCACGATATCGAGGATCATGTCCGGAACGGTGGGCTCTGCCATGCCCAAGACGGTGTTGTAATTGTCTGACAGGTGAATCAGGGAGTCAGACGCAACAGCTGCTCTGTTTGGTTGCATCATGCTCTGGTGGCCGTTCATGGTGGCGAAGGAGTTCGCCGTGTTCGTGTATCCACTCGAGCCCTCGTTGCTCTTCCTCTGGCTCTGCCGCTCGGCGGAAATCTGTTTCAGGCGCTCGAATATGTCTCGGAACTTGCGTGCCCGGGGCCAGCGCTCGGCCATGACGTACAGCATGATGGTACAATCTGTAAGTGCCTGGGCTACCGTTGCTTGATCGTGGCTCTCAGCATTTGGGCCGTATCCACAATGGATCAAGGTCAGTCCTGCGCGAATCAGCTACGCCTTCGTTTCAGCAGACTTGGAACGCTTTCTCTCACCTGCTAGAAATAGAGACATGACCGACAGAGGCGAGTAGTACGCAGCTGGCGACTTTCGGTGTAGAGTCTTGAAGGCAGTGCAGACTCCGACGCAAGCTTCTGTGCCCTTCTTCAGGAGCTGCGCATCAACCACATCTTCACTGCCAAGACAAGGAAACAGGAGGAATCGCATCGCAGTGTGATACTCAATCTGATAGCGCTCCCGTGGTTGGAGATGAGAAGCAGCCACGCGGGCACCGTCCGTGAGAAGACTATGCTCTGGAGTGAACACTGGTAGAGTGGCCTCGTCCCAAGCAGCCAGCTCTGTGAGGAATCCACGAATAATGTCAAAATCTTCCACGGGTTGATCGACGCGATATATTGTATGTTGAATTTTGGAAACGATCCTGGTAAGTCGAGTCATGTGTACAAAGTACGTCAGGCTAGTTGAAGGACTCGCAGGCAGATGTTTGTCTTGAGCATGAGCTTTGCGAAAGTCTTCCAGATCCACGCTATCCTCGTTGACATCGAGTGGAAGCTTCTATAGCTTAGCGAGGGCTTGCTTCCGATAAGGAATGCAGGGTTGCCTACCGGACAATCGATATCATGGTCGCAAATAGATAGAGGACGGCCCATAGCAAGGTTTATGTCTCGATCAAGACGGTAGCATGACCAAAAGAGCCTTCTGTCGAGCTCTGTTCTCAAGCTCAGTTTGGAAAGGCGTGTCTTTCTGTGTAATCCCAGAGATGTACACAGTTTGACGGCCAAGGCGATCATCGACCTACGGCAGATGAATCATGTTGATGGGCGTCGATTTGGGATCTGGTGCAAATACTTACCAAGGTCCTGGACTTCGAGGCGCTCGCAAGCAGTACAGCGATGCCAGGGACAGGAGAATGATCTCTCTTCTGTCAAAACAGCGTGTGATCCTATTTCGATCAAGCATGGCCGCTTCATAATGCTCATCGGATCTGAACTCGCCTTTTCGCTCTGCCTGTGACTGTCAACGGACAGAGCCAAGCTTCTCAAGGACGAGTCTTTGACGTACCGATGATAGTGTCACGCCACCAATTGCATACACCAGGTGAAGAACGCAAACTTCGAATGGTCCTTTGGGCTTAGATCGTCGCGCATGCATCTCGCGAAGTTTGGGCGAATGGATGACCGGGAAAAGGTGGGACACATGGTCCATATACGCTTCAAACAACTGCTCGACAACAGGTTCTGTGAGAGGTAGACCAGAGCAGACCTCAGCCTCATCGGTGGACGAGAATCTGCGAGTTACCAATGGATCTTTGTCAGGATCATTTGCGTTCATGCGGTTCTTGTCGTTTGTAGGTCGAACCCCAATCTGAAGCACTGGGCCCAGCAGATGCCCCAGCGTGACGTTAGAGGTGCCGCCCAGATAACTGTAGCCGCTAGCGTTCAGGCTGAGGTCGCGAATGGTTTTAGACAAGGGATTCTCTGGAGGGACATCCGAAAGCCGGTAAGATTCATCAAATTCATCATCGCCACCACGAGCAGAGGCCTCGGAATCTCTGAGCCGGCTTTCCAGGTCGGCGACCTTCAATTCCAGGGTCTTGACATAAGTCCTCTGCTCTGTGGGCTTAAGAACGGTAGAGGCGACGTATTGACATCGTTTTGAGGATTTCAAACACGGTGTACAAGATGGCTCTTGTCCATCACACTGTGAGAACAGCAGTCAGATTTAAAGATCCCAAGTCAGAACGGCATTCTCACCTTCTGTTTGCGTGACTTGCACCGTTGACAAGCTAGAGCAGTCCGGGGGCGCTTGGCTGGGCTGCCGTGGCTCGACACAGGACCCGACTCCGGACTTTGAGACCTGGCCCTTCTGAGTTCCGCTCTCTTCATACTGGGACTCTGTAAACAATTTCGATTTCTACAGCAACGATGCTGGGGCAGGAGCCACAGGAGCGTGGCAGTGAAGATGGTTATGGCCGAACAGTGTCGGAAGGTGCGGGCCGCGGATGCCGACGACAGACACTACGCTTCGAGACTCCCCCGCACCGGCGCCCACGCCCGGAGGTCGGCTTGCCAGCATACGATTCCGCAACTTGACTCATGTGTGGCATACAGAAACTATCGTACGATGACCCTACGCCCTGTGATTGGTATGATCTTGGGGTGCGGTGCAGCAGGCGATGGATAAGTAGGGAGTAGCCATGATGGGGACCAGGCGTGTGCTGAAGTATATATGGCCAAGGGGTCGGTCGTATCGCTCTGATGAAAGTGGCACACCTTCATTGTCATAATGGCAGGGAAAGGAGAGACAATGGTCGTGATCGGGTTAGTTCTGGGGCGCCCAAACACCACTCTAGCAACTCCAACTAACCATGAGTCCTCAGCGCCGGCATTCTAGGCCTCACTGCTGCCATTGAGCTCCAGCAAGCGGCCAGCCGATCGACTGATATACTAATCGTGGCCCGCGAATTCCCTTCCGACGAGTCAATTCAGTACACCTCCCCATGGGCTGGCGCTCACGCACGGCCTATTCCAGCAATCTCAGCGTCCGACTTCCAACACAATAAGTTTTCCGCCATCACCGATGCTATTTTGCGTGTACAGTCCGTCGAGGAGCCTGCCTGTGGTGTTGTGTTCATGGACGGCTACGATTTTCTAGCGAATCCATCTGAAGCATACCTCAACCTGCGCGGTGGGTACGGGGAAACAGAAGGCTTCAAACTACTGGCCAAGGACGAGCTTCCCCAGGGGATGGGCATCACTTTTGGAGCCAAGTATCGGACTTGGTCGCTGAACTCACCGGTATACTGTGCTTTTCTCCTCCGAAAGTTCATCCTTAGGGGCGGCCATACACTGAAGCAGACACTCACCCATGCCCAAGAAGCCTTTTCCCTCCGCCCAAACGTGGGTACGGTAGTCAACTGCTCAGGCTTCGGGTTTGGGGACCCGGATATGTTTCCTCTTCGTGGTGAGTACAGGCCTGTCCACATTGTGATGAAGTTGATTAATCTTACACAATAGGCCAAACATGTCTCGTATCCAACCCATGCGATCGCACCATTACCCAATTCAACCCTGACGGCTCTTGGTCGTTCATCATTCCGAGACCTTTAGATGGTGGAACGGTTATAGGAGGGACCCGTCAGCCGGATGATTGGACCGAAAAGCCTTCTCTAGAAAGCAGAGCGCGAATACTCAGTCTGGCCGCGAAGATGTATCCTTCTATCCTCAATTCAGACGGAAAGTTCGAGGTCATCCGAGATATTGTGGGTCGACGACCTGCTCGACGCGGTGGTTTGAGGCTCGAGACTGATATCCTAAAGGGGCCCTTTAGAGGCAAACGAATCATACACGCCTATGGAGCAGAGGGCCATGGCTTCGTGATATCGTGGGGAGTAGCTGCTGAGGTGGTCAAGATGGCGTTCAGAAGGGATGCTCGGCCGATAGCCCCTTCTTTGTGACTTGAGGTTCTGGATTGAAGATGTCTCAACCTAATGGCACTGATTTTGGCACGGCCTTAGTCCAGTATATGCCTCATGTTGACACGACCGGCTTCAGTGATTTTATGATGCATGAGCCCCTGTCTGGCACCGGAAACCAACGAGTGTCTGTCACTATCGGATTGGGTCCTGCCACCTCTTGGATCAGAAATCTGGATTCCGTGCCGGTCTTGCCTCGGATGACTGCGCGTAGTACTCCAGTCGTCGTTGTGATAGGCACGTTGTGCCGTCATCGCCGTGGGCTCCGATCTGATTCTTAGGCACTTAGACTCTTTATTATCGGGGCGTCCTTGCCTCGCAGGGATTCGTTCAGCCAACGACTGGTCATTTCTTTTTCCAAGGCTCGAAGCTTGCTTTTGAAGCACGGGTTTCTTGGTTTCAATCCTTCTCGTAGCAGTCTTCGTCCTGTGATTGTCATCTGAGGAGTCTCCGCTATGTACAGGTCTCGTCAAACGCAAATTGGACTTGTCGCTCAATGGATGTCTACGGACTGAACCGATTGGAGGCTCAAGCGAGTGTCTGTCTGCAGCATGTCCATGGCGTTCACGAGCATCGAGGAGGCTCATGGTACCAAGGTTTGCTAACGCTGCTGTCTCCGACCTCCTATCCTGTGGTTGTGTGTGATGGTGCTTGTTGTGAAGGTCAAGAGGTCTGCGGCATTCGAAGGTGCTGTCAGATGCATTGTGTTGTTGACTCGGACCAGCACGTCGCACTGGTTCCGGAATTCCATGAAATGTAATATGACTTTTCTCATCCATACTGTCATCTGAATCATTATACGATGCACCATGTTGAGGTCCGTGTGGGAGAACCCCAGCAGAACCACGGAGCGCTGGCAATTTGCCTTCCCGTTGGGCTCGGATAGCACCCACCATGGCCAATATTCCAGCCACATCTAAACAGAGTGTTGCTCGGACTCCAGTATGTTTTTCAACGTTCAGACAATCCACGTTTATGGCTCCTGGACAGATGATATGAGATCTCTCTACCGTCGGTAAGAGCCTAACAAAAGTATAGTTCCCTTTGGTTGGATATGAGAAACGTTCGGCGCGACGCTGAAATCTCGAATACTCCAAATTGTTTGAGTCGTGACTGTACCATATCGGTTTGAACCCAAAGCAGATGTGCTTCAGCGATCCCTGCGTTTGGCGTGCGATGAAGATTGTGCGATCGGCATGATCATCGTCACTGCGATTAATGATCTCATCACGAGCGTCAATGAAGACCAGAAATTGGGTTCCGTTTCTAGTTCCGATGGACTGCGACTCGCTTCTGTCGTCAAAGTAGGATGTGAGGCTGTTGGTGAGATTTGAACTCTGACTCAGCTGTTCCCTAAGCTTAGACCAAGTAGTGTGCACATGGAACCTGAGAGGTTGCTTGCACGCATCTATTGCTCCCACAGTTATCAATTTGACTTCGTGGATACAAGTTGTGTATCGTGGCTGAGTGTAAAGTGCTGTGGACTTGAGGCACATGTTATCCGCCAAATCGACTGCGAAGCTAACAATATCCCATAGTGCTGCAGTCTTGTCGTGCCACATTGTCAAAGTCTTGCAGTAGACACCAACAACCGATCTCTGGTAGTCAACAAAGTCTTCGAGCGCATCGCTAGCGAGAGCCACCAGGGCGTACACTTTGTCCCGCGGGTCCTTGCAGCCTGCATCCATGAACCAGAAGACCAGCTTTGTCAGCGGGTAACTCTTTGAGCGTTGGAAATCCTGAACCAACAGACATGTCCCCTCTGCTGGTGACATGCCTGGCACGTGCACGACAGCCTCCTCGAATCTTCGCGTATTTTGCATAGGATTGTCAGCAGGTTTGTTCTGTGGTCGCGGATTTGCATCTCGGAGCCGTGAGTTCCCATGTACAAGGTTCGTGATGAAATTTTGCAGTGAAATTGACTCTAGACCATAAAGCAGAAGAACATTACGGTTCAGCATAAGTTCTTGCTTGATCCACATGCGATTCCAGTATGGCGCCTGGTCCATCGCCCTTCCGGAGCCCCTCCCCAACCACGCTAGCACCCGAGCGGCACGTGAGTAAATTTGGGCCATCTGTCGAACTTGGTGATTGCGTTCAAGAGGGCAATTCTGATCGATGCAAAGCGCGTCTATCCACAGCCATTGTGAAGCATATCGACTCACTGCAACTCTCAGGAAGTCCAGCAAGTTTGTGCGAATGCCTACGGTAATGCCATTGATTTTGATGGAATGGTCCGCAGGCTCATCACCCCAAACGTAGCTCAAGCAGGTGTACTCTCGACGTAGATGAGCAAGATCGGTCACCTGCATCTCGCATTGGATCCGGTCTCCGGATGTTGGCAATACTTTGAGTACGCGTATTTGATGCCTTGAATGGTCTAGTGTCTCATAGAGCCCTGGTGCTCTACCGTCATGACGCCTAGAATCTTGCCGTAAAGTGACGTTCTGTGCCATTTTGTGTCCAATAAGGGCAGCGACCGGCGCTGATATTGGAGACGAGACTCAGGTGAGGGCGAACAGAGAGGTGGAAAGGAGCACCGATGCAGGATGAGAGGTCAATATAAAGAGCAGGCGACCACACCAAGAGGGGGGCCAACGGGCAGGTGTGACAGGTGGTGGCTATGCTCCATCAGCCAATAGAATCAAGGTCCAACCGAGACCAAAAGTCCAACGTTGGGCTGCAATAACACGTGTCACACACTTCCAAGGGGCGTTTTGCCCAAGTGACCACACGTACAGGGAACAACAGATCCTACGCGGTACTTTGTAGCACTTTCGTATCGGTGCCCAATCTGCCCTAAGTCGTAGATGTCGCCTTGTCTTCCACCTTGAAGTCCAAGCTTCCCCCCGTGTCGGACACCTGCGGCAGCCCAGTCGATGACGGAGCCCTCTGAATTACATCGTCGTCCTCGACTGTCGGAGATGTACCCCTTGAGGATCTGTTCTCAACGTGGACAGCTTGCCCACCGCCCTGCTCCGCCTTCTCGTCCGATGTCTCTGTTTCACTGGAGTCGGCCTTTGCTTGTGTCGTCTCGTTCTGCGCCTGCTTCTGCTTCTTCCTCTTCAGTCCGTCTTTGACCCAGTAATGCATACTTTCCTCAATTATGACCTTCTCTTTTCTCAACCCGAAACGGTAGAGGAAGTTGTTTAGTGTACCCCATGCAACGTGACCGATATAGTAATGGATACACTCATGCGTTCGCACCAGGAAGATTTGGTTCAATTCCTCGAGTGAAATGTAATTCAATGTGCGCCTGTTGTCTTCTCGGGTAGTAGCAAGCTTCGTCTCCGGCACGAAGAGGTACACAAGAATGAAGGATAAGGTGCAGAAACCGACAAAGACGCCAACTAGAGTGGCCTGGCGGGATAGCCATGCTGGATCGGCACCATCCTCATCTGTGGTCTGAACTCCTTGACTGGAGCCACTCTGTGTATAGGTCTTGGAGGAAACCTGGGCTCGTGGAACAAAGAGCGTGAGTAAGCCTGCAGCGTGGTCAGTACAGTGTCTCAACTTCTCGAAAATCGACTTACCTGCACCGGTCAGGTTCACAAAGACTGCCAGGCTCATGCCCGCTTCTCGATTCCAGAGTGGGAATACCTCAGCCGAGTATGCGAAGGCAACTATCAGTATCAGTATAAATGCAAACACGGTGTGAGATTACACTTACCGGGACCTTGGCCCAGGGAGTAGAACAGGATGAAAAGGAAGATAAAGAAGCACACGCGTATGATCCTCTTATCATCAGCTGCTGATCCAGCATCGCCGAGGAAAGAGAGGCAAGCCGCGAATAATGACACAATCATTCCTGGATATGTCGCCAGCAACAAAAAGCGCCGCCCATACTTGTCGATCCACCAATATGCTGGAAAGGTGAAGAGGAAGTTGGCAAGCCCAAGACCCCAACTAAGCCATAAAGCACGAACATTTCTGGTGCTTTGACCGTTGATGTCCTGTATGAAGACTGTCGAGTAGAAAGCTAGAACGTTTCTGGACACAATTAGCACAAGTAGGTGTACCTTGAAAGGGAGACGTACACGCCACAGAGCTGCTGTCCGAACATCACAACAGTCGCCGCCACTGCACTTCTCCTGGTGCGATCGTTCAGGAAAAGCTGCAAGATCCTGGACCAGTAGTTTGTCTTCTTCACAGCCTCGCAGTACGGCTTGAGCCCGCCCAACGTCTCTATGGGAATCTCTGGCTGCGAGTCCCGCTGATCCGTTTTCTGGGTATCGCCGTTCGGTAGACCGATGGGAGTCTTCTCCACGTCGCCTTTGGTAGCTCGTCGACGCATGTAGTCAATTTCTTTCTGGATCTGAGCGTTGGCGAAGAAGAGCTCAGTCGCAGCTTGAAGGGGCGTCTGCCGTAGTGCACAAAGTGCTGCGAATGCTTCAGGGCCCTTGCCCTTCTTAAGCAGCCATCGTGGGGATTCTGGAATAGTCCAAATCAGGACGATTAGACAGCCAGCCGGGATACAAGCTGAAGCAATTTGAAACCTCCATGCCAGCCTATCAGTCCAATAGAAGATCAAGTTCGCACTGAAACCGCAAAAAATACCCAGCGCGTCGAACAGCTGCCAGTTCATCAGGAGCGTGCCACGCAAGTGATTCGGGCTTATCTCGGCGCCGAAGATGGGAGTCACCGAGGCTTTGGCGCCTGCACAGCGTCAGCGAATGGAGATTTTGGTCTAAAGGGTTTGACTTACCTAATCCCAGCCCAAGAAGGGCTCTCCAGATCAGCAAATGCCACCAGTGAGACTTCTGTACGGATGCGGCTCCAATGCTAGCCATAACGCAGAGACAGGCTGAAGCAAAGATGGCGCCCCTGCGACCGAGAAGGCTGGATTGCAAGGGATCGGAGACCCAGCATCCGAATATACCTGCAGTCAGGTAGGTGATCGCATTGATACCGGCGAACTTCCATATCGCTGGCCCATTGTTGACCCATCGATGCTCGCCTGGTTGACCAGGTGCACCGGGCTCATCCAACTTCCATCCAAAATATTCAGGTAACGTCTGGTTCGCCCCATTGATGACCGATTGGATCCAGCCCTGTACCATCGCGGAGAAACACAGAGTGATGATAGCAATTTTGAGCGCCTTGGGCTGCTGGAAGAAACCCTGCTCCCTCTCATCTCGCAGAGCACGCGACTCGACCTCTGTTCTTCCTTCCACGCTATCCCAGGTCGGAGGATCACAGGCAATCCGAGCAGCTTTAATGCAAAGCTCTTCATCCGCGTCAATCTCTTTTGCAAAGGCTCGAGCGGCAACATCGATGTTGGAGTAATGATGAAACAGAGGATTGTCGAGCTGGTAGCGCTTGATTTTGTGCGCCATGATTCATCCTAGGCCAGCGACACACTTACGCTTTCTAAGGGCTCCTTACCAAGAGCCATGGTGATGGCGAGCAAGCTCTTATAACTGCCAACCCGCAGAACAAGGCTGGGATATTGTAAGGCCTCGAGCTCTTCGAAGGGGAGCAGTTCGACGATCGTACTTTCGGACCCAGAGACACACGGGAGAGAGGTCCAATCATGTTGAGCCTCAAGCCACCTAGTGACCTAAATCCTGTTTGCGCTTGACTATCTTGTCGGAAAAGACACACAGGGGTTTGCTAGGCAGCTGCAGAGCGGTCAGGTCAACCGCGAATCTGATCGTGGGGTAGCTGCAGTAGCACGAAACTACGGGCTGTGCGCAAGTGTTTCGAGCTGCGCCCCCTCCCTATTGCCGCGGTGATTTGGGCAGTACCGTCTCCCGTCTGCTTCGGATCGCACACAAAACAGTCTTGCTTTTGTGACCACATCTAGCTTTCAATTGTTCGTACCTCGTCTCTGAACGATTGTTTGATGACGGTTGCTGGCAAGTTGGCCACCTGAAGCCTGGGCTTGCGACGCCCTGCAGATAAGGTGAGCCGCCACCTTCTTGGCTGGGGAGGTTGCCTTATAGGCGAGCCCACTCGGGCCGCTAGGCTTATGGCGCCGGAAGCCTCCAACCGGACGACCCTTGTCTGCCTCCCGGGGCCATTGCTAAGAAGTAAAGTTATGACGTTTCTTGCCCCTACCCCACGTTGTTTGACATGTGCTCTAGAGGTCACGTTTATTCTTAGACGTCTCTGCCTCGCAATCTTCGCCATTAGCCCTTCGTAGGGCTGCGTGGCGTGTGACGTCTGCGCAAAGTACTGCAGAATTGATAAACTGCAAGATGGGGGAACCAACGCAGGTGGTATCTGCGGCTTTCGGTTTAGGTACGTCCATAGGAAGAACTCAACAGGCACTTGAAGCTCATGCGCAATAGCCAAAAGTGCCTTTGAAACAGCGAAATGGCTTCAGAGAGTATGCAAAGCGCGCAACGATGCGGAGGAGCTGTATGGGTACACGTTACACATACGCGCACTGTCAGTACGCATTGGCCGCTTCATCGAAAAGCGCTGGTCCAATGCTGTTGATCCAGAAATCGCAGCAACTCTTGACTCCATTAGAAGTTCTATCGAGTCCGCTCACAGAGCTTTGGCAGTGCTGGACAAGATTGGGAAGCCTTTGGCTCAACAGACCGATAAGAGCTGGTACAGAAGGGTAAAATATGTCTGGGATAGCGATGTGCGCCAGGACCTTGAGAAGTCCATCGATCGGTCTGTGCAATTTCTGATATTGGACTGGTCGATGCTTCAGACCCAGGAATCTGATATGGCGCGAACAACCCTTCGGTACAGTGAAGTCTTGGAGCCTTATGCAGAGCAATCGTGGCAAAAGGCCGACCAGCGGGTGAATCGCTTGGAAATTCCAGATACCGTCCAAGAAGACGATGTTTCGGAACTGCCGAGCCCAGGAGACGAAGAGGAGTTGGATAGGTTCCAACTCCTGCCTTACCTTGATCTAAGTGAAGCCGCTCTTGTTGTACCAATCCAGCTTCGGGACGCGCAACAGTTGAAAAGGATGCTTGACGATGGCTTCGACGCGAGTTTCAGGGTTGAACATGAGCGGACGCTATTGCATCAAGCCTGTTTGAATCTTGACGAAGAAAGCCTGGAGCACTTACTGTCTTTTCAACACCGCCTTCCGGAGAGGTTCGTTGACGCCACGGACGATCGGGGCGATACTGCACTGATGTTGGTCGCAAAGCAAGCCGACGAAGATGCCAGCATCGGACTCGCCAAGCAACTACTTTCCCATAAATGCGACCCCAGCATTGTGAACCCTGGCGAGACGCCTAGGGACGCACTATATTACGTCATCGACGGCTCCAAGACTGAGAAACGCGTGACCTTATTCAAGTTGCTGGTGGATGAGTATGGTGCCGATCTATCGCTCATCACAGATGCTTTTCCGAAGAGAACAAAGCAGTACCTTGGTCAAACGAACGGAGAAGGCAGGAGAGACAGCCAGGGCGATACTGCGGTCGAGGATGATGAAGATCCGGAACTGATGCTAGAGCGTCGACCAAGTTTGTTGGAAAGAGTGAAGCGGCGCTTCTCTACGACTCACCCGGATAGTGGTAATGATTAGGGAGATGACAAGATCCGATGTGATCGCAAAAGTGGCGTTGTGGCAGGGCTAGTAGCGATCTCTTTTGCTGAAGGGGCGTCTATCTCCCTGCTGGTTATCATGAGCAATGGAGTGCCGATGAAGCACAGATCAGTCGGGGGAAGAGCTCTAGAACTTCACCAGACTTGGCATTCAATTGATATCTTGGCGCCAAGAGGCAGTGAATATTCCGGAAGCAACAAGTTGCGCTCTTTAGAAGGATCTCGTATAGGCTAGGGGCAATTACGAGAGCACCCGTAGTTCAAGCTGCATCCATTGAGCTGGTACACTAACGATGATGAGGTTTGATTCACTCTTAGAGACATGCCGACCAGTTATTAATCCTGGTGCCGGCATAGCGGTACCGAGCCTTTCGATGCAGACGTCGACCATCTTCTTAGTCTCTAACAGACGCAGAACCCACCTCTCTGGATCCGAGTCCATGCGGAGCTAGGCAGGAATGACACCCACCTTATCACAGCTTGCTGGCCTCAAGATAGCCCTTCTGCTTAAGCCAAGCTTCCACGTCTCCACGGTCTCTGCTGAGCCAGCCACTCTTCGCCTGAATGCTATCGAAGCTCTGCTCAAGGCTGCGATCGAAGCCCTTCTTGTCCTTATCGGCAAAGAAGTCCGCGACTCGCTTCTTCTGCAACTCGCTGGTGAAGCCACCAACACAGATTGCCACCACGGAGCTTAGCATCGTCATGCTAGGCGGTAGAGCCTCAACGAGCTTGCCCCAATTAGCTTTCATCCATTCGAAGCGAGCTTCGATGCCCTTTGAAGTGGACGATAGACCACCAATAGGCATATAGATATCCTGCATCTTGACTTCGCCGGACAGAGCAAGATCAAGGGTTTTCTGGATAAGCTTCTCATCCTTGGCTCTACCAAGAGTTCGAAGGCACGTGTTACGCTCGTCCGCAGTGGGCGCGCTGTGAGAACGATCCAGAAGTGCTTGCCAGTCACTCTCGTCACCGTCCCTCACACACATGGCGAAAACACTGCCACGCAAATTGGGATGCACAGCTGTAGTGTCGCCCTTCTTGAACTTGTCAAACATCTCTCGGGCGGCAGCGAGAATCTTCTTATCACCCGCAAGACCAGCTGAGCCAAACATCAAAGCCTTGAATTGGCTCAAGATATGGTCTTCATTGTCGGAAAATTCCCAGCCAAGTTCGTGAGCTTTGGCGGAACATAGAGACAGCTGGAAAGCTTTGAGAGCATCCTTCACGGACTCATCCTCGAAGACCCAGGTGCTTCTCACGGCATTAACACGAGTGATAATTTCGTTCCATACAACGAACTGTGTTTCAGTGTTGAAGGACTCCAAAAGAGCCAGAATGCCGGATGTCTTGCCGTAGCCAGAGGAAGCAAGCACGCCTGCATCTGCAATCATTCCAGCACGGTCTTCAGTGGAAAGCTTTCCGGCTTGGGCGGCTTCGCCGAGCTTAGTCAGGCGTTCGGGAGTGTAATTGGTGCGGAATAGAGAAGAGTGGTCAGTGTTGATCTTGTAGAAGTCTAGGCCACCCGGGATCTTGAAGGTCTGCTCGCGCTCTGTGAGCATGAGCTCTTCATTGACTCCATCCTTGGTCTTCAGGCCAAGAATGACAGGATAGAGGACTTCGTCTTCCTCAGGTTTCACGTCCCCAGTTCTAAGAAAACGGTTCTGCTTGAGCGTAATACTTGAGTCGGAAGGATTCTCAGTGACGGTAATGACAGGGTAGCCAATCTTCTTGGTCCAGATGTCCATCACCTTGGGAATGTCCTTCCCACTGGCCTCGCTGAGAGCCGCCCAAAGATCGCCAGTTTGAGTGTTGCCCCAAGCATGCTTCTTGATGTAACGGCGAACGCCTTCAATGAAGGTTTCCTCGCCAATATACTTCGAAATCATGCGTAGAACAGCAGAGCCTTTCGAGTAGGAGATGCTGTCAAAGATCTGGTTGATATCTTCAGCGCGATGGACAGGCACTTCGACGGGGTGAGAACTGCGTAGGCCGTCCAGACCTAGCGCACCCTGGAGCGTGTCGATGACGAAAGTCTCCCACACCTTCCATTCAGGATAGAATTCGTTGCAAGAATACCATGACATCCAGGTGGCGAAGCCTTCGTTCAGCCACAAGCCATCCCAGAAATCCATGGTCACAAGATTCCCAAACCATTGATGGGCCAGCTCGTGCTGTACGACTTCAGCCACTCTTTCACGTGTGGCAGCGCCAGAGGTTTTCTGATCGAAAAGCAGATCGACAACCCGGTAGGTGACCAAGCCCCAGTTTTCCATGGCACCAGCGGCAAAGTCTGGAATGGCCACCATATCCATCTTAGGTAGAGGATACGGGGCTTGGAATGCCTTCTCGTAAAATGCGAGAGTCTTGGCAGCAACCTCAAGCGAGAAGCTACCATCCTCGCCCTTCTGATCAGGTGTCATCCAGACTTTGATAGGAAGGCGGAACTTATCAGTCGAGATCGACTTGAGCTCACCGACGATGAAAGCAAGCAAGTAGGTTGACATGCGTGGGGATCGATTGAACTTGACAGCCTTCTTCTTGCCTCCACCCGTCTTTGAATCGACCTCAGTGGTGGAGGATTCATCCATGTTGGACAAACAGGTCAGGCTCTTATCGGCGACGAGCGTGACTGTGAATTCGGCCTTGAGAGCAGGCTCATCAAAGCACGGTAGGGCACGTCTCGCATCAGTGGCTTCAAATTGTGTGACCGCCAGATATTTGCCATCCTTCCTCTTGGAGCGGTAGAACCCAGCCATCTTGTCGTTGAGCTCGCCAGTGTAGGTGTGGACTAGCTGAACCTTTTGGCCTTTCTTGAGATCCTTGCCCAAATCGATTGTCGTGGTCTGAGTGTCTGCATCGTAGGAAAGGGTGGGGCTGTCGGTCACAAGAGCACCGTCGGCGTGCACCGAGGTAGAATGGATCTTCAGGTCAAGTGTGTTGAGGGAGATGAAGTTGCTGTCCTTAGCCACCTCGAGATCAATGACAACTTTGCCTTCAAAGGTGAATTTATCGAAGTCAGGCTCAAGAGACACATCGTAGTGTTTAGGAACGACATTGGTGGGGAGGACGATCCTCCCCTGCGCATTGGCAGCGCTCCCCGGAGTATCGGCCATGTTTCTGCACATATTGTAGGAATAATTCAGGCGAGGGAGTGTGAAAATCGAGGATGATCGAAGGAGAGAAGAGGCTGGCTGAATTCTATTAATGCGGGACGATAATCGTATGGCGCGGGCGCCTGCGCGGTTGGCAGCAAGTTGACTTCGGCTGGTGAACGAACGGCTGAGCCACGATGATGGTCTCGGAACGGTCACCGGACCTCTGGTGGCTCTAAGAGAAAGCAAGGACGGTCTCATGGACCCTGTTGTACAATGAAAGACTAGTAAATAAGTGCTGACCGAAGTGAATGGCCATTGTCAGGTTAACGGAGAAGTCCTCGAAGAATACGAGATCCCGAAAAGGCAAAGCGCCATCAGGCAACGCAGCTTCTTTTCTTCTGCTGTCGTGTGTCAGGTTCATGCCGTTTCCACATTCGCAATTTCTCTCCCTCAATAACAACTACTTCCTAACGAAACCAAGCGTGGTGCAATGCATAGCCTCGCAAGTAAGCTTTTCATCACAATCTGTGAAGGGCGCCGCCCTGGACCGTCCGAAGACCTTAATCATGAATAAAGTCTGCACTTATCTGCGTGCCAGGAACCTGAAAACCTCATAGCTTGACACAAGCAAGACTGGTCCTCGAGCTGCCTGTATGTGCAACCTCGATGGCTATCTCGGCTGCTACGGCGTCCGCTTGCCAGACCAAATCAGCCAGCAAGTTTGAGAGGACCGTCCTTGTCAGTGGACGACTCTTCATAGAAGTCTTGGTACATCCCTTCAAAACGTTGCACGCAGAGTGAAAATCTTATGGTGATTTTGATTGTCTCGATGCGCACCTACTGCGCTTGAGAGACTTGTGATCATGGTCTTACGGCTTCAGCGAGTCTATAGACCAGCTTTATTTGCCGACCAGTTTCTTCCATGCTGCAACGCAACGCATCCTTTAAAACGCCCGCTCGAATGTCAGTCTTTGGGTATCTTTCGTAGCAAGTGCATCATGTCGAAACGCATATTCGACTAGCGTTCGTTTGGCGAGCCCCAAACCGCTTCTGAGTCCTCTTTGTTCCACAGAATGGTTCTATGGCCCCTCAATCTCGACCATGGCTCTTAGTGTCATCGGCGCCATATCCATGCTGTTGTGCCCATTTGCAACCCCCGAAAGCCCGAGAACCTTTACCCCTGTACAAAGCTCGCCGCCGCCACTGGCCCTCCTCCCAAGCAGGTCTCTGTACACAAACAAGGAAATGAATGACTACCCAACGCCAAGGTGCAGCTCGTCGATCGTTAATGCTAATTCTAAGCACGGTATTCGTGAAGTGATGTGTGGCTGTGTTGAAGAAATAGAGTATTCGTACGCCTAGGCTTGGTCTAGGATTTCGGCGATGCTGGCGGAAGGCTCGCATTGTTGGCTCGATGAGCAACGGGTGGCGAAGCTCGGCTTGGTGAGGGGATCGATGGCACCGAGGAACGCTTCGAGATAACCTGTAGCTTTTTCCGCAGCGCCGTCAATCGTCCTGTGATGCTAGTCACAACTGCTGATGTTAGTGCTTGATGCTATAACAAGTTGAGGTAATACTTACGGCCCTTGACAGTCTTCCTATCCTCCGCCTCAAGTCCATTGATTGGGATGTCATTATCCTTGTCTTCATCCTCATTTGCTCCTGCCTGGTTGGAAAGTGGTTCCTCGTCATTCTCAAGCACAGCCTCGAGCATGCGAATGGCAGTGATGTACGAGATCTCACAGCCAGGAAGGTCCTCACCCGTCAACTCGTTGATGGCGGCCGAGCGACTCATTTCCAGTGCCCTGTCATACATCAACTTCTCTGCAGTGATACCCGAACCGACTATGAGTTGCTCAGCCGATCCTCCTATGCCACCACTTGACGCAGTCTCAGCTGAGATGTTGTTTGGGTGGCTAGGATGATCCTCGGGCAGTCGCTTTTGGCTGTCGATGAGCCTCATCCGAACAAGCTCAGTCTTCTCCAGGATCTCGTTGAATCGATTCCGGGCCCATTGGACTACGTTGTTCATTCTCTGCTGAGCCTGACCCGCGTTCTTGCCATTGAGCGCATCACCAGTAGAGTCCCGCTTGCGTACCCACCATCGAGTTGCCAAATGAAGGCCCTTCGCCAAAAGTCCACACGACTTGACATACAAGACCAGTGCTTCCTCCGATACAATGACCAGGGCTTCAATGGTGAGTTCATCGCTGTAATTCTCCGGTTCGTCATTCGTGCCCGCATCGCGGAGACCTAGACCGGCCTGATTTGATGATGGCGTGGCAGGCGTAAGCTGCTTGTACTTGACCTCAGCAAAGCCATAAACAACGTCGCTTCGAGTTGCAATCTCCTCCACAGCTTGTACCACGCGCGAATCTTCATCGAGAGGCGTAGCCTTACTTGTGTCGCCGATCACCACGAGGCTGCTTTGTGCGCCAGGCTGAACGGGGAACGGGCTGTAGCCTCCGGGAGGTGACCTACCTCCACGCACGAGATTGACAGGTGGAGAAAAACCGATACCAAACAAGCGGCCACTGGCCATGTTCAGAGCCTTGGAAATGGCCGAGGTGGCAGAGGAAGGGCTTGGACCATATCGGCGTTCGTACGAATTGTTGCGGTGGTGCAGTGGACGACCGGACGCAATCTGAACAGCTCGAGACGCACTAGTCTGTGCACCTGTGCTAGAATTAGGAGCGCCCTGTGTAGTGGCCCGACGGACCATAGCACCAGATTTAGGGGACAAGGAACTGGGCGTTGTACCAGGCTTCGTACGAGGACTTGCGGCCATCTCGTCGGCAAAGGCGTTGACCTCAATCTGCTTCTTTTCCACGACAACGTAGTCGCGCTCAAAGGCAATATCTTGCGCGACGCGTTCTTCATCTTTCTCCTGTTGCCGCAGACGAGCCTGCTCTTCGTCTAGCAGTTCATTACGCAAGGACGACGGTGGGCGGCCACTACCACTGCCCTGGCGTGCCATTGCTGCTGAAGCTGGGGGTGGGTTATTTTGCTGTAACTCCTGTCGACCTGGAGCAGTGACGTGTGAGGCCAACTTAGGTCTGGCTTCGTTCGGGCTAGACGGGCGATCATTGCTAGGTCTACGCTCAACCTGGGTACGGGTGGAGGTACTTGGCTGGCGAGAAATGTGGGACGCCCGCCGTGGAGGCGGGTCCTGGCCGATGGCCTCTTCTGACGCAGCTCGAATATGGTCCTGGTAGGGGCTCTCGGCATCGCGGCGTACGCCAGGTCGAGCAAGTCCCGCAGGATCTGTACGACTTGAGCGGCGCCTATCGGGAGCTGGCTCAGAAGCCGGTTCTGGCTGCTGCATATCTTCCGTGGCAAGGCCCGGGATCTCGCCGACCACCACTTCATGACCAAAGAAGTCTGGGAATGAGACACGTTCGCGGGGGTCTCTCTTGAGCAACAGTCTGATCAGTCTTTTCATGGGATCGGAGATAACAACATCTTCTGGAAACTTGATGCGATCCTCGCCCTTCTCAATGCGTCGTAGCAGATCGACATGATTTGCAGCTCTGAAGGGCGGCTTGGAAGTGACCATCTCATATAGGACCGTTCCGACCGACCAGAGATCAGCTTTGGCGTCATACTTTTCGTAACGCAGAATCTCGGGGGCCATGTAGAGGGGAGAACCGCATAAGGTCTCGGCGAGGGAAGTAGGAGGCAGAGCTCGAGCGAAGCCGAAGTCGGCGATCTTCAGCATAGGCAGGGACGGTATACCACAGACTGGAATGAGGGCAGTTTCGCTGGCGCAGTATGGCATGACCTGAGGCTTTCGCTTCTGAAAGTACATGGGCGACGGATTTAGGAGGAGGTTCTGTGGCTTGACGTCGCGATGAATGAGATTCCTCGCCCGGAGGAATTGTAGAGCGCTGGCGAGCTGTTGCAGAAAGTGGCGAACCACAACCTCATGCAGACCTCCCACCCGAGGATTGGGGTATTTTTCCATCATATTTCCGAGCAGTTCGCTGTGCCTAATAGTATCCCGCTTCTTGATGAACTGAGATAGATCGCCTAGGGCGACATATTCCATTACCAAATGGATATGGGAGGAGGTCTCTTTGCAGTCAATCAGTGCGACGATATGCGGATGATGGAGGCCTTTGAGGATGGATATCTCGGAGGTAAGGTTGTCCCGAAGCTTCTTGTTCAGCTTGACCAGATTGACGGATTTGATAGCGACAATGGATTGAACATTCTGGGGGCTCTGCTTCGTCGTCAGACTTGCTCGCTGCTGGGCTTCTCGATGCTCTGCGGGCGGACTTACCGTATGAATTGCCTTGTAGACGGTTGCGAAGCTGCCGCGGCCGATTTCCTCTTGACGCTGGAAGGCACCTATCCTCTCAGACTCTCGTGACCGCCTCGGGGTCGAGGACTGGCTGTGTGCGGTAGCCATGATGGGCTGTGCCCCTCACGGGATGAAATGAAGGACCTCGGAAAACGTCGATGGTAACGATGTCGACTACCGTTGACTGGACCGACGAGGTTGATGAAAGGTTTGGCTGGACATGGATAGCACGAGACTCGGCGGTGTGGAGGTCCAGCAACGATCGAGTAAGCTGGGCAACGAAAGTGTGGTGTTCTGAGGGGCAACAGGCTGAAGGCTCGGCTCTGCTGTTGTTCAGTTGCCTTATTGCGCAATGAGAGCCCTTTTGGCAGCACACCCGCGAAGCGGAGGCACCAGTGATTTTCCCGGGCACGGTTCTTTGGTAGGGATTTCGGTATTGTATAGCCTTCACAGCAGTATAAGGACGGCTATTTTCAGGCAGCAAAGCCAGGCAGTGGAAGAGATTCCCGTGATGTAACTCTTGAGATGTGAGTAGCCGTTGCTAGGTGACTACCTCAGACAAGTGGGCAGCCAGGATATAGGATCTAAGTGAGTCATAGAACAACAGATAAGAAGATAGAGGGAAGTAGATGCTAGGGAAGGGCGTGAATGAAACAAGAAGCAGTGCGGATAAAGGTGTTGAGAGGGATGAGGACAGAAGAGAGGCGTATGGCGAGATGGAGGCGCGCAGTCACCAGGTGCAAGATGTGAGAGTTCCAGGCGTGGTCATAGCCAGAGATAGCGCCTACTGGGCCTTATCGATATACACTGCCAAGCACCAATCGCTATCCAGCACAGTGTCCGCACCTGACCTGACCTGGGTGATCTTCCATCTCCTCTGTTTGCGACACTGTCACCATCCACACAGGCGTGCAGTCGCTTCAGAGTGTGACTCTACATCAGCCTGACAACTCCGAGCATCAAGCGGTGCTTTAGGACCAGGTGTTCATCTCACTCCACTAGGTACTTTATCGGACTTTGGATGCCTGCTGACACTGGCCAATCAAGGCATTGTTTCGGCTTTACAATGTTGCTGGCGACTCTGATGAGGTCTTTGACTCGATTCGCACGCCGCCCGACAACAACCAACAAACTATGGGGAGATGATACCTTGCAGACGATCAATAGCCTGAGCAAGAAGTCAATTCGCATCCCACGCCTCGTGGGAGCTGCGTGCGCTGCAGCGATGGCAGCGCGTCTGCGGGGTCCGATGGCAGGTTACACCTGCTTCTCCGCTTATTCCTTCCCATTGGGACACACATCCACTGCTGCTGACTGGCAGGATTCGGGTTGTCAGAGTTGAACAATCACTACGGAAATACACATCCCTAATAGACTGCCGCCATTGTCCCAATGTTTCTCTAGCTCGATGACTCGGTGCGACTCAGGGACTCATCCGGAGTACTTTTCCTCATACCCTACCGTTCTAAACTGAAGGTGCCGCCCTCGTCTTCTAGCTCTTCAGCTTCTCTATCCATCGGATTGCAGTCTCCGGCTCCAATCTTTCATGGTACTTTGGGTTTATATAAGTCTGCCTGACGACGCCCTCGTCATCCACTAAGATGGTGGCTGGCACAGGCACGTCCATTGACTTGTTTGGATCATGAAATCCGTTGTCCAAGGAGCCGATTATAGGGCGCATAGACTCTGGTTGTTTATTGACGATCCCGAGTCGACTGGCAAGAACGTTGCCGGTATCTGAAAGCACCATATAATCCAACCCCATCTTCTCCTTCCGTGACAAAGACTGGTCCGGGGCATCGGGTGAGATTGCAACGAGCGTCACGCCCTTCGCGCGGATCGTATGCGAATGCTTCTGCAGAGCACGCAGCTCGATGTTGCACATTGGACACCATCCGCCCCGGTAGAAGGAGATTAGCAAAGGACCTTTGCCAAGCAGTGTGTCTTTGGACCATGGATGCCCGTTTGCGTCGGGCAAGCTAAAGTCTGGCAGCCTATCACCCACTTTCACCGCTGCCTCACGCCTGAACCCAATCTCGTGGTCCCTGATCGCTGCCTTGAAAGTAGCAGAGACGTCTGGTGGGATATTGCGATGTAAGTTATCGTAGAAGGAAGTGAGCTCCGAGGCGAGGGCCATGCTGGACTGCGACCGCTGTGTCCCAAAAACACGTAGAGAGGCCTGCTAGCAAGTTCGGTCGGGACGCGCACACCGCGGTGTCTCGCAATATATGAATGACCTCTCCATCGCCCGCCGCACGATCCATAATCCGCCGAGATGTGGGTCGGCGCTCCAAACGACCCACTCGGGAGAGCGATTATGTGTACCTACCTGCCATTTCCAGACAGCGTCTTACGTGCAAGGACGAAATGCACGATACTCGCCAATGGCGAAGTCCATTTCACCTGACAAAGCGGGCGCTCGCGAAGTGACTAATCGTGGAGTACCATGGCGAGTACGAGCCGCATTAGCCTGCCTCGTTTGTAATACGTAGGGGAGCCTAACACGCACGCTGCGGTGTGGAAAGTCCGCATCAGGCAAGAATCTCACAAAGCTTTTCAAGGACATTAGCACGCCTGCCAACTACAGCAGAAATTTTGCTCCTGGTTTCGGAGAACCCATACCTGCTCTCCGGGGAGCGCAACATCATCAAGCGAGTCAACCGTGGGGCCCTCGTCAAGCTCATCGTACTGCAAACAGGGATGCCGTTCTATTCTCTATGCTCTATTCACATCCACACCTCACTTCACGCAGGCTTATAGCGACTCTTGGCCCGAATTTTCTCGCCATAGATGTAAAACAGGATCGGCACCGGCGCAAAGGCTGCGCACAGGAACGCCAGCAGACTCGTCGCCCAGGCCACCCCCAAGCCATGGTACATGTCCCACGTGAAGAGCGGAAAGGCTGCTCCAGCGATGCTCCTGATAAATGTGTTCACGGCAATCGCAGAATTACTGTAGAAGCCATAGCAATCGATGATGTAGTTGACACCTGGAAGTTTTGGTTAGCTCTATACTGGGACATCGAGAACACATGCAAGCATCAGGTTGGGCAATGTAGAGAAAACCCCGGTATAAGGTCAATCCCCGCCCGGGACATCTTTCGTGGAGGAAAGAAGCACTCACCCTGCCAAAACGTCACCAGCATCCCCATCCCAATGAGCGCACTACTCAACACCTGCGGCACCCACGTAATATTCGGATTACTCGTCCAGGCAAACCAAAACAGCCCGACGGGCAGCGCCACCGCCCCGACGATCATGGGCGGCAGCCGCTCCTCTGGCATCGCGCGCCCATGCTTGAGAAACGCCCGCGTGAAGTTGGTGCGCGTCGAGTACGCAATCATGCCGGCGCCCATGGCGATGCCGACGATGAAGCTCGCAAAGGGCAGGCTGGCGACGCCGATGTTCCAGCCGCGCTCTTCGTGGAAGGTGACGGGGTAGGCGGCGAAGAGCAGATACAGCACGCCGTACAGGAAGCTCATGTACGCGGTCATGAGCGAGAGGATCGGTTCTTGGACCAGCATGACGAAGGGCCGCACCAGGTACACGGTGATGAGCCGGTGTGCGTCCAACGGCGTCTCCTCTATGGGAGCGTGTAACGCCCAGTGGCGCGTTTGGTAGCGCAGCCGCTTCGCTTTCGCGAGCAGGATGCTCTGTGCGGAGGTCTCGGGAATGCAGAAGAGGCCGATGATGCCGAACAGCGCTGTCATGATGAGTGTGATCCAAGAGGTCCAGCGCCAGCCGAGATGGGACTGCGTCACGAAGCCGCCGATGATGGGGCCGGCGACGGGACCGGTGAACGCACCGGCGGCGAAAATGCAGATGGCGTATGCGCGAGGAATGGGGTCCCAGATGTCGGAAAGGGCGCCACCGACGATCGCCAAAGGTGCAGACGCGAAAAATCCCCCGAAGAAGCGACCCAGCATGATGGTTTCGACGTTGCGGGCCACGGCAACGGGGACATTGAAGATGCCGAAGAGGGCGTAGCCGACGAACAGCGGGATTCGTCGGCCATAGGCTTCACTCGCAGGGCCGAAAATGATCGGTCCGAACACAAAGCCCTGGTGTTTGTCAGAGCGGGCACACGGTAGCCAGTGGGCGCGAAGAAGCTGGTTGAGTGTGGTGACAGCGGCTTGTTGAGGACAGGGAACGTACCAGGAGGAATAGCGACACGCCGAGGGTTGACACCACACGCGAGATGCCGTATTCTTGTGACACAGGCTCGACAGCCACGCTGAAAATGCTACTACTGAACGTTACGACGAACGTCATCCAGCCCATCGACGCCGTAATCGCCCACTTCTTCGCGTTGGAGAAATTCTTCGGGTTCTCAGCATCATCTGGCCCATCGAAGTCGACAATGTCGTTGGGATAATTGTACTGGCCCTGTCCCGCATGTGGCCGACTGCTCTTGACCGACACAGCCTTCTCAATACCATCGCCTTCCGGGAGTGGTGGCGTCTCCGCATCTTTCTCCTCGAGAACCTCGGGCGTCGTGGTGTTGGTGTTGGACGACTCCCTCGAAAGCTGCGTGTTGACATCACCGCTACGATTCCGAGGTTGCTCACCCGCCTGTGACACCACGCCTGTCGTGCGCGGATCTGCCCGCGGTGAGGTGCTTGAGTGCAGCTCCATGTTTTAAAAAGGTCGCAGACAGCCGACGTGTGGAAGAAATCATCTTTGGAGAAAGCACGGGCGAGTTACTAACAATAATAAGTGCCTGTTTACCGAGCCCGCTTTCTTCGTTAGCTCCGAGATGGGCCTCGAGATCACCGCGAAGGAGTGCGCGGTGGAGGTGCCGATTCACGGCTTAGACCGGCTAGAGCGGCACGGATTGCATCTCCGAGGTTTGGGGTAAGAGATGAGGCGCAAGAGCTTGAACACGGAACTTTTGCTACAATTGGTCTGAAGAATCTGGGGTGTGAAGCTCACGGACATGAGCTCCCAATGGGTATGTTGCGCAGGCTGGGGCAAACGCAACTGGGAATTGCTCCGAGTAGATGTACGTTTTGGTCGCCGCATCGTACATGGGCATAGTAATAAGTCCGTGCCTTACAATTGTAATCAGTGCCATTTGTAAATAGAGTGATCACGAGTCAGGATGTCTGAATGACCACATCTTGAGTAAGGCGTCTTTACGTGTGTTTAGGGTGGTTTCTACAGAATGCGTTCGCCTTGACCCACAGGGTGCTGCCCTATATCCTGGGTAGCGAACCAAAGTTGGTGCAAGCGACAGTGGGCAAGACGAGGTCTCCTGTCAAATTCTTACTAGATCTTTCAGCTCACTTTGAGAACTGCTCTACCAGCAAGCTTCCCAGCAATCATCAGCTCGCAATACTTGTCGACATCGTCCAATGTTCCTTTGGTCAGGATCGGATGAACCAGACCTCGTGCCGTGAAGTCAAGTGCTTCGTCGACATCCTTGAGCGTACCAGTAACACTGCCAACAATATTGAGACGTTTCAGACATAGCTGAATGGGAGGTGCTCCAGCCAGAACGGAAGAGTCTTTGGGAAGCCCAACAGCAACGACAGTTCCGCCAGGTCGCAAAAGGTTTGGCGCAGAGGCATATGCCTCCTTTGTCGCAGCAGTAACGATAACGCCGTGGGCGCCGTACGTTGTGATACGAGTCACCTCTGCGGCAATATCTGAGGTCGTTGTAAAGTCAATAAACTCTTCGGCTCCTAGCTTCTTGCAAAGCTCTGCCTTCTCCGGGCCGCCGTCGATGGCGATTACCCGCATGCCCTTCTGGAGTTAGCAGTCGGAATACGAACTGTGCAATAGCTCTTCTCACCATGGCTTTTGCGTACTGGACTGCAAAGTGGCCCAGCCCGCCACCGGCTCCCGGCAACACGATCCATTGACCTGGTTTTACGGCGCTTCTCTTGCAAGCTGTGTACGCCGTAACGCCGCCGCACATGATCGGGCCGGCCTCTTCATCCTTGACCCCGTCCGGAAGCCTGGTGGTATAGCGCCCGTCACTGATGGCATACTGCTGAAATGTTCCAGCGGCAGTGAAGCCGGCGTTGAGCTGCTTGGGACAGTGCAGTTCGTCCGTGCCGTTTGTGCAGAACTCGCACTCGCCGCATCTGTTCACGTTAGTCTCCGGCTCTCGACCCAATCCACAAATCGAAGTCCGACATACGTGCTCCAGACCTGCAAGGATTAGCAAATGTTCTCGGTGTTGTAGATGGGAGGCAACTTGCCCATTTGATACCTGCACGGTCACCAACCTTCCACTTATGTTGCATATTATCTCCTACAGCGACCACGACACCAGCCCCTTCGTGACCTGCGATGCCCTTTGTGGCATCTTGCATTGCGACTCCAAAGGCCGCCCATTCATCGTGAAGCAGAGACTTGTCCGAGGCGCAGAGGCCAGTCCAGTTGATCTTGATGAGGATTTGGTGAGGCTCGGGCATTTGGACCTCAACGTCCTTGCACGGAGCCTTCGCATCGCTGCCGCTGCCAACCTTCACGGCGGCTCTCTGCTGCTTTGGAACGTCAACAGAGCCCATCTTGGATGTGGAGATTAAAGAAGTAAAGAGCTATTCGGTCAGATCTGGCATAGAATGCTTGGTGCACAGAATTTGAATGCGGCATGGTCGGATATGCACCTTCTTTTATAGACATATTGCCCCGGGTTACTTCGTCCGTTACCCCTCCATCAATTCCCCTGGTTTCTCAAGGTCGGGCTCTACGAGAAGCGCGTCGGTCCAGAGGGATGCAAGGCGGGGTATGTCTGGGGCTATGCGGCTCCGCACTTCTGTGCCAGCCGCACTTGATTCATTGGAACAGACCCGCCATCTTGAACCTGTATCCTGTAACATGCCAAGAGAGGGCTCAGATGGGTCTGTACTGACTCGTGCCATGAGGTACTTGGGCCGCCCTTGCCGACAGGCTTGCACACGGGAAGCTTCAGGGTGCTGGCCGGTGTCCCAGGTGGGGATCAAGTGCGGAATCCGAGCGCCGTTGAGAAGTCTTCAGCAGGTGCTTTTTTGGGGCTGTAGTTCGCTTCCATCTACCAAAACTTGGGTGTATGTGCTCCGCCAGAGCTGCGGCCGTGTCATCGGCTTGTATGGCTTCAGAATGGTGGACAACAGCTACAAGGGTGTTGGGAGGTGCGAGCAGAAGCCGGTGCATGTCTCAAATCAGGAAAGTTAGCCGAGTCCCGTACTTTCTCGCCCGAACCTCGGGGTATGATGTTATCATCCCACCCTCCACTCTGCATTCGTGCTTGTACCTAGTCCGACGCACCCTCAGTTGCCCAAGATGGTACTTGCTGTACGTCAAAGCTCCTGGCTGCGCTCCGAGAAGTCCCGCTGACACGAACTGCTTCAGGCAATTGGCCAGATATGCTCAACGAGCAGCATGGTGTCAAACCTGACGCAGTGTCAGCTGCTTGCAAGAAAAGCTATCGCTGCCGGAGCAAAGGTGAGTTGTGAAATACCTTCGAACGGGCTTTTTGGAGGGTTCTGGGTCGTTCCTCCCTGTTCTCACCTTTGATCCACCGTAGGCTCTTTTCCTTCCTGAGGCGAGCGATTATCTTGCGACTTCGGCGCCGGAGTCGGTATCTCTTTGCCAACCTGCGAGCACGTCTCCATTCGTCCTCGGACTCCAAAAAACCGCAAAGGAGAACGCTTTGCATATCAATGTCGGTATCCATGAACCAACGGAACCCCCTTCGGAAAGGATCCGTAACACTGTCATCTGGATCAATCATGCAGGCGACATAACCCATCGGTATCAAAAAATACACATGTTCGACATTGATCTGAGACCTGATGGTCCCTATATTAAAGAGAGCAATAGCTCCGAACCAGGCAGCGAGATCGTCAGACCTTACGGGACTCTAAAAGAAATGGGCAACATCGGCAGTCTAATCTGCTTCGATGTGAGGTTTCCCGAACCTGCACTTGCCCTTCATCGAATGGGAGCGCATGTCTTATTGTACCCATCGGCTTTTACTGTTCCAACAGGCAAGTTGCACTGGGAAATCTTACTACGATCTCGTGCTATTGAGACCCAGAGTTGGGTCTTAGCGGCTGCACAATGCGGACGTCATAATGCCAAGCGCGTCAGCTATGGCGATACTATTGCCATCGACCCAAATGGTAAAGTCGTTGGGAGGCTTTCCCGAGTAGAGAACTTAGAGGCAGAGCAAGAGAGCTCAAGAGAACCCGAACTGCTGACCGTCGATGTCGACCTCGATCAAGTCACATCAGTGAGGAAAGGTATTCCCTTACTTCGACGGACCGATGTTTATCCAGAAATCTAGCATGGTTAGTGTTACAATCACATCCGGCCACTTACACCCACTCCCGCTACTACTGGCGGTCCACCTGTCATGACCTTGAGCATCGAGTCATCAGCCTCTCACTAAATGGCATAGGTTGACTTCGTGAACTCGGTACATCTTCATTGAACGGACTACTTCTGTGCGACGTCTTTCTTAATCTTGGACCATTCGGCACGCCGTGCGATCCCTCGAAGCCCCCTTAAGAGGTAAGGCGATGGTCCGGGCTTTCTTTGGTTCGTGGCAAGAGTGATGCTAGTCACCGACATGCATCTTACACATCACATCGCACCAGAGACTGTTAGCTTGATCCTTCTTGGATCTCGGAACATGGCTGTCTTCCCTCAATCTATTGGACTGCCAAGACTTTTACTGCCTGAAGTCAGATTAGAGCTTGGCATCAGCCAGAAGGTCTGGCTGAACAGATCTTTTGTTACTCTTTCGTGGCCAAAGTACCACGGAATCGAACTAGCCAAAAGACTATAGGTACATTGACGAAGCATCACTCCGTACTTTGGAGGTATGCAAAAGTCCCTGGAACATTCCGGGCAAGCTGCACTAGCTTGGCTAGGTAATCCCTGTCCTCTACCCCGCAGTACGTGCCTGTGCAGCCTGATGAGTCGAGAAGCACATGTGAGTCAAATAGCCACGCCTCTCATATTCCTCAGTCCATATTGTAAGCCTGCTTCTCTCCTGTCCGCCCTCTTGTGAAGCCAGTGAAGCAATCCGCAAGACGAGATGCCCTCACTGTTGGACCTGCCAACAGAAGTCCGCCTCCAAATCTGGAGCAACATCCTGCCTGACGACGTCGGCGTATCCATGGACGAATATAAGGCACGGACGAGGGTGGTATTCTCACCAGTCGGCAAGCCTATAGTCCTTCATCGCGTCGCCTATGCTACCACAACGGCTGCTTCGCTGAGAGTTCTGAACCGCCAAATCTATGCCGAAATTCTGTCTATGCCGCCTCCAATTCTTTGCGTACAAATCCAGAAAAGGGCTGTTCACCTGACGATCGATAGGTGCGGCCCATTGATCAGGCGGTCACTTCGGCGTATCAAAATCCTGGAAACCAGCGATCCCGACACGGCACAATGCCTTGTGCGCTATTTCAGAGATGTGAAGATCATGGAGATGGGCCAGGTCGTACCGTATGTGGCTGTTGCACAGGAGAAGTCGGTGACTTTTGCCGTCAGTCGGCCATATTCTAATGCTCTCAATATATCTGGTCCCAAATCGACTCGGGACAGACGATGTTGCGATACTCGGGACCGCATGTACGCATGGATCGAAGAGGAACCAGACTACAGTGATGGCGACCACAGCAGCATAGATACCGAGGTTGAGACTGACGGCGAAAGCCCTGCAGAGACCTGGGAGCTACTAGACAATAGTGCATGACTCATGGAGGCGAGGCAACAAGGCGAAACCGACATTCATTCGTACATACAGTACCCCGCTTTCAGGACCCTAAAGCGTATCTTCTCCCCGGTTAGCCTCACATATCCTAATACAGTATATCTCATCTGTCTTACCATTACCCGCTTCCGCCTCTAGACTGTCATTAGAACCGCCGTCGCCCGATTATGCCTGAGCTTCTCAACCTGCTGACGCTTCCTCTTGAGATCCGTCTGACGATATGGCGCTACGCTATCCCACCCTACGCCGAAGCTGATTGCTGCGAGGAAGGCTCTCTGTCGTCTTACCGCCGCATCCATTCCAACATATGGTACCGATCACCTGTCCTTCCAGCTTTCAAGTACCCACAGCCCCGCACTCCACTACGTCTCATCAACCGCCAGGCCAACACCGAGATCAAGTCCAGCATTCCACTCCCACCCCTGATTGGACGGGCATGCGACTTCATGTGCCTCCGTCGGGCCCTCAACATCATTTCCAATCGCTCATCGTCAGCCAATGAGCTAGAGCTCGCACACTTCGCTGCCATCAAGGTCACGAGCGAGCGCATCAACCTCTTCCGGCCTCTCTACTCGACTTCCGGCGAGGAGACGGGCTACACGGTCTCGCTCAGAAGCAGCGAGGCGGACAACAACGCTCGTGTCCAACGCCTTGCTCAGAGCTTTGTGAATGAGCTGCAGTATCATTTTGGCGAGGCGCGTTTGGCACACTCACAGTCGAGTGACGCTGCAAACTCGCCGTTTTCCGTCGAGGTGGAGATGCTCTTTGAAGTCGGAGACTCCTCGCTCCACTGGGCAGAATCAAACCGAGGAGGGGACTCATGTTGTGCAGTCGCTATGGGGGAGTTGTATGACTGAGAGTATGACCGGTACGCGCTGCATTGCTTGACATCCATCAATGTCACCTCAAGAGCGTAGCTATAAATGATCCCAGCACCTCTCAGTGGGCCGCTTCCCAGGTAAGGTACAGCCCCACGACCCCGATTCTCACACGCCTGACGCTACACAAATTGCAAATACATCTACAGCAAGATTATCAAATTCCTGTCAACATCACCTCAGACGAAGCACCATGTGCTTGACATTGGAAATGTTGTTCAGGGGTCGCTGCTTTTCCTGTAACACCGGCGACGCGGAGTCTTATGGCAGCGTCGATATCTGCCGCGGCTCTAAAAACGGTATGCCTCAGCGCAGCTGCCCCTATCAAAGCCACCCAGATGTCTGGGCATACAAAGTCTCGAATGATAGCAAGGGCTTTATGCAGATCGAATGTGAAACATGCCTCGAGCCACTTCTACGCAACGGCATCTACAGTGACGAAACTGTATGGAGGCGGCTCCTCCAGTCGTTTGTCCCACTCGCGAGATTGGTCGAGGTCTATGGTCTGAGGAGCCCAAGTCCCTCACCTCCGCCCATCCGCCATGGCAGTCGTCTCTCCAGTCGCGCTGCATCCAGTACCACATCCTCCGCCCGGGAGTCGTCTAGTGACAGTGGCTACGCGGCGGAAAGCACTATCTCGTCCGATAATATGGAATCTATGCTCAGCGGAGATTCTCTTGAATCAAAGAGCGGTATTGAAGGAGACGACTTTCAGCGACCCGACTGGATGATACATCCAGAAAGGAGGAGGTTCACAGGAGTGCCTGGTAGCCGTGAGGAGCGCAGCCACGAACTGCCGCGGCAGCACAAGCGACGCCGAGACATCATGGAGGTTGATTCTGCCAGCGATGAGGAAAGTTCTACGGAGCCACAAGCAAGCGGTGGCCATGGTGAGGGAGATCAGTGGTTCCACGGACAGTACGGCAACAAGCGTTCGCGTACAGGTTAGGTAGCTACGCCACAAGTTGATAATGGTGATCGAGAGCCGGCCCATACAGGTCACATATCTAGCGAGCTGCGAGAGACATTTACAACTAGCATAAGCTGTGTAACGACCCGTGAATGGACAATGATGAAATATGTACTGAGAATGGCATAGTCTCTATCCTTCCAAGGGTTTCAAAGCTGCTCGTACGTTGCCTAAAGTCTGGCCTCAGGCGAGACCATTCAAAACTGAGCATCACCTCGTAATCCTACCCCCTTAATCATCCTAGCCATGTCATTTGCGTTGTACCATCTTCTCGAGCATGTCTCCCATTTCCTTCCCCATCCTCTCGCGCTTATATTGCTCTCGAGACTGCTGAGTTTCTGCTGGATGCCAAAGTCCGTAACAAGAGCGCATCGTACAGTTCAGTCACTGATTCTGGCCAGGGTTTCCGAGCTACCTACTGGACATCGTCCGTAAAGCGTGACCATGACACTCAAGCTGGAACAACGTCTCTGTGGAATTCCCGGCAGAACAATGAATGAATGCAGCACTACAATGCCAGCGATTACATCCACGGAACCCAATCATCGAGGGCGAACAAGAACCTATGCCATTCAGATCTAGGCTTGACTCCCCTGCAGACGACTTGCGTTTGACTGATCTATGATGACCAGACTGTAAACAACTCCTCTCTCTGGAGGCTATAAAGCAGTACACCCGTCGCCTGCTGCCTTCTAGAACCATAACAGCCCAGCTTCTTCGCCAGATCCTCCGCTCCAGTTCCCTCAGACAGTTTAGCCTTTGACCCAACACAACTTCCATTACATTCAAACCCATTTTTACGACAGAGCAACATTAATATCCTTTCTCGCCATGTGTAAAAGACAACACTTCCGCAGCGTTGGCTGGTGTCCCAAATGCAAAGCACAAGGCCACGTCGACCACACCTTCACCTACTGCAGACGCCCTCTCAATTCCAACAAATGTCCCACGCTTGAGGGAGGAGGTCAGCGTGTGGAAGAAGACATCAACTTGTCCACTGGTCGTGAGGGCTACATGCTTGTTCCCTGTAACACATGCGTACAAGACATGGAGCGCAGGGGCATAGGACCCTATTCCGACGATGGGCATCTTCATAAACTGCTGGCCGTGGCAGCGTCTGGCAGAGCACAGGCCCAGAGGCAGAGCGAGGCTTCCCGTGCCGACACTACTGATTCTTCAGTAGCTGGTCCGCAGAGGAGTGACACATCAGCGGCAGTGTCGGCTATACCTGGGAGTCGGTTCGGGCCATCGGAAGTCTCGACGATATCCCGTACAGAGACGTCAGCCACCAGTCGAACTCAGGGTGTTGAGTCCGATGATGACTCGGATGACAGTAATAACTCTGACGGGGAGTGTGCAGCTGCCAGCCTCGGTCTCGCAGGTGAGCCATGAGAGTACTAGCACTGAAGGGGGAGTGCGGCTGCCACCTTCAATCTCTCGAGTGAACCATGAGAGCGTCAGCGAGGAAGATGTCAGCAGCCATGCGGCCGAGCCGCCAAGATATCGATCGCCTGGCCCATCACCTGAAGACAGTGAAATGGCGAGGCAACACAGACATCAAGACCTAGATGAGCGAGAGAGCCGGCTCCGTGAACGGGAAGCTAGGCATGAACAATGGCTGAATGAACGCTACATCAATCCTAGGCCGCGGTCTCCAGACCATGGTACGGACAACGTCGACTGGAGGGCGGTGGACCGTTATTATGACGAAATCAGAGCGCGAGATCGTCCGCCCTCTGGCTTCCGCTACGTCCAAGGCCTGCCACCAAGACGACGCGGAGGCCGATCGGGTGGCCATTAGAGTCAGAGTGGTTGGTGCTCTTCAAGGGTCGGAAGGCAATGATAGAGCATACCCAGGGAGGTCATGGTGAGATTCTGCGATGGAATGACAGATAATGTAGATTACTAGCTGAGCTCTAGCTGATGTTGGGGAAGATCCCGACAACTCTCTCTAATGTAAACGAGTTTGAAATGAGACGAAGCTTCTAAGACCGACAAAAGCTCCAGATTGAATTGATACAAGCTTGATACTCAATGTCCGTGAGTTGCCATGGGCCCGACGTGGTGAGAACAAAGACACGAACTCTGAGTGGTCAGGGTCCTGGTTTCTTAAACTTCGGCGACTCATCTTGTATCAAGTTTGACTTTATGAACACAAGCGGTCTCGGTAGTTGGAAAGCTTGACTCAGAGATATCACCGGGGCCTTCTTTCTGAAAGACCCTTGTTGAAGCCTCACGAGGCCTTTGAGACAGCTTCAAGCATTCTTCAATGCAGCATTTAGCTTCGATCAGTATCGCGTCGGGCAAAGTTAAATACAATTCTGAGCCAATGATTATGAATTCTAACGTTCATATATTGCAATTGCAAAGTCCGTCTATCACGGTGACAATGTCAATACCCTTACTATACACACATAACGTGTCTGAGTCTGCAGAGCCCATGAATCTAACACACCTCCAGATCCTACGCACATTGTGTACGTCTTCCTTAGCCCACCAAGATCTCATCAAGACCTTACCAGTGATTAGCCTCGCCAGGCGACTCCTCCGGCTTAGCACAAGCCGAACACTTCTCCCAAGCCTCGAGATCCTCGTCGCGTCTCCCATCGCTCTCCCTCAATCTCTCCATCTCCCGGCGTCTCAAGATCCAGAACCGCTCCGCCCCTTCCTCGAGCTGCAGCAACTTCAGCAGTCCCTCATGGGTAGCCCTCGTCTCGAGTTCGTCACTCTGCTGGCTGTGAGCCATGCGCTCGGCGGCACGGATGAAGGCGGTGTAGAACTGCATCGTGTAGGCAATGACCTCGGGATCCACGCTGCCGGCTGGCTGGCGGAACTCGATCGTGCGCGGGCCGTTGGTTCTGTCGATGAGTTCCCAGCGTAGGATCTTGTTCTTTTCGCCGTCGGGGGCCCAAGAGTCTTGATTGTAGCGCTCGAATTCAGCGTCGCTAGTGGCCATCGCGGTAGATGCGCTGGAGTCGACGCGGCCAACAGGCGACGATGTGGCCCAGGAAGACCCGGCTTCGGATACGTCTGTGGGAGCTGGAGTGGCGCCCCCAGACTCTCCATGATAATCGTGCTTTCGAAGCCAGTCATGGTCATAGCGTGGGTCGTCGGGTACCCATGGCGTGGGTGGTGAAGGAGTGGGCCCAGGAACAGATTCATCACCCCAATGGTTGTTATTCTCCGCCGTCTCGGGTCCGTTGTCTCCGGCGCCCCATATGTCCAACCCTGCGAGTGGTCGAAATTCATCGTCGAGGGGAAACCTGGAACCCATCAAGGACGCGAGAGCTCGATGGGTCCGTGTTGCAAATACCCTGCACTTAATCTCTTGTATGTCAACATGACCATGGCAGGAGTGCTCATCATTCTGGAAGCTGATGCGGTTGCTTCTGGCGTATATACTGGCCTTAGTGCAGGGATAAGGCGTCCTACTCCAGTGATGTAGCTCATTCACTATGGGCTCGTAAGTGAACGTGATAAGAGCTAGATGCTGTAAGACGGATAGAGGGATCACACCGTCCTTGAGTCCAAAATGGATGTGTAGTCCACAGTCGTCCTCGACCCAGGAGCCGTATCCAGCTTGTACAGGGTTTCTAGGTACCAGGGTCCCGATGTATTTCTTGATCTCGAGAAAGCTGTCCTGTTCCTGGAGAGCAACTTGAACGGACAGTACGGGTAGTGGTTTCGAAACTACCTCCACTGATCCAACGGAAAGTCTACCATCGTCTAGGAACCCGAACTTCTTCTCCTCCGCCTTGACATTTTCGTCGGATGTTTGTAAACTGCCATCATTGACGACCTTCCAAGTGTTGTAGTCAGTTTTGTTCATGGTGACGTCTGCGGACAGCTCAAGGCCAGCTTCCTTGAATCGGGCCTCCAGATAGTACAGCAGATTAGTCGATTTTAACGTGCCATCGTTCGGAAGTAGGGCTACGATGTGAGCCTCGACTTCTATGCCATTAAGAAGGTCGATAGGAGTAGGTGTTGGCAAGATCATGGCTAAACAGATCTGTCAGTAAATCGCAACGATAGATTTAGCAGAGCTGTGAGTTCGTAAGCGTCTTCTGAACGTGTTATTGGTGTAGCCTTTGGGACTCCTTTGACCGACAGCACGGACTCGATATTTGAATCTCGAGGCAGATCATGCATTATATACATTTCACAAAGAGCATTTGTCGAAGGTACTCCCACGAACAACGAACTCATTGTCACATCTAGACATGCACGACTCGTGGTACACAATACATCCTATGACCAATAAAAGGCAGCAGTGGGAACAACAGGTACTCTCTGTGGGGTGGAAATTGAGTATCAGCCGGGTATAAACTTTCAGGCATCACTACGAGAATCGCCCATATCATCGGCGGCCTTGGACAGTACCATTAATCTGCAAACCATACACGCCCAGACTTCAAACTTATGTACACATCTCTGCAAACGTATTGCAGTCCACACAACAGGGAATTTGTGCCGACGTCGGGAGCTGCTCCATACTGAACTCGCAAGAGGTTGTACGGCACTCAAAAATCGAAAGAGGCCGGTTGCCTAAGGCAGCCGCTTGTGGATATGCGATTGCCTAAAGAGGCGGACATTGCTTGGCACCAAGGACAAATCACTTCCGCTCCGCAGTGAAGATTGGGTGTGACAGTTTCTCCAGACGAGTACAGCAAGAACAGCAAGCAGTGAACACTCAGATCGGAATCATTTCTACGAAGGGAACTGCATAGCATACACTGGTCGCACCGGTCGCGCCAGGACCTTAGGGACCGTACTCGCGGCGTCCGCCGAGAGATTTCTTGCACTCCATACTTTTCTTTCCGTTTGTACAATGATACCTTTGCCTGACGACTTACTCGACACGCAAGCACTGTAGCCGCGCTTCTGCCTCAATAACATCTAGCGCCTGTCGCACCTCAAGCACCTTTCGCATGTCGCCCAGAAGATCCTGGCTGAGAATCTTACCCCACCCCTTCAAGCCATTGAGCTCACGAGCTGCACCGTCGATATTGCCTTCTTCCAACATAGTCTCTGTGCGCGTGAGAATGCTTTCCACGTCAACGCCCTGTGGTTGTCCGTGCTTCTTGAACATTACGTTCGAGAGCACGAAGCTCGCGGCATGGGACGCGATGCCCGCATCCTCAGGCAGCAGGGAGGCTTTGCGGACCTCAGATGCAACGCGGCGGAAACGATCGACCAACTGAGGCTGCGAAGGGATACCCTTTTGATAAGCAGAGGGGTTGATCGAGGCGATAGCAGCATCCACGATCGGGTCTCCGTCAGCGACAAGCTTGAGAGCGGCCATCTCACGGACGAATGGCTGGGGCTTTGTCTCGTTGTAAGTCGAGGCGGCGAGCGCAGTGCGAACACTGTCGACTGCTACTTGCAGTTTCTGCGTTGCAAGATTGGAGTCGATGATGCCGTTCCAGTTTGAGGTGAGCTGGGTCAGGTCATCAACGTTGGTGGACAGGTCGGTGAGCTTGGACAGACGACCGCCGCGTTCCTGCTCCACGAGAGACTGGATCTCAGAGACAAATCCACGCTTCAGCTCAATGGCTTGCTCGGCAAGTTGGTTCTTGAGGCGCTGCTCAGCAACGGCATTACTGCGCTCGACTTCATTCTTCAGTCGCTCATCGTACGCCTGGGCCAATTTCGCGCGCTCACTCTCGAAATCGTCACGAAAGCGAGCTTCATCCTCACGCTGAGCCGTTTCTATACGCTGAAGAAGTTGCTTGGCACCTTCATCGAACTCCTTATGCATTTGGGCCACACGCTCTTCCGCAGCGGTGCGCTCCGCGTCGCGCAGAGTACTAATCTTACTGGCAACGGCTGCGAGCGAGTCCTTTGCTTTGGTCATTGGAGATGAGAGCTTGTTGGCGGCGTCCCCCTGATCGGCGTTTACAACAGTGATCAAATCGTTCAAGATCTTGACTAGCTCCTGCACCACAGGTTCCTCGGCATTGGGCACTTGCAGCGGAGAGATCTGTGAGACAGGCGCGTTGACCGGTGGGCGAGGATCTGACTTGGGTGAAGGAGTTGCGGGGCTAGGATGAGTGGCCTCCGTCCCTTTCTCGGCAGGCTTGGGGGTTGTTGGTGCTTCAGGCTTTGTCTCCGGCTGCGATACCGGCTGGGAATCGGGCTTGGGCGCGTTCAAGCTCTCGGTCTTCCTGGATGGAGACTTGTCTTTGGCAGCCTGGGTAGCTTTGGCAACATCTTTCGGCGGACCTCCAGCTGGGGCAGCGGGATTCGGGTCTTTAGCAACGACGGCGCTCATATGTCGGCCTTTCTGGCTGACGTCGGAAGAGTCCTTGCCATCCTTCTCATCCACCGCTTTCCACGAAAGGCCAGACTTCCACGGGATTTTGATCTTCTCGTCATTTTCTGGAGTTGAACGTCCAGACTTATAATTGTTCAATCGTGCGTTGGGGAAGCGCTTTTGGAATGACCTCTCCTCAAACCATAGAACGACATCCTCGCCAAAGGGCACGTACTCGGTGAAGAAGTCGTGGAAATTATCAGATCTAAGGGCATAAAAGACCGCTCCACTGTAACCCAGAGCAGAGAGCACGATCAGCCACAGGAGGAATCTGAATGGGCGGAAGCGCTTCTTAGGGGCGGGAGTTGGGGGTGTCGGGGGTGGTGGCGGAGGGGGGGCGGCTGCACTTGTCGATCCAGTGGTGGTTGGCGGACTGGTCTGGACTTTCGCGACATCGGCTTGTGCTGAAGGCACCTTCTGTGCTGGCGGAATGGGCGTCGTTGACGAGGGGGTCGCGGGAGTTGCTGGAGCGGGAGCCGACGCGCCTGGTCCTCCCGGGCCTAGAGGAACGCCTGCTGTTGACTGACTACTTTTGAAAGAAGGGTCGGAGCTCAGGATCGAATCACTGCGTTCCGCATAGTTGCGCCGCTGCCAGCAATTAGTGCTCTGAACCAGAGGATGCATGGAAGGAGATGTACCTGAACCAGAGCCGGGCGCAGCAATTGTCTCCTGGCAGTCTGCCTAGCCAGACGCAGCACTATATGCTGCGCTACCATGTTGAAGCCAGGAAAGACACCTTGTAGAGCTTCCTTGAGCGCGATAACGAGTATCACAAGCAAATGTCTGAGCTCTTTTCGGGTTTGCAGATTGAGAGCTACAGATTCGGAAGGTTTAGCGACAGAGTAGTTCCTCAGCCTCGCGTCGGTCATGAGGCTGAGCTCCTCACGGAAACTACGGCATCGAACACAAAGAATCCGACATCGTCCGAACACTACAATGCTGGCTCTGACACAATTCAGCACGAGGGCAAGTGTTCAAACATCGGTAGGGCAAAAGAGGCAAAGGGCCATGACGATCTTTCCGGGGACAAGTTGATCAAATGTATTTGGCCCTCGCATACCGGTATGCACTGACACGGCCTGCTCATCGCGTTGAGCAGGGCTTGCTCGTTCACCACCTATTATGCCCTCTCTATCTTCCTTCGCTTCTTCCTCAGCTTCGCGGCCTCAGCATCCTTCTTCTCGTTGGAGTGTTGCATCTTCTCAAACAACTTGCGCTTCTTATTGCTCATCATCAATTTGCGCCGCTCTGTCTCCTCATCCTCCTTGGCCTGCTTCACTTGTCGCGCCTTCTTCGCCTTTTCTAGCCGCTCCCTCTCCGGATCTGACTTCTTGGTAGACACAGGCTTGCCAGCTGCCTCAGCTGCAAGCTCTTGTTGATGGAGTAGCTCCGGGTCCTCGTCGCCGCTATCAGATTCTTCATCAAATCCTTCAAATCCATCTAACTCGGCTTCCTCTGCACTCTTGGACTCATCGTCTGTGTCTGCTACATCCATGCCACCTGCATCGACGACACTGTCATCTGACTCAGCACCGCCGTCATCTATGGCTCCCCCAGCGGCGTCCTGATCTTCGTCCTCGACTTCACCCACGTTATCCTCGTCGGTCTCCCCCTCAAGCTCTTGTTCCTCAAGTGTGGCGCGTGGATCGTACTGGCCCTGTGTAGGCTTCACCCATGGACTCAAATGAGGAGGCAAGGTCGCGCCAGGGGCATATGTATCTGTCCGAAGGATCGTACCCTCATTCACACAATCCCAGATCCACTGCGGCTGCACGTAGACGCGGCCAGGCATGATGTAGCCAGGTTTTATCGACCGCGATTGCTGTCCATTAGCGGTGCTGTCGCCTTGCACATTAGGTAGGGTTTCCACCGCAGCTGGTCGGTCAACGATCTGGTGCGTTATACGTGGATCAGCCTCATTTTGAGTGAAGGCTCCCTCGCCGAGGACTGCGTCCCAGCCTATGCGCTGGCAACCAAAGGCTCGCAGGAGAAATTCGATGGGATGCCGTGGGGCTTCTCTTGAAATAAAGACTGTGATGTTGCTGAACAGGCTTGCTGCCTGGTTCCCGCTCATACTGGGCTGTGGGAGAGATTCACCTTCGGGTGCAGCGACCTCGAACTTATCGATCGCTGCCTCTTCAGCAATGTCATCAACATCGTCGCTTTGAGCCTCCTCCGGTGCGTCTTCCTGCGCCGCGGCAGCCAGCTCCACTTGCGCCTGGACAGCAGCTGGATTGGTCTCAGCAGGGCCATTTGACAGACCTCCGTCAAGATTCTCGCCGTTCTCGATAGTTTTTGAAACATTACGGCCCTGTAGCGTAAAGGCGGCCAGCTCTGCTCCTCTTTCATCGCTGGTGGTATCAAATTTTGGCGGGTACACCAACCCAAGGCTTGTGTACAGTCTGAAGTTGACAAATCCAAGAAGTGTGCAATAGAACTCAACAAAGGTACCCATGATGCGGTAATCAACCTCGGCGCTGACTTGCTGCACGAAACGATAAGGCACCAGCCACATGATGTCCTGCCCTTGTATCGTAGCTTGGTAATATATACCCTTGATTGACAGAAACGACTTTCGAAGGGAATGTGATGTGATCAGATAGTGTTCGAACTCGTGACATAAACGCTGACACTTTGCTATGACCTTGGGGGGCGCGGTGCTGGTCGAAGGTAGGTTCGCGAATAGAAAAAGCAGAGACAGAGCGTCGTCCAAATCTCTTAGCGCATCGACAAAGGTAGGATATCTTTCTCTCACGATATGATCTAGCTTGATCTTGGGCGTCCGCTCTTTCTCCATGCGCGCAGCGTCTTGTACTTCATTGCGACCGAGTGACCGAGCGATCTTTTTGGAGAGCGCTTTTTGATCTCGAAATTTGGCTAGCAGAGGTTCATGGAGAAGATATTGGATGTCTTTGGTGTAGTAGAACGTTGTTGAGTGCGTCGCAGATTTGTTGGCCTTCTTGATATTGCGTGGCTCGCGAGGGTATATGCCCTTGAAGATGCATAATCGTCTGAAGTCGGGTAATGATATCTGGAGTTTCCGGACCGCCTGTGTTCTAGTGATGAAGTTCTTTGCCTGGCCCGCCTGACCTTTCTTCTGTCTCTTCGCCATATCGACCAGTGCTTTCTAGGAGGTTGTAAAGAAGATACAACGCCTGAAGTTCTTGCGGGGAAGAGCGACAGGAACTTTTTTCGAAAAGTTGTCGGCACGGTGATACCTTATCCCGTGCTCCAAGTCTTGGCATCAGCAACCTTGTTCACTCTCCTTTACCCGGCCTCCACTGTAAGGACAGACGTGTAGGACTTCTCGATAATGGCTTCTAGCATCAAACGGTAGCATCGGGAGCTCATTGAAGATGGCTGTGGGCAATAAGGCGCTGGGTGTCTTTGCTGGTGCCGCGGTCTTTCGCTTGGCCGTATTCTTCCTTTTTCCAAGCATCCCAGATCTTCTCAGCACACAGGTGGAACTGTCAACGCCAGTATCGAGCTTCAAGCGAGTGAAGGAAGGACTCTTCCTCTACGAACGCGGTGTCTCACCATATGATGGAGGGTTATTCCATCAGGCACCCTTACTTTTAACCATCTTCGGACTCTTCCCACCTTCTCTGGTGTTCACTGCCTTGGATATCGTTAGCGCCACAGCCTTGAAAACGCTTGCGGACAATGTTCGACTAGCCTCACCACGCTTCAAACCTCTCGACGGCAACGTCATTGCAGCGGCATACCTTTTCAATCCCTTCACCATTTTCTCATGCTTCGGCTGTTCCACAAGCGTTCTTACCAATACCGCCATAATACAATCCGTGCTTAGCGCACATCAAGGCAATGGCCTACAATCCATGCTGGCACTGGCATTTGGAGCATATTTGAACATGTACCCAGCCTTGCTCCTGCCGCCGATCCTACTGTTCCTATTCCAGTCTTCCGGCGTGAAGCAGCCAGATACACGGACGGTCGTCGTGAACCTTGGTTACTTCACGGGTGCTCTGGCAGCATTGATGGCCAGCACTGTGCTGATTACCGGCAGCATCTGGGATTTTGTACGGTCATGCTATGGGTTTCAGCTGACCGTCACGGATCTGACCCCGAACATTGGCCTGTGGTGGTACTTCTTCATCGAGATGTTTGATCCCTTCCGGGAATTCTTCATCGGGGTCTTCTGGCTGCATATGGCAGGCTACGTTGGTGGGATGACCATCCGTCTGCATAAGGAGCCACTGTTCGTCATCACTAGTCTGCTGGGACTGTTTGCTATCTTCAAGCCCTATCCCAATATTGCGGATGTGGCGGTGTATTTCGGCTTCCTTCCGATGTACCAACACATAATTCCATGTGAGTTTGCCCAGAGCCTATCATGACTCTGACTGATTTTTGCAGTGACAAGATACACCTTTATCGCTGCCGCGGTCATTCTGTACTCAGTATTGTTGGGTCCAGCCTTCTACTACCTGTGGATTTATGCAGGGTCTGGAAACGCCAACTTCTTTTTTGCCATCACGCTAGTTTGGAGTCTGGGCCTCGCCATTCTTGTTGGCGATACGTTGTTCGCCGTACTAAGAGACGAATGGGAGATCGAGAGGCCGGAAATGAAAGGGAAAGACGTCCGACGAGTCTAGACCACAGGTTTAGAACCACCGACTGAAGGGCATTGAGCCTACGAACCATCCCTGTCACCCCGTTGGATCCTTGAGAATCTTTGACAGGATCACATACGTTGGCTCCTTCATAACGCCACCGCGCAACTGTCGCGCAGGAGGCGAAAACTCGTCTGTGGAATAGCCGAGCCGATCATACCAGCTAGTGGCGCGCTCATTCGACTTGAACACTGTCAACATGGCCTTCTCGACCCCAATATTGGCGCCAATGGTCTCCACCACACTCATCAAGCGCCTTCCAAGACCCTTTCCCTGTGAGGACGGGTCAAAATGGATCTCATAGATGTAGATCACTTCATAGCCGTCCTCATACGTAATCATGAATGAAATGAAGCCAATGAGCGGGGATTGGTGGTCCTTGTCGCGTTGAGACCGATCGAAAAGCAAGATGTACCTCAAGTCCGGCAGTCTCATCTCCCTGCGCTTTTTGGTACGTGACCATCCTGTCTCAGAGTTGCGGTAGTCTTCCGCGCTAGTCTGTTCAACTAGATCGAGGCATGCATTCAGCTGTGCAGCCGTCAAACTCTGAGCGTCGGCTCGCTGAACCAATACATTCTGTGACCCCGTCAAGGAGGTAGCGGTTTCGAGATCTTGGAGGTCATTCTCGGGGTAGTATCTTGCGAACAGCTGCTGCGCATTGAGTCTATTGGTTGATTCCACCAACTTCTGCGCCATGTCTTGTCAAATTGAGACTACCCCAGGAAGATTGGGGGAAGTAAAGGGAGCTGGGGAAATAGGATCGGTGTGCGGCCCCGAAGGCCGCCGTCCCCGGTCGGTCTGGTTGCCTTGCAGCAGACTAAGCCTTACTCGGAATCGGTTGCAGCTTGACTCGAAATCGTCGTCTTTTGAACCGGACTTCCTCGATTTTCCGCACCTGGAGAGTCAAGCCCTACGCCGCCACTGCTCAGGTACGATACAGCTCTCAATCAACTTCAAGCGGCTGTCTGGAAGACAACGCCCATGTTGATGTTGTGAGTGTTGCGAGTAACCTTCTCCTCATTCAAGACCTTGTTCGCTTCCCGGACATGACCCATATACATACACCAACAGCTTGGCCCCCGGACGGCAATGGCCTTCTTGAGGTATGTCAACTCCACTTTTCAGTCCTGCTATGGCATCTGGGTCAGTCCCCGACCCTACTTGCGGCCAGCCAAGTACAGTTGACGACTTGGCCTCCATTGTACCGAAGCAAGACTTCCTTGTCCAGGGGCAAGACCATCCCTTTTTCCAATGAAGTTGGCACCCCGCCTGCCATGATCTCGCGAGCTAGGTTCTAGGCTCTGAGCTTCGGCCGCCACGATCCTTGACATGCATCTAGCAGTCTTGGAACCACGCTTGCCACCAGGAATTTGGAGTCTTACCCTCGGTTCTCCATGGGGTAGTCATGGCACCACGTGCGAGGTGCTGTGGATGATCCGGGGCAGTCTCGAGTATAAAGTACACGCCTTGCGAGAGCGCAAGATGCTCAAGTGAACACACAAGTCGACTGTTCACACCATGGCTATCGACGTCAAGACCAAAAGCGATGCTCAGGTCTCATACCATGAGGACCCTAGCTCAAATGTGCTGGAGAAGGGTGATAGCATTTCAGACAATTCCGACTTTCAGGATGATCCCGAAAGAGCGAAAAGAATCCTCAGAGCTGTCGATATCAGACTAGTACCGGTGCTGACCCTCTTATATTTGATCAGTTTCCTCGACAGGTCAAACAGTACGTCGGCTCCCTTGCTGATGATTGCGGCATGCTAATAATCAACAGTCGGCAATGCACGAGTCGCCGGCCTGGACACCGACCTTGGCCTCAACGACAAGCAGTATAACATGGCACTGACGATCTTCTTCTTCCCTTACGCCCTATTTGAAGTACCCAGCAACATTGTCCTCAAGCTATTGACGCCCAGAAAATGGCTCACGACAATCACGCTTACTTGGGGCACTGTCCTGACACTGATGGGCATTGTCCAGGGATACAGAGGTCTTCTTGCCGCGCGTTTCTTCCTTGGTGTTGCAGAAGCCGGTTTTTTCCCAGCTGCCACCTATATTCTGACAACGTTTTACCCCAAATACGAGCTGCAGAAGAGATTGGCGGTGTTCTACAGTTCAGCGGCTCTCGCCGGCGCTTTCAGCGGTCTGCTTGCATTTGCCTTGCAGAAGATGGATGGCATCGGTGGGCTTGCGGGATGGCGGTGGTGAGCTTGTTTCCGTGGTTTTGCTTGTTTATACACTAACCTGCGATCAGGATCTTCATCATGGAAGGCATCGTTACTGTGGTTATTGGTGCTCTGATCCCCTTCATACTCATCGACAGTCCAGCCACACAGAAGTTTCTCTCGCCAGACGACACCAAATTTTACCTTCGTCGCCTGGAACACGACAACAAGACTGGGTCCAAGGATCAAGATCAATTCAAATGGAAGTACGTTACGTCGGCTCTTTTGGACTGGAAGATCTACCTATCGACACTCATTTTCTGGGGCAACTCGGTCGTCATCTACTCGTTTGTCTTCACTCTGCCGACTGCCATCAAAGATATGGGGTATACTCGCGAGCAGGCGCAACTACTCACGATTCCCATCTATACCTTTTCTTGCTTGACCATATTGGTTGTGGCGTACTATGCCGACAAGGCAGCACGGAGATTTGAATTCATCTGTTATCCGTTCATCCTCTGTGCGGTTTGTTTCATCGCTCTCATCGCTGTTCCGAAGACTCACTCGCCTGGTATCCGCTACGGGTTGCTCTTCGGCGTAGCTGCTGGGTTCTATGCTCCGCTATGCGGCATAGGTACGTCTCACCCATTCCCACATCTCACGCTCGTACTAACATTGTTCCAGTTGCTTGGAACGCCAACAACCTTGCTGGCTCTTGGAAGCGCAGTGTAGGCATGGCCCTCCAGATTACCATAGGCAACCTAGGAGGTCTCGTTGGAAGCAATATCTATATGAAGGCCGAGGCGCCATACTACTGGACTGGCTATGGGGTGTCATTGGCAGTTCTCACCATCGCTATCATCTGCTCGGTGGTCATGCTGTTCGCCCTCAAGCGCATCAACAAGAAACGAGAAGCCATGAGCGAGGAGGAAGTACGGGCTAAGTACACTGACGAACAGCTCACTGAGCTCGGCGACAAGAGCCCGCTGTTCAGATACACCTTGTAAGACGTCTGTTCCTGGGAAGTGGTCTATCAAAGTGAAGCTGGTTGTCCGCAACCCGCCAGTGACAGCTAGGCAGTCACCAGTCACTTCCCATTATTATAGCTCTTCAGAGAAATTGCGATTGCAAAATGCCACGAATCCAATTATTACGATATCATCCTTCCCATGTGCTCCCCAAGTTCTTCGACCGTACTACTACAGGAAGGCATTCATCTCCGATTCGTAGCGAGTTAATGTTTTCGTCAGACGCAACATTTTCAACACTCCAGACAACCCCGGCTGCAGCGCCGAGTCCGGTGGCTTCATCTCGGAACCTCTTCTCGTGGTCGATTCCCCGCCATTCTTGCTACATCCACAACCTGCTGCCGAGTTGTCTCCGCTAGCCGACTCGAAATCTTGTTCTCTCAATCTCGACCGCCACACCCACATTGTAGTCCGGTCTCACCCACCCACAACTCCGCAGACCAGTCAACCAACCGACTCGCACCATACCTGCCTCTCTTTCGAGACTACATGCGCTCCGTCCTCCGACGGCTGCCTCCGTCCACCACAACCGCGCCAAGGACCACCCCCAGACAATATCCTTTCATACCCATCACCACACCGCCGTCAACACGCACAACTTCCTCCACAAGCACCACCAAGCCCGTCCGTAAACACTCCCGCCAGACTTCCAGCGCCAAACCTGCCCTCTCGCTCGAGCACTTTCTTGTCCGGCAACGCGTAGTCTCGCTCTATCGCAACATCATCCGCGCCCTACATGCCCTTCCGAGGGACTCGGCGCAGCGTCATGAGCTGAGGGATTACGCAAGGACCGAGTTCGAGCGACACCGCGCTGTCAGTGATGTGGGCAAGATTCGATACCTGGTCAGTACGGGCAAGACTGAGCTGGATGGGATGAGGCGGTATCTGGGCGAGATGGGTGGGCGGTAGACCACCTAGCTGTTCGCAAGAGAACCTGGTCGATGTGTTGGGAGCACTACCTTTGGGGCATCACTTCCACCTGTAAGGTTTGGTGGCGGCAAGAGGAGAGCCCATACTGGTACCTCTAGTGGTAGGCGGCATGCCGGCTTTTGGACGGAGTCACAGAAGCCTCCGTGACCGTGCAATTCCGGAACAGCGTGCGAAGAAATGAGGTTGGCGAGACATGATGGGGCCGCCACCAAGGCGGCTCAAACGTCCGTTGGGCGAAGCAGATGCGAAGACGCGTTACTTATAGAGGCACCTGAAGCTTTCGTACAATCGCATGTGAAGGGGAGCAGCAATTTTTCCCATAGACTTTTGTACACCAAAGGCAGCCAGAACTATTGGGGTGCCTCCATATAATAGCCGTAGTTGCGATCCTCTGACTATTCTTCAATTGCGCCTCATCTTCTACGCCCTCCTCCAAGCTTCAGTCGTCCTCTCTAACCACCATTGCCGCCTTCCCTCTCTCACGCTCTTCGCCGCAAATCTTCCCTCGATCTTCTCTTTTGCATCCGTAGCCCTCATTCCGGCCTCCCGTGACGACCTCTCGATCCTCTCCCGCCACTCCCTCTCCTCGGTATCTCGCGCCTCCAACTCACGCAGCCACTTCTCTTTCTTCTCCAGCGCCTTCTTCTCCTCCAGCTTCTCGTCAAACGCCTTCCGCTTCATCCGCTCGTCCTTGTAAAAGAACGATCCCGCGACAATGGCAGCCAAGGTAAAGCCCTGGGCGTAGATACGCGCGCGGAACATCTTGTTGGTGCGGGTGGGGTTGCCGGCGCGGATCGATTTGCTGGCTTGGTACAGAGCGTAGCAGGTGGCGAGACATCCCAACGGTATGAGGGGCTCTTGCCGGATCTTGCGGAATAGCTTTTGGGAGCGGGATTCTTCGAAGAAATCCTCGCCCAGGGAGGAGGGGACGGGGCCGCTGGTGAGAGGGCGCTCGGCGGGAGGTGCGGCCGCTGGGTTGGCAGGCAAGGACTTTTGGTCGGACATTGTTGTGGTGGATTAAGATAGGTGAGAGTCCGGAGAGGGCTGCGCAATGTAGATTTGAAACCGCAAGCCTGTGCTCGAGTGTGTTCTTCAAAGGCTAAGTCCTTCTAGTTGCGGCGAGTGGTGACGTTCTCGAGGAACGTAAGCATCCAGGTCAAGATTGAAGACCCGTGAGCTAGGGGTTCCGCCGTTTGCTTTCAATACCTGCAGGCAGCTATGACAAGGCCCTTGCAAGAAGTCCGAAAGGGTCAAGCCGGTGGGTGGGTCGAGAGCGAGCTGCACCTCATGTGAGCGTTGGCGGCATGCTCGATATCGCGGGGCAAAGTTATTCCGGACCGTCCAAAAGTTGCGGGAGGACCTGCACTGAAGACCTTGAGCTGCGAGGAGCTTGCTTTACTCTACTACACGGCAATCGCACACCCGGCACAATGTCGCTACCCGACGGCGAGCCACATGTCAACGGTTCAAGCCCACCCTCCACCCCGAAACGTGGCCTATCACTTACCGAGTACGCCGCAAACCCTACACCGCGAAACGGTCGCAGCACCCCCACCGTCAAATATGACGTTCCTCCAGACCTACTACTTCCTAACGGATACCCGGACTACCTGAGACTGATATTGAGCTCACGGGTGTACGATGTGGTCACAGAGTCTCCATTATCACATGCAGTCAATCTGTCTAATCGGCTAGAATGCAAGGTGTGGCTCAAGCGGGAGGATCTTCTCCCAGTGTTCTCGTTCAAGCTCCGGGGTGCCTACAACAGGATGGCAAACCTACCAGACAGCAAGAGATGGAAAGGCGTCATTGCTTGCTCCGCCGGCAATCATGCTCAAGGAGTAGCATACTCCGCAAGGCATCTCAAGCTCCCCGCAACTATTGTCATGCCCCAGGGCACGCCGGCTATCAAGCACAAAAATGTGAGCAGACTCGGTGGTAACGTGGTGCTACATGGCCAGGACTTCGACTCGGCTAAGGCGCACTGTCTTGAGTTGGAGAAGCAACATGGCTTGACGAATATTCCGCCCTTTGACGATCCCTATGTCATTGCTGGTCAAGGAACCATTGGCGTGGAACTCCTCAGGCAGACCTCCATGCACAAGCTAAAGGCCATCTTCTGCTGTGTAGGTGGTGGAGGCCTCATTGCTGGCATTGGCGCGTACGTCAAGCGGATAGCTCCCCATGTCAAGATCATCGGCGTCGAGGCCAGCGACGCGAACGCACTGGTGCAGTCATTGAAAGCAGGCAAACGAGTGATGCTCGAAGAAGTTGGGTTATTCGCCGATGGCGCCGCAGTGAAGACCGTGGGTGAAGAAACGTTCAGGATATGCCAAGAGGTGGTGGATGAAGTTGTACAGGTGAGCACTGACGAGATTTGTGCGGCAATCAAGGACGTCTTTGAGGATACTAGGTCTATCCTCGAACCTGCCGGAGCCCTCTCGCTGGCTGGCCTGAAGAAGTGGGTAACTCAAAATCCTTCTGCGGATACGAGCCGAGAGCTCGTGGCGGTGGCCAGCGGCGCGAACATGAATTTCGATCGCTTGCGCTTTGTCGCAGAGCGTGCGACCTTGGGTGAGCAGAAGGAGGCTCTACTCACTGTGTCCATCCCGGAGAAGCCTGGCGCGTTCGCGCACCTAGTTGAGGCTGTCCTCCCACAAGCTGTTACCGAATTCAGCTACAGATATGCTACCTCCTCCCAAGCCAACGTCATGATGGGTATCTCAGTTGCCTCGGCAGCTACGAGAGATGACGAACTTGAGGCTCTCTTCACCCGGCTCGCTACCGAAGGCATGGTAGCACATGACGTCTCGGGGGATGAACTGACGAAAACACATATCCGCTACTTCATGGGTGGACGCTCGAGTGCACCGGATGAGCGGCTCTTCATGTTCAATTTCCCAGAACGCCCGGGCGCTCTATTCAAGTTCCTGCACCTGATGCGGCCCGGTCAGAACATCTCCCTCTTCCAATACCGCAACGTCGGCGGCGATATTGCCAAGATCCTGGTCGGCATACAGTGCCCAGGTAGCGAGAGGGACGATCTGAACTCATTCTTGAAAGAGATTGGATATCCCTATTCGGAGTGCACCGACAGCGCAGTTTATAAGACCTTCTTGAGGGACTAGCGAGCACATCAACAGTTGAAACGATGATACCCGGTTTGGAGTCTGGAATGTTGGACTTACTCGTCCGGCTAGTGCTGTAGAAAACACTTGGAGTAGATAGAACTGGCCCAACGCATTTTGAGGCTATGAAAAGTATTCCCGTTCGTCAGCTATATCGGACCGTCCTTTATCGGATGGCAAGAGTGACTCAAACCTAAGTTAATCCTAGCAGCTGGTTGCTGGCCTATACCTGAGCATGAATCATGGGTAAGGAGCGACAGCCTCGTCGTTGGCATTTATATTCCTTGGCATTGAAGTCATTCGCGACTTTCGACTTCTCCATGGCTCCGCTCTCCGTGTGTACAGACATCATGGAAAGTCAACATGCCACAGCAAAGAAAACATCATATGCATACCACTTGAGGACTTGAGATGAACACAATGGCCGATGATGACTCGGACGCGAATTATGTGGACGATCGCCCTCCAGCAATAGCCAGGACGTCTCCCACCACCGACGACAACTTCAATAAACGCCCAGACACATATTTGACGCGGCCGAATCGCTATTTCGGCCCAGAATCTACATGGCTTACATGGACTGAGCAGGATCGGCTCGCCGCGCACTCGCTCGACCAGGCTCGCTCTGAAAATCTGGGCCTTCACCTATTCAACGCGCATGCACTCAAGCGGAAAGCTGACGCCCAATTGCCAATCGGCAGAAAGTCCGAGAAGGGGAAGAGAAGAGCCTCATCGGCGACTAGCGACAGCGAGCATGTACCGCAGGGCCTCCGAGTGCCTCGTTACTGGACGGCTTGGCCACTCAGGCCTGATGATGTGCCGCGAGAATCTGAGGAGACCTTTGCGAAAGGCGATAGCAGCTTCCCTGCAGCTCGTGACCCACAGCCGAGTGAAGACCTACAGGATTGTCTCATTGCGATCACTACTCGGCTGGCACGCGAGCGATGGAGGAGTCGCGAGTGGGAGGCGGAGTTGCCCAAGAACACAGCTGTCAAGATCGAGCAGGGCATCTCCAGCGGAAAGCCTGCTGGACTAAAGCCAGAATCCGACATGTCTGATGCAGCGGAAACGTTGAGCTCTGGCCCAGAGTCCGACTCCGATGATGGACATCCAGGCATCCGTTCTCAGGTTTATCTTGCAGAAGAGGATGTAATCGAACATGAACCCGAGGGCTCGGACCCCAAGACAGATGATTTCCCTCTAGAGAAGGAAGAGGACCAAGTTCCATCACCAATCGTCGATGATGACAAGGCTAGACGAGTGCTACTTCCGAGCACGAGACATAATTTGAGCAAGCTTGATGACCTTTTGGTGGGGTTGCATAAGGCAAGACGCGCATATGCATCGAAGAGAACACGAGCTCGCAGATCTAGCACTACTAGCGATGCGGACGAACACCAGCCGTCAACACCAACCACAACACGGCGCTCAAGATCGCGGCGAAGGATGCGGTCGGCCTCTCGGGCCTCCGAGACCTCAATAGATAGCATGAATACTGGCATCTCTGCTACATCGAAGCAGAAGCTCCAGCTGAGAGACTGGAGCGATGTTTTAGGTATGGCTGCGCTGACTGGATGGGATCTGCAAGTGGTGCAACGTGCGAGCGAGAGGTGTGCGAGGCTGTTTGAGGAGAATATGCTCTTTCGCACGTTCCATGAAGGCAGTCGTGCTACGAATGAAAAGTCGAATTTTACCGAACATCACGCTATCAATGCCGAGGGAGATTCAGACGACGAGGAAGAAGAAGAGGCGACAACACAACCACTGCTACGGATTTCAGGAGCTTGTGATGCTTGTTCAAGGCGCAGGGAAAGCTGCGATCCTGCCGATCCTAGGCCCGGATCAGGCCTTTGCAGGCGATGTGTTGATCATGGACTTGTCTGCTCGGGCATAGTCACTGAATTGGTGCCTCGAGGAACGGCCTGTCCATTTCGCTTCTGCGAGCGACATCGAAAACCTTTCAAGAAGGCTTACCATCTTCAACGCCACCTGGAATCGGCCCATGGGGGGGACCTTCCGGCGGCATCTTCTTCCCCTGCCAGATCCCCAGCAAGTGATGGTTGTCTTGTCTCTGCTGATCAGTACACATGTCCGGTAGTGAGCTGCCCGCGCCATGGAAAACCTTTTAACGAGGGCGCGAAACTATACCGGCACATCAGGAACATGCATCCGGAAGTAGATGTCGAAGAGGTCAAGCGACTGGAAACGCAGCGCAGAGGGGAGAGGCGAGGTCGCTGGCGCGACGAGCGTCGCCGCCGCATCGGTGTGAGAAGTAGGTCGAAAAGCCTAGGAGCACCCTCGAGCCCTTCTAAAGCCGTCGATACTGGCGGCGAGGAATTGAAGGATGACTAAGCTACAGAAGTGGAGACTGATGCCCAGATTAGCGTAGGATGATTGGTCTATTGCTCAACACTGCTTACCTGATCCATCAGGGCAAAATCGCTGACGCGCTCAGCGTCCTTAGGGTGTTTTCTCTTCTGTAGTTTTATTAAAGGCTGTGTGAATTGAGTAGTAGCGCTCAGCAATATCCACGTGCGGCGCCTGTGCGTCGAATCACTGTGATCAGGGCTCTGCTGCGACGACCTGCAATAGCAGAATTAGCTCATTAGCCAGAGCCTCGTTCACAGGGCGGAGAAGCGAGTCTTGACGGCGATCTACCATCATACGCAGACAGCAGCACAGGTCTTCGCTAGACTACATCAAGCGCCATGGCGCCTCAAATGGCACCAGATATGAAACCTATGCGGAAAGGCACTCGTTCTTGCCGTGAGTGTAAGTGACTTCCTCAAGTCCTCGTTGTTGCCACTCCTCACATCTCAGGTCGTCGCCGTAAAATCAAGTGCAACTGGTCATCACCCACTGCTCCCATCTGCAATGAGTGCACCAAGCATGACAGAACCTGTCACGCTCAAGGGTACATCGTGGACCGAGCGCGGGTTGAGAAGCCGGACACGCTGCTCAAGATTAAAGTCAATCGAATCGAGTCTATTGTTGAGCGTCTGGCCAAGATGCAGCATGAACAGAGCGTGGTGGCTCCAAGGGACGAAAACGGTTGTTCGTTCGAGCGGGTACAGAAAAACATCATTGACGGTGCGGAACTCGAAGAGCATGCCAAAAAGGCCAGTCCGCTTTTTGGCCTCTTCAACAATGAAGTGGTATGTCTGGTGTGTTGAAGGTACCAGAATGGTCACTGACTGCAATGGCAGATTAAGCAAAAGGATGGAAACCCTGCTCCTCACCTTGATACGACCTCAACTATCAGCTTTAGGCAAGGCGATATCAGCGACCTTGACAAACTTAAATCAACAATTGCACAGGACCCCGACATTCTAGATGTACTTGATGCTGCGCAGGAATGGTGGATCTCGTGGCGCGACCAACAATGGGTCATTCGCGAGAGCGGTGTTGACCCCACCGTGAGGTCTTTCGTTCAGAGTCGCCTGGACTCAGACGACCCTGTGGTGTATGCAACCGGACTGATGTGCATTGCGATGTCCCTACATCGCATTCGACCTGGGATGGATGACGTCAACCTGAATTTATCGGTGTCTGCGAGGGCACTTTTTGATCGGATAGTTACTGCTATTGACCAGGTGGTACTTACCCGACAGCCACAGGGCAGTGCGAGCATCCTACTGGCGTTGCAGAGAGCCAAAACACACGCCGAGGGCGATCAATTGCGCAAATCGTGGCTCCGTATTAGACACGCCATTCTGCTCACGCAGCATCTCGACTTTGCGAACGACCTTGAGGTTGGCCAAGACGAACTTATGTACCGGCAGCGCTGGGTAGGCGGTGTCTACGAGATGGACCATTTCATGAGCCTGGTGCTCGGATTTCCGCACGCCCGAGACAAGAATTTTACGGATCGTCTGGCCAAATTGACGTTGATGAGAGGCGACGGTGACGTGACTGTGAAGATGCGAGCACTCAGAAGAATCACCGCTGTTGTCGCTGGCCGCGTCAACGAGCGCAACGCGAACGCCGACGGGAAGATTGACAAAGCCCTCACATGCTCTATCCAGGAGGACATGATGCGATTTGGCGCTATGATGCCACAGTCTTGGTGGGATGTCGAAGCACATGTGGTGAGCAACGATGCTCAATCAGCCCATGAGCATGTGATGGCTCAGATGTGGTATTGGCAGATCCAGTCATTCCTCCATCTACCCCATATGCTGGAAACAGACGATCCAGAGCACCACCAAAGTCGAGTACTCTGTCTTCAGGCCTGCCGCCATATGCTGAGGGTGTTCTGTGTGCTACGAGGGACGCCCGCCTTGTCGGTCTACGTATGCAGCTGCGAGGACTTCCAGGGCGTCATTACGTCGGCGATCTTACTCATCGGTGTTCTCTTAGGCATCTCCGAAGAGATATACCCAAGCGTCGAGAGCCTTGAAGAAGACTTCGCAATACTTGAAGAGGTCAAAGATATTTTTCGATACCGGGCAACTATGCAGGGAGGCTCGATCAGCAGACAAGGCCTAAAGGTGGTCGAGACGTTAGAGTCTTTTCTCATGGAAGGCTCTGGAGGCGCAAACGATGATAGAAGCCGATCTATCATTCTACCATATTTTGGGCTCATCCGCATCGAATCACAAGTGCCTCCTATGCACGCAGCCCGTCAGCAAATGGAGCAGCTGGATCTCACTGCACTCGAGGAGTACAGCACCCAACCTGGTTCATTATCAGCAAACTACTTGCATGACGATTCTTCAGCTATCAACTCCTACTGGAACACATCGGTGGAACACGAGAGTCCTCTGTTCAACAGCTCCTCTGGGCATCCGTCCAATGGATCTCTTTCGACTAATGGAGCATCTGACGAGGTCTTTGATAAGCCTCTGCCAGCGGACAAGACATATGCTGACTTCAACCCGCCGATTGCGAATGTCGAAAATTTGGAGAGCTGGGATCAGTTCTTGTATGGAGATGAATTGGCACAGGACTGGGACATCCCAGGATGGGAGTCGACGTTCAATGACTGGAACGAGGATCTGTTGAGCCATGCCCCAATGCCGCGGCAGTGAGCTGCGTCCTTGCTGCCGCGCGATGGGGAAGAGCTAGGACTCACTATACAAGGGCAAGAGACACGAATGATTGAATGGTTATACGACTTGCACGACTTGCATGATTGTGGGATCCCGCAGCGGAAAAGTACGAGGCTGGGTTATACAAATAGTGGGGCTCGCCAAGCCTGGATCGTCGGGCGGTCGGCGGAACTCAGCTTGAGGCGCCTCCTGTTTTTTCTGGCCATCGACAACTTTCTGTACTACAGCCGTATTACTCTCAACTTCGCTTTAACATCAATCTTCTTTTGCTCGTGTATAATAGCCTCTCTCTTCATTTGCAGACTTCGATGCGTTGATGCAGCGAATTCCATACGCGCCTTCCGGGCGGCGGCTGTTGAAATCACGATGGATCTGTCCGCAATGCGCCAAGCAAGCTAGAAGCGCATCAACGGCAGCTTTTGTATCATCACCTAATTCGAAAACATCAAGCTCACGGCGGCCATGGCAGACTGGTTCGACAGGTTCATCAGCCGCCCTGCCGGTTGCAGTCGTTCATCAGAGGCGGTGGCTTGGACGGAACTATGTGAAGAATCTGGTGCAGGCGGAGGCGGATTGGCAGGAGCGCGCTCAGGCTATCGCGAGGGGTGACAAGAAGAGCGTGCTTGACGTGTTGGAGGAGAGGGGCTTTGTGAACCAAATCGTGGGGTAAGCGGCACTCGTATCCTCGGTTCGAGGATGATGGAAGGCTAATGGATCGTAGGACTCGAGAGCAATTCAAGAAGCTCCTTGACAACCGCCGCATTGGTGTCTATTGCGGCATTGACCCGACTGCGCCGAGCATGCATGTCGGACACATGGTGCCCTTTATGGCGCTGAGTTGGATGTACATCCACGGATACTCCGCTACCTTCCTACTGGGTGGCGCCACTGCCAGGATTGGTGATCCCGAGGGCCGCCTCACAGCGCGGCAGGAAGTCTCGAGAACAACGCGCAACGCCAATGTCGCACTGATGCACACTCAGCTCACGCGCTTTGGCGAGCTAATGGAGCGTTATGCGGAGCGGAAGGGTTATAAACGCGAGTGGTCCTGGCGTAGGGCCATGCTCAACAATGCCACTTGGCACCAAAAGTTGTCGTGGAGTGACCTGTTGCGCGATATGGGACAATACGTGCGACTCGGACCGATGCTGGGCAGGGATAGCGTCAAGAACCGGATGGAGCATGGCGATGGGATGAGCTTTGCCGAGTTTTCGTACCCTTTGATTCAGGCGTGGGACTGGTGGCACATGTTTAAAACGGGCGTGCAGGTGCAGATTGGTGGAGCGGACCAATTTGGGAACATCTTGCAGGGTGCGGAGGCGGTGAAGGCGACGGCGAAGAACAACGTGGAGTGGCTTCAAAAGATGGATATGGAGCTGAAGAGTGTGCAGGAAAGAGCAAAGGTCGAAGTCAGCGAAGAACCCATGGGCTTTACGGTACCACTGTTGACAACCGCGAACGGTGAGAAATTTGGGAAGAGCGCAGGCAACGCGGTGTGGCTGGATGCTGGCATGACGAGCGTTTTTGAGCTCTATGCGGTAAGTGACATGTTGGTTGTGGCATATGGACGGCACTGACGAGATCTAGTTCTGGCTCAAGACTGCCGATGCGGATGTGGAGAAGTACCTCAAGCTCTTTACATTCTTGCCGCTCGAAGAAATCGGCACCATCATGTCGGAGCATGTTAAGGACGAGTCGAAACGTCATGCTCAGCACACCCTGGCCTTCGAGTTCACCACCCTCGTTCACGGCGTGGACGCTGCAAACGAAGCGTCTTTGCAGCATCACCAGCTCTTCAAGAAAGACAAGACGCTCAGTGAGATCCTTGAGCTGACCAAAAAGCAATCGGAGGGGCAACAGGCACCGGATGGACATCCAAGCACCACCAAGAACGCCAAGCCGCAAGGTCTCGAAAAGTACAGCACCGTGCAGGCCGAGCTGCCGCGGAGCGTTGTGATGGAGAAGCCGCTCTCGCACGTGCTATGGTCGGCTGAACTGGCAGCATCCAAGAGCGAGGCGCAACGACTGATCAACAACAAGGGCGCGTACATTGGTGCCGGCTCCACTGGAACCAGTCCCATGGGTGACTCGCTCACGTATTCGGCCATTTTAGATCCAGGCTGGAACTGGTGGAAAAAATTCATTATTGACGACAACCTCCTCGTCTTGCGTACGGGCAAATGGCGGGTCAAGATCATCAACATTGTGTCAGACGAGGACTTCAAAGCCAAGGGCCTCAGTTGTCCCGGGTTTGGCCAGGAGGATAGCCTTGGCGATGGCACAGACGGCTTGAGAGACGCAGACGGCGTGTCTAACGAGAGCAAAAGACGACCAGGCAGGGATAAGGGCTCCAGAAGTCCGTATGCGGTCGATTCAAGGTTTCAAAGAGGATGGCAGGATGGGAGTAGGGCACGCCATTGACCGTGCACAAACCGAAGAAGCTGACTCGTGCCGGGGTAGCAGCCAGGCAGGCAGACAGAGGTTCGCGAAAGACAGTTTCGCAGATCAGCTTCGGAGTTGCTCCCTCATCCTTTTGAGGACTCGACTACGGTACAGGAGCCCGGGAGTGAATGGTGAATCATCTTTGGACGGTTCTGTAGATTACTTCTGTCTATGATACCCCTGGCCAATTGAGTTGGGCCAGACCTTATTAGACCTGTATAAAGACATAGAAAGACTCTGCTTCGTCTGCTTCATCTGCTTAATCCGGGTGAGTCAGTGTGATGAGTCGTGGTAATTGCTCAAGGGGTGAGGTACCCGGGAGAAGAAGCGCGTTAGAGTGGGGAAAGAGCGATCCTCGACGCGGTCGCGCATCGCGCCTACCTGCAGACGCGTCATTGGCGGTCCTTACCCCCAGATGTTCCATCTACCCTCAACTTTTTGGCACCCTTTCACTTCCACCCTTTGCTCTCATTTTCCACTCTTTTTCCTCCGGCGCGGCTTTTCTTGCAGAGTTCAAGGAAGCATGCCGCCCAAAAAGTCCTCTACCCTGGCCAGCACGCCCGGCGGCCCTGCCACCCTAAAAAAAGCCGGTTCCGCCAGCGGCCAGAAGACCCTCCTCGGCTTCTTCTCTAAGACGCCTACTCCGTCCAGTGGTGCCACGCAGACCCTTCCCGAACGTTCCTCGCCGCGGAAGAATCTCACCAACAAGTTCGCGGCCCCTGCACGCGGCTCGCAGCTTACGCCGCAGCCGTCTAGTGACACCATCGGCCCCGGGGATGAAGAGGACGGAGAAGAGGAAGTAGTGTCCGCGTCAGCGAAGGCGAGTCGCTCCTTCTCCGCCAAAGGTGGCCTGCCGTCTCCCGTCTCCGCTGACGAGGCGGTGCAGGGTCCGAGCAATGGCGAAGCCAGTAAGGGACAGTTGACGCCGTCGAGGAAGGCGAAGAAAGCGGTGAATTATCTGGAGAGTGATAGTGAAGGAGACGACGATGACGATGTCTTCAAGCCCGTCCCGAAGAATCGGGCTGGGCTGAACGGGAAGGGCAAGGGGCGAAAGGAACCACCACGCAAGAAGAGGAAGGTTAGTGAAAGCGGGGACGAGGATGTGTATGAGCATGCTGGGACGGAGGATGATGTCAGCGGTGAGTATAGTATCAGTGGCGCGGTCGAGGTTGTGCTGACCGAATACACAGATATCGATGACTTCGTGGTACCGGACGATTCGGACGACGACGTCAAGCCTGCGAAGAGGAAGAAATCGACCAAGCCACCGCTCAAGAAGCTGTCGCGAGAGACCTCGACTCATTTCAGTACGCCGGATCGCGCTGAGGAAGAAGAGAATATTATGGACGTTGATTTACCAGAGCAGTCAACTGCTACACAATGGGCGTACGACCCTGAGAACCCGCAACCCCTGCAAGCACGCCCTGTCAACGTTCCATCGAAGAAGCCAGGTGCAGGTGGCAAGAAGAAGGCACATCAGTCCGAGCCAGAGGAGAGATATGCATGGCTCGCAGAGATCCAGGACATTGATAGAAACAAGCCCACTGACCCTGACTACGATCCACGCACACTCTACATCCCACCAAATGCCTGGCGAAACTTCTCGCCTTTCGAAACCCAGTACTGGGAGATCAAACAGAAGTTCTGGGACACCATTGTCTTCTTCAAGAAGGGGAAGTTCTACGAGCTTTATGAGAAGGATGCCACAATCGGACATCAGCTTTTCGACCTGAAACTCACTGATCGCGTCAACATGCGCATGGTGGGTGTTCCAGAGGCCAGCCTTGACCATTGGGCGGCACAATTCGTGGCCAAAGGCTTCAAAATTGCAAGAGTTGACCAGAAAGAGACCGCCCTGGGTAAGGAGATGCGAGAGCGTGATGACAAGAAGACCAAGAACGACAAAGTCATCAGGCGTGAGTTGGCTTGTGTCTTAACCGCTGGCACGCTGGTCGATGGAACCATGTTGCAGGACGACATGTCAACATATTGTGTGGCCATCAAAGAATCAGAGTTCGACGATAAGCCAGCTTTTGGTGTTTCATTCACTGATACTGCGACTGGTCAGTTCCACATCTCTCAGTTTGTGGATGATTCCGACCTGACCAAGTTTGAAACCTTTGTGGCTCAGATTCGACCCAAGGAGCTTCTGCTCGAGAAAGGAGGCGTATCGGTCAAGACACTGCGGATACTGAAGAACAACACTTCCCCTACCACGATCTGGAACTACCTAAAGCCAGGAAAGGAATTCTGGGAAGGCCACATCACCGTGAAAGAAATTGAAGCTTCAGACTACTTTCCCAATGGGTGGCCAGAGGTCCTCCAGGAGGCTAGGGAGAATGAGCTGTTGATGTCTTCCCTTGGCGCTCTGATCCAGTACCTGCGAACGCTGAAGATCGAGCAGGATCTAATCACTATTGGCAACTTTACTGCTTACGATCCTATTCGCAAAGCATCAAGCTTGGTACTAGATGGTCAGACGCTCATCAACCTGGAGGTCTTCAACAACTCGTTTGACGGTGGTGTTGACGGCACACTCTTTCAATTGCTGAATAGGTGTATCACCCCATTTGGTAAGCGGATGTTCAAGCAATGGGTCTGTCACCCGCTCGTGGACATCACGAAGATCAACGCTCGACTGGATGCTGTCGATTCGCTTAATGCCGACCCTAAGGTTAGAGACCGCTTCACCTCCCAGATGACGAAGATGCCGGATCTCGAACGTCTCATCTCTCGGGTACACGCAAAAACTTGCAAGCCCATGGACTTCGTGCGTGTCTTGGACGGGTTTGAGCAGATTGACCACACCATGTCACTCCTAAAGGACAGCTCAGGCACTTCTCACGACACTGAAGGAGTGATTGGCAAGCTCATCGCCGCTATGCCTGACCTTGGGTCTCGTCTCGAATATTGGTCATCTGCTTTCGACCGCAAGAAAGCTAGAGAACATGGCCTGATTATTCCGGAAACAGGCATTGAAGAAGACTTTGATGAATCTCAAGACCACATCGAAAAGCTTGAGAAGCAGCTACAAGCTCTTTTGGAGAAAACCAGAAAGGAGCTCGGTTCCAAAGGTGTTCAGTACAAGGACATCGGGAAGGAGATCTACCAGATGGAGGTTCCCGCCAAAGTCAAGGTTCCTGCCAGCTGGAATCAAATGTCTGCAACGCAGGCCGTCAAACGGTACTACTTTCCAGAGCTGAAGAATCTCGTAAGGAAACTCGAGGAAGCTCGAGAGACACATACGCAGATCGTCAGCGCGGTCAACGGCCGTTTCTTTGAGCGCTTTGATGAGCACTACGAGATCTGGCTTGCAGCAACTCGCATCATTGCGCAGCTCGACTGCCTTATCTCCCTCGCAAAAGCATCTCAGAGCTTGGGCACCCCATCTTGCCGGCCAACCTTTGTTGATGAAGACCGCTCTGTTATTGAGCTGGTCGATCTCCGTCACCCCTGCCTGATTGACAATGTCAACGACTTCATTCCGAATGACGTTGTTTTGGGCGGCGCGAACCCCAACCTCACGCTGCTCACGGGTGCAAACGCGGCTGGCAAATCCACGGTACTGCGCATGACCTGCGTCGCGATTATTATGGCACAAGTTGGCTGCTATCTCCCCTGTTCATCAGCGACTCTGACACCTACCGACCGGATAATGTCTCGTCTCGGTGCTCAGGATCATATTTTCGCCAACCAGTCTACCTTCTTCGTCGAACTCGCCGAAACCAAGAAGATCCTGACTGAAGCCACGTCACGATCTCTTGTCATTCTGGACGAACTTGGGCGCGGAACTAGCTCCCACGATGGCGTGGCCGTCGCTCAGGCAGTTCTGCACCACCTCGCCAGTCAGGTCGGATGCCTCGGTTTTTTCGCCACTCACTATCATTCTCTTGCCGCGGAATTTGCTTACAGCAGAGAAGTAGCGAAGAAGCGCATGGGGATTCTGGTCGATGAAGAAGAGAAGCGTGTTACTTTCTTATACAAACTTGAGGAAGGTGTCAGTGAGGGTTCATTTGGCATGCATTGTGCCGGTATGTGTGGGATACCGAGACGAGTGATTGCGCGAGCAGAGGAGACGGCGGAGGCTTGGGAGACAACAAGCCGTGTGGGGCAGAAGTTGAAGGGAAAGCTGATGGGCAGTGGTGAAGAGGTGGTTGGAGAAGTGCCGTTGGGTGTCGTGAGTGATGTGGCGTGGATTTTGAACCAGAAAGAGGACCAGGCTGGAGAGGACGAGAGGATGCTGGAGGGACTGTTGGCTGCCGTGGCGAGGCTGTGAGGCGGTACGGAACCTCATGGCAACGGAAGGCAGGGCTGGAGGCTGTATGATTATTTTCTGTTGTGAGGGAGGGCGTACAGGACAACACGGGCTACAGAAGATTCTCGGCTGCACTATAGCGTGTCCGCTGTCATCGAGACAAATGTCGTAAGAGCAGGCCTGTACTAAGAAAAGCAGGACGGACAGACTGCCAGCAAATATAGAAACAGAAAGAGAGTACTTCCACTCAGATATTTGTTTCCATCGTTGAAGTCGATATCATTAATGGGTCTGCTCTGGTTCTTGGTTCAGCTATATTTACTACATTCGTCGAAACCCTGTTCCAACTCCCCAATTCCGGCAGCAGTAGTTCGTCATCACCAGAGTGTCTTTCTCATATCAAACTTTCAAGCCGCCTCCTACCTGCCCCCCCAACTCGCCGTTCGTGAAGCCCCTTTTCAGATTGGAGCAGCAGCAGCAGTAGTCATCTGCCGCTCCAGCCGCCGCAGCACATCGTCGCCGTTCCACTGCTCAGGTGTCTGCGTCTCATCGGCAGCGAGTGTGAGTGTAAGGGCCGCGAGGCCCAGCTGCTAGACGACGAAGCTGCTGGCCACGGAACCAAAATGCGCGGCTTGGATGGGGTCGCCTGTGGTGACGAAGCCGATGGCGTAGCCGCCTAGGAAGCAGTTGCCTGCGCCGGTTGTGTCGATCACTTGTGAGTGGCGAGTGGCGGCAGGCGCGTGAGTTTTGGACATTAAGGGTGATGAGGGCGAGGAGATGGTCCAGTAGGCTGGCACCCATGTGGCGGGGACGTCGTGAGAGAGGATGAGGGCGCCGTGCTCGGCGCAGCGGATGACCTGAGGAGGGGAAAACTTGGGTTAGCGAACTGTGGGAGAGGGACGGCCGACACTAGGTGAAGCGAGGGCGGGTGATGTTCAGACAAACTTTAATGGGCTCATGGTCCTTTTCTCCTCTTGTATGTGGTTTGAAAGAGGGACTCTGAAAAGCGATGCTCATCATGATCTGGAAGCTAGTTGGCTGGGACATCTGGACTTACTATGATGCCTGTGGAAGCTGACCTAATTCCTGAGTCGACGATCCGCTGAGCAACTTTCTCTACCACTGGGTTATCGAAGGCTGAGGGCGCAACCTCGCCGAAGAAGGAGAGGAGCCCAACGTGGTTGGGAAGGAAAGACGTCGACGTAAGGTACCGCCCCGAAGACGTCGGGAAGGTGGTCCGGAGTGCAGGACGTTAGGCGTGGCTCCCGAATGATAAGCGGTAAGCCCAAGCCAGCAGTCTCGCGGAGGTGCAGGAGAGCGTCAACTTCGTTGTGGAGTGCCTTGGGCACGGTCATCAAACGAAAGGCCTTGGATGCCAGTGCCGGCGATGCTGCAAGGTCGCGCGGGATGGGTCGAATAACCGGTGTGGTGTATCGAAAGTTTCTTGACTCTAGCTTTGCGTTGTGGTAGGCAAGCTCGGCTCGCGTGGAAAGTGCGCCAGGGGCTCGTTCGACATCGAGCGCCATGTCCCATCGACGAAGCATGTCTTCAACCTCGATAGGGAAATCTTCGCGGACACGGAGCTTCAGGGCGACGGCATGGGAAGCGTCTGGTCTAGGCGGGCTGAACAATCTGGCGCCCAAGGTTAGAGAAAATGGCTGCCCCTCCTGGGCCGTCTCGCGCGACGACTTGCTGAGCCACAAATATTTGGTCCAACACTGTAGTACCGAGACTTGTGAACAATATCCCGTGCTGCATTCTCCTGCCGGTGCTATCTGGGGAAATTAAGGTAGTAGCTTTGTTGTTAACTCTCAGGAAAGCCATGCTGTATGCTGTATTTTGTATGCTGTGGAGTTTCATCCGCGTTGAAGATCAAGTATGTGTGAGTAGTTCAGAGGACAGGAAATCTTTGTGGAGTTTGCGCTTCTGTAGGCGTGTGCTGGCGCGTGATGCGTCTTTCACCATCCGCAGCAAAACACCGGGTGCCCGTTTCCGGCCAGGTGGTCATGTCACAGCCTCCTTGTATAGCCGGTTTGCTGCAGAAAGGCAACAGATGGGCTGTACGTGATATGCCGTAAAATTATTAAGTATTAACGCGTCACAGTCTGCCTTAAACCCTAGTTGTGGTATATCCGAATTCTGTATAAACTAGATGTGGGAAGATCGTTGAGTTGGATGTCATTGACGTTCGCTGTAAGCTGTGGATCGGAAAACGTCTGATGCATGTTGTATAAGAAGCCGATGCAACTCACAGCGCATCACGGTGCTGCGGCAATCGGTCTGGATGCTTGACAGGGTGCGTATGGCGCCTACTGATGGGTTTTCGAGACTGATGGCGTCTCGAACGCTTTGACCGACAGTGAATGGGCCAGATCTGAAGACGGCTTGATATTTGCGGCTCAGAGCGGGCAGTGCGGAATGCGACATCTCAGTCTGCCCGGGGACTGTCTTACCCATTGTCCTGTATCCTCATCACAGTGCCTGTCAAAGCCCAAACTAGCTTGGCCGCTGCAAGCCGGACCATCGATTCCAACCTCGTCCAATGAATTGAACGACGATGCTGGATGCTTAATCTCATTGATGGTCTAAGTGGCGGGTTTTGAACCGCACTCCAGGATAGATCAAAGGCTTCGGGGAAGGCGAAGGTGACTGTTCATGTCAGAGAGTAGAATCTGGAGCCTCGCAATGGCTCTTTATGCTTCTCAGAGCAGGGGATAGGTTGAGGCGATTGCTCATGGATTGATTGCCTCCAACTCCTGCACACGCTTTTCGAATGCTGAGATCATAGCGCTAGCAACCTTCTGTTCAACCTGGGCAAACATTTGGTCATAGACTGGATTGCGAAATTTGACATCCACGTCAAGCTTGACCAATGTTGCCGACTTCGAGTTTCCTGTGTCGGAGATCTTCCATCGTGTCTGCAGAGTCTCAAAAAGGCCCTGGCTTGCAGTCTCACTGCTCTTGGCTTCGATTGTGCCACCTGTGGGATTGCACAAAACCAAGCTGTCCCAGTTTTCCTCGAGCCCAAGCTTATCGTATCCGACCTTTAGTCGGGCACGTGTTGGATAGCCAGCGGAGTCTCTTTCGGTGACATGAGATGAGATAGTGAATGGTAAGAAAGCAGGATAACCGGACACATCAGAAACAGCCTTGAAGATAGCTCCCGAGCTGTAAGGTAGAGTTTTGGTATGACTGACTGAACGCAATGGACAGGGTCCGAGGGCTGAGCTTAGCAAGGAGTCGATGAATGTACGCTCCTGCTGGCGTATGACAATGGATGCCGGTCTCGTTATGGCATGTCTCGGGATGCGAATTAGATTACTTGGTGGCAAGGGCCTTTTAATGGCTGCCATCTACCTGGACCGACTAGAAGCTGAAAAAGCGTTGGAAGTGAGTGATGAAGAAGGAAATCTATCGAAGAAAGAGCGATCGAGACCGAAAAGCGCAATGTTAACCTGTAGAGACAGAAATGAAGAGACAATGGGATGGTATTGATGATGAGCTCTTGTGACAGCATACTTTATCGAGTCATGGCGTGTTCTGTATCTGCCAATGTCTGACTCGTGCACGAATATCTGTCCTTGTAACCACCATCATCCCGCTCACTTTACAGTCTCGAAAGATGCGATAGTCATGGTTGCAGTCGAAGCGCGCAAGAAGGCGCCTCCTGAGACGCCTGAGTCTATAGGCCTTCGGAGCAAAATCGTGCTGTCATTCTGGGCCGTCATTCTCCTCCTAGGTCTTCCAACATGGTACAAGACAACCGAGATCTATCGAGCGAGTCTACCATTGGAGCAGATGCTCGGACTCAGTGAATGCGAGGTACTTAAATCCGTGCCTAACAAGTGCTCGCTCTAACACCGTCCAGCCACCACTACCGAAACTACCACCCCAGATTTGGCTCGACATTCCGGGTGTATTATGTGCCGATGCGCAGCGCATTGCAAGAGACACCCAGAACGAACTTGATCTTCTGGGCAAAGAGTCCTTTACGCAACCGAGAGTGCGACTCGTGCACAACGAAGACGACAGTGGCCCAAAATGCGGAGTGAGCCTCCAGAGTATCAAAGAGGAGGGACCGGATTTTGAGGTTCGCTTCGCAGGCGAAGCGACGCAGTACACGTTCGAGCTGGAAAACGGCAGGTCGAAAGCACTTGTCAAATACTCTCAATCTCAGCGGCCTGCTCTGCCCAGAGACCTGGCGTTGTCAATCCGTGATGTGTTTGCGGATGAAGAGGTTGCACACCTTCTACAGATCAACAAACTGGTCATCAATCACCCTTATGGACTTGCATTCGCACAGTACAACGGGGATGCTGTCTTGGAAATCGAAAAGCAGATGGGGAGAGCTGCCAAACCATCTCCTGGATATCACCTTACATTCTCGTTGTTCGCGGCGACCGGGGCTCCATCTAGCTGGGATATACGAAAGGCACTCGACACTCACATACAGCCACTCGTCCACGCCCTTGAGAAGACCTTGGCTATCGAAGTGGGAACACAAGTCCAGCTGTTTTCGCCGTATAGCCCGTCTGTTGAGACATTCCAGCTGCAGGGTACCAGAGGCAACTTTCTTCATCAAGGGGACCTTACATCTTTCGTCAATGCTGCAGAGTGGCCTCTATCGCCTTCCATCGGAGATGGACCGACGCTGAACTTCATTGTCTATGTTCCGTCCAAGGCTGACCTGCCGCTTGGTATCGAAGGTGATCTAGGTGGAGCATGGATGGTGCCCCAGTGGGGAGGTATCAGTATTGTTAACCCTGACCTTGTTGAGGATCCGGAAACTGGCTCATACGTCCTACCGCCCCACCTCTCTGAAAATATGCTGTCCGAGGCATTCCAAACATTTTCGTCACAGCTACTGGCGCTTCTTGGTGTGTTGTCTACTAACTATCGCGGCACGCCTCTGCCAATTCCTCTACGACTGCGGTCCCACCAGCGACTGACCGCGATGAGCCTGCATCTGAAGGCCTCGTCGAGCCTCGGATCTCTCGCACGTCTCGCCAAACATCTGAGCAGCATCCCTATACCGAAGCATGTGGCACAGTTGGTGGATGATTCGATGTCAAACCTCACCTCTTCTACTACAGCTCTGAACAATGGTGAATGGGAAGAGGCTATCAAATACGCAAGCATAGCGTATCAAGATGCTGAAAAGGCCTTCTTTGACAAATCTATGGTCGGGCAAGTCTATTTTCCAGACGAGCACAAGGTGGCTGTCTACCTTCCGCTCCTCGGACCTATAGGAGTTCCTCTTGTGGTTGGACTCCTTAGAGAGGTGAAGAGAGCTGCCACGCTCCTTCGAGCCAAGAAATCATGAAATGACTCCAGATCAAAATGCCACGTAGCGGCAAAAGAAGTTACCCGAAAGCCCATTCAACATCACTGAGATGGTTGTCAGTGATCGTTTCGAGAAAGCGCGGTATCCCTTACTCCATCAAATGGTGATACTCCACCGGTAAGGACAGACGTTGCCCCATAAGCCGATGTAGCTGTCCGGATACATATCGAAGTCATCCACAAAGGCATCCGGGCCACTCAGAGCCTCGAATTGGGTCTGAACTTGCGTCTCAGGCATTCTCGCCTCAAGCGTCAACTGTAACTGATCTCGCAGCTCCTTGGGGAACTGCTGATCGCTCATTACCCGGACTCGCAGTTGAAGCTTCCGTAATGTTTGGAACGCTGGGAGCCAAGACATCAGAGGAGATGATGCCGGGTCAAGAGTCTTTTGCAGCCCAGTCCTGCCGTCAGCCAGCGGCACAGCGATGTCTCTGGACGAGACAGTGATGGATAGCTCCCTCAGATCGCCTTCATAGCGTGGCAGGAATCGAGCAGCAGAGTCGAGGGTCAGATCCCACTGGTCATTACCAAGGCGTAATAGCCGCAACACCTTGGCAGCCGCTGTGGCATCAAGGACTGAGCCCACCACCTGCAGATTGAGTCCACGCACAGCCCTCAGCTGTCGCGCGGAAAGACGCTGGAGCAGGCTTAAGGACGCGGATGTTGATGAGTCGGTAATGGCGGGCAGAGAAATCGTGTTACTCTGGAACGGTAGCAAGCATGTCTCGTTGTGGATTTGCTTGCAAGCTGCTAGGAGATTGAGACAAGGGATCGTTCGAATGTCGCTGTCTTTGACTGGAGCGAGTGCATAGGCGAAGATCTCGCTGCAGATCTCAGCAGGGAGCTGTGTTGTTGCCGCCATCGCTACTATAGCTGAGGGCAGGATTGTGAGGTGAAATTGTCAGCTGCCCTGGAGGTGAGCCCTCAAAGATATGACTGAATGGCTGTCAGCTCGTTTGCCTTGCCCTGCACGCCGCGCCCAATCCGCGCACTCGTTTCGGCTAGGCATCTTGTGGCTGAGGCCCCACAGTCTTATCCGTTGTGTTGGGACACATCTCACCCCGAACACATGATGAGCATCCTCAGCACCTTCCCCGACATTGGTAGATACTGCCTCCCAAATAACGCGACCGGTACGTCAATCTTTCCAGCGAGTGGGAAGATTGGCAGTATTTGGTGCCAGCGGCCACTTCGGTCCAAATCCCAAAGCAGTCGGATTCTCGGCCAAGGATAAGGCGTCCACAACTCCACTCCGCGGATGTCACCAGTCACTTGAGCCTCACAGCCTCGCAGATCTCAGCTCAAACCCCGGCAATGCCGAGAATTTGGCTCATGTCAGCCAGATTTAGCGCAATAGGTGGACTTGCCGGTCCGGGAAAATGCTCGTCAGAAGTTGCATGACAAACTTCGCTCGTGGCGGGAGAAATATTTTTCGCGGTAAGCTGACTAGTAGTGTTTCGCACATAGCATGTTCCCAGGCACCTTCAAGCTCAGTAGCTTGTCGATAATGCCATAACGTATTTTAGCGCAGAAGCTAGAGAGCTGACCTGATCCACTATCAGACAGAGTAGTGCGACACGATCTCGACGATATGCAATGCGAAGTGCCAAGCAGCAGCCTTGCCGATATAGGTAAGGCTGAGCTACAATCTGGCGACTCTGATTGGATCAGAGGAAGAAATAAACCCTTGGCACTCCGGATACAGGATACACAGACTCCCCCTTCACCGCTGGACCATAGATGTATGCAGCGAAGACCTTGCCTCGATCAATGATCCTTCACATTTATTCCTGCTCTTCGTGTCCTGCTCCATAGCACATATCTGAATAGCCTATAACATGGCCTTTGGCATGAATCGCATGGCCTGTCTCACGCCCAGATCTGCAAGGACCTCCTCTGCTCCGCCTGGTTGTAAGTGTTAGTATTATGTACGAGATGTAGTTGTCGGGAGTCCGGGGATACATACCTAGGATCGCGTCGAACTTGTAAGTGCGATGGAACTGCTCTACCACTCTTCCCATGCCGGTCTGCGTGAGACCCCTGCCACCGAAGATGTTGACTGCCTCGCTCGCGACCTCGCCAGCGCATTTTGTCGCATGACTCTTCAGAAGGCCAATGGGCCCGCCCATGAGCTTCGATTGCTGGTCGTAGGAAAAGTGGTTGAGGTTGAAGGTCAGGCTTTCCAGGTAGCTCTGGCACGACTCGGTCAGGCTGATCATTCTCGCGAGCTTTTGTCGAATGACAGGTTGCTGGATCAAGGGCTTCCCGAAGACTATGCGCTGGTGCGACCACTTGAGGCATTCTTCGGTCACCATTCGCATCCACTGGATGACCATGCAGGACATGAACCAGCGCTCGTGGTTGAAGTTGCTCTACAAGGGTTATCAGTAACCATCATCGAATCTGGGAGATGGATGTGGATAGTGGAGGGCCGTTAGCAGGGAGGGAGTGGACTAGGGGGGGAAAGGGTACAGGCTACCCACCATTACAACGGCAAAACCTTTGTGCTCCTTGCCGAGTAGGTGATTAACGGGGACCTTCACATTGTTGAACTCGATGAAAGTCGTTGCGGCGGCGGTGGAATACGACGTCTTGATGCGCTTCGTCTCGATATTGTCGTCACGAGGCACTAGAATGACGTTGTGACCTTTCTCCGTTTTGCAAGCGGTCACAAAGTAGTCTGACCACATTCCATTGGTGATCCACTTCTTGGTGCCGTTGATGATATAGTGTTTGCCGTCTGGAGTTTTGGTTGCGGTGGTGCGAAGGCCGGCGACATCGGAGCCTGCGAATGCTTCTGTCACAGCGAGACTCATGAACTTTTTGCCAGAAAGGCATTCTTCCATGACCTTGTCGCGCAATGCGGTGTCGTTGGCCCACTGTTTCACAGCAGAGAGAGAGATTGTCATGCCAGCCATGTTCCCATCCTGAAAGCCGCGTGCTTTCGCTCGAGATAGCTCTTGGGCGACGATCAGGTCATGGAAAAAGTCGAAGTCGGCAGGCTCCACGTCGCCCAGTAGTTTATGTCCCTCGAGATGCTTGCCAGGACCGAGACGCATGGCCAAGACACCATTCGCCGCCATTTTGTCGACGAGCTCTTGCGAGATATATGTCCCATCGAGCTCTTTCTCCTGAGCCTCAGGGTAGATATCTTCATCGACGAACTTCCGCAAAGCCTTCTGTAATCGTCGGTGCGAATCCTTGTAGTAAGGACTCTTGAATTGGGGCGTGAGCCACAATGGCTCCCCGTATGGCACTTGGCTTAGATCGCCAGGCTTTGGGTCAATGACTTCTGGCTTCTCCCCGTCAATGGTTCCAATGCATAAGGACTCGTATTTCTGGAGCACTTCATGTCTGTGCAAGTTGTAGAATGCTTCGGTAGCGTCCTGGCCAGCGACCTGTTCAAGGACTACTGAGCCACCCGGGTGCGCATCCGAGAAATCCCCAAGGTCGTAGACTTTGTGATCAACGATTACCCAAAGATCCTCACTTGTCGTGTGTTTGCTCACTTCCTCTCGTGTGAACGTCCCCTTCGTGCTCTGCGATGTCTTCTGTGCCATATTGAGCTTCCAAAAGCGCCGTTCGATGCTGTTGTACAATAGAGAGCGTCTATGTCCGCGCTGACATATAAAGATGAGGTAGAAAGAGTGGTATCCCAATGAATAGTATATTGGATGAGGTCTGGGCTACCCACCTTGGGATCTTGGAATATAAGTGACCGTAGTAATCCGCCCCTCGAGATTGGAGCTCTGAACCTCGGCTCAGCCGCTACGAGTACAGTGCACACGAATGGTCGTGTACTCCGCCGTAGCAGGGCATGCTACTACTCTGGTCCGTCGTTCTCCGAAACCTCCCCCTGGTGTTGATCTCACTATTCTTGATCCTGAGCATCAATTCATATTGCGGACATACTGCTCGACGCCGGCCGTTTTCAAACGAGAGAGACCACAGGCCGTCCCTACTGTTATACGAATATGATTGAATATGTCTCACGCACAAGCGCCCTTGGTAAAAGCCGAGGCGGTCCGTCACGGGTTGTACCATCCCAGGGGAGTCGACCATAGGAGCGACCATCCCTGGAGCTTTGACAAGCGCAAAGTGCCACGCCCATGTTGTGAAGCGCATTAAGTGGCTGATGCGCGGGGGCTTCGCGATGCAAAAGTACCTGCTAACCACCCCTATGCAAGCCTACAGCGAGGGGTACCTATTTCTAACAACAATTGTTTGGAAGCTGCATACTAGCCGGTCCATCCCACACTAATGACTGCGACCTGAGGGTCGCATCATGGAAAGCGTCCGTTCACGCAATGCTGCCGTGAACGTCCTTCCGGCATTCGACTTCGATGTGGACGGTTCTGTTGCTAACACACCACCTGAACAATAGGACTTGGGGGTTATTGAAAGGTCATGTCCCACTAAATGAGCAGATGGCAGTTTTGTTCAGCCGATTGTGACCGAAGCCTTGCAAGCTGCCACCCCTCTACCGTGGCTGAGATCCTTGTCTCCAACATGCGGCACCGGCGCTAGCCATGCCTTTCACCCAATCGAGCTCTTGCCCCCGGTCGGTGGTCTGAGCAGAACGAAACTGACACCATGCCTAGGCTTTAGCCCGGCCTCTTTGTAAGTGTCTGGATGCAACCCAGAAAGAGTAAGATACATGGTCAGCCAGGCCAAAACGTGTCTGGTCGCAAACCCAGCCTCTTTGTGTTCAGCACTGCCTCTGCGTGTTCAGCACTGCCTCTGCAGCCTTCCAGCAAGCCCGGTAGTAGAAGCATAAGAATCCTGCGTTTCCCTGGCGAGGACTATGTTCTGCTCAACATCCTTCCCTAATCCCAAAATCAGCATATAACCACCATGAGTACTTCTCAAAGAAATCGGCGCACAACCACGTCGACTGCCACATATCAGCCCACTCCACTCTGGAGCCCTCAACAAGTGCTCGAAGTACAGCCTGGATGCTGCAGTGGGATCACACAGCGCGGTGCCCGCTGCAAGCAGCGAATGTTCGGTCATGCTGATATAGATTCAGCAGACAAAATACTGAACGACCTTAAGTTCAAGGACCCAAAGGATCCAGCCTCAAAGACTCAGCTTAAAGAATTAGCCTACTTGACTTTGTGTCCCCGCTGGCATCGAAGGGATGGCTATTCACAACTGCCTGAAGTCATCGCCCGGTGGCAGCGAGCCATTAGAGATTTGGCTGGCTCAACGCAAGCTTCTCGGCCATTGACCTCTTCGACAGGTGTTTGGCCCCGGGACGTGTCTAGGACGAGAGGATTGCACACACAGCCAATCGACACGGAAGACGTCCATTACAGACGTGCACAGCGTCGCCAAGAGAACCACTTCAACGAGCGCATGCAGCAGCAGCAGGATGATTTCAATCGTCGCTTGAATCAACAAGCTGAAGAATATGACCGCCGCATGGAGCAGCAGGCCCGTCAGCTCAGGGATGCTATTCGACAACTTGCCGAGGCACGGGAGCTTCAGGTGCAGGCTCAGAGCACTTCAGAGGAAGCAGTCTCAACCTCACAAAGGGACATGCCAGCCGGAGATGTCCCATCCAGGTCTACACAAAGATCGAGGCTTACGAGACGTGGTCAAACGCCTGAGAGCCCAACCCGAAATGGCACTCGTGGTTCAGATGTGTCTGATGCAGAGACCAATACATCCCCATCTCACGAAAGCTCTGCGTACCTGACGCCGCCACGAAGTCCCAGCAACCACCGGTCAAGGCAAGCTGCAACGACACCATTCGGTATTGCTTCCCCTCGCCCGTCACGTGGATCCAGATCACGATCTGTACATTCCCACAGCGGTGATATTTCCACGAACAATAACAGCGACACGGACAACGTCGTCGAAACAGACAATGTCACCGACACGGACAGTCATAGATACTCAGCCACGGTTTTACATTCCGAACCCGAGCCTATCTCACAAGGTCTCAGTCCTCCTGATAGTCCGGTAACGCCTTCTGTATCATCGACCTCTTCAGTTACTGAAATTAGCATCACTCCGTCGCCGACGGCGACGACTCCATCATCAACTTCCGCCGGAAGTACCACGCGCGAGCCAGCACCCTACGTGCCTCGTCGGCAGCCCCTCGAGGAGTGCGCAATCTGCCTCAATGATTTGCGCCCTCAAAGCACTAGCCCGTTGGGAGCCGCGTACTCTTCGCCACAAATCGTGTACTGCCGGGCACAATGCGGCTACAATTTCCACCTGGATTGCATGGAGCACTGGCGCCGGGATCAGCAATCTGCTTGGGCTGCAAGGCAGACATGGATGCTGCCCGAAGCCGAGAGAGCTCGCAGGATGCGCGAGGCTGTCCTGTGTCCGATGTGTAGAACTAGTTGGGAGTTTGACGGGGATCATTTGTAGGGGGACTAGAGGGTATTTGTTCAGTGTTTCGTACCGTTTTTGGCATAGCAAGGCATCATGACTGGTTAAGGCAAAGTCGCGGAGGATCTCAGGCGCCGTGTCTTGGCGTCAGGCATCCATCCAAAACTTGATAGACTCACGACGCGTCTTCTTCACATTGTTTTCATCCCACATCTTTTTGCCTTATATACGCGCCCACGACGACCAACATCCTTCCATTATGTCGTCTCCACCCACAAAGCCCTTCCCTTTCCTCTCCCTCCCCCCCGAAGTCCGCAACAAAGTCTACTCGCACCTCCTCCCCGAATCCATCGGCCTCTTCCTCAACAGCCCCAACAAGCCCAATGACGCACCCCCGCTCGACCTCGCGACCACCCACCTTTCCAGCCCCTCCGCAGCCTTTACCGACAGCCCTCTGACCTACACCATCTGCGACTGGCGCTACCGCCACACCCCCCGCTACCTCACCAACGCGACCCGCCCGCCCGTGCGCGAACTCGCCATGACCTGCCGCCTCGCGCACTCCGAGCTCCTCCCCACACTGCTCTCGCGACTGCACCTGCGCTGCGAGTCCGTCGCGCAAGCCTGCGTTTTCGCGGCGCGCGTGGGTCCCAGCCTCGCAGCCGAGATCCGCGAACTCACCGTGCGGGCGCCCTTCACCAGCCTCGTGCCGGCCGATACGTGGCTGGAGGCTGACGAGGCCAGCAAGGAGGCCGCGGGCAGGGAGGTTCTGGGCTGGGTGCGCGTGCTGGCGCGTTTCGTGCCCGGTGTGCGGGTCCTGACGCTGCACGACGTGCCGAGGAATCCGGAGAGGCGGGAGGAGTGGGGCACGGTCTGGGATCCGTGGCAGCTGCCGGTGTTGAAGGAGGTGGAGAGGGCGTGGGAGGGGTTGGTGCCGACGACGGGGCGGCAGTCGGGGTGGAGGGGTGGGAGTGTCGTGGTGTGGAAGATGGAGGCGGATTTGGTCGAGGCGGAGAAGGGGAAGCCGCGGAAGCAGGAGGGGGATCCGTTGGGGGATGGAGAAGTGAGGTTTATGGATTTTGGGGCTGAGTGGATGGCGTATCTGCGGGATCAGGATGGGGGACGGGATGCTGCTGCTGCGGGTGGGGAAGCCAGCAACTTGTCAAGGCGTGAAAGAGTTGTGCGTCAGCCTTGGGGGTGAATGGGGCAGTAGTGCCTCGAAGGACTTTGCGGGGGGAGAGCGGACTAGCTCTGCCTTGCGCGGTAGAGGCAGCCTGAACTAGGTCGACGACAGAAATGGCACAAACATTATCTCATGAGCTAAGAAAGCGATCCTGAGCAGTCGATTGGAAGCTCACTACAGCCTGAGTCCCGTCTTCTCTGATCATTATCCAACACCAAGTTCATCGATCTCACGATGTCTATTCGAGGCTTGCCAGCACACAACCATGCCGCAACCCCGTCACCGAATTTCCTCCAGCTCCATATGTCCCGTCTCCATTGCATGCTTCGTCGCCTCCCTCTCACCCTTTCCCTTCCAGCCACACACCTTGCACATGATGCCAAACGTGCTCGTGTTCGTCATGTACCCCTGCGCCGCCAGCTTCTCACACAGCTTCCTCGTGCCCTCCAGCACCCAGTCTGAATTCACGACCTCGAACCGCCGCATGTCAAGCTCGGCGCCCAGATCGCCCTCCGGGTCTGGACTCACCGCCACCGTGTCGTAATGGATGCCACTGTAGATCAAGACTATCCTCTCGGAGGCGCCCTCGTTGTACCGCTGGACGCTGAACGGCTGCACGATACACGCATCAATCTCCACGCCTAGCACTCTGCTTAGGATGTCGAGTTCGATATCGCCGCCCCAGGAGTTCTCCTGCTGGATCCAGGCGCAGTAGGCGGCGGGCTCTTTGCCGAGGATGGCGGCCGAGTAGACGGACGGGTTGTTGCGGATGTAGTCGGCGACGTGCCAGCGTAGTTTTGTGACGTGATCAGCGTGCTGGTCGCCAGATACGGCGGTGGTGATGGCGCGGAAGAGACAGGAGTTGTCGTCTGGCATGACGCGAAGCACGAGCGTCGAGGATTCGCTTGGGATGGGGATCTCGGGCGTCTCTTGGCGGGGATCGGAGATTTTGGAGGGCCCAGCGGGTGCTTTGGTGGGATTAGGGCCGGATTGAAGAGGTTGTGATGGCGGTGCGGCCGGTGCTGGGGTTGCGGGAGGAATGACCTGTATAGACTCGTTGTTGAGCTGCAGGCCTGAGGCGCTGATGGTGGTGTCGTCGGAATAGTCTTCGAGCTTGATGACCTTTGGAGGAAAGCCGGCTTTCAGTTCGAACTGCTTGATATCCACCTTCTCACAGATGGTCTCACGTAGTTGGCGGATAGTTGCATTGTCATCGATCTGTACCACGGCTTGGCGGCCGTCAGGGGTGCGTGCGCGGAACCGAATCATGGTTGCGGTACACGGATAGAGGCGCCACTTTTCACTGGCTGAGGTATGGGAAGCAGCAAACAGCACAAAATATGAAAAAAGAGGAAAAGTGGCCGCCGCTCAAGTGGCGGCGAGGGCAGAAGATGCCCAGAAGCACGCAGCCTTGTGGTGGCAACGAGGCTGAGCCAGCCTTTTCACGGCTCCCTTTTTCTAGCGTTTATACTTGTGACAGAACTTGTATAGAATTACTGATCAAGGTGAGCAAAGAAGAGCAACACACACGACTAAAAAGCACAGGCAAAGCCAACAAAGAGGGGCCATCGCCTTTGACGCCAGGATCAAACGCCCATCAATGGTATCATTCTTTCATCATATGTAACATGTGAAGTCCCTCCCCAAGCAAAATAGCCTCGTGGCTTAAGAGTATGTTGTCATCTGTCGTTATCGTTGAGTCGAGAGAAACGCCGGCATCTCCTCAAAACCAATTCACTTCCGGCTCACCAAGAAGGTCTGCAGCTGATCGATGATAGGCTTTGCACTCTTGTAGTATTTTTGAGCCTTATCAGCATACTCGCCAATATTGTTCACGTCGATGTTCTTGATGTCGAAGCCACCTTTTTTGTCGCCACGTCTTTCTCTGTCTCCCCTATAACGGTCACGGTCACGGTCACTGTGGTAGCGATCCCGATCGCGGTCCCTATCATTCCGGCGCCGATCACGATCATAGTCATCATCACGTCGGCGTCGGTCGTCTTTGCGAGCACGATCATCATCATAGCGACGGCGGTCACGGTCCCGATCAGACTTGTAACCACGGTCATAGTCGTCCCGACGGCGATCGTCTTTGCGAGGGCGATAATCATCTTCGTGCCGACGGCGATCTTTGTCTGACCGATAGCCACGGTCGTAATCGTCGTCTCTGGCTCGTCGGGGTTTTGGACGATCGTCGTAATCGTCGTAGCCACGGTTTCGGTCCTTGGTGGTGTTCGACCGGCGAGGCAATTCATCATACATATCGTCCCTCCGGCGTCGCTCACGAGGCTGTGGAGAGTACGAAGGCATTCTGTCTCTCGACTTGCCTCTGTCTCTGTCCCTGTCCCGGTCTTTGTCTCTTTCTCGCTCTCTGTCCCGGTCTCTTACTTTCTCTTTGCGCTTGGGGCGAGGATCAGCGTCCTCGTCGTCTGCGTCCCCGTACGGGCTAGGTTTGCGAGATCGAGGCTCGGATGAACCACCTCGATCGTCTCTTCCTGACTTGGAAGGCTTCAGACGATCGGAGTCGTCGTAGTATTCGCTTCGACGATCACGTGCTCTCTTGTCGCTTCTGTCTTTCGGCTCAGCGTCTCTTGGGTCGACAATTGGGTCGTCGTCAGCGTAGCGTTGACGACGTGGCTTCTGTGTCGGAGCGTCACCGTAGTCAACGTCAATTGGAGGTGGTAGAGGTACTTCAGCCTTGGCTGAACGCTTGTATTTTGGATCGTCGTCGTAGTCGTCGTATTTGCTTCCGGCCATGGTGGGAGAGGGCGGGGGCAAGAGTGCGGTATATAATACTCTGGGATAGTGCAACGGTGGATAGGCGCAGCGCGGCTACTGGGTGGGCGAAGCGAGGTGCGATCTCTCAAGGAACCGGAAAGAATGGCAAGGTCAGCTTGCTCCAATGCAGTGCAGGACAGGTCAGGTCAGAAGCAGGGCTCAGGTGGCGGTGCTTGAACACTTAAGGAATCATGTGAGACGAGGGGCGCTGATTGGGCTGAATCACCCGACAACGTCATACTGGTGCCCAACCCCTGGAGATTGAGGAATTTTCGGGCCTTGCGCCCAGCAGGAGCACGACTTGTTTCCGGGCCCAGCGACCAGTATCACACGAGTGGTCGTGGGGAGATAATTTCCAATTTCTGCTATACCTGGGTTTGGATGTGCTCCAAATGCGTTTCATTTCTTTTGATGGGCGCCAAGAAGCAATGAAGTCACTGTTGACCGATAGGTGTTTCCAAGGCACGAGTCATCGCCATCCCAACCGCGACACTCGCCCGCTGGATGCCGCCGTGCAGACCGCCTTGCTGAAGCGTGAAGCGTGAAGCCTGCAGTACGTAGCCCAGACCAAAAGTGCCTTGCCGGCGGCATTGGCCGATCCCTTTGACGGTCCGCGGCACCCGCGGCACATCGCGCCTGCCGGGCTTGGCGTGTGGCGGTGCGATTTCTGCGGCTTGGCTTGCGCTCAGCCACCGCAAACCGGTACAGCTTTCTACTCGTCACATCGACTCACAACTTATTGTTCGATACACGATGTTGTATTAGCATAGCAACTCATAGGAACCGGCAAACCACTCCATTCTAGACCCTGCCAGCCTTCAAACAAACTCACCATGTCCTCCGCCGACACACCCACCCCCACCCCACCACCCCCGCGCCTCCTCCTGATCAACCCCAACACCACCTCGTCTATGACCGAAGCGCTCCAACCGGCCATATCTTCCCTTCAACTACCCGTCTCCGTCACATTATTCACCTGTCCCGCCCCCGGAATCCCCTCAATAAACTCGCCAGCCGATTCAGCCAGATCCGCCGACCTGTGTCTACCCCACCTCCTCCACTTGCTGCCACACTACGACACCTTCCTCATAGCCTGCTACTCGCACCACCCCTTGGTTCATCTTCTCAAGCGCGAAACCACAGCTCTCACCTCAGCCGCCACCTCCGGCGCTGGCGGCACCGGCGCCCGCAAGTACGTCACCGGCATTTTCGAGGCGAGCGTGCTGGCGTGCCTGTCGTTGCTGCCCGAGCATGAGCGCTTCGGGATCGTGAGCACAGGTAAGGTGTGGGAGACAGCCTTGACAGATGCCGTGCAGGCCTTCTTGCATGGTGGGGAGGCTGCCACGCGGTATGCGGGAACGGAGACGACGGGGCTGAATGCTACGGAGCTGCATGACCTGCCTGCGGAGGAGGTTAAGCAGAAGATGAAGGAAGCGACCAAAAGGTTGCTGCAGCGAGGGAATGTGGGGGCCATCTGTCTAGGTTGTGCGGGGATGGTGGGTTTGGATGAGGCGGTGCGTGAGGCATGTGTGGAAGAGTTGGGCGATGAAAAGGGGAAGCGCGTGCATATTGTGGATGGTGTAAAGGCGGGAGTTGGCCAGTTGGTTGGTAATGCCAGATGTGCGTTCTGAGATTGCTATTGGATGTGTGGTGCGAGGGGATGGAAAGGCTACTCGACATGGTTGTGGCAGGGAACAGAGAGCAGGATGCACACGCTGAGCACATTGGGTATTATGCTATGCTCGCTATTCACAACCATCCGACCCGACCAGTGAGTTAAAACCGCCCAGGGTACCCAGATGCAATACCTAATAGTATCTCCCAATGGCGCCAAAATCGTCACTCACTCCGGGCCCTCATCTCAGCCATAGTTCGTCACATCCTCGGAAGTCTCCACTCTAGTTCTTGCCGGGGAAGCCAATGGGCTCACCGCAGACCAGGGCCTGGCCGAGCTATCAGGGACGTCAGTACATGCCGCTCGCGGACCCTCGCTTGTGGGTTGGGAACTTACGATGGGAATGGCGCAGCAGCGTGCCTGCTGGCCAATGTCGGAGCAGCTCTGCACGAACTCCTCGGTGGATGTGGGGACAGTGGGAGCTGTTTACCGAGTCAGCTTTCCGTGCATGATATCTGTTGGAGCGAATGTGTCTTACGATTCGCGCAGTCCAGGTCAGCAAGGCCGAGGACATCAGTGGCACAGCACTGAGCGGAGCCGGTCAGGCCGGAGCAGAGAGGCTGCTGGCGCTGCTCAAGGGCGGTCTTGGCCGTGATGGCGTTGGCGGGCATGGCCACTGCGGCGCCGGCGAGAGCGAGGACGGTGAGGAATTGCATGATTGTTGAGTTGGAGTGGTTTGACGGTACCCGAGGTAAGTTGTGGAAGTGGGTAGAGGTTGGCTGGAGGTGTTGGCTGGAGTTGTTGGATGAGGCGGTAGTGAGTGAATGAGGTTCTGTCAGTTGATGGGGGCGAGGGAAGTCGTCTTTATAGCCAGGAAGGTACACATGTGGTGGTGTACCTTTCTCTGTGAGTTGGAGCGATGACATCGATCGCCAAATGGAACTACCGATCCTAGAAACTCGCAGCAACTCAGCTTGTCAAGGCCTTGTACCTGGGCGATCGTCATCGGCGACAGCGGAGGAGCCATGGCTGACGATCACGATCCGGCCAATGTGGACATTGCCATGGTGTTTCGACATGGCCATCGACAAGAGAGTCTTAATGTCGATCGCAGCGGTAGCAAGGAACTGTCTGAAAGTGCTCAAGCCACTGACATAGATCGATGAGGCGTTGCGGTGGTTGTCTGGTATCGTTATTGGTCACGGCTTCGAAGCGAGGTTAGTGATGTCTTCGGAGACGAGGCTCCATCATGCCAGCGGAGCCGGCTCTCGGGGTTGGCTGCCAACGTAGCCTCCTGAGACACGAAGTGCAAGACGATCTTGTTTGACTGTGGCTCGTCAAGCATGGCACATACTGTACTCATTTCGGTATGCGATCCTGCCATCTCCGAGAAACAAGGCCGTGAGTAGTACCTGACGAATACTGGAACGTGTGCCGGCGTCATCCAGCACTCCGCACGCACTGCTGGCTGCCATGAGGTTGCTCCTTTCTCAGGGTCTACAAGTACAAATGCAAATCGTAGCGCGAGTGCTGTATACTTTGACGGCGGTTCAACGTTCGCGCATGGCTTGCCCGGTAAGACTTTCACTTTCACTTTCACTTTCACACATAGCGTGCGCTGTCCAATCGTAGGATTGACTTCTCTAGAGTGATATTCGGTGATCGTCACCGTTACTCAGGTGGACAGGGGCTCGTGCAAGGAACTTAGCCGCAGGGACCCCTGTCGGTCTTAGCCTCGTGAAGCGTCGATCTGTGGAGAAAGCCGTTGGCCCTCCTGTCTTTCCACGCTTCGACTTCCCCTGTCACTGTGAAATAAGCCATCACTCCGGTTGCAAGCTGCCGGTCAACGCCCTGGATACAAACATAAAGTTCAATAGCAGACAGTGGGCTAACAGCCTTGTCCCGGAACCAGCGGCAGTAGCAGCCTCGCTTGCGCGAAATTCTCCTCGCTTTCAGCAGATGATGCAAGCCACTTTTCGAAGCGACGACTGTGAATGGGAGCCGAAGCAGGATCTCGCAGGCTGGTCTTGTCAAAGTCGTCACTTCTTGAACCAGAATGCTGATATACTAATAATAATGCACCAGCAATCGTAGCACAGTACGGAGTAGTGGGCTTCAAGCCTTTAACCATGTGGTGATCGTCTATACCTGTGGCGAATGTCTCACACCCTCAATTATACTGTACATCTTCATTCGTCAGTATCATAGCCATAGTCTACGTGCCGGGCGTTCACTGAATGGAAGATCTGGCATTACGTAGGTCAACCTTCGGCACTTGTACCGGGTCCACCCCAGCCTTGGTAGCAGGGATGGCCATACCAGATATCCCCGGAACCATGTCTCTTTCAGGCACATCTCCGGCGATCTGCTTAGCTTTACTTCGGCTATCACTGTCCCTAGCTGGCCATTTGCTCGCTCCTATATTGCCCTGGTCGTTGCAGTCTCGTCTCAGCCAACTCATGATGTTAGTCGCGGAGAGGGATTGGGTCAGGTCGAGGGGGTGGGATGACGGCATACAGTGATTGGAAATTGCTCGAAACTCTTCGGTTATAGTACGGAGGCGACGAGAGGGACATTCAGGGGCTTGAACACGAGAACATGACAAGCGAAGAGCAACTTCGTGAGAGGTATGCGGCACAGCACTATCTTATGTCTCGGAGAGTCGCCTTACTTTCCATCCCATCCACAGCCCGAGTCTAATACAAGGTGATGATCTCGATGGAGGCCACGCGAAGCAGCAAGAAGGCGAGCTGATGCAGTGCAGGCGAGACAGTGCGAAGCGATGTGTTCGAGTGCTGAATTCATTCTTCGCCATGCTGAGCCACCTCGCCTCGCTGACCTAGCCACCACATCTATGTGGCTGCACTGGAGGATCTTCATGGAGTCGATCTGCATTGTCTCAGAATGCTTTCTCCGAATAGTCCAACGCATGCTGAAATCCTTTCATGCTGCACATGTAGCTGCGCGCAATGCCCTCATTTTTGTTGCCGGTGAGGGTATACAGGTCATTGCTGGCGCCTGCAAGCACAGTATAAGATGTCGTCCGATCACTAGGTGCATCCCATTTCCTGCAGTCGCTGTTCGGGAAGAGCACACAAGTGTTGTTCCCTTCAGCGATAAAAGAGATGCGAGGTTCGTACCCAGCATCTATGTAAAAGTCAGCATTTGCTTCTTCAACATGGATAGTTTAGTATATGGGGTTCAACCAGGACTTACGTTGGCAAAGAAAGGCATTGAGCGGCAAATCGGGTCAGAAATACTGGTTACCTGCCACATGCAGATGTCTCTGGTGACACGAGTGCCATTCCGAAAGCCAGTCTCTGGGCAAATGTATACACCCCTCATACCGAGGACATCGTTGTCCCATCCCTGTGGACCAATGTTGCGTGTTGTGTTTTGGGCTTCGACCAATGCCAGATTCGAGATCGTAGCAATGGCGCCGACAATCGTTCCGCAAACTTTCATGTTGATTGGTGTATCTTTTATGGACAGGAGAGGTCGATTCACACGTAAGTAGTACTTTGAGTAGACCACAGCAACATCGAAGGATTTCTCCGGCGACTTTTATGGTACGTGTCAGGGTGAACGACAACGATGAAGATCTGACAGCCTATTCCTAGGGTCGTTCTTGAAGACAAATGAACTGACTCTATACACCAACGGACATGGCCTGTGCATTCAATGAACCAAGTAAGTCTTCCTTTCTGCGATTTTTCATCACCTATCCCTGTGATTAAGGCCACAAACAAATAAAGAACCGATATAGACCCGGGGTCCCGGTATTCAGTCGTCCTTGATCTCAGTAATAGATATCCAACAGTGCATTGCATCTTGGCGACGTGCTTTTGAAAGCATTGGTCGAGAGAAGCTGACAATGGTGACCAGTCGGCCGCCTAGCTGGATCTGCTCTTGGACCATTGTGTACGCGCAATACATCATTCGTTCTGCACTGGTCTTCCTGATCGCATAGCTAACCTGGCAGAAGAGTGATGTCCACCATGGAAACTGCGAACCACTGCACCAGTCATATGAACGGGTAGTAGTACAACCAATTCGGGCACCGCGGTACTCACAAGGCCAAACCGTAGAGTAAGACATGGAGAAAGAAGACTTGGAGGAGCGTTTATAATCGCACGCATCTGTTGGATTGAGGTCGATTGGTCCTGGCATCACTCGAGTGAGGCTACTTACCTAAGCGCGGTTACGTGTGAAGCATCACCACTGTTTCTGTCCCTTTCCTCAAAGGCATATTCACTCACACCAGCGTCCGCCACGTCTTTCAGGTCCTCCTCCCCCATCGTCCCATGCCACCCGTGTCTCACCAAGTATGCCCTGAAAGACTCGTCCTCGATTGCTAGGTCATCGCCCGTCAGATTCGGCACAAAAAAGAATGTCACAATCATCCCGGCAACACCGCATATCGCCGCAATGATGAACGTCCACCTCACCCCCAGGTTATCCTCAATCGGTAGGAAGACCTGCGTGCCAACTGCCGCGCCCGCTTTGCCCATTGCAGCTGAAATACCGTAACAGGTTCCTCTGACAGCGGTTGCATAACTCTCACTACTTACAAGACCAACCATATTTCCAGGGCCGAAGTTGCCCATCGAAAGCATGACGCCGTATAGCACTACAAATAGTGGCAGAATCCCCGAAATCTGCGTATACGCACACCCGATCACCAACCCGAAGACCAAGTATCCGCCAAAGCCGATCAGCATGATAGTCTTCCTGCTCAGATAGTCGCAAGCAAAGGCGCCAATGATGACTCCCGGCAGCGCAATTGTGCCCAACAGTAATTGCCACTCAGCCGTGCCACGTACGCTGCCATTGGGAACGATGCTCGAGATAATTCCGCCCGAGAACACTGCATTCGGAATCGTCACAAAGTCGTACAGGAACCACGCGCCGCACGTGCCTATCAGCGCCTTCCAGTAATACCGCACCACGAGCAGGTAGGGAACGGCCTTTCGGATGGCGCCGCGACGATAGAGCGTCGAGTTGAGCATGCGTATGCGCCAGTAGAAGATCGAGAGTGGGAATATGATGCCCACGGCGAAACACACGCGCCAGATGGTTGCCGGGTGGTCAATACCTGCGGCGGAGAGAACGATGAGAAAGATGGAGGAGGCTAGCGGTACTCCAAAGGTCAGTGGGAGATTGGTGACAAGGATGAAGACGGTTCCGCGGCGGCGAAGGGTATATGCGTTCGCGGACTCGGAGGCGCTGGTCGAGGAGGCCGGGTACTCGCCTCCAGTACCAAAGCCAGTTATACCACGCGCAACAGTGAGCATCCAGAAGAGGCCGGCGGGGCTAGTACCATGCGCAGCAGACGAAAGGGCCAAGCCCAGAATAATCATGCTTGTTGTAAGCAGGATGGCAACTTTGCGTCCTAAGTAGTCGCATGTGAGGCCAACGGTGATCTGCCCTAGAATCTCTCCCACAAGGAGCGCATTGGAAACGCGTGTTCGAACTGACGAAGTATAACTTTTTGGATATTGTTTTTGTAGAGCGACATTGATGAGAGTCATGAGGCTGTTGGCGTAGCCATCGCTAATGAGAGCACAGCCTGCGCATAGAATCGTCCACAGGTCAGACATGCGCTGCCGTTTAGAAGACACGATTGGAGAGGGCGCAGCGGGATCATCCTTGGGAATGTCGTTGGACGACCGGGTGTCGACAGCGTGCCGGCCATCGACCACCTCGAGGTCATCATCGGCGAACGCCTTGGTGGCTTCTGCAGTGGGCATGTCGCGTTCTGCAGGAGAAAGCAGTGGCTCATAGGACATGGCGCAGACCCAAATCCGCCGGGCGGAGACACGTGGTATATGTAAGGTGATGTAGGCGTTCAGTACAAGACACTGCAGAGATCTCGCTTTTTGGAAAGCTTCTGGAGAGTCTTCTGCGTCACGATGTTATAGCTCCGAATAAGTTAGGTGATTCGAACGCCCATTGGTGGGGGATCTAGCAATTCCGACAGAAAGTACGGTCTGTGCCGTGTGTTCAGAGTTCAGCCACTCACGCAGGGGAAAAGTTATGCTTATGGAGGTTAAACGAGTGCTAAAGCGAGGGTGCAATACGAGATGTTACCTTCTCACCTCTCGCCCTGCCACTCTGCAGATCTTTCAAGGCCTGAAGTACGCCGATTAGATCTGCCACCTGAAGATGAAGGTCTCGCCGTCTCGGTAACAGAACGTCCCTTCGGGTCGAGATCGTTTCCCGTAATTACTTAAGGATCGAGCACATCTGAACGATATCAGGCCGGAGCTGAGCAGACTGAACAACAATACAGATCCGCTCATTCATACGTCGACCGTACGCCGGAGGGGCTAGCGCGCAGTTGTGAACGAGATATTGCGCCAAGAGTTTGGCACGCTCATATGTGTATAGAAAGGTGCAATTTGCCCATATCTTACCAATGTTAGCACGATGTTCATGATAGTGGTGGGCGAAGTCCACTTCTTGTCTCTTCGCTGAAGGATGGTCCCCTGTAGATGTGATCTGCTCAACACGGGCATTGAACCTGATTTGACGGCAAAAGTCGTTGCTGCCAAGGCGAGCTGCAACACAAGCTGGAAGCGCCCTCTGGACTTGTCTGTAGATTGCTGCGGATGTTGAACCCCCCAAAACAATCCGTGACAGATGAAGGCTAAGTGAACGAACTGAGCAGACAATGCCCAAGACGGAGCAGTGCTGGAGCGAGCGACCTTGGTGGCGCTAGATCATTTATGGTCTAGTGGAGTCGTCGTATCGATAGGAAATGACGCGGGTCGCGGAAAGCGCGACCCGCGTCTTAATTGATTTTCCAAGAGCCAAACATTACCATCCAAGAAGACACACTACACAGGGCTTACTCAAGTTCCGCTGCACTCTACTGTCGCCTGTATGGCGCCGATCACGGGTCTTCTACGGCCCTCGAACAAGGATGACAAATTTCAGGAGAGATCGAGAATCCCGTCTGCGTATAACCCGATGTACTCGTACCGGGTCGGAAGAGAAGACACAAAACAATACCATCAGCAATTTGCCGATATATACTTTCTGCGCCTTGCAAAACTGAAGCCTATCGTCGAGAAGATCGGCAAAGCAGATTGGGAGGACTTCGAGATTGCTGGAGAAAAGGCTGAAAGAGTGCACCGAGTCCTAGATGTCCGCCAGGGAGAGTTATGTTGGGTTGTTGGCACCATCTATATGGACTTGCCGTTGAAGCCAAATATCCTCGAGGACATTTCAAAAGAGCTTTGGGTAGCTGGACCACCACCACGAGAATCCTACCTGAATGCGGACGGCGAAACGCAGGTCATGCTTGAAGACGAGTCGGGCCGTCTGAGGCTGACTGGCGCCGTGCTGTCCGACAAGCTGCTCGTCACTGGGGTCATCGTCGCGGTTCTCGGGACTGAGAACGCCAATGGAGATTTCGATGTCCTGGACATGCATATTGCCGAGCTACCTCCACAGCCGAAACGGTGGGAACGAGATGACGAAGAGGCGGAAGAGGAAGGTGACATGGCTATCGATCGTCCAGCATACCCAGGAAAGAAGATTGCACTTGTCAGTGGACTGGACATCTCTGGGAGTGCTGCCGACACACTCAATCTCTCATTACTCAGCGAGTTCTTGCTTGGAGAAGCTCTCGACACGGAAGATCAGGATGTGAGCACGAACATATCCCGACTGATTGTCGCTGGCAACTCGATCGCAGCTGATGCCATTGTTGATCAAGCTAATGGCACAGACGACTCCAAGAAACCGGCACATAAAAAGTATGGGTATGATGCGTCCGCCTACAACCCGACTCCAACAGCCCATCTTGACCAGTTTCTGTCGGAACTGCTGCCCAGCATCCCGATTACCATCATGGCGGGTGAACAGGATCCGGCAAATGCCAGCATGCCTCAACAAGCCATTCATCCCGCCATGTTCCCCCACTCGCGTGCTTACTCGACTTCGAATTTCGAAGATCCAGAGACAGAAGAGCCTCCGTGGTTTGATAGCGTCACCAATCCATGGGAGGGCGATGTCGACGGGTGGAGATTCATGGGAAACAGCGGGCAACCTGTAGACGATATCCTCAAGTACATCGACCTCGGAAGTGACGACGGCAAGAGCGCGGACGGCAGACTTCGAGTCATGGAATCCTTATTGAGGTGGAGATGTGGAGCACCGACGGCACCAGATACACTCTGGTGCTACCCATTCCAGGATCGCGACCCGTTTGTGATCGGCCAGTGCCCTCATGTGTTCTTCGTTGGGAACCAGCCTCAATTCAACACTGCAGTCATCGAGGGTTCAGATGGGCAAGAAGTTCGGCTGATCGCACTACCAAAATTCCACGAGACCGGCCAACTCGTCCTTGTCGACTCAGAAACCTTGGAGCCTGAGATCTTGCAATTCGACATTCATCAAACACATGCGACTAATGGAGTTCACTGATGAGTGGCTGCCTTATTCAGGCAGCAAGGCGGACGGAATTTTCCGCCTGTGTGGATGGAATTTAAAATTCAGCCTCAATGTTGCCATTCTACTCATTTGCCTCGACAATGCGGTAGCCAGCAGACACGATGCTCATCAACGAGCACACTGCAATTTGTACCAGCCAAATAATTTTGGTACCCTACTGCAAGCATCATGTTTCGCAATATCACGAGTGGATGAAAGATCCTAGCATTCAACAAGCGACAGCCTCCGAGCCGCTGACAATCGAGGAGGAATATGCAATGCAGCGAAGCTGGCGACAAGATGCTGATAAACTCACATTCATCACCGGTGTTGCCAAAGGCCCTTTCCCCAAAGGATATACGGTCAACGGCGACATCACCATGATTGGAGATGTCAACCTGTTCGTCACAATCGAGCACAATGATGAAATTGAGGCAGATGCACTGATCGGAGAATTGGAGCTCATGATTGCCGAAAAGTCAATGCAAGGCAAGGGATTGGGCCGCTCTACGATCATTTGCTTCCTACAGTATGTCATTGCGAACGAACAAAATATTGTGAAAGAATACTGTTCAACGGAACCCGACCTCCAGAAGCAGAGCATCGACTATTATAGGGTCAAAATCGGTAAGGACAACGAGCGAAGCCTGAAAATGTTTGCTGCCCTGGGCTTTAGAAAGGTCGGAGACGTCAGCTACTTTGGGGAGATTGAGCTGCGGAGGACCTTCACACCTCAAGATGTGCACGAACTCAGAGAGAAGCATGGCCTCGAAGAGGCTTGGGAACTCAGATATGAAGACCCATCCGAAGCATTAGAATCTTGAGATCTAAGCAGCGTTTGTCTTCATGATGTTGCTCGCAAGCCTAACTGACACCGGGCTCAACGGCTGGATTCATGCTTCATTTCCACATGTAGTGATTCTTCCCAGCTAGATCGGCACATGGCGCGTGCGCCCGGATCGTCGTCCACATCGTAGGCATCACTGCTCAACTACCACAGGCGTAAAACATCCGCCTTTTAACTTTCCGCATAGGCAGGCTTTGCTTTGCTTAGTTCTTCTTCGCCTTCTTGTTCTTCTTGCCGATGTCGGTGACGGTCAGCGCTACAGAGACACACAATAACGTTAGCTCCAAGTGTTCTTGATCTACCAGGAAGGGAAATCCATATCCAGCTGCTGCTCTTCTCCCCACACGAATCGCACCATTCTCATCGAGCTAGCGGCGGGTTGTATGAGAGAGGAAGGACCAAAGAACGTACCGGGAGGCAAGCTCTGCTTGATCTTGTCGGCCTTGCTTGTGTCGGAGAGGACGAGGGTGTGTAGGTGGCGCTTGGCCCGGATCTTGAACTTGATCTGCTCCTTGTTCTTCACGCCGTTGGGGTGGGGGGAGCGCTTGATGCGGGCGGCTGTTTTTGTGAGAGAGTGTTGTCAGTATCAAGGCTACTCAGTAATATCTCGGTTTGAAATCTTGGGCGGGGATGGACAGGGGGACACAGGGGCACAATATGTCCACGAGAGCTGCTCGAGAGGTCTTGTGTTGCCAGAGGCACTTGGTTGAACGGGTTGCGGACAGTGAAAGGTGCGCTCGACGTACCCTTTGCGTCCTTTCTCCGCGCGATCTCGAGGAACTCCTTGATGTCGGTGACTTGGGAAGGCATTTTGGCGGCTGTGATCTCGTCTGTCTGGGAATCGGAGAAGTAGCTTCGCTGTCGCAAGACGTGTGGCAGCAGCAGCAATCACCGTAGACTTCGAAAGTGCGGCGCAGTCACGTGAATTCCATGCTAGTCTTGGCGATTGTGGGTCTCAGCCCCGTAGCCACGAGCGGCAGATCCCCGCCGTGCGTCATGCAAGGCAGTTTGGCCACCTTTGCGCTAACCTTGAAGGCGCCAGCTATAGTATGCTCGTCTGTTCCTAGATTCCAGCAGGATGTGAGATGAGTGCTGAACGTCTCCATTCATACGACATTGAATAGCGGAACGGATCGCCAGTCTACCCGTGCTAGTATTCAAGTGGTCTTACCGTCTCCTGCCCAAGGATTCCAAGATGCCGACTGCCATGGACAAGGCGATGCAGTCGCGGAACATGTTCCTAGGTAGGTGATGGGACCTACTGGGGTTGTGCCATGTTCAGGGCTGTGATATTGACTTGGGCTTCCATTCAGGCTTTGCTGGTCTCGTCGGTCTCGCAGGTCTATGGAATCTGTGGAATGGGGATATGTTTCCTGCGGAAGGGGATCCGAAAGGTGGTAAGTAAAGGCGTCCTACGCGCCGGTCGTCTTCCTCACATTCGCATTGAGATATGGACTTACAATGAGTCCAGATCCTGAAACCTGGACGGAGACAGAGTTGAGACGTTGGCTCAGAGCAGTGAGTGCGTACGATTCGCAATGGACATAGGGCTGACACTACTTTTTGCAGAGGAAGCTTGAACCAAGCGAAAAGATGTCAAGACAGCAGCTCATTGAAAGGGTCAAGAACAATATGCGCCCATCGACGGCTCAAGCCGCTACCTGATCCACATATGGATACCGCCACTGAGCCCCGTGTGAGATAGCTGGTTGATGTGTGAGCGCACTATCAACAAATTGTCCGCCAGGCTTCACTGGGGCATTTGAGGAGCAACCGAATAGCATTGGCTCCTGTATGCATAACTTCGCGGTCAACGTCGGCAACGAATTGGTCCACAGAATCACCTGCTAACACTAGCTGCCGAATACACTCAGATCGCCTTTGCACCATAGAACTCGGATAGCGAACTTCCTGAGCTTCCACTGGCCTGAATCGTCCTTGACAACCTCGCTTGTGTATTCGTTGCCAGCGATGAACCCTTCTTTATCAGGTACTATAGCCTCTCCAAGTCGATAATGATAGGATATACTATAGCACTTGATCTCCAACGCATCGTCTGGGGAGAGCGTCTGGACACGGAAATTCGTTACGTGGTGTGTCGCGTCCATCCGACCAACGCTGCCCATGAGGAGGTCAGCAGTTGCTCGCAAACCCTTGATTGGAGGCATTGGCATCCCTGTGACCTTCTCTAAGCCGCTTTGATCGTATACCACATCGGCATGCAGACTAGACTCGAGTAGCGTCCTATCGTTGGTATCGATGGCATACATAAATTGAAGGATAAGATCGATTGCATCCTGTTTGGGACGAATGGCTGCCATATTGCAAGTATCGTAAGAAGTCTGACCAGGAAGGGTGTTATCAAAAGGCAAAGTCCCAAATCAAGACGATTTAAATTGAGGGGCGTGCCTGTAAAAGGACTGATATATCTTCTTCGATATTAGTCTGTAGCTTTCTCGAACCGGCCCAGGCCACCAACCTTACGCGGAACAGTGCTTACTTGCATCGTCAGCCCAGACGTGCACAACACTCACCCATATCAGCACCACGGTCACGTCAATAGGTATAGTTTGGCGTCGTAGTCGGCATATTATACGAGTGGTCAGCGGCTCAAGGCACAGAGACGGGACCTAGGAGAGTCATAGACAAGACCCAGGAGAGCTTGTACAATAGCATATTTGTGGTGATGACGCTGCTTGTTCGAGGCTTCTAGAATCGTCATGGCAGACTGAGGCGCGACTCTTGACATCCGAGGTCACAAATGCGTAGGACGTTCTATTAGAGGAGTCGGGAGCGGTGCTGTGCCAATTGACGCGCCACGACGACGCGTCCGAATGGGGTAGCGGAGCCGCTTCACTTTTTTGGGGAGCTTTCAGTAAAGAGATCTCACACCATCATCGTTTTCTGACCTCTCAGTGATTTAGTCAACTGTCAAGAGATATGCAGTCACTGGAGAATCAGGCGCGTAGCTTCTTTCTACAGTGTCGTGCACGAGCATGGCGAGCGGGTCAGCGCTCTCGTTCGCGACTATACGGTCCTCAGCATTCTTCGAGTAGCTCTCAAGCTCGAACACTTGCATCTGGACACCGCACGAGAGGACCAAGTCCTCCAGCTCCCAAGCCTTTCTACTCCACTACACCGATATACTATGTCAATTCCTCCCCTCATGCCGGCCACTTATATTCGATGGTCCTGGCGGATGTCCTGAAACGGTGGCACCAGCTAAAGAACGAGCCTGCACAGATGCTCACGGGTACGGATGAGCATGGTATCAAGGTTCAAAGGGCCGCTGAAGAGGCTGGAGCAGATACATATGCGTTCTGCACACAGCATGCGGAACAATTCCAGAGCCTGGCCGACACTGCGAACATCTCGTATGATCGATTCTTCCGCACCACCGATGCAGACCACAAGGAGGCAGTGGCTCATTTCTGGCGAGAACTCAACCGTCAAGGGTACATCTACGAAGCGAAGCATGAAGGCTGGTACTGTGTCAGCGACGAGACATTCTATCCTGAGTCGCAGGTGCACATGGTGCTCGAGCCCTCAAGTGGTGAGAAGATAATGGCTTCTGTTGAGACTGGAAAAGAGGTGGTGTGGACTTCAGAGATCAACTATCACTTCAGGTTGTCAGACTTCCGAGACCGCTTGCTCGAGCACTATGAGTCCAACCCGAAATTCATAATACCGCGGCAACGTATGAACTTCATTATCAAGGAAGTCGAAAGTGGCCTCTCTGACTTGTCCATCTCGCGCCCGAAGGAGAGATTATCGTGGGGGATTCCAGTCCCCGACGATCCGTCACAGACAATATACGTTTGGTTTGATGCTCTCATCAACTACATCACCCATACCGGCTACCCGTACACAGCTCCTGGCGAACCCAGCATATGGCCTGCGGACGTTCAGGTCATCGGTAAAGATATCATTCGATTCCATACCATTTATTGGCCCGCTTTCCTGATGGCTCTCAATCTGCCGGTTCCTCGGCAATTCCTTTCCCATGCGCATTGGACGATGAACACACAGAAAATGTCAAAGTCTGTAGGCAATGTGGTCAATCCATTTGGAGCGATGAAGCGTTTTGGGGTCGATGCCATTCGCTACTATATGGTTCGCGATGGTGGTCTCGCCGACGATGCGCCCTACGAGAACATGTATATTGTACGCCGCTACAAGTCCGAACTACAAGGACAACTTGGCAACTTGTTAAACCGAATCTCGCGAACCAAGTTCTGGGACGTCGGCGAATGCATACAGCAATGCTCAGAAGAGGTTCGTTCGCCTCCGAATAATGTTTCAACATATCTTGAGGGCTTTCAAGCCGTTCAGCGATTCAATACGGACATTGTGTTGAAGTCGGACGAAGCCATGCGAGAGCTGAACATGCGTCAGGCGACAGACGCCATCTTCAGTATTATTGATCAGGTAAGCATTGAAGGTCAACCTTCAAGTGTCCTGCTAACACCATCAGGCCAATCATCGCTTTCACCAAGCAGAACCATGGAGGAAAGTCAAAGAGAGGGACGAGGCGAGTCAGCTGGCCACGAGGTGGGCAGTCTTCGAGGCTGCCGACTCTCTTCGTGTCGCTGCGATTCTGCTGCAGCCTTTTATGCCAGCCAAAATGACCCAGGCTTTGGACATGCTTGGTGTGCCACCTGAGCAGCGACACTGGCATGCGGAACTTGCGAACAAAGTACCGGTCTACGGCAAACCATTCTTTGATCTCGAAAAGGGAGAGAGGCGGCCAGAACAGACTCTGTTTCCTCCTTTGCTGTCTGAGAACTGAGCGTTCTTGAATCGCTCCGGAGACGTCGGCTGAGCGTCAACGTAACCGTCATAAGACCGACTGTCCTAAATTCCTAACGCCAGATGGCCTTTGCTGAGCGAGCTCCGGCTTCGGTGCCAAGGGAGAGGAACGAGTTCACGATAATGAGGCTCCCGCGATGTGTTTGATATCAGATCTTCTCCGCGGAGGATCGGTCGACCTTGTGGTTGACGTGTGCTGCTATGTCTTGCGGCAAGTGTATGTGCCTGCCAGACTTTGGATAGCGGAAAATAGCATACCAGCTCTCCGGAAAGTGGAAGCAACATGGGCGGAAATTGAGGCAGTTATATCGTCTGGGACGTCAGGTTCCGCCCAACGCCCGACACCTGACAATATTTGGCTACAGGAGCTTGGTCAAGGGATGGATAACCCAAGCGCCTCCTGCGGAAAGTGGACACACAATGAGAATGCGACAACACCCGATGTTGAACGCTTCCCCATCATGTCTCCTAGTCCCCCACCACCGCTGTGAAGAAAAGTAGAGCTTCATTCAATAGGCTATCCCCCATCAACTTGCGTGGTGCGGCAGATCAACAGCGGTTCTCCCCCCAACCATGCCCTCCCGCCCCTACCTGACCTCCCCCTCCCTTTCAAAACAAATAGACCCCAGCCTTCCACCCCTGCCCCTCCCTCTCCGCCCCCGCCATAGCCTCCAACACCCTCCTCCTCAACTCCTCGGGCGCCGGCGGCCCGGTCGGCGCCGCCCCATCAGGCCTAGGCTTGCTGATATCGGCGCGGAAGTACGGCAGCGGCCTGACGGCGTCGCAAGCGTTCTTGATCTGCGCGAAGTCGTCGGGGCTGTAGCCGCCGCCGACGAGGATGGCGCGCACGGCGGTGCCGGGGATGGGTGTGGCGGAGGTGAGGTTGGAGCCGTAGCCGGAGGAGGGGGTGGGGGGTGGGGTTTGGTCGCCCAGGAGGGCGGGGAGTTCGCTGAGGGCGGAGGGGAGGGTGGAGCAGACGTGGATTACTGTTGGGGGAGGGGGAAGGGGATTAGGAGACGGATTGGGATGGAGAGGGTAACGATGGGTGATGGAGAGGTGACGAGGGGCACGTACTGTCATAGCCGTCGGGCGCGAGGAGTTTGGACAGGCCTTGGATGTGGGCGGGCATTTTGCCGCAGAGGACGAGGGCGGTGAGTGCCATGTTGGATGTCGTGGGGCTACAGTAGACTTGATCTCACAAGTAGTGGTGTTTTCTGGGGGGTGGGTCGTTGATATAGACTTAGATCCGTCAGACAGATCTACAGAAGAGGGTGGAGTGGAAAGCTAGTGCTAGGAACCGCAAGCGGGCGGTGAACGTCGCACATCAGTTCTTGGCCTGATACTTCCGTGTCCGACAGTGTTGTGTGACGGTCAGTCTGCTCTCACTGCGTCGAAGCTCCTCTGCCTCTGATTTTTATTATCAATCGTCTCGGACGGCGCTGCGGAAATCAGCATTGGTCCGACGTGCGGGCCCCGAGTCGGCATGAACCTGTCCGAATTGCCAAGCCTTTATGAACCTGAGATATGGAAGTAGATGGACGTGCCAGGAGCCGGCCATTGATATTGCAGAAGGGCCCGAAAGTAACTCAAGGTGTACTTGGATGGGCTATAGTCGCTGGTGCGGTATGGCGACGACCATTGCTTACCATGCAAACGCCTGTCTACGACTAAATGCGGGAAAATTACACTGAGCTGCATCGAGCCACGACATGGCTCGAATGCTGTCGAGTACTGGTGCTTGCCATTCGAGCTCAAATGGGCGCAACAGACTCGATACTCCCTGGATCTGAGATCAACACGCGGCGACCTCTGAATTGTCTCGTGTCTGAGGCTTATGAAGAGGCGTTGTAGATATGGAGCTGGACAAGGCGGGACCACAGCCCAACAGCCGACCAAGCCCAACATCAGCCTCGTCTTCCCGCGCCACGTTTGTGCCTTCCCGGCCAATATCGGGCTGTTATGAGGTTGCACATGGCGAAGCAGGACGGGGGAGGGGTCTTCAGCTTCCGAGGAAAACTACGCCGCTGTTTTGTCCCAGGATCTGACAGCGAATCCTCCTCCAATGCGGAATCAAGGAGCCTGTGTTGGCGAGGGGCGCGCGCTGCGGATGCCAACCTGTATGGCGGTGTGGAGTTGGTGTAATCATCTTCCTGTGGTTGGAAACGCTGAACGGGTTGTTCTTCGTTGTCATCGGAAGGGTCGCCTTCTTCAACCAACATCATGGCGGTCCTTGGACGTAAGATTGAATCCATCACGTACATTCGAGGCGTGATGGCAGGGCAGGACCAAGAGTAGGGAGGTACCTTATGCTCGAATGGGATCTGAGACGGGCGTCAGCGCGAGGTTGGCATGTCCCACCGCCATGGGCCTCTTCGCTACACTGCACCGACGGCACTGTAACGGGCCGCCGTGCATGGAGACGACATGCAGCGGCTGTTGAGCCTATAGGTCGGGAATGTCGAGGTCACACATTCCTTGCCGCGTCAGCAATCCATCAGAACCACGCCGCCTAAGACATGTGGCGTCCGAGTGAGGCGCGGCGGTGCTGTGGCGCTCCACACCCCGGGCGTTACTGCGCTAGGAGGACTTTTGGGGCCTGCAGTTTCCAAAGTTCTTCGGCAGCACCCGCCCAGGAGCGGCGCTGCGCTGCTTTAAGGGCTTTAACTGACTCCGCACCCGGAATAGCTGCGCCATTGTGAGCCGGGGCCCAATCACGGCTATCAGACGCCCGTAAATTTCATTCAACCCCGACCGTTTCAGGGCGTCCATTTGGGAGGGCGACGACTGGCCCACGTGTGGCCATGATGCCCAGCAATTCCATCTCAGGGGCGCTGGATCTTCCTACGAGCTCTATCACCATCATCGCCGCGGTGATGGCAGGTCGTGGGTGGCAAACGGGTGTGTCTGCTGCTTACCACAGTACTAGTAGGGTTCGAGCTGATGCAGGCACCATGCATGAAGCAGCATGACAAGCGCGGTGGTTCCGGCGATTGGATGGGCCTTTGGTATCGCCCGGAGAACAGGGCTGTTGGTGCCTGCCGCCGCGATTCAGCGGTCCACTGGGCTGCGCCTGTCAACGCCCGTTCAGCTGGAACGCGGTGCCATTGCCTGTGCCGACGTCACCCTGTCTGTGTTTGCCCTGTCCTTCACAGTCCCCCCCTTTTGAGCATGGCGGTGGTCGTCGAGTGCTCCGTGTGTACTGTACGGAGTGGTCCCCCTGCCATAACCCCTTCCTTCGGTAATGATAGAGTGGTGCCCGAAAGTCCTTCTGACATGTTTCTGGTACTTTCCCTCCCCAGTAAAAGATCCCTGCATCGATGAATCTCTGAGTCACATGGTATTCATCCACTGTCTCCGCCTACTATAGAGTTCAGTTGCCTGAAGCGCGACCCACGTTGGAGTCCGTCGCCTCTGCCTAGTTCCTGGGTAGTTCCCTGGCAAAAGCTTTGCAATGCTGCGCCTCGACTTCCGGCTGGGACATTGATAAATTCCACGCCTCGTCTCGGTCCATGCTGACCCAACTACACACTCAATCGACGAATTCAGCAAAGATATAAATCCCTCGATCCCTCCCAAATTCGACTGCCATATCTGCAACAGCCGGCCCCCAAACACAGTCACATCCTATACTTAGCCTGCGCCACGCAATCGTCCCCAGCAATAAAGCAGCCAGATCCCGGGTCTACCAAACTGTCCAACACCAAGTCAATCACAGTCCACAATCATACCGCCGCCACTATGCCTCAACACAGACACAACGGCTCAGTCTCGAGCAGCGAGGGCGAGCGCCAATACTACAACCCCAGGCGAGACAACCGCGCCACCAAGGAGACTCGTACACCCAGCTCACGTCCTACCAAAGAAGTCGTAATCTCTTACGGCCGCCCTACATACGACGAACCTCGTCGCTCGCATGAGCAAATCGGCAGCAAGTGGAAGTAGAACGAGCAAGCCACGCAGCTACCTGCTGTACAACCATTCGATTCTACAATGCCACCATTACTGTTACACTACATTTATACCCTCTTATTCAGCATGGAGTTGGTCGAGCAAGAGGCGGAATTGATCGCGTATTCACATGAGCGAGCGCAAGGAATATGACACGAACACCTTTGGAATTGGAAGGCCTTTCTTATGTACTGTTCCATCAAGAGACGGAATCACCACTTGAGGCTCTGGCTACTATCCCACCCTCTCAGAATGTACTGCACCACTGCAACTATTGTTACTATTATTTAGATACAGCAGGACGCGAGTCACTGTACAATCATTTCTCACATCCTCCCATTCCTCCATTCTTCCGTCTCCAAGGCAAACATGTGCATCTCCTTGCTTATCCTCTCCCTAGCCTGCATGCCTATCGATTGGCGATAGGCTCCCGCAGACTAGTGGACGCCGTCCGGGGACTAGCCATCGTCTGCGCGCCTAAACTAATTTCGCTATTAACCCGAGACAATCCTCTGGACATTCCTCTGAAATCTCGTTCACAATAATACCCATCGGCCCAACGCCGCGAAACATTGCTGCTGCCGAGGCACAACCTAAGCTCTTGTTTCGTTACACAAGGCGGAGGGTATGCCGGTCAAGACGGGAAAGGGGCTGGACGGGCCACAGAGATTGAGATTGCCCCAAGCCGAGCTGCTGGAGCATCCTCCAAGCCTGGGGATGATCTGCACCGCCTCACTCTCCGTCGCCCTGTCTCTGTTAGAGCCAATGGCCACCCTCACCCGCTGAAACCCCAATGGATCTTTCGCCAACCGCAAGGCGTGGATCTGTCAACGCCTCATCGCCACCTAGGCAACTCTGTGTGTCTCCATCGAATCACCTCCTGTTTCAGCACAACCTCCCACCTACAGTTCGCAGCAACCCAAGTACACGCGTCCTGGCAGATTGCCCTGCGTGAACACCCCGGGGCAGGTTTGCCACTAAGTAGTGGTTGCCTTCTTTCGCCCGGCCAGCCACGGAATTCACACTAGATGTACCTTCGTCTTCGGAAGCAACGGGAGTCGCCTACTGCACCTGCACTGCACTTTCCGGAAATGCAAACCACCGTGCATTTGTGATGTACCAAGTACCGACAATCCTCCGAGCAAGTCCTTCGTATGAAAGTGGCTACTACAGGATCCTTCTGCTCGTGTTCCATGCATGCTCGGCAATGCAACACGTGCATCCGAAGGAGCCGTAGTCTGTCCCCATTTCTCGGTAAAAGATTGGGCAGCAATGTCGCGGGTGGCTTTTTGCTATGGCCCAAGACGGCCTCCGCACAAACGTGCTCGCCGCAACGTCGATCAGTTTGGGCTTCTGTCGTCTTTACTGCGTGCGAAGGGAAATTGCCACAGCTCCGCGCTGATCAGCAATGTACATTACCAGAGAAGAGCGTTGGGCAGCCATGTCTGAAAGTTGAATGGCGGCGGCTACGGTACGTACTCCCCCACGGCGCTCGTTTCTGCCCAGGAGTTGCCTTCGCACTCGTTCATGGCCGCCCACAATAGAGTCTACGTCAGGAGCCCAAGATCTGTTCATCTCCTAGCAGTTGGACGTTCATTTATGCGCGCTGTACTCAAGGCCCGCCGCGAGGTTTCGCAGTCATGTTTTGCGAATTCGGTATGGCTATCATTTGACCAACACCTCGCTCAGAACCTTGAGAGGGATCCGAATGAGGTTGTGGCTCACAATTGCTACAGCACTATCCGCACCTAGCCGCGGTTTCGGGCACGACATGAACGTACACAGGTTAACTGGATCACCTATCCATAGATGCCCGAACGACAATCTCGGCAAGACATGTCTTCGGTTCAACGGACGACCACAGCGGCAGAATGACTTCATTGCAATTAGGAAACCTGCTTCCCATGCCGTGCTGCTTTAAGAGTTGCCAAAGGTCGCGATAGACCAGAGCTCAAGATTGCCGGCCCTGTGGGACACTCACTACGGTCGGGCACCATCTCTGGGCTTCGGTAGCTCCAAGTCCGAGCGAGCTGACAGCCTTCACGCCGAAGCGGGAACGTGACCTTGTGCATCACTCGTGCCGATATAGGACGTCAGTGGCGGTCTGGCGTTGAGGAGATACGGCCTGAAGCGAGGAGGGTATCCTGATGTGCCATCCGCGATCGTGCAGAGTTGCCGTACGAACCTCGTCATGGTACATGCATCCTTCATATGGAAGTCACGCGCCTCACAACCTTGCTCCAGGGCTGCCAGACACCGAGCACACTCCTGAAAAGATCTCTTGCCGTTGTGGCTGTTGCGAACTTTCCCTGAGTAAGACCCATCATCCTCGATTTTGAGAACTCATGGAAAGGTAACAAAGCCTCCGAAATGGTCCACGCGCCCGACGGACGTCATCGCGACCGAAAGGTAAGTACACAGTATCATCTGTCATCGCTCCGGGTTCCCACGCAAGGAGCTGTCAGGAGCGGGCCCAATCCCCAGTGCTCTAACGCCCTGCGCTACCCGCCTCACCCTCACCCCCCACGAACCCGGAGACCAGTCAATGCGGCTTCTGGAGGAGACCGGGGCGGGTCAGCACCACCTTCGACATATTTGTCGAACCGCTAGTTCGCATTCAGGCTATGCCAACTTATGCTCTCTTAGAATGTTCCCTGAATTGAGCGGGACACTCTTGTCAATCTAGCCTCAAAGAAAGGCGCTTCTCGGGTGAGGAGCCTCGCCATCGTGGGTCTCGAAACTACTGCCTCTCCACTACGGTATAGGCCGAATGCCCGCTGGCAGGTGCTGCACTGCGACGGGCCAGGAGGCAACAGTCTCACTCAAATGCCGTCCCTTCTAATTGCGAATAGGTAGGCACCCCTCATTGATCATTCTCGCCCGGTCAGCGGTCAGTCTCCTCACCATCCGTCCTGCTCGGACGTGTTGCAACCATACATACAGCAGGCAGCCCATCCCATACCGGAGGCGACCCGTCCTACTTACAGAGTTGCAATTTCTTATGTCAACGACCATACGCATCTCTCTTGTCACCGAGGAAATGATGTCCGTACCCTCATGCTTCGACCGTGAACGTGACAAGCCGTGCTGGACCTACAAGTGCAGGATGATGACCCAAGAGAAGAATCTGACCCGCCTCCCGCTGCGTGCTCCTGCGTTGGGTACATGACTTACTACCTACAACACGAACACCTGACACCCGACAGCACAGATTAGCACCGAACAGCACCGAATAGCGTGTCAGACGCGAACATGTCTCTCAGCGGCAGCAGCAGCAGCTGCTGCTAATGGCAAAGACCAAGCGGGCCAACGAGCAAGCAAGACAATGAACCAAAACAAACCCACTGGAAAGCGTGCTTAACAGTCTTCAATCGTGTCGTCCTCGATGGTCATTCATCCATAGACAATGGATTTATACTATATATATACACTTGTACAACTCATCGTAACCCAGCAGCTACTCATCTCTCACCGAAAAGCCAACCACACCCCGCCTGTTCTTGCCCTAGTAGATACATACAGGCAGGCAGGCCCCAGCACAGCACTAGTATACCAAATTCATTATGCTGATTCGTACACCTATATCATATGCCGATTGCCAACATCGATGCTTGATCTGTGTGAACGCTCCCAAAGCTGGATATCTTGAACGCTGGGACGCGACAATCCAAAAAACCGCAACCATAAATTCGCAGCAAGGCCATCCACGGTCCAAGAGGCTGTGAGCGCCAATTATTGTCCTGGCATTGGACGTTCAGAAGCTCGCCATTTCCAACCACGTACACAAGAACGCGAGCCTGCCCAGGTCCGCGCTCTTCTCCCAGTACTCGGGATCTAAGTCATCGCCCTGGGCGCTAGCACCAACGATGCGCTCCGTCTCTTTCACGCCGCCATTCACAGGCTTGCCTTTGGCGTCGGATCGCTCCTTCTTGACCTGGGCTTCGATCAATTTTCGGAACTCGATGAACGAGAGCCGGCCACTACCGCCGCGTGTTTCGGACTCCTCGTCAATGCGGCGGTGGCGAAGCCAGCGGGCGAGGGTACTTCTCGTCGGAGGAGATAGGGGAGGTTCTGAGGCAGTGTCAGGCAGGGGAGGCTCGATCTCGATGGCGTTGGGGCGGAACTGCGGTAGTGTGGGATCGTGGTAGTCTGTCTCCTTTTCGGACGTCGATGCAGGTGCGCGAGGTGGGTCCGGCGTGACGTCTCGGGACAGAGCTGATGCAGCATTGACATTCTGGATGGCTTCGTTGATCTGGGCTTGGATCTGGGAAGCGGCTTCTCTGGCTCTGGGAGAGTCTGAGCCTTCGCCAGTCAGGCTCAGCTGGAACAACTCAGGGTCCTCCGAGGCAGCTTTGAGAAGCTCGTCGGTCCGTATTTTGTCGGCTTGAACCAGCGCTTCGGCGCGTTCATCATCCAACTCCCGACGTTCTTTGGCATATGCATCCAGGGCAACGCTCCAGAGGGCACGTTGATTCCGTGTACTTTGGGCCTCGAGGCCTAAGTTTTCCGTAGGTTTGAAGAGACAGTCAAGGAGCTCATTAAAGCCCTGCTGAACGGCCTCATAGAGCACATCTCCGCCAACATCTGTGGTAGGCCTAGAGAGCTCGTAACCTCCCCAGCGTTCATTCTGAGGGATACTCCTCGATGAGGCGTTGGACCGTGTCTCATAATCAGTATCAATTGCGCTATCATCGAATCTGACCTTCGACGACGACCGTGAGCGCATCGACTGTCTTCTGGGACTGTCGATTGTTTCAGGAGGCGGATCATCACTCTCGTCTTCTGAGCTATCAGGCTCTGCATACCCGACCGGTCTCTTCATACCTTCCTCTTCATCAACATAGAACTGACGTCGCCGCCAACGATCATGCACAGCTTGCTGCCTCTTATACGCATCAAGATTATCGGACTCGGCGTCAAGTCGTTGTGACTGGGCAAAGAAGACCCGGGACCTATCAACTGGATCCGTGATATCCTCAATAGGAATATCCGCGCCAAGCGCACTGCTGATGTCTTGGGGTTCAGGTGTCAGTAACGGAGGCCAGCCGTACGTCTGAAAAGGAGGGTCTGGACCTGAAATTTCATCTTCACTCGCGTCGTCCGCGTGCTGAATACCTAACAACTCCACATTGCTTTGGTGTGGAACATGCATAAGTTGTTCGTCTTGTGGAGGGTCTGATCTGAACGTCCTAAATGGATGGTGCCGCGATCGATTTCCCGTTGCGGCGTCACCCACCGCTCGCGCCCGGTCGCCAGTCATATCCAAATCGTCTTGAAGAACTCCGTATGGAGGATTCACAATGTCTAGATCGCCGTCGAAGCCGGCGTCCTTATCTTCTCCCGGGCGTGACAAATGGCCGAACAGCAGATTGCCACCAAAGGCAGCGCTGATTGGATGGCTTCCCTGAATGGTCTCGCGTATCTCATCATCGAGGTCCATATCTTCGTTGCGGTGAAGCATTTCACGATTCAGTTGCGTACTCAAGTCGTAGTACGCTCGAAACATTCGAAGGAAATCTTTCCGGGATACGTATCCGTCGCCGTCAAGGTCATAGCCATCGAACAGCCGTCTCAACTTTGCCGCAAGGGACTTGTCGTTAAGCTTCGTGATACCTTTGATAAACTCCATAAAATCGATGAACCCGTCGTCGTTGGCATCGTAGAAAGCGAAGATACGGTCGTAAATGAGGTTCGCTGGAGCTGGGCGATTGGAAGGAATTGGAATAAAATACATGTCAAAGGCCTTACGGTCGATGGCCATGCCCAGGTGTGACGGATCTGTAGGATGCTCGTGTCCTGCAATACATTTGTATTGATCATATAGACCTTGTATTTCGGGATTGTCAAGACCCGTATCGCTCTTCAGTCGGTCCATGATTGGTTTCGGGAGATTCTGCGGGAATGCGTTTGGATTGCCAGGATACCACTTTGGCGTCACTTGCTTAATCTGGCCGCGTGAGGGAGCAGGAATGCGCACCTTGTAAAAAACGTGCGTTCGGATATGCACCTCTTTTGCCTCGCAAGTTTCGCAAAGATCGTAATCAAAACAATTTGCACAATGGTAGCGAACACCTAAGATAGGACACGCACCACAGCCATTGCATTCGACGCCACGGTGCACATAGCCGTTCCTCTTGGCTTGCTCCTGAGCAATGTGATACAATAGGTTGAGCATGTTGTGGCCTCGTTCCTCATTGTCTTCATCGTCTAGGTTGATGTTGGGTTCATCCAGAGACATTGGATCGTCAAGCACGCCATCGGCTTGCACCAGGTCGTCTGGTCGGAGATCGGTATAGTGTGTCTCGCTGTCCCACTCCTCTGAGAACAACGGACGGCCAGTGTTGAACCCATCGACGACCGTCCTGACCAGGCCTCGATCAAGTCCAAACTCTTGCAATGACGACTGCAGGCTTGTTCTATCGGCAACACTGATCTGTTCACCGTCTGCCCAGATACCTCGTACGAACTCTCGTACGAACATGGCATCGACATGCTGCCTAAGGGAACGTAATTGGTGGCTGGCCAAGTCTGGGGCCAGTGAGGCGACATTGGTGTACAAAGTCTCGAGAGTTGTAGGATTCAGCTCGAGAGAAATGTCTTCTGGTATGAGCCTACCAAGTAATAGGTTATGGTTCTGGTAGGTACCAAAGGATACATTCTCCAAACGACGAGCCTCTTCAAGTCGTGTGTCAGCCAAAACGATGGGTCTCAACCCCTGAGGCATTCGTCCTTGAGCATGCTGTGAGCCATGATCACCTTCTCTTGCCCGATGTAGATCTGCTTGCGCGCGCCGCCGTCTGGGTCGGCGGACAGCGTTGCTGCGGTGCAGGGCCTGGGATTCCGCCTCTTCAGTCTTATTGTAGGTTTGATATAGCAGATAGGCGGCTGCTATGGCGGTTGCGATGGAGACAGACAGAATGACTGGTCTTCGCAGACCCTCCACCGACATGTTTGGTGCATTGTCGTTGTGTGTGAGTCCGAGATTCAGGTAGGTGCATCAAAGTACTACTTGTGGAGAACCGACGCGCAGAAAGATTCAACTCAGCAAGGAAGGTTAGCCGAGCGCCGAACTAACCGACTACGGCCATGGCAGGTGTGCTCGAGCTGACAGAGGCAGTATTATTCATACTCTGTTGCTGGCCAGTCTAAAATGCCTGTGTCCGACTCGCCTTGAGCTAGCATGTTCTTTCAATGGTTGTTTATTCATCGTTTGTGCGCAGGATACGAATCTCCAAACAGCACAATCTGCTCGAGCCTGTGTCTACGAAGCTCGGCTTCTAATCAAACCCCCGGACGCGCTTTCACCTTGATTCCAGCGGAGAATGGAATGTTTGCATAGGATACTGCGGAGATCCACGGCCGCCCCCGTACTCGAGCATCCCCTCTGCCGATGTCGACGGTCTCGCGTGATGGTGACCTGCCTCTTCATCGCCGGTGTTGAATGGCGATCTTCTGGTGAGGCGATGATTCCAGGGCATGTCGCCTAAATACGCGTTTTCCTCGTCTCTTGGGCCCCAAGCCAACCCGTATCCTCTCTGCACCGGTAGGTGATACAGTCGAAAGGCAGTGTATGCGCAGATAATCCCGATCACACATCCTGCAAAGATATCGATTCCGGCGTGATGGAAGTCTGCGTAGCGACTGGCGCAGATGAACAAGGCCACACCGATCGGGATCATAGCAATTGTGACTTTCCACAGAGGCGGGGCGCTTCTCCTCTCGTGGTAATAGCTCACGACGTCCACATCCTCTGTTGATTTATCCGGCACCGGCATATGCTGACCGAGATATGGCAAGACGACCGAGAGCTTCATGCACAGCCATAATGACAGATACAGTAGACCGGCCCATGACATCGACGAGTGTCCCGAGGGAAATGCGAAAAAGGCATCGTTGAAAAGATCAAGATCGGTCGGCCGACATATCTCGTATGTAACCATTGCCGGTGCGTCGGACTCGATTTCGCTTCCGGAGCCACCCACGACGAAATTCCCGAGATTTTCGATATCCGCGTTACAAATGGCTAGGAGATTGGGTCGAGGCTTCCCCACGACTGCCTTGAGGCCGGAGGTGATGAAGAGCGTCGCCGCAAGGCTGACACCCAATCCCATCCATCCAGCATTGGCGTCCCAGAACTTGTCCCGCCACGACGAATACACTCGCTTCTGATCAGGTCGCCGAATACTGGGTAGTACAAATGCGAGGACCAATATGATGATCGCGGGTCCAAGGAAGCATGCAATGGCGGCTTCCTCTAACGTGACAATATCGGGCTTGAGAGGATAGGCAATGGCGCGATCTGCGAGCGAGAACGGGCGGCGGAATCCCCTGACCTTACCCAGGTAACCTCCCCCTGCGGCGAATGCTCTGCTTTCGTCAGTTTCTTCCCCCATAACTCTGAGATGCATAGATTCTCACATTATCACAACCCAGTCAAGGGCATAGGAGATTCCGGTGTGTACCAACATACCCCGGCCCATATTGCACGGGTTGCGCAAGCTATGCAACTGACTAACAACAGAAAGAGGATGTACTCAAAAGAACAATCATTCGAGTGGAAGGAACAAAGTATAAAAGGAACCACTGTTCAGCTCTCGAGAGGCTATCTGCGTCGCGTGCCCAGCTGCTCCTTTTGGGGAGGATTTTTGCGAGACTTCGGAGACGTCACTTGAGGAGACGATGGCGGGCTTGGCCTTAACGGGGGCTGCCTCTATTGGACTCGGGCGGCTCCCCCTTAACGTAAATTTAGGGTAGTGCAACGCGGGCGATCGCGAGAGTGCTCCATTGTTGCACCGTTTTCAGTCTTGAGGGTGGCTATGCCGGCCGCGCACTGATATAAAACATTCTCTGCGCTTGGTGTAGGCGCGTCTCGCAAAAACATTTCTGCGCTTGGGTGCAGGCGCATTTCGCAAAAAACCTCCTGCATCGGGACGTGCAGGCGCCCTGACTTGGTATCGACGGCTCCTCCTCGCATTCTTTACGCTCGATTTGGGCTTTGCATAAACACTGCCCTGAAACTCGCATGCTTCTCTCAATAGATGAATACAGCTGCTGCCTGAGTTGCTTCGTCAGCTCGTCGGCGACCATGAGTTCTGACACTCCTGAGACTCGCGAGCCAAGGCTCATGTGGACCTTGGCTTGGGTCAAGGACCTATGCGGCACAAGTGACGGGCCCAGCAGGCGCTGGCAATCCCGTCGGTTGAGCAACGCGTATCGGACTATTGTAACAAGATTATATTCCCCCAGTAAGCGATACATGCCAGATCTTCTACTATGGACGCGAACCAGCACCCCCGTGCGGATGTCAAGCAACGCTCTCTCCTTACCATAGCTAAGCCACGAATAAATGGCCATCTAGTCTGGTTTCTGGTTTCTGAGACGGTATGTACGCAGTGGTGGGAGAGGCTAACGTGTTTCTACATCTACGCTCAGGTTCAGCACAGCGCCTGTTGTCACCTCCGGGGGGGATGGGAGATATTCACTGCCTGGTGCTAACCCAGAAGACGGTTAGCGCGGACGTTTCGGTACCTGAGCACATCTCGAGTCTAGTAGAGGTTGCAGTCTGCAGATGGACATCATGTACGATATTTTTTGCACAAGTGTCAAACTGCTACGATGTGTCTCATGAGACTGTGTCTTCGTCCCGAGCCAGTTCGTCTCAACGTGTCTGCGACAAAGGAGGCTAGTGAGTCCTTGTCCGAATATAAAAGCCGGAGACCGACGGAAGGTCAGTCAAAGTATCAAGAATGTATCGAGCTACATAGCTCTTGAGGGCCATCTGTGCGTCCAGTGTGGATTGAAGAGCACAATAGCTTGTTGTTGGGGAAGGCGGAAGCACGGCGTTGGGGCTTTTTTGCGTCACGGTATAGGATCGCAGGAGTGTTGGAAAGACTCAAGCCTACCAAAGGCTGGCTCTTTGTGCTTGATGACTGACTCGTTTCAACAGACAGTATATAAACAATATCTAGACATAGCAATCCTATGAAGACTCAATGCAGTTCAGCAACGGAGGTAGGCTCCACTCAGGCTATGCAGACGGCAGCAGGTGCAAAGCTGGCAGGTTCATTTTCGGATCTCCGGTTGTGATGATTTCTTATGTCAGATAGTCCTCCCTTTATGCACAAGATTATTATCAACATTGAAGCCATCTGGCCACGGATGATGTCTTGAATGGCATTGGAAAGGTCGTGGTTTGACTTTTTATGCGAACGTATATTTTTGAATGGCCTGGCGAGGAAGAAGATACGCCCTATCTTGCAGACACCTTTGAGTTGGTGCCCTGCAAGCGTCTAGATGGCAGGTGTTCAGCAGTATGTCGATGTCCAGCTGTTGCGCTCGAGAATGGCCGGCTTCTAGGGAGCCTTAAGCTCACTTCGGTCCCTCGCCATTGGTAACCGCTTCAGGCGGGAACGGGATCGGTTGACCGGGTGAATCAGGCAGTCGTGCTGTCAATACTTCAACGCCGTCCTCAGTCACCAGCAGTGTATGCTCAAACTGGGCCGACCGGCTACCATCGACCGTGACACTCGTCCAGTCGTCCGGCCAAGTCTTGTCCTTATAGTTGCCCAGGCTGATCATTGGTTCGATTGTGAACGTCATACCCGCCCTGCACTTCCCGACTCCCTTGTTTTTCGCATAGTGTGGCACGTTCGGTGCACAGTGGAACAACGTGTTGATACCGTGCCCGACATACGTCTTAATGACACCTAGATTCTGCGTCTTGGCGTGTTTCTCGATTATGTCACCAAATTCCTTGATTGCAACACCGGGCTTGACGTGCGCGATTGCCTTCTCGAGACACTGTCGAGTGGTCTCAACGAGGCGTACGTTGTCAGGATTGGCCCGCGCCGTCTCGCCGACATAATATGTTTCGTTCAGGTCACCATGATAGCCCTCGTGAAAAAGAGAGATGTCGAGATTAACAATGTCGCCATCTTGAAGAGGCCGTTGATCTGGGATGCCGTGGCAGATGACCTCGTTCACCGAAGAGCAGTGTGATTTTGGGAAGTGGTTGTAATTAAGGGGAGAAGGGTACGCCTACACAACGTCAGCAAAGAGATTATGGTCAACTGTGGTAGATCTTACGTTCCGCTCTATGCAAGCTCGGTGCACGATCTCGTCAATCTGATCGGTTGTGATGCCAGGCTTGAGGGCGGCGGCGGCAATATCGAGAACTTCTCTGGAGAGACGGCAGACCTTGCGCATGGCTGCTATGCCCTTCTCATCCAAGATGGTAATGTTGTTTCTCTTGACGTAGGGATAATTCGGCATGCCCGTCTGTGACCATTCTGGATGCGGTATCGACTTGGGGATGATTCTCTTCTCCGACAGAGGATACACAGGTCTCAAAGCGCCTGTGAAGGGATAGGTGGGGAACGGATTGAAATGGCCGGTTTCTGGATCGACCTTAGAAACGACGCCTGGGGCGAGGATGTTCGCCAAAGGGTTCTTACTTTTGTGCAGTTGTTTATGTTCGGTCTAGGCTATCTGTAAGCATCATGCCAGCCGCCAATTGCCAGTCTGAGACAGACCAAGGTTGCCTACCCAACTCCGCTTGAAGCAGTCTTGTGAACAGAAGAAGCTGTCAACTCCCATGTCCCTACATTTCGGACATTGCAATGTGCTCGCGTCGTTCTCGCAGTTGAGCCCGGGACACTTCCGTGGCTGCTCTGCCGCTTGGTCCATGGTGAAATGACTTCAGTGGTGGAAACTGTAGAGATCTCAACGCCGGTTTTCGTCAGTGGTTGGGGGGTAATCTGCTCGCTGGCAGTTTCAGACACGTATTGGGATTGTCGAGGAGGCAAGTTTTGACAAAGCTAGTGCAGAATTATCATATGTTCACTGCTCGAAGTGCCGTGCGTAGTTCTAGCAAGGCAGCCCACCACCAGCGAGGCACGCCCGAACATTTGCAGTCGCGGTCGGCACTTTGGCTTGGCTTCGGCGGTCGGCGAATGAAATCCTTTTCGCTTGGCTGACATAATGAATGACTAATGACTCTAGGCTCCGAACACGCAAGTCACGGCATCACTTTGCTCGTCCGGTGGGCCGGATGGGTTTTGTCATCTTTCGGAGCGAGCCTTACTTCGTCTTCTGCCAGCATCGATCTGTTGGACATCGGCCTTGTGTGTGGAAATGGCGCCACGCAAGATCGCTGTGATCGGTGCTGGCCCAGTCGGTGCCTTAGCAGCATTGTATGCCGCCACACGAGGCGACGATGTAGAAGTCTACGAATTGAGAACTGGTGCGTCTCAATTGTCCTCTGACGCCACCCAACTTTTTCACGATGCAGCTCTCGAATCTGACGAATGCTAGACCTAAGGGACTCTACTACTTCGCCGTTGAACTTCACCAAATCCATCAATCTAGCCTTGTCCGAGCGGGGGATCAATGCCCTTCGTTCCTCAGGCAATAGCGCGCTGCTTGAGGAAGTCCTCAAAGAGACGATTCCCATGCACTCTAGGATGGTTCACTATCGCAATGCTTTAGGGAACACCATTGAGGACTCTCAGCAATACGATGTCCATGGCCGCTTCCAACGATCCGTCGATCGCGGCCTCCTCAATAAAGTCCTTATCAATGAATTGACCAAGCTTCCTAATGTCAAGCTCAACTTCCAGCACAAGCTTACGGGCGCCGATTTTCGCCGCAAGAAAGCCTGGTTTGAGATCCAGACCGATAAAGACGCTGTGGCGGGCCGTCGAGCCCAAGAGATAGAGATCAATTTCGATCTCATGATTGGGGCGGACGGCGCCCATTCCTCCACAAGGTACCACATGATGAAATTTGCTCGCATGGACTACGAGCAGACATATATCGACTGCCTGTGGTGCGAATTCAGCATGCCGCCAAGCGACTCAGGTGACTTCCGCATCTCCCCAAACCATTTACATATCTGGCCCGGCGGCAGCTTCATGTTCATCGCGCTTCCGAATCTTGACAAGAGTTTCACTTGTACGCTATTTGCCCCAGTGTCAACTTTCACAGCCCTCGAGCAAGGCGCTGATGGTGAGCTCGTTACCTTCTTTGATCGCCACTTTCCCAGTGTTACCGACCACATCTCTCCCGACGAGCTCAGCACACAATTTCGGCGCAACCCTCATCTACCACTAATCAATATCAAGTGTGCTCCACACCACTACGCCGACTCTGCAGTCATTGTTGGTGACGCTGCCAATGCTATGGTGCCATTCTACGGGCAAGGTATGAATGCAGGCCTCGAATCCGTGCGAACTCTCTTCTCAGTGCTGGACTCACATAGGAGCATTGGCGATGCTCTATCGTCGTACACCACAAGGCGGACCAAAGATGCCCACGCAATTGCGGATCTGGCCCTAATAAATTACGTTGAAATGCGGTCGTCAGTGACCTCCCAATTCTACAAGCTCAGAAAGTATATTGAGGAGACGTTATATCATTACTGCCCTAGTATGGGCTGGGCAACGCAATATTCGCGGGTCAGCTTTAGCAACCTTCCGTACAGCGAAGTTATCGAGAGATCGAAGCATCAAGAGAAGGTCCTCAAGACTACCCTTGCCACAGGTCTATTGATCCCGGCTATTGCGGGTGCGTATCAGCTATCGAGGGTTCCTAGCGTCCAGCGGGTGTTGCGGAGAGCCGGTAGCTGAGGTCCTGCGGCCTACACTGGTCCAATGCGACTTTTCACACTACTTACCGCCAAAATGCGGTCAACAGGGCAGACTGAGCCTCGAGCAGGAAGTTTTGCTACCTGTGAAAGAAACAGGAACTGAGAACTCCTCGGCATGTACAACAGACATACTGGCTCTCAAATGCAAACATTGATTGGCCATCCCTTACGGCCATGACGATCTCAGGACCTATCTTGGTGGAAGAGAAAGCTGTGAGGTATAAGCTTTGCGGAAAGTGCAGCATGACCTCGAACCGGCTGAATAAAGTGGCACTCCTCAACCTACAATCGGAATGTGAGAGCATCTGTCGTGGAAAACTGCTTCTCCTAGATCCGGTGCCCGCGTCCTGTTGGTAGCCTGTCAATTCTCTGAGCAGGATATGTTAAGACGAGACATGTATAGACGGGGTATGGAAGCCTGAATAGGCAGCAGAATTGGTTGCTCTAAAGGTGCTAGATTGGATAAAAAGGCCAATACTCCAGTCAGTTACTGCCATTACCATCGTATACTCGACTGAATCTGTTGGATGATTGTTTGTCTCGAATACAGGTGGCTTTGGGTAAATGCTCGTTGGGCAATAAAAGCCTTGGCAAGGTCATTTCTATATGACTTCAAGTGTCGTTATCCGCATTCGTGACTCTGAGAGCCTTGCAGATGGCTCGGATCCGGCTTAGAGAGACTCTACCCTGCGACACGGAGGCTCTACGCATCTTCTCGGTACCGGCGGCGTCATATCTGCCGTCGCTGCTACTACATGGATTGAGCTCGAGGTGAGCTAATCCCATTGCGGACACCCCACTTTTCTTCCTCGCTTCGGCCAGCAGTGACGACTACGCGGAACATCTCTATGCAGGCAGCACCTTTTCTTATTGCGATTTGCGGCTGACGTACCGACGACGAGCCGAATACTAACAGCATCCAAGTTGACAGAGGCTATGGCGACTGATATGTGAGGGGAGATAAGTCCATACTTTGTTCAGCCATGGCAGTTTCTGCCGACACTCAGAGCCATGACCTTACCCAAACCCAGCTCAGCCTTCACCATCCCCAGTGTTCACGATGATCTCGAACTCGACTGTCGTGTATATTATCCACGGTTCAGTAACAGTAAGCTCTTTGGACGAGCTTTTGCGATTTTGGCACATCCATACGCGACTCTTGGTGGCTGCTATGACGATCCGGTCGTAGGGTCTGTAGGCAGCACCCTTTTGCAGAATGGCATTACAGTTGGCACGTTCAATTTCAGGTCTGTCCTCACGGATCTGTCGTAGGTATAGACTGACAAAGAAAAGAGGGGCTGGAGACTCGGCTGGCCGGACTAGTTGGACAGGACGACCCGAGCTCACCGATTATGTGTCATTCTATGGCTTCATGCTGTGCTGCATAAGCACCTTAGAGCGTGACGCAGAAATCTCTTCATTGGAGAAGCCGACAGGTCGTCCGCCGTTGCTTATTCTCGGCGGGTACTCGTACGGATCTCTTATCGCATCTTGCCTACCCCCAACCGAATTTGTGTCTCAGCTGTTTGACGCCGTTGCGGAGGACTCGGCCGAGGCAGAAATCAAGAGCCGGGCTGAGAAGACGGCTCGAGATCTGGGAGCATACTTTGAGATGCTGCGGGATGGGTCCATCGGACGGGGACGCAGCAGTCTGCGCGTTCCCGGTCCTGTCTCGCCAACCAAAAGAGGAATCGCTATGGGCGGGTATGACTCGGAAGCCGCCAGCCGAAGAATCAGCCGAGAATCATCTCGCAGGAGCCTTGACGGCGACAGAGTAAGAAGGAGCCTGGATCGGGCACGGCAACGGTTGCGATCCCGCGTATCCAGCGATCAGTATCCAAGCACGCCGACTGCACCACCGTCTCGCCAAGGCGAGCAAGTGGAGGTGGTTCGGCCAGATGTTGCGTATCTGCTCATCTCACCACTTCTGCCACCAATTTCTGGTTTTACTGTCATGTTCTCCAAGCCCACCTTCGAGAAGCGAGATCCCAAAACAGGACGAATAGCTGTTAAAGATAATTCGAATAGGGACCAGAAGTTCACGGACCACCCGACGTGCTTCATTTACGGCAGAAGAGACGGCTTTACTTCCAGCTCCAAGCTCGGGAAATGGGCGAATGAACTCCACCAGAAAGCCAGTTCGACATTCTCCTCTTACGAAGTTGACGAAGCTGGTCACTTCTGGGCAGAGAAGGGGGCTACGGGCCGGCTACAGTCCAGTGTCAAAGACTGGTTGGCAATTATAGAGCAAAGTCAGGTGCGAGAGCGTGGGAGCGGCGCCAAAGGGTGAAGGCCGATATCTAATTAGTTACGGGAAAACCTAGCCAGCTTGGTCTACCGGTCGTACCGGTCAGAGTGCCGTCACCAACTTGTCCAACAGCACGAGGCTGTGGCGGGAATGACTTGCGAGGGACGGAAGCAATCCGTGCACGAGAGCCCTGTGAAGCGTCACTGACACCGAATATGCTTCGGCAAGATCTGGTACTGATCGTATGCGGTCTCGAGACCAGGTGACGAGCGGCCGGTGGTCAGCGGCCGGCCATGAACAGATTCGGGGTCCAATGAGCGCGCTCGAGTATGACAGCAAAGGAAAGCCTTAGCGTACGAGACTGCAGCATGACCAGAATCGAAAAGGGAAAAGAGGCACAGCTGGAAGTTACACGGCGTTCTCCAAGATACTCCGTACAAGCATGTGAACGGACTTTGTGGCATATGCATCACCAGCCCTTTGTACTACGTATCGCCTTGCGTCTTGACGTTGTGACGGCAGTATTGCGGGCGAGTGCGTCGACGACGGCTAGCTGTAGTGCGTCAGGCGGTGTTCGTACATGGGACAGTTGGATTTATCGGCCACGTAGCAGCGTGGTTTGGCGAGTGGGCAATGCACCACACTTGTGCACGTGTGGATATGTAGACAGGTGGACATGTGACATGTGGACATGTGGACATTCCCTCGACCCCGAGAAGTGGGCGATCGTTGCTTTGTGGCACACGGTACCTGGCCGCCGCGCTTCCTTTTCCTTTTTCTTGAGACCTCACTTGACCACACGACCACACAACTCAGCTGCTGAGTTTTCGCTTCCCCATACCTGCCATTCGCTCCATCCTTCCCCATGGCTAACGGTGAAGCCATGGGAATTGTCCAGCTGACAAGCTTAACTTGGTAGTGTGGCCGGCATTTCGCCAGCGATCAACCTTGGGTCAAAAGTGAAGTCTCCCTTGTTTCGTCATGTTTGTGCTTTGACCCTCGCCCTCGTGTGTACCCGTTTTCCACTGGACCGCGTGCTACTGGTATGGTCGCTCCTTCCATGGCCCGCGCGCAATTGATGTCTGCACCACTATCGCAATAGATCTTCTTCACTGTCCACTACACCTATTCCTACAGCCAACGCAACAAAACCTAGAACAATCACACCAGATCAAGTACTACAAGAATCCAATCTCATGGATCGCTCCTGGCGAAATGGGACTGCTCATTACGCTGACTGACTACTATTCGCCCTACGACAACCGCATTTTCCTTGCCGCGGCGCAATTCTACACACTCGGCTTCAAGCTCGTCGCCCCGCTCAAATGCTGGAGGGCCACGGCCGATTCTTATGCGAGACACCTCGAGTATCTTTTACAACGCAACGGAGAGCACGCGGCAGCCAGATTGCTCAAGAAAGAAGCCGAAGAAGCGCAATCGCTCATCGAATACGAGCAATGCACAAATACCCTCGATAAACTCCAAGGCCATGACCGCTGGAAGGACGAGTATGACAGCATTGAACCCGGCTACAAGCCACATATGATCGAGGCCCAGATCGACAACCTCCGACATGCTGCTGCACCCAGAGACCGCAAGGAGATGAGCCTTGTCATTCGTGCCACACTGAATCGCGAACTTGGTGGGATGGACAACTTACGTCTGTACAAGCACTCGTGGTTTGGCACCAAGAGATTAATAGATGAATACAACTATACAGCAGTCAATGCCATCGACATGCTGGTCCAGACGTCCGTGGTCCATGATGTACCTCGGTCCGACATCAGGGACAGTCTCGACGCTCTACAGAACGCTCTCGTTTACCACGGGAGAACAGCGCTGTGCCTTTCGGGTGGTGCTTTGCTTGGGATGAAGCACATTGGTATCGCCAAGTGTCTTTGGGAGTGTAACTTACTTCCCGTGATCATCTCAGGCACCTCGGCTGGGAGTATTGTTGCAGCTATTGTCTGTAGCTCGACAGACGAGGAGATGGAACAGACTCTTCAGCGCTTTCCCAAATCCAACCTAGCAGTCTTCGACCCAGTTGGTACCAGGTGGTACGGCTGGTGCGGCAACCGTTTGTCTACCTGGTGGCAGACTGGCAGATTCTTTGACCCGGCGTTTCTGCGCCATGTCATGAAGGACTGGCTGAAAAATCTTACCTTTCAGGAAGCCTACAACAAAACCCACAGAGTCCTGAACGTCTGCGTATCCAGGGCCCACAGCCCGGAGCCGCGCATCCTCAACTACATCACCTCTCCTGATGTTTTGATCTGGTCCGCCGTTTGTGCAAGCTGTGCAGTACCGGCGATATTTCCCGAGGCCACAATCTATCAAAAAGATCCTATAACGAAGAAGGAGGTGGTTTGGATGGAGAGTGCTGTCAGTCAGACCTTCGTCGACGGCTCCTTGGATCATGACATTCCCATGCGGATGCTTAAAGACATGTTCAATGTGTCGTGGTTCATCACTGCGCAGGTCAATCCGCATGTTCGACCCTTCTTGGCCAAGGAAGAAGAATTCTGTGGCAAGCAACCAAATACCGGTGAGCCCAATCCGGGCTATGTATCGATCCTGAAGCGCTTCGTCCACGACGCCTTGACTCACGGTGCTCAGCAGCTAGCCGATGCTGGGTTTCCTCCTTCAACGTGGCGATGGGCGGCGGTCCTCAACCAGCAGTACACTGGTGACTTGAACATATCGCCAAAGATACGATGGATGGAGCTGGCTACCATGGTAGCCAATCCAACACCGGACTACCTGCTAGCAGCAACGAGAGATGGTGAGAGGGCGACATGGCCGAAGGTCTGTCGCATTAAGAACACTGTCGCCATCGAACTTGCACTCCAAAGAGGGATCCGGGACATTGTTGAAAGACTACATTTCTCGCCAGAAGCAATGGCTGCTCGAGAGCGAAGTCGGGCGAGTCGAGGACGATGGCTCCGGGGACGCCCTCAGCCTCAATTTTTGCGTCCTCGAAGCCTGAGCAACGATAATCGGCGAGAAGGCGACGATGATGACCGGACGTCTAGTTCAGTCGATCCCGGAAGTCTCAAACATCGCCGCAATCGCAGCCTTGGACATCTTGAGATGACTTCGGTCGCTGAGATGACTTCGCGGCCTCACACGCCTCCTCTCCCACTACTCTCGCCTCAAGCTGGAGTGAACGAGTCGAGCCTCGTGATGACGCCCGCTGATCGGCCAGCAAGCGGATGATGATGCTGTTGCTGCCCTTCAAGTATTTTCCTTGAGTGATGAGCGTTCCATACAGCATAGCACAGCATAGCATTAAAGTACAAGCCGAGCGAAACACGGATGCAACAACCCTATAGCATCAAGACCAATTCAGACGATACTCACATATCAGTACATATGACATTTTCCTTTTGATCATAGCATTTGAATTTTTCCCACTGCCTTTGCTCCTGTGACGGTTTGGTCTCATTATCGCTGTAGAAATTTTGGGTGGAGCGGCGGTCAAGGGCCTACATTGGCGAACAGCCTTGCGCCAAATCCCCAGTTCGACGCGCTCGCGAGACAATTGTAAAATCATCTACCCATGTACCAGCAGCCTTTCTGTCCTCAACGCCACTCTCTTCTCTGCAGCAAGCATTAATAGTGATGTCGCATCCCATGCTTCCGTCTACAACGACTATCTAGAGACAGAAGACTGCACTGTCGCATGGGGGCAGCAGGCCACCTCTCGCAAGCGAAATGGACCTCAAGTCAATGCTGAATGAGTCCGCCGTTCGACCACAGCCTCCTCCTCGACTGCACACTCCATCAACCTCTGTGTCAGAGCGACCAATCGATCAACATAATTCCTATGATGCGCCTCTCGATCGTCCGACGCCTCATGCTACCCCGTCCTACGCCCCGGACGCGCGAACGGGTGCGCTAGGCAGCTATTTCCCTACCCAGTCACCGCAACAACACAATTCAGCCTCTACTCCTAGTGCTGGGGCTCACTCCGCGGCCAGTTTATATGCGCACAGTCCGGGGCCCGGACAACAATTCACCCCGCGACGCGATAGTATCCCACCGCAAAATGTCTACACCCCAGGCCACCACCCCCCTCCGTCTCCCGCTGGCATGCCTCCATCGACCCCAGGATCGCAATACTATTCGGGCCAGTCACTCGTCTATGGCCAGCCATATCCGCAGCAGGGAGTAATCAATCAGCGCCCGCCAACTCGAGAGGACTATCCACAAGCAAACGGAAGATCATCGCAACCACCCTCGTATCAAATGTCACCGCCTCGTCCACATCCTCAGCAAACGCCAACTACACCACTTGGGCCCCCTCCTCCCAACCACTCGAGACCATCGATGCACTCTCAGAGACCACCATCTCAAGGCGACGACCATTTGCGTAGAGCCTCCATAGGATCGGGAGGATCTACCCACAGCCGTGATCCGAGTGTGTCTCATGTGCCATACCCAGATCCTGGTCGATCAACAAGTGTGCAGCGGTCGCAGTCGATTGAAGATGAGCGACTGAGGCAAGAAAGAGAGCGGAGTGCAGAGAGTGTCAGCCCGAAAACCATCCCCAGACCGCCTCCGCAGCGCAACTCGTCACATGGTAATTATCCTTATGAGCAATCTCCTGCCGGCTCAGTCACAAGTCACACATCTCATCCAGGTCCGCCACACATCGCCGACCAGTACACGAACAGCATGATGAGCACTCCAGTACAGCAGCAATCTGTACAATCGATGGACGCACGGGCCCAACCATTGTCACGACCCAGCCCAGGAGCACGACCCGCCGCAAGCATGACTCCACAGTCCACGCACTCGTCACTTCCTCCTCAGCCCAGCCCTCCGTCTAGCAAGATGCCCAGCAAGAAGCGGACTGCTAGTGTCATTTCGAACGCACCTTCTGTCATGCCGCCCATAAAAAGAATAAAACGAGAAGGAAGGCCGATCTGGGCGCAATCAGCGCGGAAAAAGAGACTGGTATTGGACGAACGAGGGCCACGCGCGCGACCACAAAGGAACAATTTAGCCGGGAGGGCAATGAATCGTGAGATGACACCAGCGGAGCAGGGTAGAAATGGAATTGGCCATACTGCACCCCCACCTGCCGCTGCACAAGCGCCAGCGGCGCCGCCGGCGCGACCGCAGCCACCGCCTATGGCAATGGACGACTCAATCTTACCCGAGAAGCCCAGGAACGACCTTGTCTTCATGGTATGCGAATGGATCTGGTCGCAGCTAGGAAGCAGAATGCCACCGAAGGGATCTGTCTTTGAGATCGAGGCCAAGCTCGGAAATATTGTGAACCTTGACGGAGGTGAAAGAATCAGACTCCCGGTATTGAGTGAGGCAATCTTCGATCGCATGGGATTCCCCAACCTGAAGACGAAGTTTGACACCAGTGTCATGACGGGAGTGAGTCTCATTTCCTAATTGCCTCGCGTTTCTGCTAACCATTGACAGGTGGCGCACAAGGGTCTGAACGAGTTTTTGAACCACACTGTCATGTGGACCAAACAGGAGATCGACCGTGGCGCGGCACGACATCCGGTGCACTACACCCATACGAGAGAATGGGACGAGTACTATGAGCTTACAACAGAAGGGCGCGGTGCTCTTCAGCACCTGACTCACTGGATGAATCCGAATCATCGACTCAAAGTGCGACAAACGTTCAGCAAGGAGACACAAGAAATGACAGCGCAAATCATCAAGATTCGAGTAGCGGATCTGGAGATCTACAATCCGAACGACGTTTTTGACTACCGCGTGTCAATTAGTCTCGAATCGCCTTGGAACGGTCCAGAGGAGCACCTGAACCGCCAGACCGAAAGAGCGAACGACCGACTCAAGGATCGGCTATCGTACAAACATCGGGATTACCAGATCGATCTCACGCAGATCAGTCATCCCGACGGGAATCATCAAGACCATGAGGTCGAGATCGAGATCAACAACGACTCGTTCCTGGCTGCGCTGGACGATGCGCGTGCGCAACGGTCAGACAGGTACGAAAAGTGCATCAGCGGTTTCGTGGATAATATTCGAATATTAGCTGGCCACGCGACTCATGCGGTACAGGCACGGCCTCCGCCGCCGGGGATGTAGGAGCTACCACGGGCAATGGAATTGTTTTGAACGAGCGCGGAGTTTGGGTTATTACACGGGTCCTACCCATGCTTATATGGCATGGGATCTTGTTGTCCTCTTCTTTGACACGGAACAGATGACTGTACCATATGTAGCAGACGCAGAAATTCGGCATTTCGAAGTCTAGCAAGCACTGCCCTAGGAGGATCGCAAGTAGTGGGTAACAAAGGTCTCTTTCTCTCTCAATCGTCTCCTCTCAAGGCTGAGTATCTGCTTGGCGAGGCTGGATTGATGCCCGGGCTTGGCATTGGATAAGCAATGCGTCAGTATGCAGCTGCCTTCAGTGTGCTTGCGACACGTTCAACTTCTCGCCTGCGCGACCTTTGGCCATCTTCCACCACTTTCCTTCATCCCGAATCTTACCCTTTCTGCATCGATCTGCAACCTTGACTGTACATTAGATCTTCCTCATCACTTGGAATCCCCGGTTCTCCTTTGTGTACCATCGACAACGCGGCAAGGTCTCTTGTTGACCTGCGCCTGCGCCCCTTCGTCTCCAAACTTCGGTTTCCGTCAACAAACGCCATCTGCACACGCTCGGATTGATCCCACGCAACAAATCGCACACTCATAATCATGCCTGGCCTCGTGTCGGCTGCTGGCCTTGTCGGCTTTCTATCCGAACCTGATTCAGAACTCCAATCGTTTGCTCTGAAAGAGCTGGATGGTCAGGTCGATCTACTATGGACTGAGATTGCAAACTCCGTCGGCCAGATGTAAGCTAACCATGTTCTGAGCAAACCAAGTAGAGGCTGATCATGTAACTACAGCGAAGCTCTTTACGAAGATGACTCCTTCCCCGATCGCAACCTGGCCGCCATTGTCGCTGCAAAAGTCTACTATCATCTCGGAGCTTACAATGAAAGCATGGCTTTCGCCCTCGGCGCGGGCAAATACTTCCAGTTGAACAATCCTGGCGAGTTCGAAGATACCATCATCTCGAAATGTGTAGATACCTGGATCGCTCTGTCTGCTGCGAAAGACCCAACCCTCGTCGCCGCTTCCAGTGCGGCTGAGGCTGAACTCGACACGGCTTTCTCACAATCCGCCGATGGCGCCGCTACGCTCTCCGCTGGCCTCACATCGCCCGTCACGCCTTTCTCACAATCAGCCCTGCCCTCAAAGTCGCTACTATCGAGACAGAATACCGCTGCGTCATTCGAGCCAGGACTCGCTATTGAGGGCGAGGAAGGTACTCCGGAAGCCATCATTCAGCAGCGTGGTCTTCAGAAGCAACTTAACGGCATAATCGAGCGTTTATTCGAGAAATGCTTTCAAGAGAAACGTTATCGCCAGGTCGTCGGCATTGCCGTTGAAGCCCGTAACCTTGAGATCCTACGAAGAGTCATACTACGAGCCGCGAAGGACGAGCAGCAAGAGAATGGCGAAATGACAAAGAACGGCGAGGAACTTATGGAGTACGTTCTCGAGATCTGCATGAGCGTTGTCCAAGAACGCGGGCTGCGTAATGAGATCTTGAAGCTTATTCTTGAGCTGCTCAACGACATTCCATCACCGGACTACTTTGCGATTGCCAAATGTGTTGTCTACCTGGACCAACACTCGATGGCTTCTGACATCCTGAAACAGCTCGTAGAAAAGGGTGATGCTCGATCACTTGCCGTCGCCTACCAGATTTCCTTTGATCTGTACGACAACAGCACCCAGGAATTCCTGCGGAAGGTGCGGGAAGAGCTGTCCACACTGGCGCCGGAAGACATTGAAGACTCTGACCCGCCCCCACCATATGATTCCACAGACGCCCAAGCACAAGAACAAGTGCAACAGGAGCTTCAAGATGCCGCACCCTCTAGGCCTTCAGTTAAGCCTGAGATCAAAGAGGCCGTTCAGTCGATACGCGATATCTTGGACGGCCTCAAATCGATACACCTCAACATCGAATTCCTCAATAAGTCAAACCGGGTTGATCTAACCGTACTGAACAAGGTCAAGGATAGTTTAGAGGCCCGCAACTCCATATACCATACCGCCGTGACGTTATGCACTGGTTTCATGCACGCAAAGACCGCCAATGATGACTTTTTCAGACAGAACCTAGAGTGGCTTGGGAAGGCTGTCAATTGGTCCAAGTTCACCGCAACTGCTGCTTTGGGAGTCATACATCAGGGCAACGTCAACCAGGTCGACAGACTGCTGAACCCTTATCTTCCCAAATCGAACGCTGGCGGTGCCCCTGCGACTGGCTCACCATACAGCCAAGGTGGCTCTCTGTACGCTTATGGTCTCGTCTGTGCGAACCACAAGGGCAAGGCAGTTGAATTCATCCGTAAGATGTTCAAAGACGCCACCGAAGAAGTCGTCCAGCACGGCGGTGCCCTGGGTCTGGGTGTTGCCGGCATGGCTTCGGGTGACGAGTCTTTGTATGAGGACCTGAAGAGCGTTCTATATACCGACTCAGCTATCAATGGCGAAGCCGTTGGCCTTGCTATGGGTCTTGTCATGCTTGGATCTGGTAACATGAAAGCGCTCGAGGACATGATCCAGTACGCTCGCGAAACTCAGCACGAGAAGATCGTACGTGGTCTCGCTATGGGTATGGCGTTGATCATGTACGGTCGTCAAGAAGGCGCCGATGTGCTCATCAATGGTCTTCTCAACGAGGCTGATCCGGTTTTACGGTATGGCGGTATTCTGACCATTGCCATGGCATATGTCGGGACCGGCAGCAATAAGGCGGTCAGGAAGCTCCTCCACACTGCTGTCAGCGATGTCAGTGACGATGTGCGCCGCATTGCAGTCCTCAGCTTGGGCTTCATTCTCTTCCGCAAGCATACTAGCGTACCGCGCATGGTTGAGCTACTTGCCGAATCTTACAACCCCCACGTCAGATACGGTGCTGCTATGGCCCTGGGTATCTCGTGCGCGGGCACTGGCCTCGACGAGGCTATTGACCTACTTGAGCCTATGCTCAAAGATCCTACCGATTTTGTCCGCCAGGGTTCTCTGATCGCCCTTTCGATGGTTATGGTCCAGCAAAACGAAGTCATGAACCCCAAGGTCGGTACTATCCGTAAGACCATGCTCAAGATGGTTTCAGACCGCCACGAGGATGCGATGTGCAAGTTTGGCGATGCTATGGCTATGGGTATCATTGATGCTGGTGGTCGCAATTGCACCATTTCGCTGCAGACTCAGACCGGCAACCTTCACATGCCCGGTATCGTCGGCGCTGTTGTTTTCACGCAGTACTGGTATTGGTTCCCTCTGGCTCACATGCTATCACTCTCCTTCACACCCACAGCTGTCATTGGTGTAGACCAGAAGCTGGATGTGCCAGTCTTCAAGTTTCACAGCAACACTCGTCCTTCTACGTTCGACTACCCTCCCGAGCAAACAGCAAAGACAGATGAGGCTCCCGAAAAGGTCAAGACCGCTGTTCTTTCGACTACGGCGCAAGCAAAGCGTCGCCAAGCCAAGAAGGAAAAGCAAGAAAAGACAGAGAAGGGTGATAGTATGGACTTAGACGCAACAGCGACTCAATCTCCTGTCACGCCGAAGGTCGAGAAACCCGAGGACAAGATGGAAACTGACGAGCCTGCTCCCAGCGACGACAAGAAAGAGGGAGACGCTGTCGCTGAATCCGATAAGCCCGAGAAAAAGAAGAAGGTCGAGAAGGAGAAGGTCGGATACGACATCAACAACATGTCCCGTGTCCTGCCTGGTCAGCTGAAGTACATCTCATTCCCGGATAAGCGCTTCCAGCCCGTCAAGAAGCCAGTGACTGGTGGTGTCATGGTTGTGCTAGACACCCAACCTGAGGAAGAAAAGGAGACCATTCCTCTTACCGTCAGCAAGATTAACGTACCTCCGGTACGAAGCATCGGTGGTCAACAAAGCCAGCCAGCAGCTGTGCCAGTCACTCCTGCTAGAGGCATTGGTGAATTCGCTGCTGGAACTGGTGCTGGAGCAGCCGCTGCCGCTGGTGTCTTGACAGCCGTGGACGAAGATGAGGAAGGCGCCGAAGAGGCGCCTCTGCCTGAGGAGTTTGAGTATGAGACCGAGAACGAGGGAGATGCTATGGAGGAGTAGTGCCTGCCGCCTAACTCTGGGTTCGACTCTAGTGGGGAAGTCCTGGACCACAGCGACTGGACCTACATTCCCACCGTGTCTGACCCGACATGTCCTCGTACTCCGAAGCGGCAGATGGACAGCGATAGCCATGATCCAGATGGTGGGGAAGGGGAGAGGTGAAAAGGTCAAAGGAGTAAATGAACTGTGGTGGACAGGCATTGAAGCTTGCATTACTACCTACCCTCGATTACACGTGCGTGCGGCAACGATCATCTTTGGATGGATGACTTGACCGAGTGCGAGAGAGGTTTGCCGAATGTATTTTAACCTTTATCTTACCTTTTGCTTTGCCGTGCGTGGGGAGCTCAGTAGAGAGGGGGAGAACACAGTACGGCGAGGAGCATAGTAATCAATACATGCCAGTCAAAGTTGCAACTTAATCTTTCTTTCTACTTTACCTATTGTTGACTCAGTCGTCTATATTACCCATCAAATGCTGATAAGGAACGGAACTCTCGAAGTGATCGAATCACAGCTGTCTCTGCTATTTTCACAGCTATCGCTTGCGCACTAAAACATCCCAGAGCACTTGAGAATCATCACGTGGAGGCTGGCTGCCTGCCTGCCCTTGACCAGTAGTGCTTTAGCATGTATGTATGTACACACACATGTCTTCCCAAAATTCAGCCCGACGAGCCCCGCTGGATCACGCCCCAATCCGCCCTGGCTACTCTCTGTGAGCTACTTTTCTACAAGATCTCACGGCACGGCACGGACAGCCCCGTTTCTTTGGCATGCAGTAGAGAGGAAGGGGGGAGAGAAGCCGATCGTTTTCAGTCGAGGAAGTTCGAATTATGATTTTGCGGTCTTTGCTTGCGGCGACTTCAAGGTGATATAAGTAGCTTTTGGTTGGTGGGCTTTATCTCGCTAAGAATTCAGGACGCCCAAGATCCAAGATGCTGTGGTTGTGGTTGTGCTACGCCCTCATTCTGATCTGTGAAATGCAAAGACAAAAAAGAAGGCGTGCGTCCTTTGGTGCATTACTGTCAACAAGGACTTGTAAAGCCTCCACTGCCGGCCTTGTAGCCGCCTCCACGCGTGGATTTCTCATCAGGTACTGCCACCCTCCGTTCCCTGCTGCCATCGTCTCAACGAGGATCCTTCGCAGCATCTCAACAGCATACTCAATCAGTCGTCGTCATCATCCTCGGCATATCGTGGACCGCCACCTACAGCAGGGGTCGGTGCATCGTAGGCCCCACCTCCACCCCAGGCTGCGGGTGTCGGCGCACTGACCGGACCACCAGCTGGCGTAGGCGCATCCATCGCAAGTCTGTTCTTGCCGAGGGGGATGGTGTTCGCAGCTCGTGCGAACCCCGGTGTGGGCGCGTCCATTGAGCCAGCATTGCCAAAGCCTGCACCAGGCGTGGGCGCCGAGTACGCGGGCGTGTAGCCGTCGTCAGCTGGAAAGGCTGGAGTTGGGGCATTTAGAGCTGCGGCAGGAGTTGGAGCATCGTAGGCGCGAGCGGCTGGGGTAGGTGCAGAAGCAGCAGCAGACGGTCCAGACCAGGCCGGCGTCCTTGAGACCGTTGTTGTGCTGGTGCCGTATGCAGGCGTACGGGAACCGGAGGCAAAGGCATCGAAAGCTGAGCCGCTACCGCTAGAGCCTCCGCCGAAGCCATGGTCAGCGCCATAGGGCGTCTTGGCTGAAGAGGACCAGGCAGGTGTGCGTGAGCCTGTACCCGCTGAGTAGTTGCCTGCTCCGCCGTACGTGGTGGTGTTGCCGGCACCACCATACGAAGTCTGAGAGCCACCGGCACGCCATGATGGTGTACGACCCGAATCCAGGGCCGAAGAAGGTCCACCCCAGGCTGGTGTACGAGCGCTGGCGCCCGCCCAGGCAGGTGTTCGACCACCATCCACTGCAGCAAAGGGAGTGCGGGCACCATCAGGGACGCGAGAGCCAGGTATGCCGGGACCTGCTCGCATTTCCGACGGCGGGCCGCCACGACGACCCGCCCATTGAGCGTAGGGAGTGGCTTGATCAGTGTTGGGACTATGATGGATTAGTATGTGCGAAAGGGGACCGTGAAGCGGAACATACTCAATGACACTGATCTCAGACTTGCTGATGTTCACGGTCTTGTTCTTGGACTCCAACTCGATGCGAGCCTCATTGATGGTTGTGTCTTTCACAGTACCACGATGGCCCTTGTAAGGGCCTTTTGTGATCTTGACCTTCTTGCGGATCAATCTGTCCATACCGGGGCGCTGAGGCGGACCCATGGGAGCGCCATTAGGACCTTTGCCCTGCATGAGCGCAGGATTCATCTTCGACAGGTCAGTCAGAGGCGCGCCACTACGCGCGCTCCTGCCGACAACGTTCGAGCTTCGGGCAACCCAAATGCCAGCGTTCTCGACCATGCGACTGCGGTCGTGGGCAAAGAGATAGTTGCGATATATGTGCAGAATGTTTCCGGACTTGCCTTCGCCACCTACTTCCTTGATGGTGTCTCCTTGTCTGATCTCGGAGCCATTCTTGTCGACAGCAACGGCGTTCCGAGAAACCATAATCTTCGATAATGACGACGGTAGACGTGTCTCGATCGATCCGTTTTGATCCATGACTTTGACAGTCTGCGGGTCGGCGCCGACTACGCAACCAAAAGTCGTCGCCGTGAGCTGCACGAGATCTCGGACCTCGAAAGGGCTACGTTCTGTGCTCGCACTGGCGCCGGACGCTATTCTCAGATCCTTACTAAAGACTGTGAACTCGATCTGGTTGTCATGAGACAGAATAGTGACCTTGTCGTTTTCAATGGCGATGACCGTGCCGACTTGATCACGGTACTTGCTGGCACCGCCCACCACAACATTGTCGCCATCTCGGAAGCGCTTGCGCAGATTTCGGACCGGAACCTCGACAAGCTGATTATTGAGCTCACCTTCTGATACGCGGATGGAAACGATGTTGCCGGTAACGCGTTCTGTGCGGCCAACGACACCTTTTTGTTCACCGTTGAACACCTCGACCTCATCTCCAACCTGGTAGCTGCTCTCAGCAGTAGACTTGTCGTGCAAACTTTGCTTCAGTGTTTCCAGATCCAACATTTCCGATCCATCCTGGCCAGTCTTGGTGAATAGCTGTGTTTCTTCCAACTTCGGCTGCACATTTTCTGTCTGTAGTTGTGGGAGCTTGTAGGTTTTGATCAGGAAACCATCCTCATACTCTTCGCCCTTGTAGGTGAAGCTTTTCCGGGTGAGACCACCAGACTGCTGAAGGAATCGTGAATGCCGCTTTTTCGCCTCCACTTCGCTGAACAATCGGGCGGGAGGTCGGTTCGCAAGGTTCTGTGCAGGAGCAAAACCAGGCCGCTTTCGCTTATCACTCCCAGCAGGCGCTTGAGGTTTGGGTTGGTCCTCATCAAAGCCATACGTCAACCGGGGAACAACCTTGACGGTAACATCGAGCCCGTTAGGTACCGTGTCTTCGACAACGGCTAGATCACCGGTGTAGATACCCTTGCGAATTCGGACGTATGCGCCAGGCTGCAGTTCCTTGGTCTTGGTCACCCGCAGCAGATCAGGCATCTCCTTCATCGGCACGAGATTCATCTTGCTGTGAGGATAAACATCGTGGACATCTTTGAGAGCGTGCTCGACATCCGCCTTATTCCGGGCTTCGACAAAGATGTAGCCTTTCATGGCGCCATCACCGCGCTCAAAGGCAGAGAATATGCGCATTGGGTCTCTTGCACGTCGCTGAATGAACTTGGCGTTGATGGCACGAACAATCTCTTTCTCCTTGCCTTCTCTGCACTTGACACCGAAGATACTAGGGTCCGACACATCAGGCATAAGCAGATTCTGGGGCACAAAGCCTCTGTTGGAGATGGCGGTAGTAGTTCTTCGGCCGTAACGCTCTCTGAACTCGGCAGCCTGCTTCTCTGCGTCCATGGAAGCTTCAAGCTGTCGCTTGCGGTCAAGCTCACGGTGGCGTCTATCATCTTGATCGGCTTCGGCAGGGAGGTCATCGTCCGGATGGGTGTCTTCGATGAATTCATTGCCCAGGCCTTCTTCGTCAGCCTCCAGCTCGTCGTCATCCTCATCGACCTCAGCCTCTTCTTCGAAGAACTGGTTCAGGCCGCGCCTCCGTTTGCGAGGGCGGGATCTTATGCCATCCTCCTCCTCATCCTCCTCCTCGTCTTCGTCATCTTCATCCTCGCCGCCGAGATCTTCACCCTCGCCTTCGTCGTCTTCGCCGTTGTCTGCCGGCTTCTCATCTTCATCCTCAGCTGCATCTGACGTCCGCCTTCGAGGGGCGGGCGATGAATCGCCGTTCACATTGTTGGACTTGTTATCATCATTATCGCCTCCTGCATCAGATCCTTGTTCGACACCAGGATTGAAGTCGTTGTCAGACTCCTCATCTTCGTCGAAGTTCTGGTTGAGGAGGTTGGCAGACATGCTGTGTTGTCGCGGCAACACGCAGGATGAAAGGGAACGTAAAAGGGTGCTAGCAATAACACAGGCTGAGAAGTGTAAGAGAGGTTGCGAAGATAGTGTACAGAGAGTGGAAAGTGGTTTGTTGAAGATGTTGTCGACGTGTAGTCAACTGCGCTTCTGGACAATGCATGCCAAGGCCTGCCTCGCGCCCAGTCTTGCAGCTATTCCGCATCCGGACTTACTTCGCCCAGGCTGAGTCATAGCCTCGCTCATTCACTGCCTGTGCCTCAACCCTTGCAACACTCTCCCTGCATTGTTTTCCGGCAGGAGGCCATCCATTCGACGTGCTATACTATTGGGGGATACCCAACTCTTCGTGGAGTGAGTGACAGCATGCGGTATACTCCTGCAACATCGCGCTCTGTCAAGGCCATTGCCATTCATACTACAGAGTAATAACGGACCACCGTATGATATGAGCTCGCTCGTGGTCCCCAAGCGTGTTTGCTAGGTGGCATAGTCACTTTCTCCTGCATATCTTCCTAACGCTCGATATCTCGAATTCAAATTCAAGACGCCTTTTCAAGTGCCACACCATTCGCTAAAGGCCAGCGCCTGTACCTCGGCGTGGGGGTAATTGCTTGATTCGAGCTTCGTTGCTACCGGAATTTGTATGAGATTCTGCTAACTTTTGAAGGCGGTCGTGCAGTGGGTGAGGCTTGTAGCAATCAACAGGGACATCGAGGGCGGGTTTTCTGGATCTTTGTAGGGAAGAGCAGGGCAGTCAAGATGAAGGCATGCAACGTTCCTCTCATCTCCGCTTGCCTCTGATATTGACTTGTGTCTGACTTATACATGCCGTGTGGCTTCACTTGAGCTTCCTCTCTCTAGATCCTCGTCTCACTTGAGCCTCCCTCCATCTGACAAACCCCGTCTTTCGGACATTATTGGTGCTCGAACCGCTTCGTAGTCCATGCTGGCCTGCTTGACCGGGTTGCTGATAGTTGCCGAAGACCTCCTGGCTGACACAAATTGGCCCTCATTGTATTTTCTCACGATGCAGGAACGCCTCCAGCATACCAGATGGGCAGGCTTGACAACAGACTGCCTAATGTATGGGACGATATGAGAGCCGTGACAGGCATCTACCCAGCGCCAGCGATGGTCACCTAATGCTACTCGATAACCTTTCGATCTGGAGTCGAACGCGCTACCGTTGCGCCAGCGGCTGGTGTATTCGCCTGATATTCACATTCCTGAATGTCCAGCTGTGGGGACGAATCATGTCATGAAGGACCCGAATAGAATTGGAGTGTAAGCAGCACCTCCAAACTTATGGCACCTCGGGACAAGCCCCACACGTATTGAGGTAGCGAGATCCACGACGACTGCAAACCAGCGTACGTTGGAGAATCTTACCTTGACAGTATGCTTCATAAGCGAGGACACAAGCCACGAAGTCGTTCGCTCCCAATCAGCAATGGCATCCTACACATCCGACGACTGCACAGGCCTGCTTGCTTTCTGGGCTGACATCGATGATCCCGACTACGTGCTCCGCTACCAGCAATGGCACAACTGTGAGCACATCCCCGAGCGTGTTCTGACCGAAGGCTTCATTCAAGGCCAGCGCTACCGGAGCCTCGACAACCGACCTCACTTCCTCATGTTCTACGACACCAAGACCCCCGCCGTGCTCACGTCCGATGCCTATATGACTACTTTGCGCAATCCCACACCTTGGACTAGAGAGGCGCTCGCGCATTTTCGCGACCCAGTCCGTGATATCTTCCAGAGGCTGGCGGTGGCAGGTCGGCCGGGGAAGTTGGCGGCGCCGTATGTAACGTCATTGCGTTTTGATTTGTCGGAGCCTGTGGACGAGGAGAGGTATGTGGGACGGTGGCTCGAGGCTGTAACAGCAGTCGCGAGTGTGAGTAGAGCGAGGCTGTATAAGGCGGATGCTGCGATGGGGAATGCGGCGAATGCGGAGAACAGGTTCCACGGTGGGGGACCGGGGACGCAGGCGTATCTGGCGCTTATTGAGGAGTCTCTGCCGCCGGAAGAGGCGAGTGATCCTGTCAAGGCTGGAGACGCGGCTTTAGAGGGAGATGTGGGGAGGGTGGATGAGGAGTGTAATAGATACTGGCTGGAGGTGGTGCACACGAAGGCTGAGATGGCGTAGGGAATCGTCAATGGCGGCTGCTGAGGTTGAGACGTGACATGTCAGTTCGGAGAATCTTGAGCATCCGCCCAGAGATGCTTGATCGAGTCTCTCAGAGCTCTCTCGCTGTTCTGGGAGGCAACGGAACTGGTCTGATGTTTTACGGAGAAGAAGTGCATCGCAGGCGACATCGTTTCTCGGCCACCATTGGGATGCAACGGTACAACCTCTCTTACCAGATGTGTTTGTTGGAAGACCCCAAGGTCAGTAGTCACGAGGCGAGGCTATGTGTATGAATTATGGCACACAAAGCAGCAGCACCTGAACAAACTGTTTAGCTAATATATGAAGCGGATGTAATTAGGTAACATCACAACATTGCCAGCTCCCTCTCTCGCCCCCTCTTTTCCCACCTATTAGCCCCCCACAGGTAACGTTCTTGGCCCCACCTCTTGGCCGTTCCAGGCGCACAGAGATCTTGCCTATATATATTGGTAGCATTGAAATTTCGCCCAGCAATGGAGCACACTTCATTCGCATCCTTCAGGCTATATGCGTGAACGGACCGCTGGCGCAACGGTAGCGCGTTCGACTCCAGATCGAAAGGTTATCCGTTCAAATCGGGTGTGGTTCAGTCCTAATGGCTGTCTTTTTGCTTTTTGAAGCTATTGCTAGTATGCAATCGGGTCGTTGGGAGCATTGAGTGATGTCAAATGTGACTGTGAGCAATTGTGAGGCATTGGGAACTGCATTTCTGTGATGTCTTGGCTTTGTGGGTCATGCCAAGGATGTCCTTGGGCTGTGAGTACCCCAGAACTAGAGTATCTCACTTCACGGCGTCTTCCCTAGCTGTGACACTATCTTATTGACTACAGAGCGTGAATGTCATAGACTCAGTATGCCACTGAGCTGTGCCTAGACCACCACAGTATAGGTGCCATGTTCATATGCTTTATCTCCAGGAGCTACGCTTCAACCCGCATGTTGAACGGTAGCAAGAGTGATGATATCTAGCATACACTCAATACTCCATTCTGAATAAATCCGACAGGTATAGGCAGTGGGTACTTATACTCCTCTCAAGTCCATTGTCAACAGCGGCAACGTGCTACAAGCCAATCGACGTTCAAGCTGCATTGTACACATCACTTATCTAGTCACCACACAGCCGGCTAGCCGTCTTGTACTTAGGAAGGCTGCCAACATTCTCGGCCGCATCCAAGAAGACTCACCGTGTGAGACCCGAGGTTTCTTCCCCGCAAGATCTCCTCAGCCCCAGCCGCTATACTGACTAGCTCCTCTTTGTTGAACAACAGAAAAGTCCTCAGGTGGCGTAGAAAGCTCGCGAGCATCTGTTACAGTGGTTCGAGCTCACGCTTCAAACGGCAGTGAGACCGTCAACAAGCCGGCAAAGAGTAGTAGCCCAATATGTTCTAACATTAGCTATTGAACACTCTATTCCAAGCCAATGCCACCATTAGAAGTGCCGTCATCCTAACATATATACATTTTCACATGACATCTCACAGGAACCCCTGATCAAGCCGTCTAGCAAGACAGGTCATACTTGGGGGACCCTCCCTCAGCAACACCGAAGCTCGGCACGCTCGCATCCGCGGTGCTGTCCTCCAGCGTATACCACCAAACATTGATGCCTCGGGCGACGAGCGAGCAGTACACCTCACCGAAGTAGGTCTCGGCGTTGGCCACGCTGGGAGTCGCTGCGCCAGATTGAGGACCAGCTATTTTATATTAGCAAAAGCGCCCTACCGAAGAAGGAGAAGAAGGGAAGAACTCACAGCTCGGCCACCCGGTCTCGGTCACCCAGATCTCCTTATCGCCCGCCTGGCCGACAACAGCATCATAGTCGCCCCAGAACGTCGCATTGCCGTTCTCGATACCGTTGGGCTTCGTGTCCTCGAAGTAAGGGAAGCCGTTCATGCCGATGAAATCGACCGCCTCAATGACAGGCGCCATCCAGCCACTGCTGTTGGAGAAAGTGTTGTACGTATCGACGTGCCCGATCGGCTTGCCCTCCAGCGCGGTGCCAGCCAGCCCGCTGCGCACCTGGTTCACATAGTCGGCGACGCCCTGCGGAGTCACACCGGGCCCAGCGTTCGACGCGATACCCAAGTCGGTGATGCGGTAGACATCCTCGTTGCCAACGGAGATACCAGCGACCAGGTCGGTGAAAGCGCTGCCGTGGGCGTCGATCGCGGCCTTGATGGCGTTGACCTCATTGTCCACATTCGGGTTGCCAGAGATCCAGATTCCCAACAGCAGCGAAGTCTCGGTGTTGACAGCCGCGGCAATGGCCTCGATGGGCGCGGTGGAGGTGCCCTGCAGCGAAGTATACAGGCGTGCAGAAGTAAACGCGCCGTTGGTACCGGCAAGGTTCTTTGCGACGTTGAACTCGGTCTCGAAGGAGGCTTGGTTGCGCGTGGCGCCGGAGAGGTCGAGAGCGCCGTAGCTGACGAATCCATTAGTATCTGCTACAGGCTCACAACCATTGCTGAGAACTCACTTGAAGCCCTTGTAAGCGGCCAGCGCAGGGGCCGCAAGGGTGGCGAGAACACCGGTGGTCTTCATCCTGTCAGAATATGGGGATGGTGATGAGTATAGCGAGTGTAGAATTCAATCAATATGGGGAGAGAGTAAGTATCACACGAGAACAGATACAACGAGAATGAACACAGAGGAAACCTGAAAAAAAATCCGTCTTCTGAACCCTGCGCATCCAGCTTCCCTAATAATACCTCTCTCTCTCACACACACCTACCTACCTACCTGTCCGTTGAAAAAAGTATGACCACCCACACCCTCCATCATTGGCACCGACCCTGCGTAAGCGTCATGTCATTACTCTCTCCTTCCCCAATCGGCTCTTTTCGCCTCCAGGATACTCCAGTATTTTCCTCTGGTTGGGGCCCAGGTATGTCTCGGCCCGGGGTGGCAATAAACAACTGGCGCCTACTGTACACAAAACACAACTGCCAGAGGGAAGTAGAATTTTCGCCCATGGAACCATGGAAGACCAGGGGTCAGGTGGATGACGTACCTGCATACGCGGGCGACCGTTGGATGGAAGGCGCCCGACGGTTGCAGCGGGGATCCACCTCCGAGCATTGCCCCTGAAACATCGCCAGTCGATGTCCATTCCTGGGGGCAGGGTTTCGGTTCCAGACAAGCATTACTCGGTACAATAACTATCGGACCCGTCGTTCTTCTGATCGATCGGTACCGTGATGTGTACCTGTCTATCAGTTATGAAACCCGGACAATGTGAACTGAAAAAAAGGTCATGTCCATATTCATCATCGAGATTCGTACTGTAGCTATCCTGAAAAAGTCCTCTAGATCTTGTCGTCCGTGCTGCTTCCCAATGTGTTAGCCCTTTCCCGCATCCTGCGTCCCTCCATCAAGCCCCTCAAGCCTCTCTTTTGTAGTCCAATAACGGAACTCATGTCGCCGGTCCAGACTTCGCGCACCTCCTTCTTCGTAATCTCATTCTCATCTTGTGTTGATTCTGTATCTGTCTGTGAGAAATCGGTCGAGGCAGACGCCGATGTGCTGGTTGATCCAGATTCCACCGAGTCGGACTTCTTATGACCCTTGGTTCCATTCTGCTGATCATTGATCTTCAGAGCAGCGGCCTTATTGCTGAGGGTATTGTCACCAACGGTAGTCGCTTCACTCTCTCGTCGAGCAAGCGAGTATTGTTGCTCAGCACCTGCCGTCGCTCGCCCACCTCCTGCTGCCATTGCGGCTGCATTGAACACTGCTGCAGCGTTACGACCGTCAAGAACTTCATGCAACCGCTCGACCGTAGCTTCCAACAGACCATCAATCTGGTAAGGCCGAGCCATCTGCAGCAGAGAGCAGAGTGTATGTGGCGTGCACAATGGTGCACCCACCGGCGGTAATGCGGACGTGTAGAGGTACTGCAGTAGCAATTGAATGGTTTGAACCATATGTGGCAAGTATAACGACCGTGACCTCAACGCCGCAGGGATATTCGAAGTATTGGAAGGGTCCATCAAAGTGCGGTTTGTCGACCTACTCATCGATCGCTGCGGATCCAGCAAGGCATCGTTTCCAAAAGTACCACCATTCGCGACACTCTGTGTGATGGTAATGGCAGAATTTCGACTTGCTTGCGATTGCATCATCGGCCGTAAGGTAGCTGCGTCGGACATCAAGCCACTCGCATTATCATGTGTAGTAGCCGACTCTGCCATCAATTGATTGAAGTAAGGTCCCCAGCGACGAGCCAGAATGTTTGAATTACAAGGAATCCTCTCTCCACCAATTGCGATCAAGTCCATGTCGGACAGTTCTGTCAGAATCAGAGCGGCTCGTCCCAGCTCTTCCGCAGCGTTGGTATAGGATCTGCCACCCCCCTGCAATACATCTGGAGCTTTGAGTGACGGCGGGATGGATGGCGCAGACACCGATTGATACCCAGAAGTCGGTGCCGTTTTTCGAGGGTTGTCGTACAGACCGAAAGCTTCCAACTCCACCATACAGACGTGACTGAAATTGATCCGACGATGATTGTAATCGTCAACAAGGCTTCTCTCGCGGTGACCAAGAATGACAAAGGTATTCCGTCTGTTCCATAGAACTCCGCGGTTCCAGCTGCCCTGCTCAAAAATTGACACATTGGTGTCGATACGGCCCCATGTCAACGTCTTGAGATCCAGGGCCCAGAGTGCATACTCGTGCTTAGAAGACGTCAAATATGTTCCACTGACCACGAAGTGATTGTCCAAGATACCTCCGTTCGGGAATCGTAGACCGGGAGGTGAGACCGGACCAGCCATAGTCTTTTCGACCATTGTTCCATCCGGTTTGCGGATCTGTAGTTCTAGCTTGACGTCCAAGAAGTTGTAGTTTGAGTAGATCAACATCGACGTGCCCGTTGCCTGTCCAGTGTGCTGATACTGAGGCTCATCTAGCGGAATACCTTGACCAAGTAAATCTGCCGAAAGTCCCGACATAGGCACAACCATGCTCTTGTAGGCACCACATTTGCGGTCCCAAGCAGTTGCGCTCGTCCACTTGAGACTTCGCAGGTTGAATACGTTGATCTGCTCGATGTAGTTGTTGCCACTGTCTTGCCCACCTACCACCACCATCTCAGCGCCACCAGTTCCATCTAGTTGAACACCTAATGTGCCAGAGTTGTCCGAGGTCGCCGGGTTATGGTGGATCGCCGACAATGGCGCATTAGTGGAGGTGAAGACACCTGATGAGGGCAATATCGCAGCACAATGTGCATATCTCCCTTGTGGAGCATTCTCGGTCGTTGAGATCTGTGTCCATGTTCGCGTCGAAACGTCGAATATGTGAATATCGGACATGACAGCCACCTCCGGCTGAGGCTCAGATTGACCAGAAGTGTTGCGAGGTGCTGGTGACATTCCGCCGTAGCAGACCAGCTTGGAGTCACCTAATCCACAAACACTGTGGAAGTACCTTGGTGGTGGTATATCTCCAAGTGGATCAATTTTCTTCCAATGCCGCTTAATCAGGTCCAACTCATATAGGTCCGATGTCAACTGCGGCCTGGTTCGTGAGTGCAGTCGCCCCCCAAATACATATAGCTTATCGCCAAGGATGGTCGTGGTTGCCCCGACAAGAGCATGAGGCTTCTGACCGGTCGTTTTGTGTACGCTGCACACCAATCCAGAGAGATGAGTTGGGCCCGCATTTTGGTTCACAACAGGTGAGATACCAACATTTCCGGTAGCTGGCGCTCCTTGAAACGAATTCTGGCCTCCATCCGTGCTTGCTTCCGATGCTAAGCTGACTTGGCTGCTGTTCATCTCGGCCTTTACATCAGGAGTGTTCGCGGACGAACTCTGGCAAAGGTGTCGATCAATGTGCCGAGGCTCTCGGCGAAGTACCGGTGCTTCTGGCTGCTGAAGCCTGATATCTGGACCAACTGATCGGGTTTCTCGATTGAACGGATGGGCAAAATCAGGGATTACAATAGGTACATGACGTGGAAGCCGAGGAGAAGTAGTACGACGGGCCGGAGGATCTGCGAAGTGAGGTTCAGGCTTCGAAAGAACCTCGTTGGGTTTTGAATCGTTGGAGTGCTCGAATACGGTAGTCGTCGACTTATTCCATCGGAAGGCTAGAAGAGAAGCAAAGAGGTGGTTCTCTGAGGGAGTTTGCCGATCCGAATTCTCTTTTGGCGATGGGGACTCGAGATACGAAGACTTGAAGTGAGAAGTGAATTTGCGCGTGGGTGATATAGACTGATTCGAGCCTTCTCGGCGTAACCTGCCCATGGTGAGTCTCTGTGATAGCCAGGAAAATCAAATAAATCATAGGGGGGGAAATGGTATATAGATTCGGAACAGATTTATGTTCTCGGAGCCGGTTTACGTGAAAACGCCAGCAGACCAGGGAGACATGGTTCAATGTACAAGCCAGAAAACCGGAGAAAGGGGCAGGCGCGGGGTTAGATAGTCGGTGGATTGCAGTAATGCGAAGCAGGCACTGACCTGTAGACAAAGGATGTCTCGGGATGACTCTAGAATCCAACTGGCTTGGGAAATCGCGGTAGTGGTACGCAAGGGTGGTTTCGTTACCGAAGTGGTCAATGAGGGCTTTCGAGATTTGGAAAAGGAGAAATGTAATGGTCCTTCTGTACAGTGAAGAGAAGGTCGACCAGTGTCACTTGAAGTCGAGGTACTGTGCAACAAAACGCTAGGATGCGAAATGAAAATCGGATATATCGTTTTGTGTTGCCCTGAAGTGGTGTTTGAATGAGATCCGAGTAGGCGACCAGTGTTGGCGAGGGGAGAGTGCTTCCGTGGGCCGGTGGGTGTCTTTCGGGCGCCAAGGCAGCGGGTCAGGCCAGGCGCCCGTCCACGCGCCAGTCCGTGAAAAGCAACTACTGCACTAGATACACCGGCCAACACGTTGGATATGCTTTTTCTTATCCCAGCGATTCCTGGGGTGGTTAGCAAGGGTCTGGCATCTAGGACAGAGCCGTCATTTGCGACGCGTGCTACTGGCGTAAGCCAGATGGCTGGGTACCGATAGGCGATCTAGCCGCCTATCTTTCCCCAGCCGGCCGCAATGCAAACGAACCACGCGGCGTTTTGGCCAATCTGGGACGCCGACACGCTAGAAGATACACAGAACACAGAGCCTTAACGGCATACGAAACAGCTGGTAGTATGATTCATTTTTTTAGTCACATATTGATTGTGTTTTCTGTCTTATGTAAACTATCCAATGAAGCATTTGCTGGGTATAACAGCCCTCGACGCCCGCTGAAAACACAGACGTCGCCTCGGCCAACATCAGCTCAATCTAGGCAGCGCTGGTCTTCTCCTTGGGCAGAGGAGTCACGCGCAGGTATGGCTTGATGATCTTGAAGTCTGGGAAGAGGTCCTTAGCCAGGTCGTTGTTAACGCTGGGGTGGACGATGACATCGTCACCAGGAACCCAGTTGATCGGAGTGGTGACACGGTGCTTGTCGCCAGTCTGGAGCGAGTCCACGATGCGCAGGACTTCGGCTGTGTTGCGGCCAGTAGAGGCGGGGTAAGAGAGGATGGTGCGGATAGTCTTCTTGGGGTCGATGACGAACACAGAGCGGATGGTGAAAGCAATGCCCTTGGAGTCGACATTGGTGGCATCCTGGTGGTCAAGCATATCGTAGGCCAACGCAACTTGCCGCTGCTTGTCGCCAATAATGGGGAACTGGAGGTTGCTGCCGCTGATCTCATCGATATCCTTGATCCATTGGCCGTGGCTATCAATGGTGTTGGCAGACAAGCCGATTAGCTTGACGCCTCTTCTAGTGAACTCGGGCTCGAGCTTCGCGAAGGCACCCAGCTCGGTGGTGCAGACGGGGGTGAAATCTTCGGGGTGGGAGAAAAGGACGACCCAGTTGTTCCCGATGAAATCGTGGAAATTAATTGGGCCCTTCGTAGTCTCAGCATCGAAGTTGGGAGCGATGCTGCCCAGGCGGAGACTGCAAAGCGTCAGTGCAGCTCACTTGATGATCAAGGCAAGCCATCGGTGGCGACGGTGGGGTTGGCTTACGGCTCAGGACGTTTGTCAACCATTGTGTCTAGCGGTAGGGTGTAAAGACTCGAGCTTGTCAGAGAAATCGTAGAAGGCAGTGGTGTGATGAAGCGAGGTTCAGATGGGTGTAACTGTTGCGGTGGGGGGGATGATATTTGTATGTCCGCAACGCGGAGCACTTAACCTGGACCCCTCCATCTTTGCCCGCAGAAAAGTCTGGATCAACAACAATTTTGTCATCCACCGGTGCAAGCAACGAGCGTGAATGGCCGTCGTCATCCTCCCACGCTTCTGATTTCTGGGCCTTCGATGATGCCATTTTAGCGCACGGGTCGGAGTTACTTTGTTCCGGGCCAAGAATTGCCATGTCTCGGGTTCAGTTGCTCGCGGCAAGACTCAAGATTGTAGTCAGAGGCCATCTCTGACAAAGTCGTACCACGATCTCCAGATGCCTTATGGAAGCTAGCCGCAATATACAGCTTGTGAAAGCGAGTGGCACCCATCTCGTCTGCCCCCGGGACCACCCTCTTACATGTCAAAACCACCTGAGGTACACCTCATGGCCTGCGAGGTGCGGTAGAGGGACACTCCGTCGAACGACAGCCGCTCGCCTTCACCGATGAGAAGGGCTGCCAATGCGAATGTCTTTGCGAATCTAGCTGTCCATGCTGCTGCTGAGGATGTTGACGGAGACGCATTGTGCCTCACTAACAGATACGATCAGGCTCATAACTTCCGGTTGGTCATTATATGGGTTTGTTTCTGCGACAGCATCGGACAGTGGGCTATAGTCCTACGAAATCCGGCTGCAACCTAGCTATATCGACACGTGAGTAGCTGATGATGCAGCGGCATTACAGGCAATGCATGCCACGAGCATCCACGTTCTGTTGCGTATATTCCGTTGGACACGAAGGTAGGCGAGCCCAGATCGATAGTATTCCTCGGTGGGAGGTTATCTCACTTGCCCAGTCTGTTGGTCCTTGCAGACAGAGACCACAGCCAGACGAGACCATCAAACTCCCCTATCGCACGAGATCAAACATGCATCCATCATCATTTGAATGCACAGAGAGAGAGAGAGAGAGGAACTTGACCTCAACGCCCGACACTTGTGCTCTGTTCCACGAAGGTGGCTCCGGCGACGGCGGGTGATGCGTGTCCTTGTAGTGTGGGCAATTGTATCAACAGCTTTGTGTTCCTGTTCACCTTGGTTGAGGTCAAGAAAAGCGGTTCTTGCAGAACTCGCGTCTCTATCGACGTGCCCCTCCCCGGTGACATGACGGCCCATTCAGATATTCAGAAGTAGCGAAGCACTGTTCGCTAACAACGACATTGGACTCGAGTTTGGCGCCTTTCAACCCCGAAAAAAAGGTCCGCAACCCAGCCGGCAAGGTTCGATAAACGCACACGCTGCCTTACCGTCGGCTCAGTAGAAACAGACCTCTACACGATAGACAGCATTAGGAACGCCGCAGACGTCACAGGTCTACCCTATTCCTGCTGGCGTACCTTCAAGCTCCTCGTCTATTAACGTTCGTCACTGCCCCGAGTCGATCTTCGGCGATCTTTTTAGGGTCTTAGCGATCTGTGCCACGCACAGCCTTGCAAACCCAACCCAGCTTCTGCCTGGTAATTGGTCGAGCGGCACATTCACCCGAAAGCAGTTAGTCTGACCGCGCCCTGACGGATGTTTTCGAGCGAATGATGAAAGCCAAGCGGATGCAAGGCTACAGTTTGCGATATCTTTATCCCAATTTAGGTACTAGGTGGTTCACCCCGAGCGTGGGCAGTATGGCTGGTCCTGCAACTATATATGTGTCCGGGTCTCCCACTTGGAAAGTCCTGTACAAGTCAAGAACCCACCACACAACACCAAACAATCATTGAACCACACACTACACAGCGAATCACTAGAACTACAACAGTCCGCAACATGGCCCAGTCAGAATCACAATATCAAGACCGCACTTTGCAGGTCAACTTTTCCTTTCGCAAGAACACCGTCGTCGTTACCGAGCCCGGCAACGATGTGCCTTTATATGTCGCAAAGATGAACCCCTGGACCATGAAGACTGTCTGGAGAACGGGACCCTCTGCCGCAAAAGCTCTCACATCTGACTCCGACTCCGACTCGAATGTTGCTGAAAGCGAGATTATTGGCGAAGGCCGCATTCACGGTTTCAAGATTGATTGCGAGACGATGGTTCGCGGGCGCCCCATCCGAGTTTCTGCCGCCAAAAAGTTATTGACTCGGTATAACTACGCATCAACGTCATATTCCTCGGACCCTGACAAACCAGAAGTCATGACTTGGAAGTCCAATTCGGCATGGAAAGTTTTTGATTTTGACCTAAGAGACGAGAGCGATCAACTTGTAGCCCGCTTCAACCCGAGATACATGGGCATGCGGAAACTCGCGACTATTGAGATGTTTGGTCCCAAGGCGTGGGACTCGGCGGCCGTTGAGGAAGTGATGATCACGGGTATCACGCTCTACATCTGCATGATCTATCGAACATCCAATTGGGTGCCTCTCGTGGGCGCATTGGTGTCTCGACCGGGAAAGGATTACAAGGTGACCGAAAAAGAAGCCAGAGAGGAGCACGAGAGAAATCTGGCTACCAGTGCAGACGATTTCCTGAATCCCGAAAATGCTAGGTTTGAGGCTCCAGAAAATGTGTGGGATAAGATCGACGAGGGCACGACGATGAAGGAGCCGGCCACCACCAAAGAGACTTCTGTGCACTGAGGCGTTCGTTGGTATGGCTAGTAAGAGATGTTTGTTTGTTTTAGCGATCGCGGGAAAGGTTTAGCAGTTCGAATACACAATTTCTTCGACTTTCAACACGTCGCATTCTCCCTGCTATTTAGTTGGGCGTTGTGGTTGTCAAATGATGTCACAACCTTTATTACAACTGCCGTACGCAAATGTACCTGCATGACTGAACGCATCCACGCCTTTATGATCTGCCCAGACAACTCGTTCAAACATTAAGAGGGCCCGCAATTCTATTGCGAGCCAGAGACAACCTTTCACACCTCGAACCGTCACGATGGACTCCGCCCCACCTCAACCAGATGCTGCTGATCCAAACACATCTAACACGCCAGAGTTGCCACCAGAGGCAATAGCGCTGGCAACACGCTTCTTCAATGCTGCTCGCAGTGGCCAGATGGACATCTTTGAACAGGCTTTGCCGCATGGCTTACCGTCTAATATGACCAACGATAAAGGGGACAGTCTCGTGAGTTGCTCTTCAGTTGTCGTCCGCTCTGGCTGAGATACGAGGCCAGCTCATGCTTGCCGCCTACCACGGCCACGCCCCTCTGGTCAAACTACTCCTGCAGCATGGTGCAGATCCGAACCGGCTGAACGATCGAGGCCAAAGCCCGTTGGCAGGGGTCGTTTTCAAGAACGAGTCTGAATGCATCCAGATATTGCTCGATGGTGGTGCTGATCCAGAGATCGGGGAGCCGAGCGCCCTGGCTGCTACACAAGTAAGTCTCTGATCTTTCATCATTCTGTCTGCGCATTTCCTCTCGCGAACCATCTCTGGAGGCGTGCCGGGCCCTCAGTGGCACCCAGGGTCGGATGGTTGGGGATGTACTTCTGGTTTGGGAGACCCCCAACTCTGCGGTCTGGCCTTCGCCAAGATCGACGCATCGATTGCAACGAGAGCGCCTGTATCCTTACACAGGCATCAGCATACCATTCTCTGTCTCTTCTAGGAGGCATCAAGCGCCTCAAGCCACCAAGTCCGCCACCGGACCCTCCTCAAGCCACGCCACGGATATGCTCTCTGGCCGCCTTGCTCGTTCCCTCCTTTCTCTACACGCCTCACTCAACCAATACCTTTATCCCACGACGACTGCCAGTGTTGCCTGACTCCAGCCCCCGCTTCAACGCCAGCTCATTCGCATGGTTGCTCACCCCGTCGACCAATGGCCTCCTCAAGCTCGGACCCTTCGACCGAAAACCATTAAGGCAACCGCGCTTACCTCAGCCCCGAATGGAACAGCACATTTCCGCCAGGCCCATCTCATCGGCAAACCTATTGGCAACAACCAGAACCTCCCCGTCCCAAACTTTCAGACCCTGGAAAGTTACTACCGTGATTCGTTTGGCTGGAGTAGGCGTTGTCTTGCCCCCCCCCACCCCCCCCCCCACCATACACACCTATTGGCTGCCTCTCTTTTTTGTCTTTGCAGCTCAATACGATACACTTGGCTGACTGTATGTGCGTGTTGCGTTTTTACGTGAGCAGATTTTCAAGCAGGAAGAATACGAGGCGCTGTTCAGAGAGCAGGCTGCGAAGTTGAAGGCAAAGGGGCAAGGGGCTGTGAACGGTAGTGGTAGTGGGAATGGGAGTGGCTGATTATTACATATCGATCCGTGAATTTAAGGGACGGGCATGGAGGATACTGGCTAGCATGACTAGAGGAGAAGGAAATGGATATGGATATGCGGAAGAGATATGGACGCTAGTGGAAGGAGAAGATTGATGGGGTTGAGATTCGTTTGTTGTGCACCTCCTCGTAGAGTATGACTAGTGTAGTGGCGAACCACATCAAGAGTGGATATGGATACCATGCCAGGAAGACCATCTCCTGGACTGCTGGTGTTGCAGCGTGAGCCGCCTGGGGCATCTGAGGAAGACCACCAAATCCCCGGCAGCTTCCAAGCTGGGCTGCCTATCTGCTTTGCCTGCCCGTCTCGCTCTGCCTACCAGAGGCATGTGGCATGTGACAATGCGTGGGGTCGGTGGTGGTGGTGATGAAGACAAGAGTCTATGTCTGCGCGCTGTCCTTCGCTAGGGATCCCGTAGTCCCCCCACCCGCTGGTAATATTGATGAATAGTAATGATAGATGGGAAGTAGTGAAATAATGACATAGCCGTGATAGGCAGACCGCAAAAAAAAAAAGAGCAATCCGTTCTCCCCGAAAAACGCCTCGCTAGAAAATGAGTGGCCGTGATAACACTCCCATTCCGATTCGCATCGGTGGTGGTGGTGATAATAAGAAAAAAAAAGTCGTAAAGCAGCTCAGTTTCCCTCTTCGCCCTCCTCCTCTTCACTGGTACGCATGCGCCGCTGCCCTCTGCCGCTGCACGCGCTGCACCATCAGCAACCTGCGCGCCTCCACGGCCTGTTCCTCGGCCGCCTGCTGCAGCGCCGCCTCGCTCACGGGCTGCACGGGCCGCGGGTAGCAGGCCTGGCACCAGTCGTAGCGGCGGGACTGCATGATGTGCATCTGGTGGCACCACTCGGCCACGGGGCCCGAGGGGTCGAGGTCGAAGCTCGTGCGGCTGCTGCAGGTGCTGACGGGGTTGGAGTGCGTGCCGAGGGAGGAGGAGGTGCCGCCGGAGGAGACGGCGCTGGCGCTGGAGGAGTGGGTGCGCGGGTGGTGGGCCGAGATGCTGCCGTGGGGGCCGGTGTGGTCGTCGGCGAAGCGGACGCGGGGGGTGGACGGGTGATGGTGGTGCTGGGGGGGCCGGGCTTGTGACGAGGCCATCATGCTGCTGTCGTGGAAGGTTGGGGCGGGGTGGTTGTAGGAGTGGTAGTGTTGTGGCCGGTTGAGGGTCTCGTCGGGTTGGGTGACGATTTGGGCCTGGCCGTGGCCGGAGGCGGCGATGGCGGATTGGGAGGGCCGCCGGAAGCCGGTGAGGTGGGGGATTGGGAGGAAGCGGTGGTGAGAGCGTTTGTTGCTGGAGCTAAAGGTTGGCATCGTGAGAGATGACTGTCGTCGATGGGTGGAGGGTGTCCTTGTAGGCGAAAGACGGTTGATGGTTTAGATGAAGATGGATATGCTTAGTGTGACGCTAGGGCGATATAGATAGGTTTTCGTGGGTGGTTGATTGCTCACGATGAGTGCAATACGTGGCGGATGGCTGATGACGTGGATTTCGAGCGTGATAAGGCTTATTCAGTTGCCTGGCAGTCCGGGGATTCGGAGGTAGGTGTAAGAGGGTAATTTTGTGCGTGGATTTGTGAGAGTCTTTTGGGGCACCGGCAGCTCCGGGATGTAGTCAGCGGGACGAACAGGCGCCCGAAAAGCGAATGACGGGGCAATCAGTGCACAGAGGATGGGACCAGGTGATCTGCTTCGAGAACGAATGACTTCCAACAAGTAAAATCAACGATGCCTGTGGAGAGAGCGAAAGAGCGTGGGGTGGTATAGAGGGGGATAGTGGTATGAGAAGGGCAAGAGATCAGCAGATTCTTATGTTTTGTAGAGGCACTCAAGCTTCAACAGGTATGTGGATCACTGGATATCAACATCGTCTCGATCAATCGAGAAGCACGAGCTTTGCGTAGGCACATGCTTAGCTGGTAGGCGGTGTTACACCTAAGTCGCACGGAGAGGCTCCAGTGGATGAGGAGCCAGCACTGAAGCCAGCCAAGCAGAGCCGCAAGTCTTGAAACAGGGGTCTGCTACGCGTATCCAACGGTCCAACGGTGGGACAAGCGTTTGACCACCTGGCACTTTAGTCTTCGGCAGCAATAAGAATGGCATACCCAATGCTACGGTAATGTGGTGGCGTGCAAAAACTTCTCAGATAGGAGGGTGTAGTCGAAGGGAGGCGGAGGCTGAGCAAGCTGATTTTTGAGACTGAGAAAAACGCCGCAGCCGTTCGAGTTCGAGTTTATCGCCGAGTTTCAAGTGGTCCAAAAAGTCCAAAAAGTCCAAAAATACCAAGAGGCGCCAAGCCCGCAGGCTCCGTGGCATTGCCGGTCTCAAACTTTGCCTCTACCCACCTTCAACTTGTACATCTGCACAATCTGCGGCATCGAGACCGTACCTATCTGATAACGGTCGGTGAAAATTGCTACAAGTGCCACACCCATCACTTGTGGTCGGCCCATTTGCCGTCGTGCTGAATATGCCACATACTCCGGAACCCATCCGGTGTTGATCACACAGTAGGTCCGTTGGCGCCGGTGAAATTATCCGCCCAACACCGCTCAAGAACCGCCAACAGCTGCCTTTGTCGACCAGAAAGCAAACACCCGGTGGTGACTGGATGTCGGAAATGTTTGCCAACCTAGTGATTGCCTAGACTCGCCAGAGGAAATTCTCGAAGAATCTGATCGCTGAAAATCTACTGCAATGTACATGATCGCTCCTTAGAAGAGATCTCACAGTGAGTTCCCCCCACAGAAACGCTCAGACGTTCAAGGCAACTGGAGCCTGCAGGCCGTTGACATCGGCATTGTGGGTCATTCTGTTTTCGGACTATAGGGCATGTTACCCTCCTCGTGCACTGCCATGTTTCTCCTGGCTTTTTTCGCACGTGTTTCATACTTGGAGATGCAGCTGTCGACGCGTGCTGGACAGGAGAGCCTACCTGGTCCTGGAGTGGTTCCATTCATTTACTCTGACAGGATTTGGCTAGGCACTCCTTGATGTCCATCTTGAAGGCCGGCAGCGGTAGAGCAAGAGTCAATGGACCTTGACACACTCGCTGCTAATGTTCCATTGACGTACTAAAAGTGGTCTAGTTAAGCACCGACGACCTCACCCTACTCAGTTCCATCTTATCCTAAACTTCTCTCATCGCATGTATCGGCATCGAACCATAACGAAGCTCGAGGAGGCAGGCATTGATCAACGGGTCAATCTGCAGCTCTGAGAAAAGGTGAACATGACGGCATCGCGCAAAGTATGGTTGTCGGCAAACGGGCTCTGTTATAGAGATATTCCCGCGCATGCTGTGCTGACGCCAGCCGCGAATGTCGCTCGCTGATGTGATATCGAGGCACATATGAATGGACAAGCTACCAAATCCTGACTGTGCCAAAGACACATTGTTGGAAGCAGAAGACTCGGGACGACTGGGACGACTGAAGATCCCAGCCCCAGCAGCGAGGTGTAGCTGGTCGCTATGTCTGGAACGCAGCTGTCGACTGGCATTCAGCATGACATACAAGTACTGTCCCTGGACACGAGTGCTTCTTTGCCAAGGCGCAGTCAGATGCCCGAGCCGGAGGTTCAACCGCCTCCTCCTGAACCCTGGTAGTCGAGTGCCGTACCAAATAGACGACACTACCTAGTCCGAGTCGAACTATGGCCAACTGAGCCGCACAATGTAAACCCTGACTTGTTGCAGCATGTGAAGATCAGGCACTGCCTCGGTATCTGACCGCAAAGAGCCTAGCGTCGTCTGCGTCGAAGTCACGGCGAGGCCAGCGTCGTCCGCGTGACGCGCTTGTTCGACCATTTACACCAATAAAACAGCTTTCAATCAGCAGAGACGAAAGCGCCGCATGCTTGACTTCCGATTTCAATGACTTTGTGGGGATTGAGGTCCGGAGAGACCGTGCCTGGCAGTCTGCCCCGGAGTGCGGCCTGGTAGCTCGGGGAACGCATGCTGACCTGAGAGCACAAGAAAGCGTCATTGCCGCGGAGGCTGACATGTGAACTTCAGGTTCCTCTCAGCCCTCCTTCAAGTCACCTGCCTCCCCTTGTTCATGCTGCTCTCACCTCTCTAGACTCTCTCATAGACATTCTCCTTCTTCAAGTGTATCCATAGTCGTTGTTATTCGCTTTTCTTCATCCCTTCTCACAAAGATGTCGAAGACCTTCACCACTGCCGATGTGGCAACCCATAACAAAACCGACAACCTATACATTGTGGTTGACGAGGACGTGTATGATCTGACCAAATTCCAAGATGAGCATCCAGGTATGTCTGTACATAGAGCAGCATGAACACTACTGACGTCTGCGCACAGGCGGGAAAAAGAGTACGTACTACAATAGCCCCCATCGCGTCGTTAGCCTAACTGAACAAACAGTCCTCCAACGAGTCGCCGGCAAAGACGCTTCCAAACAGTTCTGGAAATACCACAATGAAAGCATTCTGAAGAAGTACAAGCCGCAGTTGCAGGTTGGCTCGCTCGACACCAAGAAAAAGGCAGAAGCTCCTGCGCCAGCACCCGCGCCCTCGAAGCCAAAGGCTGTACCAGTTCCCGAGGCTGGAACAGTCTCTGTGTCTCCGTCTGGCCCCAACCTGCTTGCTTTAGCTGAAAATGCTGAGCCAGCCGACCCCTTTGGCAGCCTGATCCCCTATAGCGACCCGAACTGGTACCAATCCTACCACTCGCCGTACATCAACAAGACGCATGAGGCCCTCCGAGCTGAGGTACGCGAATGGGTTGAGAACGAGCTCGAGCCCTATGTTACAGAATGGGACGAGAGCAAGAATGTACCAGAGAAGATCTACAAGCAGATGGGCGAGCGAGGCTATCTTGCCGGCTTACTCGGCGTGCACTATCCGACCCATGTTACCGACAAAAGAGTCAAGAGCGTGCCGCCGGAGCAGTGGGATCTGTTTCACGAGATGCTGCTGACCGATGAGATCTCCCGAACCGGCTCAGGTGGCCTTGTCTGGAATCTCATCGGTGGATTCGGTATTGGATGCCCACCCCTCATCAAATACGGCAAGAAGTCCCTTCAAGAACGCATCCTTCCAGGCATCCTTTCCGGCGATAAGCGGATATGTCTGGCTATCACTGAGCCCGATGCTGGTTCCGACGTCGCCAATCTCACCTGCGAGGCCAAGCTTACGGAAGATGGCAAGCATTTCATCGTCAACGGCGAGAAGAAGTGGATCACAAACGGTATCTGGTGCGACTACTTCACCACCGCCGTGCGCACCGGCGGGCCCGGCATGGGCGGCATCAGCTTGCTCCTCATTGAGCGCGGTGAGGGAGTCAGCACCCGCAGGATGGACTGCCAGGGCGTGTGGTCCAGCGGCACGACATATATCACTTTTGAGGATGTCAAGGTCCCAGTTGAGAATCTGCTGGGCAAGCAGAACCGTGGGTTCCAAGTGATCATGGTGAGTGCTTCCTACCTGCGAAGACCGGGATCTTCTTTCACGTAACCCCATATCTTTGAAATAGTAACTAACCCGGACTTTCCAATGTTCACAGACCAATTTCAATCACGAACGTATTGGCATCATCATCCAATGTATCCGCTTCTCGCGCGTCTGCTTCGAGGAGTCTGTCAAGTACGCTTCCAAGCGCAAGACCTTTGGTCAAAAGCTCATCAACCACCCTGTTATCCGCTTGAAGCTTGCGCACATGGCTCGTCAGATCGAGTCTTCTTACGCATGGCTTGAGAACCTGGTATTCCAGTGCCAGATGATGGGAGAGACGGAAGCTATGCTCAAACTTGGTGGCGCTATTGCTGGTTTGAAGGCACAAGCCACCACAACGTTCGAGTTCTGCACCAAGGAAGCGGCGCAGATCTTTGGTGGTCTCAGCTACTCGAGAGGCGGTCAGGGCGGCAAGATCGAGCGGCTATATCGCGATACTCTGGCATACAAGATTCCTGGCGGTAGTGAGGAGATCATGCTTGACTTGAGCATACGGCAGAGTATGAAGGTGCACCAAGCGTTGGGTATGAAGTTATAGTTTGCCAGAGAAATTGGGGGCGCACCAGCCCCGAAATCAATCATGCAAAGGACCTCGCCATCCTGGCTGGGTTTTTACACAATATCCGTGCCTCACAAGTCCCATTAACCGCCTCTGATATGCAAGACTCTCAACCTATAATTATCACCAACCGTGGGTAGTCATTATGGACAATCTCTGGCCTTGGCAGTTGCGAAGCGGAGGCAAAGTCTTGTTGGCCTGTCCTCTCTTACGGAGAACTTTGCCGCCGACGTCGACCAACGCCATTCTGGTTTTTACTAATCCTCAAGCACGAGATTAGCGCGCGCGAACCAAGCCATCTGGCAACAGACGGTAGCTAATTGGTCTTATCCAGATCAGCCTTTGCCCCAGGACCTTTGACAACAGATTTACCAGGGGTAGCACTTGCGGGCCGTCGCCAGGCTAGCCTGCCGTGCAGCATCTTTGCCTCGACTACTCCGTACACGATGCTGTCCAGTCATTGCCACAAAGCCACTATGCTGGCCTTTGATCGAGCCACAGTCCTGCAGGACGGAGTGTGTCGAAGCAAACCTCTGACTCCTCCTGGATGCTAGCGTTAACGCCAGCGGGCCTGACGCTAACCTACGGTAGGCAATATACTCGAGAGAATGGCCCCAACGCGCTCGCTGCCATCAAGGCTCGATCTCGGAGCATAGACAGGGGATCATGATCGAACGATGGTGAGCCGCTTTTTGGCTCCATTGTCGAGCTGCCTGGCTCCCGACGCCCTCGTGCTGTTCCTCTCCATGGGAAGCGGGCGCCACCCGGAATCTATTTTTGATCTGACAGAGAGTAGTAGGTTGACGCTCCTACGCATTTCTTTCTTCTCTGGGTCCTCTTCTGGTCCTGTCTTTCATCACCTGTCTGACGAACATCGTTCGTCATGTCTAATTCGACAAGACAACAATGCTATTCGATAAACGGCGAAGTGGACGAGTTGTCCTATCCGTGCAACTTCGACGGCGCGGACGCAGCCCAATGCTGCCATGCAAACAATGTTTGCATGAGCAACGGGCTCTGCTATCCTAACCCGGAAATTGATACGAATTTGCTTACGCCTTACTTTACATTTGGATGTACTGATCCTGACTGGACAGAGGATCAGTGTCTTGACACTTGTTTGAGGAGTCTGTTCATCTCTATCTGTTCAACGAGGGTGTCTACTAAGTCTTGCAGTTCCTGATGGTGGTGATGGCATCGCAGACTGTACCGCGGGCTACTACTGCTGCTACGGCCTGGGAGGCTGTACTTGTGACAACAAAGACAGCCTATCCGTCTTCAGTCTGGCTATTACACGTGCTGTCGCCACCATCCCTTTATCGTCAGACTGGCTTCCAGTGGCCACTAGCACTTCGGTCGCAATCACTAGTGGTGGTCCTTCTACTACTGGCACTACGCTCGAACCCACCCTCCCCGTCAGTAGCGATGCAAGCCAACCTTCGGCCACGGCTTCATCATCGAGCTCTGCAGCGTCGGGCGGCTCCAATACTGTTGCCCTGGGAGCTGGCTTAGGAGTTGGCTTGGGTGTTGCCCTTATCGCTCTCGTAGGAGCAGGTGTCTGGTTCTTTGCTCGAAGAAAGCGCAGAAGGGGGTCCCCAGAAACCGACAAACTCTCTGCTTCACATCCAGGAACGCTGGACCCACATTCTGCCTACTCCGAGATGGCGACGCCGCAAGAGAAGGGAGCTTTCCAGCCACGGCAGGAGCTCGGTGGACGAAGCGTCCTGGACAGGACAGGGACATCGCCTGCTGAGCTGCCGATCGACCCCTGGACTCGATAACGTATGATGAAGCCTTACTCATCATGAATGCAAACCGGCGACAGATCTCAGATTCTGCGGTGGGTCAAGCCATTGCCTCGAGTTTCGCTGTCACAAATACGTATCATTGCGAATGCAAACAGCCAATATCCCCACCTCGCATCACCCACGCCATCTTTACTCTTATATAGATACCAGCTGTGTTCCTCTTGCCGACCCTATTTCGAAACAAAGCTCACCCAAGTCGCCTGCACCCAACTTCTAGAACTTCAAAGTCCAAACACAAACCTCAAGCTACAAAATGGGCAGAGATGCTCGCTTAGGAGGCGGCGGCTCTTCCAGGCATCACACGTCTTCCAGGAAGAGGCACGAGCGCTCCGGTGGACCTCTCGGCGGCCTCATGTCGCCTGCTCCTACTTACGCAAGCCACGCGTCCGGCGACCACCACAGCGCTGGCTATGGCATGAGCAGTGGCAGCAGGTCCCACCGCAGGCACGGCGTCTCCAGCCAACCAGAAAGTCCCTTCCCCGACGATACTGCTGAGCGCCAGGCTTCCCGCATTGTTCAGCTCCGGAAGAGCGCCGAGCAGCTGTTCAAGACCACACCCTGCACGGGGGCCACGTACATCATCATGACACTTATCACCTTCTGGTTCATTGGCGTTATCTACGGTGCGGCCAAGTTCTCGGCCGCAAGCAGCAACATCCCAAGCGTGAAAGACCTGGACGATCTAGGCGATGCCATGGTACTGATCAGCCATGACAAGACCGCTCAGGGGTATCTGGTTGTGCTCGTTCTGTTCGTGTTCAGCCTGGCATTCATGTGGATGTACCTTGGGGTTGTGGTGCTGTACAACACGGTAATCAATGAGAAGGGTCTGTGGACTTGGATGAAGGAAGCGGAGGCTAAGAACGAGGGAGAACGGCAACTGTATAAGGATAAGATGCAGCTCAAAGCCAATAAGATGGAGGCTGCGCATGCACGGGGTACGCGATGAATAGTGCAGACTTCTCTACTCGAGTTGATGGGCTGCTGCGACTCGGAGCAGAGGATGGCTGACTGCTACCGAAACCTTGATAGCTATGGTGCACATGGAGACTCTGTGTATGTGCCTCAATGGTATCGCTAGCAACTAGCATTGCAAAGCATATTAATGTCTGTGCAAACAACTGGATGACTCACTAGCACCCCCGCCGTGGCTCGACTACACTTTGTACGGCGCGTGGAAGTAGCACATAAGGCACTGCGTTCCCGACAACCGCCCTCTGCCGGCTGCAATGAGTATGGCATGACTGTAGACTCTTGAAAGCGGTTCAAGTTGCAAGGGGACATGGATGGATGGGACGGAGAAATCTACCGCCGGAGCCGCCGGTCTACGTCAGAATTACCCTTTCAGGTTAGATCCAAACAAAGCAGCCAGATCAAAACACTCGGCGTCCAACCGCCTTCAAAGCCGGTGCTTCGAACCCCAGACTACTTCAATGTTTTGATCCACGCGACATTATTCTAACTACACAGCATATCGACAATGGCTCCCACCAGCCCCCTAAAGCGAGTCACTCGAGCCCGTGCTGCCGCGAAGAGCAGCACTGACGACGCCGCGCCCAAGAAACTCGGCACCGCCAAAGTCACCAAACCTGCAACATCCAAGACAACCGCTACGAAAGCCACGACACGAAAGACACGAACAGTCAAAGATGAGGCTGAGGAAGAGATCATCGAGCCCGAGCCCGCGAAGAAGACTACCAGAACTACAAAGACTGCGGCGCCGCTGGCTGCTGCACCTAGACGACGAATCAAGGTTACTCCGCTCGACCCGCCCATCGCCGAGGAACCTGTCCCAGAACCTGAACCAGAGAAGCCGAAGCGCAAAGCCTCAACACGACCCAAGAAGGCAGTCGAGCCTGAAGCTGCTGTTGAAGAAGAGCCCGAGCCCGCTCCGACGCGCTCCCGAACCACAAAAACTACTACGACGAAGTCCACAGCCACCAAAAAGCCCGCTTCGAAAGCGGTTGAACCAGCAGCTACTGTACCCAAGACGCGTGGCCGCCCTAAGAAGGCGGCTGAGCCAGAAGACACTTCAGCTCCCGAACCTGAGCCGGTCAAGACCACTCGTCAAACTCGTGCTCGCTCAGCGTCAAACGCATCGCAACAACCTGCTGAGATCATCCAAGTCGCACCGAAACCAAAGACTACTACTCGCAAGAAGGTGACTTTTCAGGACGTCATCGAAGATGAGAAAGAGAACGAGCCCGTTGCTCCTCGGCGAGCTGGTACCAAGAAGGAATCGACTGGTCCTGCTACCGGCATTCGCGCCAAACCAGTCCGCAAACCCGCGGCTAGCACAACCAAGAAGGCGCCAGCGACTAGAACTAGGGCCGCGAAAGCAGTAGAGTCGCGTGCGCTCACGCCTAGGAAGGTTACTCAAGTTCAGCGTGTTGCTACCCCAGATGGCTCAGAAGATGAGCTCACTGGGGCTAAGACACCTGTTCGAGACCTCAGCCTCTCACCCAAGCGGAATCCTAACCTGGCCGCACAGCTGTCTCCTGCGAAGAAGCTCAACTTCACTCAGACACTGAATGCAACTTCGCTAGATAAGCCAAGCGAGAGTGCTGGCTTGATGAGCCCTGCACGTCGACCTACGTCCCCCGCCAAGAATACTGTGAGCCACATCAGTCCGGTCAGCCGGTCACCTATGAAGGACTCTCCTCGACGCGCCGACATCTTCAATAGTGCCGCTGAAGAGACGGCTGCTCCTGCTTTGGTCCCGAATACCAACCAAGGCCTGCTGCAGTCGCCCAAACGTGGTGTTCTAGATGCTTCAATCTTCTCACACTCTGCCATGAAGCCGAAGCGATCGCCTTTGAAGGAGTCTTTGCTGCAGTCTCCAGCAAGACGTCTCTTTTCTCCTGCGAAGCAGAAGACGCCTCTCGGTGTTCATCGCGACGACGAAAATGATACCTCGATGCACGATACCGTTACAGTCGAAGAGGTCGCCGTGTCATCACATTTTCGACCCTCCATGTCACCACAGCGCGCCGGTCGCGTTCATAGAATGAGCGACGAAGAGCTCGCCGATGAGCTTGCAATGGATATGGATTTTGACCAATCCGTCCTCAAGTTGACGAGTCCTCGGAAGAGCCCAGCCAAGGCGTTCAAGCCTGTTGCTGACGTGCTAGACAAGGAGCTGATAATGCCAACCTTCCAGAATGATGTCGAAGAGACTGCTAAAGCAGTTGAAGAGCTCCAGGCGTCTGACGATGCTACTGAAGTCGAGACTGACGACGAGGAACCTGAGCAGGAGGAGACCGTCGAGCCTGCGCAGATGAGTATCAGCGCGACGGATGACCCTGCGGAGGAGAAGGATGCGGAGGACACTGTGGTCCAGGCGCCACCTAAGGGTCGTGGAAAGGCTACTAGACTCTCTCAGGTTCTCTTCAGGTCCAACCGATCTCAAGACGAGGAAGAGGAGTCTGAAGATGGGCTTGCTGCTGACCAGACGCCGGTTCAGGCTCCCCGACATTTCCGCTCTAGCTTGACTGGCAACAACGCTCGATCTCGGCTATCCATGGGTGTCCCTCTTAGTGCAAACCGCAACGTTGGCTTCACACCTTTGGCCGCTCAAATGAGTGGATGGCTTGCAAACAGTCCGGAGCGGAGCCCCAATAAGGTGACCAAGAGAACGCCGTCCAGGGGTTTGTTCTCTCCGGTGGCAGCCCAGCACATCGCGGGTGAGATTCAGATCAGTCGCCAATCAACCCCCCAGCAACAGAAGTCATCTCCTGGCTTCAGACAATCGGTCACTTCTCGACCTTCCCTGACTCCTTCCGCACTGGGTAGTCCAGAGAAGTCGAGCTTCTTTGCGGAGCAGATGTCTAGCATGGAAGAAGCTGCGTCTGCGGATGTGACAGCTGTCGACGACATGGAAGGCATTGACATGGCTGCCGACGACTTGACCACCAACAACGTCATTGCTGCCGAGAACGCCGCTCTTCTTGCTGAGCTGGAGCATGTTGAAGAGCCGTCTGTCGCTGAAGCTGATGAGACGGAGGAGGACACCGTCATCGTCAACAAGACTCCCGATGAACTCACCACCGATCTCGTCAATGAAGTTCATGCTTCTGATACGGCCATGGTTGAGTTCCAGCAGCTCGCCTCAGAGGCTGAGATCATGGCCGAGGTGGAGGCTGACGATGACGCATCTTCTTCGGAGTACGGAGATGAGAATGCTGCGCCCGAGCAGACGCTCAATCTGAGTGTCATGGAGCGCGATGCCACCCCTGAGGAACAGACCCTCGACCTGCATGTTATGGAGCAGCGTGCCACACCTCATGAAGATCCTACCCTCAATCTACACGTCCTTGAGCAGAATGCTGTTGATGAGGAAGATGATATGAGCACACCAACTGCGCCCTCTGTGATGGCTGCCGACGATCGTACCCTGAATCTTCACGTTCTCGAGGAAGCGGGTTCGACCGAGTCGCTTTCGGCTACTCCGGTCGCCAGATGTTATGTTGCGGCTGATGAGCCTACGCTCAACCTTCACGTTTTGGAGGAGAGTGCTGCCAGTCGGTCGGCCTCAGCGACTCCCTCTGCCAAGTTGACCGGTGCTGTTGACGAGCCTACCCTCAATCTACACGTCCTGGAGCAGAATGTTGCAGCTACTCCTGCTGTGCAGCCGCGTGTCGACATGGATGAGGCTACGCTCAATCTACATGTTCTTGAACAGAATATGCCGGAAGCTCCCGGTGCTGTTCGTGGCCACGGCTCTTCATTCTCGCCCGACGGGTCTCCAGCACCTACAGTGTCACCAACAAGGGCCGTGCCGGTTCCAGAAAGCGATGAAATCGAGACTCCTGTTGGACGAAGCTTTGCCGGAGTACAACGCTTCGCTAATACCGTCGTCTCCAAGGTTCCGCTGAAGCCTGAGTGCAACATTTCACCGATCAAGATGCCCAAGAAGCGAAGCCGGTCTATGTCCATGTCTGGGCAGCAGTCTCCTCCAAAGAGACCACAGATGACTCCGCTGGGCAAGGTTGCTGCTAGAAGCACGTCTTACCCTGTTGGGTCGCCGAGTCGAAGTATTCGCAGTGCTGTACCCTCTCCTGCCCACACCACTCCTGGCCAGATGAGCTTTGCTCTGAGCGACTTCGGCGACAGTACGTTGGACGGCATCGAGCTTCCTGACGACGAGATGGATTTCGACATCGGTCGTCCGGCTGAGACACCTGTCACTGTGAAGTCAACTAGGACAGCCAAGTCTGTTGCTGCTACACCTGCGCGCACTCCGCTCAAGGCAGTGGGTGATGGCGTATTGCACGGGGCTGTCATCTACGTGGAGGTGCACACCAGCGAGGGTGCCGATGCCAGTGAGGTCTATATCGACTTGCTCAGCCAGATGGGTGCCAAGTGCGTTCGGGACTGGCGATGGAATCCTCGTGCTAGCGTACACGGTGGTGACGACCTAGCTGCCGCTTCCAAGATCGGCGTCACACACGTCGTGTACAAGGACGGCGGCAAGCGGACGCTCGAGAAGGTCCGTGACGCCAAAGGCGAGGTCTGGTGTGTCGGTGTTCGCTGGGTCCTTGAGTAAGTCCAGCCTTCCCTTCTCCTTATGTCCGCAACACTAACGAACCTCTGCAGCTGCGAGCGTGAAAACAAATGGCTCGACGAGACGCCCTACCTCGTCGACCACGGCATCTTGCCCCGCGGCGGCTCCCGGCGCAGGAAATCCATGGAGCCCAAGGCCCTCATGAACGCCAACGGCAGCATCCGCGCCGGCCGCCGCTCCACGTCTGCAGAATTCATGACCTCCCAGATGCGCGAGGAGCTCGTCAACACGCCCGTGCGCACTTACCAACCGCCCGCTGTGGTTTCCGCCGCCACAGCCCCTCGCGAAGGCATCGTTGGCGTGGAAGACTCCCTCGTGGCCGACAGCGACATCAGCTCCACGTACAACTCGCCCACGACGACGATGAATATTCGCCATGTGGACACGCCGACTGCGCTCGTGGGCTGGGATCCCGCTACGAGTAAGACGCCTGCGAAAGCCAACGGTGCCGGTGCGGGTGGCAGCATGATGACCATGATGGACACGCCGTATCTCATGAAGCAGGGCGGTATGGTGTTGGAGCATGCCAGGGAAGGGGGCGCCATGAGTGCGCCGCCCAAGCAGATTAATAGAGGGTTGTTTGATGGTGAGGCTGAGTTTGAGGGTGAGAATGGGAATCGGAATGGGGAGGGGGAAGAGGGAAAGGGGAGCAAGAAGGGGGAGAAGATGAAGTTGAAGTTGATAGAGGCGAGGAGGAGGACGATGGGGTGGAAGCCCGTTGTGGGGAGTCCGTTGGGGAAGTTTTAATGTGAGATGTGACGACGGCGAAGGTGGATGGATGAACGGATGTGTGTCTGTGTGTGTGTGTGTGGATGTGGATGGTGTGGTGGATGTATGACTTGACATGACATGACATGAGACCTTGGAGTTTGGGGTGAGATTATGTGTGGCTTTCGGCGTTTTGTAAAGGGGGGTTTTTTTTTCTTTTTGCAAATGGGGAACTTTCGGATGGAATATTCGAGATTGGGTTGGGGTTTGGGATTCTCCTAGGAGTTCATCGATGCCTGCTGCCGGGCCAAGTTGCCGCCACCATCTGCAGATACAGATACAGTAGTGAGTGGTTGGGACTTGGGACTTGAAGAATACATACTGCGATGAGAAACACACGAGTCGAGAATGGAAAGTCTTTTCTTCACATCAAAACACTGGCGGTCGGTACACGAGGCAATGATTACTCTGCCTTCTAGGCGATATCCTGCTGCTGCCGTCCAAGTCCAAGCGGTCCCCAGCCTCGTTGGACGCAGTCCCTGATGCTCTGGTCCGGCAGCTCCTCCAGCCACTCGACTTCCCCGTCGTTGGCCCAGGCCAGCCATTCTCGCGCCATCGACCCGCTTGCCGCGCGCAGGATGCCGACGCTGATGCGGATTTGTTCGTTGTTGTACTCTGCTGCAGCAACCCCTGCCTTGTGGCCGGATATGGAGATGGTGGCGCCGCAGTGGCCGCAGAAGCTTAGGTAGGTGTCGTTGCTGATTTGAAAGCGCCGAATGTTCGATTGGGTGTCGGTTTGATCAGGGTCTGGAGCGTCAGCAGAGAGCGTCAGCGCCAGGGGAGCGCCGGTAGCGGCGCTTTCAATCGTGTTGCGGGAAACGTGCGTCCAGCCTTGGAGCAACATGCCCGTGGCGAGACGACAGGTTCTGCAGGCACAGAATGAGGCACTGTGCTTGCTCGGATTCGAGGTCGTCGGGCATGGCTGTTCTCCAGTTGAGGTATTGGTGTTGTTAGCGCGGGAAATGAGGAGTACCACGCCGCCGCAGTGGCAGCTGGCCGGCAATTGATGACCCAGGGCGGGGAGAGGATGTGTGAGAGACGCTTTGGTGAGATGAAGTACGTCTTCCGGAGATATACCGTTGTTGCTGTGGCCGACGCTGATCAGGGGCAGGGGCACGTGTTTCGGGGCCATGAGAAGGGGCACCAGACCGCCGTCAATGGTGTCTGAGATATAGCCGTGGGATGAGATGGCGACTACATCGGTGACTCCTACGGGAGGTTCGATGATGCCGGCAGTGCAGGCCCACTTGCCAACCTTGGGCAGCTCGACTAGACACACGCATCCGCAGGTCGAGCAGAAGTATCGCGTGCAGCGATCGGTGAAGTGATAGGCGGTGGTGCTGGCAATGACAGCAGAGGGAGGTACGGCATTGAGCCACGCAAAGATGGGCAGAAGCCCACCCGTGACTTGTCGGCAGGGGTTGCAGTGGCAAGTGATAGTAGATACAGGAAATGTTGAAGATAGTAGGTACGTGCCTGGGAGTGTGATGGCTCCACACAGGCAGTTGAGTCGTGCCTCCGATGTGAGAAGAGGAGAGGCCATCTCACTGCGGGCAAGTTAGCAGTCTCGATGACGGTATGGCATGTATACTCGGACTCGTCCGTTCGTCGTGCCTACCGACATGAGGGACGTAGCATCGTTGATATGCCCCTAGGAAGCATTTCCTGCTCGTCTTCTCACCTTAGCTACTGGGGAGCTGAACCAGATGTCGCCGAATGAGATCTCATCGTTGGCTGACAGGATCAATCTAGCCAGTGGTTTCGGCTGCAGGACTTCAAGCTGTCGAGTCTGGCCAGCACAAGAGCTCGTTCAATACGAACTTCTTGCTTGGCGGATTTCTCTCAACATTCAGCTCATGCTGGAGATGTCTGTGGTCTTGAGATCCTTGAGACACCTTTAGCTGACTTTTCATAGCGTCTTTGAGATGGAGAGACCATGAAGGGGAGGCAGCGAGATGTCCCAGTGATGCTAGCTGCTAGAAACGAAGAGAGGTCGTTGGGAACACTCGTAGTGGCCAGGAGCATCCCAGACGCTTGGCAAGGTGGGCGGTTTCTGACTCTCAAAACGCTCAGGCTTGTATCACCGTTGGCACATCATCAAACACGAGCTGAGGTTGGTCCTGCACATAGTCCCGTTATACAACGCCTACAATAATGCTGCGGCACCGCGTCGACAGTGCGAACGCCTGGGACAGGCCTGGGACAGGCCTGGCCCCCACGCACCTCGTATAACAAGGGTCTCGAGTCCGAAAATAACAGATGAAAATAGACACAAATCTGCCAGCCTCATCATGACTTGCCTCACAAAAGACACAGACCGCGGATCGCGGCCGTGTTATGGCTTCGAGGCGAGCATCAATCGCGACGGCGCGGTCCGTTCGAGACCGTAGACCTTCTGCCAACAATGACCATTATCAGCGACAAGCCTCGTTGTCTATGAAACTAGAAGAGGGTCGAGCTGTCCGCCCGCCGCTCATCCACGAGGAAGAAGTCTCCCAATCGTTTCTCAACAATTACTTCATCGGCCAGAACAACAACCTCCCGCAAACCTTGACGCGAGCAGACACTGGTCTTTCACCCTTGGAACAGTATGCGGATCGTAGGGAATTCCCTAGTCTCCATCCTGGTGAGAAATGGGGAGAGCGACGCCCCACCGAGACCCTGGACACTATTATGGTCCCGGGCGGCTTCCAGAAGCCCTTCGACGAGCCCGACAACGATCAACAAGCTGAGCTCGAGAAGCAATGGCCTGAACCCAACGCCTCGACGGCCGATGGATTGAGCGACGGTCAGGCGCAAACGCGCCTACAGCGACTACCACAGGATGTACGCAAAGAACGAAGTGCAATGTCTCGATGGTACCACATGGCCCTCAGACGTTCTGCTGTCAAGCCTGGTCCATATAGTGGTCTCGACTTTGCAGCTTCGTTGCCAACAGAGCATGCGAGCTCCATCCTCTCCCGAGCCGGCAGCTCTCTAGACTCAACGCGCCTCATTTATGTTGTCGAGTACAGGCACGAAGCCGACATTCTGTCCGGATCCTCACCCCGTCCCTTCAAAACCATGGCCAGTCTAAGACAATACCTCAAGGCTGCCGACACGGACGCCATTCTCAGGCTCATCTACACATGCAATGACGAACAGGCGGTTGACTGCTTGAGCAGCGACTTTGGCATCAGCAGCTCCAGTGTACAATACGGCGAGCGAAACTTCCGAGACTGGATGCAAGAGGATCGCTCCTCGAGACGTGCTGCCGGCAAGGCTGTCAGATGGCGCCCTGCTCTCGACACGGCTAGAAACCTCATTTGCAGTGCATTTGCCGTGGACTTTGGGCGGCCCCTCGTATCCCGTGTTGCTAAGAGTGCAAAGACTTCGCGGGCACGCCTGAGTGAATCTCGACAGCGTCAGCGGGCTGCCGTCTACATGCAGCGCCCCTCAACAAGCAAGATTCCCGGCGCCCGTGTGACACGATTCAGCACTGGCGTAAGGTCTCTGCCGGAATACGCAGCTTGTCCTACCATCATCATCTCCGAGTACTCATCGAACGGAGTAGGCCGCATCATCACAGAGCGTTCCCTGCTCGGTGTCGGCGTCTCCGGTGCCGAAAAAGCACAAGCCGTAACCAAGACCATTGAGGAAATCCTGTCTCATCTCTTCGAAGGCATCTGGCAACTATGGGAGACGCAAATCATGCTCCTCCACGAACCGCACGCCGAGCTAGAAGACTTCATCTGGTCCCAACCCGCCGACTCCAGCCGGGCACGCGAAGTCTGGTCCATGTCGCAAAAGCTCCACACCATGCTGAAACACATCAACCGACACGCCAGCCTCTTCGAAGCCGTGCAGGAAGACTTCAAGATCTTCACCGAGCGCAACGAACACCAAGACTGGCTCGAGCCCCTCCTCGACGAATTCAGACAGCTCTCCGAAACCATCCACGTCGACTACGTGCAGCCGCTGGAACACATGATCGATCTAATGTACAAGTCCGTCACGATCCGTGATTCCCGCCAGTCCCTCGAATTGAACGCCAGTCTGTGGCGCCTCTCCTGGATCACCTTCATTTTCTTGCCGCTCACTTTCCTCAGCGGCTTCTTCGGCATGAACGTGAGCCTCTTCGCCCACAACCCCAGCATTCGCTGGTACTTCGTCTCGGCGGTCCCGCTCCTCGTGCTGGTCGTGGCTTTTTGGTTCGGCGTCAGGAACTTGGCGCCCGGGTCGAAGAGGATGGGTGGCGGCAATGCGGCGGCGGAGTTGGAATATCTGAGAAATGGCACCGTGCCGTCAGAGGTGGATTTTGGTGGAGATGAGGGCGACAGCAATGGGGATGCTCGGCATACGCTACGCAAGAGCCTGGCGCGTTTCTCGGGCGGGAGAGCTACGTAAAAGCGGTGGAAGGCAGGCTTGCATTCTTTCTGTGAAAGATTCGCTGAAGAATGTAGAGTTGAAGATGTGATGTGAGCAACAAGAGCCCTCGCATATACTGTCTGAGTCTGAAACAACCAAGCCTTTGATGAGAAGCCATTTTCATGTCGCCTATCGACCCGTGGTACACACCGCGCCATGTCACCGCTATACAAGAATGGCAGGTAGCACGATGCCCGGTGCGTCGTCAAGCCTAAGGAAGGCCTTTCTTTCCGTGAGATCCCCTCAAACCACGACCTTTCCACCCATGATCCTCCCTAGTTCATCACGAGCCCTGGACGTCAATCAAGATCTTGACATGCTTGTCCTTCTCGTGAATAAGCCTGACATATCGTTCTGTATTAGCTTGAATCCTCTTCCACGTGCGCGAGAGCCGGGAGGAGGGAAACTTACGCGTTATACCCATCTTCAACGACCCGATCGATCTTGATCTTGCTCGTGATCATCTTGACGGGCTTTAGCTTCCCCTCGCCCAATGCTTTGATGACACCGGCAAAGTCCTGCTGGAGGTATCCCAATACTAGATCTTTGCATTAGCCTTTGAGATCTTGGGCAGTCTTGAGGGAAAGGAGTGAGGAAAATACGAACCGGCCTTATAAACCTTCTCCCCAAACACCAACATATTCGGATTGAAGGGCACCTCCTTCTCCCAAATCGCCACATTCACGACCGTGCCCCTCGTCCTGGTGCTCGCAAACGCGCTCTTCAAGCTCGCCGGCACGCCCGCGCAATCCAACGCGACATCCACACCCACCCCACCCGTCAACTCCCTGACGCGCGCCGCCACATCCTCGTGCTTCGGATCCACGATATTCGTCGCGCCAAAGTGCTTTGCGAAGTTCTGCCTTTCGGCCGCCACTTCGGCGACGATGATGGTCTCGGCGCCCCTCGCCTTCAGGCACTGGATGACCGACAGGCCGATGGGCCCAGCGCCGAGCACGAGCGCCCGGTCGCCCTTTTTGATCTCGTACTGGTCCACGGCGTGCCAGGCTACGGCGAGCGGCTCGACCAGGGCGCCGACGTCCAGGTCGACGTCGTTGGGCAGCTTAAAGATGAAGCGCTGGTCGATGCAGACGGCGTCGCTGACGCCGCCTCCGCCGCCGGAGAGGCCGACGAAGCCGCCGGAGCTGCAGATGTTGATGTGGCCGTGCGTGCATGAGTCGCAAGTGTCCCAGCAGCAGAGGGTGGGTTGGCAGGCGACCTTGTCGCCTACGCTGAGACCGCGCGAGGAGTCGACCTTGTCGCCGATTTGGGTGATGGTGCCGCTGAACTCGTGACCGACGCCGACAGGGGCGGTTTCTTGGGTGAGGGGATGGGCGTCTTTCATGGGGACGAAGGTGGCGGTGGAGTATTCATGGAGCTAGATGGTTGATTTAGTGGAGGCATGGCAGGAATGCTTGGAAGGCTGGCCCAAAGCTGAGGGGGAGAAGAAGGATATAACTAGCCATCTGGCCAACTCTCCCTGCGGTCTGTGCAATGATGAGGAGTACTCACATCAGTGCCACAAATACCGACGAATGCGGGCTTGATCTTGACTTCGTGAGGCTTGCATTCTGGCTCCGGGACATCCGTGTCAACACGGAGGTCGCCGGGCCCGTGGAAACGCAGAGCGCGCATATTGTTGTTGAGATCGGCTGTGCAAGAGGTGTGGTTATTGAGGTTGTGTTGATTTAGTTTACCCTGCTAAAGTGGGGGTTAGCTTGATCTGTTTGACTTGAGTTGTCGTTGAGTGTCAGCAGTGCCAGCAGAAGAAGTACTCTTTCAATCAGGCTTAGTACGTCTTATATGTCAGCCTTACTCCAAAAGAGACCTTCCAAGTCATAGGACAATGCGACGGAGCACGTGGAGTGACTTTGAGGTCTTTTCGCAGCGCAGAGCCGACGTCAAGACCCAATCATCCTTGAGCAAGTGACATGATAGAACCAGCTCCCGAAAGACGGAGAGAAGGAGCGGGGAGGTGAACTTTGAGCTCCCATGTTCAGCCATTGACATTCGGTGCCTGAATCGACAGCAGTGGATAGTGAGCGTTGTTTGCGGGGAAGCAGGGGGGAACGGGAGAGAGGAAGTCGGCCATCACGTGCTGCGGACGCCTTCCGCACGGCGCCGTGTCAGTCGCTCAATTAGGCATGATGGCTTCCCAATATAGAAATGCAGGATTCGACGGGCGGATGATGCCAAATCATGCAGATTTTCTGCGCCTCTCACCCCAGCTTGGGAGTAGCTTGAAGCACACACTTTCAAGAACTGGCCGACGAGGTGCTATCCAAGGCCTCGATGACTCCAACGCCGCTGCTAGCAGCCCAATACTTCTCCCAAATCTAGGCATATGGATCGCTGCCCCGACAAGCCGATGGCGCCACCGAGGGAGGCCAGGTGACATATCACTATCCGGATCCTGGCAATGAGGTTGCCCCTGACCCTCTGAGAACAGGCAATTTCGTCAATCATCTGTGCATCAACGTCCGCAATGTCACTGAAGGCATTGATCGATACAACAAGGCTTTCGGCCAGCGTCTCATGTTCAGCATGCACGTCCCGGAGCGTTTCTCTATTGCCTACATGGGCCACTCCCATGGCGGACGCAACGGCAAGTGAAGTCAAAAGAACAACAAATTGAGCTCATCAACGTGGATACCCCAGACTGGAACCTATCATCGGGGTTGATAGTGCCGAATACCTCTTCGCACATCAGGATAATTGTGCCGGACAGCGAGGCTACGCAGGTACATCTTGAATCCATTGGCGCCAATATTATGAAGGTATAATGAGGCTTGGAAGACTTTTCGCCGAGGACTTGTCGGTAGGGAGCCAAGAGGAGGGATACCAGATCGACTCGTTGCGGATCCCGATGAACGTCATTGAGGTGCAGCCCCAAGTTTAGTTGAAGCCGTTACAGTTGATGCTGGCTGTAAGGTACGACTGCTTTGCCGTTGCACATCTTTTTCCCTCTTGGATGTATGAAATGATTATATAATCCAGCTGTCGACAGTTGACTGTTGTGAAGGAGCAGCAGAACGCTCTAGACGCAGAAGCTACAAGCTACAAACGGTCGCATTGTTGCAGGACATGGAATTGCGCCTGACTGCACCGAACCACGAGTACGGATTCAATCGGCGCGATCGTCTGCTACCTGAATCCGATCAGAGGCTCTGTACAGCCCAGACAATGAAGTCATGGCTGAGAAGAAAATGCCAAGAGCGCTGTGTTGCTCCAGAATAGGTTTAGTTGCTAATGCCTTTGAGAAGACGCTGCTCATTTCGGTCGAAGCGGGCCCCGTGCCGCCTTCGTTTATCTAGCATGCACCGGGGGTTGCCAGGGTTGGAGCAAGGCACAGCAACGAGGAGGTGATGTGGCATGGGGGACCGCCACAAAGATCGCCGTTCTGCGGCTAGTAAGTGGGCTATACGGAGCACGTTGGACACAGCTGTTGGGGAATATAACCGTGGCCAGAGACCCGTTTGGCCATGGCCGCCATACTACTCAGCACTCACAGTCGCTGCACTCTCTAACGCATACGCCTACTCCGTCTCCTTGTGTTGGAGACCACTATTATGCATCTCTTACGAAATGCCCTCCCTCTCCTCCCGTTCTGTATCACAGGCACGGTCGCCGACTTTCTGCTCGGCACGTACCCTGCACCTCTTGACTTGAGCAGCGACGACAGCGTTGTTTCGGCAAGCTGGAAGAATTTCACCGAGAAATTTGATGCCTACCTCAAAGAAGGTGAAACTGAAGGAGCAGAGGTTCTGTCAGGAGTGGAAAACATTACCTTTTCAGTCGGCTTGTTTTCGCTCCACGATCCAGCTGCAGGAACCCTACATTATCACTATGCGTCTCCAGAGACTGTCAACGCCGTCAACGGCACCAATGATGTGGATGGAGACAGCATATATCGCATTGCCAGCGTCACCAAACTCTTTACCGTCCTTGCAGGTCTGCTATCCATGACGGACGAGCAGTGGAACACGCCCCTTGCCCAAGTTTTCCCCCAGTTGGCCGAGTATTCCAGTGAGAATCCCGGAGAAGATGACCCGATTGACACGATTCAATGGGACAAGATCACTGTCCGGGCACTGGCCAGTCACCTGGCAAGTTTTCCAGCTGGAGGCATACCCGGCGTTGATACGCTGTCTCAGTTGGCACTTACGGGAGACCCCAACGCCCTCGTCACCTCTCTCGGCTTCCCACCCGCAGACCTGAGCGAACTGGGGCCTTGCTGGACCAGCTCAGACTTTTTCTCCTGCTCCGTCGAGGACTTTCTCGAGAACGCGAAGTCACTGCCGCCGAACTACCTGCCCTGGTCAAATCCATCCTACAGCAACCCCGGCTTCATCATGCTCGGCATCGCAATTTCCACCATCACTGGCCAGCCCATGGACACCCTCTACAATACAAACATCTTCCAGCCCCTCGACCTGTCTTCTTCCAACTCAACAGCTCCCACCGGTGAAGATGAGGTTGGCCGTTCCGTCGTCGTTGGCAATGCTACCGAATGGTTCGCCGCCGGCGGCATCAGTACCCCTTCTGGAGGTCTCTTCTCTACCATCAATGACCTGAACAAATTTGGGATCGGCATCCTGAATTCAACCATCTACGACGCCGACCGAACCCGCGAGTGGATGAAACCCACAACCTTCACTGCCAGCCTGTCCTACGCCGTGGGTACACCATGGGAGATAATTCGCTATGTGAGCCCGGTCAGTGGCAAAGTCACGGATCTCTACACCAAACTGGGCGACTCCGGCACTTTCGGCGGCGACCTCATCCTCATCCCCGAGTACAACGCGGGCATCAGTTTCTTGAACGGCGCCTCCGACCCCATCCGAAGCTCCGCGGCGCTCGCGGTCCTCGACCAGGTCGCCGAAGCTGTCCTGCCCGCGCTCGAGGCCCAGGCCGCGGCGGAAGCGACCCGCAACTTCGTGGGCACGTACGCCTCGACCGACCCGGCCCTGAACTACTCGGTGACCGTCGCGTTCAACGAATCCACCGTCGAGGGCAGCGTGTCTGGCCTGACCCTGACCGGCTGGATCTCCAACGGCACGGACTCGATGCCCGCCTTCGTCGACGTCCTGCCTCGCTTGCAGCCATCCATTCCCAACCAATCCGACGGCGCCGGCAAAGTGGCTTTCAAGGCGAGCACGAACCCGCAGACCAGCACGTACGCACCACTGGCCGAAGTGGGACTGGGCCCCTTCAGCGGCTTCTACATGACGAACGGCGACTGGACTCTTGGCGATGAGACTGGTGTATACTATGCGAAGAGGCCGTATAACCGGTTTGTGTTTGATGTAGATGCCGAGGGCATGGCGACGGCGGTCACACCCGCTGTGACGGGGATGAAGCTAGAGAAGAGACAAAAGGAATGAACCATAACGGCGTGAAGGTTGATATAAATAATTTGATCAGTTCTCTTGATCCTGATCGCAAGCACTCTTAGCGAAGTATTGAAATGACCTGATGGTTCAGATACGAAATTACTGTTCTATACTGTATGTCTCCCGTCTTTAGCTTGCCATCGTGTAGTCTCTTGATGTTCAAAAAGCCACATCAAAGGGCGTCAATCTGGACTCTTCGTCGACCTGAGACTTAAAAGGTACGAGCTGGGGTAGGACGTTTCGAAGAGGAGGGTCGGTCTCATGCAGAATTGCAACCCTGAACTTGAAAGGCTCTGGAAGTCGGAAGTTAGTGGGTATATCAGCGACCGCGAAACAAGTCCTAGAACCCGGTCCGGAAGAAACCTGCAAAAGTTGCCCCAGGCCCAGGCTGTCGGATTGGATCATGTATGGCAACTTCAGATTGATTAGATGCGATCACTGCCTCTAGGCGCGGCCCCCTTATGTCCTACGATACCGCATCCAGCCTAGCGGTCCCACACCCATACGGCACACTGCTTCTGATTCAACAGAACTACAAACACCACAGCTCGGCCCTCGCTCTCCTGGGACCTCTGCCAATGATTTTCGTCCGCACTTGATCCAGATTTCATGCAAAAACGAAAGTGTGCGATCTCTGGGAACATATTGCGATACAACAGCACAACAGGTCCACTTCATGCGGTACGTCTACCGGGCGGTGACCGCCTTTGACACCAGCACTTAGGGGGAAGAGTATCTACCAGTCATTACTGCAGGGGTCCCGACGGCGTAGCAAGCGAGCCTAGAAAGCCAGCGTGTAGCTTGCAAGGTCCATACTCGGAACGAACTATACGCTGCTTGAACCGCGATAGGCCCCCCCCCCCCCCGCTCTCTTTGCGACCACAACATGATGTCTGCTTGCGTTGGACGGTCACGCTACTCAAAGTCCCGCTCACTGGTACGGGGTGGGGGTGGCTGTTCGATGTACAGGACCCATTGCCAGACACAAACAAACCTCAATCCGACTTTTCGTTTGGAAATCTTGGAAAAATGCTGTGACTCTCGCGGAGTACAAATCACATCTGAGAAGTCCCGGGCCCCGTGCTGCGACCGCTGTGTCACCCACCTCTATAGATCGTATTCCAAATCCCCGTTACAAAGGGGGTGTGTGTTGCTGCTGCTGCTGGGTAGCTTGAAGTACATAGAAGAGTGGCAGTTGACGACCTTTGCAAACATGGTGACATGCAGAGACACGACTGCAACCGCCTTCGTCGCAGCAACTCTTCCCACGCGCGCCGCCCTCGCCGCAATGCCTGCTCCGCCGCCGCCGCCGCCGCCGTTCAATATCGAAAAAGACACCATGACAACCCCGAGCACAACACCACACTCACCCGCCCCCACCGGCGTCAACACCGCCGCCACCACCCTCCTCCCAGACCACCTTAACCCCCGCCACTGGCCCCCTCACATCAAACACCTCACCGCCCTCCTCACCTCCCTCTCCCAACTCATCACCCTCATGACCGCCTCGATCCTCGCGCCCGCCCTCCCCCGCATCTCCGCCTCTCTGCGCCTCTCCGCCTCGACCGCCCTCCTCACCCTCTCCATCTACCTCCTCGGCCTCGGCTTGGGCCCTCTGGTCCTCGCGCCCCTCTCTGAAGTCTACGGCCGCCGGCCCCTGTGGCTGTATTCCCAAATCTTCTTCATCGTGTGGAACAGTCTGTGTCCCGTGGGTGCGTCGCGGGTGTTGATGGTGGTGGGTAGGTTCTTGGCGGGCGTCGGCGCGAGTGGTGGCGGCGTGCTGGCGGGGCCGATCATGAGTGATATTTATGGCAAGGAGGAGAGGGGGCGGGCGCTGGGGCTGGCGATGCTGTTTCCGTATTTGGGGCCGGCGGTGGGGCCGATTGTGGGGGGCGTTGTGGGGGAGAGGGTGGGCTGGCCGTGGTTGTTTTGGGTGGTGAGTCTGGCGGATGCGGTGGTGGTGGGCGTGGGGTGGTGGGGGTTGAGGGAGAGTTATGCGCCGGTCATTACCATGGGAGAGGAGAGGAGAAGGGCGAGGGCGGAGGGAAGCGGGGAGGGGGTTGATGGCGTTGGGTTCGTGGGGACGGTCGGGGTGCTGAGGGTGAGCGTGATGAGGCCGCTTGTGCTGTTGTGGACGAGGCCGGCGCTGCAGGTTATTTCGTTCCTGTATGGCTTGGATTTCGGGTTGTATACCATCGTTCTTTCAACCTTTGCGACTCTCTGGATCGAGCGATATCACCAGTCGGAGACAGAGAGCAGTCTGCACTACATCGCCATCGCGATGGGCAGCACTATCGCGTCTCAAGGCGGTGGATTCCTGACTGATATCATCTGGCGCCGTCTTTCGGCAAGAAAAGGCAAGGGCAACGAGGTGCCAGAGTTCCGGATGCCGATGCTAGCCATCTCCTCGGTCATCATGCCGCTGGGGCTGATTTGGTACGGCTGGGCAGCGGAAAGACGAGACCACTGGCTGGTAGTCGACGCCGGCGTGGTGATGTTCTGCCTCGGCTGCTTCGCCATGTCGCAGGCGCAGCTCGCATACTTGCTGGATGAATTTGTCGAACACGCCGCCTCGGCGAATGCAGGCGCACGAGTTCTCTCGTACGTCACGGGATTCGCGTTCCCGCTCTTCGCGCCGCAGCTTTACCAGAGCTTGGGATATGGATGGGGCAACACGCTGCTTGCGTTGATCTTCGTGACTATCGGCGGGCCAGCTCCATTTCTGCTATGGCGATATGGGGCGCGCTTACGGGCCGTGGGCGTTGAAGGAGGCAGTAGAAGTAGCTCTCAGACGGTGGACGGGACATGAGTCAAGCTCGACTGGCAGGAAACCGCTTCTGTAGGGACAGACATGCTCGAGATAGAAGTTCTGCATCTCGTTTCCTGGATCAGCGGCTCCCTCAGGCGGCGGGATGTTGTCCGCAGCGGTGTACCTGCCCATGTGCAGCTCCACCGCGCATTTGGGTTCCGGGTTTGAAGACCAATACGTTCCCGCTGTCATGCGAGGCTCGAATATTGCAGCCTGGACGATGTAATTCTCGACACAGATGCGCAAACGAGCTTCGAGTTCGGCATTGGTGGCTTCTTCTGAGGGAACTTGTTCTAGAAAATTGCCTATGTCTCCGAGTACTGCATCCGATAACGGAGCGAGCTCGTTCAGGGGAAGCAGCTGGCCAGCTTCTCGAAGATCGGCTGCGACCTTTTGATGAGGGATTATCGGGTCATCGGATGTGAAAAAGACGAGGTCGGGATACAGTGCAGAGCTGATGGCGTGGTTGAGAGTGCTCCAGGTGGTGAGCAGGTAGGCTTTCAGGAGTCGGTTGGTCTTGTGCCACAGACGGGCCATCCATATGGCGTAGACAGCTCGATACTTTGCTCGAAAACTCATCAATTCGATCCAGATCTGTCGTTGCTCAAGAGTCAAGTCACGGCCTGCACAGTGCAGATCATTCGACTCGGTTAACGCATTCATGAATGTGGGTGCCATAGTCTTTGCCACGTCGGAGGCCTTCCCGTTGGCTTGATCAATCTGTCGCAAGATCTTAGCTCCCCAAGTCATATGCGTTGTGGCAGTGTCCCAGTCCTCTTGCGCCTGTGCTAACGAGGCCAAAATGCGACACATGATCAGCGCGACTGTGTTGTCAGTGGACTCCTGTCGGAAAGCCTGAATGGCAAGATTCGTTTTCTGCATAACCAGAGTGGCACGGTCCAAGCCGGATCTGAGGGTTTCGTAAGACGCTGCTAGGGCAATCATGCCGTTCCGTACGGCATCGCTCGTCCACGCACACTGAGGAATCGTCTCGAGCCAGACCGAGTGCCACTGCTTTGTGGTTGAGAGAAGTGGTGCCACATGCCGTGTGAAGAAGTGCAGGTAAAGATAGTCTGGGCCGGATGAATACGGACTAGATGGCTCGCAGCAAAACGTCTCACGCCCAGTTGGGCGACACTGCTCGCTGGAATACCTAACCAGAGTCGTTGTTGTTGAGGCGTCCAAATTGTCGCTGATGTCGGACGCAGTGTCTTTGGGTGCCAGATTTGTGCCTGACTCTGTCGGCCACTCGCAACTGAAGCCCGCGGTCGCGCATCTTTTGCATACCGGCTTGTCTTCATCGCATCTAAGACGCCTTAGCTTGCAGCTGATACATCCTGTTCGTAGCTTCGGAGCCCATCGACGTTGCCGCTTGCCAGGAGCTGGTGATACCATTGTCTATGATATCATGATATTCCGTTTGTGGGCACACACTTGGGGGAGGGGCGCATCAAAGGTGAAGGACGGAGAGATGTCGTGAGTCACATCAGCGATACGTAAATGAGGTAATACTTGGCATATCTTGGCAGTGTCCGCTTCAGGCAGTGAATGGTATTTATCTTGTACTGTCGATGATATTCCGTACCAGTACAACGCCCCCGACTTGTCTGCTACAAGTTTTGCGATTTCCTGCGTCTCAGACTTCAGTCAAGGACCTCTGAAGCCCACGCTGAAGATTGTAACGAATCTTCCACGTCTGAGGCACGTAAGATTCGTGTGATTGAGAGTTGCGGATGTGTCAAGTCGAAACGTAAGACCAGTGTCTAGTACGGGTCATGTTATTCTATTGTACCTCTTTGCTTCTTGCACTGGACTCGGTATAAACTACTCACCCACCTAGGTGCCCTGATTGAAGCCATACACTTGATCAAGGTCACCTTCCGATGTCTCCTGTATAGGGTTGAATCTCCTGTGTAGCTGAACTTCTGAGTTCGTTGATCATGGTGCAGCTCTGCGCATATCTAGTGCTTAGTTTCTCTAGCAGAAGGAGTTGGAGTCGAGCACTTGGAGTCGCAGGGCACTTCCGCAGTCACTTCAAGTTGTGGGAATGGGGCCCCTATTATGCCCGATTCTGCGGCCCGCGGCTCCTGCCGAAGCGGGATCCCGCCCGGGTTTGAGGTTTAATGGCACCAAACAGCAGGCTCAATCTACATTTGCGACTCAGCAACTCAAGAGTCCGAAGAGCCCCTTATCAGCCTATTCGTGAGAGTAGATCTTGTGGTCGTTTTCTTACATCAGCAACTGCCGCACAAGACTTGCGGGCAGGGGCTGTTCCAGCAGGCTGCGCCACAGCACCGTCATTGGCGACAGCCTGCATACGCGATGGTCGCCTTCAGCCCTGACTGGGGGGTCGACAAAACCGATGAGGAGACTCTTCGCGCTCACAGCAGATCACACACAACGGTCGCTACTGTGAGCCCAACGAGGTCACCTCGTCAACATTGTCGATCCTTGGTGTTGTACTCATAACGACCTCAGATCACTGTGCTAACAGTCCAGGTGATCAGGCTGAAATCTTTGCTGAAAAGGAACATATGATGCGGCGCCTCCGTAACAAGCTGGGTAGAAAGAGAGCGGAGGCACATGAAACCCAGGCAACCAACGACCGAAGCGGCAACAACCTGCTCTTGAGCGTGACCGGCATGCAATCTCAGTCTTTACCTCAGCGCGCCGCCGCGTCTCCGATACTGGGCACGCCCGCCACGACTCCCAAGTCACCGAAGCCCTCCTCACCGCCGCCGCAGCCGCCGCGACCCCAGCAAGGCTCAGGACAGCCTAAATTGGCGCACCTCGGTCCTGGTGGAACAAAGAAAGACTATTGGAAAATGGCGGCGGAGAAGCTTCAGGAGGAAGACCCATCGTTCAAAGACGCGATCGCTGGCCTGGAGCGGGCTGCTACAACGGCTGGTGATAACGACTTTGCCATGCAGCTTCAGGCTGCCACAGAACGTAGTCGAAAGGAACTCGAGTCTCGAAAATGGCGATTCAATGTAGGTTCGAAGGAGATCATTCCACGAGAGCACTTTGACGGTCTCATCAAGACTGTTGCGGCCATAAAGGATCTGGCGAGCGCTGCGGCCGGCGTCGACCCGATACACGCCGGTCTGCCGCTCGCCGGCTTCCTTGTGCTTATGCAGGTAGGTTGCCCTTCTTCTGAGGTCCACCCTGGGAGTACTGACATCCACTTAGATGGCAACCAACGATTTCGACCAGTACGCCTCCATGGCGGCTGGAGTAGAAGAAGTAATGACCATTATGGCACGCTATCGACTTATAGAAGAATCTCACGGTCAGCGGCTCCAGGACGGCCTCAAACAGGAGTTCGACAAGCAATTGATCAATCTTTACAAGCACATCATTCGGTACCAAATTTCAGCAACGACATACTATCGACGCAACACCATGGCCCGGTATATACGCGCCATGCCTAAGCTCGATGACTTGAAAGAGGTGACATTAGCAGTCCGACAACAGGATGACGCTTGCTGGAAAATAGTCGATATCTTATACTCTGCGGGCATCGACCTAAGGTTGGATCAGCTCGAGCAGCGTCTGACCGCTCCTAACGTTCTGGCAACCCCAAGCGCCAATATGCACTGGATAGTGCCCAGGTCGACAAACAGTCTCTTCACTGGACGTAACGCAATTTTAGACGAGCTGAAGGTCATAATCCAAAATGCTGTCAACGAGCCGACTCCTGATCAACAGTGCCGAATTGTCGTCACCGGCATTGGCGGCCAGGGTAAGAGTAAGCTCTGTCTCCAGCTCGCTAACCGGTGCCGTGCACTTTTCTGGGGTGTTTTCTGGATTGACGTAGGCAGCACGTCTCTAGCAGAGCAAGCGTTTATTAGTTTGGCACAGCAGCTCCAGATCTCCGCCCAGACATGGGAAGAGGCCTGTCAGGCACTTGGCGCACTACAAGATCGCTGGCTCCTGGTGCTGGACAACGCTGACGACCGATGCGTGAACTATCAACGTTACTTTCCGGCGAGTACTCTGGGGGTGGTATTGCTGACCTCACGCAATGACCAGTTTCACTGTTACGCCACCAACAAACATGTACCATTGGGCGGACTCGGAGACAAGGAGGCGCGAGAACTGTTGCTTCGAGCGGCTGGTGTTGCCGCCGACAAACATCAAGATCGAGATGCGCAGACTCAGCAAGACTTTGACCGAGATGCTGACCGGGTCGCTACGTTGCTCTACTCACACCCTCTCGCGCTCATTCAAGCTGCAGCATATGTGGCGCGTGGTCATTGTCCTCTGGCTGCATATCCACAGGTCTACGAGAAACAACGGAAGCGGCTTCTTCAGTTTCACCCTGAGCAAGCTCAATCGCGGTACAGTGATGTATACACCACGTTTGAGGCATCTGTCAGCATACTTCAATCTGTGGATGCAGAAGCGTGTCGAGACGCATTGTCTCTTTTGCCAGTACTGGCGGTCTTTGAGCGAAATCGACTGCCCATTTTCTTGTTTGAGGAGGCCTGGCGTGGAGCCCAGGCTGTTAAAGCCGATCCGAGAGATGTTGAACCCGACATGGAGCACCTGCACACATGGCATTTGGATCGTCTACCTCCCTGGATGCAAATGAACGAACAAGCGTGGGATTCGTTCCGCCTCATTCAGGCACTGTCTGAACTAAGAGCACTCTCGCTTGTGATGACAGATACCCAAGAGGGCTACATGAGCATCTCAATGCACCCGCTGGTCCATGCTTGGGCACGGGACAGAGAGAGCGAGGCCGAACAGCATCTATCGTCGGTGGTTGCCGGGTGCTTGGTGGCTTTATCTGCGGATTACAGCATTTGGGCACAGTATAGTCATCTACTCCAAGCGCATTTAGAGGCGGTCGTGTCATTGGAGTTGAACCAGTTGTTTAGGTCCGAACCGTTGGTCATGATCAATGGTATTATTTTTCGGTGTGGCTATTTGCTTCGAAACATGCGCGCAGACGACCAACTTTCGGCTTTGCTGACAAGATGGTTTGGTTATCATAACTGGAGCCTCACAAAAGTTGAGCAGACAGCGCTTGGTGCATACCGACTTGCTGCCGATGATTCCCTCCATCAGGGTTACTACCCGCAGGCGATCACTCTCCTGAAGCAGGTGTTAGAGATCCGGATTCAGACTCTCCCAGCGACTCACCCTGATCGACTGGCATGCCAGCGTGGACTAGCTTCAGCTTATCACGTAAACAACCAAGTGGATAAAGCGGTGTCACTCCTAGAGCAGGTGGTGAAGATCTGTAATCAGACCTATCCAGAGACTCACCCTGCTCGACTGGCATGCCAGCATGGACTAGCTTTAGCTTATTACGCAAACAACCAAGTGGATAAAGCAGTGTTACTCCTAGAGCCGGTGCTGGAGATCTATAATCAGACCCATTCAGAGACTCACCCTGATCGACTGGCATGCCAGCGTGGACTAGCTTTAGCTTATCACGCAAACAACCAAGTGGATAAAGCAGTGTTACTTCTA